TAAACCCTAAACCCTAAACCCTAAACCCTAAACCCTAAACCCTAAACCCTAAACCCTAAACCCTAAACCCTAAACCCTAAACCCTAAACCCTAAAACCCTAAACCCTAAACCCTAAACCCTAAACCCTAAACCCTAAACCCTAAACCCTAAACCCTAAACCCTAAACCCTAAAACCCTAATACGTTGCAGATTGTCCCATGGCACGGCGTGCGAAACGGCCGCCTGGCTCGCTGACTGAACCGCCTTCACGTAAGCTTGAGGAGATTCGAGTTTGCTGTCGTTTAGAGGAAAATGGACACGAATTGGAAGCGGCTGGACGTAAAGCCCCACAGTCTTCAAGTCGCAACTGGATCTCCGATTCAAGTATGGGCTTCCTATTGTGATATCAATAGATGATTCGGCATACTGGAGTGTTAGTGCAACAGCAGCCATGGCCAATTGATGCTTGGTGATGCCGTTGCCCTCAATGAAAGCATTCATGGTCTGCACAGTCCATGTCGGAAGCTTCATAGTGATAGAGCTTCCTTTGTTCTGGTGGCCGTCACCAGAAACTGTGAGAAATCCTTGACCAAGACTTTCTGGCGATCCTCCCAAGGAATTGATCCAGAAACACTCGTCGTCTGGTGGAGATAGTCTACCAGCAAGCTTCCCTGCTGGATAGGGGAGGCTGGCCTGCACAGGAGGCTGGCCGGCATATGTACTACCAACTTCGTCGAGTAGCAGCTGCATAGTACTCAGGTCACAGATAATATGACTTGCCACCACCAGGATATGGGTGGGTGAAACAAACACCCGAATAAGGTGATCTTGCGTGATGTCAAAAGGTCTGTTGATCTCAACAGTCATGTCAACGCTGTCAACAAGTTGAGCTTGTGGACGTGTGCTGTGCCATGATCTTATGAACCCTTGATTTGTTGGACCTGGAATGTATCTGGAACTGAGGATACAGTGTCTTGCTAGTGAGGTATCCCAGCTTTGCACCAGACGGCGTCTGTCGGTTTCCGGAGCAATCTCGCAAGCAAAAGATACGTTGAAGCAAGTTGTACACGTGGCCTGGCTGTAGCGCTCTGCCCACCATTCTTCAATGGGTGATAGTGATTCCGGAGGGTTTGGGGAGCTTTCGGTGACAACCTCTGGCTCGGGGACGAACTTTTCCAGCGTTGGTATTAATCTCGCCAGCTCACACAATCGCTGATTGTTGATCAACAGACTGAGAGGAACCTGGCGTAAGAATTCTTGCGACAAGGCACTCGCTAGTCGTAGTTGATGGAGTGAATGACCGCCTAGAGCCGAGAAATGCGAATCTGGGCGTAGCTTGGACAGATCTTCGAGCTCCAATACCTCCCGCCATACCTTGGCAACCTTCAGCTCCATATCGTTCATGCTGATGGATGCGACATCTGGGGCCCACAGTTGGCTGTCTCGAATCTTCGCATAGTCAAGCTTTCCCGCCTTGGTAAGAGGAAACACATCGACCGCCATAACAACCCGCGGATTGGCGTGGATAGGGAGGATCTCCGCCATCAACGTTTTCAGATGTGGGATCGAGATTGTGCTAGGTTGCACCATTGCAACTAGGTAGTCGTCTTTGTTTGTCACAGCGACGGCAGACACTCCTGGGATGCCGGCTACCCGTGCCTCGATGTCGTCCAAGTCAACACGGAAACCCCTAAGCTTGATTTGTCGATCTGTTCTTCCAAGCAAAACGACCTCTCCAGAGTCGGTCCAGTAGCCAAGATCACCCGTACAATAGGCATACTCTCCCAAGCCGTTACAGACAGGATCAGGAATAAATTTCTTGCGAGTGGCTTCTGGTTGACCGACGTAGCCCTTGGAGACTTGTACACCAGCAAGACATACTTCACCGATCCAACCGGGCACCGTGAGTCGACGATGTCTATCCAATATGTAGATGCGGGTGGAAGAGTTCGGAACCCCGATTGTGATACTCTCACCAACTCGAAGTCGTTTGATCGTTGCTCCGCAGGTTGCTTCCGTTGGGCCGTACATGTTGTAGACGACTTTCTCGCCAGCCCACCTGTCGCAAACTTCTCGGGTGACTTTTTCGCCTACCAAATACACCTGCAATGGTTGAGCTGGAGACTTCATTTGAAAGTTTGGAACGCAATCTTACCTTCTGAAGTCTCTTATAGTCAGCTGGGTGCAGGACTTTCGCAACCGAAGGAGTAAATATGGCTGCATCAGCCTCTGCCAGGTGGCCGAAAGGGTCGCAATCATGAGGCAACAAGAGGGTAGCTCCATAGGAGAGCGCCGAGAATATCTCATGGATACTACCGTCGAATGAAACGGACATAGTTTGGGCAATTTTCCACCCTGGCTGTGCAAACAGACGTACCTCCAGGTCTCGCTGAAACGCGACTAGGCCTCGATGGGTACACAGTACCCCCTTCGGCTTCCCTGTGGAGCCAGATGTAAAGCAAAGGTAGGCCCCGCTGCTCGGATCGACGTCTGTAACATCAGAGGAAGTAGCATCCTGCCCTTCATGCTGCGCCAAAATTTCGTCTACCGCCAAACAATGTTGACATGCCGGAGGTGCTGAACCTTTCTGATCACCGGATGGCACGAGGTAGACCTGGGCACCCGAGGTGAGGAAATTGGAACTTTGCAATGATGTTGGCAAATTCGGATTCATCGGACAGTACGTGGCTCCACATTTGAGCACGCCGTAGATCGCTTTCAGCCATGAGAGAGACTGATCAGCGTGTACACATACCACGTCTCCGATTTTAACGACCCTTGAGAGCTCCAGGCATATTCGGTCGCTGGCAAGCTCAAGCTCCTTGTATGTCATCCTTTGCTCGGATTTTTCAGCCGCTATCACTTCCGGGTAGCGAGCCGCTGCACCGCGGAATAACGAAACCAGACTGTCGTGGACAGACGCATTTGTGGAGAGCGCGGAGTAACAATTCCCCAGCCTTCGTAAATAGCTCTGTTGCTCGAGATCGACTGCCTCTAGCAGGCACATGCCTACCGAGTGAGTTGGCCTTAGCAGAGAAGTGAGCATTTTCTTGTAAACAGCTGAAACATTCTCAATCATACCCCGGTGGCATTGTGTCCGTGAGTACTGGAAATTCAAGACTCCCTCCAACTCAATCGTGATGCTGATTGGAATTTCAGTGTTCATCCTGGATGTCCAACTGCTGGGCCCTCTTGCATGGGCATGCGGCATTTTCTGGTTGAATTGAAGGGAAACGACCGATGAGACACGTCTGTCATAGCAACCATCGGGAAACGCCCACTCGACGGAAGCTAGCTCAGCTACTCTAAGCAGAATATATCGCAGATATTCGAGGTTTGTCAATTCCTGCTTGATCTCAATGAACAGTGGTATTGTTGTCGCAAGGTTTCCAACCACGTCCATCGCACCAGCGATCGGTATCGTCCTGCCAGACATAGCAACTCCGAATGCTACATAGTCGGAGTCTGTGAGAAGCGACATGACCAGGCCCCAAGCGCCATGATACAACGCGGCTTCAGTAATATTGTGCTCTCGTGCAAACGCAACTATTTCTCCTTTAAAATCTCCCAGGTCGAGAGTGTAGATATCGTTCAAGAAGAAGCTTTCCGTTTCACACGACTCGTTTGCTGGCTCTGATGACAGAAAGGCCAGTTCGCTGACAGCTTTTGACATGATTTCCTTCTTGCTCATCCAGAATTGTACCGCTTCATTCTGGTGTTTCTGAATATAAGCCTCTTTCTGGACGAGAAAATCTAGCATTGATGGACTAGGAGCGGGTGTTAGACCCGCCACAACTTGGGTCACCTTTTGCAGAAGCCGCTCCATTGAATACCCATCTATCAGTGCGTGATGGACCTGGAACAATATGCAGGCGTTATTCAAGCTGCATGTCGACTGTTCGGCCTTGATTGCCTTGAATGCGTAGCCAATACCGGAAAAGCTGGGAGGCTTGAGGGTTTCCGTCTCGATATCATGCTGGGTTTGGACCGTGATCTCAGTCCAGGCAAACGGTCGACATCTTCGAGTCCAGAATGAAGTTTCCTTGCGCAGTTGAAATTCGACGTGGAACATCTCCTCACTGGTGACGACAGTCTCCCACGCACTCTTCAGTATGCCAAGAGCAGCGGTACTGCAATCCTGCCGGTGATAGATCACATTCAACTTTGGATTCTCGTATGTGCCCCTGATCAATGACATTTGCATCTCTGTTGCAGGGTATTGGTCTGGTAAGAGGCTTGATTTGCGATTGGTCGGGGCGAAACCTTGCATTGAATCAGGCGTCACGCTAGGTGCAACTTTGGCATTTGTCGTATGAGATAAGCCTTGCTGAACCAGAGTTGTCAAAGATGGCGCCTTCAAGATATCTTTGACCGAAAGCGCAATGCCTCTGTTCTTGCAGGCATGCGACAACGAGAGTGCAGACAGGGAGTGGCCGCCATTCTTGGTGAAGCTTTCACTGAGATCTAAGGATCGGAGCTCCACACCAAGACGCTCTGCTACCAGAGTAAGCAGCTGCAACTCAACCTCACTAGCCATGCTCAAATCCTGGACAACTGATTACCTGCGCGTATGTTTTCGGTGCATTACCGATCCAGTAAGTCGAGAGGTCCGCCTGACTTTTCAATTACCAGAAATCCCCGGCAGAGCTGGGGCGTCTAGATCGGCGGGCCGACGGCGCCTCGGGCCCTCATGGGCGCCAGCGCCAGTGCTCTGGACTAAGAAAACCTACCCCGGGGGGGATATCGAGCTCAACGTCTCTTTCAGCCGGGCCGGTATATGAAGGATCACTAGGTTAACTATAGAAAATGGAGGCCGAACACAGACAGGACTAACCGTGTCCTCAGATGATGGTAGCTGATCACAAGTGTACCGATATCGCTTCCGTGCATCCCAGACATTGTGATTGACCTCCGAAAGCACACATCTTCACTGACTGTGACCTCACCAATGCGAAGCCGGCGATTGAAGGATTCAATGGCACTAGCTCATTGCAATGAAACGAGAAGCAGCTTTTACATTGTCGGTCGATCTAACGTCAGGTACAAACAAAAGGTCTCGCGATCCACACGATGCTGTCCCATTATAGTTTATTGTCGACCTTCCACTCTCGTATTCTTTGCACCACCGTATTTGCTGCACCTTTGGCCAGCTTGGTGTAGTCCCTTTCTATCTCAGCAGCGCGCGAGCTCCCAGGCTCAACGTCAGGCACATGAAGCTCGTATATGGCCGTAAGGTACAAGTCGTTCGGCCCGTCTGTTGGCTGGGCTCCATGGGAAAGCAACATTGTACTTCTGGAACCGTTGCCGATTGTCACTCCTTCGCACTTTAAATGTCGATATTCAGTATTCTGCTCCATTCTATCAATAGGACAAATAGTTCATGCTCACCATAAGATTTTCTGCGAGCCGTACGTCCTGGTCAATTGTAGCACCTCCCTTGGTGTGCACAGCCCCATCTGCCATGTGGAGCCTGCGTTGGAAGACAAGGTCGGAGGCTTGGTTCATGACCTCGGTCTTTGCAACGTATTCGGCGAAAAGCTCGGGTCGTGCCCCACCGCGGCGTAAGCCTGTCCAGAACTCTTTTGCATTAACCACGGGCTCAACACCCTCTGGATTAACTGGAACAGTGCAAGCAAGATTGAAAGTAAACACATTTTCTCCCATGGTGATGGTTCGCGGTGTACTGCTTGAAACCGGTCTCTGTACGAAGAACCTTATTCTGGAAAAATGAATTGGCTGACACACGGTGAGCAGATAGCTATATATGCGTGGAACTCCCGCCAGGCGGCGGGCCGATTGCAGCTTATCGTTTCCACCCGGCCCCCGGCGGCTTCTTCGATTCTTCAAGACCGCATCAGTAGCTCGCGTGCACCCGCCTCTTTCACAGGAAAAGCAGCGCATGTGGTGGGTCATATTGTGCGTTATAGTGTCCATGCTTTGTCAGAGAAACATCAGGAACTCGGGCTTCCAATCAGCAGATTCCCATGCAGAGCTATCCACGATCCTCTCGATACTTCAACATGACTCTGGACTTGGTGTCCGGAACGATTGCAAGGCCGAAATGCTGTTGCCTGCTCTTTTTCTCGCCATCCTCTAGCTGGATATCATAGTGCCGAAGCAAATAGGCCATGACAACCTTCATCTGGCTACTTGCAAAATGCCTGCCTGGGCACGCCCAAACTCCGTGTCCGAAGTTGATATTGTCTACACCGGTTGTAGCGTGCTGATACTTCAATTCGTTACCAGGGATGGATCGCAGTTTCTCAAAGCGAAAGCCGTCAAAAGTCTCGGGGTTTTCCCAGAGTTGAGGGTCAAGATTGAGGGTATGGGCGCGAACCATGACCCTTTCACCACAAGAAATGACATAGCCTCCGGGAAGACTTAACCCTTCGGGACTGGTGACGATGCGTGGCATGTTTGCTGTAAGTGTTAGTCTTCAACCTCACCGCACAACGAGTATGGTGGAGCATACCAAGTGAAGGCGGACTGAGCCTCTGTGACTCTCTGATAAAACTATCCAACTTCTTGAGTTTCTGGATATTTTCCTTGTTGATCGTGCCGTCTGGGCCAATAAACTCATCTAACTCGGCACGCAAAGGTTCGATGTATTCAGGGTAGGTGGCAATGTCGAACAACAGATAGCTTAGTGCATTTGTCAAATTATAGATTGAAGCAAATGTAGCCAGAAGCTGGTCGCGAGTCAGCTCCTCTGCCGTGGCCGGCTTCTTGTATCGCTTTCGAAACCACCGAATCATGTCGCCTCCTGGCTCGTTGGTGTTGTCATCTTCTCCTTCGCCGGATAATTCATTTGAGAGCAGTGGCTTGAGTTTCCGCTGCGTCATGTCCTTGTGCCGTTTCAACGACGCAACCTGAGGCAAGTATGGCCCCAGCAGCCAGTGTAGAGGACTGGGGATCATTCGCAATACCATCCAAGCCTTTGTGACATCTTGTGTATAGGTAACGGTAGCCTCTGCCCATTCCTCGTCCCGACTTAAGGGGAGGCCAACGAAGGCCCGGCCGGACATCAACGCGGTAACCCGAGCCATACATTCGCGAGGTTGGAATGCCTGCCAGTCCTGGGGTTTGCCGAAAATCTTCATGAAAACATAGTCAACTTCAGTTACGAAGGAGGCAAGCACTTTGGGCGTATTCCGTTGGAGATCATAGCGCATAGCCTCGTCAAACTCGTCGGCTTTCGTGCCCATATAACTGTACTGTCCCAGAAACACATCGTAGTGGTGACGTCTGAGTAATTTTGTTAGTAATTGCACACATCCACCAAGTTTCTGAGCCTTTACTTAATAGACACAACGCTTTCAGGCAGGGCCTTGATGACATCGATTGATGAATGAGGGAGGATTACCACCCTCATTCCCAGCATAGACAGGACGAAGGGTTGGTCTGGATACTTTCACAAAAGTCAGTACAAATTGTGGACTGAATTCAAGGCACATACCTGACGATGCCCTTCCTGGATCTTCGCCCAGACATCGTTCTCTGTTACAAAATGTGGAAGCTCATCGAGGGATGACCGGGCTGGACGCTTAGTGAAAATAGCAGGTGCTATCAACCGCAGGCTTATCAGACCGCACGCGAGCAATGCAAGCGCTACACATAGTGTGCGTTGTAAAATCACTTCTGACACAGACGTTTGGGACACAAAGGAACGTAGAGCATCCATTTTGCAGGAAGCAGGGCAGTGTTGGGGTTCGTTCCTTCAGTGGTCTTGAAGATAGTAGTAGATAAAGTCAATACAATCTTTGTTACTGGTAGACTTGAACAAGTAAACTTGTGAAGGGCCGCGAAACGGACCGCTCGTGAAAGCGAGGCAGAGCGGCCGGAGCACTTTGGAAGCCGGCTTGTCCTCCTTTAGGTGGGCATTGTAGTGCAGACTGCTATTTGCATCACCCTACAACTCTTTGATGCTTCTTCTGCAACGTCCGAAAATCTTATGGCCATTGTTAAATGCCGTATGTTACGTTAGTGACCGATAGTCGGTGCCATCTTCAAAACGCGGTCCACAGCTGGTCGACTCAACATTCGGTCACTCCATTGCTTGATAGACGGCCAGTCCTCGATCTTGACCCCAAGAAAAGTAAACATCCAGGGCATGGCAAACGGAAGATACGATAGGTCTGCCAGTGTCGGACGATCCTTCAAGGCGATATAGTCTTGACCTGGACGTGCCAGTCGCTGGTTCAATATATCCCATTGTCGTAGGCAGTTGGAATGCAGTCTGTGTTTTTGTCAATAAGATCATGGCGGGACTTCGTTTCTCCTACTCACTTTTCAATGGTGCGAGGCAACTGAACCGGCTCAGCTCTATTGGGGTAGCCTTTGAGGAAGTAGAGCCAGTACTTAGCAGTCGGCCTGGAAATCCAGAATAGTGAGCATGCTGTTCGTCGATCATGCAGCGTTATTTTGAGGACAGACTTACCCAAGCCCTGCTGTCTGATAAGCGGTCCATGAAAAGACTGCCGCTTTCTCATACGCAGATTTCCCGGTCCAGGTGCCATCATGGTCAAACCTTGATGCGAGATACTCCAAACACGCCGTTCCTTCGAACACAGTAATTTCTTCCTTGGTTTGGGGATCCTGGTCTCTGAGCGCCGGCACATACCGCTCCGGATGGATGCGATAGTACCACTCTTGTTTTGTGTCTATCACGGCTATGACATGTGGAACGTTCAGCTCTCGGGCCAAGATGAGTGGCTTGATATAGTTTATGTAGGACGTCTCATCAGCTGTGCAGAGATTAATCTTCCCTCCTCTCATGTACGGAACAACCCTTATCTAACCTTTGACCACGTACAAGATGACCTTGCCGTCAAAAACTGGGTCACCCACCACCACCAAGGGTGATTCAAGAGATAGAGACATGACAAGTATGCACAATCCGTCTGATGCACGCCTGTGTCGTTCTTGAATTTTATTAGGTGCGCCTTAATGGGAGCGACCTGACCAAACGGTGGTGCAAGTCCCCTCATATACAAGCAAGAATGGAAGGTCCGCTGATGGGATGGAACACAATGCTACCGTTGTACGGCCCGGATCTACTATTCGTATGGTTACGGGATTTGGGTTTGCCATGCCTCGCCTTCGGCAATCTACAATGGGGGAGCAGGCCGTAGCTCAATGGCACATGGCCATGCACCTCTCAGAGAGCAGATTCGGCCGAGTTTCCAACCGGTCGCCCTGGCTAGCTGCCTCCATTCATCCTCCGTTCTCTCTTGACCGTTTGCCGTCATCATCATATTGATATCGGCATATCTAGACAGCCGCCCAAATCTCCCTCCTACCAATATGGACTCAAGGATAACTAGCCGACTTTCTGGCGTGGCTTTGATGGCACGGCGGATGTTCGAGAGTATTTTTTCAGCCTCCGGGTCCTTCCAATCATGCAAGCACCACTTCATAGTATAGAATTCAAAGGTTGGTATGCTTGCAAAAAAGTCACCCGTAATGAGCCCATTGGGAATCAGCTGTTGTGCAACATCATTGAATTTGGCCCCCGGCTCATGAAACAAACGTTGAGCATGTTCAATGACTCGTGCCGTGTCGAACAAAGCCCCATTAAGAGACTTGTACTTGCGGAGCAGGAGTGCAACCAGGGCTCCTTCACCTCCTCCGATATCCAGGAAAGGCCCGTTGCCAAATTCATGCCACGGATAGTCTTCAAGTATTCCGGGACTCTGTGCTGTAGCTCCTCCCCCAAGAGTTCTGTGTAGCCGCGGGAGCCATCCCTGTGCTGTGAAGTATGTGAACATGTTGTCATCCGTGTTGAAGTTGACTTGCGCGGCACTACGTGTGCAGCCTGTTGCCAATGATGCCGGTATGCCCCTTGCGATATCGTAGAACTCATTGCCATAGAGATCAACCCAATTTCGCCACTGTGTCCAGTGGCCGCTGGTGAGGAGCTCCGAAACGGAATTGTTGCTGTACGCATCTGTGGAAGGATTCCAGGAAAAAATGCCATTGAAGGATAAGGCACGCATTATCTGCTTCAACCGGTCTTCTCGGGCATTGCATTCTCGGGCTATGTTGGAGATAGTCTTTTCACCGGCTTTCAGGATATCAGGCACCCTAAGTTGTACCGCTGCATAAAGGCATTTGGTGTCGACGTAGCCTGTACCACAGGTGAGTAATGAAGCAATCTATTTTCAGGTACCATCGAATAGGCTGTTGGAGCCTATGTATAGCTATGTTGAGGTCAACTTACCTAAGAAGTAATCTGCCAGCAATAACGGCGCAGGGGTCAGTAGCTGCTCTATGGAGTGCAAAAGATCTATGTTCTCCGCTGCAAGCACGCTAAGCCTTTTGTCGGGGAGCTGGTTTGGACCATAAGCGTGCGGTGCCTGGGTCAATTCTCCGTTCAGAGGTCCTTGTAGTCTGGCCAAGGCAGCTTCAAGGGTCTGTTTTAGGGTCGCTAATTCTTCCTCCATTTTGAGTTGCTGCAACCACAATGATAAAACGACGGTATCAGTCGAGCGTGCGAAGCAGATACGGCTTACATGGTATGGATGAACAACTGTTTATATCGATTCCGGCCCTCTTTCTCCCACTAATATTGCCTACGGGCCGCTCGGTGGCGTACAAATCATGATTCGCCTTGCCGAATTCTCGATTTATTCTTTTTGGTGACCCGACTTGTCTGCTGCTCCTTTCTTGGACATCCGACGTCCCGACGCGTTTTCAATTTCAGCTGCCGATTTCCTGACATGTTTTGATCTTCAGCCGTCGTTGCTAAATCTAGCGCGACCCCAAGTTGGATGAGTGCGTCTCGGAGGTGTTGTGGTCTCATCGAGAAGACAAGCCGGAACCATCCTCTGGCGGCATCACCCGCATGGTAGGCCTGTCCAGTGCCGACGGCAATACCCGTGGCCTTGAGTATCTCTGCTAATCGTGCTTCGCTTACACCCACTTCACTAGCTGGAAGAAGCTTGGTAAAGACGTACAATCCCGCTGTTGCGGGGACGTACTCAAGTGCTCTCTGCTCGAGAAACGTGGTCATTATCTGATAGGACTCGGCTAGCCGGTCTTTGTTCGTTGAGATCAGCTGCGGCAGTTGCGGTGCTGTAAGGATGCCCAATGCCGACAAAGTGGCAAGGTTGGAAATCTGCAGGCATCCCGCAAACGACAGGGTTTTGAGCAATTCCGGGTTCTTCTGAGAGACGAGGGCGGACTGGAGCTGAATTGAGCCTTGGTAAGCGGCCAGTGGGTTCGGAGTCACTCACCAGCCGTATCCCACTGCACCCAAAGTCCTTGCTCATACTCCAGATAACGTGAACTTTTGAACGTTTGCATTCGGCTTGGACTGAATCTAGTGACAAGACGGATACGAAGGGCGAGGCACCAGGAGCAGCCTTGGAACCGAAGTTTGATAGTGCGTAGACCTCATCGGATATAAAATGCAGTCCTCGGCGCCCACAGAATCTCGCAAAGGAAAACAGGTTGTCCTCAGAATAGCAGCGACCCAGCGGATTGTGAGGATTGGTCACCACCACCGCTTTTACCGGGCTACTGGTGCTGTCCATTGCTTCCTCCAGTGCTCGAATAATGGCTGCTGAATCGAAAGAGTCTGTAAACTTGCCAAAGCTGACAGGGACTGGGTGCACCTGTGCTTGTTTTGCAATATGGAAATCGAACCCATCTGTGAAAATATGTTGGCGTGATTCAAGGTGGTCAGAAGCTATCAATACCTACTCCAGTAGGGCGTTGGGATCAAAACTCCGTCTCCAGTATTGCAGAGAGTCCGAATGAGAGTGGTTAAGCAGATTGATGCTCCTGCGGCGAGGGCTACGTGACACGGCCGAACCTCCTCGCTAGGCTGAAAATATGCGTTGAAAAGATTGGACAGCGCAGACAGTAGACCTGGTTCGCCCGCGATATCCTTGTTGTAGGACAGGTGCTAGAGTTGAAGAAGTTCAGAAAGGGTCCATATTGTGCATAAGATAAATGTACTTACGGAGGGCTCCAACTTCTCATGGAGGAAAGTCCGAACAAGACTTGTAGTCTCTTCTTGGATACATCGATTTTCCGCAATGGACAGGTCGTATTGGATCATTTCTTTCTCTTCTTGTCTGGATTACAGACTACCTAGCTCATCCAAGTTGTAGTACTGATTTTGCAAGCTAGCGCAGGCAGGACTCGAAATTTTTTCTACCATATATGGACCTTGCCCGGCGCCTTCATCCTCCTCCGCCTCATTCGGCACGGTCGGTGCGAACTTGGCGTGCGAAATCTATTTGATACACTGCATGTCCCCAAAATGCCCTTCGGTGACCATGATGTGTCGCCAGCATCCGAGATGCCAGATCCAAATCAACTGTACTTGAACAGTGCCATATGGTACTTTGGGTACGGCTCCAACATCCGCTCAGCCTCCATGACAAAGCGGGAAATAACGCCATTACAAGCTCAAGCGGTCGTGGTACCATCGTACATTCTGACGTTCGACATATTCGGAATCCCTTGTGCAGAACCTGCGTTCGCTAGCATAGCAACCTACCAGGATATTGAAGAAACGCAACAACATACACAGGTACCGCCGGTTCACGGAGTGGCGTACCTGCTGACTAGGGATGACTACCGTCGCCTGGTGCTGAGCGAAGGGTCTGGAGTAGGCTACGACGAAATCCAGGTTGAAGCTTTTCCGATCGCCAATACAGACTATACGCCTGGAAAAGGGATCATGGTGCACACGCTCAAAGCCAAATATCCGTTCAGACCTAACCGTGCGCCCAGTGTACGATACATGGTAAGACTTTTATTCCCTCTTTCGCATTACTATTCCAGCGTAGTGACAGAAGCCAAGTCACTTCTGATAGAAGGAGCTACAGAGAACGGCCTGCCCGAGTCATACATCCAGTATCTCAAGTCGCTGCCGACTTTTTCGGCCGGACAAAGCACATGGGCATCCCTAGGGTCCTCGCTTTTCCTGGGTTTCTTTGCCCGGGCCGTTCGAGTGTTGGCATATTCTACCAAGCTCGTTGTCAACGAAAAGGGCCACTGTCCTCGGCTACTTGGCACGGTCATTGTTTGGTTTTACTGGGGCATGTGGACCTGGCACGACTACGTTCATGCAAGACTGTGGGGCAGGGGAGACGGAGGGATAATCCACTACGGCGGCCTACGACTATCTTAGCCATCATTTGGCTCGCGAGCGGCTCGGCGCCCGATGGGGATGACTATGGACATGAGCACGCCTTAAAGCGTGTAGCCATCTATCTGCATACGAATATTTCGCACGAGACGTTCGAAGAAGTCACACTTGCTGCGGATCCCCATGAGCGACCAAACGCACTTCCTGCGCCGTGCGCGTCAACTACTTCGGGAAAGCCCCCTTGTCGGTGAATGAGCACAACTGCAATGGCATCAGCAATATGTCCTCGCTGACCCGGCCTCTTCAGATGGACACAATGACTTTCCCTACATGATCCGTGGGTTCTACGGCAACAACCTTGATGATGCACGTCTGCAGGATACTCCAATTGGCCAGACAGACCTTGAGAGACTTCATCGGAGCCAATTGGGCGGCCAATTCTGGAGTGCATATGTACCGTGGTACGGTCCTATTTCCGTTCAATATGGTGCTATCGCATTGAGATCGCTATGAGACTGAGGGACAATTGCTAGTTTTGCCTTGACAGATAGCGAAAAACATAGCCGACAACCGAATGAGATGGACCTGCGAGCAGTCTACGACACGTTGCAGCAGATTGACCTGATTCACAACTTGATGTCCAAGTATGCACATGTATTTGCCCTCGCATGGAACTCCAGCGACATTTTGCGCATCTTTCAATCCGGGCGACTGGCAAGCTTCATCGGCGTCGAAGGTCTGCATCAGATTGGAAACAGTGCCAGCGTGTTGAGGAGCTTCCACCGCCTAGGCGTGCGATATTTGACTCTCGCGCACAACAAAAACAACAGATTCGCAGACTCGGCGGTAAGCGCCAAACGGCCAGAGCCTTGCCCTTGCTCCCTCTGACCATCAACAGAATGATTCGTCCCAAATTCATGGTGGGCTAAGTTGCGACGGCCGGAGGCTTATCCGTGAAATGAACAGAGTAGGCATGTATGTTTCACACAGTTTGCTAACCAACTAGGCATGACCACCGCGCACATGGACTGACTGCTCTCTCTTAGGATCATAGATCTCTCGCACACGACGGAAGCTGTACAGCTTCAGGTGTTGGACCTTTCAACTTCCCCTGTTATATTTTCTCACTCTTCGTGGTAAGTTGTTCCGCTCCAAATATCACATACTGAGTCTAAGTATTACAAGCTACACCCTATGCCCACACCCCCGGAATGTCACGGACCAAGTTCTCGCCAAGTTAAAAGACAACGGGGGCATCATCATGATTTGTTTCCTCCCTGAGCTCTCCAAGTCGGCGCCAGATGTGGCAAGTTCTCTCCAAAGCGTGGCGGATCACATTATTTACGCAGTGTCGAAAGTCGGCTATGAGCATGTGGGGATTGGATCCGACTTTGACGGCATGCTTGAGGGTCCTGAAGGTCTGGATGATGTTGCTTGCTACCCGGCATTGATTGCTGAACTGTTGAGGCGAAATATGAAAGAGGAGCATGTCAAAGCAGTGATGGGTCTGAACGTCATTCGAGCCATGGCCGGCGTGGAAGCCGTCGCTCGTCGTGAGACTGAACAAGGCGTGCCTGCCTTGAATGATCAAATACCGAGTATCTGGACCGCTGAGCAAAAGCAGATGCTTATCAAACAAGGGCAGAGGCGAGGGTTACTGGCGAGCTCAGACCTTTGACTTAGTATATCTTGTGTGCAGGCTGATCGCGTTCTCACGAGCTGCGCCAATGCTGTTGTGGGCTGCATCATCATAGAATTAGCATAAGAGCTTGAATGACAGTTGCAAACTCGATACCAAGTGCATTGGTTCACGTGTGCACGCAGACAGAGACGTCGTAGTCCAGAGCCATGCCAACGGTCCGCTCGGCGGCACACATTGCTTAGGTACCAGGTAAACCCCATACGGAAACTGATCCACCAGGAGAAGCCCCTTGTAGTGTGGCTCTCAACATCATCCATCTACCTCACTTGCCTTGCATGTATTGCCTACTATTCATCTAAATCATCATGGGCAGAATCTCCCAGTCGCTTGAGAGGGAAGAGCTCCAGATGGGTGCGTCCAAGCCCGAATCTCGTCGGCTGTCCGCAGAAAGCCATGGAGACGCAAAGGAGAATGTCAAGCAGCAAGAGAATGAAATGCCGCCTAAGTCAGACGAATCTGCAAGCAGCAACGCTGCATCTCAAGACACGTCGCCTCACACATCTGGCCGGACAATCGTCCTGTTGTTGGGCGTCTGTCTGAGCGTTTTCTTGGTAGCTCTGGTACATCCATCGCTTGCCTAGCATTCTTTAAAGATCTATGCTCATTCCATAATAGGATAACACCATTCTTTCGACGGCTATCCCACGAATAGTCGACGAGTTCAAGGCTCTTGACCGCGTGAGCTGGTACGGTTCGGCATACCTCTTGACCAACTGCTCGTTCCAACTTGTGTTCGGCGCCATGTATTCCTCCTTCTCCATCAAAGGGGTACTTCTTTCCGCGATCTTGATTTTCGAGGTCGGCTCTGCCGTTTGTGGAAGTGCACAGGGGTCTGTGGCTCTCATAGTTGGTCGGGCTATCGCAGGGGTTGGGGCTGCAGGGATATTCCAGGGTGCTTTCATGGTTGTTGCTATAACTGTGGCGCCTCAAAAACGTCCCATGTGTGAGAAGAGACAACGTTGCCTGTAACATTGCAGATGCTGACCCCGGTTATATCAGATAACGGTATCTTCGGGGCGGTTTATGGCATTTCTTCCATTGTGGCACCCCTGATCGGGGGAGCATTCACTCAGCATGCCAGCTGGCGTTGGTGGTAAGCGTGGACCTCCGAGAGCCTGAAAGTTAAAAGCTGACGGATTCACAGTTTCTACATGAATTTGCCTATTGGAGCCCTAACTATTGGTGCTATTCTTCTATTTCTCAAAGTCCCGGGGACAGCGGTGAAGGCACCCCGCACGTTTGAGCAGCTTACCGTTGCGGTCCGCAAGATGGATCCATTGGGCTTGCTTTTCTTCCTGCCCAGCATCGTGAGTCTACTACTCGCCCTTGTATGGGGCGGCTCCAAATATGCCTGGTCGAACGGACGCATTATCGCACTTTTTGTCGTCTTTGGCGTCTTGATGATGGGCTTTATCTATGTGGAAATCCGCGCAGATAAGTATGCCATTCTGCGCCGGCACTTGCTGCGCCAACGCAACGTCTTGTGTGGTGGCCTATTCGCCTTCTTGCTTGCAGCAAGCAATTTCATGATCGGCTACTATATGCCTATGTGGTTTCAAGTCGTGAAAGGGGTTTCACCAACCAAGTCTGGTACCATGAGTTTGCCGACTATGATCTCGATGGTTCTCATGTCATTCGTCTCAGGAGGAATGATCACTCGTTTCGGCCGATACTTGCCATTCTTCTACCTCTCCAGCATTTTAACATCAGTAGGGGCAGGACTCATATCGACTTTCTGGGTCGATACTGGTCATTCCAAATGGATCGGCTACCAAGTGATTTTTGGCAGCGGACTCGGACTCGGAGTTCAGCTTCCCATCACCGTGGTGCAACTATCGTGTTCGCGCGAAGACATCGCAGCAGCAACATCTCTTATGGTCTTCTGTCAAATACTGGGAGGAGCAATTTTCATTTCCGTCGCCCAAACTGCCATCACCCAAAGTTTGAGGCATGGTCTCCAGCAGGCGCTGCCGGACATTGCGCCGACGCTGTTAAAAAACCTTACCGCGACTCAACTGGTCTCGCAGGTTCCCCCAGCACAGGCGCCAGTGGTTCGTCGTGTCTTTAATGAAGCCTTGAGATCCGAATGGCATATTGCTGCAGGTATGGCGGCTGGCACAATAGTTGCGGCGTTGGGCATCAAGCGGGTCAAGTTCCCCGGGAAAAAGATAAAAGACGAAGAGAAATAGGCCGAGTTGAATGCCCTAGGCTACATAAGCACAGTCTACATCTGCAAGGACATGCCGTATATACCGCGTCAGGACTCGATATGTACTGCCCGCTGAGAATGATAGCTCAAATTGGAGAGGAACAATGGACTGTGCGCGTATGCAAAGTCGAATTGTGTGACTCGATTGCGTAGCAGAGTGTAAAAACTCAGCACTTGTTTTACATTTTTTGTTCTGCACCTAGTCATGTGAATAAGTCTATAGTAGTTGAAGATCGATTCCATCCTACTTCGATAAAAACAAAAGCTGCTAAAATTGTTGTTCTCATATGTATTTATATATTATCATATGGCATCCGCTAACACTGACTTCCCCCCCAAAAGGGTCCATAATCATAAATATTGGGGGAAGGAAAAAAACAAAAAAAAAAAAAAAAAAAAAAAAAAAAAAAAAACAAAGCGATGAATTATGACTTCCTGTAAAAAAAAATGAATTGTCTTGATTCAAAGAAAGCCTGTGGATATAACATTGTTTTTACGGCGCCGGCCCGGTGCGTCAATAGGACAAATGTGAAAACGTACCGCCCTGAGCGAGAATCAACCCAGCTGAGAATCACAAGTTCCACGCCTGGCATATGAGGGCGTTGAACTGATACCATTTGCACCGTAAAGTCTTGTTGTGGTATGGTAGTTGGGCTACTCTGGGCCACGCTCAGTCATTGTATGGAAGGCTAAGGTCCTCTCGATGAATGGCACTGTTTCGTTTACAATTTATTCAACCGTCTCTCCGGCAATTGCTCCTTTAGCTTCTCGCCGATGCTTCTTAACGAATCCTTTCTGATCTTCCCACTCCCAGTCACAGGGAATTGTTTTGTTGCCTCTCCAGGGCCGACCCAGAAGAGATACCTTGGAGCTTTCTGTGGAGCAAGCACCAACCGTATCCAAACCCTAATCTCCTGAAGGGAAGGTTTGATCGCATCCTGAGCCAGTTGCAGGAACACGCCAATTTCCTCGCCGTACTTGTCGTCACTAATTCCAACTGCCGCTGCTTGAATGATGCCGGGAAACTCCAGAAGCCGCTCTTCGATCTCAAGCGGGTAAATGTTTTCGCCGCCTGTTGCATACATATGAGAAGTTGTGGGTGCAAGAGTGTCATAAATTGAACTCACCGCGGATGATGATATCTTTGATACGCCCAGTGATCGTACAGTATCCATCGTCGTCGAAGAAACCTTCATCGCCAGTGTGCATCCAGATCCTGCCGCTCTCGTCTTGAATCATGACCTCGGAGGTCTTGACGGGATTCTTATAGTATCCTTGCTGAACAAGGTAGCCAGAAACGGCAATCTCGCCTCTTGCTCCTCTGGGAAGGATACGTCCCTTTCCGTCGACTACCTTTGCCATTGTGTGCGGCAGCACCCGTCCCACCGTCTCGAGGTTCATCCTTAACGGGTCCGAAGGTACCGTCATGAAGCTTGAAGGAGAGGTCTCCGTCATGCCTGAAAGTGAAATCAGCCATGTGTTGTAGACCAAGCCAGGTCTCAACCATATATACCAAGCACGCAAAAGGATGAAAGGGCTGAGGTTGGGGGAAACTCACCGTAGCAAACGGCAGTGTGGCGGAATCCCAGCCTGTCTCGTAGCTGTTCTAGTAGTGTAGGCGGAACCTTCGTACCAGCTGCGATGCCGTTCTTGATTGTGTTGACCTTGATCCCGAGTTTGTCCACGGCAGCCATGATTGCGCTGAACATGGTCGGTACACCGTGGAGGATGGTACAACCCTCGGCAGCAAGAGCTCGGGCTACAGCATTGGCATCAAAGTCGCAGCTTGCATATACGATGGACGATCCGTGGGTGACTGCGGCTAACATGCCAGCGCAAAGCCCAAAGCAGTGGAACAGTGGGGGTGGACAACAGACGACGTCCTCCGGCACCAGCTGTAAGCAATCTCCAATGAATTTTGCGTTATTGATGAGGTTACTATCATGGTTAGTTTGAGCTCGCTCTGTTAATATTGGCTTTGAAAAGAGCTGAAACCAAATGTGATCGTACGTACAAGTGACTCAACATAACCGCCTTCGGATCTCCAGTTGTACCGCTGGTAAATTGGAGATTAACAATATCGTTGCAAGTGACTAGGTGTTCCGCACGAGTAAGGTCCGAGGATGGAATGTTGTTGCCTTTCTCTAGAAAAGCTTCCCATGATAGCAAAGGCCGTATTTGCTGTGTGCTATTTCGTACGAAGACAAGGGTCTTGAGCCTCAGAGCGGAAGCCTTTGTCCGTAGGAGCTCGACAATATCATCTGTCCTCTTGTGGTTGACCCAGTCTGAGACGAAAAAGGCAGTTGGGCCTGGATTAGTTCGAACCAGGTCAGTTGTGTACAGTGTAATAATGGGCTCCTGTGCAGACTCGGATGTTCCCAACTTACCAGTGTGTTGGATTGCCCTCTCGCACTCGAATGCAGTGTAAGTCTTGTTGAGGATAACCAGAACGGCTCCAATCTTTCCACAGGCAAAGAATAGCTCAATGAATCTCTCATCATCACCGCACAAAATCGCAACGTGATCCTTTCTCTTCACACCCAAGGCCAGGAGGCCTCGAGCTACAGCTTGGGTCCTTTCCCTCAGGTTAGCGTAACTAAGGCGAGCACCCGTCCATGGAACGACAATGGCGTCTTTCGAACCATACTTCTCTGCTTGTTTGTCGACAAGTTGGCCAAAAGTAATCTTGGTGAGGGGAGGATGTGTTGGCCCTTCGACAACCGATAGAGATTTGGTGGTAGAGTTCTGAGGAGTTTGGACCCCCGTCCTGGATTGTTGCATTTTCACCTTAGAGCACTGCAGTGTATGCTTGCACACTCAGGCTGTAGCATGTACCCTCCTATTGTGATATCAATGGCATGTCCAAGTCATAGAACAAGAGTGTCGAACAAGCAATACCAATCCCACCTCAGTTGTCTATGCTGTGGGTCCACTTCGCTTAGTCAGCGACGCATCGGAATTTGAATTAGTCTATGTCGACGGTCCGATCGGCAGCCGACGGGCCGGCAAATCCTGATCCTTGCCGGAGTCATTCCCCAAGCCAATGTAAGCTTGGGTCAAGGTGCTTGGATATCTAGTTAACACGCGCAGCAGAGTCGGGACCAACAACAATCAGGACATTGGGATCTAACATTGACCGCCAATGTGGGGATAGGATACTGGAACACTGTACTAGTGCCACCTGATTTGAAGGAGATCCAAACGAACTGATTAGGATACTGCTGTGCAGTTCCTATGGAAGGATGCTCGGCCAATGCTGGTCAACAACTAATGATGGGTGAAGACAGTTTGTCGATACCTAGTTGGCCAAATGTTCGGCCCGGAACCTTCAGTTGTTCTAGATGAATATATGTACGTCGCGCCGCAACCGAGAGATTTGCACATTGGAGAGCCTGCGTCATCAGGTAACCAAAATGACAGACATAGCGGCTCGGAACAAGGAGAAATTCGAGTAAGAAACAATCCATGTGCCTACCTATAAGATGGTGAAGGCTGTCCAGGTAATGAAGGGGCCATTTCGCAACATCGACTAACTTCCCTTCTTGTGCATAGCAAAGATGCATCTACTCACCTCTCGGACTGGGCCGAGCTCATCCAAGCCATAATCAACGAGCTAGTGGCAAGGCGACATTGGATGTCCAGTAAATGGGTAGACTCGGAGAGCTCTGCCGCCGGGTGCCGAGATATCAGGCTCCTGGACTACGCATGCGGCAGCGGCACGGTTTCAAAGGTATGTGGATCATGGTTCGCCCTCCAGCTGCCATGGTAGGACTGACTTGGTGTGCGCCCGGCTAACAGCACGCGTACAGGCGCTTCTACCATTTATCACCCAGGCTGTCGGGCTTGATATATCAACAGGCATGGTTTCCGAGTATAACAAGTGGGCTCAGAGCACAGGCTTGGACTCTGATAAAGTTTGGGCGTACGAATATGATATGTTGGCTGGAGGAGAGTCCAAACCTCTCCCGCAACAAAAATTATCCGACTTTGATATCGTCGTTGTGAGCATGGCGTTGCACCATGTTTCTGACCCCACGAAGCTGATGCAGCGGTTGGCCAAATGCCTCCGGCCTGGCGGCACCTGTGTGATCCTCGACCGAGTTCCTGACTCGACATCCTCCAGGACTGACGTTACCCTTTCCACAAGTCAAGCCGAAATGCTCAAAACCGTCAACCAGCACGGCTTCAGTGAAGGAGAAATGCGACGACTCTATCAGGATGCGGGACTTGGCCATAAGTTTGACTATGTGGTGATCCCGCACCCTTTCAAAGCCCAGGTCTTTGGCCAAGAGCTCTCTATCACTGGATTTATAGCTCGAGGCGAGTTGGTGTAGAGGCCGGAGAAAGGAATGTTTCAGCATCTTCAATCTAAACAATATAGTATAAGAAGGGAATGTCTTAAGGTATGTAACCGCAGCGCGGAAACCAACCATTGATTCGTTTGTGCCTATCGGCATCTCCGACTTTCCGGTATGCCCGGTCGTGTAGATAAACGGACTACTAGTAGTTCATATTCACCTAATTAGTTCCCACTATCTTTCTCCTCAACCCATACAAGTGTAAAGAGTACAACATCTCAGTCAAACTCCACGACCCCCTCCCTGCCTCACCCCAATAGCACGTACAGCGCCGTCGCAGACCCCATGGATCTGAGCCCGCTCAAACCTTTCTTGAAGACACCCTTCATCAGCGACATTTTGGAAGATCCTGCCTGGGAAGTTAGCAATGCTCCGGAACCTAGATACGAAGGTCACGACACATTTTGGTACGAGCTCTTGCGCGGTCCCAGAGGCGTGCGTGCGCAATGCTTGCTTTGCCGTCGGCCGCAGCAAGAGCTTGCTGAAGCATGGAGAGAGACGAGACACTTGTTGCGCCTAGGTAATGCTCTCACGAGTAAGCAAGGAGTGTGTCACGGGGGCCTTTTGGCAGTGATTGTGGACGAAGTAGCTATCATGACTATCAGACACTACGGGTTGGACGGCGGGACGGATCCTTCAACTGCGTTCCTGAATGTTACGTACACGAGACCTGTCCCAGCGCCGGGAGTGATAATGGCAACAGTCAATGTCGTTGAAATCATGAGGCGGAAGATCAAGCTGCGGATATCAATCCTGGATGGCCATGGCCAGTTGTGTGTCACTGCAGAGATGTTGGTGGTAACTGCAATACCGCGACTTTGAGGCTCGGATTTGGTGGTCCAATTAATCAACTACCTGATTGAGAGAGAACGTCTACTATGCCTACGCTAGTTGAGCACAAATGGCCACAACGGCGGCAGAGCACGCTCGAGGCAGGCCGGCTCGGTGAGATAAATTGTAAGCTCTGACTGATGGGAAAACACCACACCTCTGCCGGTCATGGCTTTGTCGTACCCGACTCTCACTAATGTTTTCCAACCTGCTATCCAGGGGTTGCGCTAGCCCTGATCAACCTTTGTGCAATGTCACCCCAGTCAGTTAATGCAGTGCCAGTTACAGCCTTAGTATCATGATCTGCGACCCAAGCTCTTCCAATTATGACAAGCACAAACAAGAAATTGCGTTGGTTGTTGGCTATCTGATGATGGGTCCCCAGAGACAAGACGCATGGTCGTTATGTGACACTTGTTCGTGCACATGTTCGATCGGTTGAGAAGTAATTCACTTGTTCTATTGATTGATTACTTCTCAGCTGAAACCAAGTTTTGATGCTCACTCTTCTTCCTTAACAGAAAGGTCGCTTCAGGAGGAACAGAAGTCGTGTTGATCGTGTTCCTCACCCGGAAGCTCCTGTCTTTGACCTGGACGTCGAACTTGGTGAAGAACATGTATGTTAGAATCTTGATTTCGTGAATCGCCAGCTGCCGGCCTGGACACGCCCATCTCCCCAAGCCGAATGTAAGAAAGTCTGCGTTGCCCTGGACAGCCGGTCGCCCTTTCTTCTGCCACTGAAAGCCATCAAACGTATTTCCATCTGTACCATAGTTGTCCGGGTGTTGATGTGCTCGGGCAATATGCACGAGACACATGGCGTTCTTAGGGAGGACGTATGGTCCAACTCGTACCGGCCTTGTCGTTTGCCTTACAGGACCCCAAGTGTCGCCTTTTGTCCGCAGTACCTCACGAATAAATGAGTCCAGGAGAGTAAGCTCGTTAAGCTTTTTCACAGTCAAACTTTCATTGGCTGGAGCGACAGCATTCCATTGCTCCTGGATTGCCGGTAAATATTCGTCTTGTTTTTCCGCCAGCTTGATCAAGACCCAGAATCCGGCAACCACGGTCTGGTGGACTGAGGCGAATATCAAGCCCACGCAGAGAACAATAGCCCATCCAAAACCAGCAAGGGCGCTAAGCCCGGTTTTGCCGTCATAGTTCTTCACAAGGAGGGTGTCGAAGAGAGGGACGAACTGGCCGGGACGTGCAGCAAGGCCGTTTGCCAGGTGTTGATGACGAGTACTCCAAAGTGTGGGCACAATAGCGAAGAAGAAATGAGGAATGATGGTAAAGAATACGGCTCGGAGGCCATTGAGCAGGACCCATAATGATGGCGCCCAGGGCCACTCGTGCGTGTTCTCGTGCATACCGGTCATCTGTGCCATAGCTACTGCCACAGCAGCAAAATGGCGTCCTGCTTTGGAGGATGAATGTGCGTTCCCCAGGATCATGACAACCATGGCGTGTGAGACTGCTAGCTGAATACGGGAGAAAACATCTGGGAACTCGACCCGCGTCTTGTCGTTGGCTGGATCCGGTAGCTCGTCGGCCATCCGATCGAAATAGGTGCGAAAGACAGGAAATACTTGGTCGATAATTGAAGTCATTCTCGGCTGTACGCCAGTTTCGACTATGCCGTCGACGTCGTGGACAAAGCGACCGTTGTCGAAGAGCGCTATGAAGCCCAGGTGGAGTAGATCGAACGCTGCCTTCTCGAAAGTATAGTTCTTTGAGTCGGTAAGCACATCGTATGCAAACCGATGGTCGATAACATATTCGTTACGGCCATGTCGAGGGACAATGACAACAGGACCATGTTCGTCTAATGCTTGATTGTAGGCGTCGTTGACTTTGTCAGATTGTCGTACTTCTCGAGGAATCTGGACCACTGGAGGTGAAGGACCCTCGAGGGGCTGTACCAGCTCCACCTTGGGCGTAGCCATGTTAGGAACAGCAACAGTAACGCACGCAATTAATGGTGACCAGAAGGGACCGGGCTATATTCCGGAAGGGTTATGGCTTTTTTAGCTCCCGTGCCTCTAACAGTATGAATCAACCTACTTATAAGCATAGCGGAACGACCTCGCAGCGTAATCGATTATATGTTCGGTCCTTACCTAGGTACACGGCACTTAGTCATATCACCTTTCATCTGACAGTGTACCCAAGTGTGTCCTGCCAGCCCGCCAGTGAGGCAGTCTTTAGGTCGCAAAGTGGCCCACCCCACTGTTTGGCAAAGCGCCGAACGGACCGCGAAGCTTGCATGTGTGCGTGGGGTGTTTTTACTACTCATGCAGCCATTGCTATTTCGGGTCTTTCCAGGTGCGAAACAGGACTGACCCGTACGTTGGCCATTGGTAGGAGACACTTTCGCCTGGACCGCCTCAAGACAGGGGAAACGGGTGTCATCCAGGGAAGAGCAGGGACTATGCGAAGCTGCGGAAGCTGCCCAGGTAGAACCAGTCAAGACACAGAAGACGAACAAGAGATGAAGAGAAAAATAGACTACCTCAGTGTGGAAGGCGTTTAGGGAGTTGGAACTCGGTAGAGGTAGTTGTTGTGCTGCACAGTGCTGTACAGCTGGTATTTACCTAACATTTAGATTTGAGTACATCAAGTCGATGGCGGGGATTTGTGCCAAGACGCGGCTGGGATCGTGAAAATCATATACAATATCAACCCACCAGTTTGATCAGTCCTGCAGGACATCCAGGAGCCGGGGATTTGTGAGGTCAATGTCAGAATTCCGAGCTTCAAGCTGGCCCCCGATGCGCATTCCCCATCGGTGCGTAGGGTGGGTCCTAGGTGCAAGTCTTTCACCCTAGTCCGCATAATGTGAACGCCTGTGGCTAGCAAGGCCTTGTTCTGAGATATATACCAGTGGCATGCCCTTACAATTATATCCGTGGGCGATGAATTGTTCTGGTACACTATGGCCTCCTCTATCAAAGACGCCTTGATCATTGGGGCTGGTCCCGCAGGCCTTTCCGCGGCTCTCGGATTGTCCAGGGTCCACCTAACCAAGATAGTCTTCACCAAGCCGCGGAACGCTGGCTTCAGAAACCAAGGCGCCCACGAGATTCACAATGTTTTGACCAGAGACGGCACCCCACCTGCAGAGTTTCGCCAGATTGCGAGAGACGAGATTCAGAAGTACGGCACCACCGAATTTGTCGAGGCAGAGATCACTTCTCTCAAGAGGGTAGAACCGGAGAATGGCGATGGCAATGCTGGCACATCAAGCTACTTCGAGGCTGTGGATAGCCAAGGCCGCAATTGGCATGGGAGAAAGGTTATTCTGGCCACCGGTTCTACTGAGGTTTTGCCCACGGACATTCCAGGATACAAAGAAAATTGGCCTCAGAACATGTAGGCCCCCAATCTTGGTCTTGCGTCAGGCACCGGCCAGTTGACATGATCATCCAGATTCCAATGCTTGTTCTGTGACGGCCACGAAAGATCGCATCTCCCGGCTGGCATTATTGGATTCTCGCCGATCCTCGCGCACGCGGCGCCGCTGTTGCTTCTTTTAGCCACCGAATCATCCGGCCCGCCAACAGTGTTCAGTAACGGCCCAATACCAGAGACCGAGCCGATGCAGAAGGCTCTGGACAATGTTCGAGCCCTGGGGTGCAAGATTGAGACTAGAAAAATCGCACAGCTCGTGCCCGCCCAAGCACCCGACGTCGGCGTTACCGTGGTTTTCGAAGATAACCAGCGGACGCACGTCGGATATCTGACTGACAGACCAACCACGGTATTGGCTAGTCGACACCTGATAGACCAGCTTGGGCTTGAAGTCGAGACACATCCGATCATGGGAGAAAACATCAAGGGTGTTGAGTTGGGCGGTGCCACCAAGATCCCTGGGCTGTTTATTGCCGGTGATGCCGCCACTCCGCTAAAGGCGGTGACGAACGCCATCAGTTCTGGTAAGTCATCATTCTTCCAACGAATTCGGCGCTGTCAAACCCCCTAGGATGATCCAATTGTTTCTTGCTTACCGATGTTTCCTTCACGTAGGATCCAATGCCGCTGCGGTCATAACCCAGCAGATAGCCGCAGAGAACCTACAGAGAAAACTCGCATCCCGTCTGGCCTAGAAGAATCTATGCGTCGCCCTGGCCCACCCGGGATTATGGAGAGAAATGCGCAACGTTCTAAGTTGATTGGGTTTGTAGGAAGCACCAGTAGGGGACTTCAGATATACATGGATCACTCAGTCGCTGGACCCCATGGCCGTAACAATCTATCTGCTTCTGCGAGATACCTCAGCTGCTAAGACCAAGAGTTTCTTGTCATAGTCTGCACCTAACACTGATGGCCCCTCTGGAGTTCTTATCTGACTGAGACAATATGCAAAAGGGCAAACTTCCCGCCGCGTCAGCAAATATAGGAATTGTCCCTGTAAAAAGCATAATTCAGCAAGTCATATATGAAGCAATGGAATGTGTGACGACTTAAACAAATCTCACAAACTTTTCTATCTCCAATTTGTTCTAGCAGCCAGCAGAACTATCCTCGTCCAATATTCTAACCCGTCTTCGCAGGAGTAAATTTGAGAAACGGTCCATTCTTCTCGCCTGCTGCGAAGTGATCTTTGACATGGAACTCCAGCGGCAACGGATCGCGGGACTCAATCTCGAACAAGTACGCCAGCCTAGCAACTGTCAAGTATATGGTCTGGTAAGCCATGTTTTTGCCGATGCAGCCACGTGTGCCGGTGCTGAATGGATACCAGCACGAGCGTAGTCTCTGGATCTCTTCCTCGGAGTCGACCATCCAACGCTCTGGCTTGAAGATCTGTGGTTCAGGATACGCATCGGGATCACGGTGAATTGTCCAGGTCGGGATACCGACTTGAGCAGCAGGTGGAATGTAGTGTCCATCGATCGTCCCTCCCTCAGGGGCCTCTCTTGTCAGATAGCCGGGCACACCAGGGGACATGCGCAGAGCTTCGTCAACACATGCTCTCATGTATTTGCAATCCAGCAGCTTCTTCCCGCCGACAATGTCCTCAACAGATGCAAACGTGGAGCGGATTTCTTGCTTAAGTTTGTTGTAGCAATCCGGGTACCGGGCGAGGTAGAAATAAAGTCCGGAAAGTGCTGTTCCAGTCGTGTCGCTCGCTGTTACCGGTTAGTCGTAAGGGGTATGATCACAGAGCAATACCAATTACCTGCGATGATGAGGACCACGGCTTCGTCGGAGAGTTCTTTGAAGTCCATACTCTCGCCTGTCTCTTTGTTTTTGTAGTTGAGTAGGAGCTTGAAAATATCATCCGGTCCATTGCCAGACTTCTCCTGGTTGATGCGGTGGGTGACTTGATTGTCGACATAGGCGCGAAATTTCTTGTTGTCTGCCATAATCTTCAGGAACAAGAGAGGAGCCAGGCCCCAATGTTCAATTTGGGGGTAAGCTCCTAGCTGTGTGATCGCTCCGTCAACACCATATGAAAGATCTCCACGGTAGGGCTGCACTTACAATGACCTGGCTGTGCTGGTAAGCGTCAATGAGGGGCTGAATGAAATGATGATCGTCCTTGGTGAGCATATCATAGCTTTGGCTGAAGGTGAGTGTGCCCATAATGTCGTATGTAAGGTAAGAGAACCACCGAGACATGTTCTTGTACTCGCCACCGAATGTTGTTGGATCAGCCAGTTGCTTGCAGAATAACCGGATCTTATCCAACATGACAGGCTCGTAAGACCTGACAGCGGCTTCACTCATAGCGTGAGAGATGATTCGCCGCTTACGAGCGTGAACGGCTTTGTCGGTGGTGCTGGCCAGGTTCTTCGCCAAAATTTTAGTACCCAACTCATCTGTTTGGAGGGAGACACAACTTACCACGAGAAGTTGCTTTTCCTTAGGTCCTCGAGTGTAGAACATGGCCTTGTGTATCATTAGCGATCACAACTGCGAACCACCAGCCATCTTTTTACCTTCTCAAAGCGAGTTCCAGGGCCGTACATTGCTAAATGAGAGTTTAGCCTTCAGGAGAGTCCATTGCTTGGAGTGTAGGGTACCACTAACTTTTTATTGCGTTCGGGGTGCATATTGAGACCAGATTCGGCTCCACACGGACAACTTTGCCTGATCCCGGTCAACTGCCGTCCAACGCCCAGTTATTCATGGGAAAACAGCAAGTACCATATTTCTTGTGTAGCTTGTCGATGACTAGATGTCTGTCGCCCGTCCACACCCAATAAAGGCTGGGCAGGATGCTGATGCGCCATAGCAATGGACCCTTGTAGTGGGAAAGCGGATGGAAATAAAGGCGATAGATAGCCGACCAAATGCACTATTGGCAGAGTCAGAAATTCGCAAAACCATGGTACAAATGTGCATGTTTGGAAGTACTCACCCAGATCACGAATAGCCCAGAGATTATTGCTGCCACCACCGGAAGGCTTGCCTCATCTTTAGCCCTTTGTACCAGCTCCGCTGCCTGGCTGGTCAGCGTTCGGGCTATCGAAATCTCCTTTTCTGGCATTGTTTGCGCCCCCCTGTCTCTTCCTTGACAGTTCTTCGATGCAGGGAGGAGATCTACAGCCAAATGTACAGAAGAGATACCAGAGTCCTAAATGCTCTACAGCTGGACGCTGACACCTCTGGAGCATAAAATCCATGATGTCTTGATTGGTTGAGCATCGGTTGCCGATGGTGGTGCTCTCCGGCGGCTGAGGAATTATCGGTGTCCATATACGGTCCGAAGGTGAACAGAGTATAGAGGGTTATGGACTAGCAATGCGGGGGCGGAATGCTGTAGCCCTTACCCATCAACATTACCTAGGGATGGCCAGCGCTCAGGCCGAGTCCGGCCCACAAAGATTGTTCATAGCCCTAATCAAATAACTGCATGTGATAATTGTAGATTAGTAACCGTATACTTATTATTGGCAGGACCCATGAATTTGCAGAGCACACAGGAAGATACTGTACCTAGGTGTAATGGCCAACTTATCACAGGCCTCAGAGTACTAGATGCAATGTTCGGAAGCCTCAAACGATATGGAGCCGGTTGTTAATTGTTTGTTCCAGCCTGCCGGATTGGCAAACTCCATATATTGTTCAGATCGACGAGCCACGCCTTGATCCCGGTGTCCAGCAAGCCCGGGTGCCAGCTATGTCCCTGCGTCCACTGTCTGAATCCCTCTGTAACAGGGCAAGACACGTTTTCCAGTAGTCGAACACTGGGCTCAGTCTCTGGCCACCGGCCCACGGCCTTCCACAGAATATCCAGGATGATGCCCATAGTTCTGAGAAGTATACCTGGTTCAATGTCATCAACTTCGAAACCGCTCGGGGGTAAGTGTCGTTGTGTTGCCTCAAGCATAATATACAAGAGAAAGACGCCCAATTCGAACATGTGGTAAGCGGCGTGCCAGTAGTAGAGCAACATCCCGTTCTTGTCGTTAATAGAGTAGATGTGAACAACTTTCAGCGCAGACCTTATGCTCTGTTGTCGCATACCCAGGTGTGGGACGGGGTAACCTGGAGACGGTCTGTTCAAGCGAAAGATGAGGAAATGGTAGATGATGTCGTCAAACTGTATCGTCTTCGCCAGAACGTCGTCGACACTGCTATGCGTTGCGCTATGCCATGCTTCTAGCCGACTGATCAACCCTGCCTGCCAGTCTTGAAATGCTTGAAATGACATCTGGTTCGATCCAGGAGAGTACATCATGGTTAGAGCCTCCAGCTCAAGCATCCTTGCCGACCATACGTGTGGTGCGACGTATGAAGAATGGCTGAGAAACGAGTTAAGCATGCCGTTGGCCGATATATATGGGAGCTGCAATATACTTGAGCACTGATCTCTCACCACATAGGTTCCTTGTCAGGCGACCTACCTGTGTGGATACTTCGGTAACAGGCAAATTAAAAGGCCGGGCTGGAATGTAATGAACGTTGCTTCCGGTTCGGTTAGCGTCGCGATGGGCAACTTGGGGGAGCACTTGCCAATTCATTATGTAGGTAGACCAGAAAAGTATGCGCCTGTCGTCTCGTTGCTTTTGGCTAAGCAGCCCATCTCGGTCAGCAGCTACCTCATGTTGTAAGCCCATCTCAAGGGCCAGGCTCATGGCAGCACCGGAACACATGAAGGGGTCACAGGCATGAGGATGGAGAAATCCGTAATGAGCAAGCAGCAGCATCGCACGTAGAATCTCGTGGCCAGGTCCGTCCAAAATGAAGGGCAAATGGAGCTTTGCACCATTCCAGAACTCTCGACCCAGGGTTGTTGCCCGTTGTCCATCGAGCCGAGTAAGGGTCGTAGCCTGAGTAGCCGATTAGTCAGAACAGCTTATACTAGACCATGAAGACATACGCTAATAGCAAGAGCCATGCCTAAGCTGAAATGATCAAAATGAGACGCTGAAACTCCCGCAGATCCGGTTGTGGACATGACTCGTAACAAGGACTGATCAAGTTCGTCTTCATCCAGAAAAGGATATTGAGCGAGGTAGGTGTCCTTATAATTCTTCAACAACATCCTGACGACTTCCTCCGGGACCGATGTCAATGGTCTTCCTCTGTTCTCGGCTGGATCAATGTCGTCCAGATTCTTGGTGGTGCAACTGCTCGCCTGAATGCTCAAGAACGGTGCAGAAGACAACAAGAGCTCCTCGCAGAGACTGAAGTCGCGACAAGCGCCACTGGCACCAGAACGAGACTTGAACCACATGGCACCCGCTCTTGAGTCCAACTCCGCAGTAGCATACTCCAGTTCATCAAGAGCTTTCCCAATGCCGAAAGGGTCGCTCGCAGTGTGTGCAGAGCTGAGAGATTCGAGGCGTGATTCTAGCTGTTGAATACGGCTCTTCAATTCCGCCAGCACACTTCGAGGTGCGGCGCCGCCGACTGAAGCGTCATAGCCTGTGCACTCAACACCCGCTGAAGCACAGGCGCCACACTGTGGGAATTGTGCATCGCACTGCCTTGCGACTGAGTAAAGACAATGCCTTCACAATACAAAAACAAATGTAGGTACATGTACACACCTTTGCTTTTCGTCGACGGCACCTCGCGCAAGCCTTGCCGACACGCCGATTGGGTTGCATGCCTCCTTTGGAACTGGTTTGCAGGTTTTATCGCGTCATTTGGACAAGCAGCTCTTAGATCCTACCACTGTAGAGCGCACGAGTAACAAGTAGGAGAGATTCAGATATCAGATACCTTATCATCAGACTTGCTGTGGTTGGTTTCGCCGAGGGCCACATTTGGCGAAAACGAATACGGCACGTCATACAGCTCAAAACGTCGTTCTTGGCTACCTTACCCAACGTACCTAGGTATACGTACCTGGTACCTACAGGTACCTAGGTAGCTAGCTACCTAGGGATTCTCCCTTGTGCCACCAGATAAACCAGCACTTTCCACCCTTCGGCCCTGCTCGGTCCAATCTCATCCCTTCAGAAGCACGTTGCATCAAAATCAGTTATGAAACTGTGGAAAATATAGACTCGATATTCTGGAGCAAGATTGGGACTGCACCGCCCTAACACCAGCGCTCTCATGGCCACGACAACCTGCACGCAATGCAGGAATCGCAAGATCCGGGTGTGTTGTATTCGTACTCGCTGATGACGCTGCTGACATGGAAAAGTGCGATACAGCCCTTCCGGTATGTCGATCATGCAAAGCCAAAGGATTGGAATGCACTTTCTTCGATGTATCATGTGATGCCGAAATACCCAGACGGTAGGACTCGCCATGTTGTAGCTCTTGTTCATCACATATAGCTGACGCCCCTAGTGAGCTCGATGCATTGAGGCGGCGGGCTGCCGACCTGGAATCGGAGCTAGAAAGGAAGCTGGAAGTTACATCAGCTCGGGACCCGGGAGTTATCTTCCAAAATACGAACCTGGGTCAAGCACATTCACAGTATATTACTCACAGGCGTGGGTTGTCCCGCTCAACCGTCTCGTCAGAACTAATCTCATTCATGAGGGTGATAACACCACACTGGATGACCTTTTCATTCCAACCACCGAGGTTCGTCGCAAAAGCAAAGCTGCAGGAAGTGGCGGCCTCGACTTGGGCAACGGACACCTTGAGCAGCCGATTCCCCGAGAAAAAGACAAGCATTGCTTATGGCGAGAAAAAGCAGATCACTTTGCGGGCTCTCGTCAAACACTGGACAGAAGTCGTCCAGCCCGATTTTCCACTACTGACTGCTGAGCAGCTGGCGTGGCTGGAGAAGGTCGATGTTCGCAGCCCCGATCTGGAACAATCACCTAGACTCAGAAGTGTCATTGCAGCAGGAGTCTACTCGGTGTCCGCTGCCTTGGTTGCTCGAGACTTCAATCCCGATCTTGAGAAGCTGTCAAAGTCATATCTACATGACCTAGATAGTATGCAGATCCCAGGCTCTTCATCTGACGACCCTGAGCCGCTCCGAGCGGAGATTCTTGCACTTTTGTTCAAGGCATTGCACCAGTTTGCCAACCCAGGTGAACAGAATATCAACCTTCACGTCTTTATCACTCTGATTTGTCGGAGGTACACGCAATATTTTGGCGCCAAAAGTCATCCCGCTCGCTGCCAGAAAGATGTCGCCCAACTTGGGTTATGCTTGTACATCTTAGAAAGGTTCGGGACATGTGTGAAAAAGTAGAAGTTCAAACTGACTGTTTATCCAGCACTGTTTGTCTACAGCTTGGTTTGCCCTCGGCACTCGTATTGAGTCTACATGGGCTCCACGGAGTATGGCCTGAGGCCATTTTGCAAAAGCAGGTCCACGAAATTGAGTTTCGGACAGTCAATTGTTCAAACCAAGATTTACATGCATTGCTCAATGAAGCCAACATACATGCGAAGGACAGGGACCTACACCATGCCCACACAAGGAAGTGCTTGGCGCTGTACAGACTGGCTCTCAGGGAGGCTTCTTCTGCCCTCACTGCCAGCCCCTATGTTCCGCAATACTATGGTGAGGTGATCATCATGGCTATGGCTGCTCGAGAATTTCTGGAAGAAACGTCCCTGCGAAACGATCAATTCATGCTGTTCAGTATGCAGCTCGCCACTGAACACGTTCTTCAAGCGGCTGCTATTCTTAGCGCATATCTCATCATGTTGTCAACAACAACGACAACCACCAACATGAACCAACAACCACCTGGCCTTAGCCGAACAGACGCCATGCTTTGCTTGACGCAGGTATCTGCATTGCTCGCATCGTTCAAGCTTCGCTGGAAGTCGTCTTCGGTCTATGTGCGACTTTGGGATGCCCTTTGCGAGCTCATATTGTCCATGACAACGCGTTGAGCGCAGTGAGCAGTTCAATGACACCATCTCTAGAACCGCCCCGAGTTAGGATTCTGGTAACTGCTCAGACCAAATGCACCGTTTTGGACATCTGGTCCGATGTTTGGAAATTCGAGAGGATCGACTCATGCGGAAAGCGCTCCTTCATGGTGATTGAATATGATTTGACCATGACTGTCTGACCGGTGGTGTCTTCGTTGAGGTCGACGTAATGTGTCACGGGCGGAGACGTCGGCGAGGCAGTGAACTCGAAATGCAGGATCAGACGCAAGAATAAGGCGTACAAAATCCTGTTTGACAAGGCAACTGCCGTGCACATCCTGGAACCGGCGCCGAAGCTGTAATGATATGGGGCGCCCACCTTGAACTCGACATTTTCCTCGAGCCATCGTTCAGGGCGGAACTCCTCCGCATCAGGACCATAAGCAGTCTCGTCATGATTGATGGCCTGAGCATTTTGATAAACTGCCACTTTGGTGGGGATTCTGACACCATTCCATTCGAACTCCTTGCATGTCTGGCGCGGCGGAAGCAGTTGGATTGCAGCATAATATCGCAACATCTCACGGGCGAGCGCCACGATGTACGGAACGCGCTCCTCTTGCAGACAATCTGACCATGCTTCTTCGGGCGAGGAATATACCTCCATAATAGCCTTGAAAGCTTTGGCCTGTATGTGTTGTCCCTGCGGGGAGGAGAGGTAGCCGAGGCCTGCCAGCCCGGTGGTGGAGAGTGTTTCAAATCCACCAGAAACCAGTGATACATTGACCGACCGAATCTCGGCTGTTGGAGAGTTAGGGCGCATTCTTCACAAGTGGCGTAAGTTCAAGGACGACTTACTATCTGTCAATCTGCCTTTCTCGTTTAGAAGGCCACTCGAGATACAATCCACCGGTTTTCCCTCCTCCAAAGCCTTCGCCACCTTGTCCAGCAACTGCTTGAAGATCTCATCTCGCTTGACTCTATTGGCAATCGCAAGCTTGGTTCTGTCATTCTGAGGTAAGTAGCGATAGAATGGGACGTAGTCTTGAAGGTTGTTGTTCGTGGAGCGAAATCTATGCCACTGTCAGCTTGTGCAATAAGCCAATCGAAAGCAGCAGATCAACTTACGTTGAGACCGATAAAGCAATATCGAGCAGCTCGTGCAACATGGGATCCTCTAATCGCTCGAACCGTGTTGCGAAGCACATCATCAACGTCAGGTTGAGGGCCATCCTTTGAAAGTGAAGGCGAGGGTTGACCTCCATACTCCTACGTTCACCAGTCTCGGGGACAGTACGGAAACCGTTTGACACCAAATCCTTGATGAGAGCCGTGATCTCAAGATCGAGCATGCTTGCGCTTTTCAGGATAGCAGGCCGCGTCATGATGGAACCAACGACGGTTCGACGTCGCTTGCATGACTCATCCCAGGGTGACGTCCCGATCGTACCACCTGGGAGGCTTTAGCACGGTCCCGTCACAATCAGAAACAGCAGTCTCACCTTGGGTTTTGCTTAGAATGGAATGGAAGGTGTAAAAGAGTGGCCGGTCAATCGTGGCGCTGGCATTCTTCACAATGAAATCTTGTGCCGCTTCAAATGTGTTCAGAACGATGATTCTCCGATTGCCCAATTTTGCCTGAAATACAGGCCAGTTATTCTCTCTGGACCATTGCTGGAATTTTGAAGCATGGTCGCTGCCGAGGGCTTTCAGGTGGCCATAGAACGGAACAGCCCCGGCAGGCTCTGGGATGCCCGATATTTTTGCAACGTCAGTTCCAAAAGCCTGTTGATAAAGCCAGCGGCTGACAAGAAAAGACAAGATCAAGACCCCAAAGATGACAACAAAGTGGTGGTAGGCTTCCTGTCCCGCCTCTGTCGGCAAGCCCTTCGTGGATGCCATGGCTCAAGAAGAACGGAGTATTGTGACCAGAGAGACGAGACGCACGCATAGGTACCAACACTTATTTGAAAAAGAGGACTTCTCCAGATTTTATCAGCAAAGACGAGATACGGAACCTCGGTGGTCGCGCACTTTCACCCACAATTAGCATCGGAAATATGCACCCATGATTGACCAGATGAACCTCTGTCACCGAGTGCACAGATTAACCGACCTGCGGACTCCTTCAAGGGGCCGCAACACTGTGCCATATCCGTCAATAGAATGGTTACATATTCGTCCACCTTTGCAACCGTTGAAGGACGGGTTCCCGCAGTGAGGTTGGTGGGGATTCGGAATCCACCGAGCCGCCGTCAACCAGTTTCGGTGTTCTCCGGAAAACTCGATAGTGGCGGTTCCCATGCAACGATAGCAGACGGAGGCAAGCGACATCTTTCGTGGGGAAAAGGCTTACTGAACGCCAAATGCCCGCTCTCGGTCCCAAGGGCGAGTAGATACCAAGTGTGGCATCATCTGCGACTTTGCAGGAAGTGGTAAATAACGGCTCCAATTTCCATGGACATAGTCTGTTGTGTTACCTCAGGTCGCAGAAATTCAGCATGGCGGAATTCAAGGCAGCTTCTATGTTTGCCGTTGATGGTTGGAATGTGGTCATAACTGGAGGTGGTTCGTGATTCAATCCCTCCATACCTTCCTGATTAAAACATACTGACGCCCAAGATATACAGGAAGTGGCCTGGGCAGAATTATCGGCAAGGCTTTCTTGGCCAATGGAGCAGAGTCCGTCACTCTCATCGACATCCTACCTGGCCGCCTGGAGGATGCAAAGAACGAATATGCTACAATAAGGCAGCAGCTGGATCTCAAGGGAGATGTGTACATGTAAGTATTACCTGACTGCTTGCGTATACTGGGAAGTTGTCTGATGATAGTGATAGTGTTCAAGGGGATGTCGGCAGCAAGCATGGCATTGATGAAGTCGTCACCAAAGTAAAAAGTCTTGGGAAGGGAGTCGATACCCTAATTACTGCCGCGGGTATACGAAGGCTCAACAAGAAGTCCTTTACTCCTGGACAGGGTCTTGCTGCACTGGTCGAGAGCACCAATTCGCTGGACTGGCAGGACTTGGACGACTCGTTCCACATCAACGTGTTCTCTCAATACTATCTGACTGCGGGACTTCTGGATCTCTTAGGTGCCAGTGCTGCGAAGCATCCTGGTAGAGGTTCGGTGATTTGTTTCTCCAGTGTGGCAAGCAAGCACACAGCTCAGTTCCTCCCGGCCTATCAAGCTTCGAAAGCTGCCGTAGATCACTTGGCCAAGATCATGGCTGCTGAATTTGCAGATCTGTACAGTAAGTACCACTGCCCTTGGGATGCATTCCTAAATTGTTCAATCCACAACAACTAATGCGTGCTTATTGTTATAGTACGGGTGAATGCCATATCCCCAGGTCTATTCGCAAGCAACATGAATCCGATGGACCCTAGCCATCCAGACTCGAACATGAAATTCGCAAAGGAGATGCCTGCACGTCGACCAGGAACCGAACAGGAGCTCGCCTCTGCCGCCCTGTATCTGGCCAGCCCCGCCGGCTTTTATGTGGACGGACATAACCTGCGTGTTGACGGAGGGAGGCTCCTAGTGGCGGCTGGCAAGATAGAAGTTCGAGATTAATAGCCTTGCCACTTGCTGTATAGGTACATTGGGACATAGTAGCCAGAGGTTGCTGAGCCTGCACGGTGGACATGTTTGACAACAATGTCACAAGACGGCTTTAGTTAACAATGAAAACACTCTGCAGAGTGAATTTAATGGCTTTTCTAAAAGCCTAATAAATGAAACACAGAACGGAGCCCATAAGAGTCTGAGTTGATACGAGGGCAATGCCTTGCTCCAACTGAATGTGGGTCCCACTGGCATTTCACTGTCAATCCTCGAAGACAACTTGCTTCCCGTCTCTCTTGTAGACTGTTGCATCTTTCATCACAAAGTTGACCTTGCGGAAGGCTCCCTTGTCGGCTCTTGGATCTGTCTCGAGGGCAACTATATCTGCCCTGTTGCCTGGATCAAACCAGCCGAATCTCAATCCACATAAGTCACCTCCACACGCATCCCAACCCCCCACAGTAGCGGCCTCAATGACATCCTCGACCGGTACTCCCGCCTCCATCATTAGCTCCAGCTCCCTTGCATTTTGGCCATGAGGAACTGGTCCCGTATCCCCGCCACATGCCAAACGCACGCCTTTCTTATGTGCCAAAGCAACCTGAGCTTTAATCTCATCCAAGCGTTTTGGGTGAAGCTCTTCACAAACAGACAGAGTTGGGACGAAGACCACGTTGTTTTTGATCATCTCATCGAAGACTTCCTCATTTGCATAATAGGCATGCTCTATGGTGTGAACACCCGCTTTGATCGCACAGAGAGTGCCAGTTATAGTGCCACAATGAGCCGCAACTGGACACTCGGCCAGTTTAGCCTCTTGCACGATTGCGTCCATTTCCTCTTGGTTGAAAACCAACACGTCAGGGTTTGGGTTTGCTGGCGGGAATCGGACGCTGTGGATATAAGGATGCTGTTGTGCAGGAGGATATCTCATGATGCGCCGACGATAGTCCGCGAAAAACTTGATAATATCGGCTCCTGCTGCTATGCGACGTCGAATAGCTCGACGAATGTCGTCGACACCGTCCACCGCATCAGCTCCAGCAGGAAGGCAGACGTGGCCCTCGCCGCCATTCTCGGTACGAGGTTCATACGATCCCGTACTTGCGATTACCTTTGTTGCCACGAATAATCTGGGCCCAGGCATCAGACCTCGTGCTATGGCGTCTCTAACGTTGGCGTCGGCGTTTTCCATCGACTCAGACCCAAGATCACTGTTTCAGGACACAAGCTTCCAGTCAGCATGATCACTCGAAGTCATTGGCTGGGAACATTCCATCGGGGCGTTGCTGCTTACCGATATGTGGTGAATCCTGCCAGAAGAGCTTTTCGACAATGGTTCACAGATCGGATGATCCTCTCAGCAGGGCTTTCGTCACGCTTCTGGTTCAAGCTCGGCCGTTCCCTACAATAACGCAGCCGTTTCAGCCATCTGATGTTCACAATATTTCTTCGAAATTGGCGACCTACTGGTATGCATGGAGGAAAATATGCGTATGAGCATCGACCATTCCAGGAATCACGGTTTTGCCTCTGAGATCGATGTCGGTGCTCTTGATCTCGCCGTCATTTTTCCTCGTCCATAGCTTGACGATGTTGCCGTTTGTTTGATCGACAGTCAGGGAGACACCTTCCAGGAAACTTTTCTGCTTGGGATCAAACAATATAGATGTATGTAAGGTAACTTGGGACATGATTACTATAGCCGCCTGGGTCTTCCTTGTTCTCCCGATATCCAAAAAGCAGTTCAAATTTTTGACAGGACGAGCAAAAGGAGGAAGATGTGTAGTTGACCAGGCGAAGGCAAAAAAGGTATGGAAGGTTGATGATGGCTGCTATCGGAGAACGCCTAGTCTGATACATTGCTGGGTTTCCAACGCCTAGTAGGCTGATACACTGCTTACTAGGTAGGATCTCGGTTATCATGACAGGTCGACAGAAAGGGCTCGGCTGGACCATACTAGTATCGCGCAATCAGGGGAGTGGAGTATCTGAAGTTGATCTGGCAGCGATGGTTGGGACTGTCGGAGATCACGTTGCCTTATCTTCACCACGCCTGTCACTAATAGCACACATTCACCTCCGCATTTCCTCCACGTTTCGGAGCATGCACCGATCATTGAAGGTGTTGTTTCGCTGTAATCCGACAGCATGAGATCCACGCACAAAAAGCCTGACACAACACGTTCAATGTGGCGCGCTGCCACAAACTTCCCCAGATCTTGTTATCAGAAGTCACAGGGCCAAGCGGCAGCTATCAATGTCGCTCCCCTCATCATTCCATGTACGGCTGGAGCTCGGAGCTCTAGATTCCTGGTATCGATGTATATAATCTTCGCCTAAGCAGACGAGTTGGCAGGGAGCTCAAGGGTAGCCTACCACCACACCTTCCCCGTGCCAGAATCTGCCCGCTACCGACCTGGGATTGTTCATGATGTCGAACGAGAAGATGTGTGGCGGTGACACAGTTATGCCCATAAAGCCAGAAGATGAAGTGAACACCTCCAGCCCTCTTGGAAAGCATGAGAGCATTGAGGATGGTGTTGTGAAGGCCATTGATAAAGATGCAGATGCAGCACTGCAATTTCTCAGCCAGGGCACCATTCATATCGACGAGGAGACTGACAAACGTATTCGACGCACCATTGACTGGCATATCATGCCATGGATGTTTGGCATTTATATGCTTCAGTATCTGGACAAGACCTCTCTGACATACGCTGCTGTTATGGGCATCAGGCCAGATCTGAACATCAACAGCGTTCAGTATCCATGGTAAGCTGCAACCGCTGTCGCACAGTCAAATATCTAGTGATTCTGCTTTACCATGTTGCTAACCCCTTCCCCATTCCAGGACTGGTTCGATCTTCTACTTCGGCTACCTCGCCTTTGAGTATCCTCACAATCGCCTTATGCAAAGGCTGCCGTTGATGAAATATGTGTCTTGCACAGTCATTATCTGGGGAATAGTTCTCTGTTGCCATGCGGGAACCACAAATTTTGCCACTCTGATGGTGGCTCGTTTCTTTCTGGGAGCTTTGGAAGGCTCCGTAACTGCAGGTTTTGTTCTCTACACTGCACGCTTCTACCGGTCGGATGAGCAGATCACCCGAACGTCCTTCTGGTTCTGTGGCAACGGATTTGCCTCGATTATTGGCGGCGCAATCGCCTATGGTATTGCAAAAGGGTTCGCCGAAAACCCCGCCCTCACATTCGCGCCCTGGAAGGTCATTTTCATCATCACCGGCATTCTCACCACCATGTTTGGCATTGGCATGCTCTTCTACCTCCCAGACTCGCCCATAAATGCCAAGTGGCTCAATGATGCTGACCGGCACCTGGCTGTGGAGCGCTTGCGCTCAAATCAGCAAGGCATTGGAACCAAAGCCTTCAAGTGGTACCAGTTCCGGGAGGCTCTCACGGATGTTCGGGTAAGTTTCTCCCATGTGCTCGTCGCTCTACTCTTTTCAGGTCAGGTTCAAGACTGAATTTTGTCTAGGCATGGCTTTACGCCCTCGTCGCATGTACAACAATGCTTCCGGCTGGCGGCTTCACAGTCTTCTTCACCCTGCTGATTCAAGGCTACGGCTTTGATTCACGTACCACACTACTCTTGTCGATGCCAGCAGGATTCTTCCAGATCCTCTCCAACGTCGGTCTTCCGTGGATCGGGTACAAAACCAAGAACAGAACACTGGCCGCCTGCTGTGGCATGCTTGGCTGTCTCTTTGCCATTTCGCTGATGGCTGGTCTTGCAACTGGCGGGCCAACCAACCACCGTGTTGGCCAGCTCGTGGGCTACTACATGTGGCTGGGCAATTCGGCAACCGCATTGATCATCATCTTGAGCTGTATTTCGACCAATGTTGCTGGCTATACGAAGAAGACTACAGTCAATGCAATGGTCCTGATTGCATATTGTGTCGGCTTCCTGATCGGACCCCAGACGTTCCGTGACGGCCCTTACTACCCTGACGGCAAATATACGACGATCGCCTTGAACATATTTGCCCTTGGATGCTTGATTTTTCTTTACTTCCTGAACCGATGGGAGAACGCCAAGCGCGATGCCCTCCAACTTCCACCTCAGCCCGAAGAGCAAGCCTTCATGGATCTCACTGACAGGGAGAATAAGTACTTCCGCTATGCATTGTGAAAGGCGAACCTTCATTTACGATTATGTTGTGAGTGCGAGAAGCCTCTGTGTGGCACGGTGCTTTCAATTTCTCTTGGTGGAAGACCTGTGTCTGTCTCGCAATGTGAGATCCAGCAATACTGCCGAGTTGACATCCTCTGTGAATGCTCCACTCGGATTGTTTATGCCAAGTTTGCTAGGTTATTTGGGTCACTCTCCAGGCAGGGCTTCCGAATATTTCTTACTAGGCTCAGGAGACTTGCTTCCTGAGGGACGTAGGAGCTTGATATATCCTTTGCCCTACGAAAGCCTCAAGCAGGTAGTTGGTTCTTGTTTATCCGAAGCGAATGATGCTCAGTATCTAGTCTGTCGATATGGTCCGTATCGGAGGAAGAAGGCTGGGTTTGCCAAAAGATACCTCCAATATTCCTTTGCTCAGATCCATAATCACCGTTGCTAAAGTCTCCATCCTTTCGATACCTTTGGCGCCGGTCGGCATGGAACGGCAGATGGAAACCGGCGTACCTTGTTCGTCTGACATCCAGGCACGAATCTTACTAATATCCGCTTCTTGACCGTAGCTCAACTCCCGGATTCTTTCAAGTCTGGAAAACGAATTCTTAGCTGGATGGTCCAATATATCGGTTGGTGTTGCAGGCGACCACAAATGGTTGGTGTGGAACGTCGTGGTGCTTCCTGGAGTTGGCAGGATTGGAGCGAGGCCCTTGGGTGTGCATTCAATTGTTGCAAACTTGCCTCGGCGGTCTGCAATGACTAGGTTAACGCATGATGCCACTCCTTTTTGCTCCAGCATGGCAAACGCCTCGTCAAATGAGCTGCACTGTAAAACACGTCTCATGGCAAGATGCACCGGCAACGCATCCCTGTTGATTGTTCCACATCGGATTGCGATCATGCACACACCCAGGCTGGCGGCATTAAAACCGAACTTCGCCAGGATCCCCGCCTCGCCCATCATTCGAACGCGTGGTTTGCCGGTTTGCTGAATATCGAAGAAGGCTGTGGATGTACGTGCTTCGCCGACCCAGTCCCAGTTCTGAGCTAGAAAAACCTCGCCACTGGTGGGATTCTGGGTAACTATTGAGGTACATCCGTCGGAGTAATTCGTCAACGATATCTCGCTGCGCAGATTGAGTGCCAGGATATCAAAGGAATCAACTCCAGCCCCTTGAGCAATACCGCGCATTTCCTCTACCAAGTCGGGCTCGTTCCGCTCAAGAGATGGGAGATGTGTCGCTGCTCGTTTTCTCGACTCCTCCCAATCACACTCGGCAGTTTCTCGAAAGAGTCGCTCATAGTTTGAAATGCAAGTTCTGATCCGACTGGGAATCAGACTACCATGTGCAACGCCAATGTCCCATGGTGAACCACTTGCAACTACCTCGGGCACTCCTTGCCAGACCCTCTGAGTATCTCGTGCTGGTGCGGAATTAACCATGTTTCTGTGCTCGTGTTGAGGACTTTGGATCCTTCGTCCTTTCGATGTGATGTCTGAGGAAGATTCAAGACAGAGCTTGTTGTCTTCCATTGCCCGTATGCGAAGCGACAAATCCCCGTCTTGCCGGCAATCTTGCATCATGTAAACACTGTCGCGCCACCAGAGACGCCGCAGTCCCTACCGGCTTTGGCAGAGATTGTGACTGCCGCGAACGGGATTGTCCGATCCTTCGGCCTTCATATGGCCAAGTCATTCCAGACTTTCATTTCTTCTGATAATTCTTTGGGACGTGCTCCAAGCCAAGACCTCGGTGTAGCGGATGGAGAGAGTGAGCAGCTGCTAGGAGACACGGGACTAACATCCCCATTCCTTTCAAGATAAAGGTTGGTTCTTGAGCGATCCCTTCTTAACCTACTTCGGCTGGTGCCGTCCACGCCTTTGAAGGGAGAAAGAGACAGGCACAGCTAAGAATGGCCATGGCCTACCTTCGTGGCGATAACTTGCTGCCTTCCACCACAGATCTCTGGCGGCGTCCTCAGTGCCAACACGTGGTATAATCATTGCCGTTAACCTGTCTTAGCTTCAGGCTGCTGTCAGTGTTATGGGGTGGCGGCATCCTAGATTGTTGAACAGCACTGGTGCGTCTTTGTCTACCTAGTAGTCGTAGGTCGGTGTTTGTTTGTAGTGAAAGTCTTGCTGACAGGGTCCGAAGTATGCACCGCCCGCCAACACCCCCCACCTCCCACTCAACCCCAGTCATTGGCTTCTCGGCTGGCCAGCCGGTTCATGGTCGGAGCCTCCCGCAACCCGGCATCTTTGCCTCGGACGCTTTTCCCACTCGCAACTTTTACACCATTCACATATGTTCACGCATTCCTGGGAATACTCCACATCGCCTAACTACAGTAATCGTACGTACTCCGTAGGGAAAGTCCTTGACTCCAATATGTCTGACTCGCCGCAGTTGGAGATCTGGAGGTGGCCATTATAGGTTGTGGTAAGTCCAATTCGACTTCCATGCTGCTTTCAGAGTGGCTGACCTCGACGGTGGTAGGATTCATAGGGAGAGCGCTCCTCTCCGGCCTTCTCAAAGCCACGGAGAATGCTCCTTCTCAGCTAACATTCGCCGTAACGGCTTAGTCTGAGGCCTCTCTGCACAGGATGCAAGAAGATATCCGCGGCAAAGAACATGGGCTCAGCTCGCTTTCGACTGACAATGTTGAAGCCGCAAGAGCATCCAATGTGGTGGTCCTGGCGGTGCAACCTGAACAGTGCCGCAGTTGCTGGGTGACGCAGACTTCTCCCGAGCTCTGGAAGGGAAGTTGATCATATTTAAGGTGGCGGGTGTTGGCATCAGTGAGATCGTTGAGATCCTGTCCCGCACGACGCACACAGAACAACGACATCACATAGCGCGAGTTATTCCCAGCATTGGTGCTCAGATTGGGGAGTCTATGTCTTTGCTCGCCGCCGCTACTCTCTCCACGGACGACCAGAACCTCGTCTCCTGGCTTTTCAAATTGGTTGGACGAACACTACAAGTCCCCGAGAGCTTGCTTGCCACAGCAACTGCTGTCAGTGCGGCCTGCCATGCTCTTACCGTGGTAGCCGCTGGTGCTTTGGTCGACGGAAGCGTGGCAGAATGATCGCCTCGCACGACCGCATACGATATCGTCACTCAATGCTTGCGAAGCTCTTTTACCATGTTGCAGGGTCATATGACGATCGAATCATTGAAAGAGTCCATGTCAATTGCGGAGGGAATCACCACCAATGCCAGTCTAGGCCTTAACCGAGGGAAGGTCAGATCAGGTATCTCTGCTACTGTTCAGGCTGCAGTGCAACATGCAAAAGCGATGGGTTCCGAGAAGAACGACTGAGGTGCTATCGGTCACAGTCCGATAACGCATTCAAAGAACAGGGACTCTATGTTGTGAAAGTAAATTCAAGTAATATCATGAGCCACTGCCCTGCCGTCTTACTGAACCCATGCTTCTATGCCACAATTCTGCAACGATGGGCAAGAGACCCTCCTTCAACCTCCCAGTCGCTCCCATATTCTCTTCGGCACGACGAACCAGATATCGCATGCATTCCCGCAGGCTTCCCCAAGTAAGACACTTGTACACCAAGGGCACGAAGGTTCCATGAACCCCGGAAGAGCCTTCGGTGTTGGCTTCGATGGTCGACTTAGCTGCGTCAGCACTGTGGATAATCTCAAAACCAATGTCGTCAGCCATTCCTTGTAGCTGGCCAAACTCGGGTGCCACCTTCAATTGCCCGGTATCCGACAGCCTCTTGGCAAGGTTTGCTGTCTGCCGCACAGTTTCCGTGTTGTGAGTGGCCAGGAACAGCTTCAAGGGCGGAAATTCGTCTTGAGGGATTCCATCCACAGTTCCCAACAGCAAGTCTCGCACAATGCCGTTGTATAGGACTCATCGGTATCAGCCTTGGTGTCGTGGATCAAACTCCTTTCCTCGATAGCCATGTATGCACCCCGGACCAACTTGACCGCCAGTGTCCACCCATCCTGCTGCGACAATCGAAGTTGATGTTCGAGCTCAGCCCTGGATGCCTTGCGATATGCCTGCAGCGTATTGTAGACGAGCGCTCTGCCACAAGTATTGTACCTCCTCATGAGGTCGATGGTCCATTTGTCAATGGTGCTTTGTACAGCTTGTTGTTCCGAGTCTATCCAGACTCGAGAGCCCTGGGCGGCTGCTTGCCTGCAGATTGCATCCATAGCCTGCCTGAACAAAGGTGGTGGGTCAGAGCCTTCCAGCAAGCACCGAATCACCCCAGTGCCTGCTCCAGTGAGCCTGCAACTTGATTAGCCTTTGGCTCCAGGGATACCGAAAGAGATATGTTGCTTACCTGATGCCCAGAAAATTGCTTGATTCAATCATACCCAGCGTCCTCAGGGTACCATCTCTCCATTCTAAGATCTGCTGATCAGGATTAGCTTCACTTGCTGGGCCCAGCACATTTTTCTCCTTTCCTGCTTGAGCTTCTCGTCCATAGCAGAGAATGATCCCAGCGAAGCCAATGTTTTTCATAGAAGCCGCTTTCTACCTCGCCTCCTGTTCGTCTATGCCTGCACAGAAGTGATCATATATAAAAGGCTTGACGATGCTTCGGATTAATATGTTCTTATCAGGATCCAGGAGGGCGGACTTGGAAATAGCGATCATTCGCAACGCCGCTAATCCCGGTCTCGTTATTGATGCTAACGACAGGAATACACCCAATACCAAGCTCCTGATCAGGCTAATGGCCGGTAGCCGGCTGAGCGGGAATGATGTACTCGATGTCAGGGCCGAGGCATCCTTGGACGGAGCGTCGTGTGCAGGTTGAAAAGAGAGGCGGTTGGCAGAGCTGTTTTGCTGTCGCACAAGGGCCTGAAACAGTGGATCACAGCGCTTGGTGACCCGTGGTCGTAATCTCACCACGTTCAAGGACACAGACATTGAGAGCGAGATATTGCAGTCTTTGTTGTGACTGTCGAAGAGATTGGAACGATGACAAAATACATTCAATTGTTACAGCCGGTCGCACTCTGCCTGTTAGCGTTGACTCCCTCAGAGTAGCATGGTCACTATAGTTGTTGACCAGAGGAGAGGGTATCTGTTCAACCTTCAGCCTACCGTGGGAAGGGTGGTTCCCTCAGGATCGCGGGCTTTCCAAGGGCAGGTTCCATGATATGGTTCGCACAACACCCACCATGATAACGGCTCCGGCCATTGCAGGTATGACCGAGGTGTCATTGCATTGATAGGGAACGATTGTTGCTGAAAGCGGTGTCGGATGAATGCCGAGCGGTTTTCAGCTTGTAGGTCACAAGTTTCCATCACTCCCGGGGAAATTGGTGTATTCGGTACAGGCTTGTGAGTCGTGTTATCTGAAATCCTCTTCCCTGGCTAGGCTGGGTCAATCCCGTCGTCGCCGGGATGGTAGGTTTAGCCGACCTTCCACCCATCTTGGGGTCCAGGCTTTGGCGCACTCATGATCCTAGCCAGACGCCCGCTCCAACGACATCGACCACAGTCCAGCTCATGACGATATCGAATGGACTCATCCCGCTGGCACTGGCTGATAAGAGCTGCCACTTCGGAGCCAACGAATTTCGAGGATATCTGGTAGCTTAATGGTCAGAGAGCAGATCTTTGGCACCAAAAGATGAGGTAAATCAATTGATGGTCGATTCAGAACTACCTGGGTCCTGAGAGAAACCACTCTGTCATTATGCCACTGTGCATGTCCATGTACGCCATCGCTATGGATTTTCAACCCACCGAGTTTCTCGTTGTAGCCCACCATAGCCCGGTGCAAGCTATTTGATATATCTTGAACTGCGCCTAATAATATTTCTCGGCCAGACTCATAACAACATTCATAAAAACCTTTTAGTCTTTAAGACTTGGTCGACCGTAGGAGCCTGCGGTTAGAGAGGATGAGGTCGAGAGGTAAAGGCGGTGTCGCTGTGAAGTGCCCGTGCTCTTGTCCGGAAGGTGTGGGCGCGAGGGATTCTGCCTCGATCGAGGCGGGAAGCAAGACGTCTTCTTCGGGGATTGCCAACGACCAACGTCCGAGATCTGGGCTTCTTTCTCGAACCCGATCCAGAAACGCGTCTTTTCAAGTTATGTCCGCTTGGTGCAGGGTACACGAACCGAACTGGCAAGGCAAAAGGTCTGTCCCTGCCTCCCGAGCGTAACCTTGAAGATTTCATCCCAATCGAGGATCAACGGAAGTTGCGACAGTTGCTGAGGGAGATATTTCCGTGGATGGCTGATCGGCCATTTGTCGACAAGAAGCTGTGTTGGTTTGCCGACACCAGAGATTCCGATTTTTGCATCGATTTCCTGCCCCAGACGGATAGATCGGTGATAGTGCTTTCTGGAGACTCATGCCACGGATTCAAAATGATGCCCGTCTTTGGAAAGTGGGTCGTGGACTTGCTGGAGGCTGGCAAGCAGCAAGAGCCACGGTGGCAGTGGAGGAACGTGGAACCAGGCCAGGAAGACTCATTGGATGATTCTGTCAGTTGGCGTATTGGCAAGTCCAGAGAGCTGAGTGATCTTGCTCGTAAAAAGGCACGGTTGGAGCAGGCGAGGCTGTGAAGCGCCGACAGTGGCTAGATACTCTACAGGACTTCAATAGAACACGGTGGCTGATGGCTAATAAACATAGTGTCGGCTGTAAGACGAGCAGTCAGAAGAGTATTCGTCGTCACAAGATCCTGCTCCGCCCAGCTCATGAATTTATGCAGGTACGCCTGAAGTTGTGTGCACCAGACTACCTAGGTAGGTTCATAGCAAGACCGATGGCATGCTGGCCGGGCAAACACCAACTCAGCACGTCATTCCACTAGAAGTCGCTCAGGGAAACTCCCAGACCCCGATTTTTCGCAGATGCAAGAAGAGCGTTACCGGCTGCCAGGTCGGTCAAGCTCACACCAATGCTCTTGTACACCACCAGACCCTCGGCAAGGTGTCGTTTTACCTTTTCTGAGAACATATCACGGTTAGTTGAACTGAGGTTCAACAGTTCTCCCAGTTCCTCCAGTTGCTCGGCTTTAAGCTTGCTTCGTATAACCTCGCCGGAGGCCGTGGATGCGCCTTCACGGTCGTCAACGATCACTGCACCTCCTGTAGACCCAGGCTCTAACCCTCGAGAGGCGGCCTCGACAAGTAACTCAGGGTCAAGTTCGGCCATATCAGCCTGCCAGGATCCGACCCCTGAAATATAGCAACCTTTCTTCTTAGGCGGACGGTTGGTGGTCACGTAGCTTGCTGGAAAGAGGGGATTTCTAGAAGGAGTTGTGCAGAAAATGGCGTCGGCTTCTACCAAAGCAGTTCTCAGAGCATTGTCGTAGTTAGATTGCCCGTGGTCCAAAGTCCTGAATTCAACAGCAGACGGCCACTTCGAGTTGCCCTCATCATGCAGCTGAGACAGTAGCAATCGAGATCTTTCCGGAGAACGATTGACGATGGTGATGCCTTTGATTTCTTCTCCACGTAGCACCAGCGCCAATCGGACGTGCCATAATGCTTGTTTTCCTGCGCCAAACACCACCAGCTTCTCGGTGTGGAAGCGCCAAAGGTATGGGATCATTACACTGAGCGACGTACGGTACCCAGTGATTTCATCGGCGTTAACAAGGCCAGTTGGCCGTCCAATCTGATCGCATAGTACTAGGACTCCATGCAATGTTGGTTTTGCGGATTCAGAGTCCGAGCCTTGTTTGCGAGACGAGCATTCTGCCAATACTGTGGGGTCGACGACAATCTTGATGCCGGGCCCCTCCTGAGAGGTAAAAGGTCTGAATAGAATCTTTCGGCCTTCGCGCTCAACAACCGCTGGTTCGGGTTGGTATTTTCTCTCGTGGGCAGTGGAAAAGAGTTGCAATGCCTTTGCGAGCTCGTTTCTAAATGCAATCGTTTCCTCCTTTGTCAGAGTCGTCAGAATACGACGGACAGTCTTGTCGTCCAGAGCTATGCAAGTGGTCATCTCTGCAATGGGCACTGGCAGCCTGGAAGGAACAGCACAACAATAGAAACTTCCTTGGTGGCACATCCTGCCTGAAACCAATGTGTACAGACTTTCTGCCGTTATTTGCTTTAGGGGTTAACGCCCGCGCAGGAGGTCGTCGGGAGCGGATCCCGAGTCGGTTGCAGCTGCCGAACACAGCAAGCCGGGGGCGGTGGAGTTGAACACTGCGTATTGTCGATCGTGCCGACTTCTTCCTTTTATAATGGCGAATACCAAGGAAGAGATACGCACCCAACCAGTCCCGCCTTTTGTGAAAGTGTTTCAGCTTCAACCACCCTCCCGATACAGCCGCCTCCAACAAAATGCCGGGGACAAGAAGTTTCAACGTGGTTGGCGTCCATGCAGCAGGCGAGGTCTGCGATGTTGTTGTCGGAGGAGTCCTCGACGTGCCAGGCCGAACAATGTACGACAAGATGATGCACCTCTGGAAAAGAGCAGACGGGCTCCGTTTACTTTTACTGAATGAGCCTCGAGGCAGCGCAGCCATGTGCACGAATCTTGTACTTCCTCCTTGCAACCCCAGCGCCGACGCGGGCTTCATTATCATGGAGCATGAAGAATATCCGCCCATGTCGGGAGCCAATACTGTGGCAACTGCGACTGTGCTGCTAGAAACCGGAATGGTCCCCATGAGAGAGCCTTTGACTCACTTGACCCTGGACACTCCAGCAGGCTTAGTGACTGTGGATGCAGAATGTGAAAATGGCAAATGCATATCGGCTGCGTTCAATAACGTCCCGGCATTTGTGTTCGCGCTGGACGTCGACGTGCCCGTCCCTGGACTTGGTACAGTTCGAGTGGACATAGCATGGGGTGGAATGATATATGCGCTCGTCGATGCATCAAGCGTCGGACTCAAGATTGAAAGTGCCAATGGGAGGCAATTGGTGGAAGTCGGCGAGCGCATCAAGCAGGCGGTCCAGGAGCATACCAATCCAGTCCATCCAGATGACCCTAGAATCCAGGGAGTCAGCATTCTGGAGTTCACAGAACCTTACAAGCAAGAGCACCCTTATAAAGCCGCAGTCAACACGGTCGTTGTCTCGCCGGGTCGACTTGACCGCAGTCCTTGCGGCACCGGGACTTGCGCTCGACTGGCCGTCCTTCATGCTCGAGGCTTACTTGGCGTGGACGAGCCGTTTCACCATCTCAGCATCATCGGGACCGAATTCCAAGCTCACATTCGAGGCACCACCAGAGTTGGGGAATTTCCCGCGATATTACCCACCGTCAAAGGCCGCGCCTGGATCACTGCTTATAAGCAGGTTGTCCTGGATCCGACGGATCCTTTCCCAGAAGGCTTCAGAGTAGGCGACCTATGGCAGATGTAGCATTAACATTGCAAATCGGTAATGTGGGATCAACTGCACTACACACGCTTTCCTGAGACTGATAACCGCCGTAGTAAGGACACACACGGTGACACGATGATATACCTAGGGTATATGTACCTATGTCGGATATTATAGGTAGCGGAGTAGGCGGTACTGGTGGTAGGATAATACGTGATAATAGTATATGCGTGTAAAAATATAAAATAAATATGTAAAAGTAGTATAGTAATATTTAAATCTACTTCAAGTTAGCCACAAAATAATATTAACCGCGCGTTACCGCAACCGGCTCTAGCCTTCATTTTTGTAGGAAAAGTTGTATTCAAAACAGCTCTAATAGACAGCTCCGCTGTGCACCTTGGACTTTATTCCAGGCACGCATCACCCCTTCCTCTTCAACTTCTCTCCTTGTCCCAATTGGCTTGCATCATTATGGCCATCAGTCCCGATGCCATCTCCAGGATTTCGCCGCAGAGCGAAGCAGGCTTGCGAGACGTGCAAGCTGCGGAAACGGCGATGCGACGGTCACGAACCCTGTTCGTTCTGCCTTCGCTACGAGTATCACTGCTCGTTCAAGCCGCCCGCTCCGAGGAAACCTGCAGGGCGGAATGCCGGCGGAACGTCCAGGCGCCCCAGCGAGGAGCTCGCTGAGTCAAGCGAGATGGCCAACGGTAGAACGACGAGCGTGGATCAGGAAAAGATGGAGGCCAACTCAGGCACCGCCTTCCCTCATCTGCTGGGCATGAGACTGAATCCCCAGAGCGCCCCGAAAGTACATGGCTTCAGCTGGAATCTAGGCCCGCGAGACGAGCCCGCGCAGGCATTTACCAACATCACTACCATGATTTCAGCGCGAGAGATGGAAGATCTTGTGACGCATTATTTGAAGAAGATACATCCCCTTTACGCCATTCTCGATCCCGACACCTTGCATCAGAAAGTCGTGGAGCGGTGGGAAGTCGTGCACGCCATCGACAGCTACGATCCGGTTCTTTGCATGGTCGCCGCGCTGGGATCGCTGTTTTCGGGGCACAACGCCCATCCGAACGAGAACGCCATGGTCCAGTGCGCAAAGGAGATGCTAGAGACGACCTGCATCCGAAAAGAAGCCCTCCTGCACCATGCCACGGCCTGGCTCTTGCGGACATTGTACCTCCGCAGCACCAACTCCCCCCACGCCTCCTGGATGGCGAGCTGCTCCACTATGCATATGATCGAGGCGACCGGAGCCCATCAGGACCCCGATCTGGTCTCCTTGGTGTACTCCGACACCGCCCACGTCTCCGTCGGCGAAGAGAGCCACCGAAGGCTGTTTTGGGTCGCTACAGTGTTGAATTCGTGGATTTCCTACGAGTACGGCCGGTCACGGGTGTTACTCCGCGGTGTTTCCTGCAAGACGCCGCTTCCGCGACCTGGCGACTTCACGTCGGAGTTGATTGCGCTCTACCAGATCTCCGAGCGGCTGGATCCTGATCAACCGAACAGAGCATCCGACCTTGAGGATGCTTTGACCCGCCTGGAGCGGCTCACGCTTTCCCATGATGCGCTGGTTTTGTCGCAGAGCAACGTGGCGCTAACCATCTACCGCCGCTTACGGGTCGCTTCTCCGAACATCTCGAGCGACATCCTCACTCGCATCATCCGGCTGGGTAACGATGGCCTTGATGCTGCGGTGCGAATAGCGATGGAGCGCTGTCCGTGGTGGCATGTCGCCAACGTCCCTTTCCAATTTATCTGCATCTTGCTCGCCATGGACTCTCGGGAGTCTTTATCACAAGTCGGGCCTGCCCTTCGCTCGTTCCGCGCCATCGCCCGATACTTCAGCACGTCGATGCTGCACACAGCACTCGAAACGATCGAATCTTTAGTCCGATTGTCGCAAAACAAGAAAGAGCGAGACCTGGCGCTGTTGAGGGAGAGTATGCAAGCCGATGCTTCCGGGTCGCTCGAGCATATGCCGCTCACGGCACCACCCTTCAGCGCTGCCTCGTGGACAGGAACGACGTCCGACATCGCGTCGCTAGGAAATTTCGACTGGGACTGGACCGCGTTTCTGGAGAATCAAGGTCCTCTCTTTGACGAAGGTGCATAAGGTGGACAAAAATGACGATGTGTGCTGCGGAACTTGCTTAAACTGTCTCTTCTCGGATTCTCCGCTGCACCGCACAAGCAGTCAACAGTACTGTTGTGTGTCGCTCCACATGTCACACTGCTGCAGTAATGTAACCGTCATGTGGTGATATGATTCAGCTTGGCCGTTGCGAGTTGGGGCGGGAATTGCGGAATTGCGGAAAGGCGGGTAGAGCGGGATTCCAAGGCTGCGGACAACACCAAGGGGAACGGGATTAAATACCTTGGGTCATTCCATCGATTGGGCACCGGAAACTGACACACGAACAACGTTTCTCTGCAATTTTTGGGGCGCTCGATCCCAGTCACCATGCAGTCATTTCGCCAGTACCGCAACCTGCGTCGCGACCTGGAACAGAGCGTCAAGTTGCACAGTCCCTACGAGGCGGCCGGCGATCGTCACGACCAGCCGACCGGCGACATCCTTGAAGATGCAGACGACGCCATCTTGGAGCGGCAGCTCTCCTCGGACGACCCCGAAAAGGCCAGGGCCGCGGCCAACAACCACATCGTCCTTCACACCGGTCAGCGCGCGACTGTCCCCGGCATCGATGTCCGCCGGATGCCCGACATATTCGAGCTCCTTGAGAGCAATCAGGTCTTCATCGTGGGTTACGATGGCCCCAAAGACCCTCTGAACCCCAAGAATTGGTCACTGAGGCGCAAATGGGGATGTCTGGGGATCGTGGGTACCACGGGCTTCCTCGTCGGATGGTGCTCGTCCATCGACTCAGGCGTCATCAAGCAAGGGCAAGAGGCTTTTGGGGTGAGTGAGGTCACTGAATCTCTGGCCACGGCTCTCTTCCTCTTTGCCTTCGGCTTCGGCGCTCTCTTCTCCGGACCCTTCTCAGAGACCGTGGGACGCAATCCGGTGTACATTGTGACGCTGTCACTGATGATGGTTTTTATCATGGCATCCGGCTTGGCGCCGAATCTGGGAGCACAGCTGGCTTTCCGCTTCCTCGCCGGACTCTTCGGCTCGACCCCAATGACGACCTTCGGAGGCAGCATGTCAGATATATTCGATCCTATGGCCCGCACGTACGCCTTCCCCGTCTGCTGCACGCTCTCGTTCACTGGCCCTTTCCTCGCCCCCATGGTCGGCGCCTTCATCGGCCAGAGCAGTCTGGTCAGCTGGCGGTGGTCGGAATGGATCTCCCTAATCCTCGCTGGCCTCATCACCTCGCTCATCATTCTTTTTGTGCCCGAAACGTACGGGCCCATCCTGCTCCAGTGGAAGGCCCGTCACCTGCGCGACATCACTGGCGACCAGCGCTTCGTTGCCGAGATCGAACTGCGGCAGACCTCGCTCGTGACGCGCATGTTGCATAGCTGCTCCCGCCCCTTCCACATGTTCTTCCGCGAAATCATGGTGACCCTTTTCACCATGTACCTGGTGGTTGTCTATATTGTCCTCTTCGGCTTCCTGACGGGGTACGAGTTCATTTACGGAGACACGTACGGCTTCTCCCAGGGCTCCGTCGGCCTCGCCTGGATCGGCGTCAATGTCGGCTTCCTCCTCGCCTTTGCGCTGGTGCCGCACATCTACTTCTCCTACCAAAAGCGGCTTCGGGCTGCCCAGGCAGCCGGGCACGACCACCTCCCGCCCGAGGAGCGGCTGTGGTACGCCATGTACGGGGCGCCCTGGCTGCCAATCTCGCTCTTCTGGATGGGCTGGACGAGCTATCCGTCGGTGTCGTACTGGTCGCCGCTGGTGGCCTCGGTGGCGTTTGGTTTTGCCGTCCAGGGCATCTTTATCTCCAGCTACGCCTACCTGATTGACACGTACGAGCTCTATGCCGCCAGCGCGCTCGTCAGCGCCACCTTCTTTCGCTACCTGGCTGCAGGTGCGTTGGTGATTGTCTCCATCCCCATGTATGGCAATCTGGGGGTGCATTGGTCGCTTACCCTGCTGGGCTGCATCTCCCTCCTCATGACTCCTGTGCCCTATGTATTCTATTGGTATGGCTCTCGAATCCGTCAGCGCACGAGTAAGGCCGCCACGAAGGATTGATATGGACCTCACCGCATGCCTTGTCTCAGACGGCCATCAGATCCGCCAGAGCATGAGCGGAGGAGGGCGGGCTTGTGGGGCGGCTAAAACATCCTTGTTCTTCTTTTTTAATTCCGCCTTTCACGGTATTGCTGCTTCGGATCCCCACTAATAGGTGAGAGGCCCAGGATCGATTTCAAACGCCAAAAGTTTATGATCAATGAAGATGTGTAGAAGAGGTGGGAAAGGTCAAGAAAGGCTTCATAGAAATATGAAAGTAGAAGAATGAAGGGAAGCAAAGAAAAAAGACGCCCGCAGGGAAAAGTGATGGGGACATAGAGCAAATCGTATAGATCAAGGATAGAAAGGAAAGACGGATCCCGTGAGGTTCTTTGTTAACATAGAGAGCGATATCTCCCGTATCGTAAGCCGACCCGATACAAGAGACACATACTCTCAGGATTGGGTTATATGCAGAGGGGGGAAACACCATCATTTGTTGGTTTGGCATAGCTCTGCACAACGGCAGGTTAACGGTGCTGCCAGTGCCTGTTACAATGCTGTATATATTCTTCAGTCGTGGGAGCCACAGCAATCAATACTTTACTCTGTCACAGGCGCTGCATTGCACACACACGTTGATGGCAAGTGGAGCAGATTGTATCTGAATGCGACGTGTTGAAGTCCACAAAGCACGCACCGATGGGCCGTGGCGGCGGGTGCCAGGTCTGCAGGGTGCACTCGGATCTTGTGAGGTCGATGACATCCTTGCCCTCCATGCCAGTGGGAGGAGTCAAGACACCAGCAACCTAGTAGTTGTAGCAGGCATACGACTTACATTGGGTTTCTGATGGCCTCGCAGTGCTGTGGATAGGCTTGCGGCCGCCGGAGATCTCCTAGGTGGTTGGTTATCAGCGGGTAGAAGTCGGCACTGACAAGCGGATCGGTACATGGACAGAGTATTCGGCTTCGTTCCCGAACGGCCTCCTTCAAGAATGAGCGGAGATGGACCTCAGGGGAGATGCTCCGGGATGGCTTCCGGCCAATTTGTATGGAAGCTTTCGCAGCCGATTCTTGGCAAGGACGCAGCAAGGGGGCAATCCTTTCACGAACTTGAACAGGTTAAACCAAGCCAGGGAACCATGCTAGTCGTCCCCAGGTTTGTGGGGAAGGCCAGGGTTGATGGCAAGCTGACGGAAAGCTTCCACACGCCGCCACGGGACCTTAAGTTCTGCTGGAGGTCTTGCTGAAATGAAAAGCCTCTTGCTGGAAACGCATTGAATATTCTCAACTGGCACTAAGAAGCCGCATGCTGTGAGAGATTGTCAAAAGTGCCCGGAGAGCACGTTCGTAGCAAAAACACCCATGTGAAGATGAATATATCTTTGTGTTTGATTCAGTCTTTGGTATGCTCGACCCCTCCAGGCTGACTAAAGCCCGCCGAATGGTTGTTGGAACCAGTCAAATCGACTGGCATCCAACGACTCGGCAACGTTCATAAGTTGAATCGGATCCATTGCGTCCGGCCATGTCCACTCCCCGAACGGCTCAACGTTCCCTTCAAGAGAGATATCATCAAGCTGAGCACCGGGGGTCTCATTAACAGCAGTCGTCTGACCATCCTGGCCATGGACGTTAGGTCCAGCAGATGCGCGTCGAGATACGATCCTTGAACGGGCCGCATAGTTGCCCGCTTCCGGTTCAAGTTCCTCCAACATTTTACTCAGTTGTTCCAGCTCGGCCTTACGAAAACGCGCAACCATGTTCCCTTTCCCTATCATATCGTCAATGACACGATAAGTGGTCTGAGCTGCGGCCGCAAGATTATTGACCAGAGTCGGCTCAACAAAAGCGCCCATGAAGATCATCAACCCAGAGCAGAACGCGGACTCAAGGTCAAAGGGTAAGAAGCTTTCTAGACGCTCGCGGTCAATAAAACATCCGAGTGAGGAAATCGGCATTTCGTACCAAGTAGTCCTTGCGTAAATAGACTGGCAAGAATGTTAAGTGATTGTTGGCAAGAGTCAATGCACATTTGGAGCAATACTTGCAGCCGCCTCATGGTCATTATAGTAGTTGGCGTTGCCGGCCGGGTATTCAGTTGTTTCGAGAAGAGACTGTACATCAGTGGCCTTGTGGTAAGAATTACGCACTAGAATGGTGATGGTGGTCAGACGCTGTATGCCATGACGAGGCAGTCGAGACGGCTCTTTACCTGATGATAGACGAGATGCAATGTCGCCGATTGCCGAGATATGCCTTCAATTGAACCGTTTGAAGGCAACTTGAACGTGTTGTTGAGCTCGTCGGCCACCGCAGCAAGACAAGTAAGCGCCGATTTGGTGTTTGTCAAAAACTTCTGATCAAGGCGCCCATCGGGGCCATAGACAGCTACGTGGTCACAGGAGTCAGTCAATCTACCAGATAGGTCCTGGAGTCGCACTCACTGTTAACAACCCGTGCGATAATGCGACACAATTTGATGTGGATGTCAAGAGCTGCAAGTCCGGTAGCTGACTGTAGGGAGGGTAGTTTCGCGTGGATGTTTTCCTCGCTGATCTGTACTGGTAGACCCATAAGCGATGACAGTTCCCGATCTAGGATATAAATTGTCCACCATATCCTCCTGGCTCGCTCGATCTGTGCTTCGCCGAATACCTCGGTCGGCAGCTCCGTGTGCATTCCTCGAAAAAGAGCCATGCGCAATGCGGTTCCGATCTAATCTCTGTGTCAATGGGTCTTCTCGCACTATGGCTAGCCCGTGTGACAGACTCACAGTCAGGTAAGCCCCAGCTCGATAATCAGTTGATTGCAGGTAGAGGGCAGCGCAGCAGTATAGTTCCGTAGCTGTAAATGTGTCTTTCCACAATTGACTGGTGTCCGGTAGCAGTTTCATGGCTTGAACAAAGAATTCCGCACCGGGTGGCTTCCTCCCTTCGCCGCTTCGGAGGACAAAAGCCTGCCCAAGGGCCATGATCAGCAAGTAGTGGACGAACCAGAGCCCACCTCTTGGGGTGTCCTCGCTGGGGTTTTCGTAAAAGTCATGTAAGTTTTGTTGAAATGTTTCTTCATCGAACAAGTGATATGTGTGGCCCACATGGAACTGGACTGATCGGATCAGATACATTGAGTGACTCAACGAAGGGAGTGGGGGAGTGAAGACGGTGTCTGCGATTCTAGACCCATCCCAGCCCATGTCGTACGCCGTCCCGTCCATGACAAAACTCTCTGGTGGTAAAGACGTGTTATGGACAGCTTTTTGCGTTATATTCAGGACCCGTCGACTGAATGACCAATTGGACGATGTCCCCAGATACACTATTTAGCATGAGTACAGTAGCAGGTTGTGACATCTTGTGGTACTTACCTGGACCATATGGATAGGAAGGATGTGAGATGAAGCCAGAGTCAGGAGGACCTACAGACAGAGGATTCGTGATTGTCACCACGTCGGTCGGCGTAGCATCACGCATAGGGCCCGCTGGGTTTCTTTGTAGCTCTGGGCTTTGAGAAGAACCAGAAGGCCCCCGTAGCTCGCTGCCCGCATTGTCTGCAGGAGCGATTCGAGTTTGCTCATCAGTTGTTATGGTATTCGACCTGCCCGGGCCTACTGGAAAGCCACTTTTAGACACGGCTGGACACCCATTGCCATCCCAGCACTTACTGCTTGTGTCGACGTCTCTGGTACAGTCCATACTGCCAGCAGCGGCAGTGTGGTCGGGGACATGGCTGGAGGAACCATTCAAGTCTGCAATTCGCTGTTGAAGACTCCTCAGATAACTGGGCCGATATTAGATTGATGGATTCCAGATGAAGGAGTACACTTGCGCCTTCGAGACCACGACCTTGGACTCCGAATCGTCGAAGAAGCAGTGGACTCTACGTTTCAAGCAATTGGCACAAGGCTCCGTCCCCGTGCACTTGATTTTTTGTCGGCGACATCTTTGACAGCTGCGGCAACAAGCAATCAGCGACGAATCATCGAAAATGGGTGCATGTCATACGCATTAGAAGTGCGCTTCTTGCTGGCAACATGGTCGGACATCGCTGCTACACATGATGGTTTGCGCTGGAAACGGGCTGACGGCGACCGCTGCTTCTATCGAAGTTGGTAACCGTTGCGGAAAAAATTGCCTGGTTGCGATCATCAAGCGGTAGATAAATATCCAAGACCCCACCGTGGATAGCTATTGATCTTGTAGTACAAGAGTCGTTAATGCTCGATACCTTATGCAGAGATAAACAACTTGCGCTGGAGGAAAGTGGTTGCCGGCCATGCACATCACGACGGCCGCCAAGCGACAGTGGCTCTGGGGTTCCAGATGTGCTTATCTCCAGCGATATGCCATACCCATTCCTTTTACTACACCTGGCACCGCCAACCCGGCTATCGTCGGTGTCGTTACATTTTCTGTGGGGACGGGTGTGGAGGCGCCCTGCGCGTTCTCTCAGCATTACGTTTTGCTTCATTTCCTGGAGTTTGACACTTCTACGCATGTTGCCACAACCGCCTGGTTGGCTAAGGTCTGGTTCTGAGTGTTGCTCGCAATGCAATGTCATTGTGGTGCGTTTTGGAAGGCAGAGCCCCGAAATCAGAGCTCAAGCTCTTGATTGTGAAACATGCGGAAGATTTCGTCGGCTTTTGTAGTATGTACTCTTGTAGTGGTGCATTCGCTGCTAGTCGATCTAGTTGTGTTCTGACCCCGTCTTCTTGGGCCAGAATCACACCGAGTTGGAATTGTCGGCACAAGACCACGCCGCGGATCCTCCAGCAGCTTTATAACTGTCGATGATGCCCACGATAGAACCGTAGGTACCTCCCACCATGAGAAAGGTTCCCGAAAGAATCACGAAAACGCTCCAGCATACCATCAACTTCCATTTCAGTGTTCGATCGCTATTCCAGTGATCATAAAGCCACATACAGCCCATGGGTTGAAAAGACATCAGCGTGCCAAGTAAGGCGCCGATCAGAGAAACGAGGCCGCCAAAAACTGGGATGGCGCTGGCAATGATGTAGGAGGTCAGTGCGATGCCGATGGTACAGCCCAGCCAGCACGTCCAGTGGGTGACTGTGTGCAAAGTCAAGTGCCTAGAGCCGCGGAGGAGGCGAACGAAGATATATTTGGCGGGCAACTGCAAGGTTGTGAGTATAAAGGCGTAGCTGAAAACGCACAGCAGACACTTACGTGGATGGTCAGCGTGGTGGTCACCAACAGCCCAGGAAGTGCAAACCCATAGGACACTTTCTTCATGGTCGGGCCCGCTGAGCCGAGGGCAGGAGAAGCGACGTAAGAACCACAATAGTAATACACGACGCATCCGATGGAGACGTAGATGGCAGTCACCAGGCCCTGGCAGACCAATAGTGAGCGGGTGTAGTGACGAGGCTGCCGCATCTCTGCAACGACGGAAAAGAACCCCGGCGTTCCCGCATAGGCAAAGACAAGGGCTGAGCATGCCGACATGGCATCGGTGAAGCTCGGGCTATTCACGAGCTTGTAGTCAGATACCCATACGCCCTCCTTGGGAGCAGCATACGGGCGGCTCTGGACACCGACAGCGATCGTGACACAGAGAACTGCAACATAGGTCAGCACAGATCATGTCAGTTACTCCCACTATACTTACTGGCAGTGATAATGGCAACCACTCCAATCCACGCAAGCCATGTGATGCGACCCAGGGTCTGTATACTCCCGAGTCCACAACCTGCGATAGCTGCGACCGCCACAAACACAGCTGTACATGCCCCATGGGTCGAAACTGCGTTCAAGCCGATTGAAAGCCCGAGCATACCAGAGCCGGCAACAAAGGTCCAATCTGCCACAAATTAGACAGAGCGAAGAAATGGTTTCTCATGTCATTCTCACAGAGACAAAATGCAACCCCCAAAAACTCTCGCCCAAGTCGACCAAAGAGCAGAGCGCCCACGTCGTCAATTCCGTATACCTCACGATGGCGAAGCTTGAAGACACCCACGATGTAATCGGACCAGGTTGTGATAGCACCAATAGCAACCAAGCAGATGACGCCTGGTATCAGGCCCAACGTGTCGAAGACCGCAGGAATAGAGAGGACGCCGAGTCCGATCTGTGTTTTCATCATCAGGGCAACGGTGCCCAACCATCCCACCTGACAGATATTATCAGTACTTCGACTTCTACACCCATAGACCTAGACATTGAACTCACGTTCCGATAGTTGGGTCCTTTACTGGTAATCTCTCCAAAGACCGCATCGTGGGTGTAAGCGGTGTCGATGTGTACTTCACCAGCAGCTTGTGACTGCACTGGAGCCAGCACATCACCTTCGGTTTTCGTTTCATTGTACGTTTCGCCCATGTTGAATATGTAGCCGGGTAGAGAAGGCCGCCAGTGCTAGGTCGAGGAATATCGCAGGTCGAGCTCAGGCAAAGATGGCCCTAGGTTTTAAACACTCTGGGTTCCTTACCCCAGGGGATCTGAAGCCGGTGGAGCATGAGCAGCGACTAGCGCTGGTGATAGAGGTGGCTGAAGGCTCAACCAGGGTCCCTGTAGTGCGGCGACGAGGTTGCATCACCTTCGTCCATATCTCGGCCTAGCGGGAAGTCATCTGGTGACAGCTTTGAACGGGCCCTGCACAGACTGGCTCGTTATCTCACGCCCCCATCAACTTGCCGATTGCCACGCTATCGGCTCCAGATTCCTTGCACAAAACCACCACGCTACGGATTTGCATCCGGTGTGCGATAGGCAATTTCGCTTCGCTTCGGCCTCTCCTGGAAGGCTATGATCTGGAAGGCTATGATGCTCAAGTTTCAAGCTACGTAGGATCGACACGACCCGTCGTGCAAGGCAGGAATCTAAGGCGGAATCCTTCCCTAAATAAAGCATTCCTGCTGATCGGCGTTGGACCGAAATAGCCGGAGTACATGCTCTTGTCGTAAGTATTGGAGGCGTCTCTGCCCAGCGTTCCTCAGGCACGGTTGAAAGGTCTTTCTCTCCTTGCTGGGGTAAATTGACACCATAAAGTCGAGATAAAGCGTGTCGTAGGAGCAGGTTTGTCCAGTCCTTATCTGCCTGGCCGGCCGCGGGACCTCTTCTCTGTGTCACGAGTAAGGTGGCATGTCTTTCCTGTGGATGGGTTCAGGTTAGTCGAACGAGAGGGATCGTTGGCGCCTCATACACCCCGGTGGGAGTCAACGGTAGACGAATCGACGCGAGGCAGACCCAGTGTTCACCCCTTTTTGCTCTGGCCTTTGCTCACAATGCAGACAGCCAACAACTAAAAATGGACAGTTTTCGATTGCTGATACCAGCACCAAACAACAGCTTTTGCGGTGTCACACCAGTCTTGCTCTAGGTAGTGTCCCAGTGTAAAAGCTGGTAGTGATTAGAGGTTATCGTTAGGCTGTGCTCGATCATTCGTATGACATATGTATGAGTGTTATGAGGGTCGGAGGCGGATAACAGCTGATGACGCCTGTTGGATCAGGGCATATGGAGCTTCCTGATATCGGTTCGTTCAGAGACGTACAAGCGATTTTTTTTTTTTCCTGAGAAGTCCCCGTACCCTGCACCCTGCATGAACGTCTACTCTTTCATATATCATGGCTTTCAAGTTTCGGGATCTCTTCTCGCCATGTAGCTTGGCAGAACTGTCTCCTGGTTGTCGCAGCCAGCTTTCCGGCTTCCATGGGATCCTCCTCTTAGACGGTCCAGCTTAAATATATTTAACTTATTACTGTCACGCAGAACATTTGCTGCATCGTCCCAGTCACCAGACCGAAGGTAAAGCCCCCGGCCATAGAATGACTCGAGATGGTTGTGCAGCGTGATGACCAACTTTTCGAGTTCGCTCAATTCGCAGGGCAAGTATCCGAGCTCGAGTTGTTTCAGGTTCGGCCAGCTACCTACAGGGATGAACTCTTTGAGCACAACGTGTGGTAGCTGCTGCCACCATACATACCCTGCCAAGGACACTCTCAAACATCGGAGAGAAGGGGCACTTGTCAACGCTGTGGTCACAGATCCAAGGGCTTGCAGCTCGGAATATGACCGAGAGTGGTTGCATGCTGTCGAGCTTCCGCGAGGCCACGAGTGAAAAGTGACGTCCATGCTGTCGGTTTTGGAGACCAACTTGCAAATGCCTTCAGCTTGTCTCTCACTCACTTTCAGACAGGTCAAGTTGGCAGGCACGCTGAAGCTCAGAGTAAATGATGATGGTCTGGCACCAGAGTCGCCTAGACTCGACAAAAGCTCACCCAGCATTTCGATCGGTGGCTGGGTGATGTATGCAATAGCCAGCGAACCGTTCCACCCAGATGGAGCTAGAGCACAAGCAAACGCGCCTGAATCCCAAAGGTCTGTCGTCTGGGTTGGTATAGTTTCAGGCTGCACCCCTCCATCAATTCCGTTCGTCAAGTGGATGCTTTTCAAAGATGAAAGCCTGGCGAATGCGTTGCATAGGCGATCAAGATGGCGGTTGTTCTTTCTGATACATTCCTGGTCTGACGTTCGCATCTTGTATTCGTTATGAAGTACAGACAAAAGGCTTTCAAATGCATCTGCAGAGTCGGCTGAGAGATCTTCAATGCCGAACTCCCCAAGATGGCGTGGGAACCTGTTGCAAACGTCACTTTCCCGGCATAAAGCACCACTTTGCCGCTGTTTGGGACCTGCGTTCAGCTCAGCCAATGTGAGAATCCGGGCAAGAGCACTTCCACAATGATCCCTGTACAGGTCTCGGTCTTGAGACAGCCGGACATCATAATAGGCTGCATTGATCTCCACTGATCTGATGCACTGGCTGAACAATGGGTGGTCACAGAGTTGTTGAAAGCGCGACAACGAGTTGGAATTGAGGCACACGGTGGTCGAGGACACCAAAAATGCGCATGCGACGATGCTGAGCTTGCGCGAGGCAAGCCGGATATTTTTCATATCTATTTTCCTGTCCTGCTGGCATTCCCCTCTGGACACGAAGACTAAGATCCGATGGATCACCTCATTGGGGAGGTTGTCGAGGTTGGAGCCCGACATTGCTGCAAGGATATTTGGGAATCTCGATAACAGGACATCTTTCGAAGGGTCACTTGTGACGCAGACCCTTTCGTGACTCGGTGCTGTAGGTATATATACAGCCCTTGGAATGCATGTTGGAGCATGGTCTCCGTAACCAACGGCGATGGTCTACCAATTCGTGATTGGAGGATCTGGCCAAGCAAGACACTCAACGGACACTTGCGCATCGGCAACATTCGGATACTTTCAAAAGTGAGTACCTTAAACAACCAACGCCAGGATTACATAAAAGAACAGATGTCTTTTTAATCCTTTCGCGTCCTCAAATAATTCGTGTTGAAACAAGATTGCCATTGCTAGACGTACATTGGGTCAGAATGACTTACATACTTGTGCTTCTCCGGCACGGCCAGTCCACCTGGAATGAACTCAACCTCTTTACGGGCTGGGTTGATGTCCCGCTGTCCGAGAAAGGGGTCGCGGAGGCCAAGCAAGCGGGTACACTGCTGAAGAAACACTCACTGCTCCCGGACATTGTTTATACCAGTTGGCTTCGCCGCAGCATCAACACGGCCAACTTGTGCCTGGATGAAGCCGACCGTCTGTGGATCCCGGTCAAGCGCGCTTGGGAGCTCAATGAACGCCATTACGGCGGTCTCCAGGGCAAAAACAAAGCCGAAGCTGCCGAGAAATTTGGCGAAAAGCAAGTCAAATTGTGGCGTAGAAGCTACGACACTCGGCCACCGGAGTTTGGAAATGGTACCGATGCGAAGTCACAGCAGGATCCGGATGGTCGATACGCAAAGTCGGGTGTCCAGGTTCCCAGTACCGAGTGTCTCAAAGATGTCCTCGAGCGGGCCTGGCCTTACTGGTTGTCGGACATTGTCCCAGACCTGCAGGCAGGCAAGACAGTGTTGGTTGCTGCCCACGGGAACAGTTTGAGGGCCATCATCAAGGGACTGGAAGGAATCAGTGACGAAGAGATTCCGGGGCTAGAGCTTCCCACGGGTGTTCCGATCCTATATGAACTCGACGAGAACTTGAAGGTCGTTAGCAATGGCGGGAAGGGGAAGCTGCTGGAATGATATCCAGGGTAGGCACCATCAAGCACGTAACAGCTCGATGCGCCGAGTTTATCAATAATGAACTTGAAGTGACCAGGATGAAAGGAAATAAGATGCAGAGAAGTCGTAGTGGTGAAAGGATTCAATGTGAGCCATTGGGAGAAGAACACAACATGTAGGGAAATGCCGGTTCAACCTTGCTGCTGAAGCCTTTTCCCACGGTATTGTGCCTACCGTAGCTGTGCCTGATAATATCCTGTTTGAGACCACATCAGGCGTCACACTGCAGCTAAGAGATGGCAGGGACTTTGAAGCGGAGAGTAGAATCTGAGGCCGGGGGGCACAAACTGGAATGTGACCTGTCGCTTTGGCCATTGCGTGATATCCCCTCAAGCCGGTCACGTTTTAGCCGGCAATGTTCCATGGCTGGCATACAGTAGTAGAGTAAATAAGATGTTTCTTACACCTTTTCGCAAAGATAGCGGGGGAATCGACGTTGCGAAGATTGATGGAATTAATAAGTACAGTACCTAGGTGCCAGGTACGTACTGTAGGTGCCTATTCTATAGGTGGGAACATTAGGGAAGAAAAGCGTCGGCCCCCTCGGCCTGTCTTGGCAGCGACAATAAGCTTTGCATAGGCTCCAAGTCTCCCCCCGCGGGGCTCCTTAGGCGTGGGTTCCCCCCTAAGTAGCCCGCAGGGAAGCGCCTAGGGAGCCTAAGAGCCCAAACGAGTACCTAAGGTACAACTACAGTACTACTAGTATGAGCGGCAGGCTGGGAGTGGAGCGACGAGGCTTGTGCTGGCGTCAATGGTACTGTACTAGCAGTCGAGACGATGGAGGGTTTCAATCTACATCTTCATCTGGGCAAACTTAAGTAGCCCGACTTCTACTGGAAGGACAGCCATGGAACTGTTACATATATTTTGCGGGCTTGGATCACTTTTGGAGTGTCTCGATATATTTATTACAATATAGGCTAATGGCCTTCTTCCGAGTTTTCTTGTGCCTCCTAGGACAGGACACGTCTACCAGCGACGTTGATGCCATTGCGGTCCCTTCAAGGTCTACGGCGGTGGTGTCTTTTCCCTAACAGCACCTAACGGCGGGATCCTGGTGCTGTCAACGTTTTCCTCGTCCGTGTCTTGGTCTTTTCGCGTCGCCTCATTTTGTTTGCCGGCCAGCGGTTCGATCTTTGCGCCTTGAATGGTCTCGTCTCGGCCGACACTTCCCTGCGCGTCGGTGTGTGGTAATGTGTGTTGATTCTGCCCTTTGCCGCCCAGCGGATCGATACGCGTTTGATCAATGTTCCTGTCTGTGCCCGCCGAGCCGCGGGAGCTCAGGTCATGCGTTGTGTTGGTCTTGACCCCGGAATCCAGGGGTGCGATCTTGGTCGCGGAAATCTTCTCGTCGGAGCCGGATGCGCCTCTGTTGGGGAAACTGGTCAGTATCTGGTGCAAATCTTCCGGGCTGACTTGCTCATTATGCTCCTGGGGGTTGGGTCTAGGCACTTACGTGGACATGTTGTCTCAGTATGCCGAGATATTGTGCAGAGGGAACCTCAAGTCCTGTGATCTGTGATAGCAGTTGACCGGAATACGTGAAGCCTCCTTGTTACTGTCTTCACTCCTTGATTGAGCCTGTCTTTAATATACCCTGCCAACCCCTCCTCGCTTCGAAGCATTTCGATCCTGCCCCGCCCATGATTTCATCTCAGGGACCAGAATAACGTCACGCAGGGTTCGCGATAGCAGCAAAGGAACTTGCCGGAATCCGGCCAACGTTGATCTACACTGAGGTGCACTCTTTGTGGACGCTAAGCCCTACCATCGATACCATATTGTTCATCGAGAAGCCAACCAGATACTGTACAGTAGTATCGAAATTGTCACGAAACCGGTTCATTTGCGGAGAATTCCTCCGAGGGGATATCGGATGCGAGGGATGTCGTTGTATGTGTCCTCCCCCGAATTCTGAACCTGGTAGTAACATCATCATCAGGACCACGATCATTCGTCAATCGCCCTTTCAGATCTTTGGGTTGTCAAGACCGTTTTCGGACCGGCATGAAACAAGCGCAGCATACAAGATTGTTGCAATAGATGCCATATATGATGCACTAGCAAAGTCGTGACCCACTGACCTGACGGCGATCCATGTCTTCTTTGTCTAATCTGCTGTTCAACCTGCTTCCTTCAACTCATGCACGTTCGTATGGTCGGTATACAGGGTCCCACATCTGCACCTTGACCCATTCTTCGAGATCTTCGTCGCTTTCCACGGGGATATCTGCTGCTTGTGCTTGGCCTTCTTCCACCGCGCAGCGGATGACAGCCATGGCAATCTTTACACTCACCCTCCTGGCATCCTCAACGTCCGGGACCAGTGGCTTGGTAGGATCCTGAAGTGCTGGCGCTTCCTCCGATAGAGCCGTGACGGCTGCGACAAGCATTTTATCTGTCAAGAGTTTCGTTCGCGAAAGGACACCGCCGAGTCCGATGCCAGGGAAACAGACGGAGTTGTTGCATTCTGCAATCTCAATCTCCTTACCCTTGTACTTGACCGGAGGAAAAGGCGAGCCTGTGGCAACCAGGGCACGGCCATTAGTCCAGTTGATGAGGTCCTCCGGCTTAGCCTCGTGGAGGCGGGTAGGATTGCTCAAGGGAAATATGATCGGTTGCTCCACATGCCGGGCCATCTCCTGTACCACTTCTTTGGTGAAAGCACCAGGCTTTGTGGAGGTGCCAACCAGAACATGTGGCTTGACCTCAGCGATGACTGCTTGTAGGGATTTTGTGTCTTTTCCTTGCCATTCAGAAGCATCGCGGGCGAAGGGCTTCTGTGCAATCGAGAGGTCATCCCCCATGTCGTTGAGCAGAAGCCCCGCTTTGTCGATACACCTAATGGCGGTTAGACCTAATTGGCATGATGGCAAAGAATCCACATACCAAATCTGCTTTGCTACCTCTTCTTTGCTCTTTTTCGCTTCTGCGGCTATTGCAGCTTGGACCTGTTCGGCTATTCCACAGCCGGCGGTACCAGCGCCAAATATCACCACGCGTAAATCGGTCAACTTGACCTTGTTGATCCGCAAACCGGCCAGAATGGCGGCGAGGGTTACGCAGCCGGTGCCTTGAATGTCATCGTTGAAGACCGCCGTGTCGTTGCGGTATCTGTCAAGCAGCCTCCGGGCATTGGAAACACCAAAGTCCTCAAAGTGGATGTAAGCTTTGGGATACAGCTTCTTCGCCGTTTTGACAAACTTGTCAACGAAGTCATCATAAGCTTGGCCCCGTACGCGCTTGAAGCGATGACCTAAGTACAGAGAGTCATTGAGTAGCTTGTCGTTATCGGTTCCCGTATCAAGGACCACGGGGAGAGTCCTGTCCGGGTGCAAACCAGCGCAGATAGTCATCAGCGCCAGCTTCGCCACGCTTATCAGGATGCCCCCAATGCCCTGATCTCCGATACCTAGGATTTCCTCACCGTCGCTGACGACAATGTAGTCCACCCCATTTTCGGGGTCATTAGGTCTGATGAACTTGCTGAGACGCTCTTCGACCTCATCCGGGTGTTTGATGCTCAGAAAACAGCCATCAGGTCGGCGAAAAATGCGGGAGTAGTTTTCAATCGCGTCGCCCTCGGTGGGAGTGTAAATAATGCTGAACATCTCCTTCAGATGGTCTTGGATCAGCCGGTAGTACAGCACCGTGTTCTGCTCAGCCATGGATGTCATGAAGGTGTTCTTCTGAAGGTCGTCCGGTTGGTTGCAATACTGCTGATACGCCCTGGCTACTTGTTCATCGAGCTTCTGGATATTGGTCGGCAAAAGGCCTTTGAGGCCAAAGATCTGGCGCTCCTCGGATGTGAAACATGTGCCCTTGTTGTAGAACGGGTTGTCTAGGAGAAGCCTCCCAGAAAGTGGTACTTTGAGGGGCCCCTTATTGGCAAGAGGGAGGTGATCGTACTTCCCCTTGACGGAAGCCATGGTTTTGTACCAATTTCTCTGCCACACTCGCCCGCCAATTTTCATATCAAGCCTGAATCCGCACAAGGTGGAATACAAGATAGCTGCGCCGACGGAAGTGTCTGGCACCGATACACTGGTCGCCAACAGCTGGGTTCGTCAAGAGGCTACGCCGTCGAGGACTAGGATCCGAGTCCGGGAGAGCGATGCGAGCCGGCGTCCGCTACAGTCTCAAGTTTATACCCGCAGTGCCATCACGCAGAGTATCGGGGCGAGCTACGGTACCCAAATGAAATTGAAGACACGGTTACAGGCACTACCAGAGATACCAGGAGGCGAATCTGTTTGTTGTGAGGTTGGATGCACCAGCCTGGAGGATTCCATCGGCGTAGTGGTTTTCGATCGACGTTGGTGACGCTGACGGCTGCGTTACGTCACGGCGCAGTCTCTGAGGTCGTGTCTTTTCGTCACCGACTTATGCCCGCATCAACATGACATGTCGAATGTCTACGGACTCAACTACAATGTGCATTTCTTTCTGGAATATCAATGCACCGTGCGGGTCATCATACTGCATGCCTCTCGCTGGTGACATTCGGCGACCTCTAGCATGAGACCCGCCAGAAGGGAGGCTGTGCTCCGACATCGCCTGCAACAGAATTCCTACAACGTAGACACCATGCCTCCCAACGTCCGTCCGATTGCCGTAAATACGGAAACGCGGTTCAGAATACCTGGCCTGCGGAATAAAGCTGCTTTCCCGTGCTTCGTTTTATCTCTCTACCGTTCGTTGGCCTCGATCAGTCCTCGCTAAGCGCAAAACCCACGCCAACCGCTTCCAGCAGACACGGCAGGTGTGGGCCAATTTTGATAACAGACTCCGCGTCACGCAAAGGGCCCCGTACACTCCGCATGGACTCGCTTGGCCACTTAAGACAGGGCAAATGGGTGATAGATCGTTCCCTGTGGGAGCCGTGGGTGGCTACTGAGGATTGGGGATTCAGTCGTTGGAATAATCCAATCTTGATAGCCGATCCAGTCGAGGTGAAAAATGGTGCTGACACAGAGAGGAGCCCGCTCGCCGATACTCGAGAGACAGTCGCCCTAGACTGTGATACTGCGCGCAATATGGCCTTGTCATCCTGTTGAAGAACTCTCTGTGCTATCGAGGAACCTCCCCTGAGCCATAACGTTAACAACCATAGCCGCTTCCACAAGAGTCGATACACTCATGACATCTTCTGTGGGCAACGAGGACACGGCATCCTCCCGCCGTAATAACAATGCATCCAGGTCGGCATCAAGGGCGCCAAGGTAGTCCTTGGAGTATTCGTCGCCAATGTGGATCCAGGTAAGATCGCCAACTTCGTGGCTCAAGCACTCGGTCATGCCCTTGTGAGGCGGGGACAGGGTCATGTCCACGGCTTGTTCTGCGCGAGAACCAGGGATTGGCGTGATGAGCTGCCGCGCAGCGAGCCAGATGAGCATATCCGGCTTTTCCGCGCCAGCTTCGTAGCTCGTACAAAGGAAATCAAAGTCATTGTCAAGAGCAAAGTAGTTAACAAACGGAGTCACAAGCAGGCCCTCGTAATCTTGATTCTTCAGGCGATTTGCGGTGTCGGTAATAGACGCCCGCAATCCAATCTGAGGCACGCTTGAAGGGCCTACCTTCAGCCCCAAGTCTTGCAGCACCAACCTGACTCTGGGGTCCGAGTTGGTCACCACGCCGGTAGCAATCAGCGGACCGTCCGGGTTCTGGAACCGATGCTTCAGCGCTCGCATCGTCTGCAAGAAGTCTTGAACATCTGGGTAAAGCTCATAGGCTTCCCCGGAGGAGAAGTGTCGATAAAGGTTCGCACCCAGGTCCTGAGGGATGTCTTGTTGGTTCACCACTTCTCGAAATGCCCGATTGACCAGCTTCGTCCACCAGACTTCAGGATCCCGAAGCTTACCCTTTCCGTAATTCGGGTAGACCGTGTTGTAATGCTTGAAGGATGACCTGAAAGCACGGTCGAGCTCGGCAGCGTCGACATTGACTTGCAAACCGCACCGCCGCGCAACCTTCTGGTACTGCGAAGCCACGGGCTCACGGAAGCGATACAGAGTGCCCAAAGCGTCTAGGGTGACGACCAGCGTGGGGACTTTCTTGCGGTTGGTGAACGCTTTGAATGCGTCCTTAAAGACATCTCCCATCCGAAGCTGAGCCATGTCGCCTTCGTTCCCCGGAGATGGACCGCGGATTGCACGACTTCTTCATCAGGCCACGAGGCACAACCGCGATGGGCCGACTGCCGAGCTTGACCAGCAGCTTCGGAAATGGTGAAGAACCTTTGCTACAAAGGAAATGTAGGTATTGGTGGATGCGTGGGTTGAAATCGGGGACTGTGGTGAGCTGCGCGTCCTGTTTACATCAGCATCGCCAACTAATCAGTTGTACCATTTGTATGTGTCTCGGGGATCCATCATCGACCTGACATCAGCCGCCACTTTTTCTTGTGCTGCATTTCCAATTCGAGCGAGGCAAAAAGCACAACCCGACCGATCATCGGACATTCACTTTCCACGGTCTCCCGCTGAGAATATACAATAAGAAGTGCTTTCTCGCGCTTGCTCTTCCCGCTTGTAAAACACACTCCTTTTCCACCCTTGCGATCCGAGTCCGCCAAACTGTTTTCCTCAGGTTTCCGTCGTGCGGCCCGCACCACCCTTCATTCTTCACTCGGCCTCTCTGTCGCCGCGTCGTCCGTTGCCCAGCAGAAGCCGCAATCGCAGTTAACCCGGAAACTGTCCTCCTCGACGCGTGCCATGGCGCCGCCTCATACCAAGGTGGCCATTATCGGCTCCGGCCCCGCCGGCCATACCGCCGCCATCTATCTTTCGCGAGCCGAGCTCAAACCAGTCATGTACGAAGGCATGCTGGCTGGGGGCACCGCCGCCGGTGGCCAGCTCACGACCACAACCGAGGTGGAGAACTATCCGGGTTTTTCCAAAGGTATCGGCGGATCCGAGTTGATGGACGAGATGCGCGCTCAGTCCCTGCGGTTCGGGACAGAAATCATCACCGAGACCATTACAAAGGTGGATCTGAAATCGAGACCGTTTCGGTTGTGGAGGGAATACGAGGATGGCGAAGAGGACGAACCGGCACACACGGCGGACGCGGTCATCATCGCCACGGGCGCAAATGCCAGGAGGCTGAATCTGCCGGGAGAGGACAAGTACTGGCAGAATGGCATCTCTGCCTGTGCCGTGTGCGACGGCGCGGTGCCGATATTCAGGAACAAGCCGCTCGTGGTCATCGGTGGCGGCGACTCGGCGGCTGAGGAGGCCATGTTTTTGACAAAGTACGGATCTCACGTCACCGTACTGGTGCGCAAGGACAAGCTGCGAGCATCCAAGACCATGGCGAAGCGGCTTCTCGCCAACCCCAAGGTGACGGTGAAATTCAACCATGTCGCCGTCGAGGTCCAGGGCGAGAACAAGCCCCGAGGCTTGATGACCCATCTGAAAATCAAGAACGTGGTGACCAGTGAAGAAGAGGTGCTCGAGGCAAATGGTCTGTTTTATGCCGTTGGACACGACCCTGCTACGGGATTGGTCAAAGGCCAGGTCGACACGGACGAGGATGGCTACATTGTCACCAAACCCGGCACGAGCTATACCAGCGTCCCAGGAGTCTTTGCTGCTGGGGATGTACAGGATAAACGGTATCGACAAGCCATCACCAGTGCAGGCAGTGGCTGCATGGCAGCCCTGGAGGCCGAGAAATACCTCGCTGACCTCGAAGACGACGAGCCGAATGTTGAAAAGGAAACGGGAGCAAAGAAACCCGAAGTCGACGGTCAAACGGCGCCTGAGTATAGAACAAACCCCCTCTTGTGATTTTTAGACATGAAACCTAGACATAGAACGCTGCAATTGAAGCAATATTTTAGGTACGGACCACTCCATCCGGGGAATTGATTTATATACCGGGAATGCTGGCTATACACCCTCGTGTAATAATACAGAAGGCCCATGTGTGCAAATGACGTGCTTGTTCATCTCCTTTTCAAATACCATCCAAAGGCATCGGTATGGACGCTGTCCGAGAAAGGACTCGGAACCTCGGCCAGACCTGGCCTTGCCACAGGATGCCTTAGGTATACCGCCGCGCAAATTCTGTGGTTGACCTCCAGATACCTGGGGATGAAAGCAAATGCGCTCATATAATCACGAGGCATCCACGGGGTCGCATACGGCTTCGAATCGTCGACAGGGTTCTCGTGCATGGACTGCAGGGCTTGAAGAAGCTCATTGTACTCGCCATCCGTCAAGCTGCTCGCACCTTTGTCAGCGTCTGCAGATGTTTCACTGGCCTCTGCCACCGCTGATGTGTCTGACGACTTCGAGGATCCTGACACCTCGTCATGCGCGGAAGGTAGGGATGAAGTGCCCGCGGCCTGGTTCTCTCTCCGAATGTTGAGCTGATTTTGGAGCTCTGCGAATTGCGCCTCGACGCTGTCCGTCATAATGGTGGATGACTTCGATGATTTCGATAGAAGGCGTTTGACGGTTTTGGCAAAAGCCCTCAAATCTTTTTTCTTCTTTGCCCCAAGGTCCTGTTTCGAGGACGAGAGTATGCTCTTGGCCTGCGCTTGCAGGTCTTTCAAGATTTCCCGCGGATCGCGCTCAATGTCAACATCCGCATCGTCCTCGCCCTCGGCCGCTTCGTTCTCGTCGGCCACACTCTCGTTCTCCACGGGAGCATCTTCTTCATTGTTTGCGTCCTCGGTTTTACTTTGAGCCTTTGGCGAGGGTTTCGGTTGCCCGGTGGCAAACATAACTCGTTCTGGTAAAACCTGAAACATATCTCCGGGGTTGAGCTGGTAGCCGGAATAGCGCATCTACAGATCGTTAGCTGAATATATTGGGCCATTCGTCCAGGCGACCAAGCGTACCTCTTTGCCGTTCACCTTAACAGCGCCGTGGATAACAAACTGTCTCGCTTGACGAGCACTGCTTGCAAACATGGCCCGGAAGATGGCAGTATCTAGTCTCCTTTCCAGGGGGGCAAATGTCATTTGCATGTACGGGACTTCGGCCGTGGAGGCCGCTTTGGCCTTTCTGCTTGACCTGTCCCCTCGCCGCTCCAGGCCGGAACCGCGTCCGGCCGATTCAAGTGTTCCATCATTAGACGCCAGGTATTTGACGTCCATAGGAATCACAGATCTAATCCGTCTGTCGAACATCCGCACCCACTGTTTTTCTGGGACCTGCTCCCCATGATACTTTCGTGCGACCGATTTCGCGTTCCATTTCGTCTGGAAAAAATTTCTGAACTTGTACGATGGATTTGCCAGTCGCGAAAGGTTATAGAGGTTGTATTTGCTCCAAGACTGCCGGAGTTTCTGCCATCACGATTAGTCCTGCTCCGAAATGTCTGGCCTGTGGTGCTTACGATCTGATCACGACCTTGCCTCTTGATCTTGAGCGGCGTGGTCGCTCTGTTGCGCATGATGATGACTCGCCTCGAAGAAGTCCGGCTTGGTTGCTCAGCTTCACCTCAACCGCGTAGCATGCAGGGCGCGCAAAGTTGATGGACGCTGCTCAGCTTGACATTGGGATTAAAAAGTTGAGGCCGCAGTCCGAACTATTGGTTAGTACCTTAGTCATACTTGGTAGGCACGTGAGGTAGAGATTACATAGTAGATGTATCAATAGGTACCAATTCCAGGTCAGGCAAGTTTACCGAGACTGGTATCTCAGGCTACTAGTACCTGCAGGTAGGTATTCATGGCCTGCAACGCGCGCGTTCCCGATCGGACGCTGCAACTTTGTCTACAGGTGCCCGCCCGTCTCATCCACAGTGCAGTAGAGCAAGAGACCTTTGCAAGAGCCTCGCAGTGTGTTGTTACGAGGGGTTGAGCCAAAACTGCATGTGATATTGTTCCGTCGCTTATCATTGTCGTCAAGTTCCCCTCGTAGACTCGTCTACTGGGACTGCTGAAGTAAGGGCTGCTGGTCACATGGGCTTCATACCAATACATCTCTGATCACAGGCTGATGCAGGACATGGAGCTCTTCTGACTCCAAGAACAGACGCCTAGCAAGGCTCGAGCAACACATATTGTCCAGTGAAGTATCTGTGATCCCACCAGTCATCTCCCATATTCCAACCACACTATTGACGCCGAAACTCCGCGCTAACACCTGCTCAATGCGTTCATCAAATCGTGATATGCTCGGTCTAGCCTTGCATGGTTTGCCAGAAATAGTCTGCGTAGAACCATCGCGAGAACTTGGGGTCGATGTTGACCACATGGACATCACCTCTCTTTGTATTTCCAATTGTTGCCTTGTTGTAATTGCCGGCCTCGTCTTGCTCTAGACTTATTCCGAGTGATCTGTAAAGCCACAGTCGCAAGCTGTTACGGGTCAGTACCTGAGCAGCGTCGCGGATATTGCGTTGACGTACATTGTGGGATCATCTGCTTCCCGAGCACGGCGCGCGTTTTCGTCTCCTTCAACTCCTTGCTCCTCCAAGTCGGCCAATCGCGATTTCAAGCTCTCAAGCTCTGCTTCCAGTCTTTCGCTCTCAGCTTCCAGTACCGACGCCTGTTTTGCGATGCGAAACTTCTTCGTATCAAGCTGCACAATCTCGCTCGCGTGCCTGCCACTGTCGTGGCTCGAAAGGACTTCGCGATGCTGGGATGATAAAGTTGCCAGCTGCCGCGACAGCTTTCTCAGTACTGTATCAGCATCTCGTATGCGTAGTTCGCGCGATTGCTGCAGGGTGGACAAAGAATCATTGACGCGAGATAGGGCGGCTTTATCTGGGGCGATGTTGAAGTTGGACACAGTCGCACGAATGAGCTACAACACTGCAAGTTAGAGAAAGAAATATCAGTTCGAAGCTTGTGGACGCACTGTGGCAGGATCTTCATCAAGTAGCATTTTGCAGGCTTCTGTTGATGCTGAATGGGACTGTAGCTGATAGCTGAGACTGTGTGATTCAGCGCATTGGGTTGCGGTGTGGTGCGCTGATGGCAGCTCATGTTATTACAAAGTTGTAACCGTGTATGCCTGGTGCATGTGTTGACGAGTGGTTGTGGGGGCAACCACCATCCCGGGGGCTCTCTCGTCAGGCAGCCTACAGCCTGAGCCACTGCAGCCTGTGGCGTCGCTTTTAGGCAACTTGAAACCCACCGAGCCTGCAGTGGGTGCCAATGGCTTGTGAAGACGCTCTTTTTTACCTGCAGAGCGTCATACAGACCATCTCAAACCCGCAACGATTCCGCCGCCACATGCTGCTGTCACTTGCGCTGCGCCACAGGTCGCTCCAGGTCCAACTTCAAGTCCGCCGCAGGCTCGGGACCAAATCAAGACGACGATTTCTCTATCCTTAAGCAGCTACTCCTCAAAGGAATAAAATATTCTTGAATCTGTGTCGCCGGACGAAGGCCACTCGTCGCTCTCGGTACCATGCCGTCGAATTTGCCATGTAAGACGCTCACCAAACTCAAGAATAGGCACAAATTTACTGACCCATCTACAGACGCTGCAGATGCAGAGAGGTCAGTCTCATACTCTTGGGCATCCTCGGTGGTCTAACAACTTGTCGCAGTCCTCTCAAACCAGCAGAGTTACAAGTCCTACGCGCGCAGTATGAGAAAGAAGGCGACTACGTTTCCGTCCAGACGAAATTCAACTATGCTTGGGTAACTGTGGCCGTATGAAACACTTCGGGGCGCAAGAGCTGACTGATAGTCAAGGGACTGATCAAATCAAACCAAAGGAGTGATCAGCAACTCGGCGTTCAACTCCTCTCCGACATTTTCAAGACAACGCCTGAGCGCAGGCGCGAATGTTTATACTACCTTGCCCTCGGCAACTACAAGCTGGGCAACTATGCAGAGGCAAGACGGTACAACGATCTATTACTGGAGAAAGAGCCTGGAAATCTGCAGGCTGCGAGTCTGAGGCAGTTAATTGATGACAAGGTGTCGAGGGAAGGGTTGATGGGCGTTGCAATCATTGGCGGCGTCGCTGTGGTTGCTGGGATAGTCGGTGGGATGATCATGAAAGGATCGAGGAGGAGATAATGCCTATCTCCAGTACCTGTTTGCTGCTGGCTAGCGAAGCAGGTGAAAGGCAAAGCATCAATTTAATATGCACTGGTGAATAGTACCTGAGGAATGAGAACGAGGTGCACAAATCATGAATGCGCTGTGCTGCCTGCAGTGGTTTGAAGTCTGGGCAACTTGAGAGGCACGAGATCCGGAGAAGTAGGTACCTTATATTAGTACAACCACTACCACCGTATATTGCTGTCGACGTCACACGCCTTTGTCACGGACTACCTTGAAAACGTAAATCGCAATGTCTGCCGGCTATATCAAGTAAGGACTTGAGGCAAGGTAGACTCTTCAGAATACAGGTAAATAATAGTATCATGTCACAAGTGTGATGGAAAGGCGCCACTTTCGCCGCCGTGTTTGAAGTACCCCAGCCGCGTGCGGCGAAAACACACACGCAGCCTCATTATTTATTCGCAGTGAGATGACTGTAGTGCTACAACAGCAATCCGATTGGTGACACTCGCGCCTCCTGCTGTGCTTCTTTAGCAGACAAACAATCGCAGACATGGTCGCACCTCAATCTTTTCTTGGTCACCGTCTATTTTGAACGTTATCAACCCGTAGGCGATTCGTCTCCTAAGCAATCCCATCTCCTCTGACGCCACTGTGCTCTCGGTGAACCTGAGGCTGGCCCTTCGTTGCCCGCCACTTCTCGCTGAAACGCACCTACATGCCGACTGCCAACTACCCTCGTTGATTTTATCGATATCGGGACCAACTCTTCATGTCCTTTTTCCATCATGGCCGATCCGACAAGACTAGAGGGTGAACGGGTCTTCTGCCACCAGTGCGAGAACGAATGGGATAGAGCGCATGGAGGACTGACTTGTCCGAGATGTGAGGGTGACTTTACAGAGATTGTATGTCCCTGTCCATTATCAAGGGACTGTTATTGACCACCCTTCTGAAGATCGAACCACAGAGCACGTCAGTCCCAGAATCCAGTCGACAAACATCTGCCTCGCCAGCCGCGGCGCGTGAATCGCCTCTGCAGCCTCTATTTGACCACAACCCGTGGAATGACGACCTGGACCCCCAAGGTGATGATGGATTTACCACGTTCGAGTTTACAAGCAATCATGGAGGTGGGAGGATCTCTTTCACTTCGAGATCGTTCCGCATGAACAGCCCGGGAAGAAATGTAATGGAAACCCTACATGAAGATGTGGCCCAGGAGTTTGATCAAGTGCTCACCCGCCCATCGAGACGGCAGGTCGGATCCATGCCCCCGAATCATTTACGCCCGGTATCGCCATTCGAAATTCCCATTGAACATCCGATGGGTGCCCCCGTACCCCACGCACATGCTGGGCCTGGCACTTTACAAGAGTGAGTGAGTTCTATTGGAGTTGAACTTGAATTGATTGAAATAGTTTATTCTCCCTCATCTTGCAATCGATGCAACCTGCGATGCCACTTCGGCCGGGCGTTCCCGGTGGCCGCCCGCCCGGCCAGCAACCGTACCCGTTCGACCTTTTAAGCCAGCTCTTCAATCCGGGCAATGCACAACACGGCGACATGGTCTTTACGCAAGAAGCCTTCGACCGTGTCATGACACAGTTGATGGAACAGAATCAATCGGGCAATGCACCTCCTCCAGCGCCGGAAGAAGCAATCAAGTCGCTCAAGAAGAAGAATGTGGACCAGGAAATGTTCGGGAGCGACGGAAAGGCCGAATGCTCCATATGCATGGAAAATGTCGAATTGGGGGACGAAGTGACAGTGTTGCCATGCTCACACTGGTTCCACGGAGCCTGCGTGACTGCCTGGTTGAAGGAGCACAACACCTGTCCTCACTGTCGAAGACCGATCTCAGGCTCCAACGACAGCCATGAACAGAGTACACCCCGACGAAGAATGGGCTCTCGCTCTTCTTCTGGCTCGACTCCACGCGGATTCGGCGCAGAAGGCACTCGCTCCAATCCCTTCACCATTCCAGATAGTCCTAGCGATCGGCCGGAAGCCAGACAGTCATATTACGGACACCGGAGAGATTCAGACTCGCACCGTTCCGACCATGCGGGGTCTCCGACAAGTAACCAAGACATGGGGCGACGTTCTTCTACGAGACGTGTTGGAGAGAGTTCAGCAAATCGAGGCAACAACTTCGGGGGAGGGGTCACCGGTTGGATTAGAGATCACCTGCCGTTTCCGTGAGGGAGCCTGTGCTGCCCAGCCGATGCTACTGTATCCTCCTCCACCGGGGGATTCGGAGCATAGTGAGCGCACATGGCCGGACCCGGACGGTCCTCGAAGAATACCGCCGTTATTCAACCAGAAGTCTTTTGGGCATGGCTATGCACAAGCCACTCAGCCTTGTGGATGCTTTCTGGAAAGTTTATTACAGCAATTGAGCAGGGGGAGCTCTGTACGGTACCGCTAGCCCTGGAGGGGCGATGCATCAAGGCGTGGGAGCAGATAATGGACGATGGCTGGATATGCCAATAATGACTACGACGGCGATGACACTTGTAAGACTACCTGGGTACTTTCACCCTACACAACGGGTATTGAATGGGGAACTCGGGACGGCGTTTTGTTTGAGCATAAACCAGAGCCTGATTCCTTGACAGATCAGGTAGCTACCTACTATGTAGGTTCCAACAGGGAATACGTACGATGTCCCGGGATGCTGCTCCTACAGTGCCAGAAATGTATCACTGTAACCATGTACAATGTAGAGTCCACGTTCAAGTTGAGAATTGCCCGTGCGCGGATGATGTCATGTAGATTGAACGAATCACATGATGTTGATATCACCGATAAGGTACCTAGGTACTATAGGTACCTACAAAGTTGTATAGTAGGTAACATGGTTGTTTTGGTGTTCTGCGATCACATGCTCTCGCCAAATCATCCTGAACTTGAATTGCCCTTCGAGTTTCACATGCTAATCGTGTCCATTGTCGCCATCGCCCCTCAGCTCGGTGATGTCTGAAGAGGATGCTGGAGCACACTGGCAGTTGTTCGTCAGCAATGGCCGATGCAACTGCAATGTGGTATGCTGACCTTCGTCAGCTGCGCTTCTGACTTTCTCCTGTCATCACTGGCTATTATTATGGTCTCTTGAACCTGTTGGCGGACAACTTGAAGGGAAGGGAATAGGAGCCCGTGCATATTATGGCATTCCTTTGTTTACCCTTTTCTTAAATCTCCTGCCCGCATTATACAAATTGCTCTTATTCCAGCATTGCCGCATTCGTGATGATAGGTACATATTGCCTGCAACCCATCTACAACAACCGATTGACTGATTTGCGGATATAGACCACGTCCTTGGCCGGCCCTCTTCACAGTTCAGAAAAGTCCAGGTTTTCGCCGTTGTCTCCTTCTGGTCTCTGTATCTCCTCAGGTATGTGACTCGACGACTCGGTGTGTTCCTTTCTCTGACAGAACCGTCAGAGGGCATCGACATGGACCTGTTGGTCTGCGGAAGTTGTCCGAACGCCTGTCCCAAAGGCTGACCCCCTGGCGCTCGGTTGTCCTCACGCTCCTTTGGCTTTATATCTGTCGAAATTTCGCAAAGATCTTCAACCTCGAGTCTCCGGAGCCACTCGCGAACCTCTACAGTCGGTCGTACTTCCGAGCAACATGGATCACCACAGCATTGGACGCTGGCTTTTGGACGGCAATGAGAATACGCAACAAGCGGATCAGAGACCTGGCATCGATCATCTTCACCGTGTATTACCTCATTGCAGCGGAGCAGGCGGACGAAAAGGTTAGAAAAGTGAGGGCCGTGTTGACAGTGGATCACTTACGGGTATCATGGAATAAACCAAACACACCCTACCTCAAGTGGCTGACTGCAATGTTGCGCCCACGGTTCATCAAGTACAAACCGAGGCGAATCCGGATCCCTCGACCGAAACAGTCACATTACAAAGAGCCGGTGGTTGCGTGGATGTACTTCGACGGGTCGCTTGCTGAGTTAGAAAAGCAAGAAAACCTGGTCCTGGACATCCCGGGCGGCGGCTTTGTAGCCATGGATCCACGCACAAGCGACGACAAGCTGCTTGCCTGGGCCGGGAAAACCGGGCTTCCTGTACTCAGCTTGGACTACCGCAAGGCCCCGGAATTCCCTTACCCTTATGCGCTCAACGAATGCTTCGATGTCTACACCCAGATCGTGGCTACCCGGGGGCGATGTATCGGCATGAAACCAGATTCATGTCCAAGAATAGTGATAACAGGCGATAGTGCAGGCGGGAATCTTGCTACTGGGACTACTTTGATGATCATTCAGTCCAACCAGACTGGTACATCTCGCGGAATTCTGCCATCTCCTGCCGGCCTGGTTCTCTTGTACCCGGCGCTGGACATGAACATTGGCAGCTGGATGACAGACGACCAGATGGCACTGATCCGAAATCCAAGGACGGCCAAGAAATATCGCAGCTTCATCAAAAGGAAGAGCGAAGATATTGATAGGCGGTATACCCCTACCACTCCAAGGCCTGCGGACGATGACGACGACGAAGGAGGCCCAGGTCACGACTTCTTCGCTTCTCGTGGCAGTACCAGTACGGACAAGGGCAAAGGCAAAGCTCGGGATGATCCACCAGATGTCGATGTCGAGGCACAGAAGCAAGCCGTGGCCACGTCTAAACCACAGCCTTTGAAAACGAGACTGGCCGTTTCGTCCATCATCTCGTATTTTGGCGACCGCATTCTGACGCCCGAGATGATGCGTGCCATGATCATTCTCTATGTCGGACCGTACAATCGCCCGGACTTTACCACCGACCATCTTCTCTGCCCTGCTGTTGCCCCCGAAAACCTCCTGGCCAAATTCCCCAAGACTTACCTTCTCACAGGAGAGCGCGATCCTCTGGTTGATGACACGGTCATCTTTGCAGGCAGGCTGCGACAAGCCAAATTGCATCTCTTCCGGGAACGGCAAGAGGTTGGGCTGGAGAAGTCGACGGCGGAATTCGACGAAAAGGAGCATGTTGAAGTGACCTTGATCGCCGGTATCTCTCACGGGTTCGTCTCGTTCGTGTCGGTCTTTCCCGAAGGCTGGAAACACATTTTCCGTTGTGCCAACTGGATCATGGACATTTTCGACAAGCCGCCGCACCAATTCGAAGGACCGGCCATTGAATCGAGATTACGTAGCGGCACACTCACTCATGATTCCAACAGTAGCCTCGAACTGGCCTCGACACAGTTGCGACATCATCGCCGCACACCGACTGGGGAGAGTGTCGACGATGATGCCCCACTCATCATGTCTTCTCTAAGGGATGAAAATTTCAAGTCTCCATCTAAGGCCAACGCAAATGGCACGATGAAAGATGACAAGCAAGGACAAGCCCGCGGAAGGGCGATGGAAGAAAAGTCTAGGGCCGATAAAGGCCGGAGCAAAAGCTTGGTTTCGTTGGGAAGTGAAGAAGACCTTTTGAAACGACGGATGAAAGGGTTGACAGTGGGCTTGATGGGCTCCAGCCACACATGAAGGATGAAGGGTTGAAGCAATCTTTCTCAATGCAAGACGGAGGATGCGTCCGGTGAATTTGAAATGTAAGCTCACATACAGCGGCATTTTGCGTTTAAGACCATATACGGCAAATTCATCCATACAGCAAATTCAAAACTCGGAATCATGTCATCCCCAGCTTGATAATCTCAGCACACCCGAGCTTCATTCTGAAGTAGATCAGCCTCAAGCCTCGTAGCTACAGTATTTGGCCATCCTTGAAGGAATAGTACCTCGAGGCACGCACGGTACTGTCTGCCCGCATAAGAATCACATCACGCTCGACGCGACGTGCCCATCAACGTTGCCCTCTGTACAGCTGACAACTTGAAGTAGCAGAATCAACTGAATCAAATCAGCATCAATCAACCCACCTCTCGGAGAACCGAGCCAGGCCTACTACTACTACCCAACCTACCCCCAAAGTCGAAGCCTAGGGAGCCTCCCGAAGGGCATGCAACTCATTATTCCGCCGAATAATATCCCTATCAGACATCCACCGCCATGACTAAAGACCTTTTCACCCACCTCCCAATTCCGATGTGAATAGGTTTCAGAACCAATTTGCCCACTGTAAAAGGGGTCTTTTACCTAGAATCAACCTTTTTTTTTTTCTTTTTTTTTCTTCTCCCCAACAAACTTTATGCGGATGTTTTGTCAAAGAACAGCAGATTTAGCGGAAAGAGTCATGTGCGGTGGGATATTCGTCCATGACGGGTTATTGGCCTGTCAAAGCGGGTTCAGAGTAAATACTCTTGGACATAAAAGGTTCCCTTCTTTCGAAATAGATTCAAAAGCTTCTGTACAGCCGCGCATGATCTCATAGCATAAAGTAGAGCTTTTTGTCTTCAAAGATCCAAGTGTCCATCCCGGGATCGAGCTTACCGCTGCGCCTCTCTTCTCCTTCTTGCCGCTTCCCTCCTCCACGCGCCGCCACGTTTCCACTGAAGGGCTACGATGGACAACGCGGCTGCCTGAACGAGAGCGCAGATTGTAAATGCCCAGCCGACTCCGGTGCCGTTCACCATGGGCATCACAAAACTTGTACCACCAGCCGCGAACAAGCATCTGGCAAGATTCAAGCTTGCGCTCGCTGCCGCACTTCGATCCGGGAAGGCATCCACTAGGTAGGTCATAATGACCGACTGCGTCGAGACAACAGTCCATCCGGTGATGAAGGTGGATATGATGGGGATTGCGATAGGGACGCGAGATGGATATTGAATGGTCCAGCCGAAGAGGATGATCGACAGGCATTGGGCGCTGGCAAAGATAGGGACCAGTCGAAGACGCGCCTTTTCGAGTGGGAAGCTATCTTCAGCGTCGGTTATGGAACGATTTAATGTACTTCCCATGTCGACGGCCGATTCTGTGGACTGAGCCTCATGCTTCGCTTTAACCCGGCGGTAATCGACGTCGAGAATCTTGCCACTCACTAACGTACCGATCATCGAGCCCACCCCATTCGCAATAAATGTTAGACCGATTTGTGTTTCGCTGAGACCATAGCGTTCCTTGAACAGAGTCGACAGAGCAGTGATGCTCATTTGCCAGACGGCATAGTAGATGGCCAAGAAGATGATGATAGGGGCAGCATGTTTGCTGACCAGGATGCGAAATGGCCCCGTAAGATCAATGTGTTTTCTTGGTGCAAGCGCCGGGGGATCTGCTTGGGAATCCCACGCCACTTTGGTAAGCCTTTGGTATGTTGTTAGGGGATATTTCCCCAGCAGCTGCGAAGGCGTCTGGCTTCCGTTCGCAACAATGGACCGGAGTGTTTCTGGGAGGAGCACTGTTAACAGGAGCAAAAAGACACCACTATAGATGGCCAGGAACCAGAAGATCGCCTTCCATCCCAATGAGCCAGCAATAGCGCCGCCAATCACTGGACCAACGGCAACAGGCACGAGCAGCCCGGCCTGGAATATTCCCATGAAGCCTCCGCGCTCAGCACGAGTGGTGATGTCCCCAATCACACCAGATCCGATCGCGATCGTGCTTGCGCTTCCGGTACTTTGTAAACACCTCAACACAATCAGGGTTGCGTAATTCTTGGTTTCGGCGAGGCCGACACATGCGCCGAAAAAGACGAGAAAGGTGCAGCAGTATGCGACTCGGCGTCCTCGGACATCGGAGATAGGGCCCCAAAGACTGGGGGCCAGTCCTTGGAAAATGAGGTACGATGTTACCGTGAGGTTCACCAGTTCGACAGAGACATCAAGATCCTTTGCAATCAAGGGAAGTGCAGGAAAGTATATGTTTGATGCAAAGCCAGAGACTATTCGTACATCAGCCAACATGGAAACGTTGTCTGCCAGTTTTCCACTCACAAGTCGCCGCGGTCGACACAATTGCCACGATAAAAGCTTTCTGTCGCTTGTCAAAGATGCTGTAAAGGGCTTCTGCATTTACTCGTGGTCCTGGTGGTAGTGGGTCAGAACCAGGCTTCAAAGCTTCTTGAGGCAGGTCTTTGGCTAACATTGCGCCTTCCTGCGGCGATATTCTGTGGAATTGATGGCGGGCGAGGTGTCTGAATGAGTACAAAGAGACACAATTCTCAAAGAGGATGCCCTATATACCCAGGTACAGCCGCGGGAGTGGGGCCTTTTCGGAGTTGAGGATCCATATCTCGGAGTTGAGCAAAATCGCGGCGGAGTTGAGGATGTCGAATCCATCCTGGCCAGGGGCTAATAAAGCAGTTGTCTATTTACGCCGCAAAGAAGTTTGACAACTCTCTCTATCATGCTTCAGCATCTTCGAACTCCCAGCCATGGTCACAGCACAGAGCACCACCCAAGGGTCCCTCACTTTTGGCCAGCGCTATGCGGTGCTTAATTTGGATTTCATGACTATTCTGATCGACGCCATCAAGGATACGACAGAGGGACAGGCATTCATCACCAACTGTTCACGCTGGAATAATGCTGTTCATATGAAGAACGCGCGACCCTTGACTATCTTCACGACTCTTTACTTCGCCCCAGGACGACCAGAGCTGGCAACAGGGGCGCCCTTCACCAAGCTGCTCGAAGGCTTCGGATCGTTTGATGCCGGGTCTCCAGAAGTACAAATAGCCTCTAATTTCGTACTAGATGCGAAAGACATTGTCCTCCAGAAGATTAGATGGCATGCGGGCTCTGGTAACAATCTAGAGCACATCTTGAAAGCGCAAAACATCGACACAGTCATCATTGTACGTTGACTTGGCCTTCCCTCCACTCCAAGCTACGCTGACAAGTGATCACAGTCCGGATTAACGCTATCTGGCGCCGTGATGAGCACAATTTATCGTCTGTTCGATCTAGACTATCAAATTTATGTCATTTCGGATAATGTGTTGGAGCTACCGCTGTCTCATCATCTAGATTTCTCAAAAGTCATGTTGGATGCTCTTCTCCCCAAGATGAATTTGAGATCCATTTCGGTTGAAGAGGCTTTAGAGGCGCTGGGACGGAGTTAGTCGGTCTTCTACCACCATTGCTGATGCACTGTCGTGTCTTGAATGATGGGCTTTTAGTGCAAAGTTTGTTCAGCTAAGTTATCGGGATATGCAAATATAGGGCATCAGCCGCCATGCGTACAGCTCGTAACTGCATAGAGCATTGTTCCAAACTCGTCAATATTCTCAAGCCACTGTCCCACTCGATCGCTTTTCTCAAGAAGGGCAGTATTGTCGAGGGGTGCAGGATTCGGCCAGAGCTCGTCAATATTGAAACCACCACGCACCCAGTCCGCCAGGTGAACATTGTATGCAGTTTCCCACTCGGATCGTGTTTGTGCCCTCCATAAGCGCTTGTTTGCCGGAGCAGGAAGACCGCGAAGCTCGGTGCCGAGGAAAGTCGGAAGATTGTCCTGAGCGCAAAGCAAGCTATCGAATAGATACATTGTAAACAGCGTCCGACGCTTCGCTTCAGCAACGATCCAGGCTTCCCACCTTGGACGGGCACGTTCCTGCTCCGCGATACAGACTATTCCATGCTGACTGCTCAGGCCTGCTAGATCTTGAAGCTCAATAAGCGCCTGTCGAAGGAACGAATTTGTATTCTGTCGGAGTATGAAGAGGAAAATCATGGAGTAGATCAGATATGATTGATATGCCGCAAGGAGAGTCATATTGTCATATGCTGCGCGCTGCTGGTAGATGCTCGTCATCTCTCTTCGCAGCACGTCTGCGGCCACACTCTCACTGCCAGGTAATAGCTTTTCACACATGCGGACCAAGGTCAGACAGGTGGCGAGTGGTGGGTTCACCAACGATGTCATGATTTGTGAGTGATGAATGAAGGGTGGCACTCCACGGCCACGTACAGCAGCCGTGGCATAGGATCTGAGGATCTTGTAGATATAGGCTGTGACAGCAGCCGGGTATTGTTTGATCTGCTGTCCCGGCACCGGCACATAAGAATTCAGCCAGCGGTTGCATATGTCGTCCGCAATGATGGGGCAACGAAGCTCCAGGTTGTCAAAACTCAGCGTCTCCGACACCGTAGATGCAGGCTTCGTGGTCTTCGTCTTTGACTGGATTGTAAACTCGTCCCCGGGAAGCACTGTTTGGGCAGTGCTGGGTTCAGCATTGTCGCCCCTGGGCTGCGGCGAATCGATGTGAGAGTTGCAAACTTCGGTCATAGCAGATTTCTCGAGGTGAGAGTTCGAGCAGGGAATATCTGACGATGAAAAACTGCCGGCAGAAACCAGCGAAATGTGTCCATCCTGCTCTGCATTATAGCTTTCACTTCGTGACGTGCTGTCACGAGGTGCAGCCTGTGGGTAGCTGCAAGAGAGGCCTCGTACAGTACACCTAGTACACCTGCTGCCGGCTTTGCGATCACATTTGGTCTTAGCGCTAGAGCACTGACTGCAGGCTTTTTGTCGCGAAGCACCGTACCGGGGCGCCTTCATCATGAGGTCGTGGAATGCCAATGGTCAGTCCCAGTAGATACAGATTGTGCGCCTTACTATGCTGAACATGGGGTGAAGATTTCAGCAGTCTTCGCGCAGACGAGTTTGTGATCCTTGAGGTCACTCACTAGTGACAATTCGAGAGTGAAAAGAAGGAAGATTGGGTCCTAAGAGAAACATTGCCAAAGTTTACCGCATTAATAATCTCGGCATCTCTCTGATAGGGCCGCCATAGTTCTAGGATCTTCCCGAGTTGTCGTAAGGAGTGTATATTCTTCTAAACTAGAACTACAGGGGCCATGAACAATTGTAGGCTTGGGTGGTGGGCTGTTAGCTACTACCAAAGATGTCTTCTACGACATATCAGCCCCTAGATATGATGGATAGAAGAGCTAGATTAGGCTGCGTAGTAGGTTAGGACAACCTATGCTGACGGCCACGAAATGGAATTTGCCGACCTGGACGTGCCGAAGCAAATCAATGGTGTCTTGGGCAAAAGTGTCGTAAGTGACATCCATGTGTGAAACATCATTCCACTGGCTTTGGCCAAATCCACGGCGATCGGAGGCAATGCATCGGACACCGTGGGTCTCGCACAATGTCAGCGTAAGGTGTTCATACATTTGGTGAGACATGGGCCATCCATGGACGAAGACAAGCACTATATCCTTGTTGCTGTAGTCTTTGTTCGGGTCGGATGTTGGGCGAAAGCGTGGTGGCTTGGATGCCGGACGGTAGTCCACATAATGTAGAGCAGTGCCATCCAGGCTCGAATTGAAGAATGGCATGTCGAACGGAAGGGGAAAGGTCCAGCAGGTAGTAAACTCGCTCAGAGGATCCCTTGTTTTTCTCAACTGAGTGCTGTGATTGTAGGAGACAAGGAGACACAACCGATGCAATTTATATTTCAAGACTCGTTCAAAATCAATCCGTCATAACGTTATGCTTCAGCAATTTCAGGCAAGCATAGGTGGAAAGCCCTTCACAACACCAACCCTCCCGTTGTCGGCCACGGTTATGGTCATGACAATGTCGTGGACCACATCTTGCCGACCACCCATGCTAGGCCCGTCAGGCCTCCTGTTCTACTCTCCTCGAGATACAGCATCCTCGCCTTGTCTGCTGACCGTTCCTTGTCTTGTGGGCGTCGGCGTTGGGCTGCCGTCACGATTGAGCTCGCGTATTGTGGACCCAACGCTGCCCATGGGCCTGACCCTACTGCCAACAAACCCCTTCCTGTTGCGCCCTGTACGACCACGACCGAGCCAGTTCAGCTTGAGCTGTCGGTTGAGCTCTTCCATTTTACCTTGGGCGTCGTCTCCGGATTGCACCGAGCACAAAACCGACAGGCATTGAAGCATCCGGCCGACAGTCTCGGTGACCTGGGCCGAAGACCTATCCGTCGGTCGCGCTGCCGGCGGGGAACTGAAGGATTGGAAGGCAACATCCTGCGCTGGATTGCTCACCACCGAAAGATTCGAGGCGGCTCGAGACCTGCCTCCAGAGGTGACGCTCCCCAGCAGCGTGCTGCTCTGAGAGTTGTAACTGCCATAAATGGGTTCCGCCCCTGGTGCAGTACCCGGTCTGTCACTGCCTCCGCTGTTCCCACGATTCCTATTGCCCGCATCAAAATGTGCCAAGGTCGCATTTATGCTCTCAAGACTTAGTCGAGAAAAGGTCGCCTTCAACACCTCAAACCGTGGAAGGATAATGACATCCCGAAAGGTGATAAGCAGGATCCGTCTCACTTCGAGTTCTTCTCCAGCAGGGACAACAAAATCTGCACCATCTCCTGCAGCAGGCGATGACGATAATTTGCTGCCAGATTCAGCACTTGGCAGGGCACCCCAGAACTCGGCGGCCATCTTGGGGGTGGTCAGAATGCTGCCTCGACCCTTGAAGTCCTGGTCCAAAGGGAGAAAGACTGCTTGGATGAAGGGAAGGATCGTGCCGAATACCTGAATCCACATGCTCACGAGGTGAGGGACCAGCCTATCGTCGTTGACCTGACGCAAAGTGTGGTTGAGGCTGAGGAAGCCAGTCTTCAAAAGGTCTTCAAGGTCCCCGATGATAATGCTAGGATCTCTCTTCTGCACACATCGCTGGACATGAATGCTCACCAGTTTGTTCAGGTCCTCTACTGCAATCGGGACAGTCTCTCCCTCAAAAATCACCAGGATTTTGGAGTTTAGTAGAGCCCAGGCGTCATCCGCTGACATGTTGTGGAGACCAAAATTCGCGCCAGCCTCTTTCACTTCGCTATGTGCGTTGAAATTGGTCACAGATGTATTGGGAAAGCTGGTGCTTAATGAGGGCAATTCAGATGTATCGCTTTCGCCACGACTATAGACAGGTTCCAAAGTTGCAAGAGCCTGAGCCTTTTCCTCCTTTTTCTTCTCACGTAGTGCACGGCCTCCATGTCGGAGGTCGAGGCCAGAAACTGTCTTCGAAAAGCTGGAGGAGGGGGCGGGAGACGAAGGGGCGAACGAGTAGAGTGAGTGTGGATTATTGATATTTACCGGCCTCGAATTCGAGTTAGCAGAAGAAAGAGGAAGCGCGTATGAATCGTCTTTATCCTTCAGCTTGAGCTTTTGTCGTAAGCCATGATGTTTGTGTGCCTTCTCCTTCGCTTCTGGTTGAGGCACAATGGTAGATGATGACGGGTTGGCCATTTGATAGAAAGAAGAATTGTTAGAGGAAAGAGAATCAGCCAAGCTTGCAGTCGAGGCGTTCATGTTCATGACCTTGGACAGGCCACTGGGGGCATGTCTGTTCGGCGATTGTGGGGGTTTCTCTTTGGCCTCCTTGTCTTTGTCCCTAGAAAGGACAATGTGTTTCGGCCTGAATCTCTTCAAACCCTTCTTGGATTTCTCTTCTTCCACCGACGGCACATGAGTAGTCGAGGCAACATTGCGTGGAAAGACTACACTTGCAGCTGTTGCCGCAGCGTTGGTGCCAACCAGGCCATTGCGGTATTGTTGGTCCGGAGCCGCAGGCGACGTCTGCCCATCATGAGACCCCGTTGACCCTCGGCTGTCCCGGCGGGACTCCTGTTGGTTCTGCTCTTGTGGAAAGGGAACAGTTTGGGAACGCTTGCGGTTGTGGTTGGCAGCATTGAGGTGTTGCATGGCAGCCTGCGCCGCAATCTGGGACGGTGTAAGTCCATGAAACCCGGGGTTGTCATGAAGGGCGGACTGGCTTGCCAGCGAGGCAGAGGGCATCGAGGGTTCGAAATAGCCCTGGGAATGCTGTCGAGGGCGATGCTTCTGAAGTTCGCTCGGGGGAAGTAGGTTCTGTTTCCCGGCCCCATCTCGGGGCATGTATTGCGCGGACGGCCTTGTGTGGTAGGGCGCAGAAGCATTGTTGCTAGTGTTATGGGAGGTGAACGTCGGTAGCTGCTGGAGAAATGGTGATCGTTTCACCACCGAGAGACTGGATGACGCCGAACTCTCGCTTCCGCTTGAGCCTGGTCGAGAGCTCTGCTTTGAGCCTGAGCGAGATGGGTTCTGGGAGGCAGAGGTAGAGGCGGGAGGCACTGGTGACCGGAGACCCGTCCGGCGGGGAGGAGGTGGTTCCATTGCAGTCGAAATGAAATGTCCAAGACACCAGGCTGATCAAGTGAGCAGTTCAGGGTTGTAGACACGTCTTGTCAGCGTAGGATGTGGGTGGTCTCGTTCACACAAGAGAGCGTCGGTTGGCAGGCTCCGGGCCAACTGCGCGTATGCTCTGAGAGAGGAGCAGTGGTGACAGACATACTTTTACCAGGATACAAGAGCGGCCTCATCCATATTACCAGCTGGAAAGAATTGTGAGATCGGCCCGTAGATTATGGCTAGTTGTGTAGGGAAAGACCTCGTTGGGAGGGTAGTAGGAAACTTGAAGGTGATGTTGATGGTGATGATGTTGGAGTGACACCAATTCCGCCGCAGTTCCTCCGCCGCCAAAGACTCAATCAAGTCTGCCACGGCCACCCTCAATTCTCAGAAACAACTCTACATTTGACGTTTCCCCAGACTCTTTGCGGCAACACCTGGCACGGCCTCCCGAAGCATCCTCATCATGGCGGACAATGGACAAGACTCCTCCGCCACACTAAGTGCTGTGTATCACTCTCCATCTGACGACAAAACCTTCCGTATCAACATCCCTTCATCGGGCTTTGCAAACGAGCATGTCTCCGATCCACGAGCCAAGTCGACCTATCTGGCAGACCTGAGGGCTGCAACCAAGAAGATGCAGGAAGAGGTCAACATATTCCTCACGGAAAAAATGGAGCAGGACAAGCAGGCGGCTGGCGATGCAGGTCGCACAGTCGGCTCAAAGCAAAAAGCTGATGACGAGCTTGAAGAAGAGAATTACGGTGAAGAAGGCGTGGACGACGAAAGCTGAGGGATGCCTGGATCGGGAAACTATACGCTCTATTCGCGCGCGCTCTCTACGACGAAACGGGTATCTCAACGCCTAACAACCGAGTGCTCGTCAGTCTGTCGCTATCAGAGCCCCTGGCCTTTGCCCTGAAGCTGATTCTGCTTGGCGACGGCACATCCAAGATGTACCACCGAGTTACTGGGACATGTCAGTACGATTTCAAACTCTGGACACGGACGCGAACTTACTCAGGAAACACACTGATGACGCTGCCACCAAGACGTTTGTAGCAAACACCGCAGACGCGATCCTCGTCAATGCGAACTTTTCTGCCTCTGCCGCCGGTCGGAGCACCTTCTCCAAGCATCAGAGCTGCTTGAACCCGAACCGCCTCTACTTTTCTCAACCCTGCAGTGATGATTGAATCGTTCATGGTGCTGTTTGCGTTGCGAATTCGACCCCGAAAATAGAATTCGAGCTCCCTTACTGTCAGACCTTCGGGGATCATTTCCAACGTGGAGCTTGCGGGCAACCTGGGTCCGTGACGGGTCATTAGTTCGATGGCCGGGCCCCAAAGGGCTTTCTCTCCCTTGGGAGGGTTCAAGTACAGGTTTAGGAGGATGTGGTAGATTGATGGCTCTTCATCAACTGGATCCGTCGTCGACTGTCGTCGCAACGAGACTTTCCTGTGGGTCTTGACTTTCTCTTCGAGATAGATCTGGTTGCAATACTCCTCCGCCTTGGCCGGATCATTCAGTCTGAAGACATATATCTCGAGGGCTTGTCTGTGGTTGCCCATCTTGCTGAAGACAATGGCTCTGGCCTCGTAAAAAAGTGGGTCATCTCGAGGCAACAAGCCGAGTGTTTTGGCGGGAGAGTATTGCTCAGATGTTCTCAACAGAGTCATCAACTTATCGAGGACTTCATCTCGGTTCGGGCAAGCTGGATGTTGAAGCCGCTCAAGATACAAGGTGACAAGATGCTGGTGAAGCTCCGGCGTGAGGTCGTCTAACTCGTCAATGACATGTTCCAGATACCTCTGGGCCAGTGCTTTGTCGATGGATTCGAGGAAGGCGAGGACCTTTTGGCGTGGCAGCGACTCCGCGTTTTCTGTGTCCGCCAGGAAAATCTCCATGGCCATTCCCGGGTCAGTCTCAAGAGGCCAGCGGGCGAATTCGAGGATTAGGTCAATGTACTCCGGCCCCAGGTTCTGTAGGTATGACACCGTTCTCGCGGGTCCTTGTAGTCCAGTCTCAATGTTTTCTGTCTCGTCGGCCTGTCCGAATTTCTGAAGTCTCTCCAGTGCCTGTCTGTGAAGTCGTTTGCCGTACAGGAATTCGATGAGGTCGTTGTACCGCTCTGTTTCTTCGAGTTTGGCCCTCACGACATCAGGATCGCAGAAGTTCTGTATACGGAAGAGGGAGCCTGCCAGTGAAGGGGTCGCATACATGTGTGCTCGGAACAGAGTGGTGTCCACAAGTCTCGCCAATGACAAAATCTTGTCGCTCAGATCGACGTCGTCTAGCGAAGGGACTCCAAGCAGATACTCAGTCACTTGCCGGATGTCCTCTGACTGGGCACCGGCCTGAACTTCGGCGAGAGTTCGTACGGTTTGATCTGGATTGAAAAACCGTTGCAACCTGCGACGCACATCTGCGAGAAACGCCTGAAGCTCGCGAACTGCCGTCTTGAGCTCTTTTTCTGAAAAGCTTCCTAGTCCGGAATCATCCTTCGACTTGGTGGTCTTGACGCTGACACTATCTGGGTCCGCAGGAGGTGGCTTGGCCTCGCTGACACGGCTCGCTCGCGATTCGGTTCTCTTGTGTTGCGGTCTAGGATTAGCTTCGTTCTTTGGGGGTTCGGTAGACGGTCCTGCGTTCTCCTGCTCGCGTTTCGCCAGCTCTCCGGCTATAATCTGGGGATATAACTTGATAACTCGCTCTGGGGGTGCGGAAACCTCTCCGAACAAGTCCAGCGCATCCCGGAACTTCTTTTCATCAAACAGCTGCTGGGCCTTCTGCATCTTTATTTCACGCAGTCGCCCAGCCTTGTTGTTAATGAGTGTCTCCTCAATCATTTCCAGCAAACTGATCGCTTCGTCGAGGGCGCCGCTATCGACCAAAGCATCGATCTGCGCGTCGTAATTGAGTCCCTGCATTCTCCAGACCGTCCGCTCACTAGCGACGAAAAATCCCTTGCCTTGATGGGCTAAGCTGATGCTGGGATTCGGAACCTGCAATAACACGGCACCGGGCAAATCGATCGACTGGAGCAGGGTGAGTGTCTTAGGATTCCGAACCTCGAGGACACCTTTGCTGGTCTCTTGCAAAGCGAGCAAGTAGGGATAGGAATACCCTACTGCCTGAGGCGGTGTCCGCCATGGGATCTGCCTCCGTCCGAGCGGCTCCCCGTCTCGGTCGATGAAATGGGTGTTGATGTCTTTTGCCAGTAGCATCTCGTTCTCTCCCAAACCCGTGGCAAGTGGCGTAGGGATCATCGAGCCCATTCCAATGTAACTCATGGTTCCACCAAGTCTGCTAGTCTCTTGACCAGGTGCACCACCTATACTGCCTGGGCCGACAATTGTCTTCGCTTCTCCAGTTTCTAGGTTGACAAGGACATAATTGGCGCTGAGGCCGGCAAGGATTCTGGTCCCGGTCGCCCACGTTAAGGATTTGATGCTACCCGACAAGGGGATCTCAGTCGCATCACCGTCCAGCTCACCGTCATGCCATGACCACACCAGGAGCCTTCGCTTGACAGCGACAGCCAACTGGCTTGCCAGTGTAGGCACATTAGTTGTAGGGTCTTTTACAATGTTACTTGCCACCGCAAAAGTACTGGCACCTCGGGTTTTGGTCAACTGCTCCAGCAACTCGTACGTTCCGAGGTCATGAAGCGAGACGAGGCCATTGCTCAACGAAATTAGGAGGTTTGCTTCTCGAAGTACGGCGAGTTGTTCTATCTTGTGTTTCGAAAACTTCTCGTGCTCACGGAGAAGCTCAGAGGGTTTCGTACCTCGCGGCGACGCGCCATTGGGAGGTGAGGGGGTGTCGCCCGCGGCATCAGAATCGGGAGCAGTCGAGGGTGGACTTTTGATCCGGTACACACGGAGGGCGCCAGTGTTGAGGCCCACGAGTAATTGATCGCTGTGAGAGAGGATGGATTCGATCTTGGACTTGTCTCGCTGTTTCAGCTCAACGATGGGCTGCGCGGTAAAGGCAGATAACATGGATGGGTTGTTGCTGGGTCGCTAAGCCCTGGAGGGCCGAGCGGTAGACACGATGGGAGTCGAAATTGCACGTCGGCAAGTACTAGGAAGCTCCGTTGTAGATCGATTCATTTGACTCGAGTTCTCGATGTATATATCGGTGCCGTACGTAGCATAGTATACGTAGCATTCCAGTAAGGTAGTGTTGTGTCTCGTCGGCGCAGGCTGCGGAGGGAAAAGCAAACTCCGATTGGCTGCAGAAGACTACGGCAAGGCTACGTCACCGCGTTCAAGGTCTGGGGCGCAAGGCTGAAGGTCCTTTTCATGACACTGGCAATGCACTGCAAGTTCCGAGACGGATGAATAGACACGGGTCTAGCGAATCCAGAGCTTGGATATACTCGGGGTCGAGTCAGTTGTGTACCCTTGCGTAACCGTTCTAGCCGTTACTTGCATTCGGGTTGACAACGATAGCTACCTAGGTAACAACCTGCGTGCAAATATCATCAGTGACAATCTACTGCAATCAGCGACCAGCGCGGACGGGTGGACTTCCTTCTTTTGCGACAGGTATGATGGACAATGTGCCTAGTTTCTGATAGAACTCTTATCCTTTCAAATAACCTCAAATTCACAGCAATGCAATCCGTGGCAAGCCCACGACTGCACCAGCAAGTATCGATGCAAGTCGCCCTTAGTTTCCAAGACATTGAAATTAGCTCCATCTTCGAGGACATACCGACCTTATCATCAGCCTTCTTGCGTGATCCATCTGACCGCGAGCCCTGAGCACACAACGGTACAACAAAATTCACCTGACACATGACTTCAATTCTGTGACGTGCCTCGTTGAATGTGTGCATTATCCGAGGGAATCTCTGGCTTCTTGGACGGCTGATCCTCATGCATGCCTTCGGCATCGCTTTCTTCGGCCAGATCAAGGGTTTGCTCGATCAGGGCCAGGTCCGCGTCAAGATCTGCCAACAGAGGGTCCACTTCACCAAAGTCTTGCACCTCCTTCCTGGTTTTGTCGAGTAGTTTCTGCATGGCGTCGTTCTCTGCCGCCAGCGCCTTGGTGTCCTTCCGCAGCTGGTCCTCCTGTCTCGTCAGTGCTTCGGCATTCGAGTGCATGATTTTTGCCCGAGACTGGAGTTCAGTATCAATGCTTGCGCCGACGGAGTTGAGCGCCGCCTTGAATGCATCCTTGGCTTCGGCAGTTCGCAGCGCTGGCGACACAGCAGCACTCTGGGGTGCTGGCGATGTCTGTGACGCTGCCGACATGTTGACTACAACACTGAGTCAGATCTCGCATCCCACGCTGATTACGAAACTGGTAGACCTGCTTTCTCCTTGCAGAATCACACAAGAGTCTCAGATTGTTTTTTCGACCGCAGCGAAAACAGGAACCAGCAACCAATGCACTACTAGTAGTATTTGGAGGATGAAGTGGTAATGAAGCGTAGGTGTCCAGGTGGCCCCGGCAATTCGACGAATTTATATTTGATCTTGGCGTGCATGAATCCCGATGCAGCTGCCAATCGCCAGAGGACGATTAAGATAAGGGGGTAGTTCTCCAGGCAGTCTACCAGAATCTATACGTTGAACGCCGGAATACGGAGCATTTAACAATGGTGTGTCGACCGTGGCTCGCAGCCGCCATATGCAGCAAGAGAATGGCTTCTCCAGGCTGGCAAGTCTAACGCGTGGGTACTTCATGGAGACCGCACCCAGTCGTACGTGTACTGGGCTCATCATCTCCAGCTGGCTCAGTATAGTATATCCGACAGAAGCATTTGCGTCCTCCCGTCGCGAACGACGTCATCATTATATCGTCCAAGGCAGACCAAGCCGGTGCATTTCAACCGCCAGCTGAAATATATAGTCCAGGCTTTCACACTGGGTTTTGGCTTTGGCGACTGCATCACCCCAAACATAACTAAAATTCGTCAGTCTTCAAGAATCACACAGACAGCAAATGCACTCACATCCCGTGTCGTCGGACTAGCACAGCATAGGTATCCGGATACTGTTCCATAGCCTTCTCCAAGTACTCGGTCAAATCCTCCTCGAACGGCGTATTCTCAATAATGGGCACCCGCAACGTGTCATGAAAGCCGAGCATTCCCTTTCCCGGGCCTTTTGGAATCCCCTTGATCTGCTCGATGTTGCTGATCTCGAAGCAAGCGTCCTTGCCATGCATCTTCTCGACCAGAAGAGTAACAAGAACACACCATTGGGAGTGGGTATGAATACAGCAGCCCGCACCTCGGTCGAAAGCCGCGAGGAAGAGTGGCGTACAAGCGGACGGCTTCAGCTCATAGGGCTTCCGGATATACTGCCGTGCAGACGGGGGATATTTTGGCGTCGGGTAAGAAAGGACGAACATGTCGTCCGGCTTGATAAGCTCTTTCTGCACACCCGAGGGGGCAATGTAGACATGTTGATCTTTTCGGATACTAGTGCCACCACCGGTTCCAGTGACCCATCCTTGCATGGAGTTAGTTCCAAGGCATCCCGTTGCAATCTACCCCCTTACCAAGGCTATAGAACTGCCTACACAGTCTAGGTATCAGGTTTGCTGGATGGTCCGGGTCATCTGATTTGACCAAATGGTCATTGTTTGAGTCCGCCATGGCACAATATTGAGAGCGCTGGGGCAGCCGCTTTCGTCCCAGATCTGTAGTTGGTAGCCAAAAGCGAAGAGATCACGAACAGGAAGCGGGAAACACTGTTTGCGACGGCATCTGTCGCCCAGAAACCTGAAGCAGAGCAAAATCGGAAAATCGAAGACGCCATTCCGCACGTGTCTTCCAACATTACGTGATTACTTAGTCATTCGTTACACGTGTCGAGCTTGGAACGCTAAGCCCCGCCTTGCTCTTTGATTGATCCGGGACTAAGAATACTAACATGTCGGACTAGCCATTCATTAACCAACTCAAGTTAGCGCCGAGCCTAATGTCGCACTTGGTCGCTATCGCTGTGGAGATGCTGTAAAGGACACCTTTCTCTGACCTTCGACATTGGAAATATATCCCCGAAAGCAAGTGGACATTCCTCTCTTTCCTCCATCCTTTCAACTGGCCTTGTCCTTTCTCCTGCCAGCTGTCACTAGACTGTCTGTCGTTATACTCAGTGCGTGCCCATCATGCGCTTCAACGCGGCTATTGCTCCGGCTCTTTATGCGTCGGCCATCCTTGCCGGCAATGCATTCGCGCAGGATGAGAGCGAGCCTTCGACCACTGTGATCGAGCGGCCGACTTTTACTGTAAGTCGTCTGGTTGGGTAATGCTCCGTGTACAACTACTAATGACTCGACAGCCTACAAAGTTGAAAGCCCCTTTCCTAGAGCAATTCACCGATGACTGGGACACGCGGTGGACGCCCTCCCATGCGAAGAAACTGGATTCCAAGAGCGACGAGGATTGGGCATACGTGGGCGAGTGGTCTGTCGAAGAACCAACCGTGTTCCCTGGAATCGCTGGTGACAAGGCGTTGGTCGTCAAGAATGCTGCGGCGCACCATGCCATCTCTGCCAAGTTCCCTGAAGTCATTGACAACAAGGGAAAGACCTTGGTCGTTCAGTATGAAGTCAAGCTCCAAAACGGACTGGAGTGCGGAGGTGCCTACATGAAGTTACTGCGTGAAAACAAGGAGCTGCACGCGGAGGAGTTCTCCAACGCCTCCCCTTACGTTATCATGTTTGGTCCTGATAAGTGCGGATCTACCAACAAGGTAAGTTAGGCTCATGCACGATGCGAATAGCCGACAACTGACACACGTTAGGTTCACTTCATCTTCCAGCACAAGAACCCTAAGACGGGCGAGTACGAAGAGAAGCACCTCAAGAGTCCTCCACAGGCCAAGATCAGCAAGCTCACCACTCTCTACACCCTGATCGTGAAACCGGACAACACGTTTGAATTGTTGATCGACAACAAATCCGCAAAGAATGGAAGCCTGCTCGAGGATTTCTCGCCCGCAGTCAACCCGCCCAAGGAGATCGATGACCCGAACGACAAGAAGCCTGAAGATTGGGTTGACCTGGCCCGCATCCCGGACCCTGACGCCAAGAAGCCAGATGATTGGGATGAAGACCAGCCCTTCGAGATCGTGGATGAGGATGCCGAAAAGCCTGACGATTGGCTTGAGGATGAGCCGGCCACCATTCCTGATCCAGAGGCCGAGAAACCGGAGGACTGGGACGATGAGGAAGATGGAGACTGGATCCCTCCCCAGGTGCCCAACCCCAAATGTGAAGAAGCTTCAGGCTGCGGCAAGTGGGAGCCTCCGATGAAGAGGAATCCTCTGTACAAGGGCAAGTGGACTGCGCCCTACATCGACAACCCGGAGTACAAGGGACCATGGGCACCACGGAAGATCCATAATCCAGACTACTTTGAGGACAAGACTCCTTCGAACTTTGAGCCAATGGGAGCGGTATGTGTAACCCCCGTCATGTTTAAAGCGTACAATTTGCTAACTTTGACAGATTGGTTTCGAAATCTGGACGATGCAATCCGACATCACGTTCGACAACATCTACATCGGACACTCTGTTGAGGACGCTGCCGCTTTCCGGGCCGAGACATACGACATCAAACGACCGATCGAAGAGGCTGCTGAAGCAGCAACGAAGCCCAAGACGCCCGACACGCCCAAGTCACCGTCGGACCTGAAATTCCTCGACGACCCCGTCACTTTCGTCAAGGAGAAGCTTGAGCTCTTTGTGACTCTTGCCCAGAAAGACCCCATTGAGGCAATCAGATTCATGCCCGAGGTTGCTGGCGGGATTGGAGGAGCCCTCGCTCTTGTTATCGCCCTTCTCGTCGGGCTCATGGGCGCGGGCAGCTCAGCAGCTCCATCTAAGGAAGACATCAAGAAGAGTGCCCAAAAGGCCAAGGAAGCCGCCGCAGAGGCCAAGGACAAGGCTGCGGAGGTCACTGCCAGTGGCGCCGAAGCTGTCAAGGCTGAAGTTAACAAAAGAACAACCCGTTCCAGCGGCCCCGCGGAGTAGACCTGCAGGTCACATTCTCGGTTTACACCACGGATGTTGCTGGCGGCTATTGATTGGCAGTAGGCAGTGTCCAACACTTGCAGTCGCAGCGCGTCATCATCAAAAAAGTGCTTTGGAACCTCTCGCGGACGGAGGATGAAACGGGAGATTGATGGTGGACGGTGGGGACGCGTGAAACTAAGGTTATTCTGTACTGCCCTTGCGGCTTGCTATAGTCAGTCAGCACTTGGTGTGTTAATGGCAAGTGGCGTGGCGTGGCGCAGAAGAGCATTTTCTTGTTTCAGTATGAGTTATGCAGCGAGCCAACATCAATACATTTCATTTTCCATTTTGTCATGATCGTACAGTACTAGTACCACTGACGAGATTTAATGATCATATAGTCCTAGTACCGCCACAGAGATGTAATCAGTTCAAGTTTCGGGCGATGTTCGTGTTCCTACTGCATGAAATTGAACATTGTCAATCTAGTCCCTATGAACTCATGAATGCCCCATCGAGGCGGTCCGCCAGACAAGAGGCCGAATCAAAATCCAAAAAATCATACTTTTGGCCCAAAACATGGCGAGCCACCCATATTGGAAATGCATGGCTCGATCTGCTTCCACCCAGAAAGGCCCCTGAGAGACAAAATCAAATTGTTTGCACATTAAATAGCCACGGTCCGCCAAATAAACTCAACTCATTCGAAGCAACTGAACTGAATCCAGAGATCACGAGTGAGTAGGCATGGCGACTTGTTTCTCGGTAGCCAGAGCATCCTCGGCACGCCAGAGACTAGTGACGGTCTTCCACTGGGTGTAGAAGCGAAGACCATCCTTGCCGTAGAAGTTGGCGAGGCCGGTTCCGGCGACCGAGGCTTTGTTGCCGGTGAAGCTGAACATGGGCAAGGGGACGGGGATGGGGACGTTGATGCCAATCTGGCCGGCCTCGAGGTTCTTCTGGAACAAGGAGGCCGTGGGCCCGGAGCGGGTGAAGATGGCGGCGCCGTTGCCGTACGGGTTGGAGTTGATCAGATCGATGGCTTCCTCCGTGGTGTCGACGTTCAAGCAGACCAGGACGGGGCCGAAGATTTCTTCAGTGTAGCATTTCATGTGAGGCTTGACGTTGGTGATGATGGTGGGTGCAATCTAGAACAGAGACAAAGTGATTAGCGGGATGATTCAGCCACAAAAAAAAGGCGTTATGGTTGACTTACAAAGTTGCCATTCGGGTATTTCGGGGGAGTCTTTCCTCTGCCATCCAGTAGAATCGTGGCACCCTCGTCCTCGGCGCTCTGGATCAGGTCTTCAACACGCTTCTTGCTCTGAGGGCTGATCAAAGGACCCAGGTCGGCACCTTCTTCGAACCCGCCGTCCATGCGGAGGTTCTTTGCGCGCTCTGCCAACTCGGGCAGCCACTCCTTGGTCTCGCCGATCATGACCAGAGTGCTGAGAGCCATGCACCGCTGGCCGGCGGCACCAAAGGCGGCACCTGCAATGGCGTTGAGAGCATGGTTCTTGTTGCAGTCGGGCAGCACGGCGGCGTGGTTCTTGGCGCCCAAGTTGGCCTGGACACGCTTGCCCTGGGCGGAGCCCCGCGTGTAGATGTATTCACCGGCACGGTTGGATCCAACAAAGGAGATGGCTTTGATGGCGGGCTCGTCGATGATGAAGTCGACCGTCTTGGCGGCGCCGTGGACGACGTTGATGACACCGTCGGGGAAGCCGGCCTCTTTGCAGAGTTCGGCAATGATCATGGCGGCGCCGGGGTCCCGCTCACTGGGCTTGAGGATCAGAGTGTTGCCGGTGACGGTGGCCAAGGGCACGCTCCAGAGAGGGATCATGGCGGGGAAGTTGAAGGGGCAGATGGCGGCAACGACGCCCAAGGGCTCGCGGTATGAACGAGTTTCCATATCTTTGGCCACTTCAATCACCTCTCCGGTGATCTGGGTCGTAATGCCGCATGCGGTCTCGCAGACTTGCAACCCACGCAGCACATCACCCTTGGCGTCGGCGAATGTCTTGCCCTGCTCCAGGGTGATGGAGGTCGCCAGCCGATCCATATTCTGGCGGATGAGGTGGGTCAATTTGAAGATGATCTGCTGTCTGGTCATGATGGAGGTGGCTCGCCATTTGGGGAAGGCCTTCTGCGCGGACTCGACGGCCGCCTTCAACTCGGCATCGGTGGACTGGGGCACGCGGGTGACGAGGTTGTTGGTGGCAGGGTCGTGGAGATCGATCCAGGTCGTGGCCTGCGAGGGCACAAACTGGTTGTCGATGAAGTTGTGGGTGTTGACGACGTTTTGGATCTGTTCGTGGCTTCGGGGATAGTCGGCCACGGCCGCCTGGGCCGCTTGCAGATGGCGGCTAGTGGCATGTAGCCGTCGCTTCGCTACGTGCTGTGCGGGCGACATTCTGAGGCTCGAGGCGATTTGAGGGGCACGTCGGCCGGACAGCGCTGGAACGGCACGAAGCAGTGAACGCCGCGTGGCCATATCGATGTTATGTGGACGGTGGCCGAGAAGGAAGAAAGGCAAACAAAATGGACAGATATAACAACTTGCACAAGAACGAGAAGAACAACTCCGCGGAGAAGGTGGCGAGGCGGGTGAGGATTTGGCGGATTGGACTTCAAGTCTTTGGAGTCTGGGGGAGGGAGTTATAAGGACTCGGACGCGGGAGGACGAGGACACTGGGCGGTGGTGGTGAAGGGTTCAGTTGGTGGTAGTGGTTCACTCCAGCGCCAATGGTGGGCAGCGAATACAGGACGCACACCTCCGCTTCCGGAGTCGACCACGACGTGACTTTTACTTTTCGGGTTCTCTTCAGGGAGAGTTTCCACCCAGTTGCCGCGGGGAGGACGAGGAGCAGCACCCACCAGCAACCCAGCTTATCGAATCCAGACAATCGGTCAGCATCTGGAGGGTCCTCTCTATCCCGGGCTCCTCCATCGCAGGCTTCAGCGGCAGTCGCTTCCTCGGATCCGTCTGGCCGCCCCGAGGTCGAAGGGCGCCGCCTGCGTTCGTCTGTCATTGGGCGGCCTGCCCTCCGCAGTCCAGAGGGGAGAAGACCGAGGAGACAATTGCCAGTTAAACTAGGATACTGTGTAGTCAGCGCCCCAGATTAATCCATCCGCAAGCACGAGCACCACTACTAGCACCTCTATAACTGGCCTTGTAAGCTGTACTAGGTGATAGTACTAACCAAACCTGCACTGCTGGAAGCCTAAAAGCATTTCCACGCTTATCGCCGGCCCGAGATGCAAGTGCGGAATCACATACCGGATCCGAGATAATACGAGGTATCCAGGTATCCAGCCTCAGCTTCATCAGTCAGCCTGCACAAGAGGCCAGCTGCTCGACACTGGCAGGTAGCTGTTCAGGTACATCTCCTCCACTGGAGCATACTGTACGTCCATGCAGAGACAAAGCTGTAGACTGCCTTTCAACGCTCCTCGGAAAGACATCCTCATGGCGTCGTCGGGACACTGTACATTACTATCGTAGCCTCGTCCACTGCACGCCGGTATGGCTCGAGCTGTCACCATTGATCCCATCCACCAATTCCACGCGCTGCATCACTTTCACTCTTCATAAGCCAGAGCCTCGTCTTCATCAACCTCTGCCTCGACCGGGCCCTTGTAATCATACACCAGCCTCGCGCGTTCAACCTTCCCATTCTTCCAGACCACCACGCGCCTCGTATGTCGTCTCTCACCATTGACTTCCTCGAACCCCCAAGTCTGCTCAGCAATCCACTCTCCGCCATCGACATTCTGCACCCAATTCTGAACATGCTCGTCGTCGAGGTACTTGGACGCCGTCTTTCCATCCTTGAGCGTCTCACCTCTCAAGAACGCCGCATCTTCCTCGGAGCCAGCAGGCCCTTCCATGACGAATTCGCCCGTCTTCCACATCCGTGATTTCCCTTTCACTTTGCCGAAGATGCGGTCCGTGTGGTCGTTCAGCTGCCAGTTGAGTGTGCGGTTCTCTTGGCTTGATGCGAGCCCCGAGGCCACGGATTTGATGTCGATGTGGTAGAGCCCGTCTTTTTTGTATTCTTTGATCGTGAGCTGTACTGCTTGTTAATCTCGTAGCACTGCATCTCGTGAAGCCAGAGTGGCCAGTGGGTTTAACGCACAACAACAGTGGCAAGCTTAACTGCCTTGCGCGTAAACCAGCTCAGCCCTTGAAGGGCAAGCATCGAGTCGACATCGTCCGAGAGGGTCTTGCTCTGCCGTTTTGTCCTGTCTGTCAACGCAAGTCCTTGGAGCTGAATACACTGTTATTGTCAACAGCTCAGGCTTACCATGACAAACTTGCCCGACAGGTTGGTGCATGTGATTTCGGGCGGTGCGGCCATGGCTTGCACTGCTTCGTTTAACACTAGTATGTACTGTAATATGTAGCGACGGTCCAGGATGATTCTCGCTGCAAAAAAATCAGATCGAGTCGCGGTCGAGAATGGAAGATACTCACATGGTTGTCGAGTAGCTCTCTTTCTAAGTAGTACTAAGGTCCGAGATGCTGTGGAGGCCAAGTGCGACGGTGATGCGTTTGGTGTAGCATTGTCACTGCCGTCACAACCAATCCGTCACCTCGCGCACTCGTTCATGGACACAGTACATCATTATTCAATCAATTGCTAGCATGTGCCGTGCCGGCCTCGCTGAATCCTCACTTTGCACTGCTGCTGCGCGTCGTGATGCCGAGGTCCAGACGGTTTAGGGTCTGAGCTACCTCAACTACCAGAGTACTAGCCACGCTGCTTGACCTTTGTGTTGTTGGATCGACAAGAGCCAACATCGACGGCGTGCACGAGACCAGCTCATGGTAGAGAGATCGGAGGCCGCGGCCAACGCTCCATACCGGGCTATTCCACCTCCACACTATTGCGGCTAAATTATACGAGCATACGCCTCGTGGCTGGCTGCAACATTCGGGGAATTTGATGAGATTCAATTGCAGAATCTAATCCATTTGCGGTTCTGTGCCAAGTGATACACACTGTAAGTGCCGCCCGTGGATGACGAGCGCACTACTACCTGATGCTTGACGCTTCCCTGGTTGTAGTTTGGGAAAGGAATACTATTTGAGCAATGTACGCTGTCTCGAAAACCCAGCCACAGACTCCTGCCACTGCTGGCACAGAATTGGCGGTATCTTCTCTCAGCCGTCATATTGTGAAGCCCACTGGGTTCAACTTGAAGGCCAGGTATGATATTCCTTGCACAGCTTGTGGCGCAGCAGTGGGACCTCATGCAAGTTTCTCCTCCGGCGCCTCGTGCGTGTCTTGATATTCCTCGTCCGAATCGAACTTGTAGAGCCTCGGGGGAGTCAGCCCCTTACGGCGCAGAACCGAGGTCCTAAACCAATACGGCAATACCTGGAAGAGCTGGTAACGCATGTGCGTTCTTGTCGGCACAGCAAAAACGTAGTCCAATTCTTCAAGAGTTCGCTGTTTCGTTTCGGGAAGCCAAAGGAAGATCATGACGAAGGCAATAACATTCAGACCAGCATAGAAACCGAAGGCGCCCTGTGGCGTCAGGGCTTGGAGCATCCGTGGGAAAGTAAGCGAGAGCACCGACGCCCAGAAGTTGTTCGTTGCGACCGCCCAAGACATCCCGACCTCACGATGAGAAAGCGGGAAGACTTCAGCAGAGTACGTAAAGGGAACAGGACCTTCGCCGGGAGAGTAAAAAGCATCAAACAGGAAAATGAACAAGGCCACCATGCCAAGGTGGGCGTCACTGCTTTTCGGTATCCAGAAGCAGAATCCCGCCGCCAACAAAGTCCAGCACATGTTGGGAAAAGTGAAGAGCAAGAGAGCTCGCCGGCCGAAGGTATCGATTGTCCAGACCGCAGGCCAGGCAAACAGGAAATTGACAAGACCGAAGCCCCAGGAAGCGAGGAGAGCCCCTGTAACACTAGCCCCTGCGTTGGCAAACACAGTGGATGAGTAGAAGGCGATGATGTTGATGCCACACATTTGTTGAGCAATCATGACGATGCCGGAAGCCTGAGTCGCTCGCCGGATGCGAGGAATCGTAAAGAGTTCGATAAACCGGGTGAAGAAGTTACCATGGGTGGCAACGGCAGATTCTTCTACGAGGATATCCTCTTGAATCAACTGTGCATGAATGTAGTACAAATCTCGCGCAGCTTGGACAGGACTGTTTCGAAGCCGGAGCAAAGCTCTGTATGCCTTGGCATGCCTTCCCTTCTTCATGAGCCAGCGAGGAGACTGCCAGAGGTTAGCTCTGGGTCCAGCCTCTAAGGCGAACAAAACTTACCTCAGGACAGAAATAGATGCCAATCACCAACGGAATGGCTGGAATGAAGGCAGAACCTAGCTGCAACCTCCAGGAGATGGCGCCGGTATCCTTGACAGCCAGGTTGGCACAGGTTCCCAAGAAAATGCCGAATGCGGTCCAGACTTGCCACGACATGACTAGTCCGCCTCGAATGTTGGTCGGTGAGTTTTCTGCCGAAAACACAGGCACAGTAACTTCCTTCAACCCCATACCAATGCCGAGGAGAATACGAGTGGCGACCAGCTGACCCCAGTGCTGGGTGCAAGCAGAACCGATGGGGGCGAGCAGGGAGAAGATCGCGCCGATAAAAATGGCGCCACGACGACCGACCAAATCGTTCACAGGGTCAGAAATCCATCCGGCGCTGTGAAGGTCAGCACAAAGCACGCGCAGGGAGTTGGAGGGGAGACGCACAAAAAAGCGATGGCAATGTAAGGGCACGAGTTGATAAAACCAATTAGCCAGGAGTTGTCTTCACAATTGCCCGCTGCCTCGCAAGCAGCGCCAGTGTCTGCGATGCCAAAATCTTGAGGGAACGACAAGTTGGCGCCATTGGAGCCAGTCTGGTCCCAGCCCTGGATAGCTGCCGCGATGGAGTTCAAAACAATGGTGAAGTAGAGGGTCTTTGGATGCTTCCAGCGGTGAGTAACTTCTTCGCGCAGGAGCTGGCGCTCTGATTCATCCAAGTCAGGAATATGCTCGATCGCATGAGGGCTTTGCGCAACCAATGCCCCTTTACGAAGTAGTGGTAGAATGTCAGTGAGCTGATTTTCGCTGGCATAGTTCTCAACGTCTTGAAGCAGTCGCTCCCGTGGAATGCCCACTAGGGGATTGCGAACCCTTCACAACAAGTCAGCGAAGAGCTGAGTAAAGGTACCCATCATTAGAAACTCACTCTCCACTGGTGTTAGCAGTGAGTTGGGCAACACTGGCTTTTCTCCTGTTCTCGTCGGCGAAGAGGACACTTTGCCGCCTGCTCTCGGAGATGTTTTCTTTCAAGGTCGACATGGTTGGAATTCCTGCTTGCTAGTTGCCGATGGATTCGAGAGAGTTAGTTCACAACAGTGGAAACCGTGCGCCACGGAGCAAGGAGTGAAGTGGCCTTGACAACTCCGTTTGAGAGACAAGTCAAAAACGGACGGTTCGAGGTACAGTGAAGTTGGTGCAACCCCTCGCTCCTCGATGTCCGATTGCGGGCGACCAGGTAGGACAACGCTGGTGATTTATACCTGGAGGACGACAAGCGGCTTTTTCTGCCACGAACCTAGCATCGGTGAGCCGTCTCCTGCTTACCCACTTTGAAGCCGCCATACGATCCCTGCGGCACACCTGCATCTTGTGGTGGGAGGGGGAAGAGCTCAGCTCTTTGGCACTCGATGCATGGGTTCGACTTGCAGGTGGAGCGCGGTCAGGTCAGCGGCATCGTGCAGGGGTGTGACTGCTGGCTTGAGGCTATCTTGAAGTGGCAGGCATCACACGACAGGGCGTGACCAGAGGACAGCGGCGGTCGTCGCGGGTGCAACTTGAAGTACCGGTACCTCCCGCATGAGGCTCACCCAACCTTATTGGACGCAGTAACGAGCACCCAGTCGGGACTTAAACCACCGTTGACGGAGAGTTTGATGCGTTTGGGGGCCGTCTCTGTGGCGAGAGTATGCTGGGACCTCATCCGGAGGGAAAGGAGGGAGAACACCGTACACCGCCGCAGAGAAAGACTTTGCTTTGCCCTGCTGCACTCGGCTGCACCAGCTTTACTGCCATGTAGTTGTGGACCCCCACGCCGTCATCATCATCATCATCATCATCATCATCATCATCATCGTTGATGACACTAGCAGAAGGACGAGGACAGGAGAGGATAGGAAGGGAGACTGTGTGGTATCGGCAAGTATGCACTAATACTGGCATTCGCACGGACATTGAGACAAATCAACTAGGAGGAGGGAAGAGGATGGACTCAACTTGCAGTGCCCGCCAGTGGTTGACTGCATTCGCCCAGTTCGGTTCTGAATTGTCCAAGTTGGGTGGCTGCTGCCGCTGCGGCTGCTGAGGCAGAAACTCATCCATCCGCTGCATCCATCATCCCATGCATCACACCAACCACTGGCACTACTAACCGACTCCTATGGCCTGCTTCGGGCTGCATCCCACCATCAAGTTTGGCATGACACAATCCTCTCGCTCACCGTGGCCTTGAGCCCTGTCTTTTTGCGCCAAAGTGGCTTGCTGGACCTGAACGCAGGCTCGGCCGTCCTCCTCTTAGCCCTGCAAGGATGCCTGGTATCCCTCGACCGGGTGCCTCTGCCTATCGGCTATCGCAGTTCTCTCCTTACACGATCCTCAGTCTTTCCATGCCTTAATGTAGCCACCATAGTCGTCGAAATACGAAGCTCACGTCGAGAGTTCACATGATGCCCGGCCAAGACACTCTTTGCGCAAAAGCTTCAAAAGCTTGGATTCGATGGAATGGAGTCTTGTTAGAGCTTGGGCTGCTGGGAGCATGATCCTGTGGCTGGACGAGCTGCTCTCCTCCAGCTCCGCATTCTCCCCAGACGAAGGACGGCCTATGCCCAAAGATGCCTAAACTGCAAGACGATGTGCCGGGATCCCCTTGTCAAGAACTCGAGACGGCAAGCTCGACAAGTGGCGCCGCGTTTCAGACGATGCAAGCCAAGGATGAATTAACAGTCAGTGGCATCAGCTGACATGCCAGCCTCGGAGGCCAAATACTAGGCACACTCTCATCATCAAGCACGATTCATCTTATGCACTGTTGTGGACCAAGGTGGCACTCAACATAACCTAAGGTATTCGCGATTCGGCTTGCATCTACTATCCGATGCCATGCATAACCCACCGGTTCAAGTTCACGCACCCTCTACATTGACGGTTCCGTTTGTTGGGGAACTTGGTGTGACTTGAATTGATGAAGCCTCCTTAGCCCAGCAACGCGCCCGCAGTTAGGCCGCCAGCCGTGGCAGCCTGCCAACACGAGAAACTCGGAGATGAGAAAGACGAGACCCTCTAGGCGCCAAAAGACGCCTCCAGGCTCTCCGCAGCTTCTAGAAGACTCCCTCATTGGAACCGTCGACGCCACAGTGTGGGATCGTGGAGGTCTGACCGCATCCTGCGTTGCATCCGTGACTTTGGACGCCTCGCGTTTACCGATGAGATGGCTTTTTTCACGAGCTTCAAGATGTCCACGACAAGATGGCTGTGATGTGTCAACCTGCTCTGTACCTCAGGCTGCCATACCAACGGCATCCCGTATCGCCGACCGACCGTGTCGTCAATGTCCAAGTTTACTCACAATGAGGACCAGACCTCCCCATGAGTCAATAATGTCCGAGAAGATGCTGCCATCCAATATCCCGACTCCCCAGAGCCGTTATACGCGAGAATCTTGATTATAGGGGTATGGAGGCCATGAGCCAGCAGCCACCACCATCACGAGGGTCACGGTCGTCACGATTACTTCAGATTGGGCTACATGAACCGAACCAGTCCTGATGCTGTGTCCAGTTCTGTCTTTCATCTTGCCAGCCATCGAGAACCAAAGTCTCAATTCACTACTGGACTTGCAGTAAGTCAAAGTTGAGCGCAAGAGAGCAAATCCTCGAACACAAAGATACGCCGCCCATAGCGGTCTATATTGACGTTGTTGTCTCAAGACTTTGACAGCCAAAACTGTCCAGTACGGGCCAACACCAATGCTGAAGCCCTCCTGCCCCCAGACAGGCACTATAGGCTCTGGCCATTGCTATTTTCCGTTCCACGTCACTGCCGTATGACCCGTCCGCAGGACCGTCTAATCTTACAAATACAAATAGATGGTCCCAAATGCTACCTTCGCAACCGAAAGCAAACCAGGTCGTTCTCGCGCAATCCATCCCATATGGGTGCCAGCGTGCTTTCTCATCTCACTCGCCTGATGCGATGCTCGTCTCGCCTTCTTCGGGCTTTGCTTCGTTTGTCCTTCCCGGGCCCCAGTGGGACATCCCGCATCAAGAAAGACTGGAGACGTATCAGGTAGCCGTCAATATGTTGTGACTCTGCGTCTCTGTCCTTTGTCTCAGCCAGTGTCGTCCCTGTTGTCCCTGACGGGCCAGGAGTTTGAGCTTCGTTGGTTCTTGGAGTGGCGCTGGCAGTCTTGTCGTCCTCGAAGTCTCCTTCATCTGCATGTTGGACTTCACGAGCCGCAACGTTTGCCGCAGCACGATCTTCCTGATCCTCGGCCTGCTCCAAGACGGCGAGCTTGCTCTTATCATTGCCAAGCACCCTATCCATGGCAAGACCGGCGGCATCCTCTTCTTCTCCGTTTTCATCAAGCATGTCTCGGTAAGTGAGTTTGTTCATGTAATCGGTCGTGAAGTCTCCCTCTTGGATCACCACATCGTCGAGCATTTGCTTTTGGTTGGCCTTGCGGAGAATGTTGGACTCGATCGTGTGTTCGGACACAAACCGGTAGATATGGACGTCGCGCGTTTGCCCGATACGGTGGGCTCGGTCAGTGCATTGCTTATCCATGGCAGGATTCCAGTCAAGATCGTAGAAGATGACCGTGTCGGCACCAGTCAGATTGATTCCCAAGCCGCCTGACCTTGACGACAGAATGAACGCCAGGATCCGAGGATCATTATTGAACCGATCGGTGAGGATTTGTCGCTGCTCGATTTTGGTGGCCCCGTCCAGCCTGAGGTAACGGTGGCCATGGATATTCAGGAATTGTTCCAAAATATCCAGAACCTTGGTCATCTGAGTGAAGATGAGCGCTCGGTGGCCACCTGCTTGCAACTGACGCAGCAGCTTATCCAACCTCTGCAACTTGCCGCAATCATATTGCAGTAAGCGCTTGTCCGGAAAGGCGATCGACAGCTTCATGCGAGCCAGATGGAACGGGTCCGGGTTCCAGAGCTCCCGTGATTCCCGTATCGCAGCAGCTCCAGCCTCTGTTACGGCGACGGTGCTGAGGTCTGTGGCAACAACGGCGGGCGTGATGCAGCCAAATTGCTGGACAAATGGCTCCATTTCTTCCGACCTCGACTGAATAGAATGTACAAGATTCAGGGAATGGACTGGAAGGGCCTGATTACGCCAACCGGAGCTGTTTTGACGTGAAGCGAGTTTTGACAGTTGAGAGGCAGTTGTATCGATGCTAAGTTGCTCGAGCAGCCCGCGGCCGTAGATAGGGTGCTGACGATGTCGGTACGCCTGAAAGTACATGGTGCGATCGAGCTCCTCGATGCGAGCCTTGCGCCCTACGTTCTCAAGCGAGCCCAGCACTCCTGCGCGATTCTCCCCATGCCAGGTTGACTCTTGAGCGATTCGTCGATTCTGAGACTCCCGCAGAGCCTTGAACTTTGAATAGGCATGTAATGTGGTCGTTTCAAGGACTTCGATCATGGACATCCTTTCGTCGGAGACAGGAGCAAGTTGGAGGAAGTCGAGGTCCAGGTCGTTGGCAGCGTCGCGCATTAGCCTTCGCCGTACCAGCAGGTCGTTTATCTCGAACTCGGCGGCGACCGACTTGGGCATAGCGAAAGAGGTATTGATGGGACGGGTCTCGAACAGATCCGGGTGATTGCATACTTTCCGTAATTGCATCAAGGCGTTGATGATGGACAGGTAGTTCCCCGAAGCCAACGTCTCTTTCGTCGAGGCCCGTGACATGAACCCATCATATAACTGTCGTTGTCGCTTGGATAATCGGCACAACTCGACATGTTCATACTTGAGAGGCATTTGCTTCTCGACATCCCGCTTGAGCCTGCGTAGCAGAAAAGGCCGAATGACCTTGTGCAGCTTCGCAACCTGCTCTTTGTCTTCTTCGTCAAGGACTTGACGTCCGTGCTCGAGGATGGATTCTACAGGCCTCTTGAACCACTCAGACCATTCTTTTAGGCCGGCAAAAGCATCGTCCTCGCCTTGGTTTTCCTGGCCGTAGTGGAGGAAGAACAACAATGACCACAATTCGGTCAGGTTGTTCTGAAGAGGCGTGCCAGTCAACAGGAGTCGAGCCCTCGTATTGAAGGTCATCATGGTCTGCCACCTTTCTGATCGGAAATTCTTGATGTTGTGAGCTTCATCGAGGATCATGTAATGCCACCTGCGCCGCTTGAATGAGTTTGCATCCTGCAGAACGAGTTGGTACGATGTGATGCAAACATTGAAACTGTCATCAGCCATCCATCCACGCCGCTTCTGTTTTCTTTCCTCGAGACTGCCGTAGTACGTCAGGATTTTGAAGCCAGGCAAAAACTTTTTGAACTCCATTTCCCAATTCAGCATGACGCTGGTAGGCACCACGATGAGGTGAGGACCCCAAACCTCATGGACTTCGGCAAGGTGTGCCAACAACGCAATGCTTTGAATAGTCTTGCCCAACCCCATCTCGTCCGCGAGGATGCCATTCCTCCCATGAGCATACAGATCCGCGAGCCAGTCTAAGCCTTCATGTTGGTACTCCCGGAGCGTCCCTCGAAGGAGGCTCGGCACAGGCGTTTTGATGGTCGACTGTTTGGTGTCTGGAGGGGTCGTAGGTGAAGCAGAATCGCCATGCGCGTCGATTGATGAGACAGATTCGGGTTCCGAGACTTTCGTCGCTGTCGTGTGAGGCGAGGTCTGTACGCTCAGCTCCTGACACCCCTGGTCTTCGGGCGTATGACGGGCCTCTCGTGAACCGAAATCCGCCGAGACATCGTCCATAGCAGTATTGTCCATTGTCTGCGATACATCCGTCGGCGCAGGATCAGGAACGTCGGCTGTGGACTGTTCCATTGCATCTGTGAGCTTGTCTTCAGGTACATGATGGTCCTCGAGAACCTCCACCAAAGGTTTGCGCATATCACCGTCTTCGTCAGGCGCCTTGTCCTCCGTAACGATGGGTGCCATTTCTGCGATTTCTTTCTTTGAGAATAATGACAGGAGGCCGCCTGGCGCACCATCAGTTTCCTCGCCACTTTCATCGCTTTCATCTCCTTCGGCGCCACTTTCGTCCGACTCGTCTGTATCAAATTCGCTGTCCATGTCAGTCTCGGGGTCCGATTCATCGTCAGGCTGAATGGAATGCTGCCCTTCGTCATCTCCACTGGCGGAACTTTCATGCGCACCGCCGTCCACGACTGGTAAGTCAGGCAAATTGCCATACTTCCGCTTTAGCTCTTCGATGGACATTTCTGCATCATTATCATCGGCCTCGGGGTCAGACTCGGAGCCATCTTCGCTCTCTGACATCTGTTCACTGTTCTCGGACACGGACTCGGACGTATCATCGGAAGACATCTCCGTTCCACTATCGGTAGGCAATTCGTCTTGTTCTGTGACTCGGCTGAGCATCTGATCGGTACGATCTAGCACCCGAGCGAGGTGACCCTTCATTTTAGCTTGTTGCTGCTCTTCATATTGCTTTTGTCGCATCGCATCAACCTCAGCTTTGACGGCTGTCCACAACTTCTCCAGATCTTTGACCACCATACGGTATGACGAGATGGCGGCCTCTCGCTTTTCCTGCTCGATCTCCTCCGCAGTCTTGACCTTGTTCCGTCTCCGCTTTTCTTCGACATACTTTTTGGCTTCATGGGCTAACAACTCAGCCTTCCTTCGGTGATCCCTAGTTTCCGCTCTGAGTAGAGTCCTGAAATGGGACACATGTGCCAGCAGATGATCAAGATGGGCGTACTGCCTCTTTGGTTCGCTCTGTTTGTCGGGCAAGGCTTCGAGAAGTCTTCGATCCAATGCGCCGCCCCTCTTTTGCGCCTCCCTTACCCTTCGTCTGGCCAGCGCCTCCTCGGTGATCTGCTCTGGTGTTAAGGTGTCCTCTCCTTGTCTCGGCTCCAACTCGTCGCGTTCCAAGAATTCCTCAAAAGAAGCATATTTTTTGGGAGGTGGGATGTTGGCAGGAGTGGCGACTGATGGCTTCGGAAGTCTAACGCGAAACGTGACCTTCTGTATTGTAGGAGGCGAAGCAATCCCGGTAGACAGTTCTAATTCATCGGAAGTGTTTGAATGGTCGCTTTCATCTGCTGATTCACTCTTCACCACGCCATTGGCATGTACGCCCTCTTCGTGGACACCCTTGACATTCGGCGGCTTTGTCCGATGAGACCGAGATTTGGAACGATGCGACGGGGATTTCGGCTGAGGAGTTTTTGAAAGCTTCGAGCGGACGCTCATCTCTCGCGCATGCCTCTGGGCGTCTTCAGTCTTCACGGTTTGTGAGTGCTCAGAATCGCGATTCTTGGGTGGGCGGCCAGGTCCGCGTTTAGTAGCAGGCGGTGGTGTAAGCACCTCGACTTTCGGCTTCCTGACTGGCATATTATACATAGGTTTTGGATGCTTTTGGTGCTCGTCCTTCACCTTTTCGAAGGCGGCACGAGTCTGTCTCTTTGCCGACTGCGGCTGGAGAGCGAGAGGAACGACGTTTGTTCTGCCCGATTTCCGTCGCCCATTCTCCACGAAAGACGTCGGGCCTTCTGCCGCAACCCGTTTCCATGGCGGCGATATGGGTCGAGGGGACGGCTTGTGGTCAGCGCCTGCGACTTTCCGCCTCTTTGCAGGGGGGCCCTCGTTGCCATCGTGGCCAAGCAGGTTTGCTTCCGGGTGGACGGGGGATATAGGTCTATTATCGGCATGTTCTGTGCAACCATCAGTCAGAAGCTGCGGATTGTGCGGATGGGATTGTGATGAAGCATAGCATTGCATACCTTGTTCTTGGAGATTGGGATGAGATTCGCCAGTCGGGGGAGTATTCGGCATTTGGCGCGACTCGCGATGCGGCGCCTTTCATGGCAAAATCGATCCTTAGAACAACAGCAAACTGACCACGGGCATATTCCACGGAAACGGAGTGATAACGGTCGATTCGCGAGTCAAAATGTTCGTATGATCGGGTATGATAGCCTGACGAAGTCTGAGGTCGGCCAGGACGATATTGAGTGACTGAGACGGATGTAAAGTCGGGGCTGTTGGCAAAAATAATCACAGGTGTGCAGAGGAAGAAGCGCAGGAACGAGCGCCCACTTCGCTGTACAATGTACAATGTAGGAATTACGTGCCAGTGCCGCGAGGGAGAGTCACTACTGCAACGAGAGGCGTGAGGCGATAGGCGAGGTACTAGGCACCGCATCAATAATAATATTAACCACTGGCAGGGCGCCTCCCACTAAATTAAATAATACTGGGGCACTGTCACTGGCACTGGCGCTGGCGCGGCGCAGGCAGCTTCACGCTTCTCGGCCTCAGGCTCCCTACAAAACTGCTATTTCACAGCTCTGCCGCCCCCCGTACCAGGTACCCAATCAATCCAATCAAAACCCAGCATTGGCCAACTTCAAGTCCAGGTCATCAACGTCAATTCTACACACTACGCCGGTCGCTTTGCATGAATTGAAGTCGAAGTCGACGTCGACTGCTGCATTCCTCGTCCGGCTCGCGGCGTCCTACGACTTCCTCCTTTGATAGCAGCCCTCGACCATGTTTTCCCGACGAGCCTTGATCACGGCCTCGAGGTCCGCCCGCACCCTCGGCCGCACGCAGTCACACCTTCCACGAGCTCCGTTCTCGGTCGCCCGGAGTCTCAGAGCAGTTGGAGAGGTGGATGACCCGGAGATGGTATGATGGCAGCGCCTCCGTGTCTCTGAAATGCAAAGCTGACACCAGCAAAAAGAATGGAGGATACATCAACCCGCCCCGGATCAAGCGCCAATACCGCGACCCCTACGGCGACTGGGACGACAAGCAAGAACGACGCAACTTTGGCGAGCCGGTGCATGAAGACAATGAGGTCCTGGGCATGTTTGCTCTAGAAGATTACAACCATATGACACCAGCTCGAGGTCTACTGTTATGGGCCGGCTTTATCTCTGTGATACTCGGCCTCAGCTACGCTGTGACCGTGACCTATCCGGGCAAACCAAGCGCGCCGAAAGAATACCCAGGAGGTCTGGATCGTGAACTAGGGGGCCCTGGAGCTGTGAGGGTGAGTTTTTGTGGAATTATACTCATTGGCGGGTTGACCGACTAATCGAACCTTTCTGCAGGCATTTCAGACTGGCGACGAGGTGACAGAAGGAGTATGATTTTATGATTTTGTACATACTCCAACAATAAGCACATCATATTCAGCGCAGAAGGCAAACTGCCTAGTACCAACCGCCGAGTCATTGATTTCTTCTCGTTCTTCTATTGTGTCTGCCCCTAGTCTGTTATGAAAGGTCCGCTAGCGATGCTGTTTCTCTCCCTGCAAACGACCTTGGCACAGGTCTGAAATTGAAGCGCCTGCAACGTGATTTCATATGCAACTTTTGCCTGGGGCCGCTAACCCCGGGCTAGCTGGCACTATGATGGTTGATGCGATTGAGCAATTCAAGTCACTTGCCCAGATTGGAAGCCGCATAGTCTGAGCCGGGACAGCTTTGGCCCTCCCAGGCATGAGAACCTAGGTACCTCGACTTGAAGTGGCAGAGCATAATATGTTGAAATACTAGAACATGGGCTGCCATGAAATATAAGATAACCACCTTCTTGCAACATACCAATCGTAGATATTGCATAAAGTATATAAAGTATAAGAAAGACAGCCAAAACCAAACCTTCCACTTAGCAGCCCTGGTTTGACCAGAAACCTTTTCAAACTCAAGCGACCATCCACATGCCGACCATGACCGTAGTAGTCATGACCCAATATCCCACATAACCCATAGCCAGTCTCACTGCCGGGCTGACCTGACTTTCGCTCGAAGGATCAGAACCACCATCAGCAGTAGTACCATTCGCCAGTGATCCATTGATATAAGTAGCAGCAGACCCATTACCATAGTCGATAGTACGCACCAGACTCGAATTAACAGGCGCTCCTCCAGTGCCATTGGAAACGACCTGGTCGAGAAACGTGCTGTTGTCAGTCGGATCACACCCACAGACCTGATACTGCTGACACAGACAAGTCACATTGCTGGTTCGATTTTGCCCGTCCTGGTTCCAATGATAGTACATTGGGTACGGGTACGCCCAGACGGAAGAGTACAGCCAGATTCCGGGGAAAAAAGCCAGCGCGGCAATGGGCAATGCGTACGGCGCAATCCCTCTTGACGGCGACTTCGCGCCCGCAGTATATGGCACCGTTGCGCCGCCGGCGTATCTGTTGCCGTAGGTTTTGGGCGTGCCTGATCCGTCGCGTGTTCGGCCTCCTGCGTTGGAACTGGATGAGAACGAATATGGTCGGCCACCACTGCCACTGGAGCCACTGGAACCGGAGCCACTGGAACGGCCGCCGCCACTGCTGCCACCACTACCGCCTCCTTTCCCGCCTCCTCCTCCTTTGCGCTTGGCTAACGTATTGTATTGTTCGAGCGGAGATGAATCGCGCACGGAGATCTCGCCCGGAGAAGGGAAAGTGGAAGCCGGTGGTGCTGACGCCGCGAGCGACGTGAGGTAGAGGAACGCAGTCAATAGGTATAGCTTCATCTTGGAGTTCTTGTCGGCCGTCCGGGCCCTGGCGTTTTAAGGAGTAAGACTGGGACTCGGTGTTCTTCTAACGCTGAGCTGAGCCTGCAGCGTCAACTTGAAGGAGAGGGATATATAGATGATGCGCACTGGCGGCCGAGGGCAGAGCGCAACTTGCTGGATTCGAGTTGTAGTGGTTTGAAATGTTACTGTCCCATTCGAGACTGAAAACAAACGAGATTCAGCGCCTGCTTCAGACGAGGATGCGAACCAGCCGCGGATTGGAAATGGTGCGAATATAATAAATGCTTGTATAGAGGCAAAAGGACCTGAATCATCGACTTGAAGTTCGCCTTGCCACGCACTAAGTTTCGAGCCGACTGTTCAGTGCAAGCACAGCCCAAAGGATCAACGCCCTCGTCCAATCTCAATTGGGCCGAACATCAACTGAATAATTGAAATAATGATCCCGTGGCCCATGGGATGAGATTCATACTGCGGGTCGGAGTCCTTGACATCATGCTACACTGTATGACCCTATCACTTCAAGTTTGCCGCTGCTTGACGCTTCCCCGGCTTCTCCATACAACGCAAATCAGGGTCACAGCCACATCCGGTCCTCGGCTTCCACGCAGAAGACCACGGGCACTCGAAGCATTGTTGACCAGGTAGGTATGAGCTTATTCTACAGTCAAGCCTCCTGCCACGCCCGCCAGCAAGACCCGGATTGAGCAGGGATAGGGTAATAATGTGCTAGTACCCAGCAGTACTAGTACTGGAGGTGCTCTGGACATCGGCATCTGCCAGGTTCAAGTTCCGCACAATAACAACACAGCCTCTACATAATACAGTTTTCACCCTGCCTATTCGCTGGAGTTGTGACGAGTCGCTTCGTATCTGTCATCTCGGTCAGCAGCTGATGGGGATATTCAGTGTCGTAATGTCAGCACGTACCTCTTCCCTCTGAAGGCCCAAACGCCCCAGTTGCCGCAACTGATGTCCTGAGGATCCAAGTCATTCAGATCCCATCTGAGCGACCGGAAACGATTCTCGCCTGGTTCCAGGAGCAGGTCGACTTCTCCGGCACATTTCTCCATGACCCATTGCCAGTCTCGGGTCATGTCCCACTCAGTATATCCTGTGCAGAGAACTGGAATCTTGGTTTCGAGCAACTGTGGAAGAGTTCTCTCCCACTCGTACGAAGACGCTGGATGGCCCAGCCCGGGATGGAACAACATGAAACAATCAAAGTACGGATCATATGGATAGAACTCATTCGCTTCGTGTAGAGTGTGGAAATAATCCACGTAGGTCGTAATCTTCATCTTTGCTGAAACGCGGTCTTCGACAATGGCGCCAAAGGGATTTGCGGGCGTCCGTTCGGGCAGTGGGAATTCGGCGTCGCGGTTGGTCATGGATTCAGGGCCGATGAATATGAGGTGGATGTGGGACAAGGGGAAGAGATATGAGAGCTGGGTCCACACTTCACGTGGTAACGACGATTCAGCCCGAGCTCCTAGGATGAATATCCTGACGGGCGGGCTGGACAATCTCAAGCCTTTGATGTCTGGGCCTTGACCCGTCTTAGGTGGATGGAGGGTATATCGCAGAGCTGTATATTTGTTAGCGTGAGGTGACAAACATTATGGTTGCAACACTCGCCTGTTAAACTCTTCAACCCCTCGGGAGTGAGCCTTCCACCTTTCCGGATATTGTAAGGGCTCAGCTCATGCAGCACGCTCCCCACTGTCAAAGGGTATGTCAACAATCTGGTCACTTGACGCATGCTTCTCTCGTTGTTGATCGCCTCATACTGCCGCGTGTAGAAATATGTGTCCCAGTTGGTCATGTTCACAACAATCTCATCAAGTTGGGGACCAGGATATTCGAACTCTGGGAACCATCTTCCCGAGTGCAGGTCATGATCGTCCTCGTTTATTTGTCTCAAGGTGTCGCATATTTCGAGATGTGCTTCAAAGTCATCCGCCCAGTGTTCTTCACTGCAGTATACCGGAATACCGCAGTCAGGACACTCAAAAGACACATGAGCGGGCGGTTGCGAACTGATCCCGCTCACTTTTCGGGCTTCAGGGTCGTGTGGAGAGATCGGAACTCTCGTCTGTTGATGCGCAGGATGAGGGCATAACGCATGTTGCTTTATGAACCGCGCTCGCTGCCGAATTTCAGGAATAGGTGACTGGGAAAACGGGTGATATAAGTTGTCTGGTTGAAGGACAACACGTCCATGAGCGCGCCACTCGCCATAATCGGTTGGTGGAATGTTGTGCCGTTCGAAGTTGTCTTCTTCTTTTGCCGGTGCTGCCGCTGTTGACACGACTCGCGAAGATTGTCTAGAGCGTTGCGTCTGAGTTGTTACGGCAGCATTGGCCGCCCTGAGAGGATGGTTGTAGAACGCGGAGCTCGATGCAAAACTGCGGCGACCAGAAATGCGCTGAGCGTAGCTACCACTGACTTGTCGTCGGCTCAATCCCGACAGTGCTCTCGCACACCGCACACATGTGTACAGACCCTCCATGGGTCGTGCGGATCAAGGCTGATGGGGGATTGAGATTTGGAAATCCAGACGCAGACTGGGACTCGAAGAACTTGAAGTCTACTACAATAGACAATGTTGTACTATCTTCGGGCTCTGGGTCTGGCCACTGGCGGCGTCCAATGATCACCGAGCGTTTCCAGACTGCACTTCAGGAGCGCTGTGCTTCCCCGGGCTTTCCAAGCGGAATTCATTCTGCGGAGCAGAAACGAATATGCGAACGTGCCCTCTTTCAAGTTGATATTATTTCTTCAACACAGAATCTATTTCTTCACTCCCCGTTTCGTCTTTCATCCCACGAAACAATTCGTTCCACACTCGAACACGCCTTATGATGACTGTCCGGGTTTGTAGCTGTATAAATCCTCTTTCCCTTTTGTCATGTTTATGGAGGAACACACCCATAAGAAACACCGTCAAAACCCACGCAACGTACACTTTCCAGCTGCTTGCTCTTTCCACAAGCTCTTCGATAACCTCGAAGTCGCGGCATTCAGGTTCGCGTCATGCGAGTCTGGATGTCAGAGCTGGTGGATTCACACACCGTTGCAAGATCAATATGGACCTTCATAGTTCGACTTGAGACCTGGCCAACGGCTATGATGGGCAGGTCGACTCCTTGCGTACCTACAATAAATATTCTCAGTCAAATGCCGTAGAGCGAATTCTTGATATTGGTATCTAGTATAATAGTACAAGCTCATTTACATCAGTCATTTCACATCGTGACATCGTGGCTTCTAACTCCGCCCCGAACGCTACAAGCAACAAGCAGAAATGCAATGTGTTACCAACCGCGACACATCAATGTCCCTTTGGTGGTGGATTTGCTCCAAGCGAAGTACCCTGCAATATAGCAGAGACCTGTTCCGCGGTGTATCCAAAGAACACTGGGCCATTGAAGATGATCTGTGGGCGATCCCTTTGGTTGTCTTTGGACTCACCAAGGTCTGGAAGTTGAGGTGGTGGAGCGGGTGATTTGGCCTGGGCGTGGCCGTGATCGATGGGACATTTTTGCTTCTTTCTGTCTTCGGCTCGTTGCGGGCTCTCTGATTTCGGGTTCAGGTGAGCATCATCCTCTTCAGACTGCAAAGCACTTGGCGCCGGCTCCTTGCCTGCAGGGACAGGAATGCCCCAAGGTCTACTAGGAGATTCGCCCACACGAACTTCCCGTAGTGGCCGCTCGAAATTGGATAACCTTTGCTCATCATCATCTCCGGCATCAGGCTCTTGCATTTGCTCGGGATCGGTGCTAACATGTTCGGCCCACTTTTCCACAGCCTGGGTTGAGCTTCTGTCTTGCGCCCCGGCTTCGCTCTTTTCCCGCTGTGGCAAGTAAACCTTGTGCTTGACACCAAGGCCCTGGATCATGTTGACCAGACTGCCGTATTTGGCGTCGAGCTTTCGAGCACTGCCTTCGTTCTGTTGATATCTCCTGACACAGATCTCATGGCTTCGGGGGATTTCATGTTTATGGTTTTCAAAATACTGAGCAATCTCCTCTGGGGAATGTTTGTCTAGGAAACGAATGGGACACTGACTCGTCCGCTGTTCCGTGTTGGGCGATCTAGAAGAGACTTTATCTTGATGGAATTCAGCGGCTATGGGATCTTCCTCGGCGCTTATGGATCGCGAGAGTCCATTCGACATCTTCGCAAATGGACATCCCAAAGTCCCCTGGACACCGGGCGTGGTAAAATCGCGCTCCAGATCCTCCGGATCGCGGGGTTTGTGGGCTATGGGACACCGGAGACCATTCTCTTGAGGAGTGTGCATATTTGCCATCTTGTATTGATGTATGGCTAGCTGTGCAGGCTGGATGGAAGGGGATAAGAAGGTTGAGGGACCAGTAGTGGAAGGGAGTTCGCGGAATTGTTTTGCAACGAGACTCGAAGGGGCGGACGAGTCGGAATGACTGCCTTCAGCAGCTAAGAGTTTCTCGTACTGATATCGAGAATTGGTCAGCTTCCCGGACAGATAGCAATAGCAGAACACTTTGGCAACACAGGCTTGTGGAGTGAAATTCAGGTAATACATGCAAATATCGCTCATCGCTGCCGAAGCAGCTCTTGATCTAGAGCTAATCAAAAGATTCTCATCATAAAGAAAAAGGAGTGGGTTGCAAGAAGCATAGCAGATTCACTCACCTCATCCGCAGTCAACTCGATTGTCTCCCTCAGAAACTTCTCAGTCGCGATCTGGGCACGCACGAAGTTAAGCAATTCTTCAAAACCAGCAATCAAAGACGCGACGAGGCACGGGAGATGGGCTTCAGTAGTGGCGGGAAGTAACGCGTTCATCAGGTAGGCCTCGAGGATGCATGACTTTTTGAGGGCTACGCGATTTCACGGGTGATGGGCGACCTTGGAAGGCAGCAGGCAAAAAGTCTGGCGTGATCAAAGCCTGCACAGCCGGAGCCAAGATTCTTAGCTGGGCCGAAGGTCGGAGCGCACCAGAGCCGGAAGAACAAATAATCCGGGGCTTAATCATGTGATAGTACTAAGCCAGATACAGCCAATGCTTACTCAGTTGTAACCGAGGTCTACACAAATGGTCCCCAGTTCCGCCAATTAACCGACTTCCCCGGGTATGTAATGTTGGCGCTACCCCAGTGCCAGTGTTAGTTCTGGGCGACACTGCACCACAAGGAACCAACGGGGGAAAACCGAGCTCTTTACAGAAGTGTGAGTTTCAAGGGCTGTTATTGCTCCAGTGTCCTCACCGTCACAATTCCGTCCTCCCGAGCCAGACACGATGAAAGCCATTCAAGTGACAAAATATGTCTCCGGACCCCAAGATCTGTTCGTGACCACCCTACCAACGCCGAAGCCGCATCCGACGAAATACCTGATCAAGATCCATGCGTCCGCGACGAATTTCTTCGACCTCCTCCAGATCCAAGGCAAATACCAGCATCAACCGCCGCTACCATGGATCGCCGGAATGGAGTTCGCCGGAGTGGTGATCGCAACGCCGACAGAGAACACTAAAAGCGCAGTTGCCAGCAGCAACGATGGCACAGTGAGCACATCCACAAGACATGTATACAAGGTTGGAGATAGGGTGTTTGGCGCTGTGCACGGCGCATACTCGACACATATACTCGCGCCCGAGGACAACCTGTTTCCGGTGCCGCAGGGCTGGAGTTTTGCCGACGCTGCTGGATTATACGTGACTGCTCCGACTGCCTATGGGTCGCTTGTGACGCGAGCAAACACCCAGCCTGGGGAATGGGTTCTCGTGCACGCCGGTGCAGGTGGAGTCGGCTTGTCTGCGGTGCAGATTGCAAAGGCGCTGGGCGCCACGGTGATCGCCACGGCCGGATCGGAACGAAAGCGCCAGGTGTGTCTGAACTATGGCGCGGACTATGTCATCGACTACCGAGATAAGAGTTGGCCCCAAAAAGTGATAGAGCTCTGTGCCAAACACCGAACCGGTAATGGCAAGCAGGGCGTGGATGTGGTCTACGACCCGGTTGGTAAGTGGTCTTTCAAACACATATACTTTGGCTCCTAACGGAGCGTGGCGAAACTGTGACATGGCTGACCTATTCTGCACAGGCATGATTGACGCTTCCATCAAATGTATAGCCTGGAATGGACGGTTACTCGTGGTCGGATTTGCTGGGGGCAACATCGAGAAGGTTGCATTGAACCGAGTGCTTCTGAAGAACATCAGCATTGTGGGCATCCATTGGGGCATGTATGCTACCAAGGAGAAGGAGACGGTGCCGAAAGTGTGGAAGGGTATTTTTGATCTTATCAACTCGGGCAAGTTCAGGGGCATCACCTATACCGACAAGCACTACAAGGGGCTGGAAAGTGTTCCGGCCGCCCTGATCGCGCTTGGGGCCCGCGACACGTGGGGCAAGGTTGTCGTGGAGCTTGGAGAGCACGAAGGCGAAGAAGCACAGAGTAAGTTGTAGGGGTGGTTTGCAAGAATAGAACGACCCGTACAAGTATATATATCAGCTTTTTATGCCTGTGCGAACGGGCTTTTGTCTATCTACGTTAGAGTCGATCAACATTCGTGCCGGCCGACGAGACGACGGTTTCACTGAAGAGCAACGGCCTCGATCTCAACATCGACATTTTTCGGCAGCTGCTTGACCGCGACACAGCTTCTTGCCGGCTTGTGGGTGAACCATTTCTCGTACTCGCCGTTCATCTCGGCAAAATGCTGCATGTCGGAGAGGAAGACCTGGATTCAGAAAAGACAAAGCAATGCATTAGCACATGGAACTGTTGGAAGTCGATCCTGGGGCCTAGACCGAAACCCGCTTCGCTTCGTTTCAACTGGCAACCCTATTCTGGGTAGGGGTAGCACTTACAGTAGTCTTGACAACCTTGCTAATATCACTTCCAGCCGTCTCCAAGATAGCCTTGAGATTCTTGCAGCACTGCTCGGTCTTCTCGGCAATAGAGCCCGTCACCAAGTTCCCCTTGCTGTCGGCGGGGATCTGGCCCGCGACCCAGATCTGACCGGCGGCCTTGATGGCGTGGCTGTAAGGGCCGGCAGCTGCAAAAAAGTCATTCGTCAGCTTGATTGATGCTCGCGGGGAACTTGAAGTATTGATGGTGATATTGATATCTTACTTACCAGGAGCGGCATTGGGAGACGTAACGGTGGTCAATCCAGACATGTTGGCGCGGGGTTGGAGTTGTTTCAACTGAAATCGACTTGTGACGCGAAGGGCTGGTAGATATCGTGGTGCTGGAAGCTGTAGTTGTTTCGGACGGAGAAGCAGAGTTTTACGGGCAAGAGTTGGCATGAGAAGAAGATGATGATTATGAGGACCACAGCAACTTATTATCAACGTGATGGTTTAACAACTTGTCCAGAGCACCTTGTCGTAGTCCCACTGCGAGCTGAATAAATCTGGGGAACGGAATCGTCGAGAAGTCCATGCCAAGACGAAGTCCGATTCGATTATTTTGTTTACCTGCCTATACTTATGTACTTTTATTATTTCCTTGAGTTGTTGTGATACATCCCAGCTTTCACTTGGCTGTACACAACATCGCACGTTCATACAACCAGGTACTTCCTAAAGGCTGGCTATTTGTATGCAGGTATGCGAATAAGAGAGGCTGCAACTACCATGATAAGTATGTGTATGTAACCACACGTCGTTATGATGCTATGAATAAATATGTACATTGACCGAGTCAAATACTTCCAGCCCGTCCTTGTAGCTCCCTTCTACTCTTCAATGCCCAGCTCCTTCAGGATCTTCTTGTTGTGCTCTCCCACCTCAGGGATCTTGTCCATTCTCGGTCGCAATCCATCGACGCCCTCTTTGACCGGTGCAAAGCCAGGGGGAAGCAAAGCGGGCACAATGCCCTTGGGCGTCTCGACCTGGGTCCAGCGATGCCGGGCTCTAAGCTGAGGATGTTCCCAAACACCCTGCATGGTGTTGACGGCGGCATTGGCGATGGAAGCCTCCTCGAGCTTCTCGACGGCCTGGGCGACCGAATACTTGCGGAGAGCGCGGTGGATGATATCGCGGAGCTCGTCACGGTTCTGGACGCGCAGCGAGTTATTGGCAAACCGCGGGTCCAGGGCCAGGGTTGAGTCTTCGAGCACAATGTCGCAGAACTTGGCCCACTCGCGCTCGTTCTGGATGCCCAGCATGACGGAGCCACCGTCGCCCGTCTCGAATGGGCCATAGGGGTATATGGCGGCATGCGAGGCGCCCGTGGGCGTAGGGCCGGGGGCGCCGTTGTAAGTGTAGTAGAGAGGAAATCCCATCCATTCGACCATGCTCTCGAGCAACGAGATGTCGAGCCAGCTGCCCTTACCGGTCTTCTGGCGCAGAATCAACGCCGCCAGAATGTTGCTGTAGGCGTACATTCCCGCCGAGATGTCTGCGATTGAGATGCCCACTTTGGCCGGTTCCGTCTTGGTCCCCGTCACTGAAAGCATGCCGCCCTCCGCTTGAACCAACAGGTCGTACGCCTTCTTCTTGCTGTAAGGTCCGTCCTGCCCATAGCCCGATATGTCACACACGATCAGGGACGGATGAATGTCCTTGAGCTGATTATACGACAAACCCATGCGCGCCGTCGCTCCGGGAGCAAGGTTCTGCACCAGCACATCGGCACGACCCAGCAGTTTCTTCAATATTTCAAGGTCTCGAGGTGCTTTGAGATCCAATGCCAGACTCTCCTTGGACCGGTTCGTCCACACAAAATGAGATGCCAGGCCGTTCACTCGCGTGTCGTAGTCCCGCGCGAAATCCCCTACGCCCGGCCGCTCGATCTTGATTACTCGAGCTCCCTGGTCCGCCAGCTGCCGGGTGCAGAACGGTGCCGCTATAGCCTGTTCAATGCTGACCACGGTGATTCCGTCCAGCGGTCGAGGCGTGCTGGTGGAGGTGGGAGAAGCCTTGCTTGCTGACGAGGCATGGCGATGCTGGTGCTGCCTATTGATGTTGTTTCTGGAGATGGCCCGCGAAGCAGTGCTGCTCGACGACAGATTCCGCTGACCTCGAAGGTGTGCAACGCTGGTCAAGGCGAAGTCCGTCCTCCGGGCTGGCAATACGATATTGATGTCGAGACACCTCCGTAGGACTTTATGTTTCATGGCTGAGAGAATTCCAACAATCGTTAGGCCAACTGCCGATTGCCTATGTAACGGCGGAACAATCACCAAAGAGTGAAGGGCTGGTGCCTGCTTGGTATTGAGACCACGCCGGATGAAGGTGGATAAGGGGAGTGGGTGTCGGCGAAGCCTGCCTTTGGCGGTTTCTTTTGGTGTTAATATAGAGCAAAGACTATGTATCCAGACAGCCCGGCCAGTCTATGGGTCGACTTATCCACCGACGCCGTATCGGGACGAAAGTTGTTCAGGCGACAAAGCGAAGCCGGCCAGAACTGAACCAGCTGTGGCCGGGCGACTGTGAACACCGCAAGTTGAAGCGATTGATCTCGGAACTCGAACTGACTCCACGTTCTCGGAAAGACGTGTCCTTCGTAAGATTGGAGAAGCCGAGGCTGCCCGGTTTCTCGAATCGTAGTCAACGCTTGGACGACTCGAGGGTCCGCGTCTCGAAAAGGCGTCAGGCTACCCCGCCACGAGGGGGTCATCGCAGTGGCCGGTCCGTGGGTTCGGATCCCCGCCATCTCCGGTATCGGGTTTGCCTCACAACCCCCCGGCAGCTGGGACCCTTTTAGTTGTATGTTGCATGCTCATGCACTCGCAACAATGTAAAGCTACTGAGGCTGGAATAGCTATGGGGATGACAAAATAGAGCCATGCCCTTTAAACCGGTGTTCGATGCTTATTTACCATTGTACATACCAGTACCACTGCAAATCACAAATGGACATCGTGCAGTGACTATCTGTATCAGACCGCGCTCTGAAGCTGTGCAACTGTGTTGTACAAGCCTAGACTTTATCTGCAACGTTTTGGCCCGTCGCCTCTCCCGGCATCTTGAAGACAATCTTCATGACCTTGCGGGCCTCAAAGTCCTTGTAGGCCTGGGGCGCATCTTCCAAGGACATTGTCTTGCCACACAGATGAGCGACTTTCTTTTGCTCCTTGATCAAGATCTTCAGGGCGTCCTCGAAAATGCTGCGGACAGGACACCGACCAAAAGCCATGGTGACGTTCTTGCCATAGCACAAAAGGCCGTTCAAGGGGATCATCTCCGTGTGCACGCCAATCGAACTGATCTGACCCCAAGGACGGATCATGTCGAAGGCCAGCATGAATGCATCGGCGTGTCCCACCACTTCCAGCACGACATCGGCGCCGCGCCCGCCGCTGGCCGCCTTGATCTTCTCGACAGGGTTGTCGTTCAGATTGATGGGGATGGCGCCAATCTTCTCGGCCTCGGCCAGACGCTCGGGGACTGAGTCGATCGCATACACCGTCTTGACCATGGTCAGGGCTGAGGTGATGGCGCAGATGCCCACCGGCCCGCAGCCGATGACAACTGTGGTGAACTCGTCCCGGTCTCGCTGAGGCAGGTCTTTCAAGAACCGTGCCGCGGCGAAATAGCCCGTCGGGAAAATGTCGGCCATCAACACAAGCATTTCCTCCGGAATTCCTAGACGCTCATAGGTAAGCGGTGCTCTCGTTAAATAATAAAAGCCATATTAGGGTCAGAGCGAAGATTGCCTACCTGATGGTGCTTTGACGCACGTCGTGCCCGCCAACGGCACCCGCACGTACTCGGCCTGTCCGCCGTCGACCGTGTTGGCAGGCACCGAGTTGCCAAACAGCTCGCCGTGGAGGCATCTACTGGCCTGCCCGCGGACACAGTAGTAGCATTCCTGGCAGGCCGTGTAGAAGGGGACGACGACTTTGTCGCCAATGTTGAAGTTTTTGACCGCGTCGCCCTTTTCAACGATCGTGCCCACGAACTCATGGCCGCAGATAAAGTTGGGCGGGCACTTGAGATGACCTCGATAGAAGTGCAGATCAGATCCCTGAACAGGGCGTCAGAGAGAGTATCATAAAAACACACGGCGATAGTATTGGCTTACGCAAAGTGCTGTCGAAGACACCTTCAGGATCGCATCCGTGGGCTTCTGGATCTTGGGAACTGGTCGGTCCTCCACGGCAACCTAGGCACATAATGATACATTGTTAACCTCAGCCATGATTCTTTGCCGGGCTGCTAAGGCCGTTCTATTGTAGAATCAGGCCGCATCGAGAGTGGTCATAAACCATACCTGATAGTCGCCCTTGAGGACCACCGCCCGCATGGTGGCTGGAAGCGACATGATGATAGAGATACTAGGTGTTCTTGAACCAAGAAGCCAACGGAAATGTTATGTATATGAAGGGCGTGTCGCGGACTGGATGAGTGAGGAGCAGAGTCGGTACTTGTACCTTGGAGGTCCCCTGGACGGGGCTATATATGCAGCTGAGCTCCATCAGGAGACCTTGGCTGGCACTTAGTTCAGCTGCGTACCAGATCGCCGGTCCCCGCGACATGGGCGCCCCAAATTCCGTGTTGGAGACACGATCGGGAGAGCGGGTTCAGCACGGAGCGTACCAATTCGAGAAGAGAAGCGAAGCGAAGCGAGGAGTTGCTGTCCTTCCCCGCCTCCGTCGCCTTCAGCCGCGGTAAAGTCGATACGTGGGGACGACGAGGCTGAGCCCCCCGAGCCTTTCCCGCCACCCTCAGCCTTGCGAGGTGAACGGTGAGCCAAAGTTGTCCGCTCCATTGCTATGCGTATATCATCGAGTCTTGTCCATTAAGCGCTATCGTACCATTCATGACCACATATGTCACTGTGCGACTTTGCCGTTTGTTGCCGCTTTTCGCCCCCAAACATGAGATAGTACAGCAGTTGCACTCCAGCTCATCCATCCGCTGATTAGTACTCATAATCGTCATAGGCACTTCCGTCGTACCGTCTTCTTACAGCCACGCTTCCAGAAACACTACTCAAATCTACGCTCGGCCGATTGCCCTCCGACCGCTGTCCTTCCTGGGACTCGCTATCGGGAAGCTTTCCTTCATAACCAGTCGCATAAAACATGGCCTCGGGCGGTAAGTCCTGGGCCTCATATGACGACTCGCTCACTTGACGGGCCCGTGGCGTCTCTGGTTGATTGTTCTTTGGGTACCGTGCTTGTTGACTCGGCAGCAAAGCACGGCCAGTAGTTGGGGATGTCACTTGGTTATAGGCTGCTGCCGCGCCGGCCATTTGTTGGCGAGCTGGATGTTTGGGGCCTGGAGAGGGCACGAAATCAAAGCTCGGCACCGTCGCTGGGATCGAATTTCGGAAAGGATTGCCCTGGTCTTCGTACGGACTCTCCTTTTCTCCTCCGCCAGGAGATTTGGCTTGAAGAGGAAACGCAGATGTCGGTGTGACGGTGGCAGTGTACGACGTAGGCGTGTTGTCCTTGCTATTGTTGGAGTAGTCGTCTGGATTCACAAGAGTCAGCCTAGGGGCGCCACTAGGCTGGCGCTCAAGTTGAGAAGCCGGAGGTGTGCTCTCTCCGAATGGGCTGTCTGGGTCTGCATTCGGGTCAAAGAATTTCTCGTCTGTCATGTATGGGTTGGATCCCTCCGCCGCATCGTCAAACGTCGTGGTTGGCATTTCCACGATGCCCTCCGGGAGCGTGTAAGGCTTGTCCTTTAGAGCGACGCCTGCGTAGCTGCCTCCCGAGTTTCTTGGCGGACCATCATACTGTCCTGTTGGATCAATCTGATAGTGGTTCGGGGGCAAGCTGAATGGCACTTCAGGAACAATGCTGCCCCGGTTAGAAGTCATGTCTGTCGAGGCATTGAACGGCGACTCTGAAGCCATGGAAGACCGAGGTTGGTCTTGCTGGCTGAGACTCTTCCCCATGACACTCGTTCCTTTACGAACAGCAGGGATTCCAGAATGCTGCGCCTCAGATCCGTCAGTATCCCGGATACCGAATTGGGCTATGGTACGCAATTTGCGGGTCACCCAGGACGCCAGGATTTTGCCCCTCTGCTTCTCGCCAAGTCGACTGCGTGGGAAGTCACCATCACCCACAAAGGCGACAATGTCCACGACAATTTGGTGTTCGTGCAGGACCGCATTGACGATGACCGGGACAATGGAAGCAAGATAGGCCTTTCTGAAGACTTCGACCAGCACGACCACCATGCCACCAGCTTGAAAGACGGCGCAACCGCCAGGAGTGATGTTTCGGTGACACTTCTCGATGCTGTTCTCGATATCTATCGGGAAGTGGTTGAGACCATTGACCTCGAACGTCTCTCCAATACTGCCCAGCACAAACAAAATCTGCATCTCTACTGGTTGGTTTCCAGGGCCGATCGGTCGGGTGACATTATGGAGAAAGCCCAGATCACCAGTGCGTACATATCGCGCGTTCAAGTCGCCGCCAACAATACGACCATTGAAGCGCTCTTCATCAAAAAGCTGTTTCGACATGTAGAAGGACTTTGCGCACGCCTCGGATTGTACCCAGATCTCGCCGAACTCACCAACATGACACAGCTGACAGGTTTCGGGATTAACAATGGCGATGCGGGTGGACACGGGAACCATTCCTGAATCCTGCACGCATAAGGCCGTGGGATCGGTGTCCGGGTCGACAGGGTAAACCAGACCCCTTCTGAGCGCGCGCACGTCCAGCCACAGCTCTATGGGTTCAATGGCCATGTAGCTTCGAGAAGCGACCATTGGGTTGAGAACGTGGGCATAGATGGTGTTGATGGCCGTCCTTTCCAGTCCTGTCTGAGCAAAATGTAGTCTCGCTTTGGTGAAGAGGTCGAGACGCGGCCTGCTCTCTGCCGCGATCATCAGGTTCTTGAGCTCATGCAGGGAGAAACCCTTGCCAACAACATGGCTCATGGCAAAGTCAAGCATTTGGGGGGTGGCGTAGGTGTCCTTGACTTTATACCTCGACAGAGCCAGGAACAGTGATCCTGGATTTTGCGCGAAGTCGAGCGGCGATATCAAGTACGTGGTGCTTCCATTGTACACGCCCAGGAGCACAGTGTGTAGGAAACCGATGCCGACCGTGCTTCTTACACACGCCAGCACAGGCTTGGAACTGGTCATCTGGCAGGTCTCTTTTTGAACCTTGCACATACCCAAGATAGTATCGTGGCCCAATTGCACGGATATTCGCCGCTGGTCTGGGGTCCAGTATGTCCAGATTATGACCGGATTTGATGGAGATATCCAAGACCGGTTGATAGTAAGCCCAAGATCCCTGCAACCATGGGACTGTTTCGTGGCCTTTGCGGTGTTGTATACGCTTGGAATGCTCGTCTTTAAATACTGCGCTGATTGCTTGAGGTGCTGCGAGACGATCTTCTGGCGGAATAGATGATCGACTTCTGTGTTGCACACCACAGCCTTAACCCCCATGTCGGCCACGATGTGCAGAAAAGCCGGCGCATCTTCAGAGAGCCTATTGGCGTCCAAAGGAGCAACAGGAATTGCAATTGCTCCGAGGACCATGCATGCATATATGGCAAACACGTAGTCCTCGGAATGGGTATACATCAAGATGAGGTGGTCGCTCGGTTTCACCTTGACCTTGTTGCGCAGGTACAATGCTACTGCTGCAACTCGCTGGTCAAACTTCTTCCAGGTAAGGCCCTTACCCTCTTTCCCCCGTCCGTCGATTGTGCAGTATGCGAGTTCATCAGCTTGCCGCGCTACTCGCCACTGCATCAAGTCGAAGATGTTCGTGAAATTGCTCAAGGCCGTCGAAGTACGGTCATCGATGACTACTTCGCGGGGATCAACGCCTGACCATTGTGTATCTTGGTCATAGAGAAGGTCTGCCCGCGCCGCACTGGAGTCTGGGGACCAGATACCACCACTGATATCTTCCCCGAAAGGCAGATTCTGGACAGCTCGCTCAACACCGAACTTGACATGGACACAAGGTAGGGAGCCATTATCGAACTCCTTGCGGCAGAGCATATTGCCAATTTCTCTTCGTCCGTTCTTGGTAACACGAGGTAGAATGCCAGGGGCGGTGATCAGCACGCAGTAAACCCTGAGATGATGCTCCTGATACAACACGTCCATCGTCTTCTCCGCCAGAGAATCAAGGAGAGCAATATCGAGCTGCCTTGGTGGCCCACCAGACGATATAGGTGCAGTCGATGCAGAAGGAGACTCAAGGAGGACAATCGGGAGATGTTCATCGTTGACGAAACAGTCGAATGCCGAACAGTCGTGGATTTTGGGGACGTTCCTCATGATACTGAGAATGAGATGCTGCACGAAGAAATAGCGGTGTTCCTGCACCGCCACACCATGTTCAACCCATTCGACCCGCTGTCTGAGTCTGTCCTCGTACAGCCCAAGGACGTATACCTTGCCCTCGATGATACAGCCGAGCAGGCCTGTCCGGAGGAACTCGGGATCGATTGCGGTCGGCGTGGGATCGCCTTCTCGGAAGCAATATGGCCGAGCGTGGAAGATGGTCTCAGTGTGCCGGGGAAGCGCCCAAAATCCTCCTGAGAGCGAGGGAGAATCCACCCAGATCTCGCCGATAGAACTCGGTGAGCAAAGCAAGCCCGACTCTGGATCCACAATCGCCAGCGTGGCATCAGGAATCGGGTAGCCAAAGGCGCCACAGCGTACAGCATTGGGGAATGAGCTGGCTTTCGCACGAGCCTCCGATCCCATGGCCAGCACAACAATGTCGTTCGTCTTCAGCGCCTCCTTGTCCAAAAGGACCTCGCCCAGATCTTCTGTCGAACGCTCTTTGGACTGCGGTTTGGCGCTGCCCCCTCCGATCAGACTGCTGCCGAAGCCGGTTCTCGGTGCAGAGCTTTCGTCTTCCTTCTTCTCTTCGACCTGCTGATCATGATCCATCTCATGAGTAAGGGAACAGCCCATTCGTTCTTCCCCACCGAGCCAATCGCGCATACTGATGATCATGCCTCCATGTTCAGGTAGACACAGCATCGGCGCAACGATTTCTCGAGCTCGGGGGTTCCGGAGGGGCTTCAACCATCGATCTGCCAGCAGCTCGTGGAACTCGACGTCGACGGTCAATGTGTCAATCATGCATAACTTGACACTGCTGAAGTTGGGCTCAAAATTGCGTTTGAAATTTCTTGTCGTCATCGGATCTGTTTGATAGTTGTAGACCGCTCGCTTCAAGCCCGGATAGTCTGCCACCAGCAAGGTTGTCTTGTACTTTGTGATGAGATTCGCATACAACCCCGCCGTCTCGATTGCCCGCTGGTCGAAGTATATCACAGTGTGACCACCGTAGATGTTTAGCAACACGCCGAGGATTATCCCTATGCTCTGTCTAGGATCCAGATAACTCAGCAAAACCTCCCCATGTCTCGAGCCGGTGATTAAATGGCCTTGCTTGTCACGCAATGATGGGTTAAATGTATCCGCTCGCGTGTTACTTGTCGCGGAGGTTATCATTGCACTTAGGGTGGCCATCTGATGCATGATAGTCTTGTGGCTCAGAACAACGCCACGAAGGTCACCCGTGGGTGCAGTAGAAAACTCGATGTAAGCAAGATCAGGCACCACCAAGGGGATCTCTTCGCCTTTTCTCTTGGGATGATAGCTTCCGAACTCATTGGTTTTCCACCATTCGACCCCTCGCGGCCAGTTGAGCTTGGCCGCTGTGATATCTCGCTGGAAATTCTTCAGGTTGGCCTCCGTTGTCAACGCTAGGTGCGCTTGCGTCGAAGTGAGCACGACATTCAGCCTCGCATAGTTCTTTAGATCATTAATCGGTACCGCAACCACGCCAGCGATAAAGCAGCCAAGGAGTGCCACCGTGAACTCGATTATCTCGTTCTCGGTATAGATGAGCGCGACGCGATCGCCCTTGTATAAACTGCTTTTGTCGCGGATCACTTGAGCCACCTTTTCCGCCCTGCTGCAGAGCTTCTCCCATGTTATGGACACAAGCTCTTTGCCTTTTTGATCCAAAACCCAGTACGCTGCCTGTTTTGGGTTCGTCTTTGCACGATGCCGAAGTACCGCAGCAATATTCTCAAACCTCGACATCTCGACATTCGAGTCATGAGGGTCACAGATGGCGAAAGGCACCTCCCGAGGCTCTAAAGGCATCTGGTGAATTGCAGCCCCTCCTTGGAGCTCCCCAGCGCCCAAAAATGGAGGTGCCATCTGCGCCGTGGGGGACGCCACCTCGCTTTGAGAGTATCTGTGAACATGCCCCCCGTAGTTTTCCTGGTAGTCTTCTCGCTGTTGACCGGCAAAATCCGTAAAATAACCCTGCTGAGAGTCGAGCATGGTCGAGTTGCGAGTCTCCGCAGCGGCGTAGTTCTGCTGACTATCGGGGTTGAAGGCATAGTTTTGGCTCAGTAGAGTCTGCGTACGTGACTGATCAGTCGCGGTCAGAAAGGTCTGTTGTCTTTGATCCTGCGCCGGCCCGGAAAAGGACCCTCGCGATGTCTCGCCAGCTTCACGCTCTTGAAATCTTTGGACATGACTTTGAGGTGTGGTACTCCGCCTAGGGTCATCCATCTGTTCGTCCCTGAGCATCGAGCCGGGACGGTTCATGCTGGGATAGCTCTCGGGAATGGCTCCATTTCTCGCCGCCTCACTGACCGGCCGGCCTGTGAGAGCAGCAAGAGATGCCGCCCTTGAGGCGTCATTGGAGGCGGGATGGTCGCTGTCGTCAGGAGAGTGTATGCGCAATCCGCGTGGCTGTGACTGCGACTGCGACGGCGATGTCGTGTCCAGAGGTGGTATGAATTGGGAAAGGATGAGAGTCCGCCTCTTTTCGTAGCCTTTTCTCGTGATGTCCCCCTCCTCAAGCTCCTCGTCTAGCTTGCGCAAGGCCTCCTCGAGCTCAGGATTGATGCCGGACATTTCGGCGGCGCTGCATGCGTGACCGACGTTCTTGCGCGGTGCAGTGCCAGAATTCCCGGGGAATGTAACGATTCAATCCAAATTTTGAACCCGAAACGGGAACCTAAGGTGGTGGGGGATCAGAGCAATAATAAATAAGCGAGCGACAGGGAGACCCGGCAAACTTGAAACAAGTCTCAATTCACAATGTTCAACACGACACTGGATATGGAACCCGACGCGGAAGTCATCGAGGTCATGGCGCATGTGGAGATGGCGTCCTACTAATAGAGGAGAGGATGGAGATGTTCACCGTTTGACCCATGTCCACCATCACCCTCCCAGCTACAACATCGTACAGTTTACCTTCTACCACTGCTAAAGACAGTCCCTTCAGAGTGCCGATGATCCTTTCCTCCTGTGTGCTTCATCGAACATTGTCACCGTTCGCCCACTTCATTATTATACAAGCTATGAAAGACTATGCGGTTATGGTCCTGGTGGAAGAGGGAACTGCATGCATGCCTTCATCACGAACTGGTCTATTCTTATCTACTAGAAAACTGTCCTATCCTCTGTCCTATCCTCATTCAAATGCCTAGAATCTTTTCGCAATCAAGATTAGAGGGCTCCCTCTTGTCCCTCGTAAGCGTTTCCCGTGACAATTATATACCAAACTTACACAAGATTGTGTTCTTGGACTGTATCCATGATTTCGAATTGGGCAAAGTGGATGCGAAAACCAGCAGGATCCGTCCTGCGATCCTTGTCGTAGGCCATCAAATCGGAATCTCCAAGGCCCCAATTCTGTCCAGGTATGAATTTCAAAAAACGAAGGGCAAGACAAGTCCTTGCCGTAGATAAAGCGTCGGGTTGTGGATGATACCCGTTGACGCCATTAGCCTCTTCCAGCAAAAATCGTCGCGGGAGTATGTCTGCATCGTGGTCTGAAACCCCCGTCTGATGGGGCGCTTCCTAGATAGCGAACAGCAACATATAGGATGAAAATGACAATGGTGGTATGTCCCATTAGGCTTGGCTCTCAAGCAGAGTGTAGACCGGAGCATTAAGCTTATCCCTGCCCTTGAGGAAGGAAAGCTCGATGATGAAGACGTATCCCATCAGCTTCCCTCCGCACTTTTCGACTAGGGTTCCGGCTGCCGCCGCTGAACCCCCGGTTGCGATGAGGTCGTCGACAACGAGAACTTTTTGGCCGGGTGTGATCGCGTCGCTCTGCATGGCGAAGGTGTCTGTACCGTATTCCTTCTCGTATTGCGCTGTTTCAACCTTGCCGGGAAGTTTACCGGCTTTTCTGACCGGAACAAACCCCACTCCTAACCGCAAGGCGAGCGTCGGGCCAAAGAGGAAACCTCTCGCGTCCAGGCCGACGATCACATCGGGGGTGTTGTCAGGGCCGAAGCTCTCGAGAATGAGCAGTTCATAGGCTCGGAGAAGGTCTTCGTGCAGGCTGTGGGAAGAAAAAAGAGGGAGGATATCTTCGAACAGAATGCCTTTCTGCGCGCAGGCTGTCAGCCGGGGGTTGTGAATGTTTTCGCAGAACTGTGTACCTTTGGGAAGTCCGGGTATGTCTTCAGACCCGCTTTCAGCCGGCCTCTCAGGTCCTGCAGCGCTTCAGGACGGGCGAGTTCGGAGGCTGCGAGAGTTAGCAAGGCTGCAAAGGTCGAGAGGGGAGGCTCAGCATACTGGAGGCGGCGGCATTGGACTCTGATCTCGAGGCGCCATGACTGCAGGAACTATGTGCCGGAAGACTCATGGTGAAGAGAACAGGCAGAGAAGTAGACCGGGAGTCGAATAAATATGGGACGAGAAAAAAAGATGACAACAAACAGCTGTTGCACAAGTACAGCAGCGCACGACGAATCAGTTACGCATGCAAGGGCGTCCACAGTCGGGGAGGGATCTGGTGGGAAGACGACGATGCTAGACTGCGCCGAGCGATGCCGCGCTATACCACTGCAGGGCCAGTCGAGTCGCTTCGTGGTATCCGGAATGTCCAGTAGCTGGTCAACAGGAGACGCGGACAGAAGTGTGGTTGCAAGGGTGGAAGTTAGATAAAAATCGGCCTGCACAATCCAGGAGAAAATCTCAGCAGCAGTAATGTGCTACCTACCAACCGGCCCTCAAGTAGCAGTTGTGGTAACTTTGGTGAAAATTGACGTGATTGCACCCAATGTCTGCCCGATCTCCCTTTTTTACCGTATCTCTACATTTGTACACTTTTCACAGCTCTTTCAGGGAGCGTGTGCGCTCAAGAAAGTCGTCCATTCGATGGTCTGTCAGGGTACGGTAGTGTATCACTGACTGGATACGAAGGTACAGAGTCGGTGGGTGGGGAGGTTGCGGCATGCCAGTGCGTAGTTCCTTATCGTTCGCCCAGAGCCGATACTGGCCTCCGATCCGACGGGTTCCAGAGAGGGTCAGGGATGGAGACATGGCGGTCGCAGGACGATGGTAGCACGCAGTAAGGTTGGCTACCACCTTCCCGCCACCACCAGGATCCCGCCATAGCGCGTAGCACGCGCCCCTACTACCCACCTGTCAACAAAACCTTCGTATTCCTCTACTAATTGACCTTCTACCACGTCGTCGTTATGGATCCTGCTAGCCAGGCTCTCGTTACACTCGATTCTAGTGTCGTAAAGACTATACGACAGGCGGCGCTCTACGCAGGCGCCTCAAGATCAACTATACGCGACCGCGCCAACGGCGCGAGACCTAAAGAACAAGAAGAGGTCTCGTACGCAAATCTTACGCGGCAATAGAAAGATGTTCTAGCTATATATATTCGAGACCTATAGTTATAATATACGCTAGTTAATCGTACGCAACTGGCGCGCGTTGCGCAGGATCTCGCGCGCTAAAGGCACCCCTTCGTTAGGCTCGGTATATACTAGGTCTCTCGCTTTATTAAGCGACGACCTAAGTTAAGTTATGCGCGTAATAGAGCGCTCGACGCTAGTAGGATCTAGGCTACTATTCCTTATTAACTAGACGGCTAGTTTACGTACCTTTCTAAAGTCGTACGACGCTTCCAGATCCTGCCGAAGAATATCTGGAATATAGACGAGATAGGCTTTTAAATGAGCCACTTATAGAAGGAGTCTATAGTCTTTGATCGACGTACGGGGCCACCTCTCTCAATTGCGAGTAGTTCTATAGGCTAGGTCTCGGTCCTAGAGTATATCTCCGCCGCGGACGACGCTATAAAGCCCTTAGTTATTTACCGTAGTAGGCTACTAAATTAACCGCTTAACTACTAGTTTCCATTATCGCCTAAGTGCCCTAATTAGCGTTAGGGCTTTATAGAGAGAGGCTAGACGACGAATAAGTACGCTCTCGAGTGGCTAAAAGAGATATTTATTCCTAAGAGTCGCCGAGGGCGTTATTAAGACGACGCCTCGTACTAGCGACTCCTTATTCTAGATGGCCACGGAAGTTACGTAATAGGCGAGTTTATCTATCTCTGCCTCGTAAACTAGATTACGCTCGTTTATCTACTACCTTATACGTCGTATCTCTATTAGCCGTGCGATTTAGGCCTATTTAGTCGCCTTAAGGCTTACTACGCTCAAAACCTTAAGGAATTTATTCTAGTAGGCGAGTCTTAAGTCTTACGCGCCTAGTTTAACGTTCTCTATTATCGTACGCGTTAATAGGGCTTTACTAGGTAATATATCTCTATAGGCTGGCGTAGAAGTGGCCTCTAGCCGATCGCACCTAATAGAGTACTTAACAAACTAGAGGTTATAGCCTATAGATAGGCTAGACTAACTACCCCGGAGCGTTCTAAGTCTTAGGACGTGCGTACGCTCAGGACGCTAACAGATATCGCCTCGCTAACGACTCTAAACGCGTCTATTAGTTATAAACTAACTCGCTCTCTACGTAAAGCCTAGCGTCTATTTATACGCGGCTTTATCGTAGTCGATTCTAGGGCTAGAGTACTTTAGACTAAGTTACTAGCCGTACGCAAGCGCGTACGAGAAGATGAAGAAGAGGCTAGTAATAAACGCCTTCGTAAGTAGGATGAGAAGCGCTCCTGGGACGTCGTCGACGTCTTCAAGGCTAGAGGGCACTCATAGGAGGAAAGCGAGTTATTCTGCGCTATCCTGCCAGATAGAGAGACGATCTACGCGATGCTAGAGTAGCTAGATTCATAGTTATTCTCTATACAAAATCGCAGACTCGGCATCAACTTGTTCGTTGCGTAGTGCGTACAAACGCGCGCGGCATAGTAGGATTTCACTAGTGGCGGGATCCTGGTGGTGGCGGGAAGGTGGTAGCCAACCTTAGTGGCCGTAAGTAAGAGGACACTGTGGGCCGTAGCAAGGGCCGGCCAGGACCAGCTTGAAGTGGGATGTTCCCACAGAAAAAGGAATGTCATGTCATGATACTGCTGGCAACGGCCCCAGAGGCATGAAGGGATGCTGGACGGGCTGCAGTGGTTAGAAGTTGAGTGGTCTCAAGTGAATGACAGTTTGAGTCCACCTTCATCATCACAGTCTGCAGTCTACAGGCAATGATAAGGTATGCTAGCATAGGAGAGCATCCAGGAATACATACCTGGTACGTAGTAGTTGTGATAACTTGGATACTACTTCAGACTCGGCACACTACAAGCACTGCTCACGGCACCTGAGGCAGGGCAGTTGCGGTGAGGTGCATCTTACTGCTATGCTGAAATTGTAGTACTACAGTATTATTATACCACAACTACGAGCAGTCGTAGAGTCCTCACCCACTTTGCACGCATGTCTCTCCTGGCCCCGACAGACCCTGCGTTCTCAATCACTCAACTTTCTCGAAGCCCTCAACCACAGCCACAGCATGTGTGCGTACTTCACTAACTACTACCAGATAGGATCGAATGCAACAGCAGCCCTTTCGATCACATATGACAAGCCTGGACTGGAAAGCAGTCCGTTCCTCTCCATCCATCTGCTCTCGAACCGGCATGCTGTCTTGTATTCGCAGCTTCGTCTCCGTCAGCCTGCGTCTCCCGCTGACCCTGCAGACTACACACTCACCAGTAGCCTCAATTTTCAGAGGCTGCCTACCTACTATCGTCCACACTGCGCCATTTTCTCCCACACTGCAAATGCCTTTAGCGAGGAGGTCACTATGATGATCTGTTCAATCCCACTCCTCGGTTAAGCCAATGCCCGCAGGGGCATACCTTCTGCTCCGAGAGGATATGTTCTAGAGTGCTGATCGTTAAGAGCAATGTATCGACGATCCTTTCGATCCAGCCAAAACATCCTGGATTTCTTGCCGGCTTACATCCCGATCCCGTATAGTATTCGAACGTGGGCATGTGGACAGACGAGAAGAAGACGCTCGGCAGCTATGACTGTTGGGAGAGTGGTGCAAAAGCAGACGACGACTGAAGTGGCGGTGACCACAATGTGACCACAATGCCACTCTCGCAAGGATATTGTCTTGGACTACTGCACCCAGTTGTTGTCAACCCTGCCTAGGTAGTTGGCTCCGTCATGGGAAACCTTCCAAGTCCTTGAAACGCAGTCAATCGGTATGAATTCTGGCCATCCTCACTCTGGCACGTTTAGATGCGCACGTCTCGCCACCTCGCATTGCCTGAAATCCAACAGCTTCGAGTCGTATGACTGTCCCTAGATGCATGCTTCCCGCTTCTCGGACCACGGCCGTCTCTTGCTCGCCCTTAGGATCCCGGTATCACCCCAGGATGACATCCGGACGTAGCCATTGATTGATACGAGCATCCTGGATCATGGACAGTCACGCCTCAGGAATCAACGATAAGCTACTCCATCAGAGGCACTACTGTGTCTCTGCCACATCAGGTACCATCACTGGAGGAAAGGCCAAGCTGCATCACGTCTCGGGGCCATCGACTAGCAGTGCCAGCGAATCCGCAGAGTAGGTCGTTTTGTGGTAGAAGAATGCCCATCTCGAGCGATTTCATATCGCTGTCAAGCCGCGTCTGAGCTTGGGAAGGTCCATTAATAAATTACTAGGCCATCCAAACGGGATGCATCTGGGTAGAGGTCTAGCGCCTGTATTGGATATGTCGATATTTACGCATAGTTACCTTACGCACCAATACAGGTGATGTCGATGTTGCTTTTGGGAGGACTTGGACATTCGCAGAAATATTATTTATCAAAATACAAAATGAGATTAACTTGCCCACCCACTCGGAGTTAGCGATATCAAAGAAACGTGCACACGCCGGCCGAGACGTGTTCTATTCGTACCTATATTCTCTACTACAGGACCCGTCTTTCAATGTTGTCTTGAAATACTAGTAGTAATAGCACTACAGCTTCGCCGGTGCGCGCACGTTCCTTCAATACTATCTTTAACCCCGGGTCTGCAGGCAGGTATCTCGGGTAAACTTCGGCCGAGCACCAAGTCTCCCGAAAATAATTTCTTGAATGTCCCTCTGCCAGTGCAGAACTGCAACAGTACAACTTGAACGATAGCAAAATATTCTTCCAGGCCTTCCAAACTGCCTGAAAGCGTCTACAATGATTGCTCCCAGCTCCGCAGATGACTTCGTTCTGACGATTTCAGACGACGAAGAACTACCGTTCAGCGACCCCGAAAGCGAGGAAGAGCAGACCCTTGCGCTCGCCTCTGGCACCAAACGGAAAAGAGACGAACCACCCAAGAAGGATACCCAGCGAAACAAGAGGCAGAAGTCTCAGTCCAAGAAACAACCAAAGAGGGAACCAGAACCCGAACCGTCCGAGTCGTCGTCCGAGGATGAGGGCGAGCAAGGCGTTCAAGATGGGACGATTGATCCAGATTTCGAATTCGACATTGGCGGAGGCGCTGTGCTGGAGGACCTGGAAGAGTTCGACGGCTGGGGCGAGGGCGCTTCGAACACAACAAAAGGCGACGGCAAGAAAAAGACGGTAGACATTGATGAAATCATTGCCCGCCATGCCGCGAAGAAACAAAAGCAAAAGCCTGCCAAATCCAAAAGTGCGGAAGAGGAAGATGAAGAGGCTTCGTCTGCCTCCGGAGACGAGTCTGCCGCAGACACTGATGGTGAGGAGGACGACGATGTTGATATACCGGACTTTGATGATGACGAGCTTCTTGCACCGGACGTGTTTGGAGCTAACGTCGGCTCGGAAGAGGGGGGCGAAGGCCAAGAAGACTCAGAAGAAGAGGAACAGGACAATTCGGAAGATGAAGCAAATGAAGATGAAGATGCTTCTGACAGCGACTCGGTCGCCTCGCCTATGGCCCACCCGGACGATCTCGCATCAGACGCCGGTTCAGAGACATCAGAATCCGATGCTGAGGAGCAGGCCAAGCGAGCCGCGTTCTTTGCCCCGGAAGATAAAACCACTAACACAAACTCCAAAGCCGCATCGTCATTCCAACAGTTTTCGCTCTCGAGACCGATTCTAAAGGCTTTGGCAGCACTCTCGTTCACTGCACCCACTCCGATTCAAGCGCGCGCTATCCCCGTTGCATTGCAGGGCTTGGATGTAGTCGGTTCCGCCGTCACGGGGTCCGGAAAGACTGCTGCATTCTTACTTCCCATCCTCGAGCGGCTCCTCTACCGGCCTAGAAAAGTCCCTACGACGCGAGTGGCGATTTTGATGCCGACTCGTGAATTGGCCGTTCAGTGTTACAATGTCGCCACCGCGCTCGCGCGGTTCACGGATATTACCTTTGCCCAAGTGGTTGGCGGTTTTCCGTTAAGAGAGCAAGAGGCCATCTTGAAGAAACGTCCCGACGTGGTCATTGCTACGCCCGGTAGATTCATCGATCATATGCGCAACTCGGCCAGCTTTGTGGTGGAGAACATTGAAATTCTGGTGTTGGACGAAGCAGATCGCATGCTGGAGACGGGATTTGAAGACGAGCTCAATGAGATTCTGAAGACGATTCCCAAGGGCAGGCAGACAATGCTGTTCTCCGCCACCATGACCGACAGTGTCGACAAGTTGGTCCGGGTGGGAATGAATCGCCCTGTTAGGCTATCGGTGGATGCTAAAAAGAGCACCGTCTCAGGGCTTGTGCAGGAGTTTGTCCGCCTACGACCGGGAAGGGAGAACCTGAGACTGGCGACCTTATGTGTCCTGTGCAAAAACTTCTTCACCGAGCGGACCATCATCTTCTTCCGGCAGAAGAAAGAAGCTCATCGTGTCCGTATTGTGTTTGGGCTACTGGGCCTCAAGGCCGGCGAACTGCACGGCAGCATGTCGCAAGAACAGCGTATCAGCGCCGTCAATGCGTTTCGCGAAGGCAAGACGACGCACCTCCTTGCCACAGATTTGGCAAGTCGAGGTCTCGATATCAAAAACGTCATGACCGTGGTCAACTACGAAGCACCTCAAACGCATGAAATCTACCTCCATCGTGTGGGCCGTACCGCTCGTGCTGGTCGCTCTGGTCGGGCTTGCACTATCGCTGCCGAGCCGGATCGGAAGGTCGTTCGGGCTGCCGTGAAGAGTGCAAGGCAGCAAGGCGCCAAGGTAGTGTCACGGGTGGTGGATGCGCAAGAGGTCGATGCCATGAACGCACAAATAGAGGCCATGGAATCCGAGATCGAGGAAATTCTCAAAGAAGAAAAGGAGGAAAAACAACTTTCCCAGGTCGAGCAACAGCTGACCCGCGGCGAGAACCTGGTCAAGCACGAGGCTGAAATCATGGCGCGGCCAAAGCGCACATGGTTTGAAACCGAAAAGGAGAAGCAGCAGGCTAAAGTGAAAGGGCTGATGGAGCTGAATGGGCCTAACGGGGTCATCAGAATCAAGGGTGAGAAGAAGAAGTTGAGCAACAAAGACAAGAAGCGACTTGACGACAAGAGAGAGCGTGTTGAAGGGAAGATGTGGCGGAAGGGCAAGGGCAGTGAGGCTGCAGCGAAGAAGGAGAGGATAGACCGGAAAAAGGGGAAGTCCAAGAACAAGAGCAAAGGAAAAGTGGGAAAAGGAAAGGCGAAGAAGTAGATAATCCGCCAACTCTAATGCTATAGATGCTGTCAATGCACTTTCTCGCCAGTTGTCCTTGCCGGATGGTGTGTTTGCTCTTGTTATATCCCGCCTCACATTGGAGATGCCGTTTGAACCGGAATAGCGCTCGGAACCAGACAGTCAAAGAACTTTTATCCCCCCGAAGCGTGCCAGCCGGTACTGGGCCAAGGTTGAAACACCAGGGCTCAACGAGGTCTACTGAATGGCGAAGGACTGGACGCATGCTCCTTACAGTTGGCTTTTTCAACAGGTCATATATCGTGAGGGTGATTCGATGTTGCCCCCATTGGCTGAGGCATTCCGCTCGAGCACAGCCATCAATCTCGCGGTGCTGGAATCGCGTTCCATGGGTATCTCGGAACAGCTTGCGGTATGGATTTGCAGAGAGACGTTGCTCGCGACAGGCGCCGATGCTCATGTTGTCGATGCAAACAGTACCGCCACACTTGCAAGGTGAATGCTATCCTTTCTTGGTGGTCTTCCCCGGAAGCTTCACTTGTGGCCTGCAGGCTTCAGTTTGCCTTGCCTGATCAGGTCATCTACCTTGGGAGGAAGGACAAGGGCGCTTCTATCATTTCGCTTGTAAAAATCTGCAACCACCTGGGCTGTCTTGGCCGGTTGATCCTCCTGAATGAAATGGCCAGCATCTGGGAATACTTGCAGCTGATATTTACCTATTTCATAGTCAGTGGCAGCGTCCAACGACCTCTTTTTGGGAAGTCATTAATGCGTACCTTGCATTTGGCCAATCATGAGTTCCTTGTCAAGCCTGTCAGTTCCGGCAAGAAGTAACAATTTCCCTCCCTGGGACTCGAGAAATTTCTTAGACAAACCAATAAACCAGCCTTCCCAGAAGGGCTTTGTGGACGCCAAATCGGTCCGCCATGACCACTTGTCGTGGGTTTCGGACTCTTGGAGAAGGGACGGGACCGACACTCTCGCCGAGGTTGTATTCCGTATCGTGCGAGATTTGACGTGCCAGTCAATCCCGGACGCGAGGGAAGGGAAGGATTTTGGCCTGGTGGAGAGATATGTATCCATGCTGCGCAAAGCATCCATGGCAGAGCCTTCCACAACGTCCAAGACGCCGTATGCTAGGAGTGATCTGCCCAACAGTTTTTGATGAGCCACTTCGGTCACTACAGCACCCCCTAGACTGTGGCCGATAAGCACGATGTCCGGCAAGTTGGCCCACTTCATCTTTGCCTTTGCGCCATTGACCACGAAAGCCAGGTCTTCGGCTAATGTAGTCAAGCTCAAGTCCTGTGTAGGAGGGCTACCGCCTGACGAGGCTGTCGTTGTTGTTTGACCGTGGCCTCTGGCATCTAGAGATAAGACGCCTGCTTCGGGGACCAGTTTCAAGAACTCGGCTGTAAAAATTGCGAATGATAAGCCTGATGACCCGGCGCCATGGTGAGTAACAATCAAGGGCCCCGAAGACGAGGGTGGTGTTAAATAAGCATGATGGACAATGGTCTCTGATGGTGTCTTCTGCTCGAAGAAAAGCTCTTCTGAAAAGAAATCATTCCAAGGAAGCGGTCCGTTCCGCGATCCAGCGGCAGTACTTGAATCATACACATTAGCAATTGCTAGTGGGCAGAGCTCCTGGTGTCTTACCCCTTGGGCCTTTCGAATAGATTCCGACTTGGTGAGGGTACTATCGTACCAACTGAAGAAGCAGATGAGGCGGATGAGGAGGAATCCTCCGGAGATGGCGGACACGCATCGAGAGATTCACCCTCGAGAGCAGTCGGGACATCAGAAATGGCGGGAGCTTCCGGAGGGAGACGCGACAGGTGGGCGCGTGCGAAGGAGCGTTGGAGTTCACTCATTATCGCCTCCAGGTCGTGTCGTAGCTGAGGGAGAGGTGGTGGTCGTCTCTAGGGACACGGGGGTAGACGAGGCTGCGAGTCACAAGGACACCCGGCCTGCATAACTGTGGCGGAGGAGACGAAGGTTTCGTCAGGCGTGAAATGACGGCGGTGCAGTGTCTGGTGACAGCGTTCAAGTTGGATACCTATACAGAAACATGCAGGTGGTGTGGATGGAGCTGAGGCAGTAAGCGACACGCACTGCAGTGGTAGGGGGAGCCTAAGGGGTCCCTAAGGGATATGAGTGCACACCCAGTTTTAACTAAACTTAAAGGTCAAGCCCCCTGTAAGCAATTCATCCTAGCCAAAGGCTCGCCTAGAACAACACCATCTATGTACAACTCGAGCCTACGACTCTTCAAGTACTACCTGCTGATGATCCAGATAGGCGCTTCCTCGAAAAAGAGCAGTGCCATGATCATACTATGCTGCACACTATATTTCTGCTTTGATCTATCTAGTAATGGCCGGTTCGAGTATCGAGAATGGACACTTTGATGTAGGAAGACACGAACGCTCCCGTGTACAGTATACACAGATGGCAATGCTGTAAGTAGTGTGCCACCATGCAGAAGTATCGAGCTGTCGCCGGGGATCCCATGCGAGACTGAGGATGTTTGCAGGCTGTCCCGCTCCAACCCCAATCAATCACTCTACAATGTATCATGCGGTGATGACAGCTCCGGGCCGCTGTTTTATTATTCGTGTCCAAGTTCTACCTGATGGGAGCTGGGGCTGCCAGTGGTGCTCGTGCTCGTGGCTGGATCCCGCCATCATGATCAGAGCTTCAAGTTCCCTCCGATCTCTCTCACACTCACCATGATGACGTCGTGGTCGACCTAGACCCGTCCGTAGTACCAACGGCACAGCACTGGCACCGTCCTCATCGACCTTACTGCTGCTGGCACCATCTCTTTCATCTCGTCACCGTACGCCTAGAATCATTGACCAGTTTCTTTTCACTTCTCTTACTGTGAAAATGAGACTTCACGAGCGCTTTGTTTGTCTCGTATAATCCCGAAGATACTTTACCTCGATTCTCCCATCTATTCTCCCGCCTTGGCTGCAGCTGCCCGCTGTTGTCAACTTGTCCCTCCTTCATAGCGCTATATCCGTGCAAAGTACTTGAGGCCCAAGATGGTTTCACTCTGGGGCAGTAACAAGAGGGACGAAGATGAGCCCCAACCCGAAGAGGAGGCAGATCAAGGTGAACAGAGCGCAACATCCTCTCGGAGCCAGCCTCCACCACCTCCGCGACAATCCGAGGATGCCAATGAACGCACCAGGCTACTGCCTCGCCATGAACACGGTGTTGGCTACCTGAGCCCGGACGACCCTGCTGTGAGTCCTGAACTTGCCCTCTCCCCAGAGTTGCGGATTGCTGATTAAGGTAGGTCTCACCATACAACCTGTGGAGTGTGCGAGCTCTACGGTGGTTCGAAGTCCTCTTCCTCATGATCACCTGCCTGTGGTGGGTGTTGCTGTTCATCTCGATCTTCGTTAGCCCGCCCAAGATGCATTCGAGAGGTTCAGGCTTCTTCGACGTTGCCTACACCACCTTGACGATCGGAAACATATTGACCGCGCTGCTCTTCTTTGCAACGCCATCGACCGCAATGAGCATTCTCAGCATGGCTATATCCGTCCTACTCCTGATTGACATGATCATTATTCTTGCGGTGCCCAGGATTAGGGTCGAAGAAGGCTGGATTGGGATTGCTTCTGTTGTATGGGCCGCGCTGATTGGTTTCTACAACGTGGTGACAAACAGGACCGTCAAATGGGGTAAAGCCGAGGAGGAGGAACGCTTGACTGGCCGTCAGGAGACGCGTCGTACGCTACGGGAATGGTGCGCGGTCTTTACAGCGACGACTATTATGAGCATCTTTGTGGCCATCACAGTCTTGCTCACCGCGACCCTGGTCCTACGCTCGAGGGATGCAACACTTCCTCCTCCCGGCAAGCGGTATCTTGTGGATGGCGACAAGTATAGCGTGCACCTGGCATGCGTTGGCGAGCAGACCTACACTCCCGATGGCGAGCCTAAGCCCACGGTCTTGCTCGAAGGTGGCTATATGCCTGTTGAACATACTTTCCAACCGTGGATACACGAGGCATACGAGAACCGGACCATTGAACGTTATTGCTATTGGGACCGTCCAGGTCTAGCCTGGTCTGACAATGCTCCCTCTCCACACTCTGCTGGAATGTCAGCAGACGCCATTTCCGAGGCTTTGGCCATCTCGGGCGAAGAAGGACCCTGGATTCTCGTCTCCGCTGGGATTGGCACTGTTTACAGCCGAGTCTTCTCGGCCAGACACCCCAGAGTGATTGCCGGCATGATGTTTATCGACGGATTGCATGAGGATTTGCTATACAGAATCGGTAGCCCTGGTCGAGGTTTTATCTTGTGGGGCCGGGGTATCATCTCCCCACTTGGTCTTGATCGCCTAGCCGGCGCCCTGTTCAAGGGGCGTAACAAGGAGGACCGCGTATACGGCAGGTCATCTTATCAGGGTGGCAAGTTCATCAAGAACAAGTTACAGGAGAATCTTGTTGCGGACTCGTTGACCAAAAACGAGGTTGTCAGCGCGAGAAACATTCAAGATCCGAATGTGCCCTTGGTCGTCGTAACATCCGGAGTCCATCTACGGCGGGACAAAGACTGGCAGCGAAAGCAGGAGGATTTGACCAAAGTGACGGAGAAATTGCTGGCCTGGGATGTTGTGAAAGGAGCTCCGCCAGAAGAGGTCTGGCGGTCACCAGAGGGAAGACAAATTCTGGAGAAGCGACTGGGCCAGCTATACAAGGATGCAACTTCTTGAGCAACGGCAGCGCTGAAACGGATCATGCCCCGAGGTCGACTGATAAGGTCGACACCTGATGTATCTCTAGCAACAAACGGCCTTGGGATGGTTGACTGAACGTCGATGACAGCAGCGCAGCAATGGGCCGTCGGGGCCCTTCCGACGGGTTTGATGGGCACAATCAGACAGAACTAAATTGATCTATTATCTCTTGTCACCTTTGAGGTCGGCTTGATCAAGCAGAATAATCGATACGCGCAGATCGCATGAAGACAGCTTACATCCGAGTCGTGTAACCACTGCAAGTAGCACCAAGCCACTGGCAGTGCCTAGTACTCTCGGGTCCGAGTAATTAGTAACTTGAAGGCTAAGGCAGACCTTCCCAAAGCTACTGTGTCCCTGAGTACCTAGGTAAGGTTAGTAGTACTAGTAGTGGCAAGGCTGTCGCCGAATGGAAGGTCCAGCGAGCAGTCGCATCCACTGCATGACGCAACAGCAGGAGCCTGCGCTCACTGCCGATTACGGTTGGCTTTGGCATTGCAGCGGTTCACGATTGGTGCAGTGCAGTGCAGTGCAGTGATTAATTGTATGCAACAATACTGTCCTAATACTACCATTCCGACTTGACTGAGCGACGACCATCTCAGCGTGAATCAACAACCGCCTCATTACTTCCTCTCCTAACGGCACCTCCGTGGATTTGGTTTTCAAAGGCTCCTTCAAACGCCGTGCAGTTTTGTTACTTTCATACACTGCGTCCTGTCTACCTTGCCTCCCGCGACCTTCTTCAGCCTTCCACTGGTATTTGATCATACTGATGCCTCTGTCGTCGCCAAATCGCCTCCGTCCCATTCTCTAGTACTCACCTCAGTCCGTTTACAGTTTCTCTGTCTAGACCCGCGACAAGCACCTTCGAGGGATCCGACATGTTATTGAGATTTGAGTCTAAATGGGGGCAGTTTCGGCTGAACGTCGACCCAACCCAACACTTTTCGGACTTAACGAGCCAGGTGAGTTTACGTTCAACACCTGTAAGGAAATGTCGCCAACTGATCAAATTTGTAGATCCTGGATCACCTGCCTCCCGATACCGATGCCTCATCGATAGTTCTAAGCAACAAACCTGTCAGTTCCAAACCAGATCCTGAACGAGAGCGACGACTGGTGGATTTGCCGGGCGTGGAGCTCCGACAAGTTGGTCTTAAACATGGCGACAAGTTGTATATTGGCTACTCTGAAGCGCAGAGTCTCTCCAACGGCCACACCAACGGACATGCTACTGCCGCCCCTCGACGCCTTAACGGGACCATCGCCCTGCCGAGCCCGGCCGAGTCCACGCCTCTTCCTGCGGTCACATCGCCAACATTAATACGAAATCCCTGGGAAGTGGTCAAGCAATCTCCGTTAGACGACCGTTTGGACAAGATGGATGGCAAGATCCCACGACCGAGAGACTCAAGGATGTGTCGGCACGGCCCCAAGGGCATGTGTGACCATTGCCAGCCGTTAGAGCCATACGACAAAAAGTATCTAGACGAAAAGAAGATCAAACACCTCTCCTTCCACGCCTACCTCCGCAAGATCAACTCCGCTACGAACAAGCCTGAGTTGAAGAGCTCCTACATGCCGCCTCTCACAGAACCATACTACCGGGTGAAAAAAGATTGCCCCTCGGGCCATCCACCATGGCCAGAAGGCATTTGTACAAAGTGCCAGCCCAGCGCCATCACGCTCCAGCCACAGGAGTTTAGGATGGTTGACCATGTGGAGTTTGCTTCGGCCGACATGGTGGACAAAGTGATCGACTTCTGGCGGAAATCGGGCTGCCAGCGTCTAGGATTCCTCTATGGCCGATATGAAGAGTACACCGAAGTACCGCTAGGTATCAAAGCCGTCGTGGAAGCAATCTACGAACCGCCTCAAATGTGCGAAGTTGACGGCCTTACGTTACTGGATTGGGACAATGAAAAGGATGTGGACGAAATGGCGCGGCTTTGCGGTCTCGAGCGCGTGGGTGTGATTTTCACTGACTTGATGAGCCCAGAAGATGGCGAAGGCCAGGCTGTCTGCAAGCGGCACATTGACTCGTACTTCCTGTCTTCGCTGGAAATTGCTTTTGCGTCCCGGTTCCAGGCCAAATATCCCAAACCTTCCAAGTGGAGCGACACTGGCCGATTTGGTTCCAACTTCGTTACATGTGTCGTGACGGGCGATGAGGATCAAAGCATAACCATCAATGCCTACCAGGCCTCCAATACCGCTGTGGAAATGGTGCGGGCAGACATTGTCGAGCCTTCAGCAGAGCCTTCAGTGATGCTCGTGCAGTCGGAAGAAGATGAGGTCGTTGGAGCTCGGACACGCTACATTCCTGAGGTTTTCTACCGCCGCATCAACGAATACGGTGCGAATGTGCAGGAAAATGCGAAGCCCGCTTTCCCGGTGGAGTATTTATTGGTGTCGCTGACGGCTGGCATGCCTATCAAACCCAACCCTCTGTTCAAGAATAACAAGTTCCCGGTCGAAAACCGAGAAGCCGTGGCAGAAGGACAGGACCCTCGTGAAGTTGCCAAACTGCTCCGTTCCTCACAGTCCGTCGACGCAATCTCCGATTTTCACTTGCTCTGCTTTCTGCATGGTATGGGGGTGTTCAGCAAGGTAAGTGTGCCGCTCCCGCGCACTGTTTACTTCTAACATGGAGGTAGGAGGAAGAGCAACTGGCTTGCAATGTGGCTACCAAACATGATCAGGTCGACGCCATTCACCTGACCGACACACCTGGCTGGAGGACCCTTATGGCGATACTCGAAACATATGGTGAGCGGCCCTTAAAGCGCACATGGCCCTTGGAATCAGAGGAAGATCTCAACCCTGAGAGTGCGTCAGAAAACCTGGCTAAGCGGTTCAAACAGGCGGCTAGCATTGAGCGCTAGGAACGCAGCGATTAACCACGGTGATAACACCCCGACGGCCGGATGTTGATGCCTTGACTCCAAGCCCCGGAGGGTCCTGCAGGTGGCGAAGAAATTCGTATCAGTCGAATGGGCTGGGCAGTACATGCATGACACGACGCGACAAGGGCATGCCCGGCATGTACGGAAGGCCAGGGGAACACATTTCCTGCATACATGAGGGCCAACCTTTTTCTGTGCTCGTGACCAAAGTGATGGCCGTTCTAGAAGGACAACAGTGATTAAAGCTGCCTAGGGGTTTCCGTCAGCGCTACAGATCGACGAGAAAGCGAAGAGGGCGGATACTGATCGCCGAAAACAAGCTCCGGATGCGGTAGGGACCAAACCAGCACATCATTAGGGCATTGCAGGGGGCGGCGGCTCCGGTTAGGGCTTCGCGGGATTCAACCTCAAGCTATCGTCTGCCGCTGTGATGGGATTCTGGATGACACCTTTGGATGAGCCATTGTCACAATGATAATCAAGTTGTAAGCTTGAATAGTTTGGCCCCGACAAATGTATGCCTGAAAACCATAGCTGTGTGTTGTGCTCAAAGACTCGGCAGCGGTGGTACTCGTAGGGTGAAGCGGACGACCGGGTAGGTGGTGTTATTGGCGGGGCAGTCTTCTAGAAGCTCTGGGCCAGCACACCGTCAGCGTCTCCCAGGGGTGTCCTTGGGAGGATGGACGATCAGTTGGTTTTAGGGGACGATAGGCGTGCCGATGAGCAACGGATTGCATTCACAACTTGAAGGGCTTAGACTCAGCTGTCAAGGCCTTGCGCTAGTACTGTGCAATCTAGCAAGTAGTGGCCGTGCTGGAAATAATGCACACACGAAATAGCAAATCCCACGTCTGCATACTGGACGCTGCAATAGCCTGAGGTGACTTCCCAGGTCTATGTCCTCAGGCTGGCTCCGTGAAGCGCCTACTACATTTTGTACTGGTAGAGGGAGGATATAAAGAGGAGGCAGAGGGGACCTGTCTGATGGAGGCTTATAGTGGCCGTTATGGGCTAGGGACCACTAGCATCGCCCGCACCGCCCTAATAAGCCGGGCAGGCAGACAGCACTGCAGTCTTTTGGTAGGGGTGCTACAATGTACGGTCACTAGTCGTACGTTGTAGGGCTCCGTCGACGTGCTGCTCCTCCGCATTTCGAGGTGACCAGAAGCATTTGATGCTTCTACGCTGTGCAGATCCACCACGGAGCCTGCCAATCGACAGAGGCCGCTACGAGTAGCTCGACACACGGGCGCCATGACTGGGAAATCCGGCCAGATTGATGCCCGTCCACTGCAGCAGCCGCACTTCGCACCAACACCCTCGGCCGCCCACGACGACAATCTTATTACTACAAGTGTTAGCCACTTACCTAGCACCTAGTGGGCAGGCATCCGGGCCACTACCGCGACCTAGGCAATAGATAGCCACCTGAAGTTTGGTTATTAGTGCCCCGTGCGTCGGTCGACCCTGCTACTACTCGTAGTACTACTACTACTACCGCTGCTACTTCCTCACGGGTGCTCATGGTCATCATCGCTGCTGCTACCACCACCACTGCAGTCAAACCCGCATGAAGCTTGCATCTCTTCGCTGCCACCAAGTCCTCGACTACTGACCCAGCCCCGGTTGCAGTGTGACCCAGCATCGCAATCCAGTCTCTTCTACCCGCAGGCGCCGCCATCTGCTTGTGTTGCGTCCACCCTCCAGCTCTCACAGGCACGCCCACGACAACTGCGACCGCCCGGCAGACTGACTCGAAAGCTGACAGCTGCGGGCTGCCATCCCACCCTCCATTCTTGTCCATCCTCCGAGTGCCGCGATCCAAGACGACGCGATCAGATCCTCTTGTATACCCGTCGATTCAACCTATTTGGGCTGTCGCAAACGCTCGAGAGTGTCAGCGCACCTCATCCCGCCGCCGGCGTCGACACGCCCAACCTTCCTCCAACAGGATCTCCAGTAACGCAATGCGGCGTCCCTGAGGAGATTTCCAACGTCGAACTGCGCCCGACACACCTGTTGTTTGTCTCGAGTTCACAGTCTGCGCTTGGTCTCACAGTCATATAGCTCATTCTGGCCATCTTTCGATCGCATGATGGGCCCATAAGCCTCGAAACAGGGGTGTCTTTCCTTTTCATACAACAGCCAACTCCAAAACCATGGACCCGGCTGCCTGTCGAGTAATATACATTGATGAGCGGTTCAATGGGGAAACCTGGATCTCGAGGGAAGGGTTGGCGGCGGAGTCGCCGCGAAATCAGAGACGAGCTTCTCAAGTCGACTGCACCAGCCTGCCTCCGGATTTACAGAGCAATGTGAATGCATTTCTGACGGTGTTCAACCAAGGTGAGTCTACCCAGGGTTCTTTCTCCCGACAGCAGCACTGACTGAGAACTCAAGTGTACGTGTGCAGCTCTGGGCGTGCGTTTTCTACCAAATTGTCCGAACTTCATGAACAAGCCAAACTAGACTGTACTCCGATCCTGGCCTGCTTCGACGTCGGATCCGAGTCAAAGCATGACCATCTAAAGTCTACTGCTCGGTTCTCACCGTCAGCCGACTCGCCTCTACCATCGCCCAGCTTACTCCGAAGAGAAATCACGTTCTCTTCCGAGTCTGACGAGTCATACGGGCTGCAACTGCTTTCGCGTATAGCCTCCGACCTGCAGGTCGAAGAAGGGGTCAAGTTGATCATCCCGGTTGCCATTGTTCAGCCGAAGCGCAAGGACTCCCATGATCTGGCCCTGGAGCTCGTCCAACCCGGTGGCAGTTCCAGGGCTTCCTTCGGTTCAGAAGGTGAGGCCGTGGCGGTCAACGACTCGTCGGACATCATCGATGTACAGTTGATGCTGCAATGTCTTGATGCGGGAGCCCTCGATGTGGTCAGGAGCCCACTGGACAAGGCCGGCATCATGGGACTGACGGTGCACGCCTATCGTATCTATAAGGATGCCAAGAAGGAGCAGGCGAGCTTCATGGCGATAACGCGGCGAACGCGCAAACAATCGTGGGTTGGCGTTGAGGAGGAAAAGCCTTATGCCTACCTGAGGGAGGCAATGGTGAAGAAATTACTCAAAGGCATCTGTGACCCGCAACACGTCATTGAAGATTACCAACACCGGGACCTCTATGTGCAGGAGTCGCGCAAGGACGTGATCGCACAGGCGATCGCCAGTTGGAGCTTTTGCGGACACGACTTCACCGAGGATGAGCTGGTCTACGCTGGCTACTTTATGCTGAATCATGCCTTGCAAATGGAGGGCGTGGAACAATGGCGCATGAGCCCGGGTAGGTGCTCCCCTTTTGTTCCTCGACCGATGCTTCTCTAACCTCCTACATAGCTGAACTACTTCGCTTCATGCAAGGCTGCCGCGTCGCGTACAACTCTTTCGTCCTATACCACAACTTCAGGCACGCAGTGGATGTTCTCCAGTCTGTGTTTCACTTTCTTGTGCGCATCGGTACCCTCCCGCCATATCCCGCCGGGGCGGAGCCCTCCCCCTTTGCAGATAAAAAGTCACCGATCGCGAGTTTGCTCGGACCCTTCGAAGCGTTGACTCTCCTGATCGCCGCCATTGGACACGATGTCGGCCACCCGGGAGTAAATAATATGTTCTTGGTCAAGCTGAATGCTCCCCTCGCGCAGCTATACAATGACCAATCGGTTTTGGAGGCTTTCCACTGTGCTGCTTATTCGCAGATTCTGCGTCGTCACTGGCCTCCTGCCTTTCAGGATAGGACTATGCGCAAACTCATGATCAGTACCATTCTGGCCACCGATATGGGAATTCACTCCGATTACATGCATCATCTGGGACATCTGCAGGAAAAGATCCATGAAACTCAGGTCACCGACGGCTGGGCGCCCAAGGATATAGAATGGGCCCGAACATTGGTCTGGGCACTGCTGATCAAATGCGCCGATATCAGCAATGTGGTGAGTTTCCTTATCTTTCTGCCTTGACACATTCACCCTCTGACCTTTACAGGCTCGTCCCTGGTCAGTCGCCGAGAGATGGACGGTGTTGCTTCAGGAAGAGTTTGCGCATCAAGGAGAAATGGAACAGGCTGTTGGAATGGAGACGGCACTCTTTGGTGGTCCTCCAGAATTGGGCAACATGCTCAAGCTGGCTAACGGCCAGATCGGCTTCATGACAATATTCGCCCATCCCCTCTTTTCCAATGTCGCCGACATCGTCCCAGCTATGAACTTCGCCGTTGAAGAAATTCTGACCAACAAGGGCGTCTGGTTTACCCGGGCAGAACATGAAAAGAGGCTACAATCACTTCAGGAAGGCAGTAGGCAGGGCGAAGGCGGATCCCTGTCTCCCCGGACACGCAGTCCTGTTCCTCGAAAGGGTGTGACAGAGCACGGAAGAGATAAGCATTGCGATCTTCCGTCATCACCCTTGCGTGGCAGGGCCGATGTCACTGACGGCGTCCCAACTTTGACCGAAGCAAGGCGTGGGCGGAAGAGTGCACTTGCCACCCAGGACGGTTCCCAGTCAGCATCGGCACCTGCTGTGCTAGAAACTGATCAGCTCAACCAAGGCGTATCGAACGAGGACAGTGAAGGGATTTCGAGCAATACTCCCAGAGTGTCTCCAGCAGGCGGCGAGCTGTCCCAGGAAGAAGTGCAGGCTCTCACGGACACGAGGAGGGACAATGCGATCTCTATGCGTGCAGGAAGTGAGGCTGTGCCCACAGAGGCATTGAAGGTGGAGAAGAGGGAGCTTTCGGATGCCGAAGCTTGGTCCAAGTTCAATTTTGCAACGTCCAACGCTGATGAGCCTGTGCGGACCTATGATCCATCACAGTCACATCCCACCAAGCGTGCCAGTGCCAGGGCCAGCGCCCCGGCAGGCCATCTGGATCTGGGACGTACCCGGGATGATATCGTGGAGGACCCAAAGCAACCTAAATCAGCACAGAGCGAAAACACTACGAGCACAACCTTGCGCGGAGGTGCCGACGACAGTGTGTTGACATCCAGCCGGAGTACAGAGGCGACGAGTTACACGTCTGAGAAGGATGAAAGGCTCTCACAAAACCAGAGTGATTCGCACGCCACGCACAGTCGTGCCACGAGTGCGCCTATACAGCCAGAAACCACGCAGATGAGTGCGGATTTCCGTGTCGGCAGTAACAGTGCTGCCAGCGGCGAAAGCAGCAAACTGGATGTACATGCCACGATACTCAGTAACGGCGATGTCGACGACGGCCGTTCTAGAGACCGGAAGACCATGAGTAAAGCCATGGGCCGCAGGCGAAGCCGGCTCAAACTCGGGCTTGCCTTTTGGAAGAGAAATCGGAGCGACAAAAGTGTTGGCGAAGACGATCGCCCGGAGAGTCAAGGCAGCTGACGCTCAGGCAGCTTTCCACTTTCCATGCACGCATGGCAACTGAATGATGTCGACCACCAGATGCGAGTTCGTTTCTCGCTCTTGCCGTGTGTGCAGTCAATTGTGTAATGAGTTATCGTTATGTGGTGGCAGGAGGACACTATGCTTTGCTCCGGAGGCTGTTTATTTCGTTTCGTTTGGGTCCATACCAAAATGCACGGATGTCGGGCGGCTGTTTTATGATGTGGCGTTTGTTGGGCATTATCATGTTACGCCTTGTGGCGTCGGAGTACGGCTGGGCGGCAAGAGCTTTTAATCTTGCTCAATTGCTGTGTTTGAGTTATGACGATGGGCAACTGTGCGAGTAAGGGTATGCTGATGGAAGTGGGTCACAGTGGAAAGGAAGGGCTACAAACTGGTTTGCGTTAGCCAGTGCTCCGGTGCTGGACAGTAGAGCAGGCTGGCAGACCTCCGGCTTGGGGCTGTATGGGCACTTTCAGCATGTGCTGGGTTTTCTCTGCTGTATACGAACGAATGTACGTCTTGACGAGTGCGAGAAGTGGGCAGACAAGGATGGAATTGGGCCACTGCACGCCGAACTTGAAGTGGTTCAGGTTGACTACAAGGGACGACAACATGTCGGGGCCATGCCCGTCAGGAGTCGGGACAACCGCGCTGATGGAATGGGGGCTGGTTACTAGGAAATGGTCTTGTTCAGAGGTCTGCTCTGTGGACAGTTTTCAACAAGTCAAGTCCTTTGCTTACACTGTCGTCCGAGAATTATTTTCATGTTCTTGTACTCTGTATTAGTAGTAATGTCCAAAGCGTGAACTTGGTCCAAGATCGTCCGAGAAGACAATCTCTAGGAGACTGGACGACCAAAACGGAAGCGTTTGGGGGAGTGTGGCCCTGGATGATGTTCAGCTAGATCAGTTCCATTCGTACCAGTTGGAGGAATAAAAATAATCATTATTATTTGAATGTGTACGGATAGTTTCCACCCACTCCTTTGCTCAAACTGTCGGCAGAGGATATCATCACGTTCGTTCCTGTACTCCTGTACTCGTAGTAACTAGATTTCTATTGCAAAAACCCAAGATCGCGTCCGAGAGGACAATCTTCAAGGGACTGGACAGTCGAGACTGAACGCAAGCCATTTTGAGCAGTGTGGCCGTTATGAATGATTTCGATATCGAGTGCTTTGCTCATTACACTGTCTGACAGGCCGAGAAGAACACTATTATATTTGTCTACTCGGTCCTAGTAGTAATATACAATGCGTGGACCCATGATCGCCTGAGAGTACAATCTAGGGAAGACTGCATGACTGAAAGGGCGCGTTTCAGGCAGTGGAGCTCTAGATCATTTCTAATGTCTATCTTGATCAGGCTGAGTTGCCTTTGTACCAGTTGCCGCGTAAAGAAAGGATTGCGCCCGCCGATTTCGACTCCCTGAACTCCAGGAAGGACCATCGCACGCCCAGAAGAGACATAAGACCACGAATGCGCGAGGTCGATGCAATAATGACCCCGTTCCCAAATCAACCGATAACGCCTAGTTCAACCACCAGTTGTCGGATCGAATCGTAACTCCGAGTCGAGGTCATTACTCAGTCAGTCAGTCAGTCAGTCAGTCAGTCAGTCAGTCAGTCTTGGTCTTGGACCTTCCCAGCATCCCATTCGCGGCCCTCGCCCTTCTTGCGCCACTTTACATGTCGGATGTCGAGGTCGAGATCTGCATCTCCTGTTCCCGTACGTGTAGACGCAGAAGCTTTCCATCTCTCAATTTCGTCGTCGTCGAACCCAGCTTCGCGCATCCGGTCCGCCTGCTTGGCCTGCCAGGCACGACGGTCACGAAGAGCTTCAAGGGCGTTGTCCCAGTCGTCAGCACCGTTCTCCTGGTTCGGATCGTCTGGGGGCGACTCGTAGGGACCACCCACATCCACGTCCTGCGTGGGGTCGTAGCCAGTTGAGAAATGGGCGTCAATATTCGAGGTTGGTGGATGTCGTTGGTGGCGCGTGAAACCGCGGCCGCGTCTGGTGATGCTGTTGCTGGTGTCGTCCTTTGATCGAGGGAGTGGGCCGATGAGAGAAGATAGAGGATCGGAAGATGTGGATGTGGATGAACTGGATGAATTGGATGAGGTGCTCCGCCGTCGATGGCGGTGTCGTCGTTGGTGTTGAGGTGTATCTGTATCTGTTATCGTCTTCTTTTCTCTACTACACCCCTCTTGATGTGTATTTTCAGAATGGCTTGGATTGGGACGGAGATGTCGTTCATGGTTCTGGTGGTCTTTCTCAGTAGACTCGAGTTGTGCCGGCCCTTTTTTGTGGTGGGTATCTGCTCTTTCTCGACTGACAGACCGCGACGGAGATGTCCTCCTCCTCCTTCTCTGTCTGGAGCCATCATCCGGCGACTCATCATCACCATGTCTCCTCCTTGTCCGCCGACGTGCATGGGAGTGCCCATGTCCATGCTCTCGTTCGTCGTCGAGGTCATGATCACGGTCACGATCAGCAGGACTCCGACTCCTTCTCCTGTTCCGCTCACGCTTGTCGTCTTCGTGTCGAGAGTGTCGATGTCTCCGTCTCCGGTCGTGGTCTTCTGCTCCGTCAGGACTCGTGCGTCGTCGGTACCGTTCACCAGACGACTTGCGACGATGATGATGTTGATGCCTACGTCGCGAATGGCTGTCATCGTCGCCGCCGCCAGTAGAGTTGGATTTGTCTGTATCACGACCTGGACCTTCTTGCAATCTCCTCAGACGCATCCGAGCCTCAAGTTCTTCCTTCTTCTTAAGCGCCGCATTGTGACTATCGACTTCGCGGACAAGCGTTTTCAGGAATCGTGTATTGGGTTTCGGGCCTGCATTGGGTGGTCTGGATCGAGAACAAACGAACGGAGACGCACATCAGCCTTTCAAAATCCCAGACTGCAGTAGGCACGATTTGAAGCTACTGTAGCGAGCCGCTCACCTTCTCGGCGTCAGTCCATATGTCCCTGCGGAAGCATATCTCAGGGAACTCTTGCGCGCATCTTCGGCGAGAAGTTTGGCAATGTATTCGTCGTCATCGTCAACGTTGGCCGAGTTGGACATGGGGGTAACTTCCGGGGGAGAATGTCTACATTGCAGTGTGTTAGTTGTTTGCATGAGGGTATTCTAGTCGTTATTGGTCTGTGGGACGTACCTTGCGGAAGAGGAAGGACAGAGAGGGACGTACAAATGTTGTATGTACTGCCAGTACAAGCCTCACCGAGGGGAGGGAGATGATGCTGGTGGGGCACGAGTCGCACCAAGTGGGCCAGAGAATGTTTTTGTATTATATTACAAAGTAACTAAATTTTCACCATCAGATAAGCACCATTCCTCGATGGTCTAGTGGTCATGATTTCCGCTTGTCAGCTCTTCAATAGAGTAGCAAGCGCGGGAGACCAGGGTTCGATTCCCTGTCGGGGAGGATTTCTTTTTGTCCTTTGTCGCCAAGTTGGCTGCCAATTCTTCTCCTTTTTGGGTGTTATATGTGTTCAGAGCAGCGAATGAGAAAATGGTGCTTGTAATAAGTGAATGGCACTGTCGGAAAACACCTTCTTTTCGTACACCTGGCGTAGTTCATTTTTGCCGATTATGCAATCACCCATGAGGCACGTAAAACCCGTCGGCGGAAGGTACGGTGGCTCGGCCAACAGTCCTGGGACGCTATTACTACGGCCGATCAGAGCTACTTGAATGGTCATGCATTCATCGGCACAATACCTGCTGCTTTTTGGCGTTGAGAAGGGTTGAAGTTGATAACGGGTTGCTTCTGCTCACGAGGACCTGAGTCGCGGCTAGTTTATGTGCATGTCACCAGAGGACTAAAGCCATAGAGTTGCCCTTCCAAAAAGCATGAGCCTATTACGGCATTTTACAGATCAGTCGCATTGCTTCACCACCACCACCAGATGGCAAGGCCAATAGAACCAACCATTGTACTGTAGCTCGTTTCAGCATCGTGCAACGCGATGATCCTGATTCTCTTCGCCTGACACTTGTAGCGCCTCGCCGAAACAATGTTTCCTCCAAACCAGAAAAAAACAGATCGAAAGGCTCACTACGAATGACTCTTCAACGAGAGAAAAAAGTAAATCGGCAAAAAAGAAATCCTCCCCGACAGGGAATCGAACCCTGGTCTCCCGCGCTTGCTACTCTATTGGAGAGCTGACAAGCGGAAATCATGACCACTAGACCATCGAGGATGAGATGCGCTGGTTGCAGCTGTGGAGCTGCTCTGGTGCTATTTGTGACAAAAATTCAGCCACTCTAGTTTATGATTACCAATTTTATTGGCACCAATGGGAAGATTTCTAGGCTGCCGGCTCCTCCCCACAAGTCCAACGCAAGCCGCAGGCGCAGCTTCTAATCAATGTATATGCATATCTGATGCTTACCACACTGGCTCTAATAAATGGATGAACTGTATGACAAGAATAGGTAGCCGGCAATGATTTCGCTGATGCTCCCACCACTGACGACTCGAATGCTCTGGACACGCCGACCCTGCTCCAATTGGATGCTCCAGTCGGATGACGATGGTGCCGGGTCTCTCATTAGGCACGCAGGTCCCATCCATCCAATCCGCCTGTGCCGACCAGACATACGGTAGTAGTAGACGGAACCAACGCCCAGCAAGACGCGAAAAACGCGGATATCACGCAGCGTGTCTCTTCTCTCAAGGCCAAAGAGGAAGGCAAAGCTTATGTATTCGAAGGATAGACAAGATAGTATGCAGGTTGTACTGATACTCTGCAATCATGCCATTGTACTATTCCTATGGCGTTCTCTCTCTCATTGATATCAACGGAAGCCGACGATATAGTGAGCCACACGGTCATGCAAACGCTCAATATCACCCAACCGCTGCCGAATCGCATCAAAAAAGACATTCGAGTTTACCTATACGACTAATTAGTGACTCGTATACGATAAGTAAGAGAGAAGCCTCACTGCCGATATTTCCATATTTGTATAGAGCTGGCTAGTCCAGTTGATAAATACCTCGAGCACATTACTAGTTTAAGCAAGCTCGGTCGGGTCAGTCGGCACAGAGCCAGGATTCTCCAAAGTAGAAGGCGTGAATATAGGAGGGGCGACAGGCGTGCTTGCAGCAGGCGAGGGAGTCAACGGGCTTGCCGTAAGCGACGACGCAGACGAAGCGGCAGATATGCGTGCCGCTGGCGAAACAGCACCGAGGATCTCTTGTTATACCGGGGCGTTAGGGCGAGCGGCAAGAGGACTTGACAAGATGCTGGCGCGACCAGCCGGAGCCTCGCGTACGAAACGCCGAACTTGCCGGCTGGCAGCTAGCAAATGATGATGAAGACTTTCGACGGCCTCTGTCCACTGGCGTCCAGTGACCGAGGGGTCCCCGGCCAGCAGACGATCGTTCAGAGCCAGATGGCGAGCCCCTCCAAAAACCGTTGCCACCACAACAAGAATATTGACTCTGCTGTCGACTTTGTGTTCATGCCCTAATGTCGTTCGTATGCTCCAACCTTTGGCGTTATGTATTTTCAGACCAACATGTGTTGCAAGTTTCCGAGGGATGAATGCCAAGTCCGAGCCGCCATCGATGAATGTACTCTTCAATCTTACCTGTCATTCTGTTTGACGCCGATGATGGTGAGACGAGAGCTGTTGTCATCCAGCATACGTCGTTCGGCTTGTATTCATTCCCGACAGCAAAATCCAGTTTGCTGTCGCTTGTCCCCCACATATTTCCATTAAAGTAGCCCCATCAAGTTGTTCGGCTCCACATGTTTAAGGTGTAACCAGTAACCACTAAGCAACGAGCCTGCTTCTCTTTTAAGTAGGCTCTTCCTTCCTCCGTGGACTTCAGAGCCAAGAGACGCCGAGCCTAATGCCTAGCCCCAGTCGCTTTGCGTGCGGCCCTCTGCTTGGGTGTCTCTTTGGCAAGCATGTTTTGATATCATCTCTTGTGGTAGTTTGCATCGTAGATGTTTGTAGCCTTACCTTTGACGTTGGACCTTGTAGCATCCAGAAGTGGTGACTGAGAGCAGGTGCCTGACCATTTCGATGAGCTCTGCGTCACGTCAGGTTTGTAAGCATGAAAATATGAGGTATACTAGGGAAACGAGTCAGTATATCTGAACGGAAATAGCATAGTAGAAGACACACCATTGCTTCTCCGATGTAACCCAGGATGCGGTAGTTATGCTTCCTCGCTAGGTTCGCATCGTGAAACCACCCAGGGGTGTTCATGATGGCGAGGTACTTGATTTCAAGATTGTCCAGCCTAATTCTCTGTTGCTGAACGCTATAGTGGTAGCTCTTCACGAGCATCAGTGATAGCGGCGCGGAATTCGTGTAGCTGATCCTTCTTGAAACTAGCGCTACGCGTTCCGAATGGTTATATGTCGTGCTGTCTAGATATATGCTACCAATACGAGTATGAGTATGGGTATTATCGAAGGATAAGGCGGCCATTTTAATCGGCGCCGCCGCCGTAGTCTACCCCTAAACCGTAGGATTAGTACGACCAAAGCGGCAAACCCACACAACATAAGGGCACTCACGATCAGAGAAGAGTGTTTATCAAAGACAGTTATAACCCCCTTGAAGTTCTTCGAGCCTATAAACTTCATCACAGTACGCAGAATAATACGCCAGGGAGCGTAGGTAAACAGGTCCCGATACTCCCTACGGGTATCGGTTTTTCTGTTTATCGTACAGGCCGTCGGTAAAGGTGGAGCTTAGGATCGTATTCCGGGATAGAGTGGTAGACATCGCGCGTTGTAATTTCGACGATGTTGTTCCCAAGTAGAAGTTGATGTACCGACTCTCAGTCCGAGCGTGGTGGAGGCCGGACACAGATGATATGGAGTTTTCCGAGGCTGCTCATGCCCATCCTCATCGGGAAGCGGGAGGACTGCAAGGGACGGGGGAGTTGATTTCGGCAGTGACACGGCAGAAGCAGGAAATCGCGGAGGCCGGCTCGTCACCGCCTGGTCCACTTCGCTACGCAAGACAGACATAAACTGCCCATATGATTTGCTGGTCTTCGGTCCGGAGGGTAGTATGTCAGTTGGGGAAGTAGAATCTTGGCAGTGGTATTAGTTGCCGACGATGCCCTGGGACTCCACGTGGATTCTGCTGGCGGCACTGGCGTAGACACAATGCTGGTTGTAACAGCCTGTGGTCTTTTGGACGCATCAGGTGGAGGTAGTCGCCAAAACCAGTGCAAAGAGTTCGTCCAGTGTTGGGGGCTCTCGTCTTGAATGTCTTGAACTCCGGACGTGTAAACTCGTAGATGAGATCGAACCAATTTTGAGATAGCCCTCGATCAGAACGCGTGGAGAACAAGGAGGAAATGAACTGGTGAATAAAACATAGGAGAGATAAAATCTGGGACACGACGAGTATATATAGTACATACCGTGCAGTGGTTACCGCAGGGCATGCTTCCTGAGGGCAGCCAGGCAGACACGAAGAAGACCTCACTTGCCATTGGCAGTGGCACCATTGAAGTAGGTCGCCTTCGTCATCGTCACTGCATATTGAGGTTGTCGACGGTAGTGTTCGACATATACCTGGGTAGGTAGTAGCAGCCAGTTGCTGCAAAGAAAATGAGCGATGACAACCTTGGAAATTGGTCGAATAAGCTCGGCTCCATGTCCGGCCAACGAAATTGCACCAGGCTTGAAGCTGGAAATGGACCAACAGGCTCCTGATTTTTGGCCATATTGTCGTGATTGAGGCAACCACGGAGTAGAAGAAGACCGTTGTGAGGAGGCAGTCTCCTCCAGGTGGCCAGTTCTGGTAGAATTGTATTGTATTGATTGGAAGAGAGAGAGCGTAGAGATGACAGAACTCAGGTAAGTAATGTAGGTGTGACACGTTACAGGTGCAGGTGCGGGGCAGGTGCGCAGGAGCGCAGGAGCGCAGGCATTCCTGCTCAACACCCGCCCCCAATGACTGTGCTCAGCACCCCCCGAATGCTGTCAATGCTTGGACTTTTCCATCATACTCATATAGTATTCATGTTCCTGCTTCAATTTTTGTAAATCATGCTGCAGTATCTGGTCAAAAGAGGTCTCGCCAGAATCTTCGTGCATATGTCCGCCACATTGTCACCCGATGCGATGTGGTCGACGATGTAATCGATCCCATTCCTCTCACGCACGAAATGGAAATGGACTGCCATATGCTTCGACTTGCCTGAGAGCCTGGTGGGCACACGCCTGCATGGAAATGTAGACCGCCTGGGCCTTCGCGTAGCTGATCACGTTGTGGTGTGCTTTTAATGGCCGCTTCCTCATCCTCTTGCGAGTAACTCGCGTCAGGAGCACAGCCGTGGTTGATGTCGCCCGCCTGAATTTCCAGCGCTCTCAGGCCGTATTTGGCATACTGGCCAAGTCGGGCGAACTGCCGAGTTCGCTCACAATAACTCTAGATGGTAGTAATCATCATCCAAAAGTCGGTTGAAAAGTCCACGGAAGTCAGAGAATCGGTCAGATGCTTTGGCCTTTGAACCGGTTCCGTAGAGCATCTTGAATCCCAAGGAGTCCTTTGGTAACTTCACTCGCTTATCCGTGATCATGTCAAAATCGGATTGGGTCACCGAAGTGTAATGATTAGTGGGGACAATTGCCATTTCAAACTCCTCGAGGAGCTTCTGCGATTCCTGCGACAACTCTTGAAGGGTTGGTCAACGAGTCATCGAGAGACTTGTGACTCTTGTCCGGAATCATGTCAAATCTGGTGTGCGTGACCGAAGTGTAATGATCGACAAGAATACTGGCCATCCCGGGGATTGCAAGATATGGTCCTAAGGAGTGTCAGCGATTTTCGGCGAGGTAGGGGTGTGAAATAGACGTTGTTCTAGAAGTCGCCTGCCCCCTTCCAATTCATCCAGGAGGTGCGAACGAAGCGCCGTCGTGATAGGTGCTATCCGGCCGGGCATACCACCCGTTCGTTTAACGAAGCGGCGAGAATTATCGACGGCGAAGATACCACAGTCATATATATATATAAGTTTTGCTGAACTTGACTGGTCAAGTGGCCGCGGACAGGGCCCCCGATCATGAAACTCAGGTTGTACGAGGGCGTTTCGATTCTCCAAGAGCAGACGTGATAAGAAGTTGTATCCCGTATCCGTATTCTGTCGGCGCGTATCCTCTTGTGATAAGAGTCACAATAATGTAAATGATGGACTGCGTTAAAGCCTTTACGCGAGTACAGGTATACTCTGCTATCCGTTGATCGCCCCTGTTCAGCACGCGAGTTTGCAAATACGCCTTTAGGGGCAATGTCCCGACGTTAAAGCTGCCACCTCGCCTAGAGCGGGCACCTGGACCGACCACGAGGTGAGGCTGGGAACCTCTGTCCAACTTGTCTGTGCGAGACCCCAAAGCAGATGTCGAATACCTCTGTAAACGGGGATAAAGTCTGGAGCCGCGTGAGTACAGACATGCTTTTCCATCCGTTGACCGCGCCGCTACCATACTGTTGTGGAATGTCTGGAAATGCTAGACTTGCTTTGCGTTAGGAGCACAGCCGTGGTTGATGTCGCCTGCCGTGATTCCCAGTGCTCTCAGGCCGTGTTGGGCATACGGGCCAAGTCGGGCGAGCCGCCGAGTTCGCTCACGGTCGGCTCTTTGTGCCACCTGTAAAGGCATCAACCCTCTCCCGCGCGCCGCTCTGAGGGCGTGCAGAATTCCGGTGGAGCCGTTGGTCATGGTCAAAAAAGCGTCCAGAGATTGCTCAGTCATCTGTGGGATAAGTCGTGCGCGACCCTCGGCCTGGTGGTTACGCGCTCGTCGGGCCTCTCTGGTCATCTCACGCTGCGGGGCAAAGGTTTGGGTAAAGCTGCCAGTCTCGGCACTTCGATACTGCCGGAGTATCGAGTCATTCCTTCGACGACAGTTGCACGGACACTTTGAACGAACTCCTGGAAGTCCTCAATCAAGCGTACGCATCTATCCACGGCTTTAGAGGCAGCACGGGTGAAAGCTGGTCAGATTCGGATGAACTCTGTGATAACTTGCGGCGCTGGCCGCTTCGGTATTGTTCCGGAGGATTGTCCAGGAATTTCGCGTCTTGTATCCAGGGAACTGTCTGCTTCGGGATGCCCTGACGGAGTTGGGTTGATGACGTCCGTCGTAGGACAACCGTATAGCAATTCAGACGGTAACGTCCTGGTTGTGGCACTCACAGCGGTGTTCAGTGCATACGAAACTTCTGGCAAAAGTCCATCCCATCGCTGATTCCTTTGTCATTGGTGCGGTCAGCTATCACACGTCGGAGCGCAGTTTCCACCGTCTCGTTGGTACGCTCGCTCTGCCCGTTTATCGCTGGATGATATAGTTCCGTCATCGCCAGCTTGACGTGCGCACGTTTAAACAGCGATGTCCAGAAGTGCGAAGTGGAGTTTGGGTCCCGGTCGTGAGTGCTTGCAGGGGACCGAACTTAGAAAAGCAGTCATCATAGTAGGCAATGGGGCCATTCCACCCGCGACTCCACCCAGGCTGAGGAATCGAGCGGCAGTAAGGTGCAGGCATGTCAAGATCCCCATAATCGTCGCTTACCAGGAGAGGGATGATTCCAGCAATGTCCATCATGTCATCGTCTTCTTCATCAACTTCGAGCCTGGCGCGTGCATTTTTGTCTTGAGGCTTGACGGATGAAATTTCCTCTGCTTTGCGCTTGTTCTGCTTCTTTTTCTTGTCTCTCTTTGCTTGGACTTCAAATCACGTCGCCCGGCTTCTAGTCGGTCGTTTCCGCTGGTTCCACAGGCCCCAGCGGTCTTTCGGTGTTGCACGGCTGGCCCTCCTGGGTACCGGCTTCGTTGTCAGTGTGAGTGTATTCTTGATTATCCATGGTTAATGCTAGCTGTAGCGATTGGACATCGCCGGGGACTCAGCCAGGTCGCCCCAGCCGGTTTCTAAAATCGCCCTTGATCGTCTATTGTCCCTGAAGGACAGTGACGGCTTTCAACGGGCTAACCGGGGCACTTCCCTATTGAAACCAAAAAAACAAAATCCGGGTTTGACGCGCCAACTTGGCGTCCACTGTACGCTCCGCGGGATTTGTGCGAATAGCATTAGACAAGCAGTAGTGTAGCATCACACTCACCGGCACATGATTGCCTTGGAGCACTCGAAGGCCTTACCCGCCATGGAATCCTTTTCTGCCTGCAAGGAACGAAGACAACAGCACATGGGATCGAAGAGATTGCCTTGCGGCGCTTGCTCTTGTGGATGGTGTCATTGCTACACGCATGCGTTAGTAAAGAGCGCACCTAGCGGTATGCCACCCTCACGCAGAGCTCGCTTTGGGAGCCATAAGCACCAGGTCGGTTTCTTTCCGGCTGGAGTCGGCGTTGGAGGGCATCAAAAACCATGGGTCCGCCCAATAGACGATATGTCTTAGCACGTCACTTAAGATGGTGCCCTGTAAGTCTGCGCCAGCAACAATCTTGCGAGTTTTGGGGATCTCCACGTGGCAGGCAGCCAGCAACTGAAATAAGGCAACGTAATCATCGTTATCAAAATTTGTCGCAAACTCGGGATTTCGGAAGTCGTATGTTGTGACAGACGTCCCTTCTGCGTCAGGGACTGTAAACTACGCGTAGTACCTGCCAGCGTTAGCATATAGTCACCAGGACTGAGCGGGTGGTATACTTGTTGTAGCGGCCACGATCCAGGAACCATTCCGCCCTGGGCGAAACAATGCCTGGGATAGCGGCATGATCGGGAGCGTCGAGGATCATCTCCTCCTACACCAGAGGCATGCTCTTGTTGATAACTCCTCCTAGTAGTCAACTCTCCAAACGCAGTAGGGCAACGCGACCGAGTTCCTCCACGCGTTTGTTGCTAGGTGTCACCATCAAAATGCGAAGATTCTTCGAATGTCGAAGGAATGGTATGATCATTTGGGCCAGGAAGTGTGTTGTGCCTCTCCCTGGTGGACCATGGCACAACAGCCAACCACCAGGGGCTGTGCTGGCTAGGACCCTAATGGCCTGGAATTGCGATTCATTGAGTCTCATCAAAGTGACGTGTGCGATTTTGGGAGTGAGTGTTGAAACCGATGGTCCGGTGCTCCAAGACGATGGATCTGAATTTCCACAGTACGGGACCTCTGTGATCGATATTGCAAGGTATAGGAGATGCATTCCCATGCTTTCGCCAGTGATTGGGCCACCTTGGTCTTAGGGGATGGAGCCGTTCTTCCGAGATACAGACGTTGCAACGGGCATGGGACCTTGGCCAATCTGCCGAGCTCCGATTGGAGGTAGAGGGGGAGACCAGCCAAGCTGATGGCCATCCATGCCTTGAAGTGTCTCTGACAGGGGGCAGATGCCGATATGTTTGGCTACATCGATTCTGTTGCAAGAAGTAACTTGAGCAGTGCCTGGTCTGGCACAGAGATGTGCTGCTCGCTGGCTCTTAATCGGTTATGCAGCACACGCATGGCGTTGATTACGCGAGCATATGGCTTGTCGGGGAGAACAAAGTCGAAGGGGACTCTGCTGAATGCAATTGTGGGGGTTCAGGGTGTCAAAACCGAGGTTGAGCTTCTTGTATGGACCTCTGGTCAGGGCACGTACACACCAGGATGACACCTCAGATGGTCCGGGTATATGGTTGCTGGTATCATTGATGCAGTGAGCCCTGAACGACATCCTGGAGCAACGACTGCTGCTGAGCGCGTTTGATGTTGTTTGAAACATGATCGTGAGACAGCTGACAGTGGACAAACAGGTTTCTGAGGGGATGCACTTGTGGACATTTATATATATTGGTTGCTGTGTGGTGGCAGCAGACGGAGATGTTGCAAGATAGAAAAGGAAGAGGAGGGCTGGGGGATTGGCCCCTATTTATAGGCGAAGGGACAAGCAGCAGACAGTTTGGTATTCACACCATGGCTCAGCTCTGAGTTATTGAGACCAGCCGTGACTTACATGAAGCAGCAGTTGAAGATCAAGAATTACCACCGGATAGATGATTGAGGCAAGCGTTACAGGCCTCCATGAAGAGCCGCTGGAGCCGGTGATGATCCAGCAGCAAAACTTACCTTGAAGGTGGGGACTGATGGGGGAGACTGAGACTTGCCACAGAATGATGGGAAGTGCATACGCCATATTCGGGAGGAGCAGAGATGGGATTGACAGTCCATCTGTGAAGTTGTCCATAGGCTGACACTGCTTCGTAGTGTCTCAGGGCATCTGGAGGAATGTGACAAGAACATGTCTGAAATGGGGGAGTCATGCCGGAACATGAAACATCCATCTACTCACATCGGCTCAGTGACTGTGCCAGTGACCAGACAGACTGGCCACACAAATGTCTCACACATTGAAGCAGGTATCGGATCATCTTGGCTGGAAATGAAGTGTGTGTATGACAATGAGACCTCACGCATCCTGAGCCGGAAATGGTCCCTCGAAGTGAAAAATAGATGTTTTCAGCCCGGTGAGTGAGAATGGAAATATGTTTCGTCTAATTGGACATTTCACTCTCGCCGATCTGCGATGGTGGCAGTGAGAAAGCACGCATTGATACAGTCATTGATCACACAACGATGCCGCATGCGTGCGTGCGACGCAACCATCCTTCCCGAGAGCGACAAGTCGGGATGTACCTGGTAATTTGCCACTGCAAGGATTTCAGTGTACGGTAGGTATTGATAGAATGACCCTGAAGCTGCAGTCGCGGCGAAGGTAGAAGAGACAGAGGGTTTGCGGCCTCCATACTGCTGGGAAACTTGGATGGTTCGATTATTGTTTTTTCCCTTCTGCTTCTTACCCAGTGCGGCTCGGCGTCATCACAATCCACCGCAGTGGCAGCGTTGGCAACGGTTTGCGGTGTGAGTGCACATCAACTCGTGCTCAGTTGTAAGTAGTTTTGGATAGCTCTTCAGATCAAGAAATATAGATACTGTACGTACTCAGGAGCAACCTCGCCGTCATTGCGCTGGCTGAATCTTCAAACATGGAGGGGACATGTCTGTAAACGTACCAAGACTGCTGACAGTGCTTCAGTAGTGTGCGCCCTTTGGCTCGTACTAGTAAGCAATGGCCCAAGCCTCCCTTGGTAAAGCCACTTTTTGATCGCGCCGAACTCGCCAAACCCGGCCGCGAGGGTTGCTCTCGAGATACGATCAACTACCTGTAGTTGTACTAGCGACGCCACCAGGAAATGGATCGAGTCCCGGACCAAGATGCCTCTCCGCGGTCAGGCCGGGGGCGGACTTCTCCATGACAACCGCACGGCGACCCAATCAGTTATCTACCATATCAGAGGCCTAGAGTAGAGTACAAGAGTACCAGTGGGTACGTATCCCGAGACCCCTGCTGTGGAGAGACCTTCCTATCTTGTCTCCTTCTACATATACCTATCCTCCCAGCCAGAGCAACCTCACCTCCTTTCGCTGCCCCAGCAAGGAGGATATCCTTGAACAGCACCACAGTCACACTTGAGCAAAGGGCGATATAACCATATCATAAACCAACACCGACGGCAGAGCATACACGCCTGTCGCAGTCCGCGTTCTGTTCTACTATCATCAACAACGCGAAAACCTCTGTTCAACATCATGGCACCCACAGCCATCAGCGATCTCCTGCCCTCGGGCCCACTGACCTCCAAGTCCGTCACCCCCGCAAAGGAAGAGCACCATGTTCACGGCATGCTGGACAAGAACCCTCTGGCGGCCATTTCGCACGGCGACGTGATGCTGGCCGGTGTGCCGACCTTTGACGACCCTGCTGCAAAGCGACAATGGCAGCTCGAGCACATGGCCGCCGCGTTCCGGCACTGGGCGCGAGAGGGTTACGTCGAGGGCATCTCGGGACACATCAGTGTCAGAGACCCGGAGCACCATGACATTTTCTGGACCAACCGTACGAAAAACCCCCTCCTTTGCCCATTTCATCTATAAGTCTCTCGATTTTGTTTCTCCGTTGTTCATTTCCTCCGAAACAAATGTCTCGCTCCTAAGATGGCGGTCTGAAACTAACATTCTGACTTCCAGCTCTCGGCGTCCACTTCGGCCTTCTCAAAGCAAGCGACATGATCGCCGTCAACCTCGACGGCAAAGTCGTCGGAGGCAACCGCACCTGCCCGCCCAATGCCGCCGGGTTCCTAATCCACAGCGAATGCCACAAAGCTAGACCGGACGTCGTCGCCATCTGCCACGCCCACACCATGTATGGCAAGACATGGAGTGCCTTTGGAAGACCAGTTGAAATGTTGACCCGTAAGACCAGCACTCTTCCTACTGCTTTCCTGTCCTCGATATCATGATCTGACCATTGTCTTCCAGAGGACTCGTGCAAATTCTACAAAGCACATTCAGTCTACAACTCTTTCGGCGGCACCGTCTTCTCCAGGGAAGAAGGACAGCAGATCGCAAAGGCATTGGGCCCCACCAACAAGGCCTGCATTTTGCAAAACCACGGTCTCTTGACTGTTGGCAAGACGGTCGACGAAGCTGCCTTCCTGTTCCTGTCGCTCGAACATGCCTGTCACAGCCAGTTGCTTGCCGAGGCCGCTTCCCAAGGTGGCAATATCCCCAAAGTTCTCATCTCGGACGAAGAGGCCGAATACACCCATCGCATGGAGTGTGACCCGGACACCTGCTACGCTGAGTTCCAGGCCTATTATGACTGGGAGGATCACCTGTGCAAGGGAGAATTCAAGAACTGAGAAATTATAAACATCTGGGACGGAAACACACCACAACGGCATGTTGCAGGTTATCAGATAACATTGATGTGATGAGATACGAGGTGTGACGCTCGCTCCGTGAGGTGGTTGACACAGTGCAGAGACGGTGCTATTATATTATACGACACCACTTGTCAAGTGGAACAGTATTGTACATATTCATTCATTCATTCATGCTTCTCAATGCCAGACTCCAGTCGCAAGAAACGAAAAATGTGCAAGCTCATCCTCTCTATCCCTCGGTAGCAGGATACTCCTGGACGAGTCCAATGAAAGCTAACTTCGTGGAGTCACCGCACTTTAGACCGGATCACTGGCCTTCCATTCATCGTCCGTGGCCCGGAGGAAGAGTAGGTCGACCTAACAATAACATGCTGCCAGCATGAACCCGGGATTTATACCGCACTGTACCTCGGTTGGCCGAAGTCAAGACTTCCCAATAAGATACGTTCATCGAAGGGTACTGCAGATAGCAGCTGGCCAGGGTTGGCGCGAGTGGTCGCCACGCGAGTATGCTCTCCCGGCTGGTCATCGCGTGGTCTTGAACTGAGTTGTCGAATATAAGCTAATTATGCTTGACACCCTAAGTCCCCAGCAGCCGGCGGCTTGGGGGACAAACATCCCTGTCGAAATCGAACAGTCAAAGGCAGTGTGACGCGGTGCTTCGGGCGCAAGGTCATTATTCCTCCTCACCCCACCCATTCAAAGTCCAAGTAATAGCGCAAGAGACCAAAACCCATCTTGAGAGGAAACCGAATAAGGCAGCTCTCCAGAGCAAAATCCGCTCCCACTTGGGTCTTTTCAGAAATCCAGCGGTCCACAGTATGGTGGCAATAAGCAATGGTGAGGAAAGTTGACAGGCCGTAATCAATGACTTTTGCAGTTCGGGGTGTGCTCGGCCAAATGCGGTATCGTTGTCATCATCATCGCCGTGGACGTGGCTAGCGCTGGTACGTTGTTGCGGAGGCATGCTATCTCATTTCCAAGCGGGAAGGATGTGGTGGAGATGGAATAGTACTGAATCCGTTCGCAGCACTGTGGCAGTGCCTTATCAAAGGGGTGCTGCCCACGCCTCAACTAAGGCCGGATGGCTTAGAGCGAGATCACCCAGAACGGCAGGAGGTGGATGGATTCGTGCGCTGTGCGTTTGATGGTTGCACTTGCGTCCAATTGTAGCATTTCAATGCGGGAGCAAAGTTGAGGCAACAGCACCAAAGCAGCACCGCACACAGGCAGCCTGTTGTAAGTGGCCTGTTATAGCGGTGAGAATAGGCTGCAAATATAGGTATGTTCTCTGCTGCCTCGTAAGAATCAGGTGGGTGATATCGACGCCAACGTGCGAGAACCCTAGGATGACGTGAAATCCTCAGGGCTCGATGGTTTGTGTATCGAGAAAGGAACCCGGTACCCCTTCCTTGACTCGACGGAGGTGATCAAGCAATGAGGGGCACTGCTGACCATATATGCTGAATTTACAAGCTCAATGAACAAATCAATGTTCAATTGGAATGCTCGCACGATGATTACAGCATGGTGTGATTGTTGAACATCGAGGCAAAGTTCATCATGATGTTGTTTGCAGTTCAAGTTGGCAGGAAGCGCTTATGTCAGCGGCCTGCAGGACGTCACCTCCGACACTGCAAGCGGGTGGGTAGAAGTAATAGGGCAATTTGACAAGGCTACGCTAATCCCAGTGCAGTAGTAACCCCATCCCGTACCTAGGCCCTAAGTAGGATAATAACTACAATTGATCCGCAGGCTCGTTCGTCATTGCATACATGCGCCAAAAGGTACAATTTAATCTCTGCAACACTACAAAAGGACGGGACATAAACCCAGTCTATCACTGTCTCGACCTCTGAGATTCCCAATTCCCCCACAAATCGAACTACACGAGAAACGAAAAGTGTAGCGAATAAACCAAGCCCGACCCAACCCACCCCATCTAGACGAGACCCGATCATGCCCATCAAACCACTCACATTCAAAGGCGACAAGAAACCCAAGAAGCGGAAACACCGCGAGGACGACAACGACAACGAGCGAAGCGTGTCACGACCCCATCCGCAAACATCGTCCGAAATCACTAGTACCGCCGTCGACCCCTCCGAAGACGATTCATGGACCACACCCGACGCGGCATCCGACATCCACGGGCCGACATTGATCGTATTGCCCACTCACCCACCGACATGTCTGGCCTCAGACGCCCACGGCAACGTATTTGCGTCGCCTCTGGAAAACATCGTGGACGATGTTCTCGAAACTGCTGAGCCTCACGACGTGCGTCAGGTATGGGTTGCCAGTACGGTCGCGGGCACAGGAGGACAGATAAACCTAAAAGCAAGCCATGGCGGGTATTTGTCATGCGATAGTATCGGTGTGTTGGGGGCGAGGAGGGAAGCGAGAGGTCTAGAAGAGGGGTTTATGGTTGAACAAATCGAAGTCGACGACGGCGATGGCGAGGCCGGAACCGAAACCTTCGGTACAAGTGGTAGCAAAAAAGTTCGATGGAGGATCCAGACGAAAGCTTCAAAAGGCTCCGAAGAGGGCGAAAAGGGGAAGAGATATTTGTGTGCCATTCAAGAAAACAAGCAGAATGCGGAACGTGAAGGCGATACCGCCGGGGAAAGCAAGAAACGTAATGTTGCAATCTCCCTCCGTGGAGATGGAGAGGCCGGTTCGCCGTCCACGCATCTCGTACTCAAGATGCAGAACCGCTTCAAACCCCGCGTGCAGCAGAATAAAGAGACAAAAGCAAACCAAAAAATCAGTCGGCGCGAGCTGGAACAAGCTGTCGGGAGAAAATTGGATGACGACGAGGTGAAGAGGTTGAAGAGGGCCAGAAAAGAAGGTACTTTTTATGAGGAAGTGCTTGATGTTAGAGTTAAGGGGAAACATGACAAGTTTGCCAGTTGAGCGGGGCAGATTCTGAAATCGCGATCAGAACTCGAACTGAAATGAGTTGAGCTACCAGTTTCTTTGCCTTACGCATAGACCGGCTTGGTCAATGAGAACGATTGGTTCTTTGGTATCCCGAGAATTGATCAAATTGTTCGTGAGGGAGATGTTGATCCCGCGTCTAATGAGGCGAACAACATTCGAACAGTCAATGCACTGTGAGCTGGAAAATCCAACGTGGTTCGATTCCACAGCAGCAGTGGCGCAAATCCAATGGCAGCCTGCAACGCTACTCGCATCCATGCCCTCTCATACGGTTACGCTGCGTCCGAAGAACATGCTTTTTAATCCACCAAACCAACGCCAACGCTGTGCGAGCCTAGATCCAAACAATATCCGCATACATATCATACTTCATTCAAGAGTGGGGATCACTCGGCCGAGGACTCGGCGCCCTGGAGAAAAGGTTAGTACAGGACATCTCACTTCCACCATGGGGCAACGTACATAACGGCCTCGAAACATCCAATGTCCGGGCCTCGTTTGCCTGTTCATTATAATTGTGAGTTTGTTGTCGCGCAAGGCGTTCCCGCCGCCATGCGCGCCGGGCAGCGACGCCCTGCGTTCGGACTTCATGAGGCATCTCATCATCGTGCTGCGCGGGTGTTTCCCCATTGTCTTGCATTGGGTGCATCTCCGAGCCTGCTATATGACCGCCTCCGGCACTTCCGTAAGGATCTGTCCTGTGTCTCGATGCCAAGGGCATGGAAAGCCTTCGGATCCTCTGATTCAATGCTGCAAGGGGGGCAGACACACTACCGCCGGAGGAGGTTGTGGACGGCTGCTGCTCAGGTGCGCGGCGCATTCTTGTCCTCCGGATCAATCTTTCTCTTCGGACCATGAGATTGGTCACCTGCACTGGACAATAGCCGGCTGGCAGAGCAGACTTCTTGCACATGGGACATAACGAACTGTTGTCCCTCAGGAAAGGGTCAATACACTCCGGATGAAAGATGTGGTTGCACGGAAGTTCCCGAACGGTGGTTTCTCCGTGCACAAAGTCGTCGAGACAGATCGGACAGGTCGGTTGGCTGAAATGCACTTCTCGAACTCCCGGTCTAGGCGTGGCACCTGAAGCGCTCGTCGTGTTGTCTCCTTGGTCGACGGATGTCTCTCCTTGACTTTGATTGACCTGGGCTGCTGGTTCCGTCTTAGACGTGTAGATATACTGAGGCATCTTGTCCAACACGTCCTGAGGTACGTTGAGCCTCTTGATTCCCAATGCTTCAAGGTCGACCTCCCCATTCGCTACCCTGCGCTGAAGACGACTGCGCTGTTTCCGTTGGATGACGTGCATAATTATGGACGTGACCAAGACCACGGTGAGCAGAATCGCCAAAACAATGATCAAGAAAACCCACAACGAAGGTATGCCGCTGGAGGAGCCTATATCCACTCTTGTCCATAGCCTGATGGTGTCGTGGGGGTCGTACATCTGGACGAGCTCTTCGCCATGAGGCAATTCGGACATATTCCCAGAGTATTTCGCAAGTTCATCGAGCAAGAGGTCACCCAGCATTCCCGGAACCGCATAAACCGGAAAGGGGTTGGCCGTCTTCCACTGACCGCCATCTTGTAGACTCCACCTGGGGTCGCTTACGGGAGGAGGCCGCGAGCTGTCGTGAATGTCGTCCGGACGATAAAACATGGCTCCATGGACTCCGTCATCTCGCATCACCGAGAGGTACGAGAGGACACACTCTCGCCCTGTCCATGGCGCAAAACCAATCAAGTGTGATTTCCCTTCAGGAACATCGGCGCGAGTCGTCACGTTGGAAGGTATCAGAGCTCTGGTCGCATTGTCGCATGGGCTGGAGGCCGGGAGTTCGGGGACGTAGAGCACACCATCGATGGGGTCGTAGTTTTCGGGATTGTTTGGGGAGAGCGTCCGGATCGATCCCTGGAGTCTAAAGCCAACGGTTCCCTTTCCATCAGTCAGCCATGTCACTCATGAGGCGGACTTGTCCCTCTGTCTCTTCTTCATACATTAACAATATATGGGCTGCGGGCAGAGTCGTATTGAGGGTTTGGCAGGACTATCGCAAGGACACCAAAATCATCTGCGGCTGCAACTGGTTAGTACGTAGGTGGAAAGGACCAAGCAGCACGATGCGAACTCACACATTGCTCCAAGGCCCTGTGGTCGCGAGCAGTATTTGCATACAATGTTCAGCCGATCAGAATCGTGCTACACATGACATGCAGTTGAGCGCCGGCAACACCGGATATGTCATGGATTCTGCAGGTAGCCAAAGCGCAGAACGAGACTTGGGCCTAGAATTCAGCTAGCTAGCGTCGCACGAGGTGTTTTGTCGGCTTGTGCGATAGAGGTTAAGGAGGATACCTTATTTTCAATATATACTTAGAACGACAGTGACGAACTTGGATTGGAAGCCTACGACAAGCCTCGTCGTCGGTCAAAAGTTCGGGCTGAGACAGTTGGCGTGCCGCCACTGTAGCGAGTGGAGGGGCCCATGATGCAGTGGTGTCTGTACTCCAGCCCCAGCCAGAGTCGCGGATGCACCACTACATTGGCTATTGGAATTACATACTAGTAGTAGGCTAACTCCAAATGTGCATTCGCCCATGGACGCTATGCTGTTTGCAGTGTAGCGAAAGTGATAGTTTGAGATAGTAGTATTGCTGGATCACAAAGGGCATGTTAGCCGAAGACCCGCTGGGCGCAATGTAAGTTGTGCTAATTCCATCTCGTCGTATGACTCAAATGCGCTCAACCTCGGTCGCGACAACGTGGATACAATAGCCTTGTCAGTGTTGACAACTATCTTAATGGTCACTAAGGTATGATATTGTGATTGACGATACCGTGCTTGACGACACTGTGATTCACAACACTGTGACAATACTGGTACATACCAATAGCCGAGCATCAGTGTATTGTGTTGAGGGGCCTTCCAGGAACATACAATGAGCCTCACCGCGACGCGCTGAACATCGCCTCCTGTCCCGACCCAGTGGGCGACCCCCTTTTATACCGAATATATACAGAAATATGCCACCTCTCGGTAGTGGCGGCAAAGGCAAAGGCAAGCATCAGCAACGAGATGCGCGCCGGTCAAGAAGTCGCAATACTACACCCAGTTCCGTCCTCAGCACGGGTACAACGGTCGCTGGGCCCACGACAACACCTCTCCTGGAATTGGAAACGAGCAGACTTCTTGTCTCTCCGAAGCCGAATTATTCGGAAATAATTGACTATCTTGAGACACATGGCACGAGGCTGGAGCCCAAGTCCTTGCATGACATTATCGACCAGTTGAAGCATCTGAGCGAGTCGGCGGAGAAACGCGCCGAGTCCTGCGAGAAAGCGATCCGGTTAATCCATGAACAGAAGAAGGAGTTGGAGTCGGACCAGCAACATCGCGAACGAGAGGCTGAACAGGCTCGTCGGGTCAAGGCCCGAAAGGAAGAGGCACATTCTCAAAAGAACCCCAAGGCGAAGAAGCGTAAAGACAGGCCTGAAACGGTCGACAACGTGGAAATCAAACGAGAAGGTATGCCATTCTACTCTGGAGGACCCAATATTCTCATATGCATCATGTTCGACTTGTTTTGGAAACGGCGCCCGCCGTGATCAGCTCGAACACCTGCGCTTAAACTTCACATGACTTTAGTTTCTGTCGTGGTAACTGACCCGCATGCGGTGCAGATGAACCTTCCAAGATCAAGATCGGCCGCGCCATCGGCACTCCAGGACCAGTCGACAGCCCTTCACCGTCCAAGAAGACCAAGCTGAGCCCTGGCACGTCGTCCTTATCAGAAGTCGCAGATTCTCCCGAGGCCGCGGCTGCAAGCGCCCACGCTTCACCCACCAAGTCGGACGTTTCTATGTCTGACGCAGAAGATAATCGCATCATCCACGGACCGCCGCCAGTGCCCCATCAAGGCTTCTTTCCCGATCCGATGGCGCCCGATCCGGCCATCTATCACATTCGGGAGGTAACTCCAGGCATGACTGACGAGGAGAAGAAGGAGATCTACGGCGTTACAGCATTCCCGACCAAGGATCTCAGCGATGAAATCGCAGGAACGCCGCCTGATAAGGACTTCAGCAATGCCAAACCGACCAACCAAGTAGCTGCTTCCACTTTCCTTACCTACGTCGAGCCTTATGTGCGACCACTTACAGAAGAGGATGTGGCATGGCTGAGAGAAAGAGTAAGCGCAATTGACAACACTATTAGCGATATACAGCTAACCCGCAAGCAGGGCGACCGAGTCACCCCCTTTCTAGCTGTCCCACGTGGTAAAAAGTCGTATCAGGAGATTTGGGCTGAAGAGGATGGTCTGATGCATGTCGACAACAACAATGAGAAGAAACTGTCGCCAAACGAACCTCGAGGCAGCATCGAAGCGATCAACGATGACAATCTCGCAACCGACCAAGTTTCGACCGGACCATTGGCAGCTCGCCTCTTGTCCTTGCTCAAGTTTGAGCACCGATCACCCGCGAATGAGAATGCCAACGGAACCAATGATCTGAATACGTTCATGGCAACGGACGGAAATGACACCATGGATCTTGATGGACTTACCAATGGCCAGGACAACGCCGACAAGCCCCTTGCGCCTGCTGCCGCAATTGCAGAGCAGGCCGGTGGCAAACAAGCCAGTTCACAGCGTCTTGACTACGTCCAGAGCGAGGAGCGCATTAAAGGCGAGCTCCGCCATCTCGGCTTGCTAGGACAGGATGAGGAGCCCGACTATGATGCCCACCACGATGATGATATCAGTGAGAGACTGCGCCTGTTGCAAGCCGAGCTGCGTCGCGTGCTTATCGTCAATGGTGCCCGAAAGGCTCGACTACTGGACCTGGCGAAGGAGCGTTTGGCGTACCAGGAATATAGTACCATTCATGAAGATCTCGACAGTCAAGTTCAACAAGCTTACCTCAAGCGCACAAGAACTCTGGGCAAGACCAAGAAGGGTGGACCTGGAGCCAACAAGCCTCGACCTGGCAGTCACGGAGCTGGTGGCCCTGGCACGGCAGTCAGCGTCAATAGGGCGAGAGACATTGGAGATAATGCCCGGATGTTGATGGACCGCAGAAAGCGTTGGGAGAATTGCATTGGACCTGTGTTCAAAGACATGAAACATGGAATTCCCGACAAGAACACGACCATCTGGGATCCGAAGATCATGGAGGCCTACGAGAAGGCGGAACTGGAGGCACTCGAGGAAGAAGCTGCTGTCGAGTAAAGACTCCAGCACGAATGTTGGACTAGGACAGGTCAATCCGTCCCATCAATATTGGATGTATTAATAGCCTGGAATGAGAGTTATTCAACTTCAGAGGCCGGCCAACGGCGGTGGGGCCAGGACGAAATGTATGACTGACACCCATAGTGTTTACTGTTGCAGAAGGCTTCATTTGGCGCGGCGAATGGTCTACTCCGGAGACACACTCTGGTTTCTATCAATACGAAGAACACAAGCGACTTGTCGTCAACTGCACTTTTCGTTGACATGCCGGACAGTCTATTCTCTTGCCTACTACCAGGTAGGCATGATTAACCCCTTCTTGTCGTCATCCATTTCAAAATGTTTGCCGAATGTCGATAGGATGGCGCTTGCCAGTTGAATGAATGCGCTGAACAGTCCAAGGTCCGTGATATGGCCCAAAATGATGGACTACTAACTCGTACGTCGATATTATACTGGTGCGCAGGAATCAAGTCATAACCTGGTCACCAGGACCATGATCTTAGCAGGCTTGCAAAGTATTCCATGCGAGCGAAGCAACCGAGGACCCCTCAGTATTTTCAGTCGCTTGACCAACTAGTCCTACGACGGGATTGTGTCCCATATCCTCGCCTCCAAGGACATGCCAGAGACCTTCAACTCGCCAGACAAGACCCAGCGCCTTCCTGGCTTCTCACATTCGACTGTTGGCATGATGTCGGCTTTCAGGCATCCCACTGATTCTCAAAGTGGCCTGGACCCTCCACTCTGCAGATCTCGAACACACCTCCGGATTCGAAAAGGAATAGACCATTACCAGCATCAAAGCTAACTAAGCCGCCTGGCCGTCGGTCGACGTCGACGGTCACCCCCACAGTCATAATGGCCTTGAAGACGAGTTTTACACAAATGAAGCTGCAGTTTGTCGACCTCGTGCTTGGACTGTCCAACATTGAGAGCTCATTTCCTGCGGAGAGTCTACAGCATGTCTCATAATCCATTGTTCGCTGTGTGCTGCTCGCTGATGGTGGTCTATCTTGTTGGATTATATGTGTACCGCATTTATCTACCACCAGTTGCCCACATCCCTGGCCCTCTTCTGGCAAAAGCGACATATTGGTTCGAGTTCTATTACGATCTTGTCCTACGGGGCCAATATACATTCAAGATTAAGCAATTGCAGGAGCAATATGGCCCGATCATCCGCATCAATCCCGAGGAAGCCCACATCGCCGACGCAGAATTCTACGATGTCATTATGCCGGATCATCCCAGAGGCGAGACAAATGGGCATGGTTTTGCAATCAATTCGGGATCCCGGATTCAGTCTTGACAACGGTCAAGCACGACTTACACCGATTGAGGCGTCATGCCCTGAATCCTTTCTTCTCAATGGCCAAAGTTCGTAGTTTGAAGCCACTGATTGAGGATGTTGCCCGCAAATTGATTGCGCGATTTGAGGAGTTTCGACGGCTCGATGAACCATTGAACGTGTCGCTTGCTTTTGCGGCCCTTACGAATGGCATGTGCCGAAAACTGACTTCTAAGCAATATCCGTACTGACATTTCCTTCGCACAGATATTGCGGAGCAGTATGCATTCGGGCGGGATGATAATCGAGTCTCTGCGAAGGACTTTGACCCAAGCTTCCACGACGCATCCAATGCTGGGGTCAGAATGGGTCACCTCGTCAAACACTTTCCCTTTATCTTCTCCGTGATGAAGTCTCACCCCGATTCGGTTCAAGTTATGCTAGATCCCAATATGGCATCATATGTCAAGCTCCAGAGAGTATGTCTGTGTTCACTACGGAACTTGCAAATTTTGTGCTTACGGCTCGTACAGGACATGAAAGCCCAGATCGAGCTTATTCGGCGTAATCTTGATGGAGACATGTACAAAACGGCTCCTTACCATACCATCTTCCACGAGGTTCTGAACAGCGACCTTCCGGAGGCGGTGAAATCGAAGAATCGACTCTGGCAAGACGGACAAGTCACCGTTATTGCAGGAACGTTGACCACCGCTTCAGCTCTCTCATACACTCTCTTCTGTCTTCTCACGCAGCCAGAAGTCCTCATCCAGCTGAAGAGGGAGTTGAACGATGCGATTCCCGATCCTCGGCATCTTCCACCACTTGCTGTTCTTGAAAATCTTCCATACCTTAGCGCATGTATCAAGGAAGGGTTGCGCCTCAGCAACGGGGTCAGCTCCCGACTCCAACGAATAGACCCTGACAAGGCCGTGGTCTTCACCGATCGAACGAAGAACAAGGGCAGCCAATTCATTCTACCGCCAGGGACGGCGATTTCGATGACGGGTATGCTGATGCACCTCGACAGTACCTATTTCCCTGAGCCACTCGTCTTCAACCCTGGCCGGTGGCTCGGCCAGCCTGGACTCGACAAGTACCTCGTACCGTTCTCACGTGGAACCAGGCAATGTATCGGGATCAACCTGGCATATGCGGAGATATGTGTCATCTTAGCCATGATATTCCGTAACTACGGCAGCGTAGATGTCAAGATGGATGATGATGCCGGGTATCTGGAGTTGTATGATACGGAATGGCACCGGGATCTTGAAATAGTGGGCGACGGGCTGCTACCAATCAACCGACCGGAGAGCAAGGGAGTCAGGTGATGCAAACGGAAGCAAGAGTAAGGTGTGTATTGCAGGTTGCAATGAGTCATTAGTGACTGCTCTTGTTGCTCCGAGGTGGCAGTGGCAGTCGCATTGACCGCCTCAAACTTGAAGGTCAGGCTTACAGTACAGCCAGTGCCCGAGCGACTAAAGAAAGGGACGTTGTTGCATACGAATTCTGCTGGCGAACCAATCAACTCCGCCAGTATGCAGTATATCACCATTGGCATGCAATGGCATGCATATCTGCTTGCGGGAAATGGATTCTGATCACCCGAGCTGTACCCATCTCCGGCACATGCGCCAAAAAGGTGTGATACTCTGTGGGTCCCCCTTGTACACGAGTTCCACTTGATGGCGTCTTAAGGTCCGGGCCGAGAAGATCATGGTGTTCCGACCCATGTTACCCACACTCACCCCTGGTCATGGCCGAGCCCCGGCATTTATCCTTCGTGGGCTTCGACTCTTCTTGGACAGACTACACACGGTACATAGTCTGCTTATCGGATGTCGTTAGACATGGTAGACCTAGGGCTCTGCCTGTCCTTCTCAGTAAGTGTTATTTGTCTATGGAGTCCCAGGACGAACACCAAAATGAATCATCTTCGCAAGGTGCTCAGGGCCACGGGGCTGGTCCCGAAGCTCCCAGTGGCAATAGTCCTCCAAAAGATACTGACGTGGGCGCCGAAGGCCATGGAAACCATGACTCAACCTACGGCGGCAGTGAAGGGACCGGCATGTCTGCATCGCTGGCATCTACTGTCTTTGACTATGTCTACGAGGCAAGCTTTTTCCCTTTTTTTGTTGTTGATGCTCATGTCCGCTGATGACGGTGCTAGAATGGGAGGCGGTACCATCGCTTCCGCGAAGGAGCCTACGCTCTACCCAACGACGAACAGGAACAAGAGCGACTCGACATGCTGCACCACATTTTCCGACTGATTCTCAAGGGCGCGCTCTACACGGCGCCAATCACCAACCCACAGAACGTGCTCGACTTCGGCACAGGCACAGGGATCTGGGCGCTAGATTTTGCCGACGAACATCCATCAGCAGAGGTTCTAGGTACCGATCTGAGCCCGATCCAGCCGACATGGATCCCGGCCAACTGTCGATTCATGATCGACGACGCCGAAAGCGACTGGGAATATCCCAAACCATTCGATTACATCCACCAGCGCAACATGGTCGGCAGCTTTAGTGACTGGGAGCGTCTGTACCGGCAGGCGTACGACCATTTGGCGCCCGGAGGATGGTTCGAGGCCCAGGAGTTTGAAATCTGGTTCTTCAACGAGGGCGATCCGCTGCCTGCCGACACCCCGGTGTTTGAGTGGCCGAGATTGCTGGATGAAGCGAGCTCCAAGTTTGGGAAGCGGCTGAGGTGTATTGAGGAGATGAAGGATGCTTTTCAAAAGGCGGGCTTTGTTGATGTGGCCCATGATGTGTATAAGATCCCTATTGGGAGGTGGGCCGACGACAAGGATGGCAAGGAACTAGGTATGTATCTCCAGGCTCAGTTGTTTGATTCGGTCGAGGGGGTCTCGATGGCTCTTTTTACGAGAGTCCTCGGGTGGACTAAGGAACAGACGCTCGAGTTTGGGGAGCGTGTCCGTAAGGATCTTGGGGATGATAGTAAGCGGTTGTATGGGAATTGTCATTTCTTGAGAGGAAGGAAGCCGAAGAGTGAGGAGGTCACCGGAAGCTGAGTTTATACACACCAAGGTTGTCAAAGGGCGCAGGTGAATTTGTCAGATCAGAAAGAATCAATGTTGTCCGTCGAGCAGCAAGACCGACTAGGAAGATTTTGGACATAATTCTTCGTGATGCGATGCTCAGACATCGCTCCATCTGAGCAGTGGAATGGTTTCCAGGACAAGCTCTCCTTGACAGAATACTCGCACATAGCAGTCAAAGTGTGTCCAGATCCCCGTTGTAGGCAATAGTGTTGCTGTTGTGCTTTCTGAACATCTGAGATGAGATGACATTTTGCTTGAGACTCCCAGCCCGTGACGGCTTCACACGACCGGTAAACATGCCAAATCAAAGACTGGTCAAGTAAATGTGGATCCAAAATCATGGCCAGTCTCGGACTTGAACCACAGGCCGTGATAGTCACTACTACTGGTAGTAATTCACTGCAGCGGTGGGCTAGTCACGTCCCCCCTGCCAAGCCTAGCCTCGCGCCTCGTCCACAGCCAATCACCGCCCGGATCACCCGGGTGCAGTGAATGGAACGCGACCTAAGGGACCCATAATTCGAAGTATAAAGCATAACAATTAAGGTCGCAGAATTCCCTCCAACACTGACCAGCCTCGGCCGCTAGACCATCTCCCAGACACGACAAACCATCACCGGATGGGGGAGTGGTATAAGCCCTGCACAACTGGTGTCCATGCCTCAGCAGAGAGCGGTTGGACTCGAAAACGGGTGTTCGGAAAAACAGCGCTGAGGATTACAAAGTAACATTTGTATAGGCGAGGTTTCGCTCCCTTGGACCTCAGATCCATTCGAACTGATCATTCGATTTGAGCTGGGCTTTGAGGATAAGTTTTTTGCTCTTTTTTGGTTTGGAGGAAGGCGGGTTTCGAACACCACGTGATGTTGAGGTGGGTGGGTGAAGTTCGAGGTGTCCTCCGGCAATTTGAATTGCTTGGAACAGGTGGCCAGACGGTAAGGCAGGTAGTCACATTGGGCTCTTTTGGTTTTGTAGGTCAAACGAGAGTCCATTGATTCATCAACATGGTTGCTCGACATGGTCCTTCTCCAGGGCTCCATAGGTACCTACCTGAGTACCTGCCTACCTCACTTTGCTGTATTGGGCCAGGGGATACTGCTCTGCACACCAGACGCTATGCAGAAAAGCACGCCACAGGGAGGAGAGAGCTGTTGACGTCGATCATCCATGGTGTCGTGCACCATTGCCACACTGACTCGGTCACCAGAAAGTCCCTCCGTCCTCGGGCTGTTGTCGCCGTCACGCCCCCTGGTGGTCGAATCGCACATACCGCAAGTTGCAATGGCTGATCCCGAGATCAATGTTCATGTCACTGGATTCATCTGCCTCAGGGCCGACACAACACACCTTCCTCGGAAGCCGTCAGATGCATTGATCTGACGCACCCACCACAGAGGTCTGAGTGCGCATGTGCTCAGCTGATTTCCCACTCGGCCGAGAGTCTCTCTGTGTGCCCAACGGCGTTCGCCGCTGCTGTACGCAAGTGTGTGTGTTTCTGTGGGCAGGGAGGTACCTACCTCGGCCAGAGCTGGCTTGCATTGACAGCCGCGTTATGTTGAAGAGCCGGCACACGCTTACCAACTATACCTTTCTCGTGTCGTCTCATATATCCCACAGCATGCACCGGCCCAATGCCGGGAACATGGGTTACAGTGCTTCAATCATGTCAGCCGGAGGGAGCATTGGGGCGAACCTCGGCAGCCCCAGTCCGTTTCGGCCATCACAGGTTCAGCACTCATTCGTTTCAAAGCACAGATATCATGGTATGGCCCTCGTTCGAATTTCGAGAGCGATCAGGAATCATGTCAGCTGAGAGGGCGCATTGGGCTAAACCTCAAGAGTACCAGTCCGTTTCGATCGCCGTAGGTTCAGCACTCATTCGTCTTAATGCACAAATATCATTCTATGAAACCGGTTGGAATTTCGAGGGCGACATATAAGCTGCGGACATCTCTGAATTTCACCGGACTCCCAATTTTCTTCCTCTTCTCATCACTGCGCATTTCCCCACGGCATGCTCGACATATCGCTAGTCCGGGTTTTTGCATGACCAATACAATAATGCCGTACCTTGAGGCTTTCTCGTCCGGTGCATGGAAAGAAGTTAAAGATCCGGGAGCTCGTGTGGATCTCGGTGTGTCGCCGGCGATCTTGCACGGAATTGACGCCGACCGTTGGCTGACAGTACATCCGCCAAATTTCCGAAAGTCTAGGTTGAGTCTGACCCTTTCACCCATCTCCTCCAATTGCCGTCGGTTACTCAACCCCTAACAAGCTTTGAGGTTTAGCTTCCAATGCCTTCGGGTGTCTATAGTACCTGAAAAATGACCTCACTTGTGCGGAGGCACCTAGACGAAACGTGGCGAAGGCTGGTGGTCAAGCACATTCAGCTGAAAGGTAAGTAGGTCTCGGTACAGCCGACAAGCTCAGATAAAAACGCGCCTTGTTCCTACCGAGGACATCACTATGTGAGTATCGGAAGCTGTCTTTGATCGTGGCAGCACCGCATCCCTTCTACAACGGTAGCTTTGCCATTGTTCTCTCACCATGCTGTTGCAACTGTTGTTCGCCGGCAGTCTCGTGGCCCAATCGTACGGCCAAACCGTACCGGAACAAGTACTGGTCATCGATCAGACCGGCTTCAATGCCTTGCCGACCGTGCCGCCGCCGTCGGTGTCCAATCTGACTTCTGTACGTGGATCCGGACATGTTAGCCTTCTCCAGAGCGTGGAGACGTGTCTATGCTCGCTGCGACCCTAGAACTAATGGCTGGATGATTCCTGGCTCTACAGATATTCCTTCCGCCAGGTGTCACCGAAGATGAAGCGCTGGCAAAACCCTTCCACGTTTATGACGAGGCTTTCTACGACATAATTGGCACCAATCCAACCCTAACCGTCATTGCCAGTCAGGCCAGCAACCCGCTCTTCCATGAAGCTGTTGTCTGGTTTGTCTACCTTTATCAGCCGTCAGAATGCCTCCTTGAGACGCTAATACTCATAAACCAGGTATCCGCCAACTGACGAGATTTTTTTCGTGCAAAATGCAGGTGCGCGAGACGCCGGCACGGGCCTCAACAAGTCCAATGTGATCTTAAAAATTTCTCTCAGTCAAGCTGCTGCTGTATCGTCTCAACGAAATGCCAGCGGCCAGGTCGATGTCGTCACTGTCAATGCGACTCCGACGGTGATAAATTCCAATGGTATGGTCCCGTCTGCTCAACGAGGGCAACTCGTGCAGTTACGTAATGCTAACCCTGGCTTTTGCAGGTGCTACAAATTTCAGAGGCCAGTTTGTATTCACGGGAGAAGGACAAGGAAACGACACTGCTCCGTCGCTCTACCTGATGAACCCAGTGGAACCGTACAATACTACCGGTGAGCAACGCTTGAATCCTCGCAGAAGAAACCGCTGGCTTGTTCTATCAAAACTTATCGAGCTAACGACTTACCCATGACAAGTGCTTTTGAACAATTACTTTGGTCGTCAATTCAACTCTCTGAACGATATAGCCATCAACCCCCGCAATGGTGATATATACTTTACGGATACCCTCTACGGATACTTGCAGGACTTCCGTCCTCCCCCGGCCTTGCCAAACCAGGTTTACAGGCTTAATCCGGATACTGGTGCTGTAACGGTAGTTGCAGATGGTTTTGACCTCCCTAATGGTAGGATACCCACGAAAGGTCTCTCACATCAGCCCAGCTACTTACCAATTTTCCACTTCACAGGCATCACCTTCTCCCCCAATGGATCATACGCATACGTCACGGATACTGGCGCACAGTATTCCTTCTATGGGTATAACTTTACAGCGCCTGCTTCTATGTGAGTTGGCCAGTCCAGTGATACAGTTCCCTCCGACATAGGTAATCAAGAGTCTAACATACCTTCCTTGGTAGCTATCAATACACCGTGGAAAACGACGGCACGTTCAGCAACCGCAAGCTGTTCACATATGTATCCCCTGGTATTCCCGACGGTATTCACTGCGACACCAACGGCAATGTTTACTCGGGCGTTGGCGATGGTGTGCACGTATGGGACCCCTCTGGAAAGCTGCTCGGTAAGATCTTCCTGGGCATCACTTCGGCGAATTTCAACTTTGCCGGCAAGGGAAGGATGGTGATCTGTGCAGAGAAGCAATTATACTATGCCACGCTGGCGGCTGAAGGAAGCGTGGTGGCCAGTCAGATGCCTCCTGCATGATCGAACACAGGGCGGTCTAAGAGAGGACAAAAGTGATTTTGAGGGTCCCCCAGGTCTTGCCTCGTGGGTTGCCTCAGGGTAGTCCACCAGCGGCGTTGAAATTGGAAATTCGCAAATAGGGTCATACCAATGTTAGTCACGGCACGCATATGACCCCGATGATCGGTGCATAGCCTCGTACTCCGTCAAGAGGCTGTGATCTCAACGTCTAGGGTACAGGCGCATCAGCCCGCAGCCTCTCAGCCTCACAGGATTAATTCGCCTCAGCCTCGTGAGTTGGGATCTTATGTAATCCGTTCATGTGACGACGCCCTCCCTGCGGTGGAGCATTTCTCTGATGGCGCCACCGAAGAGAACTGAGCAATATATACAATGTCTCTTTCGTCCTTGCACGCGCATTCTCACCTAAGTCCTCGAACAGTCAATTAATGGCACAACAGACGCTCGAGAATGAGATAGTATCGAATATTCCGCAGCCTGCGGGCTCGAAAAGCGCATTTCTCGTCGAGACACAGCTTTCATGCGACATTCCAACCAGTGTCCTCCCAGACACCGCATTGCCTTCGCCGGACAACTGCGTGATCTGCCTCGACCACATTACCGAGCGAGCAGTTGCCCTTCCCTGCCGCCACGAACAGTTCGATTTCCCCTGTCTTGGGACATGGCTACAAAGACAGCAGGTATGCCCATTGTGCAAGGGCGAGGTAAAGGCGGTCGAGTTCAACGTGGGCAACAAGAATGAAGGAGAAGGGACCAAGATCTTTTACCTCCCGCCACCTGAACCGACAGGACCTGGTCGGCCGGCATTCGTATCAGCGCGGGCTCAACAGCGCAGATCGAGGCCACATGGGCCATATTCAAGAGAAAGAGGAGGACGTCGTCAACCGCTAGATCACACCAATCGCAGAGAAGACTCCAGAGACGACGCACTGGAGTTTCGCCGACAAGTTTATCGCCACAAACTATATTCTTTACGCGTCGGCTCCAACCGTATCTCACGCTACCGCAACATTACACCGGAATCGTTTGCAAAGGACGAGCGTCTTATATCTCGAGCTAGAATGTGGATCAGGCGGGAGTTACAGGTGTTTGATTTCCTCAACTCAACCTCTCCGGCCACCAGCTCCCGGTCGGTGGATCGCAGGTCCAGCAATGCCGACTTTCTACTCGAGTACATTATCTCAATATTGAAATCTATCGATTTGAAAGGCAGTACGGGGCAGGCGGAGGAGCTTCTGAAAGATTTCCTTGGCCGCGAGAATGCGAAGCTGTTCTTGCATGAACTGGAGGCCTGGTTGCGCAGTCCTTACGAGTATTTGAAAGATTGGGATCGAGCTGTCCAGTATGCGGTACCATCAGAAGCCCTAAGTCATGATTCACTCCGAAATCGTGGTGATGTCTGTCGCGGCGAGAATCATTCTCGCTCTCAGAACGACAGGACGTCGGTACCCGGGTGGTTCTCGAATGATTTTGTTTTGCGACATGACAATGACCGAATGCCATCGAGGTGAAAGATGAAGCCTCGTCCGTTCCTGCCTCTGAAGGATTCGAGCCCATTTCCCCGAGCTATCCGTCCAGCCTGACGGGCATGGAAGGCAGTCAAGCAATATTGCTTGGGATTTGCTGCAGTTGGACCAGCCATATCGGACATCCATACAGGCTGGCTTTGCAGAGGTCCTGGCTTTCACTCTGCACCGGTGTCTATGGCAGCGTGCACTGTTTCTGGAGCTGCCGATATGTTCACCTTACCAACTGCCGTGAGCAGTTGCGAACCTTTACCAAATATCATTGATTGCATTTGCTGCTTGGCCCGTGGTACATGCAGCTTACGAAGTTATGATAGATGATTGTACAAACAAAGTGTTCAAACTTGTCACGATTCGGTCCCCCAGGTTAGTGTAGTCCTTCACTCTATTTCTTTGTACTGTCACCCGTCTGCCGCAAAGCAGATTGTGTTGAACGTGACACGGTGTTGGTGCGCTCTTGACCAGGTTTAAATTTCAAGGTAAGGCCACTACTAAGGACGCTTAGCAGTCTGAGACACATTGTCGTGTGCCACCGGTGCCATGCAGCTGGGATTAGGCCGAAGCTGGAGGGGGCTCGTGTTTCCCCTGGGGGCGTTGTGGGCAGTGGCCTCCGGATGTTCATCGACATATATAATTATGTGAGCTTATTGTCCTGTCATAACCTCAAGCATCATACATACAGCGGCCTCCCAGAACTCAAAGATGGCCAGAACACGTCACCAACTGCCTGGTACCTAGCGCAGCTATGGATGCGCGCATTCACTGCAGCCACTCACTTCTTTTACGTCTCTGCCTCGCCTCAGATCGGCCGCGAACTCGTCTCAGTCTTTTATCGAAGTTGAACCACCACCACCTGGCACCAACAACGGCTTCATTCCTTTGAACAGACATACAGAATAGTGATCCGCGTTGTTCAGCTTGATTATTAGGATTACAAGTAGCAGCTCTGGATTCTTTTGGGCTTGCTTGATATCAAACGTCTCGCGACTGCTCGAAAACTAGGTTTCAACATGGGCTACAATCTATCTCTTTACCGAGAGATGGCTTCCTCCGCCGCTGCCGCTGCCGCTGTTGCTGCCAGCGCGGCCAGTTTCGATGACTATTATGCTATCTTGCAGGTGCCATGCAACGCTTCACACGAGACAATTACCAAGAGCTATCGCCGTCTCGCCCTTGAGTGCCATCCGGACAGACGCCCTCAGGACCCAGAGAGCACAGCTCATTTCCATAGAGTGAGTGGGCAAGCAAGCAGTCAAGGCTTTCCACTTCCCCATTTGAAGAAATATACTAATTCTTTATTTCTCTAGCTGTCGGCAGCCTACGAGACAATGAAAGCTCCCTGGTTGAGGGGTCAGTACCACACTATCTGGACCCACTGGAAGCAATATCACGTCGTGCCTGAGCTACCACAGTCATTCTACTACACAGCAAACCCGCACCAGCCGCAAGCTTCTTTCTTCTTTCATCCAGAGCACACTGAACCCTGCCCATACCTGGATACCTACGGCGCAAGACCAGTGCTCGATGTGCCTTACGCCAATACAGACGACGGCAACTGTGAGAAGAAGGAGCGGGTGAATGTGGACAAGTCAAAGAAAGATGCCGAAATCCTAGGATGGATTTCGACCGTCAAGAGCGTGGAGGACGAGGCCAAGGAAACAGTCCGTCGACAGATCATGACGCTCGTAACGGAAATGAAGGACCTCCTGGCCCTATTCTACCAGGATCCCCAGCTGTTCCGCGATGACTTTAAACCTGCCAAGTACGAGCACGTCTTGAGGGATTCCAACTGGTTGTCCGACGCCTTGGATGGATGCACTTTGGAGGATCTGCAGAAGAAGCTCACTATGCTGCAAGCCACCGACGCTGAGGCGGTGCACAAGCTAGTCCGTATGCAGTTGAAGAGAAAGAGAAATGTCGACGATGAAGGCCAGGATCTCGAAGCTGTCACCCCTGTCAAAGTCTCGAAGAATGCGGATACAAACGCTGTTGAAGGGGTCGACACAGATGTTGAGATGCAAGACGCTCCCGCAGACTCTACCGCCGACAGTGGTCCAGGCTTAGTATCTCACAATAGGAAGTGTGATGGATAAGAGGAACTGACTCTTGAAATGACCAATCTGCTGCTGGGGTTCAATATCGTGTGCATGATTGCGCACTATCTGCGCCGGTCATGCAGTGGGCGTCCTTTTCTATTGTGAAGAAGACGGGGAAGATGTGCTTGGTGTCTCTGTCCTCGGAATCACAGCACGATAATGGATGGGACAATGATGGAGCGGTCTACTGCAGTTGACTCCCCTGATGTGGTATGTTTACCAAGGATCTGCTTTTCACTGTGTCAACTGAAGCTTGACATTACAGGTGGCTTGATGAGGGATGAGGAGTTGTATGCTCGGCCACTACTGCCGCCTTCCACGGCCTTGAACGCTTAAAAGGCTGATGAACTAGGTAGTGCACAGTAGTAGTACTACTGCTCGAGAGACAAAACTGATATCCATAATAAAGTGTCAAAACCCATGCCCTGTCATGCTACGGATTATATGAGGCAGTACACTGTATGTCTATCTAGTAGTAGCTTCTGGTCGTGGGGATCACAGATGATGTGGAAGTCACATAACACGAGCTGCCTGCCGAGGTCAGGGGCGCACAGCCTCGCCGAGCGTAGGACACAAGGCTATATTATGCCCACGGCCATGGTAGGGCCAGATGTGCCTGCCAGTCATAAGCAAACTCCCGTTCCTACCCATCATCAAGCAGACCTGCTCCTGCCACCAGATAGCTAATTTCAATGATACCTGGTATATCTAAATTCTCCTACCCGCTTCAATTCTCCATGTTTTCTGTTCTTCAAACCACTACGCTATCGCAAATGTTATCATGATCCGGGAGAACCACCTGGTCGGGCCCATCATCCCAGAAACAGGGCTGCCTAGCAGCCCGCCTTGGCCTCTCGACCCTCCACCCGGCCGCCCGGGGGGCATGAGTACAGCATGCTGTTTCGGGAGATAGTGAAGCCTTACATGGGGCGGGCCAATGTCAATTGATTAACACTTCCACCATTGCACCACCACTATCATGTGGTCTCCGCCTTCAGAGGCAGGCAAGGTCCAGGTTCGTGGATATGCTGATAGCAAGCATGCATGTCTCCGAAACTGACTGAGTTTGGCTGTGCAGACTATCAAACCACATTCGGTTGTGTCAGACTGGCCTTCTACAATGGAGAGCCGTCAACCGGCCCCCCGCCTCAAGTCAAGGGTCCTACTCCACGGCTCCTAAAGAGAGCCCAAGCGCCGTCACTATATGAGCCCGGATTTCCAGCTCCTCGTTGCCGATGAAGACCGCGGCAACCTGGAGAGTATCTTCGACTCATGCCATTTCAAAGTTTCTCAGACCTAACAATACCAAAGACGTCCACTCAGCATAACTGCCCCAAAAGAGTCTCTCAATCATCCCAGCTGGCATCCCAGTGTCGTCTCGATAATCTTGAAGACAGAGGACTCCGCCTCGACAGCTGAAAAAAATCACCGACATTATCGAGGGGTCGCCCAATGAGTTGGCAAGAAGCAAGACACTCTTGATCCACCCGACCTCGCACGCTTACCAGAACGGCGGCTCCCAGTGGCAGTGGGAGACTTCGGGTGTATCGGCCGCCCCCGCAACATGGAGAGTTTACCTCGCGAGCGGAGAATGAGTCGCTCGTTTCATAGGTAGTACTTTAGATTAGACTTGGTATAGACTCAATATCAGATCAATATTAGTCTGTACTGAGAATCCATGGTCTGATGAATACTAAGTACAGTACTACACTAGGCTTAGGTATGTAGCGGGCGGATTTTCGAGTTTGCTTTTCTAGGCAGGCCAGTTACTGGCATATGCTATTAGCACTCAGGGTAGCACCTCAACTCGAATCGTCTATGTGCTGTTCGTCTCTCCATTTCGTCAGATCTTATTCTTCAACTCCTGACCAGCCAGGAACCTCCTCAGGTTATCAGCAATCAAGACCTCTGCCTCTTGCGGCCGACCACCAGCAGCGTGGGGGCTAATGATGCAATTCGGGGCGGTCCACAAAGGCGAATCTTCAGGCAACGGTTCCTTCTCAAAGACATCAAGAGCGGCGCCACCAAGCTTTTTGTTCTTCAACGCCTCGACAAGAGCATTCTCATCGACAGTAGTGCCTCTCCCAACATTAACGACCCAAGCATGCGACGGCAGTAGTTTCAAACGATCAGCATTCAGCGCGTGCCTTGTTGAATCCGAACCCGGCAAAATCATAACCAAAGCATCCGTTTCCGGCAAGATTTCCGCCAGTTTATCCTCGCTATACACCTCAATACCATCACGCACGCCCGGCCGTCTCGCGACACCCTTGACCTGGGCACCCAGCGAAGTCAAATGCGGAGCCAGGGTCTTGGCAATATTGCCGAACCCCCAAATCGTGACTTTTGCGTCGCGCAAAGTCGTAAACGCCCCCTTTGGCCGATCCGGTTGCGGTCCACCGAGATGACCAGGCCATTTCCGCTGCAACTGGTAATCGCGCATTTCGTAGAATCGCCTTGCGGCATTGAGTAGTAGTCCCAATGTGTGTTCGGAGACAGTGCGGTCGTGCAATCCGGATCCCGTAGTGATGGCGATTTTGGAGCTGTCGAAGCCGGCGTTGAGGACGTCGTTGGGGCCCGCGGCAAGGGATTGGATCCAGCGGAGTTTGGTGAGTCGGGATGCGGCATCCTTGAGATTGTCAGAGGTGTTGGTCCATGTGATTAGGATTTCGGCGTCGGTGTGCTCCTGTGGAATGGGTTGCTTCACGTCGTAGGGTTGGAGAGTTACGCTGAAGCCTTCGAGGGATTTGGTGTCGAGGGTGATGGAGGTGGGGTAGAGAAGCTTCATTTTGACAGCCGCGGTTGATGTCTTTTTGTAAAGCACTTGCTTTTTCTTGAATAATTGTATGTGACTTGAGAAAAACGTTGGTTTGAAGACGGCGATGCAAACTCTTTGTATAGAAAATAGAGAAAACATTTATCAGGGAAGGGTGATGGAACACATGTGTGGGTGGTAGGTGAATGGTGGACACTCACCCTCGGATTATATCATCATCCCGCGGGGAGACAAAAGTCGAAGTTTGGAGTCGCTTTCGGCGAAAATTGACCCGGCGGGGAATTCGCCGATTGTTTGCCGGTCACGTGCGGGAAGCCTTGGCGTGTTTCACGTTTATGCCCCTTTCATTTGCTGCGGACATCATGGGCCGTTCTTTACCTCAACACTACAATGCCTTGAACATGGTTGATGAGAAAAAGTACAGGTTGCACATGTTCACCGGATAAAATCCAAGGAGGAGAAGCTCCTGTCACAAGGTAAGATGGACAGTAAGACAAGATCGCGTCCACAGACGTGCTCGCGTGCTCCAAGCGGAGGCACCTCACCATACAATAACCTGCCTGCCTCGTAAGGGAAGAATGGTCTCGCACCTGTGGTCCAGAAGGGAGGTTTGAATTCTCCATCTCGAGCCGGCAGAGTCCTTGCCGAAATGTTCATGTGAAGTCAACGTCCCATGAAAACACCCAACAATTTCATTTCCTAGGGTGAGCCTGAGTTGTGACCAAGCCAATGACAATGATACTGCGACAAGAGAAGACTACTACAACTGCAGTGCCACCAGAGTGAAACATCACCACTAAACAATACTCGCAGCAGGCAAGTTGTTTTCCTCCGGTAGAAAAGGACCCACCACGGGATTCAAGAGTCATCCCTATTTCGCCAGCCTTGTCAGAGTGCGATCCCGATCCGGCTGGCCGACCTTGTGGCAGTCGACTGACACCAGAGGTACAAATAACTACGCTGCCAGTACCTGAAGATTGTCTACATAGGATCACGACACGATGCGCCCACACACGGACAAGTTAATGAGATCAACAGTGAAGAGTCAAGCAGATCGAACTTATCGTGATGGATTTTCAACTGGAATAAATAGGCTAATATCCTCTATGACTACCTGGTAATTCTTGCTTTTTTGGGCGCTTGCTTTTACTCGTTCCAATACCAGTGGCAGGTACTGCAACAAGAGCGCTTAGTCTTCCCTTCCATCCACTGGCAACCTATCATGAGCAGCACTTCTGCACGGCATACAAACCCATCCATACCCAACCAGCGAGACCAACTTGTCCAAGCAGACTCTTTCATTCATGACCGATAGGCTTTGGAGCCTTGACAAAAGCAAACTGAGCGCTCGACGCCAACAACCCAAACGGCTTTCCCGTAACATGAGGATCCGGCCCAATAAAGTTGCTCGGGAATCCAATATCGAACGGGACAACACTCTCCAAATGCTCGATTTGCTTGTCCGTCAATCTAATGCTGAGCGCCTTGATATTGTCCCTAAGATGTTCGACCTTGCGACCTCCAACAATGGGAAAGACGTTTGTAGCCTTGCTCATGACATACGCCAGGGCCACCGCAGTGATAGAACAATTCCCATGTTCTGCAGCGACTTGTTCAAGAGCCTCGCTGACTTTGACCTCGACTTCCGTCTGTTCAGACGGACCAAACGCGGCACGCAGACCTTCACCTTGCTTCTTGCGTTCCTCGAGAGCTTTTTTAGTTTGAAACTTACCACCGCCCAAGACATCCCAGGGCGCCAAAGCCATGCCGTAATGTCGTGCCATAGGGATGATATCGCGCTCAAAGTCTCTGAGCATCACGTTCCAGCGACCCTGGTAGACGCTGAAGGGTGTCTTGTTGTGTGCTTTGGCATATTCGTTGGCCGCACTCACGATCCAGGCGGGACTGTCGGAAATGCCTAGATACAAAACCTTGCCCTGCTTGACTAGGATATCGAGCGAATCCATAATCTCCTCGATTGAGGTCGTGTAGTCCCACCAGTGAAGATACAACAGGTCGATGTAGTCGGTGCGCAACTTCTTGAGTGAGTCCCGTAGACTGAGGTGTAGGGATTTCCGACTGTTGCCGGAGTAGTTGACCGTTTGGGGTTTTCCGTTCGGTTTCGCCGGCCCATTGTCGTAGTTGCGGTATGGTGTCGTGTACTTTGTCGCCAGGACGATTTGGTCTCGGTTGCCGCGGGCTTCCATCCATTCGCCAATCCATTTCTCCGAGTCTTCGTCTTGGTAGTTGTTGGCCGTGTCGATGAAATTGCCGCCTGCCTATATGATAGAAAAGACAAAATGTCAGATAGCTGTGGGGTGGTGATATATATTGGCGTTAGGCGGGTGTATGGGTTTTCACCTCGAAATATGCGTCGAGCAGTTTGAATGATTGCTCTTTGTCCATGGTGCCCATGAACCCCTTCCACGCTTCGCCGATGCTCATGGCGCCCAGCTGCAATGGCGACACACGCACTCCGGCTGTGGACGATAGGATGCGATACCGCCCGAGCTCCGTCGGGGGCTCGGGGGCCGGGTTGAATATTTCCGTCATCTTGGAATCTGTGTTATGATGGTCTTTACTTCACGGTGAGGCTGGTTTCTCAAGAGTCGTTCGCCTTCAGTCAGATACTATGGGAACATGTGACAGCCAAAGTGAGGTGCGATATAAGTAGATAGGTAGATATGATATTGTACTACCACTGCAGGCTGGTGCATCGCTTTATAGTGACATCATGGAAACCCCTCACGCCTGAGGCTGAGGGTCGGTACAACAGAGCTTGAACGGAGCCCCATGCAGATGTTTGACAAGAAGACACGCTTTTTCGTGCAGGGTTGCACTTCACTCACCGCTTGGTGGTGGAGGACAGTCCGGGTGTGCCGGGAAGATGTAATGCATATGTAAGCTGCATCAAACCCTTGTATGGGTCCACATTCGGCACAGTGTTAAATGCTAGCTCCACACCAAATTATGCGGATGTGGGAGGCATGCAGGCTTAGTTCTCACGCCATCTGCAATGACTCGCGTAGCGACGGTCTTGTTATCAGTAGTCTTGTAGTCCATATTCCATCTTCGGGCGGTAAGAGTCAGACAGACTTGGGGCAGCCGAGTCAGCGTCTTCAGAAAGCGACCTCCGGGCTAAAGGCGGATGATTCCGCAAGCCTCTCTTGGCCCTTGTGATGTTCGACCAGAAGTCCAGGAGTACCGATGTGGGCAATCCCCGGAGACTTCTTTTGGTGGGTTGAGTTCGGTTGCAGCGCAAAGATAGTGTTCGTTTGGAAAGCCGCAGTGAGGATAGATCGTCCGATATCAAGTCGACGAAGACACCAGCAAGCTCCTGAGATGCGTCTCCGATATTGCGAAGAGATATGCCGGCTTGAGCCAAGAGTCAGATTCTGCAATCCTGCCAGCTCCCAGTGAGCCACATGTGGACTGTGCGGATCTTGCAGGACATTCAACATGCGTGGCTGTTTACCCTTCATCGTCTTCTAGCTCGTTTCAGCTCCGCCCAGCACAGCGGACAAAGTCCCACAAATTGCGCAAACGCTCCCAATAGCAATCAGCGACCAACATATAGACTTGTTGAAGAGATCATTCTTGCAGGACTCGCCGCCGCAAACCCTGAGATAGAAACCCGCAGGTAAGATGATGCATATTGTGATGCAGAGTGCTGACCCCATAAACGCAATGACATCGTCAAAGTTAGGGACCATGATTGCCAACATGAGTTCCAGTACATTGCACGAGGCGCCGACAACAAAGCGGACGATTCCATGCTTTCGGTCTGCTGACTCTTGCGCCTTTTCTCGGTGGAGAAGAGACACGTCCAGCTTTCTGTTGACGGTGTCCATGAGCGGCCTGTTGATCAAGGCGATCTTTGTAACAGGGACCACCGCGACGAGCGCCAGTGTGAGAACCGAAACAATACGCGGATAAGCGTCGAGTTCCAGAATGTTTGACGTGATTTCAGTAAGAACGCCGTCGCCGAACATCACGTATCCAACTGCAGCTATCGAGAGGGCAAGGGAGTAAGTGATGCTGTAGGTGTACGCAAGCGCCTTGGAGTACTTTTGCGGATGTCGCATGTCTTTGTAGACGGCGGGAAAAATGCTGTGGCCACCCCAGGGAGCCATAAACAAGCCCAGTGTTGCCGGAATAGCTTTCCAACTGGTAGGAAGAGCTCGAGTGTGTGCGAGGTGGAGAAGGGAACCCGGTGCATCAGGTTTTGTCAGGCCGGTCGAGACAAGGAGAGCGAGGATTCCAACCACACAAAAAATGCCGATGGCACTGCTGACGCTCAATATCCGCAAAGGGGCGAAATTCAGCGGGATGAGGCTGGTTGCAATGATGATTTTCCATGTCGTCACACTCAGCATTGGAGCAAGTGACCCAACACTGTCTGCAAAGAGAATAACCAGCGCGACATTAGCCGCGATGAGCTCGAAAACAAACAGCACTTCCACGAAATGCCGCCCGATGCTGCCAAATGCCATATGTGCAATATCGCCATAAGTGACGGCTGTGGGATCCCTGTCAAGACATTTGACGAGAAGTTTGGCAGTGTAAGCGGTCACCACTGCAGGTAATGTGAGAAGAACCAGGCCAACAACCCAGCCGCATTGCTGAAGTCCTAAAGGCAGCGCAAGGATCCCGACGCCGATGAGAGTGTTTGTGCAGTTGAAGATGGACATTGGCACAGTTGATCTGCCAGAGATAAACTGGGTCACTTCATCCCTGGGGCTCAGGAGGTTCTCCTCAATAAGTCGGACATATGTTTCAGCGGCATTTTTGCCCAAGCTGAAAGTAGGACGACCATGATGGCTCAAACCGGAGAATCGGCGATGATCAGACAGCTTTGCTCCACAGCCTATAGCTCCATAGTTCGGCCAATTCGACACCTCTTTGTATGTAGAGCAGGAGGCTGCCTCGTCACTTTGAATTGAGGTTTGCTCATTCAAGCTTCCAGCGACACTGTTCACTGTGGAGCATAATAAAGGCTGGTCCGGGCAGTCGACCGGCTCAAGAAACCGGCTCGCCCTCTGCAATGCTTGCGAAAACTCGGTGATACTGTTCGGGTTCTTCATACCTCACAGAGATACCAATCCAAGCAATGAGAAAGCAATATATGAATGCCAGACATGTACTTTCCTTACAAATGGGCACAAGGAGTGATTATGGTGGTCCGCCCTCGAAATGCCGCTGGTTGCACGCGCAGGGCGTTGCAAGCAGAATGACTGGCGAAGATGCCAGACACGCGACTCTTTTATCCATATTATATCAATGTGCCAGGAGAGATTTGTTTACCTACCTAGGTATCATCGTGCATCATTTGACTGTGGCAAAACATGGCGTGGTATCAATTGCCAAAAATTTTTGTTGGCTGGCCTTGGGTGTGTGCCGACAATAACCGGCCGAGTCTCGACCGGCAAGGCTCGCAGTTGGGAAAACTGTGCTACGACTAGGCTGCGTTCCCTGCGGCGACCGTACATTTGCGAATATCGAAAGGTCATCTTAATTTCATCCTTCTATCCAATATTTGAAGCAACGGATCCCTCAACCATGAAAAAGTTCGGATCCGAAACGTACGCTACATCTGGCTCAGCCTTGCCAAGAGCATCAAACATGACACAACTTGAAGTGCACAGAATCCAAGGCATCTACTGGATTGACCCCAGCCCAGATCATGTTTTGGAAGGACAGGCCACACTCTGCCTGTAGGGACGGTAACAGACAGGACCTCCTACCCTCGAAGATATCAACAGCGATCTCCTGACAAGACAGCCTTGCACGTGACGGGGTTTTGTGGCTGCCACAACTTGAAGTCTCAGAAGTCTGAGTCGCCCCAAAAGACTCACTGGTCAACCGGTAAGCCTACCCCTGAAGTCTTTATCGCCGGAGAGACCATGGAACACCGGCGTCGTGACCTGAGCGTGCTATCATGGAGGTTCCTGGACGGCAATGAGGAACGGCATCTTCCTTCATGCCGCCTCGGCCCAACCAAACAACGCGCGGGCAACAACCCGCACAGAGGACCAACCCGCTAACCCCCCAGTGGCCCCCGCAGTGGAATCGAACCCTGGGCACTGCAAATCGGGGGTTTGTGATTACAGTAGCAAAAAAGCACCGCACAAACAGCCGGCTCCAGATTTTCCCCCGGGCTGCTGCCCCCACGCGGCCCCGGAGATTTTGGGGTTTGCGAAAACAAATCCAATGGGAAAGTTCGCCTACCGTAACAAGCGAGTTTTTCATATCTCTACGACAAGTATTGAAAGTTGTCTTGTCAGGCACGTACTCCCTTTGTCAAATCTGGTCTCGCTTCGCCACGCATCTTCGTGCGGGCCCTGGAAAAACAAACTACCAGGTAAGCCTAATACAACACACGCCATTGACGCCAAACCAAGAGCCCAAGATGGCCGACCAAACCAGCAATGCAAATGGACCAAAGATATCCGTGGAGGAACTCAGCAAGCACAACGCACCCTCCGACGCCTGGATAGTGATTGACGGCACAGTCTGGGACGTGACCGAGTTCGCACCACGGCACCCTGGGGGCGTGGACGTGATCCTCGAGTACTTGGGCCAGGACGCGACGCGGGCATATAACGAAGTACATTCACCAAGCCTAGTGAGTCGATACCTCGACAAGAGCAAAAACAAAGGACGACTAGACGAGAGCACCATCACGGAAGCATGGCGGAGGAAGTTGAACCAGGCTCAGGAGATTGAGAACAAACCGTCACCGTCAACGCACGATCAGACCGAAACTGAACAGAAACAACCACCACTAGACTCGATCATCAACCTCTACGACTTTGAAGAAGTGGCCAAGAAGGTGGTATCACCCAAATCATGGGCCTATTACTCCGGTGCCGCCAACGACTGTTTATCCCTAGCGGCCAATATCGACTGGTACCGCAAGATCTGGTTCCGGCCACGAGTCCTTGTTGGCGTGAAAGAAGTCGACACCACCGCCACCGTTCTAGGCGAGAAATACTCCGTGCCGATATTCACATCGCCCGCCGCATTGGCAAAACTGTCCCATCCAGACGGCGAACTAGCCATGGCCAGGGGAGTCGTGTCACGCGGAACAACCATGTGCGTATGCAACGGGGCATCATATTCCCTAGCCGAAATCACCGAGGCCATGCCGCCCATTTATCCCAAATTCTTCCAACTGTACTTCAACAAAGACCGACGGGCCACCGAGACTTTGTTACGCGAAGTCGTCTCTCTCAAGCCGCGCGCGATATTGGCCACGGTGGATTTACCTGTCGTTGGAAAACGCGAGGCTGACGAACGGATCAAAATTGACGCCACGTTCAAACCGTCGCGTAACGTTCAGGGAGCATCTGTTCTGCCCAAGGACAATAAAGGAACGGGTCTGGCGCGTGCCACGGGATCCTGGATTGATCCGGACATTACGTGGAAAGACATCAAATGGCTGATTGAGTTTACGGGTATACCTGTCTTTGTCAAGGGTATTCAGTGCGCCGCGGATGCGCGCAAGGCTCTCGAGGCCGGATGTAAGGGGATATATATTTCGAATCATGGCGGTCGCGCCGTGGATACCGCCCAGCCGTCGATTTTGACATTGTTGGAAATTCAGGCAAATTGTCCCGAGGTCCTGGAGAAGATGGAGGTCTTTATCGATGGCGGTATACGTCGTGGAACGGATGTGCTGAAAGCTATCTGTCTTGGTGCCAGTGCTGTTTGTCTTGGTCGTCCGTTTCTGTATTCGTTGGTTTATGGTCAGGAGGGGGTCGAGAAGGCGATTGACAGTAAGTGTGGCAGACCAGTTATTAACTACTTTCCCAACGGCGCCGACAAATTTTGTCATTGTGAACACACTACTAACACTTTTGTTCTTGCTCAGTTCTCAAAGATGAACTCGAAACTGCAATGCAGATGGTCGGTATCACCAGCCTCAGTCAAGCACATCCGGGCCTGCTCAATACCGCCGACATCGACCGCTTCGTCTACCGCGGCGATGCACATCCGTGGGCCCGCAAAATTGTCAGACAGGTCAAGTTATGAGTCAATCTGCTGCAAAAGTGTCGACACCTTGAACGTACAAGATGGCATGCATGTCTGTTGGTGCCGTTAGGCGTGCCATAGGTACTAGGATATACCTACCAGAGTTATACCCGCTCTGCTTAAGTCCTGTCCCAAATACAGCCAAGCATGATCATGGATCTCTGACAAAATAAACTGATGGCCCCTGTTCAACTTGCATCCCTCTCAAATTCTCCCAAGGCCGTCGGTCATTCTGTGTTGCCGCATTTCCTTATTACCTCATGTTCAGTTCCATCCCATTCCGCGTGACTCGCGACTCGACCACCACCAAAGTGTCACCACACCAGCAGTACAACTTATCACCATTACCACCTTGGGCCACGTCTAGCCCCGAGCATCACTTCCCCACCGAAATCTGAAACTCGACCTTGATATCGACAGTACCCTCGATGACTTTGGGCTCGAAATCGATGCCAGCACCAATCCCAAACGCAGCGTTTGCCGTAGCTTTGCGAGCCGTCTGCTTGGTAAGACCCTTTGCCCAGATCGAGCGATCATCCTGAATCTTGACGGGATGAACATGAACGGGGACAGCCTTTCCCGGACCAGAATTACAATCCTCAGCAATGATGGCGGCATACTTTTTGGCGCGCCTGATGGCATTGCGCAACGCGGTCACGCGCACCTGTTCATCCATGACGGCGGCCGAGTCATCCGTCAAAGACCAATCGATGCCCGACAGCTGCACATAGGGGGTCGCCGACCACTGCACGACGACCTCGCCTAGCTTGACGAAGTCGCGGAACCGGACGTCGATGCTCGTTTCGGCCGTATAGATTTTCCTTTTGCGGACTTTGCGGCGGTTATTGTCGTTGTCGGACATGTCATCGTCAGAATCATCGTCGTCGTCGCTGTCGTCGTCACGTTTCAATTGTTCGGTCCGGCTTGACGTGGTCAATGATGAGATGGAGTAAAAGCTCACGGGTGCATCGGGCGAGATGTGGTCGTTGTCAAGAGCAGTAGAACCACCTCCACCAAAATCTTCAGTACTGAAATCATCCCCAGCAATAGTCGAATGTTGTCCAACAACGGCCCAGTCAATCCGTGGACAGAGTCGGTCTAGTTCTTCTTGAAGGGTGTTGGCGGTTTCGATGACGTTCTTGGCCACTTTTTCCTTGTCGTACCCGGAGTCGGAAATGTCGACGGTGAGAGAGGCCCGCTCGGCCACTTTGCAGATTGTTGCCCGGCCATCGATGATGATGGTTGTTGCCGTACCGCTGGTAGAGGTGGTGGGAGTTGCTGCCATGGTCTCGGTTGACTTATCTTGCTTTTGCCCTTTGTTGTTTTTTTGTCGTGTGTTTGGCGGTTGGCTAGCGAGTGAGAGAGCCAGTAAGAGACTGAGCTGGTGGAAGATAGAGAGACAAGCAATGGGTTGAGGAATCCAAGAGTTGGGCTTGAGTAGGTACGACTCGTCAACCTGGGTAATCAGCGCCTTACTCTGTCTTGTTGACCGGGATCAAACACGTCAAGTGATTACCTAGCTCTGTCGATGATGGTGGAAACTCGGAGGTCGAGCTGAAGTACCAGCTGAACTGAGCTGGGAAGTCTAATTATATAGGCCATGTCGTCGATTCAGGCTACCTCGCCCCCATCCTTGGACCTGGTACCTTACCTGCTGGAGCTAGGCCGTATGGTTGCCTGATGAATGCTGAGCAGGTTCTTCCTTGTATGTACTTGTGCCATGGGTACTTGGTGCTGGTGCCTGTACCTACCTAGGTACCTAGGGTAGCTAAGACCTCGCTAAGAGAAGCAACAGCTACGACCTCGTAGGTAAGAGTTGTCAAGTTGTACAGAGGGTGTAGAGTCGTAGTAGGAACATATAGGTCGTCCTCCGTGTCCAGGCGGCAGGCACCGCCACGAGGATCGACCATATCGGCGTCTTTTGGCCTCCTAAAAGCCCCGACTTACTAGTACTGTGGGCTATTAGTGGCATCAAAGGAAATATGCTTCGGCCGCCCGTCTGGAGTACTAGTAGTACCAGCCCAGGCCCAGGGGGTATGACTGTCCGCAGCATACTGACCGACCGACTGAAGACATAAACAATAAAGCGACTGTATAGCTGCCTGTCTGACAGGTCCAAGATGTACACCAACATTGAGTCACAGCAAGTATAGTGCCAGTATATATCTCTCTTTCCCTCCCTCTCTGTCACTCTCTCAGAGCGACGCCCTCGCCGGCCTCGATCCAGCCATATACTCCCTCGCAACATTGTCCGTCCTAGCCATCCTATCCGCCGTGATCCAATACGGCGCCGGCACATCCGTCTCCTCCATCGACCTCACTTCACCCCTCACCAAAGCAGCAATCGCCTTTGCACAACCCAAGATACGAGGCATACCATGTCCAGTGTATCCAGCCAAGACATAAACCCCCTGTTCATCAGGCACCTCGCCCACCCACGGCATCAAATCAGCCGAATATCCCATAACACCAGTCCAAATATGCGTGACTTTCGCTCCTGAGTCTTCCCACCCATGAAACAGCCTCTGCATATATCCGTCAAAATACCCAGCCGCACCAGGAATCAACTGTGAATCATCCGTGTTGTTCTGCCAATAGGCATCATTGAGCAAGACGCGCTGCTTGGCCCCGCCGACGACAATGCTGCCGTCGGTCCGGGAAATCAAGTAGTCGTATTCCTGGGGGCCGAAACGGATGGTGTATGAGTTGTTGAGATGGGGCGCTGGTCTGTTTGGATTTTCTGGGACCGCGATTCGACAGGCGATTCCTCTGGCTGGAACGATTTTGTCCTTGAATTCAGGCAGCAGGGCAGGCAGATATGCGTTTGTGGCGACGATGATTTTGGATGTCTGGATCGATCCGCGGGGTGTTTTGACGATCCAGCCACCAGAACCATCACTGGCTCTATCAATCCCCACAACAGGCGTATGAGTCTGCACATTCGCCCCCATATCCAAACACCGCCTCAAGAGATGCATGACCAGTTTATACGGCCACAACGAAGCAGCCGTATGGCTAAACGCCACAAGCGCCCCCTTGACTCCAGACACCTGTTCCGCCTTTTTTTGGTCCGAAATGAAATGCAGATCATCCGGAAAGCCGTACCCCCGCTTCTTTAAATCTTTATACGCCGCGACCGTGGGTTCGGCTTCGCGACGATCCAAAAACACACCAATCGCCCGAGTCAACTCAAAGTCGCAGTCGATGTTTTCCTTTTCCACCAGCCTCTTCACATCAAAGACCTGCTGGATTTCGAACGCGGTCAGTTCTTGAGCGGTCTGTGGACCGTATCGTTCCTCGTTCTTCGCCTCGCTGAAGTACGGGTTGGGCAGGATGTGGCCGCCATTTCGGCCCGTTGCTCCTGAACATGCATCGCGTGCTTCGAGTATGAGCACTTTTGGTTTGCCTTCTGCTTTGGCGTTGGAGTTGAGGTCGGAGTCGGCGCTCTCATCTTCCTGTAAAATGTAATATGCCGCCGCGGCGCCGCTGTATCCTGACCCAATGACCACGACGTCTGCCTCCTGTGGGAGCATCTCTGTCGTTCGGTGTTTGGAAAGATCGGAATCCGACTCGGACAGCCAGTATGATGGCATGGGGTTGGGGTGGGGGAACGACATTTTGAAAGGTCTGGTCTCTTCACTTGGCTTCACTTCAGATCCTCAAACTTGACTGCACTTGCACAGTATGTGCAGTATATATATAGCGGTCGCTGATTTGTTCTGTTGCAACACCACCGTCATGCACAAAACCGACCGACGATGTGTTCGTCCTCCCCACCTATATAACTTACCTTAGTACTTTTATCCCTGGGGAGCGTGGTGTGTGTCTTGTCAATCACAATTGACAGAAGGCGTGGCATGGCCGGATATCTCCACGATGGTCTATCTCCAGGCAGCCAAACAATGTTGTAGTTCGGCCTCAAAGTGGATTGCTTATCATGTCACTACTACTACTACTACTACTAACTGCATCTCCAACCTTGAAATCGCGCCGAGTGGGGGATTCGGACGATCCATTTCCGAGGTTGTCCAAAAGCTTATACAAGAAGCTGGCTGGCACTTGACCCGCGTTTAAGTTAGTTCAGCGAACCTACCTAACAATGAGACCAAGGGTTGACAATTCGTAGACGCGTACAACGCGCATAGCTGAGGTAGCGGGTGCCATGCAAGCCTGCCGTTGTGCATTATTACATCCCCTACAAACGGTGTATAACGCCTGCAACAAACACCTCGATTCGTTCCATTGCAGAAACATTGGAAGATGGAAAATCATGCAAGGGAAATTTACCCACCACTGCTAACATAGTATGTAGTACTGGCAATTGTCCGGGGAGTGAAGCAACATAGGGCATTGGGGCCTGCACGTCACTCATCCTGCCAGCTTCGATGCCGCCACGAGCTGAGGTTGGAGTACTTTATTTTCATTAATACGACTCATGAGGGTCGATTACGATCCGATCCGAGGTTTTGAACAGCAATGATGATATCTCACGGTCTACTAGGTTTGGCGGCACATCTTTTCGCTGTACGCCACTCACTAGCTTCAGATCAAACAATACCTATGGATGTTGAGTACCAGCAATGAACAAGCCCTAAATGCAAAAGCTTCGCTTTGCTGCCTGCCTCAGCGACGTGATCGTTTTCATATCCTTCATCCTTCATCCCTCATAGATCATAGATCCTCATACAGTAACATCACCCCGCGCTGCTCCTGCCTGCCTTGTTGCTATTTTGATCGTTATCATGGTTCTTCTTCTTCTTCAGCCCGAGAAGGCTCGAACTCCTACTCCGACCACCTTCAGCCTCAGCTGTCATGGCTCTGACCCGCTGACTCGAAGGCGGACTATCGATAGACGATGAACTACCCTCGAGCTTTCCGATCCGGGCGACCAACATGGTATTCTCCTTCTGCAGTTCGCCGATTTGACGGATATAGATTTCTTGCTCTTTCTTCAACAAATCGAGCTCCGCTCGGGCCTCGTCTCGCTCACGAATCAGTCGAGCCTTTTCGTCTTTGTCCTGTTGTTTCCGCTTCTTCTCCTCTAGTTTCTTGGCTTCTTTCTGCTTCTTCTGCTCCAGCTTGGCAATCTCCTTGCGGTGTTTCTCCTCTTGTTTCTTCAGCTCTCGCTCATGCTTGGCCTCGGCCTTCTTCAATGCTTGTTGTTCTTTTTCTGTGTCTTTGTGGGCTTGACTGATTATCTTTTCCTTCTGCTGTTGGAACCTTTCTTCCAGGGCAGCTTTCTGTTCTGCTAGTTTTGCAATTTCCTTGTCATGTTGTTGCAGGAGTTGACTTTCTGGGCGACCCGAGAGAGATTTGGACGACACCGAACGCGAATCGACCGAGCTGATGTGGGAATCCGCAGATGCAAACGACGTGTTGGAGATGGTGGATGCCGCATCGTTGTTTTCAGTCTCACGCTTGGCACTTGCCTGTGCGTCAAGCCGGGTCGGGTCATGTTGTTCATCGGATTGCGTTGGTTCAGCTGAAGACCCGGATCTGGGCGTTGCAATCGGGAGATGGTCCCGGACGACCTGCGGTGCATAAGCGCCCAAAGTTTCGGCCACAGTCCCCAGTAGATTTGAAGGAGATGCAGGTGACTGTTGAGAAGATTCATCGCTGCTTTTTCCTTCCGATGCCGTTTCTTGATGTGCTCTTGCGTCTGTAGCCGATGCTTGTGACTGGTCATCAGCAACGGCCGAAAGGCTTCCTTCCTGTTCTCTGATCCCTGCAAGAGTACCGTTGGCCTCCCAGCTTGCAAAGCTCTCCCGCCGGTTCGCATCAGGCCTCGACTGACCCCTTTCCGAAGGGTCCTCGTCATCATCTCGTTGACATGCCCAGTCCAAAAACTTGACGGCGTCCGCACAAATGCTCGCTGGTGTGCCTCTTTCCACCATCCACCGGGGCACACTGCCGCCGGGATCACTACGTGTGACCATGATCCATTCCACAGGATTTTGCTCGGGGTCATAGTGTTCACCCGCATCCTTGCTTTTCTGTGGCTCGCCCAGAACGCCCACCGTTGCACTCCTCTTTCTGGCTCCGGGAGACAGTGATCGGGCAGCCGACCGCTTATTGTCGACTGTTAGATGGCCGTTGTCGTGTTGCCGCTCACCGTCATCCTTGTGTTGCTGAGCCGGCGTTCGTTCTTGTTCGCGACTAAGCCGTGACAAATCCGTGGATGAAGTGGTGCTTTTGAGCTTTCTTGGTATTTCCCGAATGAACTCCACGGATTCATACTGTCCTCTAATGAAACCGTCCCTAGGTTGTGTCTTCGGGTGATTGCAAGGTTTGGAGATGATCATATAGTGCCGTGGGGATAGTTCAGGCTTCTTTTCAGCTTCTCCATGGGGCTTGAGTGCCCTGGAGGAAGTGATAAGAAGTGTGACAAAGTCTCTGGGCGTGGTCGGCCCCGGGAATTGGGCGCTGAGCTGATAAACCTCGATTTTGCCTCGATTTGGAACCGTGATCTCTTCAACCCTGGTCTCCGCGCCGATTCCTCTGATGTTCCCTTCGCCAGGAGACCCTTTTACATCTAACGATGTGGGAAATTCTCGCTCAAATGCCCGCTTGAAGCGACTGAACCCCAATCCTTCATGCACACTTCTCCTAGCAAACCAAGCCCCTTTGCCATCCTTGCCCGGACATTTATAAACAGCCAAACCTAGAGGATTTTCTTGTGGCTTAAGCTTGATCTGTTTCCCCCACTCTTTCTGGAGAGCTGCATATTCCTGGGCGGGTGGAGGACTTCGAGCGGGTGAAGCAACGATCTCTGAGGCTTTGGACGCCACTGCGCCGTTTGTACTGACACCATCTTTGCCGAGCGAAGGATCGGGGTCGGGAATAGGCACGGATTCGACGATACATTGGGAATTTTCGAAGAGGTCGGCTAAAAACTGATCGAGTTCGTCCTTTTGCTGCGGGATGTCCGACCAGTTGCAGGGGCCAAGTGCTTTTAACGAGGAATGGAGATCGGCCATGGTCAAAGAGACCCTTCAATGGCTGGTTCGAAGACAGGGAAGCTGACCTTGCAATTCTGAGACGTTTACAGAGTTGTCAAGCTAAAGCCATGGTGGAGGAGGAGGAGGGGCACGAGGTTCAATCAACCGCAGATGGTTCGCCTTGGGTACTTGTAGTATCCCAGGGAAGCGCGTGACGGTCAAGCGGCAGAAAGTGATTCCAACTGGAGATTCAGCAGAATTCACGTTGCTGGCAGAAAGTAGAGAAATTCTAGTAGTTCTGCAGAGACTTGAAGTGCAGTGTCACTGGCTATGGTGGATGCATTATTATGCTGATACTATCACAGCTTCTATGGAGATTCTATGCAACTTGAACCTTGCTTGTGCAGGCCTCGAGTTTCGCTATCGTCATCGGCACGTCATTTATTGGGCTCGTCCGCTGTGCTTCTTGTGGCTTCTGTGGCGCCTGTGGCTCGTGTCCGCATTATTATTTTACAATTATTTTATGCTTCATCATGATCTTCATCAGATGTGGACCGATCACTCCACACTCCGCACTCCAGATCTCCTGGGAGAGGATCTGATCCGAAAAACAAAACTGGCGAAAGAGATATCTGTATTTATTTGGATTATCTTTATGTATGGGTCAATGACCTTCAATTGCCAGCATCTGATTCCTCTCCACTCAGTGGATGTGAGGCTTCTCCGGCACCAGGCCGAAGACATAGGAGATGATCCTATGAACACAACACGCCCCGGGATGAGAGCCACTGAACCCCTATCGTCAACTGTGGCCGGTCAAGTCACGGACAAGACTGGCCATTGCTTCTGCCACAGGCATCAAAGCAATGTACGCTGACGAAGGCGTCCCGTGACACTCAACCTGAGTTGTGCAATTAGGCGACGGGCGTTCCATAACCTGATGCAATGCCGCGCCACCTATGCCGTCGTCCACGCAGGGATGTTTCCATCCAGTGAACAACAAGGCCCCGCATGAACTGGTAAGCCAACCCTGACTGATGAGGTCCTGCCCCATGCAATACGAGTATGGCAATCACCACGGCTCGTAAAACTGAATATCCCGGCATATATCCCCCGTTTGCAAAGTTGCCGCGAGGCATTCCAATCTTGGGAAAATGTGGGACGGTATCCAACCCAGGGATATCATGTATTCCAACCAGCCGACCTGCCGCTGTGCTAGATTGCGCAAAAGGGACAAAACATGCAGACAAAATAGACAAATCAAAATGCGCAACGCTTGCTGAAATCAGACTTCCTTCCAATCATCCCCAATGTCCCGTAACAATGCAATGCGTAGTGGTATCCTTGTGTCGCTAAATGTCAATGAACAACTCCTGATGCAAATGCCGACGAGTTCAATACCCATGTGTGCCGCCTGCTGCCGAAAGTGGACAAGTGGTCGGGAGGAATATCGGGCTCTCCGCCATTATTAGACGTGATATCGTGTAGGCTGGTAACAGCCTGACCGGACATCCATCTGTCACATGGCGGTTGCATATGGCATCGTGTATTCCTGATATCGATCCCAACCGAATGTACTCAGGCTCGCAGAGGTGCTGCAGGGCTGTTGAGCCAACATGCTGGGAAGAGGCAGTGGCTGGAAGGAAGAGACTGCTGCCGGAGAACTGTACGCCGGAGAATTGTACGCGGGAGCACTGTAGAACTGCGGTGCGCTGAACGTCGCCGAGGTGTAAGGTTGACTGAAGGAAGGAGTGGGAGATGGCAGTTGTATGTCGTGCATACCCACACTCGCCCAGATATTGTGGCTTGAGTCACACGACGAGACCGGGCTGGGTGTTGAGGGGACAACCTTCCACGGCTCAACGGGTGCGGACTGGAGTGATTGCAGATGCTGCGGTGGCCACCACTGCTCCGTACACGTGGAACTCGGCAGCAGGGGAGTTGGCCGGATGACATCGACAATCTTGGGCGGAGGAGGCAGAAGTGGCACATAGAGGCCCATGATGGCCGCGCGAACTTCTTCACTCCGGCTACACAGCAATTCTCCCGCCCCTTCCTCCTCCATGCCCTCTAGAACGAGAGCACTTGTTCGATAGACAAACTTGTTGGCGGCTTGTACAAACTCCTCCTGAAGTTTCTTCAGCTGTTGCTCCTTGTCCGACCAGGTCCAGGTGTTGGCGGCGGTATCGACCGAGAAGACTGACTTGTGGTACTCGACCAGCGAATCGATGGTGTCTGCCGTCAGTTTCAAGGCGACCTCATTCTGCGAGACCATGTCAACATGGACTACATACGCCTCGACATGGATTAATTGGTAGTTGAACAAGGCTTCCACTAGCGGATTCGAGTCTTTCCGCAACTCCGTCTCTGGCGCTTTAGGCACCATGATGGAACATAACAACCAGATGGCGTTGGGGGAGGAGAGAGTCTCGGTCAAACATCGGGTATGTTGGAGGACACTGTTGAGAGGACGCTTGATCTTGTTGATTCTCTTCAGCGTGGCCGTCAACCATGGTTCCACCTTCGTGTTCAGCACAACGTTGCACGTCGACCGCGGCGCAAAAGCGGCAGCAGAAGCAGGTAATAATATCGTCGGCATTATGATTTATCTTTGTGGTTGAGTTGTTGGGGCGACTTTCAACAGGACATTCGGGGACAAATAGAAGGCTGACCAGCCAGAAACAAAGCGGAGAGAATAAAGAGAGGAGGGTAAATAGAAGTCAAAAAATGTAGGCCGTCGCCCGCCCAAGGATATTGTTTGCGCGCCTTGTAGAGAGAAAGAGTCGTGGGTGAGGTGTAGATTGAGGGTAGCGGCGAGAAGAGGGAGGGTGGGCGGCTTAAGCGGGGAGTGACGAAAAGGGCAAGGAGAGGGTCGAAGGAGGAGAGAGCCGTACCTTATATCAAGAGACAGAGAGAAAAGAGGTCATGAGCATCACTGATAGGTGGGAGGTGTGAGAGCTAAAGATGGGACCTGGCCGGTCAGGCGCAGTAGGCGACATGCAGAGCGATGGAGCCGTGCAGCGGGCGAGGCGACAGCAGCCTGGACGGAGGAGGAGGAAAGATGGGAAACTGCTCCATCAGGGTTTGCAGGGAACTGCAGTGGCAGGACTAGTCACGCTGGTACTCACAGGTACTGGTATCCCACTCACCTAGGTACTACTACTACTGGCACTCAGCCTGGTTGTGGGCGGTGGGCGAGGAACTGTCGGAGTCAGCGGCGAAGTACCGCCAGTGCACTGGTAGTAGTGCCCACTGCTGGTGGATTGTACTACTTACTAAGCTGCCAGCGCCGTGCAGTGTACCTAAACTACCTTACGGAAAGCCGGAGCTGAGGCGGAGGAGGCAAAAAGCGTTGGAGTTGCTGTACGCTGGCATCATCCGTCCTCGCTTCTCGTCGGCCTCGCCTTGTTTCGTGCTTTTGCCTGCATTACTGCTGCCGCTTCCGCATGCACTGCGCCTACATCCACGTCCACATCCAGGTCTGCGCCTGCGCCATCCCTCAATCCTCTTTTCCTCGGGCTTCTGGTAGAATGTTATGTACTACCGCTACCTACACTGCTTTCCGACAAGTCCTGCTGATACTGTAGCCACTACCGGTCCCATCAGTCCCACCGCTCCAGAAGCCACTCTAGTCTACCACTTCTTCTCCCACGTACTGTACTTCGCTTGTCTCTTCCCACCCCTGTTTGCGATTGTAAACTTAGACCAAGTCCCCAGCAACAATACCTACTCAGGTATACGGCTGCGTCGAGGCTACTGCAGGCTGGACAACTTCCGGCCCAGACTCCATCATGGCGGCCATTTCACTGGCCGCTCGATCAGATGCTCTTACATGTCCAGCTCGGCCAGGTTCTCGTCCTGTCCCTCATCAGCCGCGATCACAGCGCCCGAAACAGAATTACTTGCCTGCATATGCAAGATCGACGCTCTCGTCCCGTCGTCCCCTGTCTATCATGTTCCTCGGTGAGCTTTTACTGGTGGGTGCTCTTCAGTGAGATTCTTCTCGAAATCTCCCACATTGGCCGGGTCGCACATTGTGATGATTGCCAATATCATTCTTATCAAAAATCCGTCGAATTACCTACTTAAGGTGGGATTGAGGCGCAACCCCATCATATGTCCACGTTTCCACCTCCGAAAGGCCCCTGACCAGCTAGTAACAAGTGGCGGCCCGGGACTGACTGAAGTCGTTGACCACGGCTGGGCCCGAACGAACGAAGCACGACCTACCGTGAATTCCCCATTCAGAGGGACAATTTGGCCATTTGTTAAAGCAGATTGGACGCCCACGTCCTCTAGTTGTTCCTAGCGTCATGTACCTGCGTTCACGATTGAGCGTACTCCATGCGCACTGCAGGCCCGCTCATCGTAGCGGATGGCTCTTCGTCGATGCATCCGGAGAACTCTGAAATGTAGGCTTCTGGTGTCTTCTGAACGCTGAAACCACCCCGTCGAAGCATCCTCTCCCCACCGTCGGAGACTGCAGGAGGGACACGTTATGAACGCCATTCCGTTGGTGCGTTCGTGGAAGCACGATCGGAGCTTATTGACCTTGTCGACTCCAACCTGTTGCCGCTGTCTCATAAGGTGGAGAGCCCATATACAACTCAAGACGCCATTTGCAAACCCAAGCAAGTGGTACGACTCGGCCGTTTCAAGGGATCAAAGTAGGCTCCCGGAATTTCTGCACGCGGGAGAACAGAGTTGAGAGCAGACTGACCCATTCAGACCAATTGAGGCCACTTCCTATTAACTCGAAGGTAACGATGGCTGGGAAGATGGCCGTAGCATGGCCAGTCGTTGGCATGTGGTGGTCGTTGGTGTGCAAGTTTGCAAATCCGCCCGAGCTAGCGGGCGGAACAGAGCTGAGGTGATCCTGGTCAAAGGACTGTTCTGCGTTTGAATTGGCCGGTGGCAGTGGATATTCCTGTGGCACTCTGTGAAAACATCCCTGCTACACCAGCTCATTGGGCACAAAGCCTCCAGATGGCTATCGCCCAGCATCATGTGACAAAGGGTGGTGTCCGCCACCTTTCTCGACCGGAATCATGAACAGGAAACCTACAAGTTCCAGCAGCCGCCGAGTATCGCCTCCGATCCGTCTGCTGCATGTTTCAGGCAGAGTAAACCAGACGATGACGAAGCCAACGCCGATACTGATCAATATGCGAGCCGACGAAGATCCCAAATGGAGCACGGCGACCAGGCGCAGGACTAGCAACGGCGGACGCGATGTTTTCCCAAGCAAGTGTGAACTTGAACCGCATGCGACGCCCAAAGTTGGCCAACGCTGCAGGGCCGGTGGCTGCGATTGCCAGTGCCTTTGTGGCTTTGAAGGTGGATGTGGACGTGGCTGTGGCTGTGTAAAAACCCCGCCAAGAGGCGGCTGCGGCCCCAAACTTGCCCTTGAACAGCTGAACTTCCGGTTCGACTGAATTCCTACCTAACCTACGTTGGCCGGAGACGCCGTTGCAGTGACAATGCGATCGTCCTTACCAAACCCCGCAACTTCTGCTCCCAGAGCACGTTTCTGGCAGTGTCCCTGGAGATGCCTTCTTCTCTGATGCCATGAAGCATAAACAGATCCGGGAGTATTCGACGCCGATGCACTTGTTTCCGAGCGGTCCCGATTAATGCCCTTCTCCTGTCAAATGCCTGTGTGCAGACGAATCCCAGCGGCTACGGCTGCAACTCCGTTTAACTGTCTAGATTACCTCTTTCTTGCGAGTCTCAGCGTTAATGACCTGATGTCGGCCACCTCGGATCATCGATGTCATTTGGAAACACGGATAGGGGGCAGGGACACCTTCGATGAGTACCAACGCGCGTCCCCGTGGCGCTACATATACCGGTTGGGTGCAGAGCATGACTAGTACTGTCCGACTTATCATGGCCGGCGGGTGCACAAGAGGACGCAGCGGTTCGTGCTCGATCAAGTCGACCACCGCATAACAGAAATCACGCTGTATAGCCGGCGATTATCATGCCAATTCGGGTCAAACCATCCGGGATTGGTCGTACGCCTGACGTACATGCAGTGCTTCCTGGTAGCCTTCAACTGTCATTCGTGAAGGGGGACAAGGTGATTTGGGGCTCAATGTTCCGTGCCAAAAGCGGCCATCGTGAAAATCCTTTGCTTGAACATCAACAGCTCTCCATATATAGAAGTTGGTGTGCTGTAGATAATTACCCCAGCAGCGAGGTTTCAGCGATTCAATCGCAAGCAGACCGCAGTCCATGGGCAGTGTGCGCGCTCGCGTGGATTATTGAGTACCGCTGATGGCTGTCATTCCCCTCATCGTCGTGATACTCGGAGCGCTCTGGTTAACCGCCGTGCAGCACATTATGCGCTGAGACGGCTTTACAGGTGGGTTGAGGTACGCTGGAAAGGATACTAATCCCCGTGTTCAATCTTCGTGAAGCCACCGCTGCAAGCGAACGTGGAAGCCAACATTGAACCCTTTTCAGAGTATAAGACAGCCTTGCGACGTTCAGAGGTAGGCCAGGTGGATGGAAAGAATGACAAAGCTCAGGCCGGCCGGGCCAAAGTACATTGGCAGGCGATATACAAGTTATTTTTAGAAGCTGAGGTAAGCCTCAAAAAAACTCCAAAAAGGGCCTCAGGCATGGCATACAACGTACGGGCAAAGCCAACTTGCGACACGGTTTTGATTCCAGTAGTAGACTGTATTAGGGGACTCGTAGTGGCAGATATCAGGCTACTAACCCACAGCTTCCGCCTCAGCCACGGCTGTAAGGGATTTGAGACGCCGAATAAACTGCCTTACTCGGAGCCCTACGATCCACTTGCTGGAGCTCGACGGCTGACATCGGCGGTTGGCCTCACCGGGCTCCGACATGGACGTCCATACAAAAGTTCCCCTTTGTAAACAGCTGTGTGTACACTTTTTCGAGGTCAACGTCGATAGCAGCTTCTTGACTTCCATCGCTCCTTGCCGTCGATAAATTCTTTCAGCAGGTTAATTGAGCGCGCTGCAAACTGTCGTCGGTAACCCGGTCTGCAACGTTGTCCGATAAGGACGTTTCGATCACTTCATCGCCCAGGTCCAGTTAGGGGTTGCTCATTGAGGGCTATATCAAGGGCTCGATCAACCCAGACGTTTTACGAGCAACGCTTTATACTACTCAGATTCCATCCTTCGTCTTATAACTCCGCTAGAATGGCCACATACATGCGTCCTTCGGTCAGAGTGGCCGCGGTCGCTGCGGCCGGAGCCGGTCTGGCATACGCCGGCTACCAATACAGGAATAACGCGTCTTCCTTGTTCAACACCGCACACGCCGAGTCTCTCCCCTCGGATGCCCAGGCGGCATTGAAGAAGATGCAGTGGAAAGGCTTCACCGAGCTCAAGCTGGAAAGTGCCGAGATGGTCAACCACAATGTCCGACGCTTGACATTTGCATTGCCAGACGACCAATCAATCACCGGCCTCGCCCCTATCAGTAAGTCGCGGTCTGATTGAATATGGTAGTAACTTCAATGACTGATGACTCGTTCAGCCTCACTCCTTACCAGACACACACCTGAAGGTGCATGGATCCCGGTTTTCAGACCCTATACCCCCATCAGTGACAACGGTATGTGTCTCTTTAGATCTGCTCCATTGCCACAGATTTACTGATGCCATGCAACAGACCAGGCGGGAACTGTGACATTCATGGTGAAGAAATACCCTAATGGCAAAGGGTCGGGCAAGATGCACTCGTTGAAGCCTGGCGAGACGCTACTGTTCAAGCCGTTGCATGAATTCGACTATAAGCCCAATCAATTCTCTGCCATGACCTTTATTGCCGGAGGGTCTGGTATCACTCCAATCTATCAGCTGACCCGCGCTATCCTGAAGAACCCAGAGGACAAGACCAAAATCGCACTGGTATATGCCAACAACTCCGAGGAGGACATCCTCTTGAAGAATGAATTCGATGAGCTGGAAAAGAAGTATCCTGGCCGCTTTTCCCGAATCTACACGATCAGCAAGACCACTCCGCAAAACGAGGGCCTTTACGAGAAAGGCTATGTCACCAAGGAAATCCTCAACAAGGTGATGCCCCAGAAGGCGAGCGAGCGTAGCGTCAAGGTGCTGGTTTCCGGGCCTCCAGCCATGGTTGAGAGCGTTGCGGGCGCCAAAGGTGGATTCGGCTGGACGCAGGGATCTCTGGGAGGGATCCTGAAGGAATTGGGCTACACCAAGGAGGAAGTGCATAAATTCTAGACAGTGCGTTACCCATTATTCGATGTCAGTATTATTAGTAGACTGGGGTTGGATTTCCACAGGGGCAGCGCTGTGGGAGCAATACAATGTACATAGGCGGGCGACCATCAAAACCCCTCCTCAGGTAGTATTATACTAAATCACCGATTATTGTTGGTGGCATCTTTTGCATGCATGGGCTCTGCAGCTGAGAGATTAGAAATCGAAGTTGAACATATCGACCGTGGAAGCTCCGAAGCCAGCCGGGAGCGTCAACTTGAATGCAACGAACAGGAGTTCGGCGATAGTCTGGACGTCAAAACGTGGCCACAGCGCAGGAATTGTACTAGCACCATCTTGCTATCGGCTGTTCTCCCCACTGGTGCTGTATCTCTCGACCCTTTTATCCATCCCGCTCCATGCGCATCTACGCAATGATGCTGCGTCAATTTGAGGCCGGAAATGGATGGAACCCACTCAGGCTGTGATTCCAGGTGTGTGGACGCTGTGAACGACCGCCGCCGCACCGCGACTACTACTGAAAAGTGACGTCTCACTCTCACCATGCAGGCCTTTGGTGAGTTTCCTGTGTTTCTGTTTCCTCCCATCATGGGCTTTGTACATACCCTGCGAGGATCATGCTGCGGAAGCAAGCGCTGAACAACCTCGCCTTTACAGTCCCCAAGAACAGAAAGGTACAGTACTGTGGCTGCTATGTGACATCGAGGCGTGCGCATTTCCACTGACTGCGATCGATTCATCTAGCCCAAATTCGATCTCACCCTTCGCATCATTGACCTCACCAACATCCCTCTAATCTACGGGACCGCCTGCGTCAGATGGCACCTTGCTTCCTCCAGTGCGGCTGAGCACCGTGGCCGCACGGAAAAGGCTCCAATCATCGAACACAAGGCGACATGGGACTACACGAAAGAGTTCAGTGTTCGCCTGACCATAGACAAGAACGGCGCGCTACAGGAACGAGGGTTGCATTTCGAAGTCATACAAGAATTCCACGAAGGTGGACGAGGCGGAAGCCGAGTCCATCTAGGCAATGTTAAACTCAACCTTGCAGAATATGCGCGTCCGCCTGAAGATGCCGCCGATCGCAATCCGCAGGACGAAGGCGATGACGGCGCTATCACGAGGAGGTACCTCCTACAAGATAGTAAGGTGAACAGTACACTCAAGATTGGCATCAAGATGAAACAGGTGGAGGGCGACACGAATTTCACCGCCCCTCCGCTGAGGTCTGCCATGGTCATTGGAGGAATTGCGGGCGTTCTGTCGGCAGAAGTGGGAGAAGGGGACGACATTCCCGCCATGACGAGCAAGACGAGAGAATTGTCCGAGGCCCAGGATATCTACAGACGGACACTATCTGCCACTTGGGCCTGTCAGGCCGGAGAGCTTCCTCCTGATAAGCTCATCGAGGACATTTTCGCCGGAGGGGACGGAGGTCGCCTTCCCGACACCCCCAAGTCAAATCAGCGCTCTGGACTCAGTCCTAGAGAGGAGAGTATGCTTAGCAGCTCTAGCGAGGAAACTCCGCGGCCGACAACTCCGCGGCAGCATCTGACACCTCAAATGGCCAGCTATGGTCATGGCAGGGGAAGGAGTGGCGGATCGCCCAAAGTGCAGGCGTCCCAGGCTAATGCTGTGAGCGGACGGTCAAGCATCGACCAACAAGTCCATGCAAGCCAGAAGGAACAGCGGCGAAGAAGTCGACCAACGTTCCATGAACTCTCCGAGTTTGAGCTGAGGGACGATCTACGTAGTTGGGAGGTCCGGGCAAATTAAAACATAAATCCAGATCTTGAATCAACATGTCACCCAAACATCCGCGTAATTCATGCAGAGCACTTTCAAGATGTAGGGTACTCGTAAATGCAGGGCTGGCTGTCAACGAGGCTCAACTCCATCAGGCTGAACTCGTCGTTCGAGTCTGGTGTTGCCAAGCCTGCTCAAGACCCTTCAAGCCGCAAGTTGCAACTTTATTTCTCCGGGTGTAAAAGACTGTACAACATAGAAAGTGAACCAACCAGCCATTGACAACTTGACGCCTGCATTTGAGTAAAATTGTCGCTTCAATGTCTCTTTCGACGCATTTCGCCAATTGAGAACTTTTCCACGACCGTTTCCGGCCAGGCTCTCACCTTCATGGCCTACTCCCTATCGACGTCTATATGTTAACACGTACGACCGCATTGTCGCACGTCTGCCTACGATGCCAGCGAAGACTACTACGCGATAAAGGGCCCCTGCAGGCACCTCCGCATCCTGTCGTTTCTACATCGGGTCGAAGACGGGGTCATACAGCGGTTCAGCTTCAGCAGGATGAAGACAACGACCACCGAGCCGGAGACCAACCCGAAAGCAGCACCCCCCAGGGATCAAGCGACTTGAATACGAATTCCCAAAATGACCCAGTCGCAGAGAAGGGTTACCGCTTCCGACGATGGCGACCGACTCAGACGGCCAAACTCGGGGTGAATACGCTGGGAAAACCAGCAGAAGTGCTGATTCTCCCATCCCGAAACCGCCGGATCCCAAAGGTTCCGAAAGAGGAAGAATCCCAGGACCGGCCGAGTCTGCACGAGTCACTCGCTTCGGAGCAAGAACCACTCAGCATCCAGGGGCTGGTAGCAAACATCGAACAAGTGGTGCGGGCGTCGGGAATTGAGAAAAAGCGCGGACAATTGGAGGTGAGGGAATGGGAAATACTGCGATCCAGTCTGGCCAAGGGATTCAAGTTGGATCAGTTGAGACGGTATATCGCGTACAAACACAAGAATGCGCTGTCCACGGACGCATTCCACCGCGTCAATAGGCAAAACAAGCCGGATACAATCAAGTATCTGGTTGAAGAGGTGTGGGGGTATACAGTGCCTGTGACGGAATCCTCGTCCTCAAAGACGAAGCGCAGAAGTCTGAGTCTTTACATACCCGATGAAGCCAGATTGGAACACTTGCTGAAGGACCGGAGTCAGCCGTTGAAGCGGATTGCAGAGGAGTTGGATGTCCAGATCGATCTCTTCAGGCGAGAGTCCCGCATCAGAGTTGCTGGCGTACCCTCGAACGCGGCTGCTGCTCTTGCAAGGATCTCGCGGTTGGTCAAAGACCTCCAGCCTATCATAATACCTCTTCAGGGCGCCGTGGGTGATATGTCTAGGGATCCTGCTTTGAAACAGTCTGTCAAACAGTTTCTTGATTCGGTTCAGCAAAAGTTTGATGTGCAAATCGCCCTTGCGCCTGATCATATCAAGATCGTACACAATGAGCAGCATCGCCTGGCACAGCAGGCTCATCGCGAGATAAGACTTGCACTGGAGGAAGAATGTCATGCTCAGGAAATCGATGTATGGCCTCAAGCAAGTATGGAGTCGAGTTCCCTGCAGCCATTTCCGACCCCGCCGGAGTACACTGCGGGCTTGGTGCAGTCTTCTTGGGCAAGATTGACCGATTCTGCTCCGGACTCCATGGGCTCTTATGAAATCTCCAACTCTGATGCCGAACGGACGGTCTCATTGGATTCAATGATAGGCAGAATTTCTGACTGGCTCAGTTCCCTCAGCGCGGTGCAGAAATCAAAGTCGCGACATGAGCTCTACGCTCAACTCACGGCGGATTTTGGCCAGGCATTACTACGGGAGCCGCCGAAGGACAGGACGGGTAGGATGGAGGAAGGCTCCAACATACACACGAGACCGGACAGCAAGACTTTAGGTCGGTCTGCGGACCGTACTGCCCCGGAACAAGGGCAAGCCAGCATCGTCGAAAAGCAACAAGCGTCGAGCTCGATCAAATTGGAGCCGATGCGAAATCCATACTTTACAAGCCAGATCCCCTTCCTGGTGCAACAGCTTGCATTGATGAAGCACTGGAATCCAGCCTCGTCCAAGCCAGCGAAAGATGTTGACTCGGACGCTCGACTTACGCTCCGCCTTGAATTTGCGCCGACGTCCAGCGGATCAGGATCACAATCTCACGGCTGGCCTACTTTCGAAGTCCTGGTTACCGCGGGGGAACTTGAGCACGGCAAGAAGAGACCTCCTCTAGACATTGCCAGGGTTTCGGTCGTCCACCATCGTAAATCGTTCACCATCTTATGTCCAAGCCAGCACGTGGATGTCAGAATTACCCAGCAGCTCAAGCAAGACCTTTTGTATCCCGGCGCCGGAACGGGAAAAGATCCCAAACACACTCCATTGCTCCGTGCTATCAAAGGGTACTTTTCGAGAACCGAGGCCGATGATCCTAGAGATTGGCTGTTCCAGCCTTTTGTCGCTCTGCCCGTGCATGACAGCATGAAAGGCGTTTCCGAGAAGATCGACAGTGTCGGTAGTCCTACTAAACAGAAGCAGAGAAAGCAATCGCAGCAACAGGAAGTTCCGACTTCTAGTACTACAACCGACAAAGGGAGCAAAAAAGGAACAGTCACATATATCCTTCGCACAGTCGATGTCATGGATGTGGACTCTCGCGAAGTCACAGTGACGGTGGAAACAGAGACTAACGCCTCTGGTACGGCTGGACCAGAACAACATGGAAAGCCAAAGCAGCAGCAACAGCAACGAACCGCGAACCCGGTCAAATTCTGCCTGGATCACATTACATTGACTGGCACGGAAGCAACTAGACAGGAACTTCGACTGGCCGAGCAATCGATTCTGCATCCTCCTACTTTGACACAGCCTGATGTCGATGCTTTTGTCAAAGCAGCTTTGCAGCTGGCGGATCGTCTGGGCAAGGATCCTACCAGCACCACCAAGCCCGGAATGCAGGCTGAGATACAAGTTCAAGCTCAAGCTCTTCGGCAGGCCGTGCATTCCACAGAGGGTACGGAGAAGAGGAAACAGCCATCGGTACGGAAGGATTCCGGCAAGATCAAGACCAGCAAGTCGTCAAAAGGCAACACGGTCTCAAATATGTCCAAAATGGCCAAGAAGCCCGCAAAACGGGCCGGGAAGTCAGCCAAGAAAGAGAAGTCGAAGTCACCGTCGGCTCTCGGATCCGCCACAACCACAGAATCCGCGCCCGCGGCTTGAATTCCTAACACACATCAGGGCTTGTCCAAGCTGATATCATATCCATTCATGCATGCGAGAAATGAAGCACCGGTTGCGCGTCCCATCTTGTGACGATAAGAACCTGGAGTATCCTGTGTTCAAGCGGAATCTTTGTCATTGCTATTGCTCTCTTCTCTCGCGACCTTCGCAGCTTGGAACTTATCTCGCAACGCTGTGTATATATATGTACGAGTAAATCTATCTCGAAAACCTTGGGTGGTCGGACTGTTTCCTCTGCGAGAGAGATTGGATGACTTTTCCTCATTTTTCTACAAAAGATATATACCCATGAATATTAACGTTGCATGTCATTGCTGTGCATGACCACAGTACTATAAATTCCATCACATTGTAGCTGCTTGATCCATCACCTCGAAAAAAGAGAAGACTACCTATCTAGGTGGTCGTATCACTCTCGGTTATACTCATCTTCATGATCCTCCTCTTGCAACGCCCCAACATCAGCACTCTCAAACCCCACAGCCGGTACACCTTTCGCAAACAAAACGTCCAACTCCTCAAACGACCTCCCTTTTGTCTCCGGCAATCTGCGCAAAGCCCACATGAAAACCCACCACGCCGTGGTCCCCCACACGAACCCCGCGTACCCTCTTGCGTTCAACGCTTCAGGATTCATCAAATAAGGCTGCACAATCCCCGCGACCACACTGGCGATGTAATATGCGTTTCTGGCCAGACAGATAGTCTTTTGACGGAGACGAGTCGATCCGATTTCCGCGGGTAGGGACCACCCGAGTTGGCCGACGGAGAGTTGGAACGTTAGGGTCCATATGAGGGTTAGGGAGGCTTGAAGCAACGATACCACTGACACTCTGGAAACTCCACTCGCGGCGGCATTAGCACCAGCACCGGCACCGGCACCGGCATCCGCAGAAGCGTTTGCGGAAAAAGTGGCCGCAGCTGAAGCTGTAGTGTTTGTACCCGCATCGGCAAAGAAATTCAACACCCCAACAGCAAACAACTCCAAACTCATGGCCAACATACCACCAATATAAATTGTCCTCCGGCCAACATAGGGCATGACACAAATCCAATTCATCACCGTCCCAGCTAGTGCCAGACCCGTCCCCGCTAGATTCAAAGTATATGTCGTCTTAGGGGACAAACCGACCTGTTCGAAAAAGTAGCTGGCGTTATAGGCGAACGAGGACCCCGCGAGGATCTGGCCCGCGAAACAGACGCATGCGATTTCGGTGCGGCGGAGCTCGAAGCCGCGGAAACAGTCGGCGTAGGAGGTGCCGACTGAGAGGGATTCTTCGAGTTTGTTGGTGTGGATGATGCTGGCTAGCGTCTTCTTGATAACGGCGTCACTGTCATTTTCGCCGTGGCGGTTGTCGTGGTGGTTGCCTTCGTGGTTGATGCGGTGGCTGCTTCTCAACCTCCGTAGCGACCTCTCAGCCTCATCGTACCGTCGCTGCCGCACCAAATGCCACGGCGACTCGGGCGCAAAGCATAACAGTGGAATCAGGAATATAGGCCACACCCACTGTCCGGCAAAGGGGAGGCGGAATCCCCATTCACCATTGAGACCTAAACAGGCTCTTAACACGCCAGCGGCTAATAGTTGTCCGATGATGAAACACATGTTTGTCCAGGATGTAAAGTATACCCGGAGAGACATGGGTAGTACTTCTGATGCGTAGGCTGGTGCAGTGGTTGCGAATACGCCCCAGGGAAAACCGCATAGAATTTGTCCGAGAAATAGGACCTCGATTGTGGGCGCGAAGAAAGTCAGAAAGATGAAACTGCTGAGAAGGACTAGTGAGCCTATTAGGACTCTTTTTTGCCCGTATCTTGATACGACGTGCCCGTTGAGAAGGGTGCCGAAGAAAGCGCCAACCCCGGATGCGTTGCCGACTGCGGCCATCCAGGCTGGGGAGAGTTGGTAGCCTGATTGAGTCTGTTCGGTGACGCCGACGAAGGTGCCGTCTGGAGAGGTGATTGTTAGTAAGGGGAGATTGAGACGAAAGGGATAGGTAGGCAGGTGATGGGGAGTTGGGAAAGAGAGGGAGGGAGACATACATTTTCTTTGAAAGGATGGGAAAGCAAATAGATTCGACACCAGAATCGCGTCGTAGCCTTCCATGATCACGCACATGCTCACGGCTAGACACCAGAAGATTGCCATGGGGTAGGCGCGGATCGATTCTCGGACTGTCAGTTTGTTCTCGTCGTCGAGGTGACCTTCGTCGAGCGTCCCGTCGTCCTCCGGCTTTCCATCGTGAGTGTTGTGCAGGAGATGGACGGCGTCGTCATTCTCGATATGTGTCCCGTCTCCGTAGTCGAGGGACGTCTTGGGGTCATGGTCAGCCTCGTCGTGGACTGGGGCTGGAAAAGATAAATCTGCCAGAGGGATGTTTTCGCCCGAGAGTCTGTCTTTCATGCTGCTTTGCGATGCCGGACTGCCGGGCACCGAGTCGTCTGGTTGGTTTCACGGTCAGCATAATAAGTCTGGTAGAGAACATCCGAGACAAGAGGTACACACATTTCATGGTGCCGGAGGTGCGCTACTGGTTTGGTGATGAATGCTAGCAGTGAGTGTTGAGGTTGCCGTGAAGATGGGTGCTGTCTCTTCCTGTGTCTGGGTCGATGGGCCAGAACCGGCCTGTATTTAGGTTCAATCGGCACCGAATACGACTGGCAAGTGGTTGTCGATTGGTGGAACATGGGGAAATGGAAAGAGGTGTTGTGTAAGGGCTTATTTGTCGGATTGGCAGCATGCACCATTCACCTCCAGGAATGAAGGGCGGTCGCTATAACTGATGCATAGCACCGTGGGTTGATGCCGGTCTTACATGGCATTCGCCATAAGCAGCAACGATATCAACAGTAGGAAGCAGAGTTTCACAATTCTCTGGGAACTTTGGAAGAGGTGTCGGAGTCAATGCTCAATGTTTCCAGGTCTACGAGGTTGGGGTTAAAACGTGATTGTAGGTTCGGTGATAGTGGAACAGAGCAACGTCCTCGGCCTTTCAAGGATTCAAGTTGGCTGATTTTGGGTTCAGTGCTGAGCAGAGTTCTTGACTCTTTCATCGGTTATCTTTGCGAGCATCTTCAAAGAGCAAGTCTGGACAATTCGAGGTTCAAGGCGGTCGCGCAGAAACAAGTAGAATTGGAGGCTGGCACGTGACTTCTGCAAGGAATTGCCGGCTGACTCAGCAAGGCTAGCCACCCCCTTTTTCTCTGCACAGCCTCAAGCAGCCTCTAGTCAACATTCGTTTCATGCATACAACAGTACTTCATGGCTACATCTACGACTTCACGTCAACCCTTGTCTGCCGAAGTCCATCCATCTGCTGATGGTTTTCTGTCTGTGTAGGGACTTGACGAGACTGCTGACCTCTTGATCTGACTTCGACTCCTCGTTTTGGCATGATTTCAATGCAGGTAACCCAGGCGCTTCCCAGAAGCAGTGATATCATGCTCTGTTCGTTAGCCTGGCCTCACCACCAGCTGTTTGCCTTTTGACTCGATGCAGAGGCTGGCGTTTAGGCGACTTGATGTTTGTTAGTTGATTGTATGGCACAGGTGATGCTGTCCGTCTGCAAGAGCAATCAAACATGTCCAGGTGAGCCGTCCGCTTCGAGTATTTAAACCGCTTCTTCTCGAGCAACCTGGAACATGGTAAGTCTATGTTATAGTTCATTCGACGCATCGCATCCCACCTATACCATTAATAGCACCCGTCAAGTGCCATATTTATATTATCAGTATATCTCCACAACCGATCAGTCAACCGCTGGGGATTCATCTTATCAGTTCCACCACCATGTGCGTTATCGGACCTACACGCAAATGGTGCACAGTCTGCGGAATCAATTTCGCGAATGACCATGCCTTCAAGACCTTGTGCTCCGAGGCCGAACGCAGCAGTCGGCTTTCGGGGAGCACAAAGCGGAGCTCTCACACTTACCGCGAGACCACAACCAAGGCTGCCAACGAGTTCTTTGGCAGTTGTCGGTCTGGTGTCTATACTCGCGATACCTGGATGGACTATTATAAGGCGGAGTGCAGAAGCTGTGAGCAGGGTTGAGAGGCAGGGAATGCGGATACTCCAACGGAAATGCGTTGAGTGCCGCACAGTTGAAACGGGAGAGCAGACACCGAGTCAATCAACGGGGAACAACCCTGACATATATGACCTACCACAACAATAGCCCATAGCAAACGACAGATATGCTATTTGCTTATTTGAAACGGAGCTCAAATTCTTCGGGCCAGCTGAGTCAAAGTCACGATGTCGGTGTGAGTAGTGATATGTCGGTGGTCCTTGTGACAGAATGTCTTGACAGGCAGGGACATTCACCACGAGGTCGACGCCTCACCACAAACATCGAGGTGAGGACCAACGGATGCTGCAGCGCATTGGCTGATGGCGTCCAAGGTATGTAAGTATCCTGTTCTGAGGTGAATGGCTTGACGCAGACCAGCGCCTCTGACTGTGGTCTCATGCAGCACCGTCCTCATTGGTGATATCCTGACGCCCTTGTTACCATGTGCCATGTTTGACCTTCTGGGACTAACACACTCATCTCGGGGTGAGTCTGAACCATGACTGTCTTCCCAACCAAGGCAGTGAATGTGGACAATATGAGGTATATATATCTGCGCGAGAAGGCAAGGTTCAACAGTAGACATATCGCACCAAGCAATACAGTCCGATAACTCTCGACAGCAACCCCGGATCTTCCAGCAAGATCATACAAGAGCTGTCGTCCACCGGCGCCCGCATCTTTCTCACGAGCCAAAACGAGAAGTTAGAACTGTCAACTCTTCAAGCAACCGACAATGTGTCTGCAATATCCTCGTCGACCAATATGCATGACGTGCGATGAGTGGGTCCACAAGGATCCGCCCATTTACGCCACCCGATTGTGTGAACGTGCAATGTACAACAATCCGTGCGACGAGTTACGCGAGACAACAAGAGCCGTGGACTTGCCGGGGGCTTACTGGTGCGCCCACTGCAGACTAGAGTACCAGCATCGGTTCGACGAACAAGTCTTGAGAGGCACCCCACGGGAGATACGTGAGCATGAGGAGAAGATCCGACAGCTGGAAGATGATGTCAGAGCCGAAGCTGCCTGGAGACTGGAAGAATCCCAAAGGGAGGTTGAAGACGAAGACGCCGACAGAGAATACCATCTAGGGGATGAAGAACATGAAAGCAACGTACACCCCTGCAGGCCCAGAGACCCCTTCGGCGATGTATGGTCAGGGGTGCGAAGAGACACAAGTCCTGCCGACAGCACAGACGAGTTCCGTGAATTTTTCAGAACACAGTTTTCGCGCCACGCAGAGAGGAGCAGGAGCCGTGCTCGAGGCGAGACTGAGGGTGACTCTGATGACGACGAAGACGACGGTTTGGACGAGTATCGTGATTTTTTCGGAACACAGTTCGCGCGCCACGAAGCCAGGATCAGGAGCCGTGCTCGAGGTGAGACTGGGGATGATTCTGAAGACGACGAAGACGACGACGACGAGATTCGTTACCATGGAACCCACGAATACCGCTGAACAGATGTACAACATTGTACACGCTGCCGTGGGGAAAGTAACTTGAGTAGCCCCGGTGACCTTTGGCCGGTCACTCACCATAGGTACTTGTATAGAAGTCAATAATATGAATGTTGAATCTTGAGGAGTCAGTCGAAGTGCTTCCTTCCAGGCTCCCAGGAGGTTGGAGGCGGGAAGTCGGTTGTTTGTTGTTCCAGTTCCAGTTCCAGTTCAGTTCCGGAAACTTGCTCAGCCAAGACTCGTTGGAGTTTGCCAAGCGAGCCTCGCCTTGGCATTGGTGCTTGGCTTCGAAGATTGTCATTTCCCGTTCCGTCTTCCTTTTCGTCCTTTGCATCTGGACACGATTGTGAATGTACTGTTGAAGTTTTGTTCGAGTTCGACGTTCCCGATGTATGACAGGAGCGTCGGGTGGAGGATCGTTTGTTCGTCCTCCTTACCGAACGATGGCTCGACCTGCTCCAGGTAAGTTTGGCAGCTACCGTATGGTGGCTGGAAGCGAGCGACTCCGCCGGTGGCTCCTACAACAAGCTTGGCGCCCCGATTCCGTCGCCGCTACTCCGGACCGGGCGGTGGAACAAGGCGCAAGGGTCGGGTCTGGACTCAAGCGTGGTATGTGAGGTTAAGTATAAGATGTGGCAGATCCTGACTGGGTCCTCAACTACACTTCCATTCCGAACTCAACCCATATTCCATTATAGCCCCCCCTCTCCAGACTTTGGTCTAGACTACAACATCAATCCCAGCTATCTCAATACCCTCGACACAGACCACAGCACTAGTCAAGATGATTGCTCAATCTGTCCTCCCCCTGCTCCTGACTCTCCCTCTACTCACTTCCGCTCACTTTCAACTCAACTTTCCCCGCGCAAGAGGCACAGATGACGAGAACCAAGCCAGCTTTCCTTGCGGTGGTTATGAACAGACGCAGAACCGGACACTGGTTTCAACTAAGTCATTCCCTGTTGCCGTGAAACTGGGCCACACTGAAAATCTGGTCCAAATTTTGTTGGCCATCGGCGACGACGTTGGCTCGTCCTTCAACTATGAACTTCTGCCGACCATTCGGGAAATGGGCCCAGGAGACTTTTGCTTGCCGGACATCGAAATCCCGGCAGACCTCAACATTACGGATGGCACAAACGCCACTATTCAGGTTATAACGAATGCACATGGAGACGGTGGGCTATACAATGTATGTGATTCTTTGCATTTGCTTTCAGCCTTTTGTCATGGCTTGTTCCCTGTACTTTCGGGCAGTATCCCATCATGGGTGATGGCTCTCTTCTCGAGCAGGATCTCTGCCTTGTCAGAGATACCTTTTAATTGCTTACACAATATTCCTATGCTTTCATTATGCTTTTTCCCTCTTGGAAGGTTCAATAGCACACACGGGACTTCATTCTGACAATCTTATAGTGCGCAGACATCCAATTCTCCTCAACCACGCCCGAGTCACCTTCGTCTTGTACCAACGGAACCGGCATCAGCGCCACTCCGCTGTCTGCTAGCGAATATAAATTTGCCAATGGGTCGTCTGGACACCACGACGACTCGGCCTCCAGCTCTACAGCTAGTGGAAGTGCGGCTGCCACCGAAAGTGCGAGCTCGGCTAGTGGTTCTGCTGCAGCGTCGGCGACAGGCAACAATGGAGCGGCCATTCTCAGTCTAGGCTGGGGCTTGTTGGGCGCTGTCGTGCTGGGAGCTGTTGCCGTCTTGTAGGTGATTCGGATCTTGGATCTTTGATGTGCGACTGGAGTGGCCTGGCAGCGAGCCGGATTCCGTATCTTTGAATCTCTCTACTTGCAGGAGAGAGCCAGCCTACGAAAGGTCTCTGTGCTGCCGCCCTGCACCAGCCATGTCAGTCATGACACGGCCGAAAGAGATCAGATATTGGTGACAGTACCAGTGCTAAATATATATATATGCCGCTTTGCCACAATACTGGTTGTACACATGCTTGGGTTTCCCTGTCGCTATCATGTTGTTCCACGCGCCCGGCAGACCATACCGTTGGACAACAAGCATGGCCTTGGTCGAGCTCATGGAGTGATCGACCGCCTTACAACTCCGAGAAACGGATGAGCACCACCTAAAGTGGCCCTGCATCCTGACTAATCTCGTCTGTTCGCTTTCTACAGTCGATGTCGCGAGAGGGCATCAACTGCTGGCAGTCACCGGCAGCACAATCCTGATAAGCGAGGCAGGCAGGACAGCCTTGTAAATAATGGTATCTTCAGGATACAAGGCTTGTCGCAGTTTGCACGCCGGTTTTGAGGCTGGACGGTATAGTAACGCTGGCACCAGCGAAGCTCCGAAATAAAGTTTCACCAGCGAAGAAACTTTAGTGCAAAATCCACCAATCCCACGCCCTCCCTGCCAGACCACAAGGCTGACCACTCAGCGACGGAATCCTGAGTCTGAGATACTGAAATGTTTGTGCAGGATAGCCCGCGAACGACATCAGCCGGAGTGGCGAGGGATGAGACGACATCCGCCGTAGCAGTATAGTTTGGCGAAAGCAGAGGCCCTCAACGTGACGGAGACTCTGGCCTTGAGAACAGGTGTTTCCACTCACACAACACCACGCCTTGGCTCCCGAATACTACCTAGGTAGGTACCTTCTGGACAGCACTGGCAGAGACTGGTGAAATGGGCGATGCCGATGTTGAGCGGGCCGCACGGCCTACCGCAGATTCCTCCGCAACGAACTTGGCAAAGCTCCTCTTCTGATGGGACACTCACAAATCGGAAGCGCTTGTATCGTCGCCAAATCGCGATGTAACTGTGCCTCAGCTAGGTACAAAAGCAGAGAGAGTTACGCTTCCTACCTTGTGCTGGAACTCGTTTTTCGTAGTGGGCATCCAGAGAAGAGAAGCCTCGGCTCATGGCCAGCAACCAAGCACGACTCGGGGACATCGCGATCTGCACCACAAATTCCCACTTTTCTCCACGATCCAGGGAACATACCGACTCCAAGATACTACTGCTACACCACCACAGTCTTCCCAAGACATCCTCCCTTGAACCCTTCTATTTCTCCAGACTGACCGCGTCGCTTGTGACCAAGGGACCGCTTTCAGACATGGCCAATCGCGAGAAAACACCGGTAGCGCATGCGGCCAACACCCACGCGAGCGGGGGCCGAGGGACCCGACAACATCCAATGTTGTCTCAAAGATTGTCAGCCCCAGACATTCGTATGTCGTATTCCGCAAGGAAGCGATCGTGTTGACCGAAGATATCTTGGGGAATTCATGCCATGCGTGTCTAAACCCTTGACTGGAGTGATACGCAGGTTGGCTTTGTTGTCCTGATCGGTCATCTATTTCTGTCTTATTTATCTCTGTGGGAGGCATGTCGAATTTCATGATACTGCCGAACATTTGAGTTCCGTTCTGCAACCGGCCAGCCGATATCATACATTCATCAGTCCTGTTCCTGTTCAACAATCGAGATGGGAGTCGACATGCCACGACCACTCCTGCTCCTGCTAACTGCAGCGGTGCAAGGCATGGCATTGGTCTCTGCTCCTTTACCTTGCACGGCGAACCTCAGTCTTACAAAGGCTTTCATCTACATGGCCGTTCTCAACCTGGTACTATGGTTTGTGTACATTGTGGCCATTTATCCCAACTTTATCACTCCACTTCGGCATCTCCCAACTCCAAAGGTACGTACAACTACGTCAAAATCTTGGATCAATCCAAGTCCAATCCTCTCCTTTCTTTCACAGACATCCTACCAAGGAATTTCTACTGTGAACATATTCGTACTATGACACCCAATCAAAGGACAATCAATTTATTTCTTCCGTCAAACAGGGCGCAAACCCCATCTTCGGTCACGTCAGATCCCAATTCACCTCGCCGCGCGGCGAAGACTACCGCAGATTCATCCAGGAGATCCCCAACGATGGAATCATCCGACTCAAAGGCGTGTTCAACAGCGACACTATTCTCTTGACCAACTTCAAGGGCCTGGCCGAGGTGCTGGTCACACGACCTTATGATTTCCCCAAACCCGAACCCAACCGGGAAGCGTTGCGGCTCACGATCGGCGATGGTCTCGTGACCACCGAAGGCGCACAGCACAAACAGCAGCGGAAACACAGTCTTCCGAGTTTTGGGTTTCGGCAAATCAAAGGGTTGTATCCACTGTACTGGGAGAAAGCGGTGAAAATGACCCGATGTATTGGGGCCGAGGTGTTTGGCAAAGTTTCAAGTAAGGGCGACACAGAAAAGTCAGACAAGCAAACCGGCATCACAGATATTGAGTACTGGGCCCCCAAAGCGACGTTGGATATCATCGGCGTGGCCGGTCTAGGTCGCGACTTCAACACGCTCGAAAACTCGGACGACAAGATTGTACATTTGTACGAACGTCTTCTTACTCCCACGACAGAAATGCAGGTCTTGATTGGACTGTATGTTTTGTTTGGAGGGCTAGTGGCCAATATACTGTATCCGACGGCGGCGCGACGACTTGCCAAAACAACGGCGGAATTGCGATCTCTGTCCGAGCAGTTTGTGAGGGAGAAGAGGGAGCGGCTGGAGAAGAGTGAGGCTGATGGTATTGAGTCGGTCGACACGCTGGCCCATTTGATGAAAACCGGTGTTTTCTCTGACCAGGAACTGGTTGATCAATTATTGACCATTATTGCTGCCGGGTGAGTGAGCTGCAATATGTCTCAGCTATCTACATCCCGTGGACAGCCTACCTCTCTCTGCTTTACCTCACACCTCTCCAATTTTGTTCCTTGCACAAACTCCCCGATCTCCACCACACGTTGATACAGCCCCATCTTCCATCCTCTGATCCATGCATCTTCCCCGTCCAAGCAAGGACAGCCTGGGCAAAACAAACCAATTCCAAACCGACCCAATTCCAACCCAGTTCCACCCCAGTTCCAACCCAGTTCCACCCCAGTTCCAACCCAGTTCCACCCCAGTTCCAACCCAGTTCCAACCCAGTTCCAACCCAGTTCCAACCCAGTTCCAACCCAGTTCCAACCCAGTTCCAACCCAATCAATACCCTCAAACATACCAAACCCATTCCTCCCACAATTACCTAGATCCTCAGCTAACCTTCCATCCCTCATCTTTTCGGAAAATCCAGACACGAAACCACCTCGTCAGCATTCACATGGGCAATCTACCTCCTCAGCACGCACCAAGACATCCAGACCCGGTTACAAGAGGAACTTTACGCCTCTTTACCACCAGAGTACCTCCAACGCACCTCACCAAACTCACCAAAATCCACACCCTCTGATCCCAACTCTGTCGACCTCGCAACCCTTCTCGAATCCCTCCCCCTCCTCAACGGCGTATGCAACGAAACCCTCCGCGTCTACCCCACCGTCCCCGTCACCGTGCGCAAAGCCGAACGTACGACCACATTACTCTCTGGCAGCGTAACTATCCCCGCCAACACCCGCATTTTTATTAGTCCCTGGGCCACGAATAAAAGTGTTGAAATCTGGGGTGCCGACGCCGAGGAATTCAAACCTGAACGATGGATTGATCCCGCCACAAATAAACCCAAGTTGACGGGCGGGGCGGATTCGAATTATGCGTTTTTGACTTTCCTGCATGGGCCGAGGAGTTGTATTGGGCAGAATTTTGCGAGGTCGGAATTGAGGTGTCTTGTGGCGGCGTTTGTGGCGGCTTTTGAATTCGAGTTGGCAATGCCAGAGGAAGAGATTGTGCCGGCGGGGATGGTTACGACGAAGCCGAGGGATGGGTTGAGGGTTAGGATAAGGAGGGTGCAAAGGGATTGATACGGCTATACGGGGGATGGTGAGTGGTTACTGGTAGCTTGGTAGTAGGTAGTACCTAGTAGGTAGACGGAGTTGAGTGGTAGTATCACTTTTGTTGCAACTGCGGCTACTATTGCTACTGCTGAAAGAGGGCAGGCCGAGCTGGGTGATAGGTATCATGTACCAGTGTAAGTTGCAGGGATTGGATATTCCATGCCATCAGCCCCAATCAAACTTATATGGCTTGAGCAGGATAATGTAGGTAGTTCTTCATCGAGGGGTCAATAAAGGAGTGATGTGAACCTATCTGTGTTCTTTCGGGCAAATATTACTGATTACTTTGACTGGCACACTGGCAATGGCCCTTGAGTCGAATTACCACCCACCCATCCGGGAAGGACCTGGAGCTTTTTTTTACTGGCAAGTTCCGTCCTTCAGTAGTTCTTGCCCTTGTACGCGCTTTGCACGGAGCCGAATCTATCACCTCAGTCAGCAAAATGCATACCACACTGGCACCACCACTGGGAACTTCAATCAACACTCACCCCTGAGGACAAGCCGAGCCCAAAGCCACACTCCCACTCCTCATATAGCACACCTTTGCCTCAGCACAAGCATTACTCGTACAATTCGGACTCTTGACGCTCATCTTGCCCTGATAAGTATTAAACTGTTGCACCAACGAATGATTGGCCGCCATGGCCTCAGACACACGATGCCAGTAAGTGGCATTGAGAGGCGCATCGGCAGGCCACTGCAAAGGATACGCGTCCCGAGTCGAGTATTCGTAATGCCAGACGGGACCGGTCGCCGAAGTGTTGAGACTGCCAAATGAGGAAACCTTGGCGTAGTACGTGTAGGCGTTGTAGATGGAGAAATCGCCCGTGTCGACTTCGTACATTCGGTACCCGCTGTTCAAGTTGGTTAAGGGGGTGATGCTGGGCCCGATCCAGCCGACGTTCAGGGCGGTGTCGGCGTTTCGAGTTGTGCCGTTATTGCCGTAGTAGATCATGACTTGGTCTTCGTGCGTGTGCCCGAAGAATATGCCTGCTATGACGTGGGGGGAGTAGCGGTCGATGATTTGGTAGAAGAGGTCTGGTTGACAGCAGTGGAGTTAGAATGTGTGTGATGACGAGAATCAATGCATGTAGGATTGGCCATGGTTGATGGGCGCGATCAAGGGAGGAGAGTTGTGGTGTGGTGTGGTGTTGTTCCGACAGAGCTCAGGTATCATGTGTGCATGTCGTGGCAAAGGATCGGGGAACTCTTCGCGGCAATGACGTGATAGGGGCAAGCTGAGAAGTAGGCCTTGCTCGGACGCGTCCCACCCGAACGACGAGGAAGATATGGAATTGGATATCGTGGGGCTAAGTTCCTGGGATTTGGGTTGCATAACTTACCTGTTGGATTCGGAAGTGGGTTTGTGCCGTCCCATCCTGAAAGAACGTGTCCGACAACCCACACTCGCTCGCCCTTGTCTTCTGCGTCTTGAAGTTCTTGCGCAAGGAACTTCAGAATGCCGCTGTTGTCCGGATTTGTGGTGTTTCTAGAGACCCAATGCGTCAGCACAACGGCAACAACAACCATGGTGGCCCCAAGAGAACCTCAGGGCCAGCATTGGTCTGTCAAGACTCTTACATGTAGTTGAACAGGTTGCTTCGATACCAAAAATCGGTGTTGATGGTGACGATCCTCAACTTGGGGAACTGTGCATGGTTAATGCTGTAGGCAGCATAATGGGTACGAGCCTGTTGGGCTGCTTCGGCACTGATCCAGTTGTTGTGCTGCCATAGCGAAGATACATGATCCCAGTTCCATGACCTGATCATAGCCGTCAGTACAGATTGAGCATCGAAAGGAATGTTGCATTGTCTTCCAACTTACTGTTGCTGGCCCAGGTTTCCTGGCAATGAATGAGGAGAATCAATACCGTCTGGTGGGAATACATCAGCCATCCTTATCCAGAATCTGATTGACGTTCTCTGTCGCACTCACCAGGGTTGGTATCATGATTGCCCAGGGCCGCAAAGATAGGCGCAGACACATAAGACTTGATCATGTGCCAGATGGAATACTCGGCGTACATGGTATAGTTTCTTGAAAGCTCATTTTGACCTTCATGAGATACCAAGTCTCCCGTGTAAATACCCCATGCAAAATGGTCCGAATCCGTCTTGTTTTCGTTGGTCGTTCCAGTCAACGGGCCAATCGACTCCAATGCAGAGGTCAAAAGGAAATAAGGGCTGTCACACTTGAAAGCCCCGTACAAAGGAGACGGGATTTCCAGCTTTCCCGATGCGCTCTTCGGGTTGTTCGCACGACAACACAATCCGCTGGAGCAGTTCGCCTCGGATCCAGGAGCATACCGAGGATCAATGTGCATGTCACTCAGATGAAGCACCTTGACCCTCTCCCCGCTCGGCTTTGGAACACTCACATTTTTGGGTTTGGCCCCGAAATATGCCGAAGTGTCCGAGGGCAATGTGGAGGGGCGAGGACAGAAGTTGCTGCTCAGATAATTGCAGATGTATTGGCCGTCGGAACCCGACACGTTCGCCAAAGCCAGTACTTGGGTCCAAACAGCGCCATAATTCTCAGCATCGTAGTTCTCGTGACAGGTGTCGTTGGTGGCAAACTTGGTGCTGATACATAGATCGACGAGCATGTCGGGCACCAGTTGGGGAGCTCGATGAGCTACATACTGTCCGATCTCGAGGGCAGAAATACACTTGGAACAATTTGTCCCGCTTCCCGAGATGACTCCATTGATCTCGTTGATGGCAGCGGAGACAATGGCGCTTCCGTTGGAAACATCGTAACGAGGAGCCGGGAAGAAAATCGGGTCTTCACTCTGCTCGGGGATGTTGAACGGATCGGTCAGATCCCGAGGATAGGTGTAGTTCAGTGTCTCGTCAAAGATGATGGGTTGGGGCTGGTGAGGGTCAGCCGTGTGCCTCTCATCAAGAATCTGACAGACTCACCTCCTGGCTAGGCGAGGGAGGAACATAGTAGTCCGAGAAGAGACTGGTTGGAAAGCCGGCTGGGACAGTATATGCCTGGGGCTGGGATTGAGCTGGTTGAGATTGAGCAGCATGGCAACCACAGCCAGCGAGAGTGGTTAGAATGAGTACGCGTTGACAACGCATACTGACGAGCAGCGAGACTTCAACTTGAGTTCCTGACGAGGCAGCCTGCTTGACCTACGGTTCGTACGGAGTTCACCTACCTTCGGACTCTGTCTCTATCAGGCGCATCGGCAGGTTAATAAGTATATGAAGTAGAGACACTCATGTTCCATGCCTGCTCAGCATAACAAGCAGCAATGGTCCGATGGACAGAGGATGGAAATGCTGATGATGATGGAAGACAAGTCTCCAAAGGCGTTGAAGCTCCGTTGTGCTGCCAAGGCTCGTCCAATGCGCAGCCCCTGAGCAGGCACGTGCCCAGCCGACAATCGCCCTCTTATTCCACATTCTATACAGCCAAGCCGACAGACCGGTTCGGAATCGAAGGGAACAAGCTTGCTTCTCGAAGGCTGAGAAGACTGTACAGAGTTCGAAGGCGCATGGAAGCTTTGACCATGCTCATTGGTGGCGTTGACAAGCCTTCCTTCTCGGACGATCCACCTTGGCCGATAACCAAGACTCTACTACTGCCTGCCAGTTCCTATACACTTCCACTGCACGTCATGATTCTTCTGGATGGTAATGGCTGCACGTTGTGCCAGTGTCCGGTAATACGCCAAGCTTGTTGACCGACTTCAGCACGATGTCTTCGTACTGTTGCATGCCTCTTTCAAGCTTGCGGAGGCCCGCCTTACGAACGTGGTACACTGTCCCGGGCTCACCATCATCTTCGTCACTTTCACTGCTATCCTCCCCTTCTGGGTCTCTAGAGATTCTTCCCCGGTCTACCACACGGCGCATAAAGTGTCGATCGTGCGTGATGACAAGCAGTGCGCCTTCCCAAGACTTGAGAGCTTCGATCAAAGCATCAATGGTGGCGGCATCCAGATGAGTGGTCACTTCGTCCAACACCAGTAAGTGGGGTGATTCAAAAACCGCCTCGGCCAAGGCTAGACGGACCCGTTGGCCGCCGGACAGTGCTGCGAGCGGAACGTCCGTGACCGAATTGCCTCGCAGACCGAGTTTTGCCAATAACCCTCGTGCTACCTGCTCGTTGCCAGTCCAGCCATCGAGCTGCATCAAGTGGGATAATGCCGTCTTCGATGGATACTGTCGACCGATCTCCTCCAGTTCTTCAACCGCATGCTGGGAATAGCAAGCGAACCTAGCCTTGGAATGCACGGTAATGGATCCCCTGGTTGGTCTTGGCTCTCCTCCCGACGCGAATGCCATCAAGAGTTTGACCAAGGTCGACTTCCCGCTACCGTTCAAGCCGGCCAAGCCAACGCGTTCACCCGGATGCATGACCAGGTCGACATCTTTCAAAGTCCACGTGCCGGACTTCGGGTACGTGAAGGAAACCTTCTCGAAGCTAAAGAGCGGACCCGCATGTCGGAGAGGAGACGGTTGATTCGGCAGCGTAATCGTCACCGGAGGGTCGAATTCGGGAATTTCAATGGCAGCCCGAGCTGTCAAATGGTAGCCCACCAGGTCCCGGCTTAACTTGAACCTACCTCCATGTTGACCGACCTCCAAGCCAGTCCTTTCCTCCAATTTTTTCCGGCGCGAGGCTGCTTGCTTCAACTTTTTGTCATCACCCGTCCGCTTGGCAGCCTTGACATTTTTGTTGATAGTGTCTTCCATGTGCTTGGTCTTGCGGTCCTGTGCCTCAGACATCTTGGTCATATTCCGGATTTGCCTTCTCTTCTCCCGTTCATATTCGGTCAAATTACTTTTGAAAACTTCCAAAGTCTTTGCAGGAGCCAACCGAACCAGGATCAGCTCTTGAGCTACCGCGTCCGCAAAATTTCTATCATGGGTGACAACGACCACAGTGGTTGTGGCGAGTGAAGTTTTGATATACCGCTCCAGCCAGATGATTGCCGGTAGGTCGAGGAAGTTCGTCGGTTCATCCAGCATGAGTACATCCATACGTTGGACCAAGGCGCAGGCCAGATCGCAACGAGTCCGCCATCCACCTGACAGTGATTCGACTGGCTTCTGGATTTGTTCCTCTGAGAAACCTAACCCCAGCAATACCGTATGCGCGCGAGCTTCGGTGCTCTCAGCGTCCATGGCTTCAAGCGCCAACCGAGTGGCTTCCAGCATGTCGAGGGCCGTCTTTACGGCCTCTTGTTCGTCTCCTTCATTTCCAGGCTCATGGTAGCTAGAATGTCAGTTTGTACACTTCACCTGGACGTATAGTCTTACCGCTTCTCAGCTTTTTCTAAAGCCTTTTCTTTCTCGATCAGCAACTGGCGTGCTTTGAGGCCACGAGCCCCACTTCGTCTCGCGGCTATGAGTTGTGCTTCCGCCAATTCTTGCTTGGCTTGTTCCACTTGTAGCGACTGGACTGTCTTGACGAGCTTGTTCGAGTCGGCCTTGTCTTCTAGCGCAGCGGTGAGGCCTTGATCATAGTCAGTAATTGACAATGACAAGCTAATAATTGGAACATGCTTTTCGAAGCCTTCAAAGCACGCTCCCGCTTGTGGTCACTCCTGGTTACATGTTCAAGGATCGTTTGAGCCGGTGTTTCCACCCCAATGGGATCTGACAGAGCATCAGAGCTGACACGGGTCTGACCGAGCAATAGAAAGCGGAGGTTGTTAGGAATCCCAGGCACTCTTCTTTCCGCCAAAGCCCTGAGCAGAGAACTCTTGCCGGTACCATTGCGACCCGCCAGGACATAATGCACACCATCCAAGATCCGCAGATGAGCGTGGTCCAGAAGCTCACGACCACCAACTGAGAGTGTCAGATCTTTGACTTCAATGTCTTTTGAGGTAGGGGCGTCGACAGCATCGACGTGGAAGCGACTTTGCTGGCTGGTAACAACAATGGCTCCAGAATCCGAAGCTGCGGTCGATTTCAAGGACTGGGATGGCCTGGGCATAATAGCAGACGGGGTATTAATCAAGGGGCTTAAAACAAGAAATTGCACAGATGCAAACAATGTATTAATTGAGTCTTCCGGTCAGTCCTTGATGGCAGACTGTTGTGCTGCCTACCTCGTAGACAAGGCAACCTTTATCATTTTGTAGGCAAGAGGGCAACTTGTATAGCAACGCTCAATGGGTCGAGTCCAACTCGCAAGTTCAAAGCGCGATTGACGGTCATCACTGGGTTCAGAGAGGAATGATCCGAGAAAGCGCCCATTGTGTCGGCCGAACCATAAATGGTCCGACCGCGTGAGTCATGTTTGCAGCGCTTTTTCAGCCACTGACAAGCGCCAGAGAGGGAGCTTGGCCTGGTAAGGAAACTGGTACGGAAACCAACCTCTCTTCAAGAGTGACTCAGACTTTCAGCTGATACAACCGTGGCCAATGACAGCGTATCTCGTTGGCTGTGATACAGTTAAACATTCAGAAGCACAGAAGCGGAAATACAGTCCTATGCCCGAAGTCTACGCAGCGGGTCATTTCCGCACCCCACCCGTATCGAATACCCTCCTATTCAACAGCCATTTACTCGCCACAGACTTGCTCGATTTTAACGCTCTCAACTGCTATCGACTATGCTTATCCTAGTGCTCTGTAAATAGCGCTATTTACAGAGCCTAGTGCTTCTTCAAAGCGTGTATACCAGCCGTCAGCGTCCAGCACGCTATTTACGCGCGTACAAATCGACTGTTAGGAACGCCTAATGCCAGGAATAGGCAGAGTACAGCGATAAAGTCTTCAATTGGTATTAAGTGCTCCTTAACCCTATGGTTGTACACGACTCGAAGCATGAGAGAAGGAAAGCTCTCTTATACGGGGCGTGTCCAGTTCATATCTCTCAGCTCTGTCCGAATAGCCGAGGGATGCAAGTTGTCGGCAGTTGGCATCGGCATTCGTGACATTGACCTTATTATTTCGTCGATTTACTCCTACGGTATAGCGTTCCACTCCTCCACTATTACCTTTACGAATTCATTAAGAGCCTCTTACGAGTTACCGAGCTCGAGTAGGTATAGGTAGTATTCCTTTAGACGCTATTTAAGGATCGCCTAGACGTATTCGATCGGATTAAGATCCGGCGAATAGAGAGGCTATTTAAGCCGCGATATACTATAAGTTTCGAACTATTTATTAACCCGACTAGCTATATAAATAGATACGTTATTCTATATAAAGATATTACCCGGAGACTAAATCCTCGATAGTTAATTTAACTTAATTATCTAGTATAGCTACGTACGAGCGTACGGTATATCCCTAATTAGGCGCCTTCTCGTCTCGCTCTATTACTACGAGATCTAATCTACTATCGAGCTAAATAGCGCCCTAAACTATAATAGAGACGTCCTGACTCCTTACCTTTAGGTTAAGAGTCTATTATCTTCTTCTCCTACTTCTACGTTAGCGTACGGAATATAAAGATAGATACCCTACTAGAGCCTCTTTCGATAGAATACTCGTCGGAGAATCGAACCTTACTCTACTCGCCCTCGGCGTCCGTAGTCTAATTTTTATATCTTTTCGTAAAGTTCTTATACTTAAGCGCGTACGCCTTCTATAGAAGAGGCCTTTTCTTAACTAGCTACTTCTTTATTCCGAATTAATTAAAAAAGCGCGAGACTATATAGCGCTTTATACTAACACCGGATTTATAAATAAGACGACGGTACGTCTACCGCGGATTTAGTCTTACTAGACAAAGAAGTATTCTCTTATCGCGTTTAGATAAAAGAGAAGGGCGCCTAGAGCGTAGGCGTAACGCTAATCCAATTCGAGTTTCGCTTAATTAAACTATTATACGCGCCGTACGGATCGATACGTTATATATATCGCTTATAACCTTCTATAAGGCGCCTACGTCGCGTATACCTTCGATTTTAGATCGTAAATAGGGAGAGAGCTCGTATCCGCGCCTATAATTTACGTCGATTAGCCCTAGAGGTACTTGTTGAGGCATAGTTGCGTATTAAAGAGGAAGAAGGTAGGAGACGCGTGCGCGTTTTGTAAAAAACGCGCTAGCGATGCGTGGACTTCGGGCACCTAACTGTAGACGAGGGAACAGGTCAATTCGTCGAGGCAGCTCCATTTCGAGTCGGATCGAGAAGCTTGAGATCGACGCGATGCAGAACAGTATGAGATAACAAACTACTCCATGTGACTGTGACATTGTAGATACCACAGGCCGTCCTCTGTTGTTAATGTACGTGCGTAGTAGTAATATCGGTTCAATCAAACGAAAGGAGGTTCATGATGAAGAATTCAAAATGTGGTACGGTCACACTACTCGACAGTATAAGTACTATGTACCCCTTCGCCCTGAGATCGACCGTACAAACCATGATCACACGTGACCGCCAAGGCCGGTGAAGACTGCGGTACCATTGTCGGCCGCCGCGATGCTTCCAATCGCTTCAAGCCGGGGTCATGAAATCGCATTGAACACTTCAGCACACCCAGCCTGACCATCGCATCGCCCAACGAGAGTCCCCCGACCTCGCCTTCCTCTTCTTCGAGACAACCCTCACCTGTGCGTTTGCGCAAGCAAGCGGAACCGCCGGGCGCAATCCAACCCAATCCACTCCGGTTCATCATGGCAGCAGCCTTTCGCGCAAAGAAACTCGACCTAGGCGGCTTCATCAACGTCAAAATCATCCGCGACCACACGAAGCGGAAGGTCTATGAGCAATTTGAACCTCAGCGGTAATACCACACTCATCAACACCTCAAAAACCTTCCAAGAAGTAATGTATAATCTGACCAATGTTTCCGTGCTGTAGACAAGCCCTCCGCTACATCATCCGAAACACCTCCTTACCCCAGCGGATACGGACACAAGCACAGCTCCAACTGGCCCAGATGCACTGCTACACGCGACCGACGCAGATCAAGAACAGATGTACAATGGGAGGTGTGGCCAAGGGTGTTTTCAGGGCGTTTAGGATGGGTCGGGTAAGTTCAAGTCGAGGACGTTTGGCGGAGCAGATCGCGCGGTCTACGGTCTACAGTCGGATTTCCCTTGTCCTTTTGTACTGACTGTTTCTGCTCTACAGTATCAATTCCGAGTCAACGCTCTCGAAGGAAATCTACCTGGTGTCAAAAAGGCAAGCTGGTAGCCTGTCCTGCTTATTATTGCCATCTTTAAAAATATGTATAAATGCACAGCACAGCACAGCATGGGACGGCGTCGGAAGGATACAATACAAATATTAGGAACAAGAGTCTTCATATCATGGGGAAAATACAAAAACGTCTAGAGGCGAACCAGCCAGAGCCAACAGCTGGCAGCAGAGTGTGCCATGCCATGAGTCCTGGCTTGAATGAATGGCGTAATCGACGTGAATCTAATCTCGCCCTGAATGTGGACTTGAACTGGTGGTTACTACTACCAAGGCAAAGGGCAATCACATCACAGCTACAATCCAACATAATGTATGGGTCTTCCCACTGCATGCCTACGCGGCTCCATTGCCGCAGAACAGACTCGAAATCGGGGCTCCTACCTTGGTCAAACTCCCATGGTAAAGGTCGCTCCAGACACACCGAATATCATTTGCACAGTGGCAGCCAACATGCATTGGTCACCAGCTCCTTAGGTATGCTGGACGGAGGCTTGAAGACCACGCGGCGGCCCATGCTTTCGTATACCGGGTGCGAATAGAACATCTGTTTGAGTCCGCTGGTGTTGAGTGGGATGGTGTACAGCAATTGCAGTGGACTACTTAATAAAACCTTAAGCTTACAATTTTGGCAACGCTGTCCATCTCTATTTCTGTCCATGTCTATCTCGCGGAATCATCTAATCGTACAGTTCATAACCCGGTCCTGGTGACCGTCTCCGTCACGCGAGCGGATCTCAAGCCTACCACGGCATGTTCGCTCGACCGGCCCTTCTATCGCTGCTCTCAGCCCTTCTATCGCAATCGTACGCGTACACAGCTCCATAAGGTAGCTCATCTCATCCCCTTATCTGGAACCCCCTGCTGGTACCAGCCTAGAACCGACGCTTGGGTTCCTCATAATCACAGGTCGTGTCCATCTTCAAGCGCTCCATTACAGCGACAATCTCTGGATCCAATTCCTTAGGAGGAGACCCATAATCCGAAGGAGCTAGGATCGCTGCTTCATAAGCATCGGACTCGGGCTCGTCGTTGGCAGGCATCATGCTCGCGGCAGAAGCGGAAACTGTGCCATCAGCCTTCTCACCAATCGCATTCCATCCTCCATAATGCGCCGGATCAGGCATATCAGCCATATCTGAGGCTTGGTTTTCTGTCGTAGAGACGCGTCGTTCCTTATCGGGGTTGTCCTCCTCAAGACGGTCCTTGATCGCCATGGCAACCAACGCCTCCATCGTGTAGCGGGCGTCATTCCCACCATTGTGCAAGAAATCATATGGAATGCCGAGGTCGTGCAGAATTGATCCCAGTTTGCGGTTCTGCTTCTCTTGCTTGAGGATTCGGTACAACTTGGCCGTGTCCAGGGCCTCGACGATAGAAGCCAGGATTTGGAACGCTCCTTCATCAGCATTCATTGCAGCTACAGGATATGTAGCACGGGATGGCGAGAAGATTTTGCTTCCCAATACCCGCAAGTACGCGAGATCGCTTTCGATATCGTGTCCAAGAAGGATGATATTGCGTTCTTTCGAGCCACGTTGGAGAAACTCAGGGATTGTGGGAACCTTGTCGGCCTGATCGAGGGCATCTTTGATGGTATCCGGATCCTCGAGTCCTTGCAATACACGCGCACCAGCTGCCCGATTGGCTTGAGCTTGCTCACTGTTGGATAGCCCGATGCTGACGCCGGCAGACATTGCAGGAGGCTCGTTCGAGTCCACTTGTTCACTTTCAGAGCTTATTCTCGTGATGTCCCACCAACCTGACAAGCCTGGATGCTTGAATTGCACAGAAAATGGCCATTCAAAACAAGAGTCAACCTTTGCAGCAGCCTCGCTGAGGGCAACAAACTCTGATTTCCCGAATTGAAAGGCGTCAGGGTTACCGGTGCAGAAGTCTTTGTTGACCATGTGCGCACGCTCCTGGATTCTGAAATGGCGAGAGCGAATCTGGCTTGTCCAGTTTTTGCCACCTTCACCAGGTGGAAGGTCGACAAGGTCCAGTGTGTCCAAAGTGCTGACACCTATCTCAGTGATGAGTTTGTGGTCTCTTTCGTAGGATTCTATGTCGACGGCAATAATCACAGGCTGTTTCTCAAAGGGAAACGGTGCCGGCAGATTGACATCAAGGGGATCCAGAGTATTGTGTGCCTTTCTGATCTGCTGTAGATGGTATTGTTGTTCTTCGGTCCATGGCAGATTTGCAGGGGGTGGCTGGGGTTTGGCTTGTCTGCGGCGCAATCCAAAATATCTCTGGGCTCTCCTCAGCTGCGAATACCAATCCCGATACGTGAGTAAGCGATCCTCTTCTTTCTTCTTCTGCTTGAAAAGCGGGCTTTTTCTCTTGCTTGCCGCAAGCGCATCTTGGCACATCGCTCTGAACGCCTCGAAGTTTTGCCTAACCTCGGGGCTGGCGTCATCAGGACACTCACCATGGCCAACAGATGGAGGAGGGATGCGATCTTGAAGTTCCCTAGCCTTATCTCTCGACCTGGATATGCCAATGAACCGTGGTCGCGGAGTGCCGTCGTCATAGAAGGTAAGTGTGAAGGGGAAGGGAGGCACTGAAATAGGGACATTGAAAGCTTCACTGATTCGTATGGCAAGGGCCGCGAATTGTGCATATGGGACCAGCAATATTGGCTTTGAACTGAGGGTGTATGGTGGGTACAGATAGAACCTGGTTCGTTGTTAGTTGGGACCATGACAGCATGCCTGTGGTGTGGGCGAATTGGTTAACAGATCACTCACAGGTCCCACGTATTTTGGTAAAACTTGTTCTGGGCGAAAAAGTGTCTGGACACCCGGTCGTTCTTGTCGTTCATGTACTTGTAGGGAAATGCTGCTGCAAGTGAGAACTGGCAGAAAACCCCTTTGACCGGATATGGTGAAGTGGGCCATGCATAGTCAGGGTTGGCAGACACTCGCTCTTCCAGATCGGCATCTTTGCCCTTGCCCTTGGATGACACCTTGCCCCCTGGGACAAAAGAAATAGATTCGTCAACTCCATCATAGGAGACTGCAGGAGTGTTGTGAGGATTGTGATGCGGGAGGGCAGACCGGCGCGAACTGCCAGGGTAGTCTGATGCCGGCTTCATCGACACCTGCACCTTTGGTTTGAACGCTGCGACATAATCATCTTCATCGTCAGAGCTTGTGAGGCAGTCAGTGTTTCTCTCAGGCTGCGGAGGGTGTACGATTTGGCGGGGATATTGTGCTGTCGCAGGGATGGTCCATGGTTCCTGGTCTTGAGCTGTCTTTTTGTCAAGTTCGACCTCGGAGAAATGAGGTTTGCCAGGATCTGGTGGAGCCGGCCTAGGACAGCCAGAGAAGAGTTGGTTCAGACGATCACGGGCGGGTGTGCTCTGTTCTTCTGCCATTTTGGTGGCTTGTAGAGGTGGGGGCGGAAGATGTTTCTTTCTAGTCATAGCCTCCGTCTGCTGTTTGATTGCGCTGACAGCCGCGAGATGAGGTAAAGGATGGAGCAGGACGGCGCGACGCTGTAACCCTGAGTCAATGGGAACTACAGTCGAAAGGAGAAGCAGTACCAGAGAAGTCCAATAAGACGATTTGAGTCCGCGATTTTTGAGGTGGGAGGAGAAAACAAAGATACAGGTCAAAGTGCACAGTGTGGAACTTCAACGCAAGATTCACTCGCGGTAGAAGTAGTGAAGGAGAGCCACATCAGACCTGAGATAGTATGCAGCGCAGCGCGTCACTCTATTGTCGCAGAATATCAGAGGGCGGAAACCTGCAGTGAATTTCACCGCTGCCTGCAGTCACTCCCTTTAGTAGTGCCGCATGCTCTACTACAGCCTCAAAAGCTGCGGAGCCCAACTTGAACACCCTTCCACATACAGAGAAGGTGAGGCTGAAAGATACTCCAGGCATCTACTAGTAGTCAGGTTACAACATTGTAGAACTCGGACACTCCCGTAAAGTTGAAGTGGCATGTCCACATCAGCCATGATTATGTAAGCAGAGGCTCACCATTTTGCCCGGTCTCACCGCCTTGACACGCGCAGACAATATACATGTTGGCATGCGCGTTACAAGTCGGTGCCACTCGAAGTGAGGATACGGACCGAGGATAGCCTGCGTCTACAACACGACTTCTCGAACAGCTTTTGTCAAGGGCGGATTTATCATCACTGCGCAGAGTCGTGTCCGAGAAATTGCGGACTTGAGATGGAAACATCTATTTCGTCTCAGTGATCAACCACTGTCTCTACAAGTCACAGCAGTGGAGATATCAACTGCCTACACCCTCTAGCAGAGGAACTTATTTCATTATCCGCTCGAGTCCATGCATTGCCCACGATAACAGTCAGTTCGCCCTAATGCTGACGATGGCCGACATCGCCAGCGATCGCCATATCGACCCGGACGCCCAGGCTGCCGTGACAGACTTTCTCGACTACACCGAATACCTCCCCTCCGACCTAATTCGATCACTCACATTAATCCGTGGTCTTGACCAAAGATACCTCGATAGCGCCGATGCTGTGAACGGCCTTACAAGAACCTACGGATCACTTCCTTCCATCCCACCTGCAGAGAAGCCAGACGCCCAGGACCTCCGGTCCCAAATATCAAGTCATTTGGATCATGCGCTCAGCGCTCGAGAGAACTCGTATGCAGAAGCGTGTCGGCTATTCGACGTGGTGGACAGACATCACAACAGACTGAAGAGCATCATCGCCAAACTACATGCAATCCCCAAACCGCCGTCGCGCGATCCAAGTCCCCAACCTCCAGCGTCTACTCAGCAGGCCGCCAAACGCTCGCGAAGCGGGAGAAAGCTCGAAAATGGTACCTCCACCTCCACCAGACTGACCTTGATCCCGCCTCGAGGCGGCAATGCAGTCGCTTCTGCGATCCTGAAAAGACCGCGTGGTCGTCGTGTCACTGTTCCTGGAGAAGTCATGCCGCCGTATGATCCCGACTCGCCTATTGCGAGCACAGAAGTATCGGATTGGGAATCTCCGCCACCGCAACCGTCTCCTCCCCCGCGGCCAGTTCTCAAATTCAAGCCACCAAGGCCTCCTTCTACTCCTGCGCCTTCTGTGTCACAGCTCAAGCAAAGGGCAGCTGTGACATCAGAGAAGAGCCGGCCAGCACGGGAGCCAACCGAGACATACCGCAAACCCACCCCTCCGCCCGAAGATGCCGAGATCGGAAGCAAGTACAAGCCTTGGACACATCTGACCGAATATGAAATGTACAAGTTGAGGAAAAAGATGAAGAAGAATCACACCTGGGAGCCCAGTGATGTTATGATCAGACGGGAGCTCGCAGATCGTGGTCGAGGTTGGGACAACTACTACCGCGCCAAAGCAGAAGCCCAGGCCAACGGAACCTCGTTCATCGACATCGATAGCGTCGAACGATTGGGACCAAAGGCTGAGAAGCCTGACAAATCCGACAAGGTCGAAAAGGCTGACACTGTGGAGGTGTTGCAGCATACAGACAAGGCGGACAAGGGCGAGAAGCCAGACGAGGTTCACGATGGTCCGGAGGAAGATCAAAAGCCAGCGGCTACCCCCTTGCCGAATCCAGCACCCGTCTCTAGTGCTACGTCTGCCTCCAGACCTAAGACTGTGAAGAAGACCGAACCGAAGAAAGACAAGAAACCTGATCCTGCCCGGTCACAAGCAGCACTTGCCGCTCAGGAAGCAGAACTTGCTGCTCGCAGACTGGGTGACATTGGCTCCAAGTTCCGCACGCTGTTTACCACGCCTTTTACGTCCCTTGCCTCCTTGGGGCGAAGTAATACTACGCCTGTTCCTAACAGGACCATTACAGTGGTCAAGAAAGCAACCGACAAGACGTCCAAGAAGAGGAAAGCAGAAGAGACCCCGGCATCCTCAACTTCGCCCTCTGCAGAGCCAGATGCGGCGAGGAAGAAGCAGAAGACGGGTCCGAAGCCCTCGCCGTTGGGACCAAGTTCGCTGGAAATGCCCACGTCTACTCCGGTTTCGGCGAGTAGTGAGCCGCCACGGCTCAGTGCAGGCACTATCAAAATCCCACTGAAGCTCACTGTCTCGACGGCAAATTCTCAGCCATCCAAAGCCTCGACCCCAACACCGACCACACGAGCAGCGAGCGTCCATCGGACTTCTGTGGCGCCCAAAACCGAGTCGACTCCTCCGGTGCCCTCGAGGCCGCAGTCGCGGCGCTCGACAGCTGCCTCGGTTGAACCACAGGCGCCACAACATCGTCCGCGTTCGTCGGCAACGCCTTCGGTAGCCGGACAAAGGCTCTCTACAGCGGATGCACATAGCCCGAGAGGTTCTTCTGCCACCGCTACAGCTGCCAGTCGGCGTAGCAAGCGTGACGCTCCTGGGACAGTGATGCAATCGAGTCAGGACGGCGGGGCTGCAGTAAGTGTGAGCAAGCGGAGAACCAAGCCGGCGAAACAGCAGAAATCGACCCCCAAGCCCGCCGCGTCCGCCACTGCTGCATCGCCAGACGTTCCACAAATCCGCATCGATGTTGATGGTCGACAAGAGATTGTCGACCCCGACGAGGAGCGATACTGTGTATGCGGCGACGTCAGCTGGGGCGAGATGATTTGCTGCGAGCTTGACGAGAAGGTAAGTTGTTGTAATCTTGTCCTTTTCTGGTCAAGTTATCTTCAGCTGTACTGACAATGATGTGCTTTCTAGTGTGATTATGGCCAATGGTTTCATATGGAGTGTGTAGGGTTGGCCGAGCTGCCTCCGCGCACGGTAAAGTGGTACTGTCCGGGCGACCGAAAGAAATACCACAAGGGGGAGAACAGCAATGGCCTCGTAGGTAGAGGCATCAAGTAACGAGATCTGGTAAAAGCCGAGCGACCTGATGATTGCTACGATTTGTCGATTCGGCCAATGCCACTGGAGGCCAGCTGTGGGAAGCGAATTGCAAGTTTATCATGCCAGCGCTCGATCAAGCGGCTAGATTCTGTCCCCCAGAGTGCTGCATTTACCGATCTTATGACTTAGCTGGGTTCCTTTCTTTGATGTGCCAGAGGCATAGTCCACATTGCAAGCCGGTCCACGCCTTGTGATGTATCTCCGTCGATGAGACACTAACCTTAGGACTCCAGAACAGAAACTGAGTATGCCTGGATGGTCATGGCCGCGAAAATTGATAACCCATGATCGCTAATGCAAAATTCTGCTGGTGTCATGGATTTAATCGAAGCGTCCGTAAAAAACGACAACCTTCCGCGTGGAGCAACGTCAAGTATTTTCGTACTTCATTACTTCCTGGCGACCTACCCCTGGCCGGAAGTTCCCTGGCTAGGGATACCTGGAAGCGAGATCGGATGTTTGGGTTAGGGGAAGCAGCACGATGCCGTCAGCAGCAAAGTTCCGGTCCGGTATGCAAACCCTATTGGGCTGGGAACTCCGCGTATCTTCGTTGCGGAACTCTCAGACAGCCGACTTGGATGCAGGAATGAACAAAATGTAAGAGTAGACCGGACAAAGAATGACCACAGCGGACTGGCGAGGCGACCGAATCTACATAATGTCGAGTGGCGAGCTGGCGAGCCTACGGTCAGTGTAGCAGAGACTTGGAACGTGTCGAATCCGAGTCCTGCAGATCAAGTACCTTGACAGCAGATTTGCCGCTGTCAAGTACATCGACTCTTCCAAATCCCACTGCAAGCGGTACTGTCGGTGTTTCCTTCGAAATAGTCTGTGTAGTCTTCCGAGACTCGACTGGGACCGAGTCGTCAGACACACCTTCCACATTGAATCTGTTTCACAAGCGCGTCGGCAGAGGGTCGAATGGCGCCAGTCTGGTTCCCAGTCTAGAAAGAGTAGAGATTGCCAAATAAAGGTAGGCCGGTTCGGAGACGATGATGTGTTGATCTGTCAGAGAACAACCCTCTTGTTGAGTTCATGCTTTTACAGCGGAGTCTCATGAAGCGAAATTCTTCCAGAAGTCAGCCACAACAGGCTTGGGAAGAGCGTCGGGTAAGAAAGGGTGCTTTCGGCTGTGCACCCGTAGAGCCATGGCTGGCAACGCCTGTGGAGGATGGCGCATCCGTAACAAGCAGAGCCCTGCCGCTTGGGGCGCCGCCCTAATGCAGGTACAAAGGACCCGCGACTTCACTGGGGCTGCTTATAATTTCCGAAGATCAGGTTGATGGGTCGCTGAAGAAGACCCAGTGGCCAGGGCGACACATGGTCATCAATCCGGGCAAACAATCCCGGATGAGCCAACGCGCCCCCAACTCGAACAGGCCAACCAAGCAGTTGCACAGTAGTACCTAAGTTAGCAGTGGAGTGGACGAGGTGGGCTAGGGAGGCCGGTGCCCCGGCCCATGTTATCGGACTTGCAGGGTAGTTCTTATCCAGAGATTTCTTGTGTTCTTCCTAAGGTTGGAAATAGAATTGGTAGTTCATATAGGAACCATATAGCGAGTCTTCAATGACCAAGGGCCCCCGGTAGAGTATGTGTATTATTATCATTAGGGACCGTGCGGCAGATCGGTGGTGGTGCTGATGAAGGAACGGCCGTGGAATAGGTGACCCAGTTGCCGGGTAGACCTGTGCAAATTTCCTGTAGCCGCATGCATTTAGCCTGGACAATCGTACTTCCATATCAGAAAGGGCCTGCCGGCAGGCCTGTACAACCATACAGACTACCCTTCAGGTAACGTATGTACTATGAGGGATGGTTGTAGCTCGGTTTTCGTGGTGTCACAGCGGACTCGAAAGGGGGAGAAGGACGGTATTGTGTGACAGATTGGAGTAACATGGCTTATAGTCGCAAGAGCACGTAGTTGACCTCGTTCTCGAGGAGAGGGCGGACCGTACGCTTGGAAACCTTTGCTTGAGGCCCAAAAGCATCGCATAGAGGACAAGGGATGCTGGCAATTTTTTGGCGCGTGCAATGGGTAACAACTTGAACTCCTGATATGGCCCACTACGTAGCGGACGGAAGACGGGGTCCATTTTCCGCATTTCTAGCGGCCTTCTAGCTGGCGGGGGCATCCACAGACATGACCGGGGAAGCTGAGCACAATCTGCTGAGACCGACCAGGGTCGACGAAAATTGCAGGCGGGCCGCGGTTCGCAGGCGCCGGTGAGGTACAACTGCTACTACACTGTCGCTCACTGCGCTTGGACGCGGGGCGGAGGGATTGTCGCTGGGCAAAGGATCGGCTAGTAGTAAGGTAACGGACGCCCATGCCAAATGATGGGTGAATTAGTGGCAGAGTAGTGGCAGACACCAGGAAAGTGAAAAATCACCTGGCATTATTTTAGGGGAGGTGGGTGCAACTGCAGGTGCCTGCCAGAGTACTGGTATACCGTGGCCTTCGAAGCAACCTGTGCCAGACTGCGCTTTGCTCCTTCACGACTGCCTACCAGTAGATAAACAAATATAATAGTCTCTAGCGCAGCTGAATATCGAGAAGAGCCTCGCGATCCTTCACCGATATCTTCTCTTAGGTTCGGAGGTTATCTCCGCCCTCCGCTCATTCGGAAGCGTTGTCCACCTATCTGTGCGCTCCCGAGGCGAGGAGCAAACACTTGCGTCGACACAACTGCCTTGCTGGGCGACAGCGACAGTCAATTGAGCCCAAGCGCGCCCTAATTGACTACCAGCGATTTGACTTCCGCTCGATAACCGAACTTTGTCGACGCAGCTAATCCCATCCGATGTAGCCGGCGACGGCAATGACAGCATTGTCAGCTGTCAACGAGCTTTCAAAAGCGCCCTTACTCCACCCACTGCAGGAGGATACAATGAACGCATTGGGTGAAATATTGAGCGAGGAAGAGTAGAGAAAAGACGAATGAAGGGATGATGATCGTTTGGACGCTTATGCAGGTATCGATAGCGAGGGCTCGATCAGAACCGCAGCTCAGATGAGGAACACCACGTATGGTGATAGCTGGGCATGGTCAGGAGACGACGAGTCGGTAAAGGTTCCGGTTTGAATTAAATGTAAAAGCCCAAGTGCGGTACTGGCAGTGACACAAGGCACAGGGAGCAGTGCCCAGGATGGCTACCTAGGTACCATCCGAGTCTTCGATACTAGTATCAGCTGGTTGTTTGCATACAGTTCCCAACGGATTCGGCGCCAATTGCGATGGTCTAGCATTTGCGTGTCCAGGACGGGCGCCCAGGAAGCAACGAGAAAGGAACGAGTGCTCGCAGTATACCTAGCATTTTGGCCCATGGTGCAGTGCGCTTGGGTCGCGAGGTGTGCGAGATCGAACAACAGTCCTGAGCACTACTAATAGGACAGCACACGAGAGCATCATGTCTACCTACGGTACCTGGTAGGTACCTGCAGTATAGCAACAAGTGAGTCCTTGTCGGATCACGTAGCTCCCTACTACCTTCTCTTGGAAACAATACTACTGTACCTAGGTAGGTAGTATTCGGTGCCTGCGCCAGATTGTTTCTAGCGCTTCTAGTCTTTCGGAAGAGCTGCAACGGTGGCCGCGGAAGCAGGTCCTGGTCTGTTTAGGGTGCCAGTGTTCAGGTTGTCCAAGTTTGGAAACATTTTGGAAACATGGTTCCCATCCGCCAGATACCAGGCACTCTTGTTTGTTGAAGCGGTTCGAAAATCACTCATCCCACAATCAGTCACAGGCCGCCGCTGCCATAGACAACCTACCACAGGCTGAGGTCCCAGCCAGCAGCGATATCATCACTTCACCCGCGCTTGGTTGGCACTGCTGACACATTCCTAGTTTGCAAACACAAAACCTCCCTTTTCCCATCTGGGCCAGCCACCAACCAACCCTGCTTACCCGCCGTTCTGGACACGCAGGGTTGTGACCCCTGCGATCGTTTCCATCGAATTTCGCCCTCTCAAGGACCTACTGGCCGCCTATCCTCCGGCCTGCAAACCCTGGACCAACGCCGCATGGTCCTTGTCCAAGCCTCCTCCACCGCATCGGTCCAGTGGTTACTTCGGATGCCCTTCTTCTGCGTCATTAGCTGTCTGTCCGCTTGTCATCCTCGAATCGAACCATAAAATTATACAACTTGACACAGAGCTAGTATCGGGGAAGACCATGGCAGACCAGGGGATGGTTGAAATAAAGTCCTGGGCAACAAATGATATGTTTGACAGTGTTTGCGTTGGATATCCAGCTCGCAATCCGCCATCGCTCTCCTAGTCTCGACCAGCAGACGAATATACGGATGGTAGTCCCCCGGTCTTTGGACCCGTCATGAGGCGCTTCGCCGGTTTGATCCCGCGAGACAAGGGGCGCAATCCCATCCAATATGGGACCTGAAAGAGCGACGTATCCTGCTTTACCCTGGCCTCCCCGGCTACTCAGTCGGGACAGCCTGGGAGACTTTGGCTAGCGCTCATTGCAGGCCGCGATTCGTCTTTCCCTGGTCGCATTAAGGATCACTTCTAGTCTCCGTGGCTGGACTTCGGGTCCCACCATCCGCTCTTCTGACACCTTGTGTGATCCACCGACACCAGCATCGGAAGAATCCACTTGGGGCCTGATGGGCGAAGCCTTGCAGCTCCCTGTTCCACCAGCAAGCCTGTTTGGAACCTGCCCTGTCAATCCGATGTACCGAAAGGGGGTAGCTGCAGCTGTCCTTGAGCCCTCCGGTATAATTCATCTAGATCTCCTTCCCGAGTGTCAAAAAGTTTTGTTACACGTTCCTTGACTTTCTCGCACCTCTGCGCTCGACATTCTTTGTTTAGTTGATATTATTCACATCTTGTCTTGATTTCTTTTGTCGCAGATCAAACCCGGCCCAGGCCCCTAGTGAATTTCCTGCCAACTTCAACCTGACAGTCACAGTCACTCGATACATCACCCACCCCTTAACGCTCCGTCTGCTCAGTCGCGCCGCATTCGGTCGAGTATTCAATTACGCGCAATCACCCATCCGAGACTCGAGAGACTACCTGTACTATATGTCCGCAATCCTACTTCGAACGCTTGCCGTCTTCAATCCACACACCGCCGCGCTAGATCCTCTCTGACAGTCCGGAAACTCAAATTCTGAACGCGACTCCTTTGCTCGTGCCGCATTCCTCCCTTGACTCGCTCCGTTCCCTCTTACAAAGACGTTGAAGCGGGCGATTAACGATATCTTGTACAACATCAAGGGCTTTTTCGCTCTTCACTGGCTCAGTTCAAGCCTGGACTGTTGCCTCCCCAACACTGTAAGTCTGCCAACTGCCGCCGCCTATAAAAGTCGGTGTTCGCCAGCTTCAGGGCGCAACTTATCCACAACCACTCTTTGCTGATACCTCAATTCTCAGACACGATGACTTCCTCAACTTCGAGTTCCGCTCCTTGTAACATGGGTCGTGGTGGATACGACACTACCGGGGTTCCGAAGCCCAAACCGCCTGCGAAATAAGTCATCATATCGTCTGTCTTTGGAGACAGGCACTCTGGCAAAATTGGGGTTCCCCTGATCCTTCCCGCCCGTCAACATGGGTTCACATCTGCTGGCACGAATCGTCGGTATTCCGGCCTCTTCATCAGCAACACACACAAGTCTTGATCGCGACGTCCAACTGTCAAACAATCGGTCAAGCACCGTCGGCTTTCTCGCAAGATTCCTAATCCTTCGATCTGCTATTCGACTACCCTGTACAAGTATCGTTCTCGGACCATTATCAGCGTTTTTCGGCGACATTATTTTGCATGCATGCACGGCGCAGTCTCTTTCGGAAATCCACGAGCGTGACCCTCACGCGTGTACAACCTGTGTATCAAAAAGTCTTTTTCGGTGCGGCGTTTCAGTTTAGATGGTTATGGGAGGCTGGGAAACAAAATGGGGGCAAGGTTATCGGCACGATAGAATGTATGACTCAGGTCACTTTTCTTTGGAGTTCTTTGGGTGGTTTAGATTGTGGAGGGTGTTTTTGTTGACAAGGGCGGCTTCGCAGTCAAGGCGTGTTAGTCCTAATACTCGCAGCACACTATCAGCGGCGAGGGGTGCTGGGAATATCAGACCTTGTGGCCGCTTCAGAGTCACCACTAAAGGGTGATGAATGACTCAAACTTGTGGCCTGGTTGAAGAGCCGTAATAAATAGCCTCAATAAATGAGTGAGATATGTTTCAAAGCTCTCGATGTTTATCAAGACTCCCTTCCTAGTAACACCTCAAATGGCTAAACATACCTAGGCAGCCACTGGCGGCTCCATATACACGGCGCCCACGACGCTGCGGGCACAGACTAGGACCATCATACAGTCTGCGATAAATGGGGAGTAATATTGCAGTTGATAGATGCGCTCTGCCGCAAAGATTCCCTGATGCGAGGATCAACACTGTTGGTCTCGGCGTAAGGGGAAGTGTTCAGAGCGCAAGCGCAAATAATCACGACTACGACTCTTGGTCCAGGTCACTCCGCTCCGTCGTCACTGCGATACCAAGACTGCTTCTACTTGGATCCGCCAAACTGCAGCCTTCATCTTCCGGCACCAATATACGACTCCAACCGATTGTGTCCGCTGGTCCATACAATTTCACTGTCGCATCGCCGACCCAGGTCCATTGACCCCGAGCCTCGATCCGACGCCTCCGTTTTCAACCTTGCGAGAGTATAGTCGCTGGTTTTGTCCATCCGCAGACTTGCAGGCAGACCTCTACCACCCCAACCCCTCCGATAACATTCGACTCCGAGGCCCTGTTTAGCCCGCTGCAACCGCGGGCAGCGTCAATTTGCTCGGACCAAGTCAGCAACTTCTCACTTCTAGTACAGGAGGATTCTTTTTTAGCGCACCCGCGATCGAATTCACAAATAAAGAGCATGGCGGACCAGTCGTCGGCACCCAAACCGAGCAGCAGCGTCAAGCTCGTGCTGCTGGGAGAGGCAGCTGTTGGAAAGGTGGGTTGCGCACAGTGGTTACGCGAACTCAATAGCTTCTTGTCTTGGTGCCATATTCTCCCGTCTTCCTTCCGGCGTTGACCCTTGGAGACGTGTGGGTTCCACAGTCAAGATCGTGATACTTTATCTTGAGGTCAAATGGAGGCGCTGTTCAGGAGACTCTGCAAGCATGCAAGATAGAAGTGCGAATACCATGGCTAACATGCTGCACAGTCGTCTCTCGTTCTCCGCTTCGTCAACAATGATTTTCAAGAAAACAAGGAGCCCACCATTGGCGGTACGTATACCTTCATATGCTTTGCTGTCTAGGGTTACCCTGGCTCAAGGCGCCACTGGAGAATCCTAGGTTTGTCAACTGACATTTAGACAGCCGCCTTCCTCACTCAGAAGATTTCCCTGCCCAACCGGATCATCAAGTTCGAGATTTGGGACACGGCCGGCCAAGAACGATTCGCCTCCCTTGCGCCTATGTACTACCGCAACGCACAGGCAGCTCTGGTCGTCTACGATCTGACCAAACCTACATCGCTTGTGAAGGCCAAACATTGGGTGGCCGAGCTGCAGAGGCAAGCATCACCAGGCATTGTGATCGCCCTGGTAGGAAACAAATTGGACCTCTGCTCTGAGACGTCCGGCGATAGCGATGCGACGGCCGAATCTGCCGAGAACGAAGAGGGAGGGGACTCGGCAGAGGCCGAGCCGACAGACAGCGGCGACGCACGAAAGATCTCTACTCGGGAAGCCAAGGCTTATGCAGAAGAAGAGGGTCTTCTTTTCTTTGAGACATCTGCCAAAACAGGCACCAACGTAGCCGACGTCTTCTCTGCGATTGCCAACGCCATCCCAGAGACATCGTTGAAAGGAGCAAGAGGAGCTGGCGGCAGCGGTACGCAGGCGGCGCTGTCGGGGGCCGCCAACCGTGCGGATGAAGCCCGGGTTAATCTCACGGACCGGGCGAAACAAAAGAGCGACAACTGCGCCTGTTGATCATATCGTTTGGTGGGGTTGTGGCCTCTTAAGTCTTATGTGGCTGATCGATTGATGAAAGAGACACAGCAGATTGCTGCGAAATCATGCGTTAGGACTCGACAAGGACAGTAGCAGTAATGCTGCCAGACCCAAGTGCTTATGGCTGTCTTGCTGTTACCCTGGTTGCGAAGGGTGATCTGATACCACTAAATACACCTTTGGAGTTTTAGGATGGGCATTGTTTTTGTTGTCACGTCTCGGTGGGTGCTCAACAATTGGGATTGGTATTTATTCTCTTGTTCGAGATAGTGGCAGTGGTAACATGGTAGCAATGGAAGCAGATGGACACGAACAGGAGGATTCCTTCGTTCAGGACCTTTCTTCCGATTTTGCTGTCACTCCCGGCCGCGCTGAACAATCGTCCTTCACTGAGCCGCGGTAAGGCTTAAGAGGAGTAGCTGTTCTGCGATTGACTGTTCTACCTTTCCTACTCTAGCGCTGCCTCATAGCATGGACGTCCCCTGCAGGACTGAGATAGCCGGCCTACTATCTTCTTTCTCGGGCCACCTTTGACTTTCGCGCTTAGGTCAATTTCTTGACTGGGAAGGGGCTGTACATCGCCTCTTCTTAGATAATATTATTTGAACACCATATCGACTACTCTCTAAGACGCTGGTTCGATCTAGTGTCTTCTCAAGAGTGGTGACGGTATACTATCGGAGAAGATTGCTTACTAACAACGTCCTACGAACTAAACGTAACAAATGCAACAAATACATCAAACACAACAAACATATTCTGAATGACGTCATGCTTGAAAGCCAACGCGGGTAAACACCACTACATCATCGATGGGACTTTTGGTCAATCGTGAACACGGGAGCCTCATCCGTCACTGGCAACATTTTCTGGTCGCGGTTCAGGTTCAAGTTGTTTCTGACGACAGACACTGGCACACTATTAAAATATCCTCACCACCACTTCTTCTCCCTCCCGACGTGCACACAACCCAACGTCCCACCACTATCTGCATTTCCATTCCAAACCGACGCATCCAGCAAACCCAACCCATACGTGCGTGTCCGTACCTTTCCTATCCAACATGTCGGACCGGGTAAAGCAGGTCGCAGCCGAAGAGGCCGAAAGAGTCAAGGCGATAACCAAAGACGCTTTTCAATCGCAGGCGTACCTGTATCCGTTCAAGGTAAGAAAAAATATCCTCCCTACATACCCGCAGTTACTAACATCTTTCTAGGGCATCTTCTACTTCGTAACCCACAAGGACCTATGGCGACCATTGATCTCGAAACTAGCTCCTACAATCACCCTCAGTGTCGGCGTCACGACATTCATGTTCCTAGTAGCATATGTCCCTCAAGCAGCCATCATGGCCTTCACATCTGGCCCCGTCGCCGCCATCTCAGCAGCCCTGCTCACACTCAGCGAGAGCTCGACACTCATCAACCTTTTGTCCCGAACATTTCTGATCGAAGAAGCCCTCATCGACACGTTCGATGGGACTTTGTTGTCTCGAGGCTGCACGAACCTGGTCAGCGAAGGCCGACAAGTTCAGGGAGGTGGAAGCGCAGACAACATCGCCCGGCTGGGCAAACTGATCAAGAAGCCGTTTGCCAAATTCACCCCGAACGCCATCATTCGATATCTGCTGTATCTGCCGCTCAACTTTATTCCGATTGTTGGAACCTTGGTGTTTATCCTCTTGCAGGGTAAACGAGCCGGTCCCGCTGCGCATACCCGCTATTTCCAGCTTAAGGGCTGGTCCAAGAGACAGCGTGAAATCCATGTCGAAGACTTCCGTGGCGGTTATACTTCGTTTGGTGTCACTGCTTTTGTGCTGGAGATGATCCCCTTTGCGAACCTGGTTTTTGCTTTTACCAATACCGTCGGTGCGGCGCTTTGGGCTGCCGATATTGAGAAGAACGCGACGATTTCGCCAAAGGTCCGCGAGTTGGCTCAGAAGGCTGAATGAGGGATTGATACCTGCGGTTGGAGGCTGGGCCGATCATGAACGAAGGCTTAGCTGATAGTCTCACGGTGTCCTGCTCGCCGGTCCGCGCGGAAGTTATTGTATCTCCGCGCCGCACAAGACATGAGCTATGGCAGGCCTTGGACGGCCGACTATTCGAAAAGCAATTTGCCGTGTTGTGGGGGGACACGGCTTGTTAACTCGCGAGACTCATGTCTCCAAGGTTGGCGCTTCAAACTGAAGCCCTTTAAACAAACCAGAGGCTTCAGCAAGCATTAGAAATGGCTAGAAAGAATGAATGGATGATTGATTGTCCGATATGATGAAGTCCTTTCGCGAGGCTATTTTGCATCTCGATTGGAACTTTCGTGAAACGGGAGAAGCACTCTCAAGATTTCAGGTAATTGCGACAAGACTTGGTCTCGTCCCTGGCGCCCGCCCTCATCATCACCCCCATGGCTTCACCGTCGTCGTCCCCTCGACGAGTTCTCGGACTAGTGATCGTTTACATGTCGCTCCCGTTGCCGGCACTCGTGTTTTGTTTTGTTTTGTTACTCTTGCGCTCGCCAACCCTGCTCAACCTCACCCACTGGCACTGCACCCAGTGCTACGGACTCAAACCCAAACCATTGGAACACAACACGCTTTCGCCCAGAATCTGATTCCAAGTTCGATTCGAACAAGTTTCATCAGCAGCAGTGATCGTGATATTTCTACTCGTTTGTTCTGCCTTTGCTCGCTCTAAAGCATTATCTGTTCAAAATTGCAATTGGAACAGGATACCAGCCATTCCATTGAACGAAATTTTAACCCTCAATAAACAAAACAAGACGCGACGAAAGGAAAGGAAAATATAGGCAACGGAGAAACAAGAAAGGACATCATGAATCATCAATATCACCATGGCTCCTCCTCACTCGGCTTCTGCCAGTGGCTGACGACGAAGACAATGATGGCCGTCCTTTGCATTTCGGTTTTGATGTCCTCGAGACCAGACACCATGGTGGTTTCAGCTCCATTGAACGGAGGCATGAGCACCAACCTCGACTTCGAGTCCGCGATCTCATCGTCATCATCCACCTTCTCTGTTTCCGGCGCGTTGCACTCGTCCTGCTCGACTCACTCTGGTCTTCACAGAGCCCTGACCAACTCGAACCAGACCTGTGCCCGTGCCGCAGCAGCAGCATCCAGTATAAGTATCAGCATCACCGGGATGGATGCCGAGATCGAAATCACGGACTCAACGACAGGCGTACACGGATTCCCGCAAACACATACCCATACCTCATCAACGTCGTCATTCACTCCGTATCAGCATCAGGATTCGCGGGAACCAGTGTCAATGCCGATGCCAACGCCAGCAACGCCATGCACCGGCTCATCGAGCGAGACAGACTGCGTGACTGCGACTGCGACCGGAACCGCCTTCATTTCTTCCCATCCATTCTCGCCAATCCCAGTCCCATGCGCCGCGGCAAACGGGACACAATTGGTCGGGGTCGGCGATAGCAGCCATGTCTATACCATAATCTGCGACATTGATTTCCCCGCCGAGGCAAATATATACCCGTTCGTGCCTGCAGGTTCGTTTGATGAGTGTTTGATGCAATGTGAGATTTGGAATGGTCGACAACAACATGATCAACAAAAACAGAATGCAAGTGGAAATGCACATTATTGTGCTGGATTCGTTTTCGCTCCTGAACGAATCCACATGGGCGATAACTGTTATCTCAAGTCGTCGGTGAATGAACCTGGTTCGGCGACCATTCATTTGGTTGGGGCGACGCTTGTGACTGGATCTGGCTCTATCTCGAGGCCTAACCCGACGACCTGGTCATCGTCGTCGTCAATGGTGAGCAGCAGACCTACTGGGTCTGGGGAGTGTTGATGGGGGTTTCCGTTCATGGTGATGGATAATCTCTGAGGATGGCGACCAAGACGACGATGGGAGTGATGGCATCTGAGAATGACACTAAACACAGTTCTTGCTTAGCCGAGTCGAGTGCCTGCCCTGGAGACGGGTATTGATGTGGATTGGATGTTTGTTGATACGAATGTGGATCAGACCGCTTTTCAAAGTCAAGGTCGCCTTAGGGGTGTTTTGCTGGGATGAGAGCTTCCAGGGACAACAATGCCTTGATGTACGATTTGCCATGGACCGAGATGCGAATTTGGGGGATTGCAAAGGAGCTGAAACTCAAGGTTTTGCTGGTCTCACAGGAAGCAGAACGAAAAAGCGTATGCAGAGAACATACAGTACCTGCTCAGCGTGGGACGATGGCGGATATCGCTAGCGGTCTTGATTTTTTGCTTTCTCTGCAGAGGGATATCACCGTTGCTGCTCCTGCTTCTGCCAATGATAAAGCGAGTATGCTCAAGGCTTCGAGGTTGAATGAGTAGTCATGATACCCTGGAACCTAGTACCTACCTCTCTCTCTCTTGGTTTGTGCTTGTTCGGGACTTGGCTAGGCCTGGGCTTTGGGCTTTGGGAACGGCATCAACTGAGAGGGGAAAGATCCTTGGGTTTACCTCTGCCTGCCGTGTTTCACAATTATTTAGTCCACAAAGGTCTGAAGGTTCAGATCTTTGGACATCGGGACAAGGTTTGGCTTTGGCTGTTGGAGGCATGCCACGAGTTTCAAGGGCCCACCTTTTATTTGCGTCGAAAGCATTGCCTCTGAGATTGATGTTCATCTTGGTGTTGATTGTTGCCTTTTCAGTAGCTGGGTACCTACCTGTACTTGACTTATGCGTGGACATGAGGACAGAAGAGAACTTACTCGTACAGTTGACTAAGGTACCGCATTGTAGCACGTACAGGTAACCTGCTGGACCTCCCTGGTAGGCAGATAGTTAGGTCCAAGTTGAATTTGGATATTTGACCCGTTACTCCGACGCCTCAACCGCCGTCCGAGTCCTGATCTGCACCCGCACGGCTGCAATCGTTTAGCCGGATCTCCTCCTCACCCCCCCTCCGCCTCCACTGCCCCTGACACGCACCACTGCCTGTGCAGTCCAATCCTGCCTGGGTAGAGTACAGTATGAGCACCTATTTTTATTAGGTCGTATCCCTGTCCGCTTTCCCCGCGTCCGAGGAAGATCCCGCATTCCACTAGTCAGCTCCCTCGAGGGGTTGAAGAGGAGAACACGATGTGCATGTGCTATGTTACGGTGCGGGTGGCAATACTCCGAAGCCAGGTGAGCATCGGCAGTCAAACAATCAGTTTCCGACGAGGGGAAGGGAAGGTGAAGGAACACCTTGGTGTGGCTGTGGCTCTCTACATATACCTTTACCTGAACTTAGACATACAATATATTGTGTCTATGTCGTGTTTGGACACAACACACCAACTTTAACGGCTAGACACGTGGTATCATTGTCAAAGGGAATCGAGCGCTCTTGCTGCCGTGGCCTGAGGGTAAAACAACAACTACAACTACAGTAAATACTCCTGCCCTCAATTCGGTTGTTGATTGAAGATCGTACACCCCACGAGACACTCTTTGTCTCGCTGGTACCAGCAAAGAACACAAAATGGCGGGAGGTGAAGCCACCGGGTCTGCCGATACTGGTACTAGCACTACCGGTGCTGCTTCTACCGACACACAGAGTCAAAGCCAGCAACAGCAAGGTCAACAACAAGGGGAGGGATCCTTCCCCCTAGCAGCACAGATATCCCTCAAAGAATTCCAAATCCCAGACTTCCCATCCCAGGCATCGCGGCTCCGTCAACTCACATTGACCGCCGACATCAAGCTGGACGAGTACCAGGGCAAAGTGCAGATCCCAGACGATGCAGTCGTCACACAACCACCGCTCCCAAACCTGCCACAGTCAATCACGCACTTGAATTTGGAGTTGTTCGGGCTCGGATTCCCCGGGAAACCGCCCTTTCTAGGCCGCTTGGCCCGGTCGCTGCCGAACCTGAGCAGCGTGACCTTCTTCAGCTGTTTGATTGATGGATTGGACGACCATTCGCGCAAAGATGCGGAGGCGTTTTTCCGCCTACTCCCAAATCTGCAGGAATTGCATCTCATCGACTCGTTTGCAAGACCAGGCTTCTTTGAGACGTTGGGTAAGATTCTGGAAGAACGTGCATCAGCATCACAGCAACAAGATAAAGACAGTGGTGGCGGCGGTGGCTTAAAGGTCGTCAATGTCAGCTATACGTTCCGAGGACATGAAGATAGCGATTTCCTGGCTCGGGTGCATGGCGCAGAATTGCCAAAGTTGATTGTCAAGGGGGTGGTGGGTGCGAGTTTTGATTTCGTGCCTGAAGCGGTGGATGAGTTGGCTGAAGAAGAGGACAAGGATGGTGACCAACAGAACGGGAATGAGGGTGAGGGCGAAGAGAAGAAAAAGAAGAAAGAAAACATTGCAGAGGGGATTCTGCCGTTCGCCAGTGATGGCAGAGCTCCGGCGGCTTTGAAGAAGAGGTTTGAAGACTTGAGGGAGGCCGGAGATGGAGCACTTCAGAGTTTGAGGGTGCTAAACCTGGGCATGTGGTCGCTTCGTCCGGCGGAGGTGGGCGAGATTGTGGTCAAGGCCTGTGCTGGTGGAAGTGGTGGAAAGGCAGGTCTGGCTGATTTGACCGTCAGCGTCTTGCTCGAGGAGAATTGGATTGAGGAGTTCATCAAGGGCTTTGGAGAGAAAGATAATGGTACTGCGCCAGATTTGGAGGGCATTGAAGTCATTGGAGTCCCTAGCAATGCGAATGAAGTGGGCGAAGGTGAGGATGGGCCGGATTGGAAGCAGGGAGGAGGTCTGTCTTTGGTGAAACTGGCTGATGTGCAGAGACTGAACGAGGTTTGTCCGAGACTGGGCAAGTTCGGAATGAGTATCCTCAAGGTCAAGAGTGCGCCGAATGTGCTCTTCTTCAAGGAGGGGGAGTCGTGGACACAACAGTAGTAGATAGACAAGGCGTTAGTAGTCGCTTACTGTAGGTTTGATATGGTCATCAAGGAAGAATATCCCTACATCTCCTGTCCCTTTTTTGGCTATTTGGCTTGAGCGGGCTGAGTCATTGCACATGCACAATTGATGCTCATCACACTTGAGAGCCTCTGTGAGAATGCTTCCCTGAACTGGGTTTAACAGGACACTTCGGACAGCTGTAGGAGAGAAGTTTGGTTGTTGGTGTTGGTGTCTCAGGGAGTTGATGCACGCTATTCTGGAACAAGTTAGCTCCGTCTTTTCAAACATCTGTCATCGACATTCAATCTTGTCTCGAGAACAACATACAATCGTAGATGGACGTCAGATAAAAGGGATGCTGTTACACAGTGGTCATCCTGATCTTATGCAATATCTCTGCAAGCACTTTGTGATGGACAACCGTAAGTAGGGTGGTATTCGCAGCGCAGCAGATGTGGACGCTGGGCCTTGGCTGCGGACCATGGCATTGGCATTGGATGTTCCAAAGTGAGGCCGCTTCTGCTCGCTATCCATGGAGCTCTGATTTTAGCTGCTTGAGTCCAATTGGCGAAGGGATGCCCTCGAGTCAAGTTTGCGGCTGTATTCTGACCATGGGATGTCCCATATGTGAGCTTCTTTCCCCCAGCGCTAGCCAGGACGCGTTCCTGAAGGAAAATCACCCGGTCGAAGCGGGCTATGGTGGACTTATGGAAGAAATCAAGACTGCCACAAGACCCAAAACCATAATGATGGAAAGAAGGCAATTTGAAGAGGGCAGGAAAAGGCCAGGCGGAGTCTCGAACGAGACTTTGGCGAGGCAGGTCGATACTTGGATGCCCTGCTGTCTGCTCAGTGTTCCGTCAAATTACACAAGGTTCTTTCGAATCGCGATCGGCCGGAGCTGGAGTCGTTGTCCAAAGTAACAGTCTAGCACCGCATCTTACAGGCCGCGAGGCATATAATCACCGGGATCGTCCAAGGCGGAAAGCGAAACAATTCCAACGGCGGTAGGCTAGACAGAAGACCAATGGAAAATTAGGGAAAAATCATATGGTTCAAGGGCTCGCTGTGTCTGAGCGGATCCCGCTCAGCCTTGCATGACCTTCCCCATCACATGGCAATCCCATCAACATAAGATACACTGGCGTCCTCCCCAACCACAACACAACAAAGCGCTCAACTCTTGGCGATCAGACTTTTGGCGACAGACTTTTGAAAATTAACAGGTTAATATTTGAGTCACTGAATTCCTTCCAACAATCAGCCGGGGGGACAGATGGCTCAGTCGTTAGTGCACTGCACTGACTGACCAACTGTCCTTGATTTGCCGGAGATTTGACGAGTTCTTACTTGCTCTGCTGACTTATCCTCTATACTGGTAGGATATACCTGATGACCCATAGTCGCCCTCCAAGGGACTACGGCGAGGGTATTGGTACGGGAGTACACGGTAAGTCGGGTCACAAGTAAGATAAGTCGACATCGTCAAATCTCCTCCCCATAAAAAACCCTCGGGTACTAGTATCCGAGGGTTTCACTCCCCTACACCGGATGGTAAACGGTGTAGGCGGCGAGTGTTTTTGTTGGTCTGGGGTTCAAATTGCCGGTTGTACGGGCTTGGTTTTCTTTTTGTTCTTTTTCGCACCAGTCTGAGTTGTCATACCGCCCGGCAGAAAGTTACTGACGGGGGATACACGGCGCCCTCCCCGGGAATGGTTTCTCCCTTACGTCGCCTCGGCTACCCTGTGGATCTCTACTCATGAAATACGACCAGGTATTTTGTCGGAGGTGCTTACTTCACAGCCTCCAGAATATGCTACATGGGTCAAGCAAGCCGGGCGGGTAGTTGCACTTTTCTGGACCACCAACGGGTGTCTGAACGCATCCCGTGCTCGCGCAGGACACCAAGCGATCGACATGCCTCCCGTCGCGGTCCACCAAACAGCGAAAGACCATGAGTTGTTCATACAGTTGTACTGCACAACACCGACTATCGACGATCGATTAGCGTACCGATGATCCTACAACATCTCTACTACAATTCTCTCCAGCTGCAAAAGCAAGCCATGGCCACTTCCAAGGCTACAAGTGACATTGCATATCATGATGCACAAAGTACCACCGCATGGTTTGACAGTGAGTTACCACAGGCTGTGGCGCTTTCTGTCTCGTGTAAATCGTACCCTCTTGTCCACTGAGTTCACTGCTCTGTAACACAGCATGACGGAACCTCGAGAAACGAACATTCGAGAAAAGTGCCGTCCGTTCACGGGGGATGTGACGTGCCACAGCTTGGGGTTTTGGATAACAGCAATCGAAGCTGGATGACAGCAAACCTACACCGGTTTGATGGCGACACAGCTGCCTCACCTCATCGTTTGTGCCTCGTTGTGCAGTCGTTTGTGTGCTGTCCAACGACATCCGTTTGCTGACTGTCGTGATGGAGCGACCAGAGAGAGTCTTTTCGATCTGGCCTATTTCTATTTATCCATGGCTTACCCTTCACTGCTGTCGATGTGCAGTCGGTGAGTGAAAAACAGAGCAACGTTGTGTATGAACTTTGGAACAGCATTCTGTCCGTGGATTGAGCATCTATCTCACCCAGCACTGGCATCTGGCCAGCCAATTGATTTTTCGTCTACCAGTGACATTACAACTTCCGCATACACCGCTTATATACAGGAGTGAAGAAGGTTAGCCGTCCTCAATGCCTCCTGGAGGCATCTATCTCATCTAAATCGCTTCGATCTCAACTCTTCACTCAAGGCCATCAGCATCACCAGAAACCAACTGAACACTTCACTGTATAGACACTGCCCCAGCGTGTCCATACAGATGCGTTTACTGCAATTGTGTTCAATCATCTGTCCACCTAATAAGTTCAACTGCGCACCTGACTACTCACTACCGCTCCTCATCACTTATCACTCCTCAGAGCTGGGTTTGGTCCTCATCACTCACCACTCCCCCAGAATCGACTTGGATTAGTTCTGGTTTGCCAACACTCACAAACCAAACAAAACAGTTTGACCACCACCCATCCATCCCATCAGTGCCATCACTCTATCCATCCCATCACTCAACCAACAAACCAACCATGGCGACCAGACATATAAATTCCGCTCGAAGACGACATCGTCTCTTCGATTCCGATTCACCATACAACAGGTCGTCCTCATCCACAACCACATCGATACTGATACCCAGCCCAAGTCCGATACCACCACCACAACCACCATCACTGGTCAACCACTCAGTTTCTATCCCACCACCGAATCTAAATATACAAGAAAATAATACAGCCTCTAGCGACCCTGTTCCTCGAGACAAGGCTCGTCAGCGTCGGGCCAAAATGACAAATTGTATAATCTGCGGATCCAACAAAGGAGAATTCTACCAATGTAACTGCGACACAGAGTACGCGAGTTCTTCATCAGCTGCAGACTCGAAGAATGCCTGTGCCAGTACAACGACCACGACCACGAGTACGACGGGAGGAGGCTCGGGAGGCTCAGGAGGGTCCTCGAGCTCAGGGGGAAGCTCCGGGGTGACTTCTGGGTTTACGTCCGAGCAATGGGATTATGTGGGGAGGAAGTTGGGGGAGAAATAGGTACCTAGTACCTACTAGTAGGCAGTGAGATTGTGAGACTTCGGTTGATATTGATGGGAGGGAGACCAGCTGGAATGTTGGAGTGAGTGAGAGATGAGTGAGAGATGAGAGACGAGACTCGAGGGATGAATGCCTAACGACTGATGACTTATGTGTTATGAGATGACCTGAGAGCCTAGCCTGGTACGGTCTCAGAGTCCGAACAAATACCTCACATACCTCACACTTACTACATAGGTATTCGGGCCTGACGGCTTATTAGCTAGTATTTGCGGATGGTACTAGGAGTCTGTCTGTTGATGGTACCTCCCAAAATGATATCTGTGTCTCCATGAGGAAGCAGGATACTAGTAGTATGCTCTCATACTAAATCATTCAACTTTAAGGTACCTCACACGCCTTCCTGATATTTCTCTTGTCTTTACCGATTTTCATATCAGAGCAAATCAGATCAAATCACATCACATTGTCTAAAATATTTCTTCTCTCAATTCATTCCTAATTGTGTCTCAAGTTCAACGTGGAGTGCATTGCACTGCAGTACCGCCTCGTACGCTACGAATGGCCTCAAGGTATCTCATAGCTTCATACTCATATCATAGCTTCATACCGTCAAGCCACAATCCCACTCGTCACAGTAGCAGATCCAGCACTCGTCCCTATTTCCGTCCCACTCCCAGTATCTACACTCGTCGTCCCAGCACTCGTCCTCGTCCTCGTCTCAGTAACTTGCACCGTATCCGTCATCCTCACCGTTACCGTCACAGTCTGTCCGGGCACTGTTATAGACTCCAAATATATCGTCCGCGTACTCGTCGGCATTGTCACAGCGACAGTAACTGTCCTCTCCTCCCCGATTGTCGTTGTCTCCGTTTCCTCCCCTTCTTCAGAATCACCATCTACCAATGACAGTGCCGAATCCGACGGGGCAACTAGTCGACTCCTCACAATAGACGTGACCGTACCCACACTCGTAGTGGTCATCGTCGACTCGAACGACAAAGTCGTGGTTGCGATGTATGAGTTGGCGGAAGTTATGATTGCGGTCTATGATTGATTCATCATCATCATCAGCACTGCGCTTATAATCGGAGGAAAGGGAAACAAAATGTAAAAGTCTCGTGACGGGCAGGGTGCAAGGTAGTCAACAAACAAAAACAAAGTGGTAAAAACTTGTAACCGGGCACTAGGTGAGAAGTCGACGAACAAACAGCCTTGACTTGTTTGCATTTGGTTGGTTGGACTTGGCCACAAAGAAAGAGAGTGAGTGAGAAAGAGGGAGAGAAAAACAAGAGTTAAAGTTGCAAGACTTACCCCAGAAAACGACGCGACTGATATTCCTATCCTCGTGGTCGTCGAAGTGATCAGTTGCCAGGATTCGGTGGATGTTAGACAGTTGAGATTGTGGTCTTGAGAAGCCAAAATGGGAATCGGATCTGGTGAACCAGATACACTCATAGTCGTAGACTCCGAGCCCTCAGACGCAGACTCAACCTCTGATCCATTAGTAGTACCAGTAGTCGCTGTTGCTGGACCACATTCCTCAACCCTGACGATGCTTGGAACAACCGCCCCCTTGAGTGATTGCTGATCCTGGACTTGTGCCAAATCATACCAATGCGCCGCGTAGAATGCCATTCCCAACCCTAATTCCGATCCCGTCGTCGGACTCGAAGTTGGACTTGGACCTGTGGGACTCGCAGAAGCCCCGGCCGAACTTGACGCTGCTGCTGCTGCCGTAGCAGGTGCTGAAGCATCAGCAGCACTCACAGTGCCAATGGTGGAACATGTCGTGTCTCTTCTCATCTCACTAGAAAATGTCACCCACTGATCACATCCGCTCACCACGACCGGCATCATCCCTACGGCGGGCGGCGTGAGGGTTGTGGAACAGTAGCGAGTCGTCAGGGCGGAGTAGATTGTTTGACAGCCTTGGTCGTCCATGATGATTCTTGCATCTGGCTCTTGTTGACTTGTCCGGCTGGTTGAGTTGGTAGTCGTATTGACGGCCGAAAACAGGGACGCCGACGCGGACGATGATGAAGGCAGGGTAGTGGTAGTAGTTGTTGTAGTGGTAGACAAGAAAACGGTAGTGCTACCATTTGGTAACATGGCCGTAGCGTTAATTTGGATGATTGATGGAGCAGGAGTACCACTGACAGTGCCATCACCCCCAGCAGTAGCGTCGGTAGTGGTATTCGTTGTATTCGTATTGTCCGCAGCCGCAACCGCAACAGATACAGATGATGATCCATCAGTCATTTCAGGGGATAGAGGTCCAGACGTCGACGACGACACCAAAGTCCATGATAGACTTGACGACGACGTTGACCCAGACCCCGACGTTTTTTGAGAGTCTGAATCTGGAGGACATATCGTGGCAACTGGGATTTGAAGAATCGTGGTTGGGAATTGATATGACGGCATCATTCCCATTGATACTGGTTCTGATTCTGAAGCCGAAGCTGATACTTGTATCGGTGTTGATGCCGTCGTCGATGTAGTTGATATCGGCGTGGTCAGCGCATTGCCGCTGCCGCTGCTTCTGCTGCTGAGAACTGACGACGAGGACGATGTCGATGATGACACCGACGACACCAAAGTCCCACTGCTGCTGCTGGACGCCGACAAGGCTGCAGACCCTACCTCCGAGTTCTGAAGCACGCCCAGCCCTTCAACCGCCGAATTCAGGGTTGACGGTCCAGTGCCATCCTGACGAGGATGGAGTTGTTCTAAACCCTGAGCTTTTGAATCCGATCTCTGTTTCCATCTTGGATGGACATGAGCCTTGCCGTCATGTCTGATCTTCAACTTGAAAGCCGTCCCTGGCACGGCGGAGCTGGGGGTGTTGGCACTGACACTGGCACTGGCACTGACACCGCCCGAACTTGAAGCTGCGACTGTAATGATGGCGAGAAATAGAAATGTGGTCAGTAGCTTGAGTTCCATGATACCAATATCCTGTGCGTATCCGTATCTTTCTCTCAAACACAACCGCAGTCCTTGTCCTTGTCTCAACCTCACGCACACGCACGGCACAGTTTCGTCCTTGACTCGACTCCCGAGTCGGCTTGTGATGGTGGTTTGGAACTTGGACGATATACCAAAGTCAACTCAACTCAACGTTGGTATCGGTAATGCTCTGATCTGCCTTCGCCTGCGAAGGTTAGCTAAGGTTGGAAAGAAATGCCACACACCGACAATACACTGAGTATTTCAAGTTCAACTGCAGATCCGTGAAACAAAAATAACCGACAAGCAAAAAGCAGAGCGTCCAAAAGCAAAGAGACCCCAAGAAAAAAGAGACCAAAAGAAACCAAAAAAGAAAGGTTGGCAAAACGTTGATGCTTGAAAGTGGCAGGGCACGGCAGGATAGGATAGGATCAAATTCAAATCCAGGACCACCACCCTCACCACCACCACCACCTCCTCCTCCTCCTTCACCTCGTAATAGTACAAAAATGTTGGTATTGGTTGGTTGGTCAAGAACATTTGCGGATAACAGGGCTCGATGCCCTGCCAGTGCAGAAGCACAATGGTGAATGCAGGTCTCAGATCGGGACATGAGGAATGCCAACGCAATGCCAATATCAATGCCAATGCTAGCCACTGCATTCATTCATTGTTCACACGACATGTAGGTATGTGTGTGTCATCTGCAAGGTACCAATCATACCTAGGTACTTGGGCTGTCCCACGCCCAGCTCGGCCCATTTTGAAAACTCTCCCTTGATTTTGATCCCTTTGACCCAAACTTCATATTTGAACCCCTTGCTGCTGTTCGCTGTCCAGGAATTTCCAGTTTCATACCACTTCACCTGTCTTTTGCCAAAGCCTGGCCTGGCCTGCCTGACTAGACTACACTAGACTAGACTAGATCTCACTGTCTCGGTCATTGTCATTCATATCGCGGGGCCCGCCCCGGCGGTTGCGACGCATCATCATGATAAGCACTGCTCATAAACTCCATTTCGGAATCCATAGGTGCCGGCTGGAAAGGCATTGTTGTGGCCATTTGGAAATCGGCGCCCGGAAAGTACTGATCATACTGCATCATCGGATCATAAGCGGCAAAACTCTGCGACGTCGGCAACTCGGGAATGGGGTACATGGTCGTCTGGGGCGGTACTGATGCATAGAGACCGGCCGAAGAGAATGGATTGCCAGCAGTGGTATAAGCCGGCATGGGCGGCGGCGCGGTGACTGCCGCAGGAGGAGATGGTTTGCCTGGTGGCATTTGAGGCAGGTCGTCCACACTGCGGCCGACTTTTTGGGCGGCATCTCGAAGCATGGCGAAACACATTGCCCACGCCCGTTTTGCAGACAAGTTATCTTCTGCTAATGCGTGAAGCCAACGGACTCCCTTCTTGCTCGCTTCCAAAATGTTGTCGGCCTCTTCAGGCATATGGTTGGCTCGAAACGATATTTCCAGCATCAACACCGTACAAGCCTGGACAAGCAAATGCAAGATAATCCACCACGGGCCCACGCGGAGAAGTCCAACCGCGTTCGGCTCGTCAGGAATCAAACCCAATGTTCCCATAGCCGCCTCGACACATTTGGATGCCGAGTGCCGGTTGAACTCGAGTGATTTGCCGGATTGGCCGGGGATCTTGCGATCAAGCCGACAAAGACAAGGACGATGGGTGGTCATCTTGGCACTGTAGTAGAAAAAGCCCAAACACAACCGAGCCTCGTAGGAAGCACGATCGCGCTGCTTGCGTCGAAATGCAAATGCCGGTGGCAATCTTTGATACCAGTGCTCGATCTGTTCGTCGAGCTCTCGGATCGTATTTTGCACATCCGACCACGTGCCTTGAATAGAAGCCGGATTGTACAAACGGTGGAAGATGTTCTGGGTCAGTCGGCTCAACTGCACCAGATGCAAAAAGTAGAGGGATGGGTTGGGTGGAACATCCTTGGCCCACTCCAAGTCTCCCTGCGTGCTGAGCATGGAGGGAGATCGAGAGTCGGCTTTGGTTTGGGAACGTGATCGATCGGTGGAAGACGGTGTGAAATTGGAATTGCTAGGAGTCTGTGGGTTCGAGGCCGGCGCTCGGTCACCTTGCTGTCTCTCCTTACTCAACAGCTTGCGACCCTCTTCGGTGTCGAACTGGTCTTCATCCAGCGGCACTGGCAGTGGCGTGGTGCAGTGATCATCCAAGATACAATTCACTCGGCCCGTCATGTTGCACAAACGGTGTTCGAGGGTGTACAGCGCCCACCAAACCCGATAGCGAATTTCCTTCAGCGGGTTTGGCAGATTGGCACTATCATTGCGCATGTTCATCCCCAGAGCACTCGCTTGCCGGACGGCAAGGCCATTCAACAGCCACGCCCGGTTGACCTGGCTGGTGCAGAGCAGATAGAAAGACATCAACCCAATAATCTGTATCTGCTGCAGATCCGGGTGTTGAAACAGGGTTTCCGAGTTGATGTTGAGAAGCCGAGCCCGGGTGAAGTAGATGAGGTGGTCACGCTCGTCCCCTTTCCACTCGGCGTTAACCAGATGCGAGTATTTGGCCCCAATGGCAAAAATCATGTTGAGGATGGCCAGCCACTTTTCCGGTGGATTTTGTACTGTCCCGTTGATGAATCGGCGGAACTGACTGGTGAGATTGACCTTTCCTACCACCGGAAAAGATGGATGGACCCTAGCCATGTAGGCATCAAACAGATGACCGGCAACGTCCGGGGTAGGCATCTCGTACGGGTCAACCGCCTCAAACGTGAAAATGGGAAAGTCGTCGAGGTGATAGCTGGAGTCATTGACGGTGAAGCCTTCGTCCATTTCCGTCAAAGGGGTTTGCAGGTCACCCACTTGACGGCGGGAGGCAAAGGACGCCGTCGATGCGGCCGCCAGAGTTCGTTGTTTCTCGTTTCCCTGGGTGTCACCCTGCCAATCGCCATACTTGTTTTCCTCTCGTAACCGTTGCAACCAGGTCACTTCCGAGTTTTTGCCCATGAATCCAGTCGACCTGGCTTGTTCACGGGTGAAATCCTCGTCCGTCCGATCCAAAGCACCTGTCGACCCCGCGCCGGCCGAGGCGTCTGATTCTGCGCCCGACTCTGATTGCTCTCTCTCGGCGTCGATGGTGGCAAGTGTGTTGGTTTCGGTGGCGTCATATCTGGCAGTATCTTCGCCGTCGAGCGTTGCTTCCTACGAACAGTGAGTACAGCGACTTGACAACAACTCCAACCGGCGTACCTTTTCCAACGCGGCTCGAATCATCCTCGCATCTTGCTCGTTCACCCTGTTCATCAAATCGTTCAATAACCTTTCGTAGTCGGCCACTTTTTCGGTCATGGTGCCGAATTGCCTGTGGCGCGCGTCAGCTCTTGATAATGTAATGTGAAAACCAGGCATAATCCTCACTTCTTGACCCGGTCTCGTTTGCCATCTACGTAAAAACATGCAATCTTAAAGTCCTGGCAATGCCGACAAACCGGTCGCTCTCCACTGCACTTGGTCTTGCGATGCCGACATGGCTCACAAGCATGATTGACCCGGTGTCTCCCTCCCGAACGCGGCGCATCCTGGCCCTCGCCATCCACCGATCTTTTAAGCCTTGGAATGGCTACTTTTGCCGCCTTATGGGCCGCATTGCTCCCGACCGACCGCGGGGATTGGGGAACACGAAAGTGAGAGGCCTGCGCAGGGGAGGAGGGAGTGTGCGCGGACGTGGTTGAGGGTGGGAGGCGAGTTGATTCTGGAGTTTCGATGGATGCGACGGGGACTTGCGCCAGTGGATAGGACCTGACAATGTCGCCTGAAGTCGAGGGCGGCCGCGTGCCTTCACCACGGCGCTGCTGTTGCTGGCCGGGCATCTGGCCGGACGGACGACGGTGGGTTGGAATCAGTTGAGTTCGGTTCGGATCAGATCTGATCAGATCAGATCAGGTTCAGACCGGCGAGATCAGTTCAAACTGCAGTGGTTCTGGATTTGGATTTGGATCTTGGTACTCGGGAGGCGAACAAGTGGATGATCCAAAGGTCAGCGGGGGCAGAATAGTGGCGGCGGGCAGGTTTTGAGTTTCCGATCACGTCGTGAGCAGAAACCTAGGTTTTGTAGGAGTCCTGGATCGCCGTCTGGGGGAGGCGGATCACAGACTGACAGCGCTCGAGGTCAGCGCATGATGGAAGTCACTGCCACAGTCGAGATGAAGAGATCGCTTGCGCCCACCACGGCCGTGGAGATGGTGAAATGGTGCAGGAGTGGTAGTCGCAGAGGGAGGGAGACGGAGAAGAAGGCGAACACTGTCTGCCCGCTTTGCAATTGACGGCGCTGTCGTGTCCGTTTGGTCCGAGTCGCAAAGCCTGAGTTGAGGTTCGAACGAGTCCTGGGGCAGAAGACACTACAGACCCAGACAGTCTCAGAGGCGGAGGCCGACACAAGATGCTTCTGTCTTCCGTCTTCCGTCTCTGGCTTTGCTTTTGTCTTTTGTCTTTTTCTTAACTTTGCGGCTGTCAGAAAGGAGTCGAGCGAGAGCCTGCCAATGACACGTGAAACAGGTAGGTAAGTGAATGCCTGGCAGCCCTCGAGACCCTGGCACGGGCACGGCTCTGCTTCCTTGGTCGGGCTGTCGGCAGCCACTAACTACTGCTATACTCCCTAGCTACGTAGCAGGTACTCTAAGCCGATGAGGTCGTGGTATCTACTATGTACAGTATACAACAGTATACCATGTTGTGGTGTATCAAACTCGCAGAGACTATGGGTCGTCTCTTCAGGGACAATCACCGCAGCCGCAAGCAGCATCGTCATCCTCTCTGCTGCCTTCACAATATTGCAAAACAGGGTCTGGGTCTAATGAGAACTGCGTGCGTGCGTGCGTCTGTGTCTATCTAAACCCTGCCAGTGCTGCTGATCCGGCTTCATGATCCTAGACGCTGCACAATGGTCCCAACCCGTCCCCGGCAGTGGGTCGCCATCTGGTCTTCCAATCGCAGAATTACATCACGTTGGCTTCTCGCAACCCAATGTGCTGGTCTTCTGCTTCTAGGGCCACCATCTGCTCCCCTCTGCGCGCTCCATCCTTTCCCTTCCCAGTCTAAGGCAGCCTCTAGCTCTGGATCACCAATCGGCAGCCCAGCCTACCAACCTGGCATGATGTTGCGCCTCCGCTGATGATGCTCCCATGCAGAGTCGCGTCTCAGCCAGTCACCTAGGTGCCACTCAACCGTGAACTGTCGTGCTCGTCGTGTTGCCCGACGTCAGCGGCTTCGAGTTTGCTACCGGCTACACCGGCTAAGTCGTCTGGAGGGTTGTTCCCTCCTAGCTTGAAGTGCGTGTTTCTGCGCGTCTCTAACGGTGTTGCGCCCCAGGGACAACCCATGGGTGGCCTGCAGTCGCGGATCGGCCAACAACCAGCACCAGACGAGACCAGTCCTTTTTGGGTCTCGAACCGTTTATTCTTGTCGTTGTCGCTTGACTCCATGTTGATTCCAATCGCCGCCGCCTCCGCCAAAGTTGCCCCCTTGTCCAGCATTGAACATTCCGGGGTTGAACTGATTCCCTTGGAAACCTTATAACCAGGGTTAACTATGGCCAGCAACAGAACCATCACGACTCACCTGCCATACCCATCCCAGCCATCATCGGATTCATCCCCATATTCATATTGCCCATGCCCATGCCCATGCCACCAGCCATGGGCATCATGTTCATACCACCTCGACCGCCACGCATTCCGCCCATGTTTCCTCGCATAGGATTGCCCATCATACCGCCGCGATTGAACCCGCCATAATTGTTGCCCACGCCCATATTGCCCTGGAAGCCCATCATGTTGTTATTGTTGTACCCTCCCATAGGACCCGAGAAATTGCGGTTATATTGGTTATGGTTATTGTAGCCGCCTCCGCCACGATTGAAACCTCCTCCTCGACCCCCTCGGTATCCTTGATGCATTGCACCATAGCCATGGTCTCCGCGACTTGTCGAGTGGAACGAACCACGGACGGGCGGGCGGTCGTCTCGGGCTCTGGGGGCTTCTTTCGGGAGTGTCTTGAACGGGTTCTGCGTCGCGACAGTGAAGGTGACCGAGTGCTTGCGGGAGCCAGGCTGGTTTCCTCCCACACTCTCGATCTTGTGTTTGGCCGCTGTTGCAGCCTGTAGCGACGAAAATTCGACATATGCTTGACTGCGATGAGATTAGCATCACGACCGGAACGGAGCCAGTTTTCATGCACGCACCCTTTGCTCTTGCCATTCACCTTATGCTCGCTGAAAGATATATCCTTCAACTCGTCTTCGGCCGCAGCTTCATTGGCCCATCCACGAATGTCGTCTTCGGTTATCCACCAGTGCAAGTCTGAAATCATCAGAGCAGTGGTGGCGCCATGGTCGATTGGTCTGTCATCCGAGCTTTCTTTCCGCTTCGTTCCCTGTTGAGGCGTTGGCACTTGTGCGACGGGCTCATTGTTGCTGGATTCTTGATGTTCGGTTTGTCTGTGGCCTTGGTCCTCGGTCCCATCAAAGCCATGAGACTGTTGTTGTTGTTCTGATTCCAGATTATCTTCAGTGTTCTCTGCGAGGGCCGTTTCGTCGTGTTCCGCTTCGAAATTGTGTCCTTCTTCTTCCTCTTCTACCTTAAAATCCATCTGTCCCGACTCGGTGCCCAAGTCACCTTCGCCTTCGCCATCTCCATAGATATCAATGTCAAAGTTGTCTTCATCCGCAGCCATGATGAAAATAGGTTAGATGTGTGAACAAAGTCGATTGTCTGCCTGAGAGATATGCACAAGAAGACCAGCGTGGGACATGGAATGAGTTCTGCAAATAATCCATCCTGCATTAGCCAGAGGTACAATGATGATCGGACAGAAATCCAGCGCGGTGAAACCCTCCGGAGGACATTAGACCTGGCTTGATATTCCAGCTCGCAGCAACAGCAGCAACCCCCGCCCTTAGGCTCACGTCCAAGAAGGAAGATACATACAGAACTGATGTTTCAACTCCACACAATCTGAAGAATGCATGCAATAGCCCGAAGTACCCTTGTTACATGAAGGCAGGCCAGCTGGCTTCCGCTGATAATAGATACAATTGTTCCAAGCCTCCGGTCCAAACAATAGTATGATAATATGAAGACTCGACTCGTGGGCTATCGCTTGAGGAGTACAACGTCGGCAAGGAGAATAGAAGAAACGATCAAGGTCAAGGAGGTGAGGCTGGGTCGTGAAACGACACTCGGCGTGCGATGCAGTTCCGGAGAGAGCAGACTGCGATTTGGTGGAGGTGCAACTTGAGGAGATGGGACACGCTAGGACTGGGACGTGGAGGTTCCGTCCGCAGTCTGAAGGTTGCCCTGAGGGGAAAGGCTATGAATATGTTCGACGAGACAGGACAGAGAAAGCTGTAGATACCGTGGTGATCAGAGGATTGATTGAAGCAAGAGACAAGAGAACAGTACAAAACCCGAGCGAGCTGTGAACGGAACCTTGAGTGTCAACTCTACAATTGTACGTTGTAGAACGCGGAGGTGCAGGCAGACGATCTGCCACTGCAGTGTGAGTGAGTGAGAGTCTGGGCCACTGGCAGGGGGCGCAGGGCTGCAACTTTATTGGCGCACTGCAGACCCCTGGTTCTACTGTACATAGTATTATTCCGTACTTTGGTGCTTCAACTGATGCCACCTACGCCTGTTACAACAGTTCATCTTTTACACCGTGGACGTTACTGCAATACACCGCCTCACCTCGTCACAACAATCCCCTAATACTAGTACTCCTCGCGATTGAACCTCACAGCCTCCGCAGCACGACTACCTGCGCACTGAGACTAAACTCCATTAACCACCAACCTTCCTCTCCCACAAACACCTGCGCACGCAACGCGCTCACTCCAACACAATGTCCGACCTGGTGCAAGAGATCGCCGATGTGCCTCGGGAGTTTTTCAAGGATGGCACACAATTTATTCACAGATGCACAAAGCGTACGTGACAGCCCTTTTGATTTCGATTTATTTTTACAAGAGCGGAAGAGCTTTGGGAGTGACCACGACGAGACAAGACGAGACAGGACAGGACAGGACAGGACGATGCAGAACACATTGAGACACAGAATGACCAGAAAATATACCTTTGCAAGCAACGAATGCACGATTCTGCAGTCATTTCGCTCGGCTCAAATGGGTGGTTGACATGGTGAGGACCTACGACTACATGAGGCTTGGTCGCAACACGGTGCCAGGTGCAGCGAAGAGGCTTCGTGGCCATATGTGGACACCATACGGAGATGCTCGAGCCTTGCTCTTCAGGTAAAAGCAGAACAGCCAGGATGCAGAATTGGTTGAATCTGGGTCAGATATAAGCATCAGCAAAGTGGCTTGACCGTGTCCTGCGATTAAGCCGCATCCTGCTCTGAAAAGGGGGGAATTGCAAGATATGGTGTCTGTTCAGTCCCTTTTCGCCAGGCTGTCCTGCTGGACCAAAGAGGTTCTGCAGGCCGGACCAAACGCCTATCTGTCTGGTTTTACGTTCTCGTTCTGTCTCTCGGCCCTGTCCTGTCCGCTGTCTGTCTGTCCATCTCAGCCGGCCACTCATCCAGCCGCGTTCATACCCCGAAAATCACTTTTGTTACATGCACATACTACTACATGAACTGACAGGACCAAAACCAACAGCCGACCGAAGAGAATTCATCAAGATCTCCCAAGCCGTCGGCATGGGCTTTTTGATCATGGGCGCCATCGGATACTTTATCAAACTGAGTACGTGTGCCACTCACATCATACAGCTTTCACTCCTCCTTTCCCTGTCTTTTACTACCCTTATGCTATCACTCTCTTTGCCTTTCTTATCTAACCATGTTCTCAATGCAGTACATATCCCCGTCAACAATGTGTTGGTGGGATAACGAGCATACTACGTCCACCCAGTACTGGTATCCCATTCATTTCAAGGCAAGCGATATTTGATGTGATGGATGCACGGATGGATGGAATGGAGGGATGTACTTCTTGGTAGCAAGCAAGCAGTCAAGCCAGTTGTGATGGTTGGGTGGTGGCTGGCTGTTGCTCTTGGTTTTGGATCTGCCACTTGTATTCCATTGAGGGAAAGAAGATGGAGTTGACCTTGAGCATACCTAGTAAGCAACATGCCTGAGAAACACCCAACGAAACGGAGAAGACATGTGCTGCGCTGTGCTGTGCTGCCAGTAAGTGCACGTGTACCAGGATCCGGCGGAATAACGCCATGAACAAGACCAAGCCCTCTTCCCACTGCAACTTGATCTGGACCATTCCCATTCCCATTCCCAATCCGCCTAAACAGTGACATTTCAAGTTCCCAGCCATCGGCGATTATCATGAAGTAAACCACTACTAGTTCCTTGGAAGTCTGGCTACCCGACTAGGTACTAGTTAGGGGGCAGGGCAGAGGGTAGAGAGACCCGATCCTTGATCGATGGGATTTAATATCAGCATCACCATCGCACCTCCCATTAGTAGGTATGGAGTGCTCTCTGTACCAGTAGTAAGCAGGTGGTTGTGTCCTGTCCAGACTTGCAGTCCCAGCTTGCCAGCTTGCCAGCTTGCCAGCTTGCCCAGCCAGTGACTAAGTAACCCGTACTCATACCCAACGGCACGGGCGCGTCAAATACCAGTCATTACCAGTACCAGTACCGTATGGATGAGACTCCTACACCGCTTGGGCTCCGTAGTCTCATGTTCACGAGACATCAGGCCACGCGGACCGTCTCAGACTCAGCCGTCTCCCAATTCCTCTGACGACCTCCCCAACAGCCGCCGCCAGCGTCAATGGTTGTCACCAGATCCCACCTACACCATCATCATTGTCTTCGTCATCAGACTGTCCCTGTCTCTGCTGTGCTGGTACGGCACTACTTCTCAAACCTGTGGTGCGACCACCAACACCACCACGCCGAGCCGTCTGAATCCGTGCAGTCCGCCTCGGCAAATCATCGTCAGGAACACCATTCCCACCATCAAACCCGTGTCGCGCTCGCCGCGCGGCAAAGTCAAAGTCCTCGCGCCGGTCAAGACGGGCATTGTAATTCGACGCCATGGGCGGGTCGGCCTCGTCGTCTTGGTTGCCGTCGTTCCAACTGTGCAGGGACACGGTGCCGGTTGCCATGCCCCAGCCGTTCCAGGATGTAGCTATAACAAAAGGGAGGGTTAGCCTTGGTTCGGTTCATATAGAGGTAACAACAGCGTCAAAACAACAGCACCAATATCCTCGCCCTTCACCCTCTCCACCCCTCCCCCCGGGCAATGTCAAAAAAACAGAAAAATTTATACCTACCAGCCAACACAGGCGCCGTCGGACTCCAACTCGCATCCCTCACACAAGTCTTCCACACACCACTGTGGTGACCATGCAACTCATAGCCATAACCGGCACTATCTGCTCTTGGCCGGGTATCTTTTGTGGCGGCATAGACATCGACAGTGGCCTTTCTGGTACCATCCAAGTTCCAAATGTACACTTTCCCATCTTCACTGCCACTATAGACATAGCGAGAGTTACTCGAGCCAGGAGGCGAGAAGTGACATCTGATCAGGGTTTTCAAAACGCTGTGGCCGCGGAACGTGACGACACTGCAATCCTTCGGGTTGGGGATATAGTCGTCCTCGTCGTAGGGAGAGAAACGATAATCAAAGTTTGTGGTGTAAGACTGTAAATCGATCCGGGCAAACTCGTTGGGCGAGATCATCTTGCGCAGATCCCAAAGTTTCATCATCTGGTCTTTTCCGTTGGACAAAACATAGCGGCCATCTCCCTTGGAGTCGACATACGTGAGGCCTTCGGTGTGGCCGACGAAAATACCGGCAGGCCGTCCGTCCGCCATGGACCGACGATCCCACACTCGCAACGTCTGGTCGTCGGATCCCGAGTACAAGATATGCGGGGAGGATTTGTCGCCGAAACAGACGGCATTGACATCGTCGTCGTGGTTTGACAGTCGCACCGTCGATTGCCGTCTTTCTAGGTCGTATACCACGACACTATGGTCTGATGTGCCTGCCACGATCTCGCGTCCATCACCGCTAAACCGCAACGACCAGATCCCGAACCCATGGCGGCCCATGTATCCGTAATTCTGTCGACCCATTCCCGAACCGGGCGCAAAATTGGTGAAATCAAGTAGCGTATGGTCCGAATGGTCCGTCGGGTCCGTCGGAGCGAGACACACAGTATGTCGGATCGAAGAGTATGCGAGGAATTTGTTGTCTGGACTCAACGTGGCATCGGTGATGGTCCATTGACCAAACGGGTAGTCGACCGTCTTGTAGTATTTCCATTCGTAGGGATTGCTGGTGTCGTACATGCGAACCTTGAAGTTCTGCGTACAACTGAAGAAGAAGTTACCGTCGTCTGAGAATTGGCCAGAGTATGCTCGACTGTCGTAGTGGATGATTTTGTCTGCTGTTGATGTCGACGGTATTGAGTCTTGCGCGATCAACCGGTTTTGCCGTCGCATGCTTGACCGTCCGTCCACCCCTAAGCGTCGCCACATCAGCCGTTCAGCGACGGTCCGTCTTCTCTTTCGTAGTATGTCCACAAAATCATCTCGACTGCCGTACAACCCTGAGTTCATTAACGCCCGTCCGTTGTCGCTGGGAACTTTGGGGAATCGGTCCTCGGGAGGTTTCGGTCGCCGTCGTCTCCTGCGTCCGTGTAGACTGCCAAAGGGGCCTGAGCCCTCGAGAATAATATCGTCTTCGTCATCTTCGTCGTCTCCTCCGAATAGATCTTGTCCCCCTGGTCCAAGTAGGCGATATCGGCTGAGGATCAGTTGTCGTAGGGGTGCACTGGCATTTAACAGTCCTCGGATGTCGGCCGCGGTCACTGTTTGCCAATCATCAACCGGTTAGTCTCGTGCTGCCTTCAAGTAGGGCTCATGGAGAGCACAAACACAAACCCTGGATAGGACGAGTTGCAGTACCACCGCCACCGCCTTCGGTTTCTGTCTGGTCGCCTTCCTCGTCCTCGTCCCCGCTGCCGCCCTCGAACACGATTTCAATCCCACTTAAGGTCTCCTGCGCATCTGGAAACCAACAGTCAGCACACCGTTGTAGACTGTCAATTGAATACGCGGGATTAATATACCGGCAAAGGCGGTGTCGTCGTCGTCCTCATCTTCGTCTTCATCTTCGTCGTCGTCGTTCAGGTCGCTGGCATTGGTGCTGCGGTCCTCGGTTGGATGGTAGCTGTCGACGTCATCATCATCCTCGTCTTCGGTAAAGATGTCCAGGATGTTTGGGGGCGAAGGGCTCAGCCCTTCCCGGCTGTTATCGTGGTAAGACATGGTATTAACAATTGCAAGAGAAGATGAAAAGGACCAAAATAAGGACGAGAACCCAGACTGGAGAGCCTGGGCAATTAGTAGATGAATGGTCGGGATGTCGCCTTTGGGATTGTAGTATCTTCGCCGCGGTCTACCATTATCGACTGTGCAGTGCTTATCTCCGGCCCGGGCACTTGAACTGTGGCTTTAATTCCAACATGAAGCGGTCACCATTCCGGCGTCTTGCTTCCAACATGCTAGTATGTAAAACTGTAATCTATTGGGTACTCACTACTCCCTGGTACTTACACTTACGAGCAGGTAGAGTCTTCACAACTGTCCTGTCCATCATACTCATCTAAAATATCCCAGTACATACTCCAGCGTATATTCAAGTCAGGCCGCCCACTCCTCCAACGCCAGACAACGACACATTCAAGCAGCATCGTAACAAGCATACCTCAACCATAACCAAATCCGCTATTTTCACCTCACGGCCACCGTAATGGAACCCTACTTGTCGTCCATCGTACAAGTCGACTCGCTATCCGTCCAGCCCACCAGCCGATTCGCAATATCACTAGCATAGCAATGCGTCGCCGAGCCCTTGCCCAAATCGCCCGATTCATCAATAGCGCCAGAGTTGTACAATCTCGCAGCTCGGTAATATGCCTCGGCGTAATCGATGCCATCGACATCGCTTTGAGCGTTGATATCGGTCGCAAACCCGTGCCCATCAGGCGTACCGGCAACTAAAAAACCAACCATTGTCAGCAAAATGCACAACTATAATAACCACAAACAGACTGTAACAAACATACCTCCATCAGATATCATGCCCACAATCTCGTCTTTAGGACACGGGTTCTTGACCTTGCCATTCTCGTCATTACACGTATGCGTACCCTTGAACGACTGCAGGAGACCAGGATTCTTGATCCCATCCGGCGACACGCTCGTCTTTGCCCGGACACACCCCTTGGTTTCCTGTAGTATAGCCGCGAGAATGAAGCGGTGGTCCACCCGTGTCTGATGGGCCACTTGCTTGATTGCATCGTAGAGATCCTGGGTCTCTTGGTCCGAATTGTTCGGTACGCCGTATAGAATGTCACAACTGCGGCTGATGGTATGTTGATTGGCAACCCACAGATCGTTGAATGAGACCCAGGTCAGATCTGACGGCCATCCGGCGGCCACGGAACCATTGCCTTCATATTGGGTATAGTGATTTGATCCACCTATCATCCATCACATCAGTAACAGCCAACCATGTCAAGTGTATTGTCTTGTTCAACTGCCTATTTGCTCTCTGCTCGATAGAGTGTATTCGGTCGGGCTTCTCGTACCGTCATAGTCATTCCAGTACCCATCTGTTCCCAACTTGCCCTGCACCACGGCCTCGGCTCGCTTCACATGGAGTGCAGGTACAGCATCGACAACTTCAAGGGCTGTGACGAGGAAACCTGCCAACACGATCTTTGGAACAGTTAGCCTCGAAGCATAGAGCAGCCAAGAACATGATGGCCAACAGACATACCACTTTGGAAATCCCCATGTCTCTCGAGTCCACAGGTAAAAGCAAGGCTCCACTTGGTGCACAGACGCCTGCAAAAGTACAACGGCAGGGTAGGGTAGCCACTGGAGACGGAACTGGAACAGCAACGCAGGCAAGCGGCAATAAACAAGCAAAAGACACCGTTGGGGAAATTCAATTCACACGAGAAACGTTCCGAAAGGATGGAGAATCATGATAACAGGAGAAAAAAGTAAGCACCCTTGAAACGCCATCATCGACGAACCTGGGCGATCCTTTTTCACGCGGGACTGGGACGCCGGACAGTGAGCGAGTGGCCTCGTTCGAGATCGTCCGCAGTGTGTAAGGATGCAGTGCTGTGGATAGGAGCTGCGCAGTAGTAGGTAGTATCTGCACATCAGGCCCTCGAGTGGATTCTTTCAAGGGATCTTAGACTGTAAGGCCCTGGCTTAGGCCACGATAGGAGGTTCCACCTGTGCACAATGTACAGGCATGCGCAGCAGATGAGGGACATGAGTCCGTCGGAGTCTGTCCTAGTAAGCCGCTTCAAACGGTGTGGCAGTGAGGCCACCGTCGGAATCGAAATGTGGGATGAAAATAATTATTCAATGATACATTGTACTGTACCTTGAAGTCAGGAAACCTCGATGGAGCGCGGCCCAACAAAAGACCCTGACTGATGAGATGAGCCACTTCAAGTTCGCCTTTCGCCCCCGGATAGGGCCTGGAAAGCATCCACATCCTGTCTTTCCTTAGGGCCCACGCCACGGGAGTGACAGAAACCCGCGACAGGAATGGGATAATGTCAGGCCCATGGCTTCGGTTTCAAACGCGGCGGGTCAGTCTACAATATTGTAGTTTTTGAGTCTAGCGCGTGAAATGGAGCGAGCGAATCCCACGTCTCACCCCCTGTGGATCATGTCGGGTGTGGCGGACCACGCCTTGTGCGATCCTTGCATTGTTCGGATCGGGCTGTGAGATGCCTATGGAACCAATGGTCCGTTGCTTATTCCTTCAATTGTTGCATGAATTCAAGTAAAAATATGCCAATGACCTGGGTTCCGGTCCCTGTAAGTGTGAACAACTGTTTGTATGACCGGAACGCCGAGGGAGGACGTTTGAAGTAGCTCAGAAGCCTTTCGGAGGCTCAGCTTCTTGTTACAGCTCATGCGATTTCGGTGATTGGTTTGAACAATTAGACGAATACGAACTGACGACTTCAGGACTCCAAGGTCTAGATTGACTTCTGGGAGTCGTGCATGGATCAAAGAGTGAAATGATCGCATTGGCCTCGGGGAGAAGAAGTGAAGAACAATCCATGTTGCTGGGAGCCACCAACAACCGCCGAAATGCACTGCTTGGACACTCGCGCCTATTCATACAGGACTTTCTCATTAGCATACGCAGCCTCGCGCAATGTCACCTATCTCTCATCCGCTATGCATGTTATCTAACAGTTGTTGACCCAGATCGTATTGCGCAGACATCCCATCACATCTTTTGTTCATCGCTTTTTCAGCTCCTCCAGCCGTAGCTTCAAGCACATGCCTCTCAACTCCTTTTTTTTACCTCCAACACATAGAACCCAGCTCGAAAGTCCTCGAAAGTTTTCCTTACAATCTCGAGTGAGGTTCCAATAACAACAATCAAATCCATTGTCCGCCGCCCGGCGCGGTACCCTGCGGTGGTGTGCCCACAACAGCTGGTTCTGGCCGGTATCGTCGCACTGTCTGGGCAGCTTGTAATGCTCTCGCCCAGTAGACACGCCCAGTTCCATCATCATACACGTTGTCGGCTGTGCCGCCAGGTCGAGTTGTGGAGATGCATCGATCCTCGCCGTTGCCGTCTCTCTGTCTCGCACCATGGCCGCTGATCATGGTTTGCGGATCGTCCAATCTTAGCCGCCGGGGTCCAGCCTCTGACTGACTTCGTTTGGGCACTTCACATGGAGACACGTACTTTTGCACACCTGCAATGTGTGGAATCCAGCTGTCCATCTTACACTCCGGCAGGTCCATTAGCTTGTCCTCTTGTGGAAAATCATTTCTTTGCACTGCCGTGGACAATGCAGCCTGTGCCTGCATCTCGACCGCCCTAGCTGCAATCCTCGCAAATTCAGGGTTTGTACTGACTCTTAGTCCTCGTATGTCTTGGCTGTAGACGCTGCTCGAACGTAAGATGCTCCTCCTGCCTGCAGGCACAATGCTGGGCTTGGATACCGATGTCAGAGATGAGAACGAGTGACGGTTCCGAGATATGCGCCGCTTTTGCAAGTACAAGGTTCGTGAAAGACGGCATCGCCCGTTGGCTGGGCACTGTGCCGGCTTGCAGTGGCCATACACGTCCCTACAAGTACAATGACCCAATTCGCTGGTCACAGCTCGGGGCATTGGGCGCATGACCCTACCAAGAGGGCGCGCTCCTGAACTAGGTGTTCGTCGGTGGAAGCGGACGTGAGGAAGGGTAAGTGCATCGTTACAACTGGGCCCCGGATGCTGCGAAGGTGTTGAGAGAGCTGGGACAGTGTTGGCAGAAATTGCTGGCGAGGTTGGAGCTGTCGTGGAAACACCTGGGGTTGTAAATGGATCGGTGGTAGGCGTATACCCTCGTCTAGACGAGACTGTGTCCGTCCTGCCGTCGATGTTTGCATGATCAAGCCAGTCACGGATCTCAACTTCTGAAGTTGCATGCCGTGTACCGAACTCTGTATCCTCTGCCCGTCGCTGCTTTACTGGTGTGTCAACGTCAGGAACAGACATATTAGTCTCTGGTGCCGAGCCCGTATGGGAGCCACAACCTATGGACAAGATTTCTTCTGGTTCAGGATGTGTGTGAGGCAAAGCATTGTCAGCAGGATCCGTAGTTATGCATCGGTCCTGTGTGGCCACCGGCAGATTGGACGCGAATCTGTTCATGTTTGAGTGACTTCGATAACTTCGTGGTGGGCATGGTGTCCCAGAGATGTCCATAGTGGATTGTGAGTCTCGCAGCTGCAATTCCTGAAAAAGCTTGACAGGATGCATAAGACCTCCTTTTCCACTGGGGTCACTTTGTGGGCAAGGAAACCTCTCCAGTTGCCGTGTCAGCGGTGGTGGTCGTCCTGCTGGTCGAGGTTTGAGGACAAGGGCTTCAGGCATTCGGATAACATATTCCTGTGGCCCATTGACGCTGTCTATGGTAACATCCTCTCTTGCTTCAGTTCTTTTCTCCCAGCGGAAAGCTCTTCCTCTTGCCCAGGCACGGCCTCGTCTCAACGGGAGGCGGTCTTTGACTGGCGTGAACAGACCGTTACTGTTGACTGGAGCCCCAAGGACAGAGGCAGCATGGTGACTAGCATCCGAAAATGGGTGATGACTTGCGTTCACTTGCGCAGGATTCTTGGAACTCTCGGTTCGCGGATTGCATTTTCGAAGGACAGTCGAGGGCTTCTTCCGAAAGCCGCGGAGAAGAGCAGGGTGGCTTGGGAATCGCTGAGTCTGAGGTATGATCCGGGGTTGAGAAACGAATCTGTTGGTTGGTAAACCGACATCCCTCTTGCGATAACGCGGAAGGATAATGCCCCAGATGAGGCAAGCTAGAACAACAAGCAGGGCGATGATAGCAAAGACGATGGTGAATGTACGGCCTGCATTATTGCCGCGACGCTGGAGGGTTTTCACAGGCAATGGAGCCATGGCCAGCTGGAAGGCAACGGGTGCCAGGACAGACAGGAGGACAGGAAGGACGGGTGGCACTGGTAGACAATAAAGTACCACGCGAAGATACAATGGGTGAATGCGAAGGGAAGAATGGACAACGCGGAAAGACGAATACCTGAGGTAGATAAGGTAGGCTTCAAGTTTGTGGACTGCGGTTGTGGAAGTAAACTGCAGATGAAGCTTTGTTCACCAACCTGCAAATTGGTTGATAACAATGGCGACGACGTGCTCCTGCCGGTTAATCCTACACTGCACACCTGCACTTCACGTTCTGGTACTGGCGAGGCCGCCCTCTGCACCACCTGCTCTCCAAAGGCTGTTTGTCTGGGAGGGAGACGATTAGACAGCCTCATCTATGTTCAAGTTCTTCACTGTTCATCAACCCGGTCCTGCGGCTGAGCACCAAGCACCCATCCCATGCCGCTGACCAAACCACTTGTGACCATATTAGTTACCATATCTCTCTTGCGAACTCTACCACCGGCATGCGACGAAGAGTCCTCGGACTCCGTATTTGGCAATCCCGCCGTCTCTCGGATCTTGATGTTCTGTAGTCCTGATGAGCCAAGTGGAAGGGCAGCGCTTCTTCTGAGGGCGGCTGCAGCTCCCCTGGCGACGTCAAACAATCCCAGTGGAGCTTCTTCCTCGTAGGAAGGACCTGTAGCAATTCCCGGCCCAATTCGACGTGCCATGGCACGCTTTGTTTCAGCTACGTCAGCGTCGCGACCCTCAGGAGCATATCCCCCTGGCAGTGAAGCATCGGCTTGCGCTTCGAAAGCACGTTCTTCCTCCATTGCTTGCGCCTTTAGGGCGTCCATTTCTTCCTCGTATCGACGCCATGTCGCCAGGATCCCGGCGAGAGCTTCACCTGATGGGGCCAGCAACAGCGCTCGAGAGAGAAGCTCCATCCGCTGAACCAAGCTGTCAATGCGTTCCTTCAAACCTTTCGGGGTCGTCTTGGGACGATATTTGCCCGCGGCGTACGCTGCCCTCCACGAAACATCATCAGTGGTTTCAGAAGCGACAGACTGTGCCCTGGGGCCCGATAGGCGAGTCGTGATGTATGCATAAGCCGTGTGGAAATCATCCGCCGCGAGTGCGGCCATTATGGCCGAATAAGTGATCCTATGTTCGGCATCCAAGGTGCCTGACTCAACGGAGTCCATCTCCTCAGACATGGCCCCCGCGTTAGGAAGATGTGCACGAACCAAATTTCTGGTTATCTCTAGAAGATCATCCAGTTTCGTGTATGCATTCGCATCCTGCTCTAAAACTTTCTCGACGAGTGTCAAGGGGTCTTTCTGCACGCGAATCGCCACTGGTTTGAAAGGAGTACCATGCTGAAGAGTCAAGTGGTAGAATGAGAGACTGTGGGTGGCTCGAATGAGATGATCAAGGCTGGATAGGCTCGAAGACTCCGGGAATCTGGGCTGAAATGCCCTGAGAATCTCGTATGCACGCTTCATTCCGCCGCGGTCCCTGTTCCCATTGCTGGCGTTGTCATACGCCTCCAATATGGCAGCAACTACACGATCTTCCAACTCGGGCATTTTCAGGGGTAAGAAGGACGTGTCCATGTACACCTTTTTCACAATTTCGTATTGGCCAGCCTTAAGAAGAGCATCCAGGATTTGGGTTTCCACATAGTCACGGGTGAGTCGCCCAAAGAACGCTGGCTGAGGAGAATCGGAATTAAGCTGCCGGCTGTGGCCCCAAGATTGTAACCATAGTAGTTGTTGGCGCACAGATCGCCAGTCAATGTCTTTGCTAGTCATTCGGGGGATGTATTGAAGTAGTCGACGGAGCTCTTCCTTGTGACGAAGCTCAGATCCAAAAACACAGATCCGCGCTAGATCGGCCACCGGCATTGTTTGTCTAAACTGCAAAAGAATCTCCGCGGTATGGATGAGTCCTACCAGGAAATCCATGGAGGCTTGGCTAACGTATGTGAACGGATTGTCCCTCTGCATCAGCGAGTTTGCCGACAAGTCCGCTTCATTGAAGTTTTTGCCAGAGGACGGTGGAAGGGCGATGTCTGGCTGGGAGCTGCGGAGGTCGGGAGCTTTCAGACCGGTTAACCGCGAGACCTTATCGAGTACCTCTTGAGATCGAGCCTGCGTCTCTGGAGAGGTCTCGGAGCAGCCATATATGATTGCCAGGCCGGTCTGCGCGAACCTCGCAACGACTTCATCAGCAGTCCCTGCATCATGTACGGGACCACTCCAGTGCGCGAAAGATCTTGCGGCAACGTCGAAGTCTTTCATACTCAATGCGACCAGCCATTGATTGACCGCCTCCCAGGAAGTATTCTCCTCCGCCGCAATATCTTGCGGGCGATCGACTCTTCTCCTCTTTCCTCGACTGGAACCGCGGACCCATGGAGTCACAACATAATCGAGATCTCGGACAATGGCATCCGGGGTGTGCTCCCTCTCGGCATACTGCAGTAACGCCCTGATCCCATCGGGACCTGATAGTGTCTCGATCCCTTGCAATCCAATCACGTCTTCAATGTCCGGATAATATTCATATTGCAGGCGGACAACAGGCGCCAGGTACGTCTCGTACCAGAGCCGCAGATCAGCATCTTGATCTATGAATTGCTCCACGAAATGGAGAGCAGGCTGGGTTGCGCTGTTGACCAACTCTAAGCCTTTGGCCCATTCAATTATGAAATTCGCTAATGTACTGTCGGTATCTATCGTTGCATGCTCAGGGACGCTCCGTAGTCTCAATGCCTGGCACTGGCTGATCGCTTCCTGCTTGGAGAGTTGGGATATGGAAGGGTCGACCTTGATGTCGGTATCGCCGGAGGGGTCCGATTCGAATTCTCTCAGCGACGTTAGGAAATCAACGAGGGCCGATTGCTCTGAAATTTCCGGTGGACAAAAGGACAGGAGGAGCCTATATAACAGGCTATTAGACAAGACATGCCGACGTGACCGCACCAGGCGTTGCAAATCTTTCAGATTTCCTTCTGAAGCCAGCTGAACAGCCAGAAGCACAACATGAGCATCTGACAGTTCACGCAACTCCGTCATATCGTCAAAGGCTTAGGTAGGCATATCGCGAGTCGGCCGTGGAGTCGTCAAGCTTTGATGTTCACATGCAGTGAGCAAGACGGGGGCACGCAGCCTGGAAGTAGGAGTGACGTTCTCCCGTGTACCTACACAGCACTGCAAGTGGTAGGGTGTCAAGGTTTCCGTGATTGGAAGGACAAGGTGCTGCTTTATCATATACTTTGTACCCTCAAGTTGAACACTCTTGCCGCACTGGACATTCTCGTTAATCAATTTATCACCAGAGGGCTTGCGTTTTTAAGCAAACAGCGTCGGTGATCCCCTCTCTGAAGTGTCAACGCTATAGTGGCCATGTTTCCATTTGAAAAATGTTAGCAAATACTGAGGTTGCCATTGGCCAGGGTACCATTAAAGCGGCATCAGCAGTATGTTGTTTGTGGGTTGCACGTCGGCGGTTCGGCGATTCTTGGCCGCAGCTTCAGACGACATCCAACATGAACTGCTTTAACGCCCACTGCCCACGATACTGGCTTCATTGTTCCTTGCATTGGATGGACCCTGGTGCAGTACATTGACCTAGCTCAACATGGCGTCCGGCTACGGCTTGACAGGAGGTAAGTACTTGCCGGGATTCGCGAAATCATTCCAATGTCTAGTGTTACTGTCCTTGACGGAAAGCTCTTACTGACGCGGCGGCCCATCTACAGGCGTCTCCCGATGCTTTCCATTCTGGCAAGAATATATGTCTTGCTACGTTATCAACCAGCACGATCCTGAAGCAAGAGCACGAGGAGTTTGCGCACCACGGTTAGAAGATTACTATGAATGTCTGCACCACAAGAAAGAAGTTAGCAGCACCCGTACCTAACAAAGACTCATTCTGACGAATTGGTGCAGTACGCGAGAGCGGTGGCGATCCAGAATGCACTACGAAAAGCTGAAGCAGCACATCCCCGTGAAAATGCACCAAAAGTCGGCCAGATCCGGAGTCTGGGCTTATTAGGAAAGGAAGACGAGACAAAATCGATATTAGGCGCTTCATAGAAATCGGGGTCAAGCTTGGGAAGATCGCACTTGAGCTGGGAGATTGTCTGCATTCCGCGTTACGACGCTGTACATATCACGAGTACCTGGTACGCAGCCAGGCAATGGAAGTGCCATGATCGAATCAACTCGACACGTACAGGCGTTTGTTCGGAGGCCCCGGTTTCTGGACCACCATTGTCGCCTTGGTGATGGTACCCTTGCCACACTGACACGAGTTGAGGTTAAAGAAAGCAGACATGAGCACTTCATCGAAATCTTGGAGTCCCGCGAGAGCAGTGAAGTCTTTTGAGGCATGGGCCCGAGCAGTCTGCTACATCAGGTGCTGCATGATTCATGCTTCTTTCAGCGTCCAAGTTCCGAATACTTTCCAAGGTGAATTCCCGCCTGAGTCATCTACTCATATGCCATTCTATATGCACTCAATCACAGTGCCAATATTCGATCGAAACTGCTGGCGGGACGTAAGATGTAGGCACCCACAGTAGTCATGGTTGTCCGTCATCAAGTCCCAGCTTCCGCATGCTTCGTTTGTAAGCTGACCAGGCCACACGATGTAACGACTTGAGATACGACCAGACCGATCATATAAAGTATGCAACTTAATAGTAAACCTTTGTGCATACATTATTCAGGGAAGGTTCAGATGCGAATCGAGGCGACGGGCGATGATGGCCCCGCCAAGCCGCGAGCGCAAAGCTTGAATGGTGTTAGCGCAGCCTAAAAGGCAGGCGCAGGCAACCAGTGGCCAGTGAAGGAGCAATCAGCATCCAGGGGCGGCGCACTGCACTGCAGGCAGCGCATCTGCCCGGAGCAAGCGAGGATTTAAAGCCATTCCTCTTAAGCCCAACGCTGCGCCCAATTCCAACTTTCTGATCTGTCCGCCCACTGGCATCAAGCACTCACTCACTGCAAGGCTCTGCCCAACCACTGCACTGCAGCAGAGATCCTCCACCTTTTTTCTACCTGCACCCAATTATCGTTCCCACCGCCACTACACTTTCTAATGACGAATAGCCTTGTGCGCACAACACACGTCTTTACATTCGTTTTCTCTTCTTTGGTCGCGTCTTCGCCTTCTCACTTATTCTACATCGCGAGTCTATCTGGCGCGTCTTAACACTTCTGCTGTGTCTGCATTTGATGGCGTCGCGGTACATACTGGGCTAATGGGCGCTCCATCGATATAATTCATACTCGATTAATTGCATCTCCAAAATGGCCGCTTCAAGGTTCGTCACTCTGCAGCCAGTTGGACAGATTTACAGTTACAGAACTAACCGTTTCCGTACAGGCTCGATAGACTTGTCACGTGAGTATTTCTCCCATATTGCCAGCAACAATGATACCAGTGATGCATGAACAGGACTAATGCAATTGATACAGCTTGCTGGACAAGGGCAGTACACAGCTTATACGCAATACTGCTGCTGCACAACTTGCCGACATCCAGAAACAGAATCCTGACAATCTCTTTGCCTTACTCGGCAGAGTTCTGCCCTACTTGCAGTCCAAGTCTTGGGAAACTCGTACTGCTGCCGCAAAAGCTATAGGCGGCATTGTCTCTAATGTACCAAAGTTTGATCCCAACGCCGATGAGGCAGAAATCAAGGATGAAGTGCCCAAATCTGAGGATGGCGAGCTCAAGGTTGAAGTCAAGACTGAAGACAAGGTTCAGGAAGCCGACGATTTGCTTCAGCTAGCGACCCTGGACATCAAAATGATTCTCCGTCACGGCAAGAAATTACTCGGAAGTGCCGGCAAGGAGTATGAGTACTCCATGGCAGGAATGACCCCGGCGCAGCGCCTACACCACCAGAAGCAAAGCCTGACGGCCCGACTGGGACTGGGAGGGGAGTACATGGAGGAGGACCTTGTGACTGAGAATGACTTCGCGGCCACCTCCCAACACAAACTTGCTCAAACACCAGGTCCGCCCCGAGTGGATACGAAGTCGGCCGGTCAGCGAACAGACAGTATCGGCGCTCCTTCGCCATACAGTGCCATGTCGCCTTCTGAAAATGGCCAGCCTTTTCTGGAGGAATCAGGGCTCAGCAAACGCCAACTCAATCAACTAAAACGTAAAAACAAATCAGCAGCCAAGGTTGGAGCCAGCAAAATGCGGGTGGTCGATCTCTCCGGCCGGCGTCCTTCCGAACCAGGCCAAACCCCAGTTTCCGCAACTCCCCATCCGGTCAAACTGAATGGCCAGGATGAATCCAATGGAGACTCGAAACAGGACTACTTCTCCATCAAACGTGAAGGCCCAGATGATAACACTGCTCTCATCTCCGAATTCAAGGGTGACGTTGTAGAGGAAAAGCCTCTAATCCAGCCCGATGAAGAGCATTCGCATGATTGGCCTTTTGAGGTCATGTGCGATTTTCTTTCCATTGACCTTTTCGACCCGAACTGGGAAGTGCGTCATGGGGCAGCCATGGGTCTAAGAGAAGTCCTCCGGGTTCATGGCCGAGGCGCGGGTCGTCGTTACGGGAGATCGCGAGCTGAAAATGACCTAGCCAATCGACGGTGGCTTGACGATATGGCCTGCCGCCTGCTCTGCGTGTTGATGCTCGACCGCTTTGGGGACTATGTGTCGGACACTGTTGTTGCCCCTATCCGTGAATCTATCGGGCAGACCCTTGGCGCGTTACTGACCCAACTACCAGATGATACAGCTGTTTCAGTGTACAACTTTTTACAACAGATGATAAACCAAAGCGACACTGGCCTGAAACAGCCAATCTGGGAAGTTTGCCACGGAGGCATGATTGGACTTCGTTATTTCGTCGCAGTCAGAAAGGATCTGCTCCTCCAACACAACGCTCTGATTGATGGTGTTGTCTCAGCCGTAATTCGTGGTTTGGCCCATCCGGATGACGACGTTAAGTCAGTCAGCGCTGCGACGCTTGTTCCTGTCGCTGGGGAGTTGACAACAATACGTCCGCAGTCCCTCGGCCAGCTCATCGGGGTTGTGTGGGATTGTCTTCTCGACATGCAGGATGATCTTAGCGCAAGTACTGGCGCAGTTATGGATCTTCTAGCGACGCTTTGCTCGTACGACGCCACCTTGGAAGCGATGCGCAAGAATGCAGCGGAAGATCCTGAGCAGTCGTTTGAGATGCTTGTTCCACGGCTTTATCCATTCCTTCGACATACCATCACCAGTGTACGGCTGGCCGTCCTCAAAGCTCTGGTGACTTTCCTAAACTTGTCCAACGTGAACAACATGGAATGGGTGGGCGGTCGTGTGACCCGCTTACTCTTTCAGAATATGCTACTCGAACGCAACGAGGGCGTCTTGCGGATGTCATTTGAAGTTTGGGAGGCTCTGGTTGCATTCATGGAGCGTCAAGGGATGGCCAAATTCGCGCCCAATCTCGATCCACATATCATGCCCATGTTGAAGGCTACGATCCAACCAGTCGGTCAATCACGAAGTCCCATTCCTATGGACGCATCCCTTCTGATCAAACCATCGGGCACGCCCATGGCCACCAGCGCACCGAGGCAAGGATCTGCTTCGGATGCAGATCAGCAACCTAAGAAGCGCCGGAAGGTCGACAAGGCTGACAAAGCCGATGCAAATCAACAGCCGTCGCACAATACTGATGGGCATATGCTCCACGGAGAAGTAGACTTGGTGGGAATGGAGGTCATTTTGAGAACCAGGATAACGTGCTCCCGTGCGCTAGGCCTACTTCTAGGCAAGCAAAACGAAGCCGCCGTTGCATCATATTGGACTAGTCTTCTCCCAATCATCAACTCCAATCATTCAAGCTCGCGCCTGTTCACAGGAATGATCCTGGAAGAGCTTGCAAGGAATCAGTCCATCAAACCAACAGATACGGCATCATGTGTCGCGCAGCTCCAAAGTGTCCTCGATGACGATGGCCATCATTGGTACAGCGATATTGTATCATCACTGCAAGCCGCTCGAGGGCAGTGCCAATCTCTCATTAGCGCTTTCCAAAACAATGCACACGTGTCGCGCGACAAATTGCCAGCCATAGCTGTGGTCTGTCAGGGCGAAAATGGCGCTGGACCAAAAGCGTTCTCGCTGGCAGACGCCGAGAAAATTGTCACTACAGATTTCGACCGTCTCCTGAAATCGCTGACACCAGCACAGAGAGTTTCCGGGACACAGTACCTCAATGATGCGCGCACGAACGCGATGACAGCAGTCGAAGAGGCAAGGAAGATCAAAGAAGGCCGTGACTTAGCTATCAAGGCCGCGGTGGCCTCTGTGCTTGTCAGACTCGGCGAGATCCCCAAGAAACCTGGCCAACTTATTAAATGCATCATGGACAGCATTAAAGGGGAGGAGTTCGAAGAATTGCAGGCACGATCTGCATCGGCTGTTGCAGCCCTGATCGACTTCTACACCCGGGGTGCTAAGAAGGGCCCGGTGGACAAGTTAGTTTCCAACCTCGTGAAATTCACATGCGTGGATACTTCGGAAACTCCAGAGTTCGGCCCCAACGCCAAGTTTGAAGACATTGTCTTGTCCCTGCGCAAAGAAGAAGATAGAAAAGACCATCCGGATGCTGCCAAATTTGAACAAGAGGCCAAAGAGGCGCGCATCATGCGACGAGGAGCCAAGCGCGCCCTTGATGAACTGGCGCAGTCCTATGGAGGTGAACTGCTAGAAAAACTGCCCGTCCTGAAGTCGCTGATAGAGAATCCTATCGGCGAACTGGTCGAGCCAGCAGATCCAGCTACTTTGCAGGTGGATGAAGAGCGAGGGCAGTCACTGATTGACGCATTTTCAATTCTGCGAACGTTGTCTCCAACCTTGCACCCGACGCTGCATCCATGGATTTTGTCACTGAGTCCATTGATCGGCAAGGCCATGCGAAGCCGACTGTCTGTTGTGAGGTACAGCGCAGCTAAGTGCTTCGCCACCATTTGCAGCGTCATTCCCATAGAGGGCATGACCATGCTTGTCCAGGACATCTTACCTAACATCAGCAACCCCCTCGATTTGAGGGATCGGCAGGGTATCACGGAATGTGTATACCATCTCATCTGGGTTATGGGTGACCGCATACTTCCTTATGTGATCTTCCTCATTGTCCCCGTTCTCGGGCGTATGAGCGACGCGAACCACGACATCCGTCTCCTTGCCACCACATCGTTCGCAACATTGGTCAAACTGGTGCCATTAGAAGCCGGTATCCCTGATCCGCCAGGTATGCCGGAGTCGCTACTTCAAGGTCGCGAAAGAGAGCGCAAATTCATGGCGCAAATGCTGGACCCGAAGAAGGTTGAGCCATTCCAGATTCCTGTGGCCATCAAAGCAGAACTACGTTCATATCAACAAGAAGGCGTCAATTGGTTGGCATTCTTGAATAAGTACAACCTACACGGTGTCCTCTGCGATGATATGGGTCTGGGCAAGACTCTCCAAACGTTGTGCATTGTGGCTAGCGACCATCACATGCGAGCTGAGGAGTACGCGAAGACTAAAGCCCCTGACATGAGACGGTTGCCATCACTTATCGTCTGTCCTCCGACTCTCTCGGGCCATTGGCAGCAGGAGATCAAGCAATATGCACCGTTTTTGAGCTGTGTGGCGTACGTTGGTAATCCCATGGAAAGAAACAGCCGACTTCATCTTTTGGAGCAAGCAGATGTGGTCATCACCTCATACGATGTCTGCCGCAACGACAACGACGTGTTGGCCCCCATCACCTGGAATTATTGCGTGCTGGACGAAGGTCATTTGATCAAGAACCCTAAAGCCAAGATCACACAGGCAGTAAAGAAGCTCGTCAGCAACCATCGGCTCATTTTGTCCGGCACTCCAATTCAGAACAATGTCCTGGAGTTGTGGTCCCTCTTCGACTTTCTCATGCCGGGTTTCCTGGGCACGGAGAAGGTGTTCCAGGACAGGTTCGCCAAACCCATTGCGGCGAGTCGCAACGCCAAGTCGTCCTCCAAAGAACAGGAAGCAGGAGCCCTGGCAATCGAGGCTCTTCACAAACAAGTTCTGCCGTTCTTACTCCGCCGCCTGAAGGAGGAAGTCTTGAATGACCTGCCTCCCAAGATCTTGCAAAACTACTACTGCGACCTTAGCGATCTGCAGAAACGGCTGTTCGAGGACTTCTTCAAGAAGGAGCGCAAAACTGTGGAGAATAGCATTGGAGCGGCGGACAAGGAAGCCAAGCAACACATCTTCCAAGCGCTACAGTATATGCGGAAGCTGTGTAACTCGCCTGCTTTGGTGGTTAAGGAAGGAACCAAGCAATACGAGACCATTTCGAAGCAGCTTGCAGCGTCCAAGTCAAGTCTGCGCGATGTGGCACATGCACCTAAGCTGACTGCATTGCGGGATCTGCTCGTCGACTGCGGTATTGGAGTGTCGAATGACTCCAACGAAATGTCCGCCTCCAATTACGTCTCGCAACATCGTGCCTTGATCTTTTGCCAGATGAAAGAGATGCTGGACATGGTTCAAAACGAGGTGCTTGCCAAGCTTCTGCCGAGTGTGCAATTCCTCCGGCTAGACGGCAGCGTGGAAGCCACCAAGCGGCAAAATATTGTCAACCAGTTCAACAACGACCCTAGCTATGATTGTCTATTATTGACCACCAGCGTGGGTGGTCTTGGATTGAATCTTACAGGCGCGGACACGGTCATCTTTGTGGAACATGACTGGAATCCTCAAAAGGACATTCAAGCAATGGATCGGGCGCATCGGATCGGGCAGAAGAAGGTTGTCAATGTATATCGCCTCATCACCCGCGGCACGCTGGAGGAAAAGATCATGAGTCTTCAACGTTTCAAGATCGACGTCGCCTCTACTGTTGTCAATCAGCAAAATGCTGGCCTGGGCAGTATGGAGACGGATCAGATTCTAGATCTGTTCAACCTTGGCGAAGGCACCGACACTGGCGGAGAAAGTGGCGGTGCAGGCAAGGAAGAAGACATGGTCGATCTCGAAACTGGCGAAGTCAAGAAGAAAGGTGAGAAAGGGTGGCTCGATGACGTGGGTGAGTTATGGGATGAGCGTCAGTACGAAGAAGAGTTCAATCTGGACTCGTTCGTGCAGAATTTGCAAAAGTGAGTTGGCTGGGGCGGTGAGATTGCGATGTACGATTATCCTCAAACGGGTTGACCGAGTCATCATCAAGTGGGCTGGGGGAGACTGCTGGAAAAGAACTGCTTATCACATTTTGGGCGACCGTATAGCTTTGGTAAGCCTGCTCTCGACATTGGATCAGAGGGCTGCCTGGGCCCGCATACCACGGTATATTGCTTAGTAGCATCAACAGAAGTGTTAACAAAAAAGATAGCATTTCACCATGACAGTGCTCCAATCGGTTGGAGGAGATTTTAGGCTCCTTTGGATATCATCTTCCGGGAAATCGGTGTCCTTCGGCTATCTTGAAGGAAGTCCTCCTTGACCGCGAAGGATGATATCGGTCCGCATCTGATCCGGGGTAGATCCTGGGGCCAGTCGACAATACAGGTCGCTAGCCTATACTCGATTCTAGCCGCCCACGTTGCGGTCAAGCGAAGCCTCGGCCAGCATCGCCTCCGGGACTCGGAAACGTACTAGTTAGTATAGTACTCAGCCGGCATGAAGATGAAGATGCCGCAATATGCCAGCACCGCAAACTTGAACCAGTTCGCCCTTAGTCATCAAGGGATGTTATTTTAAGGCTTCCTAGTTTCGGCTAATGCGGCTAGCTTGCACGAGCCAACCTATTGCCCTTGTTCACTGTCCAAAAGCTATTCCTGAAACGACTAGAGCGGTTGATTTTCTAATTTGAGAACGACTCGCCGCGGGCTGATGCCACAAGCCACCTTTGACCGCATGTCCTCTCCACCACGCTTCTCACTCCTTCACAGTCTGACATTTATCATTCCTTCTCTTCGTAGTCAGCGACAAGCTCAGCGGCTTTCCAAATCGGATCGCTGCTTGCGCGGCGCTGTCTAGCTGGCTCTTCCTTCCGAGATGTCTCCCACGTTGGATTCGACAAATGTTCATGGTTATGGTCAGCGCTAGCCTTGGGTAGCTTCGCTTCGACGGCAGATAGGCGACCGACACATGTCATGGCTGAGCTTCCTCTGGCCTTGCATTGTCCACCAACAACAGCAGCTTCACAGAGGTCTCCTGGACGTAGGCCTGCGGCAGCCGCACCCAGCCTCATCCGGTAGGTAGGTAATGTTCGCTGGCAAGGCATTCACAGCCTCTGTGGCCGTGGTATGGCTGGCTTCCAATTCCAAATTGCGGTTGATGAAGCTCGCTCACTGCTTAGACGCAGTAAGCATAAGCGAATCTTGCTTCGCCGCATCTCCGGGTCTAGATCCAATCTTGCCCGTCCCGTTCAGCCATGGAAGCATGGTTATCAAATTCTATAAAATGATGTTGCCCATCTCCTTCAGAAACAGACAGTCCATCATTCATTCCAGCACCAAAACACCAGAAAACAATTCAAATATTCTTTTCCTTTTCTTCTTTCTTTCCTATTGTTGTCGCACGCTCTTTAGCGAACATTGAACAGTATTCACAGCGTACTAATTCAGTCAATCCCTGCCCATCACTCATAATATCAAATCAAGCCAACCACAGCCAATAAGTCAACCAGACAAACAAACCAAACATCAATAATGCATTCCAAGATGTCAATCCTTGTCGCTGCCTTTCTTGCAGCCGCAGCCTACGCCTCTCCGATGGGCGGCACCGGCAGTGGCAGTCCAGCTTCCTCGTCCTACAGCAACGGCAATGCCCCGTACCCAACCACCACCACCAGCAGCGGTAGCGGCTCCTACTCCATGACCACCAGCTACGGTGAACCTTCGGGCGGCTATTACACCAGCGCGTCCAACTCGAGCGCTCACCAGACCAGCAGCTATGGGTCCGGATATGGATCCTCCACAATCCTCGGCGTCGCAACCGCATCTCCCAACCCATCCCCCGTCCCCGGGCTCGTGGGCAAACTCCTAACGGACGACACGACCGTCGACCGATTCGCCGACATCCAATCCCAACTGGACGCGGGGCTAATCAGCCTCAAATTCGACTTCAACCCAGCGGCCAACCCGGGCGTCAAAGCCGGCGACGGCGGCCAAGTCGACCTCGCCAACCGCAAGAATTTCCCTTTGCTCACCGGCCAAGGAATCTCCGCCGCAGGAATCTTCTTCCAACCGTGCGGGTTGAACACTCCACACATTCACCCTCGCGCAACTGAGTTTTTGACCTTGGTCACCGATACAAACATGCTCACTGGTTTCGTGTTGGAAAACAACTTGTCCACCGAGTTCAATACCACGCTCACCCAGTTTCAAGGCACCGTGTTCCCCATGGGTTCGATTCATTTCCAGCAGAACCTCGATTGTGAGCCTGCGGTGGCCATTGCGGGTCTTAACTCCGATGATCCGGGTGCGAGTTCGATTGCCCAGAATTTCATTATCAATTTGGATCCGGATGTGGTTGATGCCACGCTGGGGTTTCCTAAGCAGATCGATGCGAATAACTTTGCTCAGTTTAAGGAGCATATCCCGCTGTCGTTGGCGAAGGGAGTCGAGGAGTGCTTTAATCGGTGCCATATGTCTTATTAGACTGCCATGAGTCTGATTAGAACATGCGGCGCAACGCAGCGGCCGGCGGAGCGGAACTGAGCGGGTGCGTGGATGTGGATGGGTCGCTCATCACTGATCACGGAGAAAAGTCCCAACCCCGCGTTTTGATTTTGTCTGTGTTGATGTCGTCGACGAGCGGGATCCTTGCGTTCGCATGGTTTCCGGGAGCATCAAAAATGGGAAGGGAACCGAAGGTCATACGGTACGGACGGTTGGTTGTGCATCTATTTGATTCATGGCGCACGAGGAGGTGGCATCCGTTAACGTCGTTCCGTTGCATTGGGTGTTTGGTACTGGGTACTGTCGTTTCTGGTTTTGGCTGCTTGGTTTGGTTCTACATACATATTATATATTAACACACTCGTTTTCCAACTCTACATGATCAGAATATGAATAAGAACGCGAGAGGAGGTCGAGGTAGAAAACACTGGCATTCATTAGCGTTGTTTGGTTTGATCGCTTTGGGTACCGGTACCGGTACTGATACTGTCGTTCCTCGTTTTGGCCGCTTGGTCTGGCATGGTTTATATATAAAACACCACACACTCGTTTTCCAACTCTACATGATAAGGACCTGAATACGGACGCGCCCACAGATTCCGTTTCATGGTGCGGTGCTTTCTTCCTATCGATAGTATTCTATTCCTGTTGATCGTTACAGTACTAGCAGATGATACTTTCCTACCACCCACTGGCAGCATATACACTATAAAATTGCGCCCTGCCCCTAACATATTTTCGAAATGTGCGTCAAACCAAACCTCGTCTCGTCCGTTGTCCAGGGGCTGTTCGCAGTGGCAATGTTCACGGCAAGTTACTAGAAATGCATGCTGCTGTGTCATGCACGGTCGGTGGACAAGAAAGCTGACCATATCACGACAGACGGTATAAAGTCCTGGTCAATGCATGAGCAGACGAGTGAATGTCAACTCCAACCAAGATCGAATTTGATATACATAGTAGAACTGAAAAGGAAAATAAGTTTTAAGTCAGTGGCATTCATCTTGATATCCATTCCATCCCATAAATCCGTTCCTCCACATCTTCTTTCGCGGCGCTCCAGTCACTCCCTCTGCATGTCTTGTCCAATACATTAAGTAGTAACCGGTAGATTTGATTGTCTCAAACCCAAAGACAGTGAACTACCAATAATGCTGGATTGGAATAAAATGGCCGGTCTCCCTCACTTTCCTCCCCCATAAGATGGCCGGTACTCTTGCGGCATACACATGGGGCAAAGCTTAAACTCCAAAAATATCGCAATCTCCTAACAAGATAAACGCCAATGCCGTTCGTTCCATCCGGTTTGGTGGATAGGTATGATGAAAAAAGATCCTCGCGTAGCTGACATAGATACAATGAGAGCGGAATTAGATTAATCGATTTCCAAGCACGTAGATCTTGGATTTTCTTTTTTCTCTTTTCCTCCGCCTGTCACTTCAATTTCTTTCCCTCACTGAGGCCTTACCCTCGGGTTAGGGCCGTCCTGCTCGACGGGGATTCCGGGAAATGGGGGAGGAGGGCCGTTCGGGACCCCTCCAGGTCCCATGCCAGGAGGACCGCCGGGCCCTTTGCCTCCAGGCCCTCCCGGGCCTCCAGGTCCTTTTCCTGGGGGACCACCGGGACCACCAGGGCCACCTGGACCTCCAGGACCACCCTTTCCAGGTGGCGGGCCCTTGGCAGCAAGGGTGCTCCTCTTTCTCAACTTCTCACCAAAAAGCCACAAAAGAATGGGGACGGGAATGCCGATGCCGATGGCGGCCAGTGCCAGAACAGTATTACCCCAGCCAAAACCTAGAGCGTCGTACATGGTGGGGGCGAAGAGAGGAAACCCAAAACCAGCCAGAGATCGGAGAATAGTAACCGCGGCCACAGCCGAGGCGGCAAACCTGGCATATGTATCGACGAGATAGGTGGTGACGCATTGGAAGGCGGCGATTGTACCAATGCCAAAGAGGAATGATCCGATGTTGGGCACGATCCAATGAGTCTTGGCTTGGGCGGACCATCCGTAAATCAAGAGACCGATAGGAACGAAAAACGAGAAAGGAATGACAACAGGCATACGGAATTCCGGTTTGCCTTGCCTTCGTGGGTCCTTTGCTTTGAGCTTCTGATAGACCTTATCGCCAGTTTTGCCGCACAACGGAGCACCAATGAAGAAGCCCAACCCCAAGGAAATGTAGTTGAGGCCCGAGACACCGACGGACTCATGATAGACATTCATGTAGAGCTCCGGGAAGGTCGACAGAGCAAGGTAGAGAATACCATAGGAGAATGCCATATACACAGCCATGACTTGAACAATGGGCTGAGAGAACAGCATGCCGAACGACCGACCCATTGTGGCGGCAATCTTTTTCCAAACCGGTTGGTTCAGGTCACCCTCCCCTTCAGCAAGGTAGCGCTTGTCGCCGGTTTTCTTGCGGAGCAGTTTCGCCTTCTTGTGCAAGATGTAAGGAGCATAAGATTCGCTGAGCTTCCAGACACCACCGAGGAGGATGAACACATTGACAATGGAAGTCGCGTAAAACATCCATCGCCAGGTGGACTTTTCAGCAACCCAGGCGCCAACAATGGGCCCAATGGCCGGCCCGAGGAGCGGACCCATGGCGTACAGACCCATGGCTTTTCCTCGCTCTTCTGGCTTGAACAAATCGCCCAGGACACCTCCACCAATGGCCAGCGGAGCGGAGCCTCCAAGACCGGACAGGAAGCGGAAAGCCATGAGCTGTTCCTTGGTTTGAGCGAACCCACAGGCGGTATTGAAGGCCAAAAACATCACGTTGGAGGATTGAAGGATGATGACGCGTCCATAGAGTTCTGAAAGTGGGCCTAATATCATAGGTCCAATGGCGTATGCCAACACGAAGATGGACAAGACTATCTGTGATTCGATCGAGTTGGTGATATCGAAATCCTTTCGAATCTGCGGAAGTGCCGGAGCAACCATTGAAGAAGCCAGAGGGGAAAGGAAAGTGAAGGAGGCGGTGAGGGCAGTCACAGCCCATTTCTTCTTGGAAGGCCAGTTCTTGGGATTTAAGGGGTCATCGGGGCCTTTGAATGTAACCTAACACGAGCACGAGGTTAGCAGAGGTGTCTTGTTTCTTTGCGATGCCAGTCCACTTACTGTAAATTGATCGGATGGTTTCTCTTTGGAAAGCAAAGGGATCGGGGTGGGTGGCCCGTTCTGGGCTTCAATGTCAATCTTCATCGGGTCCTTTCTGTCGGGCATACCATGACCGTGATCTTCATCACACGTGCACCACGAGTCATGCGAATGCTTGCTTTGTGCTCGGTCCATCCCCAAGGGAGGTGTCATCATTTGGGAGAGTGGTCTTTTCTCATCTCGAGGATATTGGTTATGTAGGGCATTCATTGCCAGGGTTTCTTCTGAAGGAGTTGGATAGCGCGGGATGGATTGGTCGTATAAGGAATCATCGTTGTTCAGGTAGCCCTCCGCCAGGAGTCTCTGGTTGGCCACAAAGTCCTGGTTACGATCTAGATAATGGTCGTCGCTCACGATCCGTGAGTCGCGGGTTTGAAAGGAGGGGGCATATGAGGCCATCGAGTCTGGTCTATTGTGGGCGGATCGCATTGAACCCTGGTCGTCGTACTGGCCGAGATGATAGTCGGGCCCTTCATCGTAGAGAACAGCGAAGGTGATCTCACTGCTGGCTCGATCTGAGCCAGGCGAAGGTTCGGCAGGTAGCGACCGATGGCGGTAAGGTTCGGTAGAATTCAAGCGTCGCAGCGAAGGGAATCTCGAGTTCATGGTCGGTTGCGAGAAAGGCCGCAGCGTCTGGCCGCTTTGGCTCCCTGTGTCGTCCTCCATCTCTGCCGTGTTGTACTGGTTGTTTGCTTCCTCAGGCGGGAAAACGGCTACTGTGGTCGGCCGAGCCTGTTGAGGGCCCAGAGCCTGGGCTGAAGGGGGACGTGGGTGCGAGTCGTAGCCGCTCGCGACTTCCCAGCTGTCCCACGAGTTTGGAGCCGCCAGTGTGGTTAGTTTTCGGTTGTTCCTCAGATATCAACGAACGTGAAGTGGTGTCCGAGGGCGGGATGATATTAGAACAGTGCCGGTGGACGAGGATGGTCTCTCCAAACACACACAGAGGGTTGACCGGATGTCAGGCAGCAAGCGAGTGAGCGTCTGAACGAGAGTGAAGTGGGAGTTTGGCTGACGGTAAGTAATACTCCGGTCGATTGCGCGGTTTAGGGGAAAGGAAACGGAGACGGCTCAGGTGGAGGGCCCAAGGACCAGAATAACGAGATAGATCCGCAAGAGGACCCGAGTTGAACAGGATTGACGAGCCAAGGAGGAGGGACGAGCCCAGCGAGATAATTGGATGTAAGCGAGTGAGAGAGATGGGAACGAAAGAGGCAGAGAGCGCGTGGCTTGCGGTGCTGCGCAAGAGAAAGCTGAGAAGATGGAGTGGCCTGGCAGTGAGTGGGCTCAAGGGCAGCAGCGTGCGAGGAGTGGTCACGGTCATCAACTCACGGTGCCAGTGCTGGGTATGTTGCGGGCCTTGGGCTTGGGTTCAACCTGCGGCGAGCCTAAAGCCAGGCGAGCTTAGTACGCGAAAGGATTAGGCGCAAAGCCCTGCGATTTCCTGGCGAATCCATTCTCCGGCCTCCGGGGTTGCGGCGCCGGCCAATGCCACTACGACAGGCCTAGTATGGTGCAAATCTTTACTTAGACCAGCCTGAGCCACTGCACTGCACTGCACTGCAGGCTCCAGCAGCCTGAAATGTTCAAGTTAGGCCCAGTTGAGTCGCCTACCAAGGCTTCGCAACCGTTTGGTATTATTTCGACCAACTTTGAACTCCGACGCCGAGTCAGCACTGCTACTAGCCTTCAAAGTTGCAAAGGAGGGCCTCGTGAGGGCACAGCGCGAATCTTTGACCGGTGGCCCGGACATCTTGCGCCTACCGGCCGATCTCCCACCAGTCAGGTAAGGCATCTTTGGTATTCGAATTGAAGGGATTTGGAACAGAACTGCCTGGCTGCTACCTTTGTTCCTCAAATTGTAACATATCTGGTATGGTTGTTACATGACGGCATCGTTACCCCTTTCTGGTGCAGCATAGCACTGGCGCCGATTGAGCCGGCTTGGTATAAATAATATTAGTAGCAAATGCTAGACCACCTGCGCCGAGATATCTATCTGAACATTCCTGAGTACCGGCAAGTATCTTCAGCGGCATCATCTGCCGAGCGCTGCGGTATGGCTCGGCGGGGGTACTGTTCGAAGAGTTATGACCTTTGAACTCGAGACATTCAAGTCGTGGAATGGCCACTGCGAGCATACACCGACTTTGGCTATCTTCAAGTCCTCCCTGCCACGACTGTAGACTAGCTCGAGTGTAAGTTGTTAAAGCACTACTAGTGCTCACAGCTGTTACTTTTGGGAGTGCAGTGAGGAGATCAACCTCGTAAAGTCAGGGTTGTTACCAGGGTGAATGAGAGATGGTGGAGATGAGTCTCGCGCCATCACATCACCCCTCGCCCACTTTAGTGGAGAAGGCGTAAGGCTAACTCGGAGCGCGTGCCGTCTGTGAGAAACGTGAAGCCCCCTCTCATAATTTTCGGCCTCTGCACCGCAGTGTATACTAGGTACCTACCAAACCAAAACATCACGGCCTTTAAGCTGAGGTCATCAGGCGACCAAAGTGCCGAAGATGTACGAACTCGGAGGTATGACACGGATAAGGCACGCAAGGGTTACGGTGGAGGGCTGATGATGTTTCCCCGAGAGCACTGCAGTGCCAGTGCCAGTGCCCGCAATTGATGTTGCTAAATAAAATACCGAGTCCGTAGCGTGTTTCGCTAACTCCCGAACAGCCTTCAAACCGCCATCACCCACTCAAATGTCATGTGTTAGAAAAGCTGCGGAGCGGCCAAGACAGGGCAGAAATCCAAGTTCTGAATCGTACCTAAGTGCCACTGCAGTCTATGCCCCGCGAGGCGCTGTATCATGCTACTACTAGTGGTTGAAGGTCCAGTAAATATACCAACACTACTAGTAGCTCATCTGTCCAGTGGCTGATCCTTGTCTCCTTTTCCTTGCAGGGATGTTCGATAATCGCAATTTTATGGGCCCCCAATCCCTCCGTCAGCCTCCTGACGGACTTTATCACGTCCCGGTCAACCGGATTGGTGGACACTTGGACAGCACTGCAGTGCAGTTGTATTCCCAGAGTCTTGAATCGGCAAGCTACTGCTCGTGGTAATAACTATCTACCGTCAGTTCAATCTCTCACGATGGCAAACTTGAAGCACAGCACAACAATGCGAGCAGGGCAGAGCCTCTTTACCGCTTGCCAGTGTCGAGGCTTGGCAGGAGAAAAGCAGTCGCGCAGAATTTCCACTCAGAAATAAGGCCTCTCATCACTCTCGCCTTTAATCTCACTCACTCTTGGCGCCCCTGAGCATCCCCCGCTTTTTTGCATGATCATCTCCCTTATCAGACGCAGAAGTACGGTTTCTGGAAGAAGTGATTTTCACAGAATCTACCTACACTTCATGGCTTTGCATGTACTGTAACAGCAGAGCAATGATGATCAAACTTGATATTCGTTCGTCGTGATCCGCCGTGAAGTCGATCGCAATCTCTTCCCACTGGCACACCGGCGCGACTGCATCGATTCAGCAACGATGCTGATTGTATCATACCAGCCCTTATCGGCGTTTACAAAAGGCCTTGCTCTGTCGTGGATACACGCTGCAATGAACAATCTTGGTTAACTTTGTTTTATTGCATGCTAGTTCGAAATATATTGACCGGACAAATCAATCGGCCAGCTTCCCGCTGTCGATTGGACAAAAGCCAACGCTCCCATTTGATCAAAACCAAGCCTTCGCTTGCCAATGCAGTAGTGTCGAGCAAATACTTGAATTGTCCCTCGAACTGTGCGAAACGGGAGCCAAGCTGCAGCCACAATCATTGTTCCCTGTACTGTACTGCTACTACTAGCAGCAGTAGGTGATGCGCAACCAGTTCGTGGCTGGCTGATGACAACAGAACAAGTCAAGTTCATATCATCGACTAAAAACTGTGGTGATTCTCCTCTTTCTCCACTGCCTCTGCCAACTGACTCCAGAGCCGACGCCGACAGTGGAGGTACTCTTTGATAACCCGAGTTTGCCAGTGTTCAAGGTGGTGGAACCTGGACCTGTCATGACAGGAAGATCGTTTCCATCGATTAAGTAGAACTCAACGTGCTTTTTGCGCACTGGCTGCCGGTGCCCGCTGCCAGCGCCAGCACTTTGAACCGCAGGGCAAACCCACCGCCAGCCTATCTCTAATCGATAGGGTGACTAAAATCACATTCAGAACGTGGGAACCTGCTCCCTGGAAGGTAGTCTAGTCTAGGGCTAGTGAAGCCTCCGTAATAGTAAAGCTCGAAAAGTGGGCAGCAATCGTAAGATTCCGTCTCGAGAGCAGTAACTACCAGTAGTACTGTAGGTAGTAGTAGTACTACGTATCAGATACCTACCTAGGTATGACTGGAGACTCGGACGGGACGGTCGGTGGACGGCGAACATTGGTACCGGATAACCACTACCACTGCCACTACTTCGGTACAGCCACTAGCACTACCAAGGCAGTGAACACCAACCTGGAATGGGTAAAATACGCTGTATGTTTTCGAGTACGCCGTGTAGGTATCATTGAATTGAAGCCCTAGCCCATCCTCGGCAGGGTAAAGTAGAAAGCATAGGTACCTAGCTCCTCTAAACCATTCCCTCGGCGACCATATCGTGATCAGGGCTCATTCAGGCTGACTGAGTGAATCATGATGGTGATGAGACCCCGAAGTAGTCCGACCACTAACGTCTGTCTGCATCTATAAAAAGATACAACTACCTACAGTCCAACTTAACGACCCACTACAACCCAAATCGGGGGCCGCAAACTTGGACTTGGAGTCGGCAGCAGTGTTCCGGGCAGACAACGTCAGCACACTGCAGTTCAAGGTCCATATATCATGTGCAGTGTCCGCGGAAAATACCTTATCTCGATGATGCGTTGATTCTCACTCAAGTATTTGGTCGAAAAATGTGTTGATTTCTGGGGCCAGCAACACATTGCACTTGGAATCTCCCTTCGTCCACAGAGGGGTGAACCGCCCTGAACCGCATCCCGAACAACAACGACTTGAATGCCTAAGCTTGTTCGTTCCGCCCTTACGGACCTCACATAGGCTCATTACTGAATGATGCATAGCTCCAGAACTGCGGTGCGCCCAAAGCTCGGCTCAAGCTTAGAACTTGAAGAGTGCCTACCAAGGGCCAACTGGGTGCAGATACGAAGATAGGTACAGAAGTGCGGTCAGTCAGCTTGCAAGCGCACCGTTTCGATAGTCCCATGCCGCCAGTGCAGTGTGACACAAGAGGCGTTCAATAATTCTGCGGTACTAGTAACGCCCTTGCAGTGGCCCTCAATGCACCGCGGAACAAAAAAAGGCGAACCTCACCAGCGAGAGGCATCTCGGCCTGCCAGTGACATGTAGCCTGTCGATGAGCCTGGCGTTCCGCAACCCTGGGCTGGAGTAGACAATGCCCGCATGCCGGTCTAGGTTTTTGTTTCGAACACCTCCGCCTGCTTTCATAGTCGCACAAAATACAAAGTAGCTGAGATATGGATATCCGAGGTCGGGTCTCCTGCAGAAAATCTAACAACGATTCCGACCCATCCTGGTGAGACAGAGTATGTTCGGAAGACGACCTAACAAGCCATCATTGAAAACCTGCTCACTACAGCGGCAGTTGCTGCATGCAGTGATCGGACATTCATTATTATCACGATCACAGCCGCGCGGCCGGGGTCTCCAGGACAGGCAGGACGCCTCAGCATCATGACGTGGTCGACATTCATGGCACTCACATTTTCCTGTGTCAGCCGGCTGTCACAATTCCAAAACTGCCCCCAAACCTCCGACACATGCGAGGCTGTTGCAAACCTTCTTTCAATCACTCGCCGTCAGTAGAAGGCAGCTTCCGAGCTGCTGTCACTAATAGACTATTCTTCCGTGATGCATTGACAGGCCCGAGCATTCTGTAACAACTTGAACCCGCTCTGTTGAAAGGTAAACGGTACGATCAGTGGATCGTGTGACCGTGCACACTGGCACACGAGTCTGGCGGTTTTGACAGTTTGTTTCTCCGCGGTCATGGCAAGGTTAACCTGCATCGACTATCGATAGTGGCTGATCTAGGGTTGTGCATAACATTGGTTTTCGGGTTGTGTTATTGGCTTGAGACGATTTCAAGTCTTGGGATCCTTGAGCATTGTAGTAGGTAGTGTACACTGCAGTTTCGACACTGGCTTGGAAGCCACCACAGGGCGGCCTCTAGCGACAAATCCCCAGGCTCACGGTTTTGGACTTTGATTGCCCTGTGTGTCCCCGCCGCCTCCGTTGATATCCGGGGAATGACTAGGTACCAGTAATAGGTAGTCAAGATAGTTTGGTCACTGGAGGCGATGCTGCTGCTGCTGTGCCATGACTTGACCCGGTGGTCTGGGCACAACAGTCGGTAAGGAACATTTGCTTCTCCTGACTGCCTAAACTGGTTTCGGGTCATCCAAGAAGCTCCAGCAGCAGTGACTCGGACTCGACCAAACCGGGCCATCTGCGCAAGCCCTTCGATAGTACACTCCGGAGGTTAGGTGAAGGAACCATGGTGCGCGTCGAATATTGGTTCATGCCCGGCATTTGCAAGCAAGTCAAGCAATTTCGAAAGAAAAGACTTTGGGGGCAACAAGCTGAGGCATCGCCGTCGGTTTCAATCACTTCACTTCTGCTGTAGAAGATCCCCCTGCGCATCTCTATCCCTGTTCGCCCGCCAGACCCCTTCCTCGCCCTCACCCTCTCCAGTATCGGCAAACCATTCTCTCTTCCAAATCTCCGCTCTGGCCTTGACTCTCTCGAGAATCTCTTCCGCGCCCTTCCACCCACTTGCCCTGTGTGCGCTGCTCACCGAGACGGCAATACTCTCCTCTTCGACCTTGACTTCACCCAGGCGATGGACTATGACCACTTTGTTTAATCCATGTTTCTTCTGCACGTCTTCGGCAATAGCATACAAAGACTTGAGTGCGAGCGACGGGTACGCCGAGTACGAGAGTCGTGACACCGGCCGATCGTCGAAGTTGTTGCGGGTGGTTCCTAGAAACAGAACATTGGCCCCGGCGGTCGGAGAGCGCGTGAATCGCAGATAGGCTGGTACGTCGAGTGGATCGTAGACTAGGGAAATGTAGATTGTCTCCGTTGAGAGAGTTTGTGGGAAGTTGGCGGGGTCGAGGATTGAGGAATTTGAGGTTTGGGACTGAGACTGTGATGGTTTCGAGGTGGCATTTCTCGATGAGCCTGTCACAGATTCGGACATACTGTGTGTTCTCCGGATCGGATAGGACTTTCGGTGCTGTCTTGCGTAGATCTGCCAAAGTCAAACTTGAGAAGCTAGCTATTAGGGATAAGCTGCTGTGCTGTGCTGCGCTGTAGTCTGGTAGAGCCAAAGATGAAGGAATGTGTTCTATTTCAAATGTGGTGCTGAAGCCTGGCTGGACACTTTTTACACAACCTTTGACCCAGGCATCATTAAACGGCGCCTTGAAAGGTACTGGTTACCTGCTCTCACCACTCACAGGGTTAAAATTGACCTCGATTAGTACCGTTGGAAACAACATCAAATTCCCAATACCTCAGGGCGTATCTTAAAGCAAGTTTGGATTGATTTCAAAAGTGCCGCTGCAGCGCGCGGGCAATTTAATAGTACGTCATTGAACAGCCCACGGTATGCCGGTAAGCCATGTCTTTCATCGGTCTACACTGAACTTCAATGGTACTTGGACACCAAATTGAACTTCTACAATCCTTTACAAGCACAATCGTCTGATGTATGAAATTCCACCAACATTGTACAACTCGGAACATTGCCCACCAGTCCCCCATATGAATCATGCAGTGCAGTGAGGGAATCGTCCACAGCTCAAACCACTCCCACTCGACCTTAGGTACCTGGGTTGGTACCTACCCAACTACCTAGTACAGTACCTACCTACGTAGTCATCCAGCTGCCCAACCTTCCTCTGTCGAAAGCATAGTTTCATTCGCTACACCCAATCCCATCTATTTCCACTCTTTCTCCTTGACACTCTCTCCCACGTTTCCCCCAATATTAATGGCCCAGCTTAAAAAAATACGACCATTCTCCCACCTCAACTGGAGCCACGTCCTCCCTTCACCGCCCTTTATATTCGCCTCATTTCCCTGACATCCACCCACTCAAGCACCATGATATCTGGCCAAGTGGTTCCCCTGCAGGTTTGACACTCTTGTTCGTCCTCGTTCGGGCAATCTGCCTTCCTAACAGAGAACTTCGTTCACCAGCAATGGAATTGAAGTGGTTGGGAAGCGATGGGATTGGATGATTAGGATATGCATGATGGGAAACGGCGCCGATCTGAAAAAGAAAACTACGTACTAGTAGTACTAACAGTTGTACATAAGGTACTAATAGGTAGATGAAGCACAAGTACGGTACTATCACACCAGACTCCCTCCCTTCCTCCCTTCCTCCAGGGTGCATGCGTATGACCTGAGATACAGAACAGAACACAGCATAGCCTTTCATTACATTCATCTGCTTCTTTTGATGTTGGTACATTCTAGCTTGCTTGGACTCTTGTCGAATCTATATAAAGCTAGACTCTGGCGAGTCTATAGTATTCCCCCTTTTGTACAGGACATGTTCGTTGGAAGTGGAAGTGGAGTTTGATATAAAAGCACCGAACACAATAGCCGACACCCGTACAACCAGCCAACCAACCGGCATTGCCATGCCGGGCAAACAATTGGAACCCTTCTTCAAAAGAAAAAAAAAGACGTAGCCTGGTTGTATAGGTTCAGTAGCGCTCGTGGCTGTGGAAGATGGGAGATCGAAACGTAGGCGTTGCGTCTGATATCCAAGGCCGGGATGGACATTTCCTTTCTTATTTCGCCGTAGCACTGGCAGAGGCAGTCGAAGACGCGGACGATTGAGCCTTCTGCTTATCATTGAGATACGGCAGCGGCGATCTGTCAAGCGGCTTCCCTTCCTTCTTCCAGTCCCTGATATGCTGCAACACAATAGCAGCAGCACTCTCCGGCGTATCCTGTCTGCCGATACACTCGACAAAATCACCCTCCGGATCCATCACATAGAAGTAAATGCTGTGATCGACCAGGTAATCCTCCTCACCTGGCTCGAGCTTCGGCGGCGTGGAGAAATAGACTCGATATTGTTTGCACACATCTTTCGTCTGCTGCCACGTCCCCACCAGACCCATGATCGACGGATGGAATTCGGCAAGATAAGTCTTCAGCACCTCGGGCGTGTCACGGTTGGGATCGCACGAAATAAAAATCGGCCGCACGGTATTCGGTTCCTTCTCTTGAATAATATCGAGCGCCTCGCCCATTTTGTCCAATTCATCCGGGCAAATGTCCGGACAATGCGTGAATCCGAAATAGATCAACGAGTATTTTCCCAACAGGTCTTTCTCCGTAAAGTCGTTCCCGTTAACATCTTTGAGCGTGAACGGTCCGCCGACTTTCGGTTTGCCGTATCCTTTGCTCATCTCGGTGATTCGTTTGCGCTCCAGTCGCGCCTTTTCGTATTGGAAGTAAAATACCATCGCTGCGCCTACGCCGACAAACAACGCCGCTGATCGGAATGAGAATGGCTGAAGAAGAAAAATAAGTTAGATGGGGTAAGTGAGACGTACCGCGGATGAGAATACGTACGCCTGTTTGGTGGTACAGTTTATCCCCCGCTGCTAGTCTGCGTCCTGTCGACGAGAATGCTCGTCTCTGCTGCGTACATTGTGACTGCAATCTTTCGGTTTGTCGTCGAGCACCGGTTCTGGCTGTTTGCGAAAGTGGTCTGATTGAGGTATATACATTGCTGCGAGTGCATCTGGGAGCGGAGGTCTGGGTGGCCAGTCGGCGCATGGCCTGGCGAAGAGAAGGCACCTGGGCCGGCATGTTGACAAAGGATCAATAAAGGTCAGGGACGTGGTTGATGTTGGTGTTGATGCCAGTGGTAGAATTTATTCGAGGAACTTGAAGAGACCGATTACTGTTCCCGCAGCATGGATACAGCGCCGCAGTTGCGGAGCGTCTTTCCTCGGCCGATCACGCGGATGACTCAGCGAACCAACTCGCCTTGAAGTTCGGCGATAATGATTGCAATGAGTTCTGAAACCCTCGTCTGTTGCCTCTAAACTGGGTGTCCTTTTTATCTTGCATGGCATACTACTACTTAGACCATGAAGTTATTCTATCATTTGCGTCCAATCGATTGCTTCATGAAGAGTGCCCAAACACCTAGAAGCTAGAATGCTTCTCAACTAATCCCCGAACTGCTAGATATATATCTATCGTACCCATGAAACCCGAACGCCCAACGGTCGCCGACTTTTTGTACGACACTTGAATCCACCCAATTGACATTCATCGTCAATGATCGTGAGGTACGTCAGACAGCAAATGTCTGTACCTTTCAAGAAGAAAATAGTAATGACTTTCTTCAACATTCTTGAGTGTTACATGTCCAGACCCAATGGCAATTCAGGTAGGTCCCGTAACCGCCACGGAGGGGATCGGTATGTTGCCCAAAGCATTGCTGCTTGCGCTGCCATTGTTCTGCGGAGGCTTGAGTTCGGACACTGGCTCTGAGGATATCCCGGTCTCTTCATCAACTGCAGGCGCTTTCTCGCCGGCTCTTCTGGTTGACGTGCGCCCCTTATCATCGTCGATGTGAATGTGTTCACCTTCTTCTTCCTTCTCTTCGCTAGCCGACTTACCACTGATTCTGCGCATCGTACGTCCGGAAAAGCGCGCTATGGCCCGAACCATCTGCGCGACAGGGTGAAAGATGAAGCGAAGACCTCTCCAAATCGGCCGGAGCACAATTGCCACGCCACCGACCGCACCATTGAAGACGACTCCAAACCACTTGTCCGGAAAACATCTTACCAGCACGCCCCAGAGCAAACAAGGCAGAGCGGTGAGCAGTGAGATGGCCCACTGAGCGCCGTCGAGACGTGTGATGCTGAAAGCTTTGCCGCCGATAAAAACAATCATGACCTGACCGCCAACCATGATGCAGTTGATGCCAATAAACCAGTAGTTACGATGGATGCCTTCAAAGATGTTGAACTTGTTGTCCAATCGTCGATTGTTGACTTGATTGAATATCTGCATCCACACAAACGAGTTGAAAACAATGGTGTTCAACTCTGTACGTTGGCTTTCGTTGTAACTGAAGATGAACATGCCGGCAAAGTACAACACAAAGGTAACCACGAGTTGGTAGATCGCCTGGCCGGTGATCATCTTCCACATGTTGATCGTAATGAGAGGCTCCGATTTCGGCTGCGGTGGACGGTCAAGGATCTTCTTGGTCGGGGCATCGGTGGCCAGAGCCAGGGCGGCCAATGTGTCCATGATGAGATTGACCCAGAGCAGCTGCACGGCGGTAAGCACTGAGTGGTTTTCGTCGTTGGACACAGCAGAGACAAAAGTTAACACGACAGCCGTAATGTTGACGGTGATCTGGAACTGTAGGAATTTCTTCACCGCATCATTGACGGCACGTCCCCACATGAGCGCGGTGATGATAGAGGAAAAGTTGTCGTCGAGCAAGATGATAGAAGAAGCTTCCTTCGCGACTTCGGTACCGGCGATGCCCATGCTGAAGCCAACATCGGCCAGTTTCAGGGCAGGTCCGTCGTTTGTGCCGTCACCAGTCACTGCCACCGTCTCGCCCAAATGCTTCAGCCGACCGACGAGGATGCGTTTATCTTCGGGGGATGATCGAGCCAAGACACGCAGCTTTGGCAGAATCCCATCCATAGCATCGGGCGTGAGCTGCCGAAACTTGGGGCCTTCCATGACGATACAATCTTCTTCCTCACGAAGGATGCCACAGTCCTTAGCAATGGCTCGGGCGGTCGTCACGTTGTCGCCGGTAACCATGCGAACGACGACTCCGGACCGTTGGCACTGTGCCACTGCCTCAACCACGCCTTCTCTGAGTGGGTCATGGATACCGACGACGCCTATCCAGACCATTTCGTGGAAAATGTCTTCGAAATCGGCCGCTTTGGGGTCTTCCTCCAGAACCTTGGCGCCCTCAGGGGGCCATTGTGTATAGTCCTTGTACAACATGCCAATTGTTCGAAGCGAGTGCTGGGCGTAGTCTTCGATGGTCCTGCTGATGGCTTCCTTGTCCTCTTCTAATAAGTCAACCACGTCATAATGCTTTTCATAGATGTTAGAGATGGCCTTGGTAGCTCGTGCAAGCATGAGTTCGGCTGCACCCTTGACAAGTAGACGGTAGCCCCCATTGACCTTGACGACGATACCCATGCATTTTCTTGAGGAATCAAAGGGAATGAGTTGTTTGACTTTGTAGCTCGACCGTTCGGCTGCGAGATTGTCCAGGCCAAGGTGGTCATTCGCAAGCGTGAGAAGTGCCACCTCAGTCTTGGATCCAATGAAAGTCGGGACGCCCTTCTCCTCGCCCTCGAAAGCAGTGCTGTTAAGGCTGACGGAAAGTCGAAGCAACTCCTTGACTTCGGCACTGAGTCTTCCCAACATGGTTGCGGTGGGAGTCGCGCCCAAATTTTGTTCCGTGCGAGTCGAGGCAAACCTTTCATAAGGGCCCACGGTTCCTGCAACCACGGTCATTTTGTTTTGGGTGAGTGTGCCAGTCTTGTCCGAACAGATGGTGGTCGCATTGCCCATGGTCTCACAAGCACGAAGCACCCGGACGAGATTGTTCTCTTTCAACATCCTTGTAGTGGCGAAAGCGAGGGCCAAAGTTACCGCCAATGGCAAACCCTCAGGGACGGCGACCACGATAACGGTGATGGCGACAATCAAAATGTCCAGGAACTCTTGTGCCTTAGCGGCGCTAGGTCGTGAATCACCAGGCAAATGGGCCAGGAACTTGATCAGCAGGATCATGAAGAGAAGACCAGCGGCGGATGAGCCAAGTCCACCAATCCAGTTGGCAAGCCTGCCGAGCTTGACCTGTAGCGGTGTTGGCTCATTCTCGGTCTGCAAGCTCATCAGAATCTTGCCGTATGAGCTGTTCTTGCCAACGCTGGTCACGAGGTACGTTCCAACACCTTCGAGGACTTTAGACCCGCTGATGATAAAGGGATCCAGTTTCGCGGTAGCAGTGCCGTCTTGAATCCGCTGCCAGACTTCGTCGCCAGGAGTCTTCTTCATTTGATCTGATTCTCCGGTTGCGGAAGACTCGTCGCATTTGACGCCATGTCCGGAGATGAAAACCCCATCAGCAGGAATAGCGTCGCCCGGTTCGAGGTGCAAGACATCCCCTACAGTGATGTCGTGGACCGATATTTGGATGGACTTGCCAGACCGAATAACTTTGACTTCCCGGTCATCTTTCTGCGCATAGTTGTTAGATGAAAGACGCTGAAACGGCCACGAAAGATGCAGAACTTACCCGCTTGTTGAGTTTGACAAATTGTCTTTCCTTTTGCCAGTCGTTCGCCGCACCAACAGTCACAACGATAATAATGGCGACACAAATTGCGACGCCTTCAACCCAGTCGACCCCCGACTCTCCAGAGACGCTCTCATAAATACCGAGAGCCAAAGAAATGACGGCAGCGATAGTAAGGAGAATGAGAATCTTGTCGCAATAAGCCCTCCATATAAGCACAAGTATCCCGGCGGGCTTCCGTTCAGGAAGACGGTTGTCTCCAAAAACGCGGAGTCGATCCACAAAGTGATCTTTCGCGGGTGTCGCTTCGGCTGCAACCGGTGATGTCCTCTGGTTTAAAACAACATCTGAGAACACTTTCTCTGTCTCAGCTGATACAGCTTCCTCAAATGATACTTGCCCGTCAACTTGCATCTCGTCAACGGATAGGCCAGCTGTAATGTTGGTTCGAAGGCCTTTCTCTAGGCCCCTTAGCCCTCCGAGAGCTTTAAACGCAGATAGCGATTTAGGGTTCAATAGCTTGTTGAGCTGGCCAGGCGAGAATGCAAAAGGGTTATTCGTGACCTGGAAGTCTTTCTCGTTGCCATGGTCGGGTTTCAACGCCTCCTCGGGAGGTTCATATTCAAGGCTAGATTTCGAGTAGTAGGTGGCAGAAGAAGTTGCCGAAATTCCCGAATTCGATCGGATTCGTGTCGCAGCGTCGTCCGACTGTATTGACCCAGACCTGGAATTCAGTGTCGAACCGTCGAACGCATATTTGCGATCAGGAGTCGTTGGAGATAAATATGACCCTTCATCTACCGCCGTCTGGGGAGGTGTGGGCATACTCTGTCCTATCCTATAACCTGTTGGCCGGGAGGTAGGCGAAGGTGATTCTTCAGGGTAATCGGAGATATTCTGCGACAGTCACGTCAGTTTGAGTCCCAACCCGCCGCGAAATCTATAACTCCCAAGCATGTTATAGACCAACACTTACTGATGTATCAAGTGTGATTTTAGGCGTCAATGGATTTTGGCCCGCCATGGTTCGAATGGATGAGACCGGTGTAAGAGATCCTGAAGGCGTCCAGGTTCTTTTGTTGGAGCCGTTAGGAATTGAACATAGCCCCAGTCAGCCTTGCCTGATTCTCTGTGCGACCTTTTGAGCAGATAGCTCGAAGTAGGAATCTTTGATGTCGAATAACAACCACAACAGAATCATGAAAGAAATATGAATGCGAGGAGGGGCGAACATAACGGAGCCATGATCTTGCCTCTAACAGTGCGAAGAGCCTAGATAGTCTATATCGCCGGACATCAATATGGGGTACAAGGCGTCTGAAGGTGGAGGCGTCTCTGGGCAAAGGAGGCTGTGCAAGATAGTCCCAAACTGGGCCAAGCGCGCCGACTTGGCTCGCAGATACGCATGGATGCACATAGCCCGATCCTGGAGAGTTAGAGTAGGCGCTTCAGTTCCAGATATGAACGGTTGAGGTTCCCGTTGAGAGGTGAACTTAGAGAAGAGGTCCAGTAGGTCCTCCAGCTACACCCTGTTGTTCACACATACCGTACCATGGGGAGGATTATCTGGCTCCTGAAAAGGGGCAGCCAAGGAGCAGTAGCCACTTACACATTAAATACCTACCACAGGCGTCAGCGGCACCACGTCGACCGCCTTGATGATATTATTGTATTGCTTTCTTGTTGGATCAGTTATCGCCATGTGTCACCAGCCTTCAGCGTCCAGCACACTATCGAGGATGGCTTCCAAGATGTCACCGCGACAAGAAGATTCGCCGAAGTCTGGCAACAGTCTTGGCCAAACGGAACGTCGCTCTTGGCTTCCTGTTGTTGACCTGAAACTCTTGGTCTCGTCCCCGCCCAGACAGCTGGAGGATGGTAGCAGGGTGATAGGGTTTACGGTCTTCTGCTGAGCCAAAGGATATGGCATCCACCCATACAGCATCATGCAAGTGTCGTACACATTACGACGGAGAGGCCGCTCGAATAATGTTGATCACGCAAGCCGCAACAGCATCCAAGCGCAAGATGAGCGCGGTGATTTGGGTTGTGAAATGGGAGAACATCCACATTCTGCTTTGACTTTCTGTTGTCTGGTGAATTTGTCGCTTCAGCCACAGACTCCACCACCGCCACAGAAGTGTTCAGCCACAGATATCATCACGTGACTGGATCCAGCCTTGCCACTCGTTGTGGCGGAGCTTTTACTGTGGATTATCGATTGGCTCAGATCGTCCAACTTCAAGCATCCCCGTCCAGCACATCTCGCATTTCATTCTCAGCTGGGATCTGTTTCGCACTCAGATCCTCATTTGCTCTGTGAGTTTCGCCTGCTGCCTACCCGCATCGTCGGGCTCACTTGCCTCTGATCCAAGGGACCGCCGAGGATTTGGAGGCTGTGTCCAGCAAGACTCGGATCTTGGCATTCCTTTTGCTCGATCTGGCCAGACGCCGATCAACTCGGTGCTGGACTCTTGTCTATTTGGCGCTAAGAAGTTTCTTGTCCCTGTCACCCGTGTCGATACTGCACAGTCCTACCCACAGGCTATGGCAGTTGGAACGTCCGTCCACAAGACGGTTGCGTCTTTGCCTTCGTCCGCGAGCTATGCTCCGCCTCGTTACATATCCACAGTTGCAGACGGCGAACGTGGCACTCTTCCATCCGACCGCCTGTATGGAATACCTGTGTCCCCGAGACGCGACTGGGCCATGGTGAAGAATGTCTAGCACAGCCGGATAGGGCTATACATTGGCAGGGGATCGAGATGGTAAGCCGCAAGGTCTAATCAAAGAGGGCCACAAGTCGTATCATCGGTCTGCTTGACCGTATAGGGGCAACATGCAGTCTCAGATAAGAAGGCGGGTTCGAGGCAGTACACCCATCACTCGAGGTGGCTGGCCTCTCGGTATGCGAGCACCCCATGACGTCTGGCGAGCTGCCTACGCTTGGAATCCCTCGTTCAGCATTGGTTCTTGCCAGAGAGATTGTTGGGACCGCTCACTGTCCGTGGCTGGGGCTCTGATTTTGCTTCAGAATCCAAAGGTAAGCCGAAGACGAAGTCGTGGCTGTAGGCGAATGCAACGAACTAGCACTGCCCGCACTTCTTGATCGTCCCCCGGAGTTTGAAAGAAGTGGGAATGTGTGTCAACCTTGGGAGTGACTCCAGGGAGGAAGGTGGCAATGCCTTGTCAGCGTTAAGATACAACCATACAGCCCATCAGATCTGACGCACAGAACCGCGTTGAGCATCAGATATGCAAAGCCTGCGCTTCTGCATCAATGGGCGCCAGAGGAGTCCGCATGGAGCAAAGCGTGCTTCGACAGGGTGGTTCGACTCAGGCGCTTGATGTTCCATATTTGAAGATGGCTTATGCACTTGCGGACGTCGGCATTCTAGACCCACCTGGACTCTACGGACAATGTACTAGGTACTACATATTCCGGCTGTGCTTCCGGTCAAGCAACGCCAGAAAACAACCGAATTTCCTGTTCCAAACACCACAAGGGCGCTGCTCTGCTTCTCACTATCATTTCTCTAGCTCCGCAGCATTGTTGCTCAAGTTTCCAGGATGTGCCCCTGTTCAAGAATGCACTCCACAACTCACTGCAGCCTCAAGCTGTTCTCAAGCCGTCACTTACATTATAGCGACCTGATCTGCATTTCTTTTTCGGTTTGTGTGTACAACACCGCGGTAAACTACAATGTCAACATCCTATCCGCTCTTATCAGAGAGCTCAGAAATCTACCTAGACTTCGTGGTCAGTCCAGAAGGTAGAATGGCCCAGTACCTTTCCCTGTTCCTTGAGGGCATGAGGAGAAGAACAATTGCTTCCTCCCAACCCCTCCAAAGCATCTCGTTCCGACAACCGCAAGATAAACAGCCAAGCAAGGCTGAGTAACTAGCTAGTTACCTGGGTACCGAACGCGCCCCACCACCTTCAGGACACTTTGGCAGCCGCCCTCGCCGCTGCGGCACCAGCCCTGCGACCAAAGACAGCACCGGACGTCAAGCCGCTGCCACCAGGATAATTTTCATAGAACAAACCACCGAGCATCTCACCACAGCAAAAGAGGCCGGGGATCTCCTTGTCAGTGATAGCAGACAACACCTGCGCCGTGTCCGGGTTGACAGCAAGACCGCCAAAAGTAAAAGTAATGCCGCACGTAACCAGTACAGCCATGAAGGGAGGTTGATCGAGCGGAAGGGCCCAGTTCGACTTTGGCAATTCCAACTGGCCCTGACTCGACTGCGTGGAATTTCCATCACGAACAGACGGGTCCCATTTCTTGCCTGGGTTTTCTGCCTGAAACGCCCCCACGGCCCTATTATACCGAGCAATGGTATCGATAAAGGTCTGGCGAGAACTAGGGTCAAGACCGAACTCGACTTCGTTGCACAATTTGTCCGCCAGCTCGGGGATGGAATCGGCCATGATCTGTCTTACCCGTTCAGGGCGATACTCCTCGGCGCGCAGCCAGGGGATGGTACGCTGATCCCAGATTTGAAAGGCGCGCTGTTGCGGCTGCATGAGGATGGCACGGCCGAATTTCGCATACGTGTAGTTGCGCAGGTCGACGCCTTCGTCGACGAACCGGTGCCCCTGGGTGTTCACCATCAGACCCAGCGGGTATCCTGATTTGGTGAACTCGTTGGAAGCCTCGCGGTCGCCTGAATGGGAGGGCGCGTCGGCGTCCCATGCCACTGAGTGGCATCCGGACCAGTGGCCCACGGCACTGGCGTGCACGTCGCGGATTGTCATTTCTAGAACTTCGCCGGTATTGTATGGCGTGCCGCGCACTTTGGCGAGATCCCACCCCGGTCCGAGCATCTGCGCCCGCATGCGTGGATTGGACTCGAACCCGCCGGCGGCCAGGATTACGGCGCCCGCCCGGATTGTTGTCTCTGTTTGGTTGCTGCCACTGCGAACAACAACACCTTCCACGGCGCCAGTATCACTGTTTGTGAGTAATCGTTCCAGCGCCGTCGAGTAGAATACAGCCACGCCGTGTCGACCAGCGTTGGCCTGGTGGTCGGCGATCAGCCCTTTGCCGCCATCCTGCGTTTTGAGTGCCACTCCTCCCCAGAACTTAAGTCGTCCATCTACCTCGTACGCCTGCCTGTTGAACGACAGCTGGAATCGGATCCCCTGGTCTTTCAGCCATTTGATCGTCGAGTTGGAATCGTCGATCAGCACTTTAGCGAGTCTCGGGTCCGCTCGCCCTCCGCATACCCGGTGCATGTCGTTGGCAAAGTCTTGCTTCGTGTAGGGTTCCATGTCGATTCGTTTGGCGGTGGCTTCGTCCACGTTGTTCACTAGCGGTAGCAGGTCCTCCTCCCCGCCGTGAACTGTGCGATACGCCCCGGCCGTGAAGTAGCTGTTTCCTCCGGCCCAGTCCTCCGGACACTTGTCGATGAGAACCACTTCTTCGGCACCCGCCTGTTTCGCCGCCACGGCCGCCGTGAACCCGGCGTTGCCGCTGCCGACTACCAGGACACTACACGAGGATGGTAGTGCCATTTTGTTTCTTGTCCCGCGTTGGCTGAGACCTCACGGTAGAGATCGGTGGAGAGGGTACAACAGTTTCCAAGTCGCGGGAGTGGGGAATGAAGTTGTGCCTTCGAGATATGGCAAGATCGCCCGGACCGCTGCTCTTGGGACTGGAGAACAATATCCGAACTCACAACTCACAGGCTATGCTGCCGCGTACCGATCAAACAATCAAAATATCAAACAAACCTATTTCACCTGATATATATTTGATTTCATGTTACAGCTGAGTCCCAGAATCCCACCGGAGATGGACTGTGCACAGCAACAACAGCAGTGATATAGGAGTGACATCGTACATACCTAGGTCATGTCGAAGTTGTCATGTACTACTCGCCCCGACGCGCATTGCCGACCTACCAGGTACTGCAGCCTCACTCCGCATTCGGGTGTAATAATAAAGATTGGAGAACGTATCAATTCGGCATCAAGGCTCGGACCACGCAATAAAAAGCGATGAGATGGCGGCGATCTGCAAAAGAAATGGAGTTCAAGTTGGAGAAAAGAAAACAAGCTCAACAAGCTCAACCGATCCGACGGCCGGAGCTGGTGGCGGGTGATCCCGTCGGCAACGAAACCACCCCGAGCTGAAAAAAACAAGCTTGGAATCAATATAAATTATAGAGATTGACTACTGGTATGCAGCTGTGGTTCCTGGTTCCCGGATTTTTGTACACTTTCAAACTCGGCATATATGTATTATCTTGCTAGCCGGCTAAACTTCCAAGTTCACAGCGGGGCCAAACCTGCTAGTACGTGAGCTATATGAAATGAGGCTGTCACTTATTTGTCGGTTACAGATCAACCCTGTAGTTGACGACGTCCTCCTTGGCTTCTTCTTCTTCTTCCTCAGCCTACAAGTCTCTCAAGTGCGTCGCGCATAGCGAGCCACGGCCACCAGCCTGGATCATTATAATTGTCCCAACGACGAAAACGACCATCTCGTCGAGGCTTGCATTGATGTAGATCTTGGTGTTGTTGTTGGTGCTGCTCCTGGTGCTGCTCCTGCTGCTGCTGTTTCAGCGATACCGTCCGGTCCTTGATCCCTTTGATGGTCTCCACAGGCCGTTGTGACTTGACCTGGTCTTCGGAGAAAAAGCCGCCGTGGAGGCCGTAACTGACTCTCCGGGGTAGATGGACGCGGCCAACAACGGTGGTCATGTCCTTCGCGTCAATGATCCATAGTTCACTCGTGGCGTCTGGGCGACATTCGCCATGGGCGTCGAGCTGTGACTCGTCAAACACGTAGGTCAAGAGCCAGCCGTCGTCTTCATCTTCGTCTTTATCTTCAGCGCCTTGGTCGGTTTGTCCCCGTGATTGTTCTTGTTGTTGGAGGTGTGACTTTTCTGGATCGGTGGCCTCATGCCGTCGGCGGCTCCGCCGTCTCCTTGGAACAAACCGTGGTTCCTGGGCATACCATCCCTGCGGCATGCGGAAGATGGAAATTGGATCGTTAGGGTTCTTGTCTGGGCCACAGACCTCCTCGATAGTTCGCTGGTCCACGCATCCGGTGACAGGGTGTATGGTCGGATCTTGCTTGCCTCGTTGGATCAGCTCTGCAGCATTAATCTTCACAAGGCAGTCGATTTTGACGGCTCGCCCAAGCGCCGCGCCAAAGGAGCCCTCGAAGCTCGAACAACCGTAAATGTACTTGGACTCGGACATGGATCGGTCGTCCCGTGTACTAGGAAACTCAAACGAGATGGCGCTCAGGGCAAACTGGTACTTGATGCTGTTGCCATCAAGGCAAAATTGGTAGTAATACAGACGGCACTGGTCGTCTTCTTCACTTCCGCCAGTCTCAGGTAGGGCAACGTCGCCGGCGGCGAAAACAAGTGAAGCAGACGTCAGTCGACATGCGAGCATGTTGACAGCTGTGATCTTGACCTCTCCCGTATCTTTGTTGATTACTTGTTCGTCCCATGTGTTTGCCGTGTGGAAGATGCAACATGCATCCGTCTCAAACCACCGAACCTGTTGGGGCACATATCGTGGGAAAACGCCAAAGCGGGACCTGCCGCAAGCGTCGTACGCGACCACAGGTAAATTCTTGATGAGATTCAACGGATCTAGTGACAGTGGAAGATCCATGATCACGGTGTGGTTCAATGATACCCCAAAATCATGCATCATTTTGGCTGATGCTATGCCCGGGACAGAGACGTTGAGAAGCCTTCTAGGTTGCTCGAGCGGTGTCTGAGGTAAGACTGCCGGAGAGTGAGTCGCGGGAATGATAGAATAGTGGACATATGGCGGTATAAAAGTCGAATGGAACAGTATCAGCTCTTTGGTCGTAGGATCGATGCGAGGATGTGCAGTCGTCCATTCCTTCATGAAGCCTAGCAGGCCTTTACCTCCCAATTCGGGACCCTCGTCGCCAACGCCGTATTCGCCCTCGGCTTTTCTGCCGTTGTACCAGCCAACAGTCTCAAGTCCAGGTAGAGCAATGCGCATTGGCGGGCCGGACTCGCAAGTTGCCAGTGCCCGCCCATCGTGGAACACGATTCCTGTGTTTGCCACACTGATTTTCTTGATGGCTCGACCAGATCCCGATAGGCGCGAGAGAATTACAAGAAATATGGTTCGGAAAACGAGAAGAACGATTCGGTACAATGATGAAAGGGGGTCCACGAGTGTAGCTATGCTCGGTAGGATTGGAGCGTGGAGGTGGTGGGAGGAAATGCTCGACAGAAACACATCGGTAAGCACATATTGATTGACAAACTCCGGCTGTACTCCGTCGTGAGTTCTTGTAAAGGCAACGCCGCTGAGCATTCCGTCGCCGTCAAACCAGTGGGCATCTCTACCCAGGTCCTCGTTTGATACAGGATTGCCTCCATTGCGCACATACTCGCCCCCATAGAGCTCTTCTGGTATGGTGCCCGAGTACTTGCAAGGCGTCAAAGGCTGGCTGTGCCGTACAGGAGCGAAATTTCCGCTGAGATATGGGTGCGGGTGGCTTCTCTTGCGTTTTCGAGGATTGGTAAAGGACATTACGAAGGACGTGGTATATTGAGTATTCTTTCTTCCACAAGGACAGAGGGATACATGTAGACAGAGGGCGCCAACGATTAAGAAGAACGAAGCAGGAGAAGGCTATGAAAAATGCCGTTGATGGTCGCAAATTCCATAGTAGTCATGCTCTTGAAAGCGATAATGCAGTTGGCTATAATCTCCGAGGAGCACCGGACAAGCATCGGAACAGAGGTGACGGGGGAGGTGTACCGGAGGTCAGTCAGTACCTTAACAGACACGAGCCTGTCCGGACGGGGTTCCACGGATGCAAAACAGCCTCAAAGAAATGATAACTCACATGTCGAGGTTGAAGAAGCAGGTTGTTCGTCCAACACGTCTCATGATGTAGGCATTACACCACCACACTGGCAGGGGAACGCAGCTCGAAGTCCTGCCGGAGCGGAGAAAGCTTGTACCATGATTGCGAATGACTACCCTACTGGTGTTCAGGTTTATGCCAATCGCAGCCGGAGGATGGTGGAAGTACCGTACCGCGTCGGTTGAGTGGACGTGTACAGCATCTGCGTTGGAGTAGTAGCGGTACATTGTACGGAGACGCAGAGAACTTGAACACGCCAGACAAGAAGCGATGATGCTTGCATCACAAATTCAGAAGGTATTCCGACACCGGGACCGAGATATAAAGTCTATGGCGTCATGAAGCGGCCTAAACAGCATGTTAGCCGAGCAACGCCTCGCGACTCCTTTTTGAGAGAGTCTGATGTGCCCAACAGCCTCGCCAGCCTTCCAACCGCCTTCCACTTTCTGCATGCTGCCAGATGTACCACAATACTACTGGTCTTAGTATCAACATCATGATGCTCGCTTGTGGCTTGATGTCCCCAATCCCTGGGGCGAAATTGCTATCTTAGCATATTTAGTTCGCGTCATGACATCCATGCAACCGCTCTTCCGAGGGCCCATCAAAAGCCTGCTCTCTCTACCCTGCACGAGCCTGTCCCAAACTTTCGCATTGCTAGCTGTTTCTCTGAAGCGTTGCACGATTCTCACATTCCTCCATTGCTCGGCTGACTGGTGCTCGGATATTTACTGCTATATGGCTACTACAACAATCCCGTGTTGATCCATCAGTGCTCAAGTGTGTGTTCAGTCCGCGTTCTATCAGCCAGGAAGGGCCTCCGGTCACCTCTGCATCGATGTACGACTATGCGAAAGTGTATGTCCGGCCCGTATCTTGAGATGTCTCTACTCAACATTGTACTTACACATTTATTTACTCGAACAGTCATCTCATATACACAATTCCCCCAGCCATAGCTCTGACCACAGTCCTTGCGCCTCTCTTCACGCGACGAGATGTCTTCAAGATCTGTTTTCTGCTGACCGTGGCCGTTACATATACGATTCCATGGTACGCCGAAAAAGCCTCTCTCAATTTTGCTGGTACTGAGGTCCGTCTCTAGGGATTCGTATCTCATTAGAACTGGAGTTTGGAGTATGCTCGGACCCTTTTTCAATGGCCATTGAGCTAATCAGCTGACTCCTTCCAGCTTATCCTCCGGAAGTCATCTTGGGACCGAAATTGTTCGACATCCCAGCTGAAGAGTTGTTCTTCTTCGTAATTCAGACATACATTGTTAGTTTGCCCTTGACCCGTCTGTGAACACCTTTTTCTCACGTTGCAACAGACCACATGCCTGCAGATTTTACTGAGCAAATCGGTGGTCACCGCTACCTACTTGCACAACGAAAATGACCTTCAAGATCCTCTCGGCAGGCGCTTGAGGCAATGGAAACGTGCTGGTCAAGTGACCCTCGGCCTATGCTGGGTAACCCCTTTGCTTCTAGGTAGAGGCCACGTTACGGGCACATACATGAAGTTGATTCTCGTTTGGGCCGTTCCGGTGTTATTGATGCTCTGGACCTTTGCTTACCAGCTGCTCCTCACCTTGCCGCGGTCCAAGACATGGCTGCCTATAATGCTCCCGACTCTTTACCTTTGGGTCATTGATACTCTCGCATTGCGCAGAGGCACTTGGTGTATTGAATCGGATACGAAGCTTGGCATTCAGCTCTGGCCGCATCTGGATCTCGAAGAAGCTGTGTTCTTCCTGGTCACAAACACACTGATAGTCTGGGGCTTAACTGCGTATGACAACGCCGTTGCAGTCTTAGACGCCTTTCCGGCCTTTTTTCCCACCGTGCCGGGCACGCCGTCACCCGTACTTTTGTTGAAAGGTCTTTTCCTGTCCACCTCCAAGTATGACACTGGACGAATACAGGGACTCCAAAATTCCTTGACTGTCCTGGCGCGGAAAAGCCGGTCTTTCTACCTGGCATCTGGAGTGTTTCCTGGGCGCCTGAGGATAGATCTGATCTTGCTCTACGCATTTTGCAGAGTCGCGGACGACTTGATTGACGACGCCCCATCCGCGGAAGAGGCATCCAGTTGGGTGGGGCGCTTTTCCCATTTCCTTGACACCGCTTACTCCACCAAGTCTGACCGGGAAGCATTCGAGCAAGCGCTTGTCCCTTTTCCTGTCGAGGCCCAATCTGTCCTGAGGCTGCTGCCCACAGACAAGTTACCGTCACAACCATTATACTCGCTCCTGGATGGCTTCCGGATGGATCAGCGGTTCTTCACAAAGGGTTCGAAAGAGGATCCGCCTGTACAAACCTTTGCAGATCTTGAACGATATGCATCATGTGTGGCAGCCACTATTGGGGAGCTTTGCTTGAGTCTCGTCTACCAACACGATCCCGACAGGCCCACAGACGAAGACACAAAGCGCAGGTGTGTCGCAGCTGGGTCAGATATGGGAAGAGCCTTGCAGTATGTCAACATTGTGCGAGACGTTGATACCGACGCTCTATCTGGGAGGTGCTACATCCCTAATGAATGGTTCGACAAGTCATCGGCCTCTTCCCCCGAAGTGCGTGACAAGGAAGTGGCCCACTATCGCAAGCGAATCTTGGACATTGCCTTCTCTATATATGGTACAAATCGGGACGCAATTGAGGAGCTTCCTCAATACGCACGAGGTGGGATACGCGTTGCGGTAGAGAGCTACATGGAGATTGGAAGGATGTTGCGGGAACGACTTGAGGAAGGCAAACCTCTGGATTTCGCCGGTGGGGGGAAGAAAGGGAGAGCAAGTGTACCCAAATTGAGAAGGATATGGGTGGGCTGGAGGACGATGGCTGGATGGAGAGGGTCAGCCTGATGGCTTTTTGTCGTTGTTGTTGACATAGAATTTACGTCGGGATTTCAAATAGTTCAAGTCGGGCACTCACTACTCCCCTCACGGCCCCTGCCGCTTGTCGCTTGTCGGTACAAGATGTGGGGATGATTTGCATAAGGAAACCTCCATGCCAATAATAAATAAATATACTACAATTGTCTGCCACTATTGTGCACCACTTTATGACCATTTTTCCTGTCGCTGTTGGGAATCTCAGCGTCAATGGGAATGCACATGTCGAGGTCTGGGCTGGGCTGAAAGGGGCGCCACCAGCCAAGATGGCCATCTATCACTAAAAAGTCATGTTGTCATCGACTTTTACAAACCACTGCACCATATTAACCATGTGAGGCCTCCGAGGCCGTCCGTCTGGGACGGGCATATAATCTTGATCAGTTGCAGATCTGAGGAGCAATGAGCAAGCCGAAGAGCGTCGTGATAATAGGTAAGACCATGTATGCTTGCCCATTGCATGCAGTGACTCTGACTGGAATTCTCAAGGCGCCGGTGCCGGTGGCATCGCCAGCGCAGCTCGCCTGGCCAAAGCAGGCTTCAGAGTGACCGTGCTCGAGAAGAATGAATTCACGGGCGGTCGTTGCAGCTTGATCCATGATGATGGCTACCGATTTGACCAAGGCCCATCGCTTCTCCTTCTTCCCGACCTCTTTCGAGAAACGTTTGCCGACCTCGACACCTCGCTCGAAGAGGAAGGTGTGGAATTGTTCAAATGTGAGCCAAACTACAATGTATGGTTCAGAGACGGCGAATGCATCGAGTTATCTACGGATACGGCGAAAATGAAGAAGACGATCGAACGCTGGGAAGGCAAGGAGGGCTTTGAGCAATACCTGGCGTGGATGAGAGAGGCGCATGTTCACTACGAGGCTAGTGTTACTCATGTGTTGAAGAAGAATTTCTCCAACATGCTGGCGATGGTCAGGCCGAGTTTCCTGCCTTATCTGTTGGCCCTTCATCCGTTCGACAGCATATGGAATCGTGCAGCACAATACTTCAAGACGGAGCGGTTGAGACGCGCTTTTACCTTTGGCAGCATGTACATGGGCATGAGCCCGTTCGACGCTCCCGGAACATACAGTCTTCTCCAGTACACCGAATTGGCTGAGGGGATATGGTGAGTTCCTGCAGGACCTGTTCCTTCCGCCGGGTCACTGACCAAGGCTATTCAAAGGTATCCCAAAGGCGGCTTTCACAAAGTTCTCGATGCTCTTGTGAAGGTTGGCGAGCGCCTAGGTGTGGAATATAGGCTTGCAACGCCCGTTTCACACGTCAACATTGACAGACATTCAAAGCGGGCATCGGGAGTGACGCTAGCCAGTGGTGAAATCGTCAATGCCGACATTGTTCTTGTCAACGCTGATCTCGTCTACGCATACAACCACCTACTGCCACCATCTCCGAGAGCTTCTGCACTTTCGAGCAAGCCGGCGTCCTGCTCGAGTATCTCTTTCTATTGTGAGTCTAGATCCAGCGGCGGAAAGGATAGCCAGACTGACGAAGCAAGGGTCCATGGACACAATCATTCCCGAACTCCATACACATAATGTCTTCCTAGCAGAGGACTACAAGGACAGTTTCGATGACATCTTCAAGCGGCAACAGATCCCCAAGGAGCCTTCGTTCTATGTCAATGTACCTTCTCGGGTCGACCCCAGCGCTGCCCCAGCTGGCCGAGACAGTGTTGTTGTTCTGGTACCTTGCGGTCATCTACTGGAAGGCAAGGCCGATCGCGGTCTCGATCCGCAAAACGCCCAAGATTGGGAAGCGATGGTTTCTAAAGCCAGGACCGCTGTCTTTGAGACAGTTCGTCTGCGCACCGGAGCAGATCTCCTGTCTCATGTGAAGCATGAAATCATCAACACGCCAGCATCGTGGAAGGAGAGTTTCAATCTCGACAAAGGCGCAATCCTAGGTCTGAGCCATTCTTTCTTCAATGTCCTCAGTTTCAGACCGGGCACAAAACACACCGAGTTCAGGGACCTTTACTTTGTTGGAGCCAGTACTCATCCAGGAACAGGTGTGCCGATCGTCCTTGCTGGCAGCAAACTCACCACTGGGCAAATCCTGGACGATCTGGGCATGACCAAACCCTGGTCGGAGGGCGGTCACAAAAGGAGAATAGTTAGCGAGCTTGATCAGCGGGGGAAGACCCCTCTGGACCTTGCGCGCGTTATGTATCTGCTCGTTTTTGCCCTGGCAGTGATATTATATCTGCTGGCGCTTAGATAGACTTTGTTTCGGGGGATATAGAACCCGTAATGGCTATAGGATGGTCAGAAATCACATGCATGCACTCGGATGATCTGTTGATTACTATTTTGTTGATTACTAAGCTGGCTGTTGGTGGACTAAATTGTAGGGGTGTTTGATGCAGCGGTGCTCTGCAGCACAGCAAATTATATTGTAGTCTCACTATTGTGATGGCTTATAACGTTGCTCGAACTACGTTGTACTACTGCACATGCCAGTAATCAGTATCAGTGATGATCAGCTCGAGCTCATCTTCTCCCCATTTGTCGATCGCTTGGAAACGCCCGGAAGCCGGAAGTGAATATCCGCAAACCATTTCGCGACGTCGACCGACAAGGCCTGGAGACCTTCACACCTTTCCCACCCACTTCTGGCATCAGAGTCTTTTGCCGAAAGAACGCCATGACCGGAAACTGCAGAACTTGCAGTAGAGGTCACCTTTGTGGTCACGAGGAGGGAGATGCGGTCTGCGACAGGTCGTTTGCGGTCCAACCGTCGCACAGCTTCCGTCCAATGCCGGGACCTTTCACCGGCAGCTGTGCTCGCAACCATGTCTGGTTTGCCACTGATACAATCGTCCATGGCATTCCCCGGCCAAAGAACGAGTCAGTCATCGATTCCCCATCTGGACACATGAGTGAATTATCATCAAACGACTACCCGTTGCGCTCTCGTGAGTACTAAAAAAGTTTTGACACGAAGCCGTCCGGCCACGTCCGGCCCTATGGAAAATCATGGAAAATCCCTAACGGCCGGGCTCCACTGCAGAAGAGACGCACGAATCTCAGACCACCACATTGCATCGGGCCAGCCTTAACCAGTTCATCCTGTCCAGCCTGTGGAACAGTCCTTCTGCAGGGCAGCTTGTTTGGGCCAGTCACCGACTTGTTTCAAGTCTTTGATGTCCGGCGATAGCTTTTCGGGCATCGCATTGGCTTCGGTGACCAGTGACATCAACTGTATCCGGAAGTACAAACCAATGCTCAGAGCCTTGTCGCCCTTATGACAGGGCAGGTGACATGCTCCGCCAGGGAGTCTGGCGGAAGCTATGGTTCGGTTCAAAGCTATGTCTTTTCCACTCAATGAGAGCCCGAACGGGTGTCCCGGCATTGGCAACGAACACAGTAGGTTCTGCAAGCTTCTGCACAGGGCGGAGAGTCGCGGCGACGAGGCACATACCGCTTTTCCCTGCATCTTCATCTTCCATCTGACGACGTCACGAATGCGTTTGCTTGTGTGACCGGGATCCTATATTAAACTCGTCCTGTTCCGGGACTGTTTGCCAGCAGTCAATCAGCTTTGCAAGCATCGTTCTACGATACCCCTCGGCGTTCGCAGGAGCAGTACCACTGTACCAACACCATCCACGCTCACGCCTCGTCCAACTCAGCTCTCATAACTCTCAATCCGAATCAAACTCCCCAAAGAAGCAAAAATGGGTAATCAAGCTCTTGATATCAATGGCTTTACCAACACCGTCACTACCAACAACCACATTACCACCCGCGGTAGCGACTGGTACTTCACTGTTTCGGCAGTGATGGCCTTCTCGATGCTCATTGTCATGGGCCTGTCGTTCAAGAGAGCCCGCCCGAACCGGCTGTTCCACTATCTCTTTGCCTCGATCCTGCTCGTCTCCGCCATCTCGTACTTCTGTCAAGGTTCGAACCTGGGATGGACCGCCATCCAGACCGAGTTCCGCCGCAGTGACCCTGAAGTGGCCGGCATCATGCGCCAGATCTTCTACGTTCGATACATTGAATACTTCATTACCGCCCCATTGCTGTTGACGACGCTGCTACTGGTCAGCGGCCTCCCGACCCCGACCATTCTCTATGTCTTGTTCATGTCGGAAGTCATGGTCATCATGGGTCTCGTCGGCGCCCTCGTCAAGAGCACCTACAAGTGGGGTACGTACCATCATCTTTCCACAAAAGTGACAGTAGGTCGTATCAAGCATATACTAACAGTTTTTGTTTCTAGGCTTCTACACTTTCGGATGTGTCGCTTTCTTGTTCGTCGCCTTCTCAGTCGTCTGGGAAGGTCGCGTCTATGCCCGTGCCGTGGGCCAGGATGTTCTCCGCAACTACACCCTGTGCAGCAGCTGGCTCATGCTCATTTGGCTGGTGTACCCGGTCGTCTGGGGTGTCAGCGAAGGCGGCAACATCATCCCGCCGGACTCGGAGGCTATCTCGTATGGTGTCCTTGACATTCTTGCCAAACGTAAGTTTTTGATTGCTGCTTGTGTTGTCTTGATCTCGTACTGACATGTGCTCACAGCTGTTTTCGCCGCCCTGTTCCTGTTCGGACTCCGGAACCTCGACTTCGCCCGTTTGGGCCTTCACTTCCGTGACGGCAGAGTCGCTCCCGGCGCTGGTCTAGGCGAGAAGCACACTGCTGGTCCTGCCGTCGGCGAGCCGGTTGCTGCTCCCACTGCGGCTGGGACCACCACTTCCACCGCCGTGTAAGCCGAATTCGACCACCTACAAACCGGCTTAGTCTTGCACCTTGGGGAACTTTATCAAGATCCCTAGGGCAGCCGAATAGCCGAGGTGGTACTGGCACGCCACCAATTTCGACAAGGAAGAAAAGGGGTCTGTTCTCTTATCAGAACTCCTCGTTTCTTCCTTGTCCCTACTTCGTTAGTGCGACAGCGACAGCGACTCTCATTTTCAGATCCAGCAGCGAAAGAAATTCACGCGACCCCAGCCTACGATACCCCCGATATACCACTGCAACCTACACTAATCATTAATACTTGTCCTCGACGGACACATGTCGAATTGGATGCCGGCGGGCCTGGCCTGGCTTTTGAAAGGCACAGACACCCTGAGACCCGGCCTCATCGACCACCAATTTCTCACAATTATCACGATGACGATCGCGATGAATGACGCACATACATACCAACATATTCTTAATACCTGACCTGGTTGTCACCATCAGTACCTCATCTAGCTACAGATACCCTCCCTTGTCAATCCTTGCGTCGCAGACACACTTCAATACCCCTGATAGATCGAGTCATGTTGTGTCTTTTGATATAGCTTAATATAATATATTCATTATTGAATAATCGCAAAGTTTCACTCCGTACAGACTACATAGCGGGTTCGTTACCGTATGTCGGTTATCAGGCTAACGTTTGCAGTGTACCCTTCGATAAAAATGAGATTGTGTCTCCACCTAATTACAGTAAACATCCACAATGTCATGTAGTGTATCTTATCAGAGTATCCAGTCCTGGGTGAACTGGTGGTTCAAGCTCGAGTGGTAACATTCCAGAATCACATAAAAGATGCAATGCATGCGTGCCTGGTCCGTGAGCGACGGGCGCACGAGCATACAGTATACTCCGGACAGGCAGGAGTAGTAGTGGACCTGGTCGACTACGGTGCTTCTAGAACAGATGGAGTCGATGTGTAGATACGGTAGGTACAGGTGTCTGAGATAGCTTGTCGCCAGGGCAATGTGAGAGTTATGGTGTGCTAGCACTACTACTAGTACCCCAGTTCAAAGACTGCAGCGACGTGCTGTAAAGCGGTGAACGACTGCAGTTTCGGACAATTCTCGAATCATACAACATATACCTGGTATCTTTTCTTTTCCTTTCCAGAACTGCGCCACAGCAGTCCTCCAACACTGTACTGATCGTGGAAGCGGAAGCAAGTCCCTGAAGTGCGTTGCCTTTCTTCGCCTCTGACCCCAATTTTTTTTTTCGCAGAGCAGACGCGCAATTTTCAATCTCTTCGGTGCCTCCTCATCAGCTTCAAATCACCCAATATGAACAGGTCGTCAAAGACGAGATAGCCCTCTCCACTTGGACTGGCTGTCTGGCGGCAAAAGTGAAAAGAGGGAAAAGAGCTATTCGCACAACGCCGCCGACTATCACCGGAATCCACCCGTCCGGCTGTCTGTCTCCACCGCGTGGCCCCAGAAACTATCGATGATAGTTACTTTGCTACTGTAAGTACCTGCATCGCAGTACTACTGTACAATGTACATACCATGCGGTGGCCAGAATCATCAAGCTCTGCATCGCACCTACAATGTGCAGTACTACTTCCACCGTGTGAGACCGACAACTACTGTTACCCCCCCTGCGTACTGGAGTGACATATCTCAAAAACCGTAGCTTGTCCTACGGCATGCCGTCAAACCGCCGCGGTTGGGTGCTTGCCGCTGACGAGCACGAGACCTGTCGATGTCGATAATTTTTTTCGGGCGGAAACGTCAAGATCTGAAAAGCAATGCAGTGCTGGACATGCCGAAGTCGCCAGAAGCATTCAAACCACTGCGGCCAAGAGAACGCAGCATCTGGCCAGCTCTGGTTGAATTGGCACAGTGACACCGGCGGTTACCAAAGGGTTTGAGTAGGCAAAATCTGAATGCGCCGGTATATCACCCGGGCCAGCGAAAAAAGAGCCCAAAGATGGCGAACCAGTCAAGGCAAACAGGTACAGCGTTAGAGTCTGGCGAACGCTCCATCTCTGCCAGGGCCCGCGAAAATGGTTGCTTTCCCAACTTCCAGGCTGGTCATCTTGGACGAATCAGCGGCCGAGCGCATTTGCAACACTGGAGCATCAAATTTTTGCGACCGGGACCAAGTTTCCAATGAGTTTCGCGCGTTCCTGACGCCGCCGCCGCACTAGAAGTTCGGCCTGGACGGCCGCGCGACCTTAGCCGGGAGTCGGGAAATTTGGCAGGATTGACATTGGTCAGTCGTGGAGGACAGGCCAGGGACAGTGAAAGTGACAGGACCTTAGCCCCGTCAAGGTCCCCGTCTTGATGGGCGGTCGGTCAGGTCCACGTTCAACGGATGCCCCGAGGGGACCCAAACAGATCAACCGCTGCTTGGTCAATTCGACCTCGTCGCCGCGCCGCCGTCGCTGGCCCAACTTTGCTTCGCTGCTTCATGGCCATTTACTACTACGCAATCTGCTGGTCAATGTGACCAGGTCCCATTCATTATTTGCTGCCGGGCCAGCGCTCCACTATCGTCAATATTGCCCCAAGCTTGCAACTTGCGCCCATCAGAGACTTTCGCTTTTCCCCGGCCGGCGCCACATATACATACTTGCGCCTCTTCCCTGCTCTTCCTTTCCATGCCTTGACCACCTACCTTACTTTTTGTCTCTCATCGTCGCGAGATCGCAGTCGCACGAGTTCGCTGAGCTCCCTCTCAGTCCTCCGTTCATTCTCCATTCGAGCAGTGCTCGCTCATACCGCTGTGCGCGCCATAACATTCTTGACTTGCCGTCATACCAACAACGACCGGCCGATATTCGAAACGAAATAGTATCGATTAGACGTCGCTCACTGGACATCGCGTCCAACATTTTGCAAAGCTATCCTTCGCTAGACTACCTTGAGCGATCAAGAACCTCGACAGCCAACATGCGCTTCACTTCTGCGATTGCGGCCATCGCGCTGCTGTCGACGCCAGCCGTTCTGGCCCAAGAATCCTCCGACGCCACCATCACCGTCACATCATCTTACTCGACCACTCTCACAGTGACCAAGACTCTCACTTATGCATTTGCCCATGCCAACACCAACGTCACCACGACCAGCACCACATCCTCGTTCCAGCCTACGGGGTGGAACGTGACTTCGACCGTCACGGAGAGCAGCAGCTCCTCGTTCAACAAGACTACTCTGACCCCAGCTTCCTCGTCATCCGTTTCATCTGAGACCTCAGCTGCGCCATCCATCGCGCAAGCTACGGGAGCCGCCAGCGCTCAAGAGATCAATTTGGCCGTCGCGGCCCTTGCCGGCCTCAGCGCCATGATCTGGGGTTCATTATGAAGACGGGCGGAGCACAGCTTCTTCGCCTATCAAGACTTCTTGAAGTTTTCTTTTCTTCATTCTTGACTGGATCAATCATCCTCGGCGAGCAACAGCAGCCAGTTTATGTCGGCCCGAGACGATCATTTTTATTTTCTACTTCATCTCTGCGAGAGTTGAGTTTGAATAGGAGGGTTTACGACTCGAGGTACATTTTTACATCAGCCGCAGCCGGTTGGTCTTTTTGCGTACTCGGTCTACTTTTTTTGTGAGAAGAACGGAATATGGCCGTCGCCTGGGGCGCCAGTGAGTGACTCGATGTCACTCACAGCTGAAGAGGAGAGAGCTTCTTGCGAGCTAGTCTGGCATTGTCGGCCGTGCGATGGACAGCAGATCAGTTCTTTGGGAAAGGGTTCATGACGAGCGGACAGACATCATCATCGTTCGCTTGTCTGTTCTGTTCCGCGCTGCTCCCGCGAGCTTGAGCTGAGGGAGCGTGAGTATAGAGAGCCAAGCAAGGAGTGTTGGTGTGATTTTCTTTTTTTATTTTGGCTATATACCCCCCAGCCCTTGAACGACTGATATGATGACTACTTAGTTCGTCCCTTTCTATACATCAACGTCAATACTATCAAATCAAACAAAATCGATCCCATTTATTTTGGAGTCCCGGTATTTTTTGCAAACATGGCAAGTCCATAGTACCAGTAATTCTGGTTAGGTGTAAAGAGCTGGTGTACTTTTTTGTACCCTCAAAAATCGCAGTTCAGTGCAAACAAGTCGCTTTATGGTAGCGTCACCGCTACACTGGCAGTACACGACGAGGACACCACACACGTATACACCTGACTCTCCCATCCGGATGGAAATGGAAATGGAAATGAAATGGCGTAATTTCATTCGGCCCGTCAGTGACTGCTGTCAAACGGACGGACGTCGGTTGACAATTCAGCTTTGACGTGCACTGGCAGATTTGGGCGCCACTTACCACATGATTGGCAACGTAATGTGCTGCAGTGCGTTCCGTCCAAATAATAATTACACAGACCTGCCTTTGCTGCCCGTGGTGGTGCTGATTCGAGTTTTGCAGTAGTTGGTGGTTGGTGTGTACATTAATGATGTATACTACTGCCTTCCAGACAGGTATCTTATATATGTATCTGGATCCAAGTCTGCGAGTTCTTGTCCACAATCTAGGCTCCTTTGTGTGGTCTGCAGTGGTGGATGGAACAGTCTGTTGATACGTTGTAGGACGATGCTTGCAAGATGCCCACCGTGACCAACCCACCACTGATCGACCGAAGCTCAGCACAGCTCAGCTTACCTAATGACTCCCCTTAGTCATGCAGTCCACTCGATGACACCTAGGATGATGTGCTGCGTGTTGTAGCACGCGACACAGCGCATCGTCGCGGTTCTTCCACGCGTTTCACGCGTCGCGCGCCACTGGCACCGACGTCGGAGGGCAGCCTTGTCAATCAATGACTTCCAAGGTTCCTGCCCTGCTTTGGACTGCTTTGCTCTGCTTTTTGATAAATGCATATGTATCTTATCTCACAGCAATGCATTGCTGCTTGCATACATAGATTCTCCTTTCAAACGGATTCTCTCGTTATCTGGACCAGACACGACTGCAACTTCATCACTTTACATTGTCCAATCTCACTCTCTGTCTTCCCTCGTTGCTTCTTGAGATTGGTTAAGGTATCCTAGGTACTGTATTTGAGGTACCTATCTGGTGCCTAGGAGATTCACCCACTGGGGACGTGAATCTCAAATTAATATACGAGACCGTCATGGACGACCACGACCCCGATCACGAACTTGGTACCAACCTCGATCTCGATCTTCTTCCACCCGTTCCACTATCCGCCCGCAAGGCCGCCGCCCAAACGCCTCCGCGGCCATCATTCCTGTTAGCCCGCAAAAGGACGCATGCAGACTACTATGACGAAGACCACCAGAGTCTAACAGTCGCGACGTCGAGCGATCCAGCCTTTTTCTCGAGTGACGAGCAGGCGCCGGGGGCTGAGAACTATGTTGTAGCAGCAGCAGACAAAAGAAAGAAACGTACTTACAAAGGTGCCTGGTGGGATCGAAGCCGTACTGCCAACGAAAACCAAAAAGGAACAGCCATCAAAAAGCCTCGTGAGTTCAGGAGGAACTATGATTCCGGTATCTTTATGGGCAGCGAGGGCAGCACCACAGGCGAAGAACCTTTGTCGAGTGATTCGTTTTCCTTGGAAGAGGAGTTGATGAGAGAGCAAGAACAACAGCAACAACAAAACGGAGGAAAAGGAAAACAAAATGCCAGATTTCAGCGGACACCGTTCTTGGGCCGCAGTGGCACAGGCACCGGTGATCAGGCTGTCGGTGCCACCAGTGCCGGTTGTCAGAGCACCGGTCAGTCTGTGTCATCTTCGAGGCCAAAAGCAAAATTGCCGCCTTACACGACGGCAGTCGTACCCAAAGAGCACGAGGCTGTGTGTGCGATCATCAGGGATTGTCTGGACAAGGGCAAGGAAGACGTGTATCTGTCAGGCATGTCTCTATCCAGTCTCCCCGCCGAAATCACCACTCTCCAAACGCTCAGCAAACAAGACGAAATCGTTCCCGGGATGCTTGACACAGGCACAAACCTCGAGCCGCATTTACGTCTGTATCTAGCGAACAATCTGTTGACCGAGTTGCCATTGCCGATTTTCGAGCTGCGCAATCTTCGAGTCCTTTCTCTCCGCCAGAACAACTTGACCCGTATCCCGGCGTCGATACGAGAGCTGGTCAATTTAGAGTCGTTAAATGTCGCAGGCAACAATCTCACCGAACTGCCCTTTGAAATCGTCGAGTTGATTCGGTTTGGGAAATTGCGGGAGCTTATGACCGAACCGAATCCTTGGCCACAGTTTAAGCCAGATTTGTTTGTGGAGCAACAGCAACAACAGCAGGAGCAGCAGCGGCGGCCGCTCTATGCGTTTTCAGTGCCGGGGCGCTCAGGCACCCGGTACCTCTTCTACCGGTGGCCCGGCTCCCAACAGCGTTTAGCACAGGGGTCTTTCGATGGGGAGAATAGCCGTGGGTCTAGTTCTAGTTTCCAACAAGCCACACATCACCAACAACACCAACGCAATAATATCCCGTCACTGACAGAGACGGTTTTACGCCATTTGGCCAAGATCGATCCGCAGCGCAAAATGGATTTTGCTTCTTTGTTACCGTCCGACTACGCGCCGGCCGGAGTTGTTAGTGATTTGGGAACACTTGCACGTCGGCCAGGACAGCAATGCACCATGTGTGGAAGACCCATTGTGCTGCCCGGGAAAGAGTGGATTGAATGGTGTTCGTTGCATGAAGGGCTTGAAGAGGTTGATGATGACGAAGGTGAAGATGGAAATGAACATGAAGGTGAAGAAGACCATGACGGGAACGGTAACAATGGAAGAAGTGGAAGTTGGTTTGGGGATAGAAGCGATGTCAAGGTTGGCGGGAGATATTCGGTGATCGCTGGGAAGTACCCTATTCTGCCGTTTCGTCGCGTTCAGTGTTGGCAGGGGTGTCGAGGAACAGGAACTGGATCGGAAAGTGGTCGGGGCGATTGGTTGATGCGGGACGAGGAGGTTGCTAGACGAAGGCTGGAGAGGACAACGCGGATGGTGTTGGAGCCGTAATCTTCTTTAAATGTGGGTTTGCGGCGTGTACTAATTCCTGAACCTGGTACGGCTGGCAAAAGGTGGATTGAATAAGGTATGGATACGACCAGGCAGGTTGCCGTGATAGGTGCCTAGGTACCTACTTTTCACTGCCAAATGGTACTATTACATACCTAGGTAGACAGGGAGGTAGATACCTACTGAGGTTGTACCTAAGGTCTGTCTGCCTACCAACTTTACTCGACTTGAGTAAGCCAGAACTTGAAGTGGTGGCAAATGCGCTAGTGTCTGCAGTATCAATGGTCATTCTCATTCTCATTCTCGTTCTCGTCTGTCATTCCAGGTGATGCCAGTTAGTGAGAGCGTGTGTCTGTCTACCTTAGCTAAGCGTGAAGTCCAAGGCCAAATCAGGGCACTGTACCTAAGTCCCTACCTTGGTAAGGTAGGCTGATAGGTAGGTGGGAGGGAGACACATTTGAACATTGCGCACTTACGATGCTGACGAGTACTCTTTTGCGCTCCTTCTCACCAATCATGGCACTGGCAACCAACCCCCAGGACACATTCAACTGGCCTGACCCGAACTGATCTCATCCAGCCAGCAGCCAGTCATTCAATCACACCGGCCGGACAGACGGACTTTTACCAAGTCAACTTGAATCTCAATCAAGACCCTCCACATCCACCCAATCCCGCTCCCCATCCGGATGTCCATATGCCTTGCGATGAAACTTGTCTGAAGGCTCATAAGCGAAATCGCGCATGTCGCTGTTTGCCACGATCCGACGATCGACTTCCGCGGCGTAGTTGGCCATGGTGCATTGTTTCTGGTTGGCGAGGTGGTTGGATCGGTTGAAGCCCGGGTTTGAGCTGAGGTTGAGGCGTGAGATGGGTGTGGCGAAGTAGGCTTCTTCGATGTTGGATTCGGGAGGAGAATGCGAAAGGGAAAGGGAAAGGTTGAATAAAGGGTTGTGACCGAGGGGGAGGGGGTGGTCGAGATCGTTGGAAGGCAAGTTGATGGTACTGTTGGGGATGTAGAATGGGTCTGCGTCGGGTTCTGTGAACGGATCTGCATCTGGGTCTGCATTCTGGTCTGCGTCCGCACCAGGATCTGAGATATTTGATGACGATGGAGTTGGTGAGTTGGTCGGCGGCGGCGGCGGTGTTACTGGGTCGTCGGAGGTGGAAATGACGATTGGTTGTGCTTGCGACGAGCTGATGAGGTTGGGTTCTTCGTCGCCGTTGGTATCTGAGTCGTTGGATTTGACGGTAGACTCCAACCTGGTGCTGGAATTTGGGCCATTGATGTCGATATCGTTGGCATCGTCTGGGGCTGTGTCTTGTTGCTGGACGCTGGGGTGGTGGGAGGCCTGTAAAGTGCTGGGTACTTCGACTGCGACTGCGACGTCGACTTCCACTTCGGCTGTCTTGTCCACCGTCTTTTCCACCGTTAGGTCTTGGCTTGCGCTGTCCGTGCCGACATAATCGTTCTCGAAGAGGTTATCATTGTCTGGCTTGTTGTTTTCGTTGGCCTCGACGCTGTTCTTTGCCTCAACAATGTTGCCGTTGCGCTCCTCGACGTGGTTCAAGTTGCCTGACTCGAGATCACCACCCTTTTCATGTTTGTGCTCCCCGGCGATATCTTGATGGACATGGGCAATGTCTTTCTCCCTGTATTCGTCCTTGACCTTGACATCCTTGTTGGGTGTGACTAGTTCGGCGTCTTTCTCCCAAAACGAGCTGAGCTTCCGTCTCGATCTTAGTGAGCCTGTCAGGAACGGCGCTGCAAGGGAAGATCGGAGGGAGAATGACCGTCTCATCGCCTTCAGTGTTGAGACCTTGGTCGGAGCATTGGCCTCGGACATTTTGGAGCCGATGACTCGACGTCGTGCAAGCGCCGAAGACGAGGCAAGCAAGCAACAGACTAGCCAGACTTCAGAGATATGTCCGCGTGAGAAGTAGGTGACGGGGCGATGAAGGGTGAAGAGAGTGCTCTGAATGGTGAACATCCTGCGCCAGAATGGGGGTTGTAACTTTCAATCAGAGGGTTCAAAGCCGCGCCTTGTGCCCATCGTGAGCTGTGTCAACGTAGATTGTGTCGACAACCGCGATGCTCTATGTGTGGGAGCATATTTGGCTGGCCTGGTCTTTGTGCTGGGAGTAACAGGCCACAACTGGCTTTCGCGCATTCTGGAATCTCTGTAATCAACGGTCTGAGAATGAACGGTCTTCTTAACAAAGACACTTGTCTGCTGCTCATAGGAACGTAGCAGCCAGTCGCGAGACAGCCTGTTTGTGAAATGACCCCTTCCAGATTCTCAAGAGTGATTACCATCATGAGTCAAGCACAATATTGCATGAAGGTTGGAAGGTTGCTTTTAGTTCAATCCGGAGCCAACGGCTGGGAGGTACTCTTCATATTCTGTGCTAAACAAACCATCCAAAAACTCCACACAGTCTAGTGTAGACCAAAATCCTCGTTTCACGGGGTATCACAATTCGTAAACTCATAACAAAGGCCGAAGATGGTCACGATTCACCGTTCGAAAAATCCTCCATCGCTCATTTCCTCGTCATCGTCACTATCCAGGTCTTTTGGATCGATGATACCATCGTCATCAAGCCAGGAGGGTTTCGATTCAATTGGCTGTGCTGTTGAATTCCGCAAGGCTGCATCGTCCTTTCCACCCACAGTGGCGAGTTCCTTGGCCAACTTGTTGCCCATGGTGAGTTTTCCTTCACGAAGGGCATTCAAATTTTCAGGATCCTCCCGCATATACTTCTCCACTTCATACCACATCGGCGGTTTCGTCCCTGCTGCGTTACGGATAATATTGGCCAAATCGTCTTCGACCTGCTGCAACTCCTCCTTTTGTGAGTCGGTCAAGATGGCATACGATTTCCTGTTCATCTGTGTCTTGTGTTTGTCTCTGTCGTTCTCATCCTGGACAAAGAGACTGATGTATTTTTCACCCAGGGGAGCATACTTGGTGTAGTTGACGTCCACTTGGGCTTGATGTATGGACTTTTCCAGCTTCCGTCTGTACTCTTCTGTCTGTGGGAAATTGCCTGATTCCTTGAGTTTGACCAGTTTCTTGAGGGTGCGTTCTGCCTTCTGACGCTCGACGAAGCGGACAAAATGATATCGCTGCAGATTCTTCTTGGTCGCCTTTGCCAATTGGTCCTTTTGCTGGTCTAGAAGAAGCGACGCCAGTTCTCGTTCTTTCTCTTGTCGTACAGTGGCAGGCAATGCATCACGTGCCAAAAGGTTGCGCAGGGAGTGAATGCGGGTGGACCGGTTGGTTACTCTTTCACGTTTGGTTTTGGTAACCGCACCTCGAGATGGAGACGAACCCGGCGGCCGGGGATCCCGTGAACTGTTGCCACCATGGCTTGTTGGATAGCGACCGTTCTCAGGACGCCATGAGTCGGGACGATGACCAGAGCGTGGATTCTCTCGTGGAGGAGGCCGGTATTTTCCCATGCTGGTAAGGTCTCGTTGACGCGGACTTCAGACCAATGGCGGGGGATCCACACGATCAGTGCTCGGCCAGAACTTCAAGCATAAAATAATTCGTCCCAGCGAGCAAATAATGCTAATCGATTCACACGTATAGTGTAGGACATCGCGACAGAAAGTTGCAGGTTCAAGTTTGTTCTGCAATGGAAAATATTCTGCCGCCGCTCACCGCCCACGATGGATACCGCTTGGCAACCAGATCGCGCTAATCCCAGAAAGGCCTAGAACGGCCGACCATTGGGACTTCACTCCAACCCCAGATTCGGGTTCCGGGTCATATGTACGACAAGAGACAAAAGCCAAAATGGCGAGGCCTATGGAGCTAGGGCTGTGGAAGGAAGACGAGGAATGAAGCCAGCCCCGGAACTATATCTCGACCAGCGGTATGGAGGCAGCAATCCGGTATTCGCAAAACTCCCTTCCGGGAACCGAACAACGGTTCCTACATGTCGATGTAACCGGAAAGGTGTTCCGTCTCTGCAAGATCAGAAAGGAAAGCAGACCAAAGGTCCAATATGATACCATTCACACGGCGACAAAGGTGCCGGCATTTCGTGCCTTCGACTGGCACCCGGTAAAGGAGGATCTGGTTGTTGTGGGACAAGCCGGTGGAGAAGCCACGCTTTTGAATATCGCAGAGGGCCAACAAGACTCTTTATCGTTCCAAGTCAGAAGTCAACGGTTGTGCAATTCAGTGGCCCTCAATACTCAGACTCTGTTAGCAGCAGGACTGGACAAAGTTCGGACTGACTTCTGTCTGAATGTCTGGGATTTCAATCAACGTCTCCCTGTGCCAGGCAGGAAAGGGTTTTCCAAGGTCTACTCGGATCCGATCCACAAGCTTGCAAGTGGCGAGCCCATCACCAGCTTGAAATTCTTCCAGGACGATCCTCAGCTGTTGGTGGCCGGGGTCAAGGGCCAGTTTGTCAGGCTGTATGACTTGAGAGAGCCTGGTGCCGGGAATAACGGGCTACAATTTGCTACGCGATGCGTGCACAATCTAGCCATTGATTGGAAGGATGAGAACTACTTTGCTTCCTGTTATCCCACCAATGATCCTTCGATATGTGTCTGGGACAGACGCATGGTTAGCAGGGTCAACGCTCCACACCTCAGTTTTGCTGGAAGTGGCGGAGCGAACTCAGGGGACAATCGACAGCCCGAAGTGTCCTTGGAGCTGAAGAATGTCATTGACAACCCCGGCACGATCTGGAGTCTGCGTTTTTCGAAAGCTGAGCGAGGCTGTCTGGGTGTCCTCTCGAGCACCGGCCACCTTAAAGTCTTCAACATAACCAAAGATTTTCTGGCTGAGACTCATCATCATGACGATCGAGATGCTAGCAATGAATTATCCTGGGAAGCATCGGCGCCGCACGATGTGTTTCTCGATCGCGCACAAGAGGTCGCAAAACCGTACTCCCACCCTTCCTCCTCACAAGATGAAAAGTCCCGAGTTGTCTCGTTTGACTTCATGACCTCGACCACAAAGTCCAGACAGCCGAAGCTCCTGGTGCTCGACGGACACGGACGCATTCGAGTCACTTCGACCAAATCTCCGCCAGAACCCACCGCCTTGTCGACAGTGGGATATATGTGTAAGGGGCAAGTTGTCGTCGCCCACTCCGCTACCGGAGCGACAGAGCCGGGTCCAGCTATAGAGCAGATTCGCAGACGAGCGCAACCGCGAAACGTGCTCAGACAAGCATTCAAACAGTCTCGGCAAAATAAGACATCTTTTGACAAGAAAAGGATGTCCAGCCTGGACGATCAAGCGTGGTACGCCGATCTAGGATTCTACGAGAAAGACGTACCACTTTCGGATATCTTGACACTGATGGCAACACAGCGGTTACGTTGTGAAGCCGGTTACTTGCTGGATCCGTCAAAGAACAAAGCCATCGTCTCTGATTCGCATTGGTTACAGTCATTCTGGAGTTGGGTGGAGAGAGCCTCCAAAATTTCCAGGAATGGCAACATGACGCAAGACAATGTTGATTTGTCGTACATCGGCGTATATGGCCTGTGGATGGAAGACATTGACACCCGAAACCGAACGCTGGGTCCCACGTCCAACCAAGTGGCGAAGATCATTGATACCTTGGTCCATCGCCTGAGCTTGCCTCGAGTCAAGGGCTGCCCAACAGAATATGCTGCGAACAGACAGATATGTCTCCACTCTGCCGGCCTAGCGTGGTCTTACGATGAGCTCGAGGTCATTGTCAAACGGCTCGTGGCACAGAATCAACATACCAAAGCTGCTGCCCTCGCCATGTTTGCAATGGAGCGGAAGCTGGCCTATAAGGCCCTCCGCAGCAAGAATGCCAATCAATCTCATAAGATGCTTGCCATGGCAATTGCCGGCGCGGCAAGGCAAAGTAACCGAGATGCAGCGGAGACAACCACCGCTGACGACTCCGATACTCAGGATGACTGGGCTGACACGATCAGCTCTTTGGCCGATGAATTGACCGATCCATATGCGCGTGCCATCCTAGCCTATGTGAAGACAGGCGAGTGGTCCAACGTCGTTGGGGAGACATCTCTCCCACTCAAATACCGGGTTTGCGTTGCCCTGCGGCATTTCGACGACTCCAGTCTGACCCATTACATCTCTCAAGCCACTAAAGAAGTTTTGGAGGAAGGTGACATCGAAGGAGTGGTTCTTACCGGCACGGCGACACAGCAGGCTTTCAACCTGATGGCGGGCTATATTCGACGATTCGGCGACTTACAAACCGCCGTGCTGGCTTTAGCCCCCGCTATACCACGATACGTCAGAGAGGAGACGGTGGTGCGCAGATTCGACGCCTGGAAGGACGCATATAGACACATGATGAATGGGTGGAATCTGAAATTCGACCGGGTTCGATTCGATATCGCATGTCAAAAAGTCGCGGTTGATGCAAGTGGCAGACGACTCCTGGCGCCCGCCAAACAGCAAGTGCGCCTTGTCTGTGGGTTTTGTGCCCAAAGCATCGCCCACACGGCGGCCGGCATCAACGACAATGATGGCGTGTCGTCCGGCCGCAAGGTCGTTGAAACGCTACAGAATCCTCTTACAAAGGATAAAGCGGCCGCTATTGGCACAGTGTGTCCCAGCTGTGGTCGCCATTTACCACGGTGCGGTGTCTGCGACTATTGGCTCGGTATCCCTGACGAATCGTATTTGCCATGGTATGCTCCACGACAGGTATCGAAGACTAATGGGGCCACCGACCTGAGCGCCAGTATAGCCGGCAGTGTGCAGACGACAATTGGACCCGGACCCGGAGCTGGAACTGGAACTGGAACTGGAACTGCAATGATAGGGTCGTCTAAGAGCAAAGAGTCGCCTCGGCTGAGATTGCCAGCACCAGCACAGTCGCAACCAACTTCAAAGCAGTCAACAACAGGCACCACCGAGTCGTCGACTCGTACTGCTGTCCCCCCTTCACGTCGTACTAGCACAGGCGAGAAGCCCTCAGTGTCAAGCAGAGAACAAGTCGAGGAAGCGTCCCAACCTGACGTGCTTCGGAACTGGGGTTCGGCCATGTCCCGGTTCACCGTGCTGTGCTTGAAATGCTCGCACGGATGCCATGCTGCACATGCCAGAATGTGGTTTGAGAAGCATCATGTGTGCCCTGTGCCTGAATGCAGCTGCTTGTGCAATGCATGACGCTACCCCTGGCATTGGCACGAACCTGCGCTGGAGAAGTTGAGCCTCTGGCAGAGCACGCAAACGGCTCAAAGGATGCGAACATCGTGGTGGACGATAACATGCTCTTGGAAGATCCTGTGGTTGTGCCCTTTCCGCGAGAGTTGTATTATATATATCATGAATAAGTTAGTACTTACAAGTTGACCAAGTGTAGTCGAATTCCTCACGATCCCCACCCACGGTGGCCAGCGATCGAGATAAGTCTTCAGGAAAAATGCTGTGTGCTTCGAATGAAGCTGGTGGATTCCACATGAGGGGAAAATCACTATCCGTTGGCGAGCAACCATATCCTATTCGAGCAATGTCTTTCGATCTCATCTTCAAGCCATCCACTTGGATGCCACGATATGCTAATTCAATTGCTCCTCATCTTGATATGTGAATATGGATCATTGCACCGGACAGTAGATGGCAAGATGGACGAACACGATTACGTCTTCCCTGATGATAGGGACTGCGGAGCTCTTGATAGATTTCCACCCGTTCGATCCATTAAAGAAAAGGAAAAATCGTTGCTTCCCAGAGCAACTAAATCGCGGGTCACAGTCACCTGAAGATATGTCCTTGAGCCACAATCTTGTGCTATCTCAACCCCGAGTCCCGCTTAATCTCTTCGTCCGAATGGCCCTCCCTGAGATCCTTGAGGTACGTCTCGAACCGTGACGATACCTCAATGACACGCTGCAGGTGCCGGTACTCGAAGATTTGCTTGTTATATTGCGCCAGTTGCCTTGCGGTGGTAATGGTGTTGCGTATCTCACGGCCATTAAGTTGGTGCTTACCCAGCTCGTCGAGGTGGTCGAGGACGTCGTCTGCATTGACATTGGGTCGATCCAGCTCGCCCAGTCGCTTTATAAAATTCCGCCAGATCTGGCGTCGTTGGGGCTCGATCAACCTCTCATAGTGCAGGGACAGCTGGATACGTGACTTGAAGGCCTCGTCAAACGTGCCCACGCGATTCGAAGTCAGAATGAGGATGCCGTCGTAGTATTCAAGACAGCGCAGGAAGACAGAGACCAAGGCGTTTCGTTGCAGCTCGGCTTGGCCTCGTTCTTCCAGAAAGACATCCGCCTCGTCGAGTAGAACCACTACCAAGCATTAGCCAACTATTCACTGTCCGCGCCGGGCGTGGAGTGGACAGCTTACCACAGTCCCAGATCTTCCCTAAATGCAGGACCGACTGTAGGTAAACTTCGACCGCTTCTGGCGTCGTGCCAATATCTCCACAAGTCACCCGATAGAGGGGCTTGCGCGCAAATTCAGCCACGCCTTCCGCGGTGAACGTTTTGCCAGTCCCAGGGCCTCCATGCAGGAGGATGATGAGGCCATTTCCCTTGCCCGCAACCAGATCTGTGGCTTTTTCGGCTTCTAATTTGGAGCCCACGAGAGCTTCAACAAGCTCTTTGCTGTCATGGTTGATCACCAAGCTGGCGAAGGCTTGGTCGTTCCATTTCACTTCGGATATCCGATCGACAAAGAGATCCACTAAGCAGAACCCCTGTCAGCATATGCACTCCACTCAAGGAATTGGTATCTGGCGGCCCACCCCATTTCTTGACCCGCATGTTATACCCAATGACAGTAGGTGGAAATAGATAGATAGCATTGCCTTTGGGAGGCCCCGAGTCCTCGGTTTGCTGATTCTTCTTTTGGGCACTCTGTTGTGCCGCAGTTTCTTTTGCGTCGCCGTGAAGCCTCTTGTAGGTAGCCGTGTCTACCATGTATCGTTCCTCGGCCTGTCATGTTCTCAGGTTAGTATAAAAGCTGCCGCTTCAGGGAAGTGAAAGGAGATGTCGTCTTACATTGCTGAACCCCATATCGTCGTCTTCTTGATAGCTGACGAAGGCCCTGTTCCGCAGTTTCCAGAAAATCCTCCCTCGTCGCTCGAGCAATGACTTTGTCTCGGCGGATGCATATTGCAGCGGATATATCCCCAATTCATCGATCCTGACCTCTTCAGTATCTTCGGAAAACTCCATACGGAAACTCCGAGACCCTGCTCTCTTCTGGAGGGAGCCCTGATAGGTCCAGCACCACATATCCACAACCCATTCACATACCCGGACCGTCTGCCTCCGGTTCTCGTTCCGTGCCTTGTGTTTACCGTGGTCACGGGGTCTACTTGTCTTGGAAGAAGCAGGGAACAATTCCTCCAATGCCGTCGCATTGTGACCGGTCGTTTTCAGCTTGCCATCTTCTTTGATGGAGTCATTGAACAGATCCATCAAGTCATCTAGCTCATCGGGACTATCATGCTCACCGGCAGACTCTGAACTCGGACCTGGGAGCCTTTCGGGCCAGGAGGTTGCCATATACGCCTGTGCAGCCTTTCCCGTAGTTGAGACCATAACTTGACCAGGTTGTACCAAAAAAGGGGCCGTTCTTGGTGAGATGACCCCTCTTTTAAATTGTTCTTTTGCAAGCGTCCAGACAGGGCCATAGCTCTCTTCTATCGCGCTGTGCAGTGCCTTGATCAAAAACTGGTGAGCAGGGTCCAATTCAGGTAAAATATTATCCAGCATGAATGAGGCACAGTATATTGGCAAGTATGGCGCTGTCATTTCATTTTCACTGGTGAAATCGGGAAATAGTATAGCATTGCTGGGGACTTTGCTGATCAACTCTTCCACTGCGGCTTTCATCTCTGGGCTGACGAACTGTATGCACTGGCTGGAGGGCTGTACACTCTCAGCAGTAGTCTTGCCATGCTCCAGCTTCAATTCAGATTCGTCGTAGTCTTTAATTATCAAGAACGCAATTTCTGGATGTCGAGCCAGGTAACCCTCTGTGCTTGGTATAAAGCTTGAAAACCGAAGCTCGGTCCCGCTTTTGTTGTGGCTCTGCCACGACGGTTCGTCAAGGTAAATGCTTCTTCCCATACGGTGGAGAACCTTGAAAATATCTCCTGGCTGGGATATATTGGTAGGGGCCTCGCCAGAGTTGCGACTGAGCCGCTGATTCTCGGCTTCCAGGTGCTTCAAACGCTGCATCAAATCCTGAACAGTGTTGTCGATTCCCAGGCCGGGGCGAGACTGGGTGGGATCATCAAGAAGGTCAGAACCCGTGACATTCTGGTTGATAGGCTGTGTCGTGGCCATATTGACGGTGGACTTGTATCTCGCAGGAGACCGCCTCGGTGACTGGCGAGCGGGGGACGCGGGTTTCCGAAGGGGACTACCCGGTATTCCTTGCAATATTACCGTCTCTGCTTCTGAGTCTGGTGATGTTGGCTCAAATTGGTCAGTCGTAGTTACCAAGTCGGGTTCGGTGGTGGGACGATTTGCCACAACAAGATGATCAAGACTTGTTGAAGTATCGGTGCCTCCGATTGACTATGGGCAAGTTAGGAATGCATGCTTGCGGTACATGGGGCGGGGGTTATTCACGGTTCCAAGACAGGCCTGAACATTAGGCTGCGAGTGAAACCTCTGGAGCACAGCGAGCTGTTCTCGAGAAAATCCACTATGTGTAGTCTGATCCGATGATATGGTTCGGTGCTTTACGAAGTCGAGCAGCAAATGCTCGTAACTGACTTCTGGCTCATGCAAGAAGGGAGATCTCTCGTGGCTTGTCACAATGTCGTGCTCCGTGCTTTCGACACTCTCAGCCTCCATGTATTCGGCACTCTCAGGCTTCGAGCTTTCGACGCCGTCAGTCTCGGTTGCGAAGCGAATGTTTATTGTTCATGCTTCTCTGGCGTGCCGGTCGGCGTATGAAAGCTCTGGGTCGTATGATTCGAAGTACCAACAGTGCCTGTCGAGTGATGAGGCTGACTCGTAGGGCCACTCTCCGGGATCGGCGTAGTCGCCGATGAGCTCTCGTAGCGAAGACACAGATAACTTTTGTCCGGGCGCAAACAGTCGATGACAGCGCGGCACGAGAAGAAAGTCTGCGGCGTCCCGTGGGACCGGTCGAGTGTAGTTGAGACACCTAGTTGCCTGTCGCCCGAAGAATGAGAGTGAGGAGCCAAGCGCAGTCGACGGACTTGACCTCAGTCAGCCTGATATAGAGCTGGGCTAATCCGCCTCGGCGGACACGAAGTCACGCATGCATGCTGAGCCTCCCAGACACTCGTTAAAGTGCAGTAGCGCCCCTGGTGTAAGCGCCAATTCAGGCCACAACCTGAATTGGCGCAGCAGATCAACGTGAGTCGTGCCATGGGTTGTCGTAGATACTGTACATTAAACTGGACAGTCTGTCCGCAATCCGAGTCTCTGTCGCTGGATTTGGAGCAACATGCAGTGTTCCAATACTACTAGTAGAAGGTGACTTGAAGTCAAAGTCTGATATTCCGAATTGCCTTTAGTGGGGCAGCTGGTCCCTGCCAGCCTGATGAGAGCCTGAGGCATTTGGACTCCACCATGCTTCGCCAACCATCTTGGTACCGGGCCGACCCTCTGGATCCGTAAGTCATTGTCTGCCAGTGCAGTACTACAACTACAGTTAGTACGTGTCAACTGACTCGCTTTCATCACAGAATCTTTGACCCAGCGAAGCAGGCATTCGAGGAAGCAAAAGTCACATTCGCTGCGGACCTAACCAAAGATGTCCGCAAGCAAGATCTGGTTCTGCAAGCCGCTACTTTTAAGGACATAGAGGATCTCGTCACATCCTCGAAACTCAAGTATGATGGAGGTCAGAAGAGCAAGAAGGCAGTCAAATGGCTCCAGAAGCTATCTCAGCGCGTGCAGTATTATGGCTCAATCATGGATGTCCTAGTACAACATCATCCTGAATACGTTGCGCTGGCCTGGGGAGCGATGAAATTTGTCTTTGTGGTGAGCCAACGACCCGTCGCAACAACCTTGTCGTGAGGCTGATTGAAACATACACCCTATAGCTGGTGCAGAATCACGAAAAACTTGTCACCACGCTAGCCAAAGCACTCGCCACCATAGGAGAGTCGCTTGCTCGCGTCAACCTGGCTATCGTCCTCTATCCTACGGCGAGAATGAAGCATGCAGTTGCCCAAGTCTACGCTTGCATTATGCGATTCTGCATTCGAGCGCACGACTGGTACAGAGCGAACAAACTGCACCACATCTGGGAGTCTCTGGCCCGTCCTGTTGAGCTCAGGTATACGGATCTCATCGAGAACATCGAAACTGCTTTGGGAGAGGTGGAAGGCCTGGCAACTGCTGCTGCTCGAGCAGAGCAACGGGACGTCCACATGGCAGTTTTGACATTAGCTCAACGTATGGAAAATTCAGAAAAGGTACTTTTTGAAGTCCGTCAACTGGTTGCATGTGAGTCAATCGAGCTTGAGGACTAGATTCCGCTGACTTTGCCTTCCCCAGCGACCCAAGCAATCGTGTCCAGCTCTCAGTTCAACACAAATGTCAACATTATCACCATGCGAGGCGACGATATAATCCCAATCCTATTCCCCAGCTTTCATCCCAATCAGCCAGGAGACCTCCGTTACGCGAAATTGCTCGCAAGACAGGGCCAAAAGGCGGCTTCCTCGATTTCATCTCCATACTGGCAGGATCGCAAGTTCGACGTGTGGAATTCATCTCCTTCGTCCGCCGCAGTAGCGGTAAAAGGAGATTATCTTTCACGCTTAACTCTCCGCCACACAGCCATTCAGATGATCGAAATCATCAGGGCCAAGCAAGTCCCGGTGATCTGGTTTCTGAAGACGTCAAACGACAGGATCACTGTCGCCGAGATGATAAAGGGCTTGGTGTACCAAGCACTGCAGGTTTGCGACCCATCTTATACAGAGAGGTCACTAGGACGCCTACATGCCACCATTCAAGCAGCCGACAACGAAGACGCATGGTTTGAAATCCTATCTTCGATCATCGCCGACCTGCGGCAGATCTATATAATCCTAGATCTCGCTGCCACAGGAGAAAATGAACTGCACCAAGACGATAGGAGCTTCCTCTGGCTTTCCGCTTTCAAACGGCTTTTCTTGAAACTCCCCGAGCGCAACGTCCAAGCAGCCATTAAGGTGCTGTTATTTGCCTACGGCTCCACAGCCACACATCAATTTGGGACTGCGATTGAATTTGCCGATGTCACCATCAACACGAAACATCTTTCTCGTGGTGGCGTTGCTTTTCACAAGCAAACTGCGCAGTCGCGGACGAAACTGACTCCAAGAGGCAAAAGGACGATGCACGGGATTATTAGTGGACGTTGAGAAGGTAAGGAAGGTTATTCTGCCAGCTTGGAGCGATATATATTCTCTTGGATTGATCTCTGTCGGAACACCCTCTACGCATCGTTATCAAAGCCTAACCCTTTCCTGCTTTTCTTTGAATCCCTTTGACATTCTCATTCATGCACGATGAGATCCCGGGTGTTGTTGCTAGAACGAAAAAGTCTCACCTCTATCATGGGTCGAAGGTAATACCCCCTATACCTTCTTACTGAAAGTAGCGTTCCCAAGTTTCATCGTGGTCCTTTCTCGTCTTGGAGATGTATTTCAGCCCTCGTTGGACAAGGTCAACTTCGGTGTGCGCTCCTCTTTCATACCCAGTAGCCTGGGCTTGAACCCACAGGTCGTCTGCGTGGTCCTTCGTCAGGCCATGACGGCGGGGGAGCAGAAGATGTGGACGAATCGCCAATGCGTGACGAATAGCGGGACGATGAGTAGATGGATCACAGAGACTGCCAGGTACAAAGGAGGACTTCGCTGCTGCTTAACCACCGAGACCTGGACTGGCAGCAATTTTTGTACTTTGATTATGGTCACAGTTCGAGTGGGGGACTTTCAGAAATAGGGAAAAGACGACCCCCGTGGTCCGTCTGTAGAGTGAGGAGGCAACATAGCAGGATCGGATTTCCGACTTCCTAGTAACGAAGCCCTTTTCCAACGTGATTTAGTGTTCGAGGACTGCATTTTTTTTCGACGAGCCGCAGGCAAACAGACAGGACGAGGGGGAAATGCGGGCTAGGGCAACGTGAAGGGTGAGTTTGTCGGGTGACAAGAGGCGGAGTGGAAGGATGAGAGGTCAAGTGTCGCGCGCGAAGAGCCGAAAAGGCGGCACGGTCAGAGTGAGCCTTGAGTCCAAAATGAAGCAAGGCGCGTCAGTGCTTTGACCGGTCGATATTTAGATACTGGTTGATGCTCGCAAGGTGTTGTACCGATTCGCGGAAACGCGTCGGCGCCTGACTGCGGGGAACCTCGACTGCATCGCGGGCACGAAGTGAAAATCAGGCACCAAAGATTTCGCCGCCTCGTCCTTGGTCCCGCGAGCGATATGGCCACTCTGTCTCGATTCTTGTTGCTGCAAATCTTTTCTTTTTCGCCCACTTCAGCCGCTGGCTAGATAAATCCTGGCTACTAACGGAGCCTGGCTTCTGTAACTTCATGATATTTTTGCGTTGCTGCGTTTTCCAGGTTTGTGACTTATTCAAGTTCAAGTTGAGCATGACTCTTCCCGCTCCCACAGGGGCTCCCACTACCAACACTATTCCTACTACTGCTACTATCACCACTACTACTATCCATCGATAGAGCGAGCCCGTAACCATAACGAATCAAATCATAACATAACAACGTCATGAAGCTATTTACATTCATAACACTATTGTTCGCAAGCATAGCTCTCTCCGCCGGCGCCCGAGTCACGAATCCCAAACGGGTTCCTCGCGATGCCGTCCTCCTCTCCAAGGTTTCCGCAATCACCGTCCGCGCAGGCAAACAGACGAGTTCGAGACGAGTTGCCCCGGTTCCTCAACTGCAGTGCGTGGGCCCAGCGTGGATATGCAAGCTCTACTCGGTCGATACAATGCGGTGCACGAACGAAGGCGCCGATTATGACGAGAACAACATCCAGTGGAGCTGCAAGGCGTCTCTACCGGAAGAATTCAAGCTTGGAAGCACAGAAGTCACTTGTGAAGGCTACGAGAGCAGTGAAGATCCATATGTCTTGAAGGGAAGCTGTGGAGTCGAGTACAGGCTGCTCCTGACGGAGAAAGGTGAGGAGAAATACGGTTCTCATCGGCCTCAGTTCGACTACTTTGGTGGTGGTGTGAAGAAAAGAACCAGTGAGGAGATCGCTGGAATTGTCTTCATGGCTCTTTTCCTGCTCGTGCTGTTCATCATTCTACGCGGCTTATATAGGGCGTGGCGGGACGACACTGCGAGAAGACAAGGGCCGCGACCACGAGGCGGCGGCGGATTTTTTGGTGGTGGTGGTGGTGGTGGCGGCGGCAGCAATGACGATGATGACCCTCCACCTCCCTATGATCCTCATCCTCCGCGGCCGAAAAAGGCAACTTGGGCTTCGAGTTCGAGGCCCGCCGGCAGGACTGCACCGGCTCCCGAACAAGGTTGGCGTCCTGGGTTTTGGACCGGTACCGCTGCTGGAGCTGCTGCCGGATACTTGGCTGGTAGGCAGGCACAGGCACGAACGGCACCTGCTCCGCCGCCTGCGACTGCGGGATGGTTTGGCCGAGGAGGCACAGGCGGAGGAGGATGGGGGACAACGGCAGGTCCGTCAGCGCCGAGGTCCCCTGGTTCTAGTTCTAGTTCGAGTCCGAGCTATTCCAGCTCAAGATATGAAAGTACCGGGTTTGGAGGGACCAGTCGACGTTGATGAGACGTCTGCTGGGGGTAATGATATGTTGTTGTGTGCCTCCCAGGAAATCCGACTGCTGCCACGACTGCCTTCGATATGATATGCTTGCAAGCGAGTCCTTGGATGGCTAATTGATATGTATTCCTTTGATGACACGTTATGTGAATGATGTACTGTCTTCACCTATATTCCAGTAGGGATGGCTTATCTAATTACGCTTTCTAAACACGCCGCAACGCGCAATCACGTGTTGCGAACTTCTTTGGCCAGGCAACACCTCGACTGCAACAGGCTGAGAGATGTAGGAATATGTCTCCTTGTGTCTCACTTCAACTTCAGATGCACCCCGCCAGTCAAAAAATACAGACTGTCGTAGGGTTGGCATACATACCTAGGTATACGAGAATAATTTGGTTCGGTCCTGACATTACGTTTACGCCTGGCGGGTCATTCCAGTTCTAGCCAGGGGCTCGACGTCCCCAAATAAACCGTCTACTGCTAGCAAGCGGCAACACCTTCGACACATCTCTTTTGGATACCTCATGACTTCGATGATAGGATAATATTACCTGTCGGATCTTGATTCTTGTATGTCAAACACAAGGGTTTTTGGTTCTGGATCCTCTACAACTCCCACCGGTGTAGTGGTGGCCGACCATTCACAGAGAGCCTTTTATTGCTCAGCCTTGCTGACAAAGCTAATATCTGATAAGTCACAGCACTCCTTTAATCTTTGGCAACAAGGCTGTCCAACATAAAGCCAACGCTGCACGCCTTGGAGCAGCACATGGCTTTGTGGCATTGGCGATCTTGTTGTTACCATCAATCACGGCTTTGATTTACGTCTCAATGGTCACCATTACCTCGTTATTTGACTATCAAATCCCCCTGAAGGAGAGGCAGACTGATCAGCCGCCACTGCGAAGTCCCAGAGTATCTAAAGCGACTTTGCGAGGCCTCCTTGTCAATCACGTCTAGATCTTGGATCTGGCAGGTCCATCTCAGAGGAATGGTCATTGAAGCGGAGTACAAGTGAAGCCTGGCAGAGAATTATATCCACTACGACCTTTGCAGCTTGCCGGACAGCGCTGTTGCCGGAGTGTAGGGCCTACTTCACCTTCGCCTTCGCCAGTTTTTACCTGCAGAATCCCCCATTGGTACCAGCCTGTCCAAAGTCTCACCCGTCACTTTCTTTCAAGGCTGGAAGTTTTCTGAGGCAGGTCTGGAATCTTTGTCCGTTCCCCGAATGACTGCATGATCTGCACGTTGCCGACAGGTTCAAACTCCTTTGTCCAGCAAACATATCTGGTGTGAATGGCACTGTACTTAATGGTGCGAAAAGCCTGCTTGTAAGCCACAAAGCAGGGACTCAAATCATTTAAGAACCAGATCTATACCTCCTAAACAAGATTTCTCTCGGTGCAGCTGAGAAACTTCGCTTTCGCTTCCATCTTCTCAGCGCTTTAAAGGGAGTCAAGTACGAGAACCACAACCACAACCATGGCACCCAAGAAGCGAACCCCAGGCAATGTCATCGATCTACTATCAGACGACGACTCAGAGATCCACATTATCCCTCCCTCTCAATACCCTGGCGCCAACCGCAACCGCCCAGACCCGGGCCAAAAGCCTCCTGATCTGCCGGCCAAACTCAAAGAACAGCACAGACAATACTTGCAGGACTCCCATGCCCCTTCCAGCGGACGCCTTCACGGCGGCTATGATCTAGAGACTCTCGAATACGAAGAGCACCTGATCCCTGAAGGACAACTCAACTGTCGCGGCTGTAGATTGTCTCCAATCGAATTCGACGAAAATGGCCAGGAAATCCCGGCGGCGGTGACTCATGAGAAGCGCCAGAAGATCCTGATGGAAAAGTTTGAGAAGAAGTGGGCTGAAGAGGATGCTGAACGATCAAACAAGAATGCTACCACAGACTACCGTAATGAGAATCCTGGCCGTCAGCCAAGTGTTATCGCCTTTGATGTCGAACCTGCGCCAGTGACCCATAACAACCAAGCCAACCGGCCCCGTGGGTCTCTCAGCGTTCCTGGGAATGCCAATCACGGGAGCAAACGACGTGCTCGAGGATCTGGATCTGGATCTGGATCTGTGTCTGGGCCTATCGACAAACAGGTACCGGAACCAAACTCTGCCAGCCCGCAGACTGATGGAAGAGTTCGCGAAAGTGAAAGCGATATCGAAAGCTCAACCGAGGCAGGAAGTGGAAGTGACACTGAACTCCACATCCCAGCACCAACACCAGTGTCGCTGTCAGAACTGCGGGAGGGAAGAATGGCGCCATCCTCGTCTTCATCAGCCACCTCGGCTAGCTTTGCTCCGCGATCTCTTCGACGCAGCAACATCAACTCCAAGGACCGCAACGTTCTAGACAATAAGAAGGGAAAGGGCCGAGAAGAGATTCCCGAAACCGAGGTCTTGGAGTTGGATTCAGATGACGAAGAAGAGCTCGATGATCTCAATGTCGAATCGAACGAACACAAGCACAAGAATGGTCACTCTGGCGACAACCACGACGAGGAAGACGAAGATGAAGAACTAAGACGAGCAATTGCCCTATCCCTCCAGGATCAGCAGCACATGGAGGACAATAATACCACCACAACGTCCAAGACTGCCGGGGCATATGAATCTGCATCGGCGTCTGCGTCTTCCGACCACCATCACCATCACCCTCACGATCATAACCCACAGGCCAAGCGGAGAAAACTAGCCCATGCCGCACTCCTACAACAACGACCTGACGGACGGGAACAGACACAGATACAGATACAGAGACAACAACCAAAGCCAATCCGTGATACTATTGTTGTGACATCTCCCACAACTGCAACCACAGAGGGAGGTGCAGCTGCGCCGACCTCTTCGGGTTCCATCTCCACCAGTGTTGGTGGTGGCGGCGGCGGTTCTGGTGCTGGTGCAGGCGCAGGGGGTCTAGCAGGTTTCGACCGCAAACAAATGGAAGCCGAGCGTCTAGCCCGGCTCAAGAGAAAGTGTCAGTTTGAAGATGGCGGCGATACCCAGAAAAGCGAACAGGAACAGAAACAGCGTCCCCATGGTGGTAGTGGTGCTACAATTTCTACCTCTTCCACCACTGGTACCAACCACAAAGCACCGCAACAGAACAAAAAGTCAGAAATGACGACTGGGATGGGCTCGCATACACATTCACAGAGAGCCATCTCAATCTCACCACCGCCGGTTCGACGGCCGACGACGCGTCCTGACGATTGTGATCGTGTTCCACGACCGGCTCCGGCGGGCGACCACCGTTTCTCGACGGCAAGACATCCAGCACTGACAACCGCAGGCAGCCATAGTTCATCTATAGTTGGGCCGGCGACCACATCAAGCGAGAACAAGCACAAAAACACAACCGCCTCTCGCGGCGATGGAAGGACAGATGCGCCTCCTACGGCGAGCAACAAAACGAACAGTATCAAATTGAATTACTACCCGAAAGGCATTGTCTTGAAAACACTGATTCCCGGCAGCAACGACAACAGCACCAACAGAACCATCGACTTTGCCACGCTCATCTCGCCCGCATCGGCCCTCGAATCGTGTCTCTTGTCATCCTTTATCTGGAACTTCGACTGGCTCTTCCCGCACTTTGACACCAAGCGCACCAAATTCCAACTTGTGATGCACGCAAAGCAACCGTCGCGCCGGGAGGAACTGAAGGCCGATTTTGCAGGTATTCCCAATGCCCGACTGTGCTTTCCACCCATGGATGGTATCGTCAATTGCATGCACAGTAAATTGATGTTGTTGTTCTACAACGATGAGAACAACAGCAACAGCCAGATTGGACACAGACTGGGTCATGGGCATCGCAATGGCAGTAACGCGTCGACCAGATGCCGCATTGTCGTGCCGACTGCGAACCTCGTCGACTTCGATTGGGGCGTCGGTGGCATCATGGAGAATACCGTTTGGCTGATCGATCTCCCACCTGCTACTGCCTCTGCTACTGCTGTCAAGACGCAGGCGCAGGCGCAGGCTGAGCTTACCGGGCGGCGTGCCACCGATGACTCAAGTGTAACTACAGCGTTTCAGAAGTCACTTACCGCTTTTCTAAGGGCACAGACTGTCCCCGAAGACGTGATCAGAAAGTTGGAGCGATTTGATTTCACCGAGACCGCTCACCTAGGTTTCGTGCACACCATCGGCGGAATGCACAGCGGAGGTGGAGGTGGCAAAGAGCAGACCTGGAGAACCACGGGGTTGCCGCTGTTAGGCCAGACCATTACTGAGCTTGGTCTCACACCTCCTGCGGCGCGCGGACGTGGTCAAGGTCAAGGCCACGGCCCAGGTCCTATCCAGCTGGACTATGTGACGTCCTCGCTCGGCAGTTTGACCGACGAGTTTGTTAGCTCGATATATTTGGCGGCCCAGGGGGACGACGGTTTGACCGAATACAACAGACGCAACAGCACGACAGCGGCCGGAAGAAAAGGCACATCAACAGGAGGAGGACAGATGACACTGTTCGGCGTGAAAGGCCGAAAGCCTTCTGTTGCAAACTCTGGGATGTTTTCTGGTGGCCACGACGACTGGAAAGAAAACATGCGGGTCTATTACCCCAGTGATGAGACTGTCCGACGATCCAGAGGAGGGCCTAGGAATGCAGGGACTATCTGCTTCAACATGAAATGGTGGCACAATGGCAGATTCCCCCAATCCATCATGCGAGACTGCGTAAGCGTTCGTGAAGGTTTGCTCATGCATAACAAGGTACGTGTGACATTACCTGGTGCGTCTGTGCATCGTTGCATCGTGCTCGCGTCAAACGAAGAACCGCTGGTTTGCATTGCATAGCAGATCCAAATGGCCCATATCCATGGCATGGTCAAGGCTGACATTTCCATAACTCGTAGATCATGTTTGTACGATTTGCGGTACCAGTGGAGTTAGGCAAACCGCAAGAGCTCGCCAAGGTGGGATGGGCTTATGTGGGCAGTGCTAATCTGTCTGAGAGCGCCTGGTAAGTGATATTGCAGCTTCATCAGAGGCTCTCATGCCACAGCCTGGTATCATCGGAAAGGGCCAGACGCGCTGACTGCCGTGCTTTGCTAGGGGACGATTGGTCCAAGATAAGGCAACCAAACAGCCCAAATTAAACTGCCGCAACTGGGAATGCGGAGTTATCATCCCGCTTGTGGCAGAAGGCAAAGTTGATCCTGACAATGGCAAGTCGAACTCTAGTCACACGGCTGGCCTTGAGATGTTCGACCATCTTGTGCCAGTGCCAATGAGGTATCCTGGCGAGCGGTTCGAAGGCAAGAAGCCCTGGACCACTGGCATGTATGATTATTGAGTTGACACGCACCGCCACCACGAACATATTGTGATTCGTTGATACGAGAGGCTGTCTGTCGTTACGGCCGTCGGCTAGCAGAGGCACAAATCGGATGGAGGGGATGGGTACTTTCTCATTATGCCATTGTCATGTTGACTTTTGCACTCAGAAACTGGCTTTATCGCTCTGCCAAAGTCAGGTTAGGCTCGTGAAGGCCGGCAGCTGCCGCAATCAACCAACCTAGTCTCAAACTTGAAGGATGTTGTCTCGACCGAGGATAGCTGAACTAGGTTGAGGATAATGCGGAAAGGAAGCGCAGGGATGGCTCTTGAACGGTGACTTTAGGATACGGAAGCGAGCTTAATCTCAAACGACAGGTTGAGCAAGACTTTCCTCGCACATTCAAAGGTGAATATGCTTCGACCAGGCGAGCCACAGAGTTTGGGATGGCAGGATACTTCGCAACTGTGGAGTCTCGAACGCTTGTCAGAGCATTAGACTCCGTCAGCTGGAGGCAACAGTTTCGCGGCCACCCCATCTTCGGTCTGACCTTAGGACCAGAGACTGGTGGATGTCCGTCCAGGAGTCAAAGGAAGCAGCCCAGAAGTCAGCGATCTTTACACGGATGGAACATTCCTATTCCTCCTGGAGGTTGGTCGGATGGCATAACAGTCATGGACATGTAAGCCAAGCATGGGCCAAGCACAGTTGTATGTTCTTGGCCGGTCACTGGGTCTTCTAGACAATCCAGCCTCCCGAACATGCCATCGTATGTGGAGATGTGCTGTACACCCAGGCTTAAACATAACAGTAAGGGTGAGAAAGGTCCGTCGCGGCCGCATGCCTTTCTCAGAACTTTCCAAGCCATCAAACTCTCTTGCCTCGTTACTGTTGTCCAATAAGATCGACGCTAAAAGACAACAGAACCACTCATTCTGTCGACTTTCCTTGTTGATGATTTTGTAATGCCAGTCTGGCCTGAAGTGGAGCCTCAAGATCCTTGCTTCCACATTATTCAAGTTAGGACTGAGTCTGTGCCAGGCGAACAAGATTGTACGGATAGGAAACTCAATTAGGCGTTTGTTTGCAATCGAGGATGCGATCGATAGGTATCCAAGGATGCTATGACCTGCAGCAGATAGTCCGAGCACCAGGCAGCGCGAGCAAGGCAGCGTTTAACAATGGTGGAGACATCCTGCCTTTGATGGAGGCATCTGCTGTCCAGCCTGAGATCATCTGATCTTGCTGTCCGCTTGTTTTCGACATCATATCTGAACTGCTTCGGGTGGTGGCCTCCCGGCTTTTCTCGCTTTCTCCAGCAAAATGTAGACAGAAGAAATCGGAGGAAGCGAGTTAACACTTAGCGTGTGTCAATACCTTCAAACTGACCGGCACATCGGTGTCGGAGATGATGCCCCTTGGACATCAAGCTCTCACTCGGTCCGATGCAGAAGGCTTGCAAGAAGCAAGGACGGAGTCAGAAAACCAAGCACGTCACGCGCAAAAAGAATAGCAGCCGCCCCTTGTGGTGACCGCATAGGTCGTCTCATTCATTCCCGAGGTTGAAGAGGCAGCAACACATGAGGTTCGGTAGAATGCCCATGGATGAAAGAACTGACACAGCCCCATTGGCGGCTCGGACAGGGTTCCTTGCACAGCTGAGGACGGTTAGTGCGAGTTCGGGATTCAATTTCAGGATCGGTCGGTGAATCAAGTTGTCCCGACTTCAAGTGGCAGTATTGTCGGTAGATTCAACGTTTGACCCAGGGCGATGGAAACCAGACAGGTACTGCAACTGGCAGCTGAAGTAGTACAGGGCAGCCATACACCCACTGCCAGTGTGACACCCATTACTACTCGTGGCTTAGTAACCAAGACGTGAGCGGCGCAGGCGCAGGCGCAGGCATCCGAGTCCAGGCAGCACCTCGCCCCGCGGCCCAATACGGCTTAGCTGAATCCCGGGGATGGCAGCCGTAACCTCGAATTTTGAACACAAAAAGCGCAACCAATTACGGCGATGACTCCCACAGTCGAGGGATGGTCAGCTTGTACACGGTTCACTCGTTTGGTTCGCTAACTCGAACTCCTCCCAGGTACTGCACAGAGCTGCGCTGTACACTCTCGGTTACGACGACCGCCCCGGGGTTGCAGCATTACTTGCAGGGTGCCTGCTAGAGTTTGTCACCTCGCATCTTCTCGCTTTACTTCCCCGTCCAGTACTAGCATGCAGTGGCGGCACTTTACTCCAACCCCGTTGCAACTTGAAGTATTTCGATGCGCGGTGTCGATTGCCTCTTCTGAAATTGTGACCTACGGGTATCTGTCTTGGTCGCAGGCCGATTGTCCGTTCCTAGGGGGACTGCGGTGGCGATGGCGTTGCATGTGGGTACAAGCCTCAATCTTGCATCTCCTTGCTCACCTGCCCTTGGTCCTAAGCTCTGGTTTGCCTTGATACCCGGCTGATGCACTAACAAGGGAGCGTCCTTAGCGGCGTCGATGACTTGCACCAGTACCATTGCGCTGGGACAAGCCTCCTTTTTCCTTCGACCAGGCATGCGTCGGTTCACATGTCACCACCCCCTCCGCTCCAGTAGTTCGGGCGAAGTTTTTGAAACACGATGCAGGGTTGCTAGTGGCTCCGATGGTTTCGTCTCACCGACGATGCAGGCTCCATAGGCGGTAACAAATCAATGGCAAAATATGATCCCTTTATTTTACAAATGCAAATTCATCTCGAGCGCCGGCGATGGTCCGGACTTTTGCAAAGTCGTGCAGGACATTTCTCGTCCATCGGTCACATCCATTTGGTGGCTGATTCTGCTGTACGATCAGGCTCAACGTTGAAACCGCCCGAGCACCGGCAGAGGCGCCAGATTTGCTCCATCACTATTAGGTCACGAAAGGAAGAACGGCGGCTATTGAAAAGACTTTCACGGGGGATCTATCATATTGGCACTAGACTAGGGTTACGGCAGATGTCCCACTGTCATCCGTCTCTTCATCTTCCCGAGGCTTTCAACCCCTGCACTTGGGCCTTATTGGCCGTTGCAGTAGGTGGAGCTTACTGGTTATCGCACCATCGCAGTGTGGCTACTGCAAACCATCTCTCACGCTGGGATTGAATGCTACTAAAAGGGCTCCAGTTACACGTCTTCAGGTGAGGTTTGAGTCAATACGGCCGGCAATGATTGGCTTGGTTTAACACGCATTGACCGGGGAAGAGTGGCTGCGAACAGTCTGGACCGCGCTGACGGAATAGATTGGCGTGCCGCTAGAGAGGGATCAGCGCCAGTTGGTCAGGAGTCGAGCATGGGGAAGAATGACCGAAGAAGGACAGGAAGCGTTCATCTCATGGCTTGAGATGACAAGCTCCACTGTCGCCAGTCGCTCGAGCTCCTAGCTGGCGACACTACCATCAGTATTGATCACTGGGACCACTGCCGCACGAACACAGGGACAACCCGAGATCCTCAGATGGGGCGGACAGCGGCTCACCGATGCTGCCAGAGCCAAGCTGAAAGATAGTCGTTCTGCTAGTAGTACCTACAGATGAGCAGCGGTTGCATGGTGCACTGGAAATTTTCAGCCGTTTGTTGAGGCACTTCTGCTAACGCAAGCGGCAACACCCCTGCATTATTTTATTGTTGTTGTTGTTCTTGCTGCACCTGGCAGTGGTCCCAGAGATCAACCGTAGCTGACGCCTCCATGTCCACGCGCCCAAGACAAACGCTAGAGAATAACCAGGGAGGGATACCACGCCATACTGAGATATTGCAGTAACGTGTCGTGGTCTGCCCTTGCTAGAAAGTACCTCCGCGGGCATCCAATTCCTGGAGACCATTTGACTCTCGTCCTCGGTGTTGCCGCCGTTCCATCTGCCTGAGAAGGGCCTTCCCTTGTCCTGGCAGGAGCTGGCAGCTATCTTCGCACACATATTGGTCGAACCCGAGGCAGCGGACAGCTTCAATTGTTGGGCATGTGGATTCTCTCCACACATCAACCAAGATGTTGAAGCGACGCAGGAGAAGTGTCACCCAGCACGCGGCAGACAGGACACTACTCTTGTCTTACCTGCCGTCCAGTGGCTCCGAAGACGGCCACAGACGTAGTAGTTGTACTGTATTATTACATGGCACTCGTAGACACATGCTTATGATGGGTGAGCCAGAAGCTGGGCTGATTGTTGCTGCCGCTACATCGCACCATCAAGGCGCATCATCCCATTAGCCGACAGAGGGCCCCTCGCCCTGCCCTGTGTCCACTGCCAGTGTGTTAGGCTTGCGATAGTAGCGTGGGAGGCGACAAGAGCCAATCGAGCGGCCCCCATGCCCTCGGATATGAAGGACGCAGATGAACCCATCGGAGGGCGCCCCGTTTACGGCACCACAGTCACCGCCGCGCTCCATCCAACCCTGCGGCGTGCTAAAGTACGTACTGCCAGGCCAGCAACTGCGTGGACTCCCGCAGGTGCAGCAACAGTGCCAGTAGTGTAGTGGGCAACGGGCAAGGGCGCGGCAGGGTTCCTTAGCCGGCGATTTAGCCCTGAGGAGTCTGGAGGAAGCTCGAGACGCCTGCTGAGTGGCTCATGCCGGCTGGCCTTGCTCCCCCCAACGTGGTCTGTGTTTCTTTGTGAGCGAGGGACTCCGTAGTGCCAGTGCCAGAGCAATACTCGCTCGCAGCATCCCCCGTCTTTTGTCAGGCGCACCTCCTTGCCATTTGAGGCGACATTTCTGGAGCTTGCAAGCCAGGTACGCCCAAGACCACTGCAGCGGCAGCCCAGCAAGGAAGAAGGAGAGACCTGTGGCAGCGTGTTGTTGGTATTTCCGGCACTTATGTGAGAATACAACTCCAAACGCAGGGATTCGCCGGTTCCATTTTTCGTCTACGGGACGCCCATATATCGGCCGCCTTTTCTCAGCGCAAGCGAGGCCAACCTCGGATATCATAACCTGGCGTAGTCCGAGCATATCACCTACTACAGCATCTTGTATGTTATAACAGACAGATCTCCGTCTGCTACAGAACCTTCATATTTTAGCACAGCGAGCGCCCAGCCTGTCCTGCCTCGCTCAGTTCAAGCGTGCGACTATCAGACTCGTCCCCGAGCTCCCGAAAGTCTATCGCCGGTGCCCCTGTTGAAACTCAGTCTCCGCTTCAATCTTCTTCGCACGAGCACGACTTCACCTTGGCCAGTGGAGGGTTCGTGGTCATTGGCTACCATTGACTTCAAGAAGTGCTTCGGGTGGATGGGCCAGCTCTTTGTTTAAGCTCATCCAGTCCGAGTCTGTCTTGTCTGCCAGTGCCAGTCCTACTGGGATCTTGCACCCAGACCCAAGGCAGCTGCACCCCATCGTCTGTGAACCAAACCAAAACTGCAAAGGAAACATTTGAGCCAGCATAAACGCAGAGTCCTCGTGCAGATTGCTCTATCCTGCGACTAGATAGCACTGCTATACGGCTATAGGAGGGGACCCGCGGCCCTTTGATGAGCGTCGGTGACAGCAGGACCACTGTTGGCTCCGCAGCGCTGATACGACAACCAGCGACAAACACCACGAATACCACTGTTGCAGTGGGCTGCTATTAAAAGGCTGCCATTCTTCAGCTTACTGAGCAGACACGACTTTCTATACAGCTTCCGATCTCCGGGCCCAGTCACGCCCTATCAGTCCGCAGCACCACTCGGTGGACTGGCACCTCACACCGATCATTTCCGCTGGGCCAGCCATCTAGGCCAGATTCTCCTGCTCCAACACACACTGGCAGGCCCCCACCGGACGACTGCTCCACGCTCAAAGTCTATAAACTAGCTGAGTATCCAGAGCGCTGCCCGGTCCGCGATCGCTCTTGCACACCACTGAACTGTGCGAACTCTTTTAACTTGGCGCCATCTGGAGCGTGGATAGGCTCTTTTCTGCCACTGGACAGCGAATTTTATCTTCCCCAGGTCCCTCAGTCGCCAGTAAATCCACTGTCAAACGGTCCCCAGCGGGCCTTCAGATCACCTCTGAAACTTTGAGTCAAGTCTTTCTGGTTCCTCCCTTTGGGACTCGACGCCGTGCACTAGCAGCACATCCAGAAGTCATCCAAAGTCAAATCTCCTGCGAACCATCTGCTGGCCTAGAGGTCCTGTGGACGCTGATTTGTCCATTTAGTAAACATCTGATCACCGCCGGCAGCGGCCTGTCTCTGGCGGTCGCGACATTTGCATCCCTCTCGTTATCAGAGCTCACGTCAACACCTCCCCCAGAGCTCTCTTCTTCGCATCTCGGGGTTTGGTGCAGGGCATCGAGATCTGAACTTTGATCTGGTCGATATCTTGTCTCTGGTGAACTTCATAACTTCCTGGCAAAACCACTTGGGCGCCTCAGACAGCGAGTTGCGGGATCGTGCATTTCCACGATCTCGCGCATTTCAGCGTACCTTTAACGCCTACAGCGTCCCTGTGTCGTCCTTTCTTTTTCCCCTTCACACCACTCTACTCTCTGGGACTTCGACCATTTGGCATCTTCCCACCGACGCATGATCTCGATTTTTGCGGTCTGAGTTTCGCCTAGATTAGAGTCTTGGACCTCCCGAAAACTTTCATCTCACAAGGCTCACTAGCCAGAAAGTTCGACACTTCTTACAAGCTTTCACCATGTCATCGGGGGGAGCAGCCCTCCAGCCAACTTTCCGAGGTCATGTGGCCACTACCCAAGATGCTCTAATCCTCTTTGAAGCGTGTTTACAAGGACATCTCTCACATGTACCCCGGCGACCGCACGATCGAGAACGGAGTAGCCTGATCCGCAGCGGCTGCATCTTCATCTACGAAGAAAATGCATCGGGGATCAAGAGGTGGACAGACGGCGTAACTTGGTCACCCAGCAGAATCCTGGGGAATTTCTTGGTATACCGCGAACTCGACAAGCCCTTTCCTCCTGGCGAAAAGAAGCGAGCGATGAAGAAGCAGCAGCGACGATCGACCAGACCTGGAGAGCCGTACGCCAGATCCGAGGGGGGTTCGTTTTCGGACGGCCAGTCTGGTCCTTTTGGAGGCGACCGTGGCACCGCAGCCGACGTCGAGAGACAACTAATAGGTTCGCTCGTGGACTCGTATGGGTTCAAGCAGGACGGGCTCGTAAAGAAGACCATGAGCGTAACCGTGCAGGGAGTTACCCATCACTTGGTGTCCTATTACCACGTCAACGACGTTTTATCCAACAAGCTGCGGACGCCTTCACAGACTGAGAACCTGCAGTACATCCGGCCGCGCCCTGAGCTCATCTCAAAACAGAGCTTCAGATCTCCAATCGAAGAGGTTGACGATGTTGATGGCGGTCAGGCCGCGTACGGCTACAGAGTCAATCCTGCGGGAGTGTATATTCAAGATTACAACAAGCAGCAGTATTACTTGCCCTCAGGATATCCACCTATGGCCCAACAGCCCGGTGCAGCACCTTACGGAATGAACGTGGCCTCGATGCCCGCAGCTTACATGCCGTCACCCGTGACTACGCCGCACCTTCAAGGACAACGAAGTGATTACAATCAATACGATCAGGCTGCGTACAATCGCAGTTATGAGTCGCTCAGCAACTCCCTCCCACCTGCATCCAAACCCATCAATGCGACTCCCACCACCATGCCAGCTATGGTGTCGGACCGCGCGCAGGCTCAGCCTGGCATGTACCCTCCTATGAACATGCAACCACCTCTGAACAACCTAAGCCCTGTATCGATGGACTCGAGGAGCAGTGTCCCGTACCGAACCGCTTCGTATCCCGTTTCCACAAGTACGCCACAGATCGATCACGCTCGCCAAACACAGTCCTCTCCGACGGAAATCAAGTATGAAGATCGCAGGGATTCTGCACCACAGCAGACACAGATGTATCAAAGCACGAGAGCTCCCTACTATGCAGATGGAGCTGGACAACCTATGCCCCAGCCGCATTATCCACCACATACCCATCTCGGACAGTGGGCTACACAAAATCATTCCCATTAGGATTGTGCATTTGATGCTGAAGGCACGAGACCGCGGCCAGAGTTTGCAGTTCCTAGTCCAATTTTTTGAATAGGCGGGTTATATCTCTGGATCCTGCTGTGTGCGTCTAGTTATCACTCGATACCTTAATTATGAGGCGTCTGCGTGCCTCCTTCTGCCCTATCTCACGCACCCGGGATCTGAGAGGCCCGGTTCGTCCGACGCCAGCCTGTCTATCCTGATATACCTCGGCACTTGCATCTGGAGTCTGATGTGGGCACCATGACCGGTTATCTGACCGATGGATTTTTATTTCACAATCTGCAGTTTACTCGAGGGAAGGCGGAGTTCTGCTCTACAGCTGCGGAGGGGGTTTGGGCCGGCCTCATCAGGTGCGCCTTCCTGTCGGCCGGGAATTTCTGAAGCTCTTGGGTATGCAGCACGTCTCTCTTTTCATGAGTATGGTTTAATGAGTTCGAAAAGCAGACACGAGAGGTTATGACTGAAATGGTGAACGGAAAGGGCCTGGTTTATGGAAAAGCGGATTCCCCGACGACAATGCTTTGAATTTGCCGTGGTTTTGTCTGGAAGTGGTTTGTTAATTGGAATGACTGGAATGGCTCAAGGGATGAGGATGCCTTCTATTTTCCTGGACAGGCCTGAATGAGGCACTTCGAGGTCTGATCTCTTTTGCTATGCGCCCATTGCACGACGCGAGGCAGGCCGACCACAATTTGATAGACCAAACTCGTCCTGGCCATTGCGTATGGGTCGGGGTAAAGTAGCCTGCCCATGACACGATATGGCGAGTGAAGGCTACGCCTGCAGTTCCGTTCCAGCCAAGTTGCTCTCCCAGGTTTTGCCCACGTCCGAATCTCCCTTCAGCTGCCACGTGACTGTGATTGACTGCGCATCACGTGCAAGGTCTACCAATCCTACTGTAGTAGCAATACTTCTAGTAATGCCTTTCAATCATTGCGGCAGACGGGACGTTGGACACGGTTTGTCTGTCCGAAATGCCAAACCTGAAGGCTGCTGTGCCAGGCCCCTAGCTGATCTCTACTCCTTCCGCCAAATTGTCCTGGCAAGGATCATCGACGGGACTGATGGCCCGTGCGCACAACTAAGCCCTATTACTGTTGTCACGAAATCATCCCGGATGTGCTCGAGTCCCCAAGCGGCACATCGCAGGGTCGAGGCTCCTCCCATCAAGACCCGGAACTGCAAGCCCGGACCATCGATGTTCACATGGCTACTACAAAGTGGTACGCCAGAAACTGAGGTCGTGAGTGCCGCCTGCCGCCTGGCGATACCACTGGCAGACTCGTCACGTTTCTACCTAGGTATCATAGTCGTCGCAAAATGCTACCCACTCGAGGTCGCAGGGCGAAGTCGGCTCCTTTGTGTGGCCTGCTGGCGCCGCGGAAATCGACAACCAGCTCTTCTGCCCACGCCTCCCAGATATGCATGACTCTTTGACTTTGGCATCTTGCAGCCAAACCAGACAGCATTCTGGCCGATGCAGTAATAAGCTCCTGTCGCGGCTTCCCTGCGCGGATTAGACAAAGAATTGCATGCACATTCCAAGCTCCTGGATGGCATTCTGGCAGTCGATATGGAACTCTTTCCACCACCTTTTCCAGCATCCTTCATGTCTCTCAGGCACATGCTTTGAGTACGGACCGAGCAGTGGACCCGACACAGAACAGCTCTCCCCCTTGCTCCGATCAACCCTGCCAATAATCCTCCCCACCAGGTTGTCCAGTTTGGAGGTGAGTGGTACCAGTAAGTGCCTTGAGCGGGCGCCTCATCAATTACAACCTCCTGCGCTCGGTGTGGGCCAACCGAACTGCCCAGTATTTCCTCGCTGGAACACGTACACGCATGTCGTCAGGAAGTTTCGAAGGAAAAGGAAACAAAAGCCTTGGGTCTCAAGAGAGCTGTCCCGCTGTCACCGTGGCCCACATGCAAACCCAACACATGTTCTCATTGGCTTTGGACACTGGTCTCCACCCGTTCCCTCGGTCAAATTCATTGAACTGTGATGACTACGGTGAAGAGAAATCGTTTGAACCGGCGGTGGGAAGCGGCATCGTCTGGACTTGTACAGAGTTGGCATTCATCGGCAGTGGTACATACAGGCATCATTACGAAACGCGCTCGTCGGCATTCTCAAAGAGCTAGTTACGGCGGTCCAGAGAGCTCCATGTGCACTGTGATCGGAAAGCGCCGTACAACTGTAGTCGCTGAAAGGGACTCAGCAGACCCACCACTACGAGCCACGGCCCACGGACCAAGCTCCACACAACCAGCCTAGTTGTCGAACGAGGCGCAACCTTCCAAAAGCTCTCCTATCAGATCGTAGGCCATGTTCTCTACCACCAAAAGCCCTCCTGATGCCGGATGAACGGGCCCATCCCGATATGGTTGCTGGAGGTACACCTCAAAGCAGACTTGTGTGCCGATCTTGGATTTGTTCATCGTCAGTCACCAGACCAAAGGAAAAACGTACCTGGCTGCATGCGAGCTACATATGCCGGGGTGTGAAGGCGACCATCGGGCCAGGACGATCACTTCGGAAAGAAGCAATTCGTAGAGCCGGAAGACTGTCAGCTGCTCAACATCAAGGTCACCTTTTTTGCGAGTTATAGGCAAGGACATTGGATTCCGCACATCGAGCCGTTCAAGGATTCACCTGCTACTTCATTCCGAAATTTGGTAGCACAAGACATGCTGGGATACCCTTGTCTCTCATTAACTCGATGGTGCCGGCCCCGGCGCGTACGTAATTCGTTTTGCGACAGGGATGTTGACCATTCCGCTGGGTCCTGGTGTGGCCGCTACACCTAGCGAACAAACTAGAGGCCCAAGTCGCTTCTATACGATGCGCTGGTCATTGCTGAAATTACCGGCCACAGTATCAGACAACATCACAGGTTCTCTGAATGCAGACTTACCCCCTCATTTGTCCCCGAAGGGCAAGTGTAGGAGTATGTGGCTGCCTGGCGATGTCCAGTTGGGCTTAGGGGTGCATACTACTACTAGATTGCTGGCACTTTTGGCCCGCTCTCGACAAGACTAGGTACTCTCCCGATGCATTCAAGTTGTCGTTTTGTTTCCCGCGCGAGGTGCTGAGTTTTACTGCAAACTCTAAAGGAAGAACAAGGAAGAGGTCTCCAGCCACAGCCGCCATCTACCCAACAGTGGTTGTGTGGTTTCGGTTATGGCCAGAAGAGTTCTCAGTGGCCCTACCACGCACTGCCGCTACTATGTTAGCGAGGTCGACTCCAGGCCCTTTTCAGCATTCTTCTACTCCTCATCCCACAAATGCAGGTGGCCCTGATGGGCGCATGTGGACGGTCGAGCATTTTGCCATGCTGTTCATGACTGATAAGTCTGGACTTTCCCATTCTGGCGATGTTTGCTTGACGCATTCGTTCTAGCGACACCGAAACCCACGGATCCTTCTCTATATCCCAACTCGCGACTCCTAACTGGTACTGTACCAAGCAAGCATTCGCCTCGGATACTACGCTCAGGTAGCCTATCTGTAGGCGTCGGGCTTCCGAACAAGCGCGCGATCAAGATACATGTATATGGCGATACGAGAAATGATCTCCCTGGGAAGGGTCAGGAGCCGAAAGGGTTCCTTACTTTCCTCTCAAACAGCATGATACTTGGTCTCCTCTGAGGAAAAGGTCTTTAAACGGCCTGATTGATGCCGCTGACCGTTGCTCATGGTCGAGCCTCGGATCTCGATTCATTTTCGGATTTCTCGTGTCTAGTCGATTGTTCCCATTCAATGCTCACAGTTCAGCTAACGGCACAGAACAGCAGCCTGCAGGTGCTACAGACAGTACCCGCACAGCCAACTCCTCCTCGTCATCCATTGGCACCCTTATTGGGGACAATCGTATAATTGTTCTCGGCACTCCTCTTGCGAACGCGTTTTCGGCGTCAAAAAGGCAGATTTATACCTGTCGCTTCAAGATGAACACTTGTTTCCACATATATCATGACACTGCACTGATGGGTGGTGTGGACCTGACTACTTTGCTGTTTCTGGCCTGATACCTAAGTGGCCTCTACATGACCTGGCCAGGGCAGCAGACGAGGCACGGTCAGAAGACGCGTCGGTTGAGAATTGTTCCTCTACCATTCTTGTATACTGTGAGAGATCATCTCGCGCCAACTCAGCATGAGTGAGTTCTCCGCATTTCGGGTGACAGAGGTATGTCTAGTGTGGCTCAATACTTTTTCTTACGGGAGCACCTCTCGTCTGTCACAACCTCTGTTCGGAGGCAGGCCTTAGGCCTCACCTTTTCTGCTGTCAATTCCACCCTTTGGCCTCATAGGGAGCAATTCCGGTCGGCTCACTTCGCTGCGACTCTACAGTTCCGGACCTTGGCACGGGTCTGAGTCCACGAGGCCAGCTGGTTGTACGGGACTCGTGGACCAATAGCCAGACAATTTCACATCTTGAGCCTCGGATACCGGAGGTGTGTCTTGTTTCTTAATGTTACTTATGTTATTGTCGTGGCATAGGGTGTGGATTACACCTTGCAGAGGTATGTTTTTTGTACAATAATCTACTGTCCAATGACTGGCAACACTATCAGCAGGAGGAGATGTGTTCAAGGATGAGAAGCCTTGGCAGGGGGACCGACAACCTAGCCCGGTTCTCGATTGAACTGACAGCAAACCATATCGACTGGCATGGACTACGTGGTTCAAGGTGGTAGCGTTCACGGTTTGGACTATGGTCTCTCCAGTCCGTCCCCCCCGGAGGACTGAGAGTAAACTTGATCCATTTGCTAGCAAACATCTCTCCTTGACACATGTGTATGCATTACATTTTACGTACATATATAGATACCTAGGATATGTATACGTTAACATTTTACGTAGATATCTGTATATGTGTTTGCGTTTTCATTTTACGTGTATATATACCTAGGTAGGTACCTATGGCCGTACACATACATGAATGCCTATATGAATCATGGAAGAGATAAAAGCGGTATGCCTGCGTGGCTGCCGTCTACATGTAGATTCAGAGAGGGTCCTCCTTATCCCTACCTAAGGTACCTATCTATCTATGGTATCTAGAAGCCTGGGTATCTAGGTAGGTAGGTACCTGTCTCTATCTGAAGCTGTGGAATCAATCCAATGACGAAATAATAAATCCGGAAGCAAGTCACTGTGACCGGCTCACCGGTCTGGTCTGGCACCCAGCACTGCATGCAGCATCAACATGAACATAATGGGTTATGTATGTAGAGATATGTGGTACTACCGGACTGATACAAGTAGTAATGGCTAGGTAGGCGAAAGGTTCCGGAGTAAACTTGGGTATAGTCCTTCTACGGTCCCTAGTACCGGTCCCCGGCCTGCTGAGGGTATCTAATAAGTACAGTACTAACTGGCAGCATGCCGGTGGTACAGTACCATACTGTACTGTACCTTAACCCCTACCTTAGCTTAGGTACCTACAGCCTAGATATCCCCCCCTGGATGATGTTTGCCTCAAGGGGAGGGATCTATCTGAGTACCTAGGTAGGTAGGTAGGTAGGTAGGTAGATACTGTACCAGGTAGTTATAGTAGTGGTTGGAAAGGGCTGTCGGGACACTGGGTGGACATGACACTGCAGGCAAGGACTTGGGGTCTCTGTACCTTTTTCTGTCCCTGAGGTTGCAGTGTTTGACTTATTTCCTATCCCAGGTTCTACACTGGGGCCCTGCCAGTGGGGTGTGGGTGTGGTTGGGAATTCAAAAGCTCTCCTCCGTCAACAATATATAAGGATTATCAAGGGGAGTCAGTCTGTGTGTGTGTGTGACTACTATGTAGTGTGTAGAGAATAGTGACCTTGAGTAGGTAGTAGGTAGGTACTATCGGATGGAACCTGCGTGCATGTACATGTACATGTATATGTACATCGTTGGTAGTCGCAGCCCTGGAGTGCAAAGGATGATAAGGTAGGTTCCGGTCAGGTCGTATGTACTACTAGTACATGGCTGGTACTGTATGTAACTTCAAGTGTCCACAGTACCTTAAGGTAGGTAGCTACTACCTCAGATATGTCCTGACTACCTAGGTATGGTGTCGAGGACACGGTACCTTAACCGACTGAAACTGGTACTATATCATAGCTCTAAGTACCTACTGTACCTAGTAGCCCTCACCGGTAGTTACAGTAACAGCCGTGTACTCTCCCCCTCTCTTCCCTCTTTCCGCGGGACACATCCCGTCATGGTCAGTTACTGGCCGCTGGGTTTTATAATTATCTGTAGGTAGCAACTTCAGTCCCTGCCTTTGCTCTGGGTTGGATACTATGTCCTACCCGGTAGTATTCAGATCAATTCCTAGATCAGAACGAAGCATGGCAAGTCAGGTCTGGTCTGATTAGGTATGAGGTACTAGTAGTCACAGTCCTCTTTGACTGAGGCAGTTAGTTCAATACCGGATCCAGAGTCAAAATCATCACTCGAGACTTCGACAAGAAAAAACGTTACCGGTCCGCGGGAGTCAATGGGACGCGCAAGTTTGCTGGGCACTGCAACAGCATTGAATTGCTTATTCTATGGGCTTGTTAGGTATTGCTACAGTAGTAGAAGATAAAAGAATATTTGGAGAGGCCAGAGCGGAGTCAATCCTGGACCTCAAATTGGGGCGGAATACCAGCCCCTGATGGACTCATGAATTCGGTCTCCTATCACTAGTTGGACATGAAGGTCGAGTGTCTCGTTTCGATCAGCTTTTTTCCCCGGACGGCCCGGACGGGACAAACAATCACTCAACCCACCTCGTTACTACCTTCCCAGTCTGTGAATATGGCTTCAGGTTGAGGATGGGCGAGCCCTGTATGGCGAGGGCGTATTAGGTCCAGCTGAATCCTAGCAATTGTCCATCAACATGAAATCATGATACTGTAAGTTAAATGCCAGAGCACAAAATGGCAGAATCTTGTCGCTACACTGCTCCCGAATCCTGAAGAACCTCTGCAAGCGATATCCCAGAGATCCAGAGCCGAGCTTGATTAGTGATTTGTATCAGAAGATTCGATCTTTTTGGATCACAACTAGTCTGTTAATCTTGTTCTCCAAGATATTTTCATTCCGGAAGCCCCGGAGGTGTTTGCTTGCGCTGCTTGGGGCTTGATGCTTGACCAGTTTGTCTCAGGGACGGATGTCAAGACTCGCGGCCGAGTATACTGTCTTCTGAAACCATAGTAGTATACGGTTTTGGATAAGAAAACAGAGTAAACTGTCCTGCGACCAGTATGGAGGCTTTAGTTGGCAGGGGCTGATCACGATTCAACAATTAGGAGGGTGCGGGAAGCTGGGGGATAGGGGTTAGGGGTTGCCTTCAGTTTGGCTTTGGCTTTTTGTGGCTGACAGTGTCTTCTTTCTTCACTTTTCTTGCAACTTGCCGATGCCCATCTTATGCATTTCGAGTGAAGGCTCAATTCTTGTGAAACTTTGTGATCATTCGCGATGCTTTGGTGTACGTGGTTCATGTAAGTTTCCATCGCCAATAGATGGCGTCTGCTATCTATTATTACAGGCTGAGCTGGCGATCGACTACCGACCTACACAATAGTGATAGAGTTCGAGTTGGAACGTTTCGAAGTGAAGCAGCGGGGGTTTATTCATGGAGACATTTCACACTATATGCAATATGTCGCCTATCGTGTCAACTTAGGATATAACCTGGGGCGTTGAAGTTGTAGGATTGTTCACACCTGCATTTGTATAGTATACTAGCTGCGCATCTGAATATAAGGCAAGCCCCGGTATATTCTGTACAACATTGCCAGCTACAACCTGTCAATCATCACTGCAACTTCTTGTCGTTCGGCGTCAATCCTGCCCCTTCGGTTCCAACCTGTGGTTCACTCGCACCAGCACTTGCAGTGGTGTTAGCCGCCGCAGTCGAGCCCAACTTCAACTCTGGAAAACTAATATTTCTTCCCACCCTTGCCTCGACGGCGCGCTTCAAACCCTCCCCGGTCGGCATGGTGACTGAACTTCCTCGTCTCCTACGAGCCTCGACTTCTTGACGAATCTCATCAATGGCCTCGTCAATTTCACGTCCAGGATCACTAGGAATACCCAGAGATGGAGGATAGTTTGTTTCTTGAGCCACGGTCTTTTGCACGTAAGGATAGTTCCGCTTCGCCAGTCTTTTCTTGAGATAGCCCTTTGCTGGAGAAGCGAAGAAGGCCATAGACAGCAAAACTCCCACCAATCCGTAGAAATATACTCGTGCCCATACTTTCAGGGAGTCACCGAAAAAGAGGATGACGAACGGTGCGGTGGTGAAACAAAACGCCAACTGAGTGGCGATGTAGCTGGCGATGTCATAATAGATCTTGTACTTGGTAGGCTTGGATCCGTCCGGGGTAAGGAAGAATGGTCGGAAGTATCGTCGGCAATTCTTGGCCACTGTCTGAATGAACGCCCCCATCAAGAAGGTCAAGTAATACCCTGGATAAAAGCCATGCCAAAACGCCGAGGTCAAAAACGTCGCCAAAGTGGCGCGGAACCCAGGCTTTTTACCCTTAGGCGTCACGCGAAGGTAGATATAATTGCGAAGCCATTTGTTGGTGTTCTTGTTCCAATTGTCCAGATATGCTCGCGAGTTTTGAGCAGTCTCCAGACCCCAGGGGTTGACATTTTCGGTGCGATCCCATCTTGCTTTGCTTGTGACTGGATCAATTCCGTTGTAGCCGATCCCGGCCATGATGCATGCTCCCTCCGTCAACGCCCAGACGCCGTAGTACTTTAGTCTGGATGTAAAGCCCAGCATTTGCAAAATCCAGACGCGGCGGATAAAAGAATACTCCATGTATTTGTCGGACAGGGTCAAGGGGACGTTGTACCATTTACCAAACTGGAGAAAAAGCAGGATCCAGCAGAGTCCAGCCACAGCCTTCCGTGCCGCAGGTCGGCCTGATCGCGGTATCCGTCGGTTGCCTCTGGTTGGTGGAGGTGTTTTTGTGCCAGGGGGCACTTCAAACATGGTGGTCTCGATAAATCGCTGATAATCCACAAAGTCGAAGGCTGGTCCGGCAAACAGTGAAGGGAAAAAGAAAACGTAACCGGCGTAATCGAGCAGATTGGGCATTTTGTAAATGGCCCTCTCTTTCTGGCTGTCCGTCATAAGCTCCGGTTTCAGGCGTCCATCGTGGACGTTCCAGCAGAACGCGCTGAGCTTCATCACCAGAACCATCTGTCCTCCAGTTATGTCCACCACGCTTGGGTCATTGAGTATCTGCCGCTGTATGTGGTTGATAGACAAATGCCCCATGAGGAACAAGAAGGCGATCCATGGCATCAAAGAGCCATCAATGTAATATGCTATTGCGTACGCCCCCACGGAGCTGTACAATAAGGTGCGGACGCCATCATACAAATCGAAAAGGCCGATCAGATAGAAGAGCGAAACCGCGACGATATACGCGTTCCGCCAATGTGGTTTGTTGTCCGGTATCCGTTTCAACAGCCCAGCCAGTGGATAGCTTGCGAGGAAGGCGGCGAGAAGCTTCAATTCATCGACGGACGCGCCGATGGTTTTCGCCAGGTAAACAAATGCTAGGCTCACAGGTTAGTAGTGAGATAGCCACAACGGGGCAGGGTGCATACGAGGATTGATCCCTGGGATCATGATGGCTCGCTCTGAGCAGACTCGTTTTCACGGCTTCAAAGTGGTATCTCAAACATTGACATGTTTTTGTTGGGTCAACTGAGAAATGTGGAAACGTGGGGACAGACTGGAACTGGAGTTGACGATACTTGACGATGTCATCGCTTGGTTCTTCCGTGATTTATCCGGCCGTGTAAAGGCGGCATGCCTCCATCCAAATAGCGGCATGATGTATCCGGTCGGAGATCAGTCCAACATCAACACCAACAGGCACATCCACATGCGCGGTGATATACGACTAGTACGGCTCAAGGCAGTATCGACAACTTGTTGGGCTCTCACAAAGTGGTTTGCCGGGTGTCACGGCCAATTCTGCCCTGTCCGGCTTCCGTCAAAACGCCGTCTCCCTCCTGGGCTTCCTGCCTGCACCGACATCACATACTCAGAAATGACCTGTAATACACTTTGAGGCTGCAACAAACTGAGCCAAAATGGACGTGGCATCAGCCGTCCAGAATTATATCTCCAAGATTGCAGGGGTGGGGGAAGGGGCTGCGGCGTCACAGTCATCGAAAATGAAGATCTTGATCTTGGATAGAGATACCGTTCCAATCGTCTCGACCGCAATCACCCAGTCCGCCCTGCTCAAGCACGAAGTATTCCTCATCGATCGACTGGATAATCCGGCGCGGGAACGCATGCGCCACCTCAGATGTCTGTGCTTTGTCCGGCCCTCACCCGACTCGATACAGTATCTCATTGACGAACTCCGAGATCCGAAGTATGGGGAATACAACATCTATTTCAGTAACATCGTTAAGAAGTCATCGCTGGAAAGGCTGGCAGAGGCGGACGACCATGAGGTGGTCAAGTCAGTACAAGAGTACTTTGCAGACTATATCGTGATCAATCCAGACTTGATGTCGCTGGACTTGGGATTTCCAAAACAGCGACTCTGGAGTCACAGTCCGGACATATGGAATACGGATGCATTACAAAGAACAACCGAGGGGATAATAGCATTGCTGTTATCCCTGAAGAAGAACCCTCTGATCCGGTATCAGAAGAACAGTCTAATGGCCAAGAAACTTGCCACGGAGATTCGATATCAAATCACCCAAGAAGAACAGCTCTTCGACTTCCGAAAACCAGACACCCCGCCGATTTTGCTAATCCTGGACCGGAGAGACGATCCTATCACTCCACTACTTACTCAATGGACCTATCAAGCCCAGGTTCATGAATTGTTGGGCATAAAGAACGGCCGTGTTGACTTGTCCGGGGTGCCTGACACACGTCCCGAATTGCGCGAGATAGTCCTCTCTCAGGACCAGGATCCATTCTTCAAGAAGAATATGTACCAGAATTTTGGCGACCTAGGTGGCAACATCAAAGAATACGTTGACCAGTACCAAACGAGAACAAAATCCAACGCTCAGATCGAATCCATAGCCGACATGAAGCGCTTTGTCGAGGACTATCCAGAATTCCGCAAACTTTCGGGGAACGTCTCCAAACACGTCACTTTGGTTAGTGAACTCAGTCGTCGAGTGTCGGCAGACTCACTGCTGGACGTCTCGGAGCTCGAGCAAAGTCTGGTGTGCAACGACAACCACGCTGCCGACCTGAAGACCCTGCAAAGACACATCCAAAACCCAAGCATTCCAGTCGACAACAAGATCCGTCTAGTGGCGCTGTATGCGATTCGCTACGAGAGAAACCCTAACAACGCACTTCCCGTGCTCCTCGACCTGCTCGCGACAGTAGCCGACATCTCACCGAACAAACTATCCATCATCCCTAAACTCCTCGCCTACCATCACAGCTTGCAGCCCGCCCCTGTGGCAGGTGGCTTCACCGATCTCTTTGACTCTGCCACCTCCCCTTTCAGCCAGTTCCGACGTAATCTTAACCTCAAGGGTGTTGAGAACGTCTACACCCAGCACTCACCCCGGCTCGAGACCACCTTGCAGAATCTTATCAAGGGACGGTTAAAGGAGTTACAATATCCTTTCTTAGAGGGCCACACACGTGATAAGCCGCAAGATATCATTGTGTTTATGGTCGGCGGCACCACGTACGAGGAGGCCAAGACGGTCGCGCAGATCAATGCCTCAGTGCCCGGTGTTAGAGTCGTGCTGGGAGGTACGAATGTGCTCAATTCCACCATGTTTCTTGAAGAGGTCGATGATGCAGTAGGGAGCTGGCCGGATCAGGCCCCTGCAACGGCCCAGGGGAGACTAGGCAGGGCTGTTGGGCGATAGAGCTTTACGTACCGTCCTACATTGATCAAAACGCTGCTGTTATTGCCGCGTTGTAGTTTCTGGCTAGTCACTGGCTTGTCGTGAAGGTTGTCCACTGCCCAAAGGACCCGAAATATTTCTACAATATTCTTCGGTGACAGTAAGACCATACAGAAAGCCGACATTCACGGCATCTGACACGCCTCCATGCTCCGGGATATGAATCTCGTCAAATGCTAGAACCCATTCAAGGCTTTTTGGACATGGCATCAGCCTCAGCCTCGACCTTGGCCTCGTTTCTCTCAGCATCCCTTTTCTCCGCTCTGGCATCAATCTCCTCGGTGGTCAAGATCTTGACAGCATCCTTGTTCGAGACATAGCTCAACCCACTCCACACCGTGGTCCCGGCAACGAGGTACTGCCACCCCTCAAATATGCCAGTGAGATTGTACGCGTTCACCAGAGCCTCGGGAAGTACCGGCAACAACATGGCATTGCCCACCAGCAGCAGTTGCAGGAACGTGTTGATCTTCGAGATCTCAGTAGGGTGCACCTCGGCCGACGGCAAACTGAAATCCCAGTAGCGCGCCATGGTCTTGGGCGGAGGCAGTGAGATCCAACGGAAATAGATGGCCGAAATGGCCAATGCGACGTCGCGCCCGAGAATGATAACGGACAGCCATAGTGGGAAGGTGCCGTTCATGGTCAACGTCACCACCGCGATCGTCATCAGTGCCTTGTCCGCCATCGGGTCGATTACGGTCCCCACTACCGTTTGTGCATTATACTTGCGCGCCAGGTATCCGTCTACCATGTCGGTGACGCCGGCGTAGAAGAATAGCGATAGCGCCCACACCGGTTGCGCGTGCAGAATAAAGTACCCTACCGCCGGGGCGGCGAGCAGTCGGGTGAATGTTAAAATGTTCGGGACGGTGTAGATGTTTTCGTGTTGCACTGGTTGTCGTAGCTTGGGGATGAGCTTTTTTAATTTGTCTTTTGTAGGCGTGGTCGCCGCCGAGGGTGACGAGGGCGTGGACGTGGGCGTGGGAGTTGATGTGGTTGCTGTTGAATCGGAGGTGTTGGAGTTTGACCTGCGGAAATAAAGATGACATGTCAATTCAGAACATACCACGTGCAAGAGTAAGAGGATAAGGAATCGCCCAGGTGAGTGGTAGAACGGAATTTGGCCTGCAAGTTGGGATGGAGGTCCGATGCAAAGACGGAGCAAGACGGTTTGCTAGACCACCAGGCACGCTCCAAGGAGCTTTTGCTTTAGCTGGAGGGCATGATCGAATAGTCCTCTGTATTGTCCATCCATAGGAAGGAAAACAGAGCATCACCCAGCATGCTTGGAGCCTCGTTCTTTGCTCCGAGGCTTGAACAGGCGCACCAGGCGAACAATCAAAATCCGAGCAAAATAGTGCTAGCCGTGTACATGTAGAAATCAAGTGTTCACTGCTCACTGAGTGGTGGCTTACCTAGTGCTGCTGCTGCTGCTGCTGGCCTGGATCTGCTCCGACGGCCGGCTTGTTTCCGTTGACTGTGTCGAAGCCTTGCGAACCTGCCACCACCACCGCCAACGGCGGGTGGAAGCCGCTGTCTGGCTCTGCAGAGACCTCGTCCATGCGACGGCGTGCGTAACCTTGTTTGGTCTAATGTTGTAATGTCACATGTCAATTGATCCTCTTCTTGAAACGCCCCTCTGGGAACAGCTGCAGAGCACAGCGGAGAGGGGAGAAAGAAACGAGCAACAGGCTAGTGGTCAGTCGCTCGGTAAATGACTTACCTTGACACCCGGCATTGAGATAACGATGCTGTATGGGTACACGGGAGCGAAGACACCGTCGGGCCCGGTCGAGATGTTACATATACAGGCATGCCAATATGCGTAGAGGTGCTAACGCCGGACGCGTATCGCACGGCCGACACGAGTCCAAGTCCTCGGGGAGAAATGAGGTGACATGGTCGTGGTTGTGATCGTACTAGCATTGAAGAGTTCCGCGGGACAACGTAAACCGAAGCCATGACATGTTGTCGTGGCGGCCGGATCATTCAACTGGTCGTACTCATCAGTCGAGAAAGAAGGACGCGAAGAGAAGAGTAGAAAACGCCGTGCGCGATCGAGACAGGCAGACAGAGGAAAAGAGTGGATGGATGTGTAAAGCGGTACTAAAAGTATACCTTACGGTATAGTAAGTTGGATGTTCAGTTGAATCAATGGATGGAAACGTCGATTGAAGCTCGCGATAATTCATCGATTCATTTGATCCAAAATGGATTTGGTTGGTCAGAGCGGATGACTAAGCGGCATCGACCTCGTCTACAACTAATAGAGGCTTGCTAATCAGGCTGCTAGCATCGACGTCGAGATACTACGAAAGTGAGTGGGAAACCAGGAAATACGAAGAACATGGGTCTACTTCCAATGTGAATGACACTATTATGTGGGTGAAAGGAGCGCGTGGTTCTTCCCAATATATCAGATTAGACGCCCGCCGCTATGCTATCAAAACACCCTCGTCAAAATATACTCATACAACATCCCTAGCTTAATCCGCTCAACCTTTTATACAGGGCCAGCGCCACCTTCGCCGTGCAATTTCATCCGTCAGCTGCTCTCCAGCCAAAACGTCTCGCGGGACACCATGACCTGAAGACGCAGCTCGTCGAGCATACTTCAGCAACCGCATTGCTCCACCCGGAGTAAGCCCCTCGACTCGCCGGGCCATACCAACGCTCGACGGCCTGACAAGCTTCAAGACCTCTTTTTCGCCCATGCTCAAGCCGTGGACACTGTCATAGTCCAGGTCAGCCGGTAAGGCTAGAGATTCGTCCCGTTGGAAAGCCTCTGCCGCTCGTTGCTGGTACCCTATGTAGGGCGCATAAAGGCTTTCGATATGAACTCGCGTCTTGACTTTATCATCGTAATTCGACAGCCCTGGTAGCGTATCGACGCGGCTGGCAACACTGTCGACATTGACTCCTGGAAGGCGAAGCAAATCAAATGCACTTCGCTTTGTCGAATCGATGCGCGTCTGGAAGCCGAGCCTCAGCCATTCCTGGGCCGAAAATCGCGCCTCTGACAGGGTTTTCTGCAGCTCCGCCATTTGGTCCCGGATGCTGGTAAAGCGTGTCCACCGCTTGTCTCCTACCACTCCCGCCTGTCGACCTTTTTCTGTCAGGCGTAGATCTGCATTATCAGACCGGCAGCTCATCCGGTATTCACTGCGGGCAGTAAACATCCGATAGGGTTCACTGACGCCTTTGGTGATCAGATCGTCAATTAGGATTCCAATGAACGCTTCGGCGCGCGACAGCGTGAACGGCCCTTTGCCTTGAGCTGAGAGACCGGCGTTGATACCCGCAATAATACCCTGGGCAGCTGCCTCTTCATAGCCCGTGGTGCCATTGATTTGGCCGGCGAGGAAGAGCCCCTTGATGAGTTTTGTTTCCAGGGTCGGGAACAGATTCCGGGGATCGATGTAATCGTACTCGACGCCATAGCCCGGCTGAAGCATCTTGACGTTCTCAAGTCCCTTTATCGTCCTCAACATGGCATATTGCGCATCAGCTGGGACAGTCATGCTGATCCCATTCGGATAAATGATCTTGTTGGGTTCAAGCCCCTCGGGTTCCAACCATATAATGTGTTTCGGCTTGTGGCCAAAGCGGATGATCTTTGACTCCAGTGAAGGACAGTAGCGAGGCCCCTTGACCGTTTCGCGGATGTGAATAGACTTGTCGAGATTGGCCCGGATAATGTCATGCGCAGCCTCATTTGTGTGAGTTACCCAACATTGCAATTGACCTTCATCCCCAATTTCGACAGTATCGTTCAAATAAGAGAAAGGAACAGGCGGCGAATCTCCAGGCTGGGGTTCCAGAGCACTGAAGTCAATCGTGTCTCGATCCAGTCGTGGTGGCGTGCCTGTCTTGAGTCGTCCCAGAGTGAATCCTGCACTCTTCAACGACTTGCTGAGGCCGAAGGTCGCGGCCTCGCCCATCCGTCCGGAAGGGTAAGCCTCGAGGCCAATATGGATTTCTCCGCCTAGAAATGTGCCCGTGGTAATGACCACTTGCGACGCAGGAATGACTTGGCCGTCCTCAAGCCGAATCCCGGTGATCCGTCCCTGTGAAATCTTGTCGCTGGGATCAATTCCGTCTTTCGACACTATTATGTCTGCGACTTTGCCTTCCAATATGCTCAGGTTGGGCGTCGACAGCATCTCTTCCCTCATATATTTCTTGTACAGGTCTCTGTCGATCTGGGCGCGTGGTCCCCAGACCGCTGGGCCCTTTGATTTATTCAGGATCCGGAATTGAATCCCGGCTTTGTCGATGACTCGTCCGGCGACTCCATCCAGCGCATCGATTTCGCGGAGCATCGTGCCCTTGCCAATGCCGCCGAAACTAGGATTGCACGAACAGACGCCCAGGTTCGAAAGGGACGGTGTGACCAAGGCGGTGCGTGCGCCCGATCTTGCCGCTGCGGCGCTGGCTTCGGTGCCGGCGTGACCTCCTCCTATAACCACGACATCGTACGGCCTATTCAGAAAAAGAAAGTAAGCGGCGTGACTGCGAAGGCTGCACGAATACAACGTACCTGACTGCATCCGCCACCGCGGCAAAGAAGCGACGCTGGAAGTACCGAGACCTCGTCCTAGGAGTATGACCCCATTGTAAGGAGCCCGGAGGCCGTAGTATCGGCCTCATTATGGCTTTGTGAAGATGTACTTGCACAAACCGTGATGAACAAGTCGAACTCGATAAACTGCAGATGGGGCCCAGAGACGTCCGGGAGACAATTTTGGGTGTTCTCGGATAAACCTCGGGAGAAGCCTTGTGTAGTTGGACGAGGCTGCGGATCCCAGCCTTGCCCTTCAGCCTCGCGAGAATTACCACTACCACTTACCTTGATATTGTAAAGAATCAAAAGTGAAACCCTCAGTCCATGCGCATAGAAATACTCCTCAAGGACCTGGATACATAGTATGGTAGTCAAGAGAAAATGATATAGACCCTCGGGCGATGCGCTAAGGCCCTCGAGGCTCCCTTCACCACAGCCCGTCGCCCCCGATATCCCGGGAGGGATCCCTAAGAAGAAAGAAAAATAACAGTATATGTTTTGTGATCACCCATTTTCTTCCAAGATTCGCAAAGACCCCCAGCACCGATTGGTCAGGTACAAACCACTTTGGCTCAGCGGCAACGAGCCCGCCCTAGCACCGCTAGGGCAGGAGTGGAAGGCATCCAATCGACTGGGCGAAACCGAAATCCTCGAGTTCGAACCACGCTTGCGGCAAAGTCAACAATCAATGATCTAACCCTGCGAACCCGGGTTTACACCAACGAACGAGCCGCCGCCGACGAAACGGAAAAACCCTGCGAACCCGGGTTTCACTTACCACAACCCCCATATCAAAGGGGTTTGTGGAAAAGTTTTTGTCAGTCCAGCAAAAACTCACATTTTTGAAGCGCATAGGATAGGTGCAAAGGGAGTTCAATTAAAGAGACAGTGGTGCGAAATAGTATAACATTGATTTTGTACAAATTACAGCCATGCTGATCATCGGCGCCAACGTGCTTGGAAAGAGGAGAGTCTTTAGAAGACCACATTCAGTACCTTGCCGCCACCAACGACCACCACTCTTTTTCGCTTTTCCCAATCATTCTTTTCTTGTAGCCACACTCGGCCTTCTGGTGTCTTGAGAACGGCATCGAGTATCTCTGCCTCCCTGGCGGCTTTATCAGCGGCAGTAGTGCCTTGCGTTTGATTGGATGGAACTTGCGCGGTAAACCGAAGCTTACCATTTATCTGCACTGCGCAGGTAATGGATTTCTTGCGACCGCGCATGGCAGATTCTTGCTCTGGTGTCAACAAATCGCCAGTCCAAGTTCTGCTGAAAATACTTCCTGGTTGTTGGCCTGCCCCAAGGCCCTCCCAACACTCTTCGGCAAAGGCTGGTGTGATTGGAGCCATCATTCGAAGCAGGGCGGCAACTGTGTGATATGCGACCACCAGTTTCAGCTTTTTAACTCCAATATCATGAAGTGCGTTGGTAAGCTTGATCAGATCGGACACAGCCGTATTGAGACTGTAGATGTCGTTGGAGAAAGTGTGGGATATGCTCCTGCTGGTTGTTTGAGCAAGAAGCAAGACATCAATGTCATCTTCAGACAACGAAGCAAGGTCAGTCAGACACGTTGACAAATCCTCGCCTGCAGTGGCATATCCTTCATCACCAATATCAGAAACGAGGCGATTGACTCGTCCAAACCATCGCTGAATACCGACAATCTTTTCTTCGTCCCACTGCAACACTTCACTGACTGGAGCTGCGAAGAGAATATGAGCCCGCAAGGCATCTGCCCCAAACTTCTCAATCAAGGCAGACGGATCAACACCATTATGTTTGCTCTTGGACATTTTCTCCCAGCTGATGTTAGCGGGCTTGCGTGTAGACTTGATGACAGGCGTTTCGCCCTCAAAGTCGACTTCTCCGGGGAGCAGGAACCGGCCAGTATCGGGATCTGAGAATGTTTTTCCATGGACCATGCCTTGTGCTATGAGCCTCTGAAACGGCTCCTGGCTCCCAATCTGATGGGGAACAAGGCCCTCACTGCAAAGAAATTTATAAATGAAGCGAGCATAGAGCAGATGCAGGATGGCATGCTCAATCCCACCCACGTAAACGTCGACGGGGAGCATGCTTTCAGCGGACTCTCGCGAGAACGCCTCCTTTCCGTTGGTGGGGTCTGGGAAGCGCATGAAGTACCATGAAGAGTCGACAAACGTATCCATGGTATCCGTCTCTCTTTTGGCCGGTCCACCACAGCTAGGACATTTGCAATTGACCCACTCCTCGATCTTGTCCAGTGGATTCCCCGTCTGACCTTTGATGGACGTATCAAGGCGCGGTAGTACAACAGGGAGATCCTTAGCCGGGACCGGCACTGTCCCACATTCAGGACAATGCACGATTGGGATCGGCGTTCCCCAATACCTCTGTCGGCTCACCAACCAGTCACGCAGTCGCCATGTTTCATACTCTTCCGCTAAGCCATGTTCACGTAGATTCTCCACGAGTTTGGTGCCCGCTTGATCGCTGGGCAGACCCCCATAGGGACCACATGCTGGGGTTAAAACGCCGGGGTTGGTATATGCTTCTTTCATGTCAGAAGGATCGATTTCGGTCAATAAGTCGTCGGCATTTGCTGGTTGTATGACCACCGGGATAGGAGACGAGGGCCTGTGAAGCTTCCAAAAGCTTAAATCTCGAGAATCATGGGCAGGAACACCCATGACCGCTCCTTCGCCGTAATCTTCGAGCACATAGGGTGCAGTGAACACCGGTAGTGGTTCTTGATTCGTGTTGTGGATGTGTGAGAGAGGGTTGAGTGCTCGGAGAGGCAACTCGAAGCCCTCCTTTGAGTCCGGCGCAAAAGAAGCTCTTCTGTCCAGGAAAGCTTGCAGTTCTGGGGACTGCGTAGCCAACTGTTGCACAAGTGGGTGTGTCATGGACAAGGCGACATACTTCACACCGAATAAAGTGTCTGGCCGAGTGGTGAAGACATGAACAGGCACAGAATTTCCACTATCATTCTGCAAACTGAACTGAATGCGCGCACCGGTAGAACGACCAATCCAATTTTGCTGCTGAGAGATCACCCTTTCCGGCCATTTACCACCCTCGGACAAATAGTCAAGATCACGGAGCAGTGCTTCTCTATATGCCGTGATTCGGAAGAACCATTGGCGGAGTTTGATTTGTTGCACCATAGCTCCTGATCTCCAGGAACGGCCATTGCTGTCGACCTGTTGACAGTCAGCAAAGCACTTTAGCGAGTAACGAAACCCTCACCTGTTCATTTGCAAGGACAGTCTTGTCGACAGGATCATAATTCACTAATGCTTCTGCTTGATATGCCAACCCTCGATGAAACAGTTTGAGAAAAATGCCCTGAGTGTGCTTGTAAAACAATGGCGAACATGTTGATATTTCCTACAGGGAGCTGATCAGCGCTATGTACAGGTGCTCCAAGCTCTTGACCTACGGCATCCCAGTCAAAACTTGTGTTCATGGTCTGAAGCTGTTTTTTCATCTTCGCTATGTTGTCTTCCGTCCAGACCGCAGGATCGACTCCGCGTTCGATAGCAGCATTTTCAGCCGGTAGACCAAAAGCATCCCAGCCCGTAGGATGTAGCACCTTGTCGCCTTTCATCCGTCTATAGCGGGCTATCACATCGGAGATAGTGTAGACGCGCAGATGTCCCATGTGCAAAGACCCTGACGGATAAGCAAACATGGGAAGGATATAGGACTTCTCTGACGCTTGCGATGGCGCCGGCATGCCACCCTGCGCAGCCCATCTCTGCTGCCATTTGGTATCGACAGCATGGAAGTCCAAACGAGAAGAAGTCTGCGTAGCGGCGTACCGGCAGGAGGATGAGCTGACAGAGCGAATAGATGGCAGCCTCCTGGACTGTCGAAGGGTGACGCCGAAAAGCATCACCTCCGGCCTTCCACACCAATCTTTGGTGGGAGGCTATGTCGAGCGAGTAAGGGGCCGATTGGGGTTGGAGAGGGAAATAATTGATAGTCAGGCTTTGAGAGAGCGCACCCAGCCAGATCAATAATGATTGCCATCAGTTGTCGCGCTTATCCATATGATCACGTGCGTGCTAGCGGCAATGCACGGCTAATACTAATGCTCAGCGTGGCCGCAGCTACAACCCGCTTATGTAAGTGGCCACGGAGTTTTGACGCGTGCGTGGGGCTAGAACCAACGTCACACCTCAGCTCACCTCTCACGCCAGTGTCCGAATTCGTCCTCCACTCGCTTCAACATCCTGTCGCAGCATCATCTCTCCTTTGTCCATCATGTATAGATCAAACCTCTTGTTGAGCCGACCTATTGCGATTGATGTCGCGAATTTGGTGGCCAAACGTGTGACCAAGCAGGCCACCCCCTTTAATCTGGCAAACACTTGATGTCCGTGCCTGTGAGAACAACTTGACAATTGGGTATTCCGCCTCATATGTTGTGCCTCAGTGAGCACCCAGGCTTGCGGTAAGTCAGGTAGTGATGTCTTTAAGCTGACCTTACACTGTGAAACCATTGCCATCTGTCAGACTGGAGTTGATGGTCAGCGGCCTACATATATATAACTTCTTGAGGACTCATGATGGAAGAGCATCCTCCTCTATTCCAGCATCTGAAGACATCACTCTGTGAGCTGAAAGCTATCATGGTAATGCATGGAAACGAACGCCTGGGAGCTCGCAAACCATGGGGTCCTAGGCGTATCTCTATCCAAACCATGTCACGGGCCTCCATCTGTGGCGAAACGCACTGTCTCAGCCCAGGCCCTATCTGGTTTCCAGAAAAATGAGGATGCCTGTTCAAAAAAAAAATTGGGTCTGGTGAAGTACCTTGGATGCCCTCGACGTTGATGGTTACCATGTTGTGTTGGCAGACACCAAGACAAACCACTGGCCGGCTCAGTATCCTCCTGCACTCAGGTGTCTGACATCTGCCTCAACTTTTGAGCTGTTGCAGTCATGCTGTTGGTCCATAACATCCAGGAATTACAAAAGGCATCAGCAATACCAGTGATCTGGCCTTCACTGCTGGTTACAGAGAGGTTGTGTGAAGACCCAACAACAGCTCTGGATATGGTTGGTCGTTTAGACAAGGAAGTCTTAACGCAGGCCAGATGAGACCTAGTGCGCGAAAGATTCAATTGCACTATCACCTGAAAGGACAATAGGACGTGTCATCGCAGGTATTCGGCCAATACTATATCTTCTCTGTGCACATGATGGCCTATTGTCACTAACGCGTGTCGAGTCGACCGTTTTTGGCTGCGACTGCGCATATTCACACGTTGATAAATCAGTTTCTTTCCTCTTCTCTTTAACTTCCAGCAACATCATCCTTCCATCCTTTCCCTTGTTGTTCGATCATCGATCTCCACACGCTCCAGACAACGCCCTACGACTGCGATCTGAGATCACAAGGCCGGCAAACCGATCGCCAGCTGTGAACAAGCTTAGATATTCAGAGATGGCTACCATGGCCAGAAGTATCTCAAATCACGAGGAGCCGGGTGAGCCGAGTTTGATCATGCTTGTGATTGCGCTCTCTAACCTGCTACATGACAGATGGAAACACCGAATCGTCTTCCTCTTCTTCGTTTCAGTCCGTCAGCGATGGCAAACCCTATATTGCCCCTCCCGAGCCTCATCTTCTGGGACTTCCATGGGAAGTTCGTGTTCAAATCTACATATTCATTATGGACAGTCATGCTGAAGCCGAAGAATCACTTGCAGCCCATGGCGTCAACGGGCTCGAGAATCTACGTCTTGTCTGCCGCATGTTGAACCAGGAAGCGCGATTCCAAAGTATCCTTAGCATCGTCAAGGTACCCGAGAACAATCTGGACCCATTTTTGGACGCTGCACTTACTGGCCCTTATCGTTACGATCGCATGAAGAGTCTGACTATCGAAATCCCGCACCAAACCCCTGCACAATTCTTCAAACTACTAGCATATGATCTCAGAAGCAGAACAGGGATGCTGGAAGAATTGAAAATCTTTGGCGTGGGTCTAGACAACTGTTGGCAAGAGACCAGCTCTGTCGGACACCCTTGCGGCAAGGTCATCAAGCATCGGCACATCACTACATCCGAAGAACCACCACTTACTATTGACGGTCAGATATTCCATGGTCGTGCCAGACTGCTACACGTTCTGCAGCACCTCAGAATGCTCAAAGTGTTGGTTCTTGACAATCTCAATATGCCGGTACTTCCATTACATGTGCTGAAGAACAAGCCGCCTCTACGACGCCTGCGGATTGGTACAGATCCGCGAGCCATCCGCCACGCTGGCTATATCCGGCAAAGTGAAGAGCTTCGGATGGGCGATCTCCTCTTCGCTGTCCCTGAAGAAGCGCCTCCGCTTAAAGAGTTGGATATTTCTTCCAATGGCATCGTTTCAGCAATGAGCGTCATAGGACGAGTGCTACCAACCCTTGAAGTCCTTAACTGGACCATCCCCGACCCCAGCTCCCAGCATGGTGCGAACGACCTGCGTGAGAGCGCTGTTCTCCTCTCCGAGTTTCGAAATGCGCAGTGCATGCGTATTTTGAGGATTTGCTTCCATGCTCCTTTCTTTAATGGACACAACGACCAGACCAATGTCATGGTCGCGCTTCGAGAGGCTCTTCAACTCATGCCTTCTCTCAAGATCGTCGAAGTGCATATTCGCTCCCATGCACCCTGGCATGGGCAGGATTTCCTTTTCGCTCTTCCAGATTGGATCGAGAAACTTTTCCTTTCTGATCGCTTCTTCCGCAATATCCAAGAAGTCATCAGTGTCGTTGGTGAGATTACTCAGACCTCAACGGAGGACTTCCTGCCCTGCGAACCTTCCGGCATTGAGCCTTTCGACATTAATGACGAACTGAGTCGAGGTGATTTCATTCCCATCACAAAGAAGTTGAAGTTCGTCGAATTTGAGTTCTACGACCAAGAGGGCAAGGACTTCGAAATCCACATACGGCTATTCATGAAACTCAATGGCCAACTGCTCGATAAAGACCGCAATAGACATCTGGCCGTGTTGAATGGATCACACATTAAATGCAAGGCAGCTACAAATACCCCCAAGAAGGACGGGCTGGGCTTCATCCTGACCAATGGTGGATGGAATGTGCCAACACCAGATGAAGTGGTCAGAATCAGAGAAACGCAGATGGAGTTGGAGAAGTGTGGTCTTCTCGACAATGCTTATTTTGGTGAGGAGATTGAAGCACAGCTGGTTTTCCTTGCGGAGCCTGTTGCTAAGGCATCGGAGCGTGCTTACTACTCTTTGCCCGCAATCGAAGATGTGACCGACCCCTTGAGTGCCGAAGGCCACTGGCTAAGCTGTCACGAGCATTAGGCCAGGGTTGCTTCGCTTCAGAAAACAGGTGGTCCACCCATGAGGGTACAAACGGTGCATGTTCTAAGAACATCGAAGTGTACGACATATTGAGAGAACGGGCATTCCGGGCTTTTGCTTGGCCATAGTGAGAAGGGTGCAGGCAGAGAAAGCAGAAAAGGCGCCTCTGAATATCATGCTTTCAAGAGTGGCTTGCAAAGGGTGTCCGGCATTCCCGTTGATGCAAAGGATTGAGAGGCCATACCAATCGTGCCTCAAGTATGTAGAATTATTTCTCCAGACAGAACAAGCAATGAAACCAGAATTGAAATGGCCCAAAGGATACTAGTACTTGACGACTCGTTCTCCTCCATCCTTGGAAGTATTGCGAGGCTGCAGAGATACTGCATCATAGAGCCTGCGCGTCACCGTAGCTTATGTAAGAGGAATACGGCCAATTACCACCATGGTAGCATTTCCTCCGGAACTAGTACTACTATAGCAGCACAGAAGCAGGCTGCATGACTCGTTCACCATCAATTTGACGGGCTTCGGGATTTATGCCTTGTCATAGACCTCAGCGCGAGTCAGCGCTGATACAATAAAATACCATGCAAAATGATCATGATCCCTCCCACACCTCCTCGCCAGGAGGCGACCTTGCACCCTCGTCGCCGAACCAGGCAGGCCGCAAGCGCAAGACGCCGTCCGGCTCTCGCGGCGTCGCGAGCCTGACTCCTGAACAGCTCGCGAAAAAGCGCGCCAATGACCGCGAGGCGCAGCGTGCCATCCGAGAACGGACGAAGCAGCACATTGAAAGTCTGGAGCGCAGGATAGAAGAATTGACCTCCCAACAACCGTACCAGGAGCTCCAGGCGGTGATTCGGCAGAAAGATGCGATCCAGGCCGAGAACGAAGAGATCAGGAGGAGGTTGGCCTCCATCATGTCCATTTTGCAACCTATAGTTGGTGCGCAAGGGTTGACAGGTAGGTACAGGCCGAGGCCAAGATAGAGCGACGGCAACGACATAGACTGACAGATCCTCCAGATCTCGCAACAGCCGCGCAGCACAATGTGCAGCCAGGAGCGGGACAGCAGAACGAAGCGTTCCGGGGCAGTAATATCTCTCCTGCGGATCCGTACTTGAATGGAAGACAGCAATTCTCGGCATCTCCTCATACATCCCAAGCGACGGTGGATGGTTCATCATATCCGCCGCCTTTCACGTCTGAAGACCACAATGAGAACAGGGTGTGGGTGTCATCTAGAGAAGCGTTGAGCCACCAGCGCGACAACCTCCAGCGGGGACTGGAGTTGAATGACTCTGGGGAACGGTTGTCTTTCAATTTCCTTCTCGAGGGTCTGGCCCAGCGACCCGGAGGCAATAATGTTCCCTCTCAACGAGAACAGTCCTCTCCCGTCCGACGGTCAGCATACCCATTGCTTCCTGATCCAACACAGCAGCCAGTCTCACAACCACCACCCTGGAAATTGCTACCCAAGCACGTCCCGCCAACATGTCCGCTTGACGGCCTTCTACTGAACTTTTTCCATTCTCGACGACACGAGGCGTCGGCCAACCATGATCCGGCCATGAACCCAACCTACCCGAGCGTGTCGTCTCTTCTTAACCCGGCGAGCGGCCACCAACTCGACCCAGTGTCTCAGCTTTCGTCAGACATCATCAGCAAATTCCCCAACATCTATGACCTGCCGGAGCAGGTGGCCGTGCTGTATTTCATGTTCCTCAACATGCGCTGGCAGATCAATCCGACGCAGGAGAATTACGAACGACTACCCGAGTGGCTTCGGCCGACTCCTTCGCAGCTTTACACCCCCCATCCCGCATGGATCGACCATATCCCATGGCCCATGTTGCGCGACAAGCTCATCGCCAATCATCAGAACTATCCGTTCGAGAATTGGTTTGTCCCCTTCACCAGCGGCTTGAGTGTCAATTGGCCGTACGACCCGATCGATTGTCTCCTCGCGACATCCGAGCGGGACAGAGAGGACCCGGCCATTAACCCGGTCTTTGAACGCCACATCCGCCGCCTTGAGAACTGGTCCGTCGGTCCAGCTTTCGCCGAGGCGTTTCCCGCACTTGGGGACACTGCCCGCGTCAAGCGCAAGGACAACGGTAACTCCCAGCCTCAGTCGCAGTCGCAGTCACAGTCGCAGCCTCAGGCGCAAACCCAAACAACGGGACACCCGTCGGCGAACCTGGATGCTCCCAGTACTTCTGGCTGATCAATGCTGTTAGCCGTGGCCACGATTGCTCCAAAGCTCCGCCTCTCCGCCTGTGCATGATGTTGTATCACGTAAAAGGCAGGGAGTGACCCTTTCCTTTGTCCTTGATTGCATGTTTTTCGTGTGTCGCCGTTCTCGCGGGTTGTTGGGCTCGCTCGAGCAGCTAGCGTCACTTTTGCCTTTTTTGCCCTTCGCAGGATTGGGGCGTCATCCTCGTCGAGTATTCCCATTTGCTTCCTGTACAGCGAGCGGGTCTTGTGCGCTTCTGCCTTTTTCAAGGGCGCCGCTTTTCGTTTCTGCGGAGGAGAGAAGGCTGCAGCAACACACCGCTGCTGGCTTTGAGCAATCGTACATATGATATGATACCCGCTAAGCGCGCGCTTGATTGTTGTTAGATTAGGGATTTCATGGTGTTTTTGCCCAAAGGTATCTAGGTATCATACTGCCAGTACCTTAGGCAGTGCGTGATACAGTTTTTAGCGTCTGGACAAGTGGGAAATATATGCTGGCCTTCAGGGGCAAATACTACCCATACTAGTACTGTTCTTTTTCATCGCATCATACTCGTTTTTGTTTCTAGTGCTTAGGGTACTACAAGTCTCTTTGTATGGGGCACAATACGTACTGTACCAAGTAACTGACTGTACTTCATCTTCACCCGCCATGCATTCGCCTCACTCGCTCTCGCTCCCCGTACTGCGCCTCATGGTCTATTTTTCAGACCCAAACAGTTGTAAGTAATTGGCTTTCCTTTTGACAGAAGTCTCGATCCATTGAAAGATGACTTAATGATCTCTCAAGGACTTGAGGAATCAAGATTAAGACATCAAGCAGCCGCAACCTTGGGAGCATACTTTGCAGCGGCCGCATCAAACGCGGCGCTCTTTTCAGCAAGATCCTTAATCAGGGGATGTTGATCATCCTTCTGCTGTAACTGCTGCAACAGACCCTGAACAACATCAGTCTTCTTGCCCATGACACTAGCCAAAACAACACTGTTCGCAATGGCCTGGACATCCGCGTTTTCAAGGTTCATGGCCTGCTGCAATGCGGCCTCGGCCTCTTCATGACGACCCAGATGCAGTTCCGCGACGGCCTGGCCCACGAGGGCGGTGGGCGACGTGGTTCCAGGGGTGTTTGCCAGTTCTTCGTACACATAAAATGCCGACTGGTACTTTTCGCTCCCGCCCTCGCGGATATTCGTCCACGACTCGGCCAGGTTAATGAGCAGCGAGTCCTGGGCCCATCGTTTGGCCGCGCTCACTTCTTTGACTGCGAGGTCGGTGCGGTTTTGGAGCAGGTGGATTTGTACTAGTAGCGCGACGGCTTCGAGGTTCCCCTGGTGTTTGGAAAGTAGCTCAATTGCTTTGGCGTATTCGCCTGCCGCGGCGAGGACGGTGCCGGCGCAGATTTGTACGGTAGGGTCTTCGCCGTCGGATTCGGCGAGGGAGAGGGCGGTTTGGACGGCGGAAGTGGAAGAGGGGTCTTGTTGTTGTTGGGCTAGGGCGAGTATTGATTTAGATGCGGCATCTTTGGCGGTCTTGAGCGGAGAGGAGAGGACATATGATGCTTGTCCCAGCGCGATTTGGGCGCGATATTTTAGGAGTTGGGCCGTCTTTTGGTTCTCTGTCGATAGCGCTGAGGTGTCGTAGTCGAGAACGGTTTGGTAGGCGTGCGTGTAGAATGCCGTGGTTATGTTGAGAAGTTCTGTGTTCAAGCAACGAGTGTCAGTGGAAATGTGGATTTCTGGTAGTATGGAAGGGTGTGTGTCCAAGAGACCAGTAAGACCGTGGTTGTGGTTGTGAGAGTGCTAAATGGTATAGGTGTGAACGTACCGCCTTCGCCGGAGAAGGGATCCATGGTGTCGGGTCTCTGGTATTGTTTCGCTGGGTACAGGAGAATAATGCTGGTTGTATAAGGGCGCGAAGGGAGCACACGAGGTTTCACGAGAGTAAGAGTGTCTTTCGTTGCGTCTAGTTGAGGAAGCGCAGGTGGTCAAGGTGTTCGGTCTGTGTCTCGAGAATTGAAGTTGAACGTGTCCAATCCACCGCGGCGCAGCATCTGGCCGTGAGGAATATCAGTACTAGTGGTTGGATGCCGCTACTAGTGCAATTCTAGCACTTGTTTGTCTTGATGAGGGAGGTGCGGCGAGATGAGTTCTCCGCGTCTCAACCTCTCCGAGTCATCTACTACCAGCCCCCATACCCACAGGTTGACCCTCCCTAGCCCTCTCAATCACCATATAACCCGCAGAGTATACCCATCCTCGTTGAAATCCTCAAGTTGCTTTGACTTTTTAAAGTGCCGCTGGCGGCAAGACAGTCTACTATTACTGCTTTAAGACAGAAGGCTCCTTTCATCGCATCTTCCGCCCCGAGGATCGATAACCATGCCCCGTACCGCGCGGTTCAGTTTCGCATACAACAGCATCATCCTCGACCACCATGCCATCCAGACCCGGCGGGCATTGAGCCGTGTCAAAGCAAACTATCACCTATTACTCAGGAATCAACCGAAAGGACCACAGTTCAAGACCCAGGACCTGGGGCCTTCGAGAAAATGGCAGGTTCCCAAGATGAAGAACATCGAGGACCGAGAGCAAAGCAAGGCTCTCGGCATGCTTGACACATACAATATGTCGTCCAACCAGATGAGGTTACGAACCCTGGCGTTTGATGGCGGTAATGCAATGGACTACGACTGATGAAACACACCTGATTTTGGGAAATGTACTTGTGATGGCGTTTTCAACTATATGATTGTACTCTCTCTGCTCCGATAGTATGTATCTTGTATAAGACCACTCTGCTCGCAGCTCACCAAAACTTTATGGTTGCTTCTTCGCTTCCACTTCGGCTCGAAATTCCATCCGACATCCAGACCAAGGCTGGTATGGTGCATTGCATCACTCTTTCAGCGGAACAGTATCGACGAAGAGAGCCGTTCCAAACGCCTTGGGATATCTCTCTCCATGCACGCTGGCGGCATTGATAGCCGCGCGGATCTTGTCATTATCCTCCTTTGTGATCTTGACATTCAAAGCAGCCATGTTTTCATCAAAGTTCTTAATCTTGGTCGTGCCCGGAATGGGAATGATATCGTCACCCTGGGCCAAGAGGAACGCAAGCACCAGTTGGCCGGGCGTGCATCCCTTCTGCTCGGCCAGGTTCTTGATCTCATTCACGAGCTTCAGGTTTTTGGGGAAGTTTTCGGGGCTGAACCGAGGCGCGAGCCTGCGGAAGTCGTCCTCCTCGAAGTCGTCGGGACTCTTGATGGCGCCAGTCAAGAACCCCCGGCCAAGCGGTGAATATGCGACCGTGGCAACACCGAGTTCGCGACATGCCTGGAGGAGACCGTAGTCTTCGATCTCCAGCGAGAAGGGGCTATATTCCATTTGTACGGCGTCGATGTGGGCGACCTGATGGTTTTTGTAAGCATATACTCACTGTACAACTGACATGCAGATATTGTTGTTCTCGGAAGTACGAACCTTGCAAGCTCTCCTCAAACTGTCGGCACTACACTCACTCAGACCCAAATACTTGACCTTTCCGGCATCTTGCAACTCCTTCATGACTTTGACCGTAATCTCAATAGGCTGGTCGGCCTGCAGTCGATGACAGTAGTACAAATCAATATGGTCGACGCCCAGCCGTTTCAGGGACCGCTCGCACGCTTCGCGGATATACTCGGGTTCATTACGGACACTTCGCTCTCCGGTTTTGGGGTCTTGGTAATTCGCAAATTTGGTGGCCAAGAAGATTTTCTCCCGTGCTCCCGGGTTGCGCTTGAACCATCGGCCCAGCAGGTCCTCGCTGTCGCCGTACATGTCGGCTGTGTCCCAGAACAGTTCGCCGGATTGGTAGATATGGTCGAGAAGTGCGTATCTCTCCTCATCGGGCTTGGGTTTGCCGTAGAATGCGCTCAGGCCCATTGTCCCAAAGCCGATTGCTGTCACTTCGGGCCCGTTCTTGCCCAGCTTGCGGGTGGGAAGTTTGGGAATGTTGGCCATGTTCGGAGTCGGTACGGGGCGTAGCGAAGTGCTGGAGTTTAGGGCGTTTCTCGTAATGTCACAAATGTGAAGCTGAGTGAACCGGTTTGCACTCGAGTGCTTTGCTTTGCTTTGCTTCGGACGATGGCCGTTCGAAGCTGACCGGCACAGGATCTTGTATAAATACCCTGAGTAGGTGTCGCTGACGCACGTGCTGGTGGCCGTGTTTAACTCCATCGACTCTCTGATGATGCGGCTTCGAGCCTCGGACATAAGATGCTACGATTGCTCCTCTCTCCACTTCCATCTCCATCTCCATCTCCACATTGACCGCCATGACGTCTTGGATAGGTTGTGTCAGATTGTTACTAGTAAGCCCCACCACAGACTAATCATTGCGAAATGGAGCCTTTGTGGTCCTCTCCTGTGCTCTCGTGCGGCCGCGTCCGCCGCATCCGCCGCTGCGGCATTGTGCAATATCTCCGCTACTTAGGTAGTCGAACTATCAAAATCGGGGAATTCTTACCTCCGGGCCCATCGTTGACACGATGCAGATGCATGTGAACTTGTGATTTCACGGAGGACTTGTTCTATTTCAACGGGGCCTGGGGCCTCGTCAGACTATATACTTTCTAGGGGTTATACGATAGCGTACGACGCTAGTCGAGACCGAAAGACGATTCTCGACGTCTTTATAATACTTAGTACGTAGAGTATCTATTTTATTATATTCTCCTCTATCTAGACCGTCGAATAGTCTTATTCGTTATCGAAGAATATCGAGTACCTTTATTAGCCTTATAATAGAGAATAAAATAGTATTTCTATATTCTAAATACTTCGTTTTCTAGATAGTTCTATCGTTAGAATAAGTATCTATAGTATCTATATCTTCGGTATCGATCGAGATATATAAAGCGAGTATATATCTCTTATCTTTAGCTATAAAAGTAGTATATACGTCTAGAATAGTAAAGCTAAATAAATCGAGAGTAAATTAAGATTATTAAGACGATAAGTAAAAAGAGTCTATATACGTAATAGTACTCGCCGTTACTCTTCGAAGCTAATTCGGGATTAATCCGACGGAATTTTAAGAAGTATAAGTAGATATCTCTTACTTCTTTTCTCCTTACTTTCTTTCTCCTTACTTTCTTTTATACCTCTTTCTAGTCGTTTATATTTCTAAGTTCTAAGTTCTTTATTAATTAAAGCTAAATCTTCTATAACTACTATTATAGTTAATATACTATCTAGATAAGTTAGAACGTCGACTAGACTATAGATTCTAAATACTTAGTACTATCGACGAGTTAAGAAGATAGTTAAAGATCTACTAGTAATTAAGACAATAAAAATAGCTTCTTTCGTAAGTATACTATATTATATTAAAAGATATAGTTACTAATTCGTTTTTAGATTAACGATAATATTTATAGTATTAAGTCTAGCGATATAGTAGTTAATTCTATTATCTAGGCGAAATAGTACTAAGAGTAGTTCTTTTCTCTCGATAATAGCTTATTAGTTTAGCTATATAGCTATATTCTACGGAGACTCGTCGAATTTTATAATTAGAGAGATATTACTAATATATACGTTAGAAATACCCTTATAGAGTATATAGTAGATATTGTAAATAATCTATATTATAAAATATATCTTCGTATAGTTAAACTAGACTTATATTAAGAGTTAGTATTCCTAGAGTATATTTCGATATCTATCTTTAATATATCTATTTCTACGGATTCGATATATTTTTTCGGCGGAAAATATATAATCTATACTATTCGCGAAGTTAATTATTCTTTATCTAATAATTAAGATATAAGTAGCGAAGCTTCTAGTTATCGTTAGTCTACTATATCGATATTAATATCTATTTAAATACGTAGTACTAAGAAATATCGTACTCGATCTTCTAAAATATAGAAAGAAGATCTAGTAGAAGATATAAGAGAAGTATATTTTAGTAAGAGAATAAGTAGTCTATATATAGCCGATAAGGCTAGAGAGATAAGTAGTCGTATAACTATTAAGATTAAAGATCTAGAGAATAGATTCGACTTTATATTATCGCTATAGATAGATATAGAAGATCGACGTTAAAAGGTATTAATCGCTATCTAGAAGATAACGTAATAGACTTTAGATCTATATTATATATCGAAAACTATTAAAGTTATTTATAGAATCGGTAAATCCGATATATATATAAAGTAATACTCTCTACTAATATCGACTCGATAAAGTCGTTATTCTATAATATCTATATCTTTAGTAAGAATAGAAGTTATCGAGACTAGTTCGGAGTTAGAAGAATACGACTATATAGTTAACGAGCTACTACTAAGGTATTATTAGTATATTATCGATTCTTCTCCTAAGCTATTATTATAGATACGAAGTTCGTCTAGATATATATCGAAAATATATCGTTATACTAAAGAGACTATATAATATATATCTACGCCTCCTAAGCTAGTATATAACTCTAAACGTAATTAGATTATAATATAGTAACGATTCGTACTAGTCTCGTCTTCTATAGATTTATCGATATAATCTATATAAGACTATATATCGACTTATCTAGTACTAGAACGTCCGTCTTTTTATTATCTAGTATATAGATAATCTACTACTTCTACTTATTTTATATATAATATTCGTCCGCTATCTACCTATATATAGTAATTAAGTCCTACTTCTAGTTTAGGCCTTTTAGGGTATTCTTACTATAAAACGACGATATCGATAGAAGTACTACTACTAGGACCGACTTTAACGGTATTATAGTAAGAGGGCCGCGAAGTATTACTATTTTCTTATACTACTACGGTAGTAGACGATACTCTATAAATAGTCTATTTTATAGATAAACCTTCTAGTATAATATAACGAGTAGAGGAGCGCGAGCGAGGTTCTTCTACGCCTACTATATAAGGCGATTTACTATAATTTATTGGTTATTTTTAGGGTTTTTTTTTTAATATATCTAGAGCGCTTCGTAGGACGTCCTAATAACGTATAGCTAAGGGTCGAGACCTAGTTTGCGCTCTAGTTTCTATAGATTATCTATAGAGAATACTATTATTATTAGATTATTTAGTCTTATACTATCTTTAGTCTAGAATTAGGTCTTAATAAGCGTCCTTTAATATATTATTAATAAGAAACTAAAGACTCGGCTATATTATAGTTAATATTTTAAACTACTAATAAAGATAATAAATTATCTCGTCTCCGCTTCTTATAAGATTTCGAGTACTCTTAAAGAATAAGATTTCTCTTAAGTATCGAAAGAGTTATTCTAGTAGAATTAGAAGATATTATAAATATACTTTTTATAATATTAGCGAATATCGAGAAGAATAAAGTAGATATATCTTAGTCTATAAGATTCTATAGCCTTATATCTTTAGATTAATTTAGTCTATTAATAGAGTATAGTTTCTTCTTACTTAAAATAGCTTTAGCTAACTTATTATAGCTATTCTTTATATAATTTATATAGAATAGGCCTACTATATTATCTATATACCCTATAATATCGATAGGATAGATCTTAATATCTATCGATATAGATTTAAGTAGCTTAGTATAGAATAGAATAGAAGTATCTTATATAACGGTATCTTAGTACGATCCGATAAAATTACTCTTATTTCTTAAGATCTCTTATCTATTCTAAATATAGTTTTCTATTCTTTTCTAGAGTATTAGAGAGATTTTAAGAGAACTAAAAGTCCCTTCGTTTCCTATTCTTCGCGTATTAAGAGGGTTAGACTATAATAGTCTATTACTACTTCTCTATTTCTATCTAATCTAGGCGTATAGAGAAATAATCTTTATTCTAGTTATTCTATTTAATACTCTCGAAGTACTAATATCTTTATTACTCTTCTTAGCGACGAGATATTATCTACTTAAAGATAGAGTAATCTACTTTAGAGAATTAGAAGCGAGAGCTACTTCGATTATAATTTATCTCTCGTAGACTATCGTAGTCTTCTCTATCGATATCGCGCCGTAGAATATTAGCTTCTATTCTTTATTTCGCCGACGTCTATTTACTAGCGTTACTTTAGTTTTATAGCTCTTCTTTATCTTACTTAAACTATCTTCTAGTTATTCTTATAATATCTATTATTACTTTAATATTATTAATAGCTTATAGTATATTAAGAGATTAGATTTATTACTAAGTATCTAAAGTACTTTATTCGAAGATTTCGTTATACTATCTTTAACTATTTAGAATTATATTTATTATACTTTAGTAAGCGATTAGATTATTTTCTTATCTAAATTTATTAAGTAATATCGTATTAGATAGCTTTTATAGATAAATAGATATAAGATCTTCTAGTCTATCGTTTCTAGTATATACGTACTAAATTATAGCTTCTTTAGAATCTAAAAGAATTCGAAGTAGTTAGATTTAAATTTCTACTTTAATATATTATTTAGAAGAACGAAATCGCCTTCTTTAAGTAAAAGATATAGCATTTTTAAATATATTAATTATAGTCTTTAAGAGTAGAGCTCTCTCTTAATTAGTAGCTTATTTACTTTATAATATATAATATATAGCTATTCTAGTCTTAAGATAAAGTTAATATTAAGGTTTAATAAATCGAATTCTTATTAATCGCCTATTAATCGAGATTCGAGTCTATAGACGAGCTTATATAGACTTATTCTAGTTACTATATAGAATTTAATACGAGTTACGAATAACGTTAATAAAAGATACTTATTTTATAAGAGAATTTATTATTTAATAAGTTACTTCGTTAGAATCTCGCCTAGTATTTTATTAAATCTTTCTATTTTCTTATTAGTCTAGAGATAGTAAAAGATTATTATATAATACTTTATCTTAACGTAATTAAGATAGTACTCGATAATCTTCGAGATTAGATTAGCGCTATTATTTGATAATAATTCTTAAAATATTCTATACTAGTAGTAGATTTCGAATAGAAAGTCGATAACTACTTCGTCCGTAGCGT